ACGTCTTACATAGAAAAGCATTAATCGACTATCTATTGTATCGAGATCTGTCTCGCTTCTACCAATATTCGAAGGCCTCGTTAGCTACGACCAGCAATGTCAAGAGGCGCATCCCTCCCAACGCCTCCTAACGCCTCTATACCTTCCTAAATAGGCAATTCATGGTATAGACTGCAAGAGTCCTGAGCCGAACCAATACTTGTGTAGCCGAGATCGAGGGCGACGAAGTCGAAGACACTATTGAACGGGCTTGCAAATAAATAAATCAAATCAAATCGAGCCTCGAAAAGGATCGATTTGATTTGATTTGATTTGAATCGATTTGGATAGCCCCACTTTTTTCCCAAGATGATCGGATCTGTCGAACAATAAGCCGGGGGGATAGAAAGGTGAAAACTCGTGTGCAGATTGTAGCTATGGAAAGGGGGAAGCCCCTCTATATAGGCCAGGGAATAGGGGCTCTTGGCACTAGGCATCAGCCGTTTGACAGGATCCAATCCATGGATCATCTCAACATCGATGCTGTCCGTTCACCCTCGGTTACGAAACATCTCGAGTGTGATTGGTAGAGCTTCTCTGGGTTGTCCACAGACTGGATCCGATACGTGGTCCATCTCGACATCGACTTCTATCGAGTAGGGGTGCCCTCCCGGCCACATGGTCCACGGATTGGATCCGATGACGGTGCGATAAGGGGGAGTGCCACGTGATCACGTGACACCGCCAAGCCATTGGCCAACGTGATTGGTTAACACGACGGTCTTGGCGTCGCCACACAACGCCAAGCCCTAACCAGGCGATTCCAAATTTTAAATAAAAAAAAAAAAAAAAAAAAAAATCAAGTTTATATTTTATAATGCCAAAAACTGCTTCAAAATTGACACCAAATCGTGGTTGACCTATCAAGGACGTAACCGAGTGGTAAAACACTCGGCTTGCAGTCGAACCGATAGAATTGAGGGGCCTTACTAGTGTTCGATCATAGGTAAGGTAAGAGGGTTGTCCGGCCTAGCTTTCTAGGTGCCCTACATGGGTAAACGTAATGCTCCAGCCAGTGATTGTTGATGATGCCGTCTTGTTCATACCGTTGGGAGGTTACTGATTCAAACTCTTCTGTAGTTGAACTTGTGTGGCTGAAGCTTTCACTGGCTGCGGCGCCCCATCTATAAGTTCGTTAGAGATGGACTATAGGAGGGGGGGGCCTTTTATTTTCTTAATTTTTTTTTTGTTGCGTATATATAAACCGCCTGCCTTACAGAAGACTTGCTTAATCTTTTAGAAGTTAGAGATTGATGTTGCCGAGTGGTTCTAATTGCTTCGCGTTAAAGGTGAAGCGGGGCGCGCTGATTAGCTATAGCATTATAGTCTAGGGAATTACGTTGCTAGATATCTGATTGGCTACTCTCGGCAGACTGGAACGATAGCACATAAGCCAGGACCTTGGTCCATCTCCCTCTGTGTTCGCTCTTCCTTTTCTTTTTCAGCATTCAAAGCTCCGCAACTGCGTCCTACCAGTTGATGCCGCCGAATTTCTCTTCAATCTGCTCCGGGGTCAATGAAGCTGTGGGACCCTTTGGTAGTGACGGCATGGGCGGTCGTTGCGGGCTTTTGGAGCCTGGAGCACATCCAGTCTCTCTTCGAGCTGACTCGGAAAAGGCAATATTGCGCCAGTTCTGAGCCATGAGCACGTCAAGCATCCCTGGCGTCTTAGTGGTGTAGAGTGCGGCCATGTCCAGGTCGGCATCGAAGACGGCCCTTCACTCAAGCAGAACTTTAGGATGTCCGAAAACCCCCTTTCCGCTGCAAGAGTGGCGAGCGGTTGTAGTGGAACGGGAAGCGATTTCTCCTTGTCCGCTTGCCGCGTATTTTGGACAGGCGCCGCGACCTTTCACTCCATGTCGGAGCGATGGAGTGTCTCACAAATTCCAAGGTAGCCAGGAAGGCGACTTCTAGAAGGTTCATTTATTGGGTTGCTTCGCTAGCATCGGATTAACGCCTTTCTTTCTAACGGCGTACTTATCTCATCACTACGACGGTAGGCCGAATCCTGCCTGGTGAGCTTAGATTCAACCTGATAACTTTGGGGCGGAAGGCTGCTTCATGCGCGCACTCCGTGGTGGAGAAGACCTGGACTGAACGGACTGGACTGAACTGCCATATATATCAATGCACTATGAAGTACAAGACGAGAGACAAAAACGGTGCGAAGCTACCCTAGACATTTATAGCCAGCGGTACAGTCATGCCGCAAGGCTCCCACGCAGGCACACGAGGCTATCGACAGCCACAGTGGGCCCGCCCAGACCGTTCGACGAGTTCGGAAGGATTGTCGAGGAGGCTCCCAGGTTGTGCCGTGACACCCAGCTACTCGATGAGCACCCTGCGGAGCATGAGGACCAACAGCTCAAAATTCAAAAAATATTTTGTCACCTCCCCACTGTAGCTAAACACTGTCGTAGTATTCGCATTGAGATCAAGCAAGTCTTTCATAGGTCCTTCTACGTTGTTGGTATACCGTATTGCTCGCATTGAGAAGGTTCTGTCAGGGCACGAACTCGTCAAACAGTCTTGGCGGGACCACTGTGGCTGCCGATAGCCTCGTGTGCCTGGCTATGGCTTCGTGTGCCTGGCTGTAGCTTCGTGTGCCTGCGTGGTAGCCTGGCGGCATGACTGGACCTCTGGCTATAAGGATCTAGGATAGCTTTGCACTGCTTTCATGTTCTTTGTCTCTCGTCTTGTACGGAGGTGTGCACCAAATCTGCCCGCAAGGGCGGATAGAAGGGGTGAAAACTCGTGTAGATTGCAACTATGGATGGGAGGGGGAACCCCCCTATATAGGCCAGAATAGGGGCTCTTGGCACTAGGCACCAGCTGTCTGATATCTTCTGTATATCAATCAACGCCATCCGAAGAGCAGGTTGTACAGGATCGAGAGGACAGAGATTCTGCCTCATCGTCGCTCGTTGTGGTGTTTTGAACTGCGCCAGGGTCATTCGAGGCTCGCCAGTCCTCGTATTTGTTACGTGTGTCACACCGGGTGGACGTCACGTGGGTTTGAGGTCAGGGACTATGAGTACAAGGCTGCGGAGCAGTAGGTACAGAGCGTGTCAATGTATCTAAAGGTAGGGGTGTGATAATGAACGAAGTTGGCTACGTAGGATATCAAGGGGTGAGGCCACAACTATATAGACCGAAGTCATTACCCAAAGGGGTAATGATATATGACCTGTTAACCTGTTGACCTGCCACTAGGTCATAGGTCAATATCCCAAGTATTGCCATTCCTGGAAGTCACGTGTCACTCGGCACATCTTCCTCTCCTAGGTTGCGTTACCGATCCCTCAGGACCTTCTTGTGACAGTATTCCTCGTTCTCGTCCTCCTGATCCTGCCTGTTGTCGTTGATGTATTGTTGAACAGCAGCATTAAACAAATGCTAGCCAATCATTTATGACAGACTAGGATATTTTGCAACACTCACTCAATAGGTTGTATCAGGCAGCAATGGTGACGTACACTCATTGGATAGATATATAGATGGGCTCTACCCTACACTCATGAGGAGAGCCAGAGCACTCTTTCAATTTCACGAAGTTCAACAGGGATGTACAGAACGAGATAGCCCAAAGAGATGTGGATAAGCAGTTGGAGTCGGAAAGGCGTGAGAACAGTGATGGCAGTTGTTGGATGACGAGAGGTCTCCATAGACGACGACGTTACAGATGGTTGCTCTGTGCAACGATGTAGCATTCCTGTGTCTATAAAAGGAGTCTCAGGACCTCGACAAGTAGATAGAAAACAGAGCGCTCCTTCATCTCACGTTGCACAAAAAGTTTGACACATATTGACTCGTTACAGCAGACGCAATGTCTCCATCTTATCTTTTGTGCACAATTTGGGAGATGCTGCGTCCTTCCACCCAAGCAAATCTACCGAAGCAAATTGCTCGTTCTACTGAGCTTGCACGCTGCAATGCTGCTGTGGCCACGTTCGACAACCTTCTGGGTGAGGCCAATCTGGATCTCAAAATTGGACCGAACGCTCGGCACGAGTGGGCAATGTTGAATGGCCCTTCTTTGCCTCCTGCAATATTGATTCATTCTCCCTCTCTCCTGTGTACAGGAATGTATCAAATTCCACCTCATCGGCGTCCACCGAGCTCTACCACTATCAGCGCTCAACGCCCAATCTCCGAAACGTGGTCTTCGTCCAGAGTGAAAGAATTCGCATTGTCATAGAAATTCTGCGATAGCGGCGAGATCTGCGTCGGCTGGTCGACGGACTGCAAGAAGACGTAGCTGACCTGGCCCCTCTCCTTGGTGTCCAGGTCCTGCGCCATCGTGCGCAGCTCGACGCTGGCGATCTTGCCTCCTTTCTGGTCAATCTGGACATCGCCGACGGATCGCGATGTCGAGACCAAGGCCGGTGGTCCGGATCGATCGTAGGTCGCGACGTTGATCTCGCGCACGACGCCGTCCAAGCCGACGAAGCGGACGAAAGTCGAGTTCTGGTGGTACGTGAGCGTGGGGCCGCTATATTTGATGGCGGATATCGGGGTTGGCGTCTGGATCGGGCCGTCGAAGACGGTGCCGGACGTGAATTGGCCCGCTGGGTACGCGGAAGAGGTGGAACGCGGGTCGAATTCGAAGGAGCTTTGGATCAGTCGGTGTTTCGCGTCGAGCATCCAAATGTCGGTGATGCTGGCGCCGCGGCTCGTGCACTCGATTCCGGAGGCAGCGAAGGAGTTCTCGAACGTGTGGTTGTGGTACCACGCCGTGTCCTGGACACTGTGAGTGAGCATGTGGTTGTGGCCGTCTTGGCCGCCGTAAAGGAGCACCAGAGACCCGTTTTGGAAGCCCGTCGGATCGCTGGACCAGAGCATGTTTTTGCAGACGCTCAGGCCTGTGGTTGGACTTGAGTTTGCTTTGTACCCGCGAAGTCCGAGGGAGCCTCCGAGAAGTGAGTAAGTCGTCGATTTGAGCGGAGGAGCTAACCTGGAAGCCACATCACAGGAAACGCTTCTGTAACTGTGGAAGCCTGTGTCTCTTGGAGAGTGTCATCTGAGCCGACGTAGAAGACTTTCCACTGAAGGGAGTTAGGGAAACCAGCCCGTGGAATGAAAAGGGAAGATCAACCCTACGGTAGTTTCAATTCCAATCTTGTAGGTCACGGCCATCAGAGGCCCACCCTTGCGTGGTGGAGGTGCAGACGAGCTCAAAATGTTGTCAGACGCCGTACCGCTATATTATCATCAGCGAAGCTCTCGCCATTGAAGAAGGGGGGGAAACATACCCGGTCCAGCGCTGATCCTTGTCATCCCAGACGATGTGGCGAATCTGGCCTGACGCATGGGAAAAGAAGATGTCGACGAACGGCGAATCGTCACCTCTATCCAAGGCGACGAGTCCTGCGATGCCTTTTAGAGCACCGGTCGGATGTCGTGGACGGAGGACAACGGCCAAGACAACAATCACGACGACCAAGACGGAGGCGAGGAGAACGAACACGGCTCGGTAAATCCAGGGGTGGTTTGTATAGCTATGGCTCAACCTTTCTTTGAACTTTAGCGGCCTAGCAATGGCGGTATTCTCCAGCTCCACCGGAGGCACCGGCTCGCTCCAACGGGCATTGCACTGTCGGCAGACGTGTTTTGGCCTGCACTCCACGACCTCCATGGGAGTCTTGTTGAAGGCAACCTCGGGATCATCCGAGAAGCTGCTCAGGTACGTCGCTCGTGGGCTGAGGGGACTGATATTTTCTGGCTCCATAGAACTTGTTGAATCCTTCAGCCTTGCACACGTCGACAAGGAGGTCGGATCAGCCGCCGAGAATGAGATAACAGATTGAGCACTTGGTTAAGGAGCATGCTACGCAGGGCGAACTAGTGTTGTGAAGGGACTCGTGCCAGTCAAACGAGCTGATGACCCTTCCGGCCAAGTACCAGTAATGCCTTTGATTCGCCAAGGAGCTGATGTAGTAAGGGGAAGAGCTCTTATATATATATGCTCAGAAGGAGGCAGGTTGCCCAATCAGGTCGGAAGAGGCTGCATTTACATTCAATGCAAGGGCAGCCATCAAGCTCGAGTTGTGATGGTGCCAAAGCATAGGCGAGAATTACGTGCTCGATAGGCAAACAAAAGCAAATGAGGCTTTGCTTATATGAGTGAGACATTGTATGGTGGCTGCTGGAGTCAGCCTGTTCAAAATGTGGGATTCTGCCGCCAAGGAGGCCAGTCCAAAAGAAGCCGTCGGATCAAGTTCCGGGCGGGTCGTGATGTGGGGGCCGTGCTAGGGGGCAGGTGACGGAGGAGGGGACATTATTAGATTTGGGCGCTGATTGGTCGCCCTCCTTCGACTCCTGGCATGCCGAATCCGGACGGTTACTTGACTTTCAGCTGATAAGGTTGCATCCGCCAACTTCTTGATCTTCCACTCGTTACCGGTGTCTGTGCCAGGGTCATCTAGGACTTGTCGATGAAATGCATGCCTTCAGTGAACAGGACCACGCCGGAAACTTTGCATGAGGGTTGGTGGGATGGAAGAGGAATGTGCTTTCGCCTCGTGTTTCCATCTCCGCCCAGCCAGATGTTGGTGAAAAAAGGGACCGGGAACGAAGTGTGAGGGGACGACGACGGGTTTAGGCAGAACTCGAGGGCTAATGGCGCTAACCCCAACTGGGCAGGCGGTGAAGGGTCGTCCAGCCCGCCTTACCGTAGAGGGCGTACGTGCTGGAGTTCTTTAGCCTGAACTGAATTCAATCCGTCGGGCTACCTGCGGCATGCAGTTTCCAGGGGCAGATGACGTTCCGCAGAAGGTCATGAGGTCGAGAGAGGCCTGGCGCCTTCCTCCTTCTAGCGCCGTTGCCGCGGTGAGCCACCCACGCACCAAACGCATCTTCCGTGCGTCGCGACTGACGCATATAGTGGCCTTGGATCACGAGGCTGAAGTGAAATCATAGTGGGATGGATTGATGATGAGATTTCCTTGGGAGCCCTTGTTCTTTCCTACTCCCATGAAGTCGCAGGCATGAGGACTTCTTTCCAAAGAGTCGAAGTCGTGACCTTTCGATTGGGACCTTCAGCATAGGACACTCTCCGTGTGCGTAACATTGTGACTTGCGAGGGAGAAGAGACAGGAAACGATGAGGGATTTCGGGGCCAAAGACTAATATTTGTATCTCTGCTCCCGCAACCAAACTTCCATCCCTAGCCCACCGCAGGCAACCAATGGCACACGGTTCAGGTCGGTTAACGCAGCAGTGCCTCAAGCAGCGGCTCCAACCTTGTCCTGCTCTGCAGACCACACCTCTCGACGTTCGACTCGAAACGCGGCTTCCAGTCTTCCGTATTTTCAGCCACCAAGAAAGGTCCAAGCACTTGTCCGACGTCGACTCACGCTGTTCCTATTTTTGATCATTCGTCGTCGGTTAGTGTGCATGGAGTTCACTCGTTCATTAATCAAGACTCGTGGTTGCGAGAACCTGTCCTTCTTAGACTGATTAGAATTTTACTCCTTTCGGCGGTGACCACGTGGATTGGAGGAGCCGCTGTGCTATGTTAGCAAGGTATAAAAGGATGATGTGAATGGAGCAACTGACAAGCTGATTCTTCTTGCTACATCCTGCAGATTCGTGTCGTTCTCGGCTTCCGTAGCAGCTCTCTCCAAAGCGACTCGTTTATCCTCGGCACTTCGTTTCTCAATCTCCTCCGGTGATGGTGGCAGACGCTCGTTCTGGAGATCCACCTTGCGGGCATCCTCGAAATTGTGGATGGCTTGATTGATACCCTCTGCACCGAACATCAGTATCCCCGCGGGGAGACGACCTCCAGATTGAGTCTTGAGCTCCGTAACACGTTCAGACTCTTCACGCAGAACCTGGAACACCCTTGAAAGTCGACCAATCGCCAGGATTTTATTCTTGATCGCATGACGCTTGGCTTCTGTGGACTCAGGATCCGCAGCTAAAGGCGGTGTCTCCGGTCCGACGCTGGAGCTTGGCGTGTCTTCCTCCAATTCTTCCTTAGAGCAAGTGTTGAGGACGGTAATGAGCATGTCGGTGATCTTTTCGCCGACAAACGGCAGAGACCAGGTGAAGACATTTATGAAATTCGGCAGCCAAAATGGGTGCGGAGTGTAATTAAACTGACGAATGTTCATAGCATTATTCTCGTATTTCAGCACGGCCGCCTTGTTGTTGTAGAGATCGAGGTAGTTGGGGGCGCTGAAGATGGTCATGACGCTGGGGAACCCGGTCGTCCGAGTCTTGCGATACATACGGTATCCAGCATCTTGGGCTTCATGGGCTCGAATGATAGCGAGTAAATTATTCTTCTCGAGGAAATTGCATACCGCAGGATAGGAAAAGAAGTATGAGCAGCCCCTCACGTGGTTATGCACAAAGTATTCGCCAGTCTTCTCTTGACCAAATTCTTCCAATGGATCGGCCCATAGAATGTCGCACATAAGGCCGTGGGCGGGGGGCTCACGAAATCGGTTAATCTTCCATGAGTTAGCGCAAGTGGGAACCACGGAAGTAGTGCCAACGACTGACGCTCTTGATGTCCTCCAATGTGTGTAACTCAGGGCTCAGCCCGCCGTGTATGCACAGAAACTGCTTGTTCATGACCGCCGCAAGGGGCAACGAGCAGAAAGACTCAATGCATGCATCATACACCTTTTCCGAATATTTGTGTTTGCACTCGAGTTTGAAGGTGAAGTAATCGGTCAAATACCGACATTCATGATTTCCTCGTAGCAGCCATAGGGTGTGGGGATACCAGATTTTGAGGGACCACAGGTATAGCACGCACTAAATCCGTCAGTCTGGAATCGGATGATGTGAAAGCCGTGAAACTCACCTCAATGCTAAAATATCCTCGGTCTACATAATCACCCAAAAATAGGTATCTGCTCTCAGCGGGATCCCCTCCCACCTCAAAAAGCTTCATCAGGTCAAAGTATTGTCCATGAACATCGCCGCAAACGGTGATGGGCGCATCCATTTCCAACAGATTGGGTTCGGCTTTGAGGAGTTTAGTGCCTTCATTGATGATCCATAGTGCTTGCTCCTCGGTCAATCGGCCTTCGCGGTAGAAATGCTGCTTGAGGAAGGACAAATTGGGCTTCGATCGGTCAGAGGATGAGTAGAATTGCTCGTTGGTAGGGGGTTGCATGGCGGGGGCCGGGACATCTAGAACTGGATCAGACTGAGATAACAGCAACGTTCAGTGGCAGACACATACCTTTGCACACTCGCTCCCGAGTGCTCACTTGAGAACCATCTTCCATGATATGCAGAGTGAAATCGATCTCTGGCACGGGCTTCTTGTCCACCACGGACTTGTGCATCAGACCCTCCATAATGAGTGTCAAGTGCGCTCAGAGCGCGAGTCGCTTTTGCGAAATCTTTGAACTCGATCACTTTCGAAGCTGAATCGGGCAGACCAATATTTCAAGGAAAGTGGAGGTGATGAGCAGGACGTCTCAAGAAATATTTGGAGCAGCTGAAAGCTGAAAGAAAGTGCGTAGGAATCGGGAGGGCTGAGGCTGTAAGAGTCGGGGCGGTCGAAGATGGGCAACAGTTTCAGAAGGATTAAAATTTGATGCCCTAACGTGATAAAGCTCGGGTACCTCGAACATCACCACCAGCTCACGACAACACGATTAGTTAAACAGATGTCAGTTAGTCGGGAGTCCACTCACCATAGGCACCATCTGGCCCTATCAACACACCTGGGAAGGTATTCTGTCTACCTGCCAAGACCTTCACAGTAAAATACACGACGCGTCCAACATCAGAACCCCGTACCAAATACTGATATTCAACACCACATCTCCTGTTGCCTAGTTCGCCAGGATCAACATGGCGGCAGACCCTCTCACTGCAGCCACCGTCAATGACCTCTTCAATTTCGACTCCACCGACGATGAGGACCCCTTCCATGACAAATCCTGGCCCAATGGCCGGGACGACAAGACGACATTGAGTCCTGGCAAACGAAAGGCCGACGACGATGACAACCTCGGTGTAGATTTGGGTTTGGATGAGGAAGTCAAACTCATCAAGAAGAGGAAACCGATTGCCAAACTTGACGAGGCAAGGTCGGTCCGATGGGTCCCTACTGTTGGAATCCGTGCTCATATCAGATCACAGGCTCCTCTCCGCCGCAGGTATCCCGAAACTCCGCGCCCTCGCTCGCTCCGGCAAGATTTCAAAGAAACTACACTTCAAAGGCAAAGGGCACGAATTCTCCGACGTCGCTCGTCTATTGAACTACTACCAGCTATGGCTGGACAACCTGTACCCTCGAGCGAAATTCGCGGATGGTCTACAGTTAGTTGAGAAGGCCGGGCATAGTAAGCGCATGCAAGTGATGAGGAAAGAATGGATTGATGAAGGGAAACCCGGATATATCAAAGAAAAGACGAAGAAGGCCGATGAAGAACGGGAGAAGGAGGGGGATACGGATGACCTGTCCGCTGGCGACAGCAAGACGTCCGGAAATAATTGGGAGAACAACGCTTCCGTTTCTCCCCGTGTAGATGCAGAAGGAGGCTCCCTCTTTATCCCAGATTCACGCCCAACTCGGGACGATGAGAACAATTTGCCGGAAGATGACGAGCTTGATGCGCTGCTAGCTCAGCAAGACAATGCTAGAGCTCCACACGCACCAAAGTCCACCTCAAGACAGGCGATGGATCTTGACTCGGAAGGCGAGGACGATCTCGATGCACTGCTCGCGGAACAAGAAACCAGACGAGGTCCACCGACAGCATCGGCGCCCAGTGACACCTCCAAATCCAAGCCGTCGCCATTCGACGAAGACGATGAAGATCCGGATGACCTCGACGCACTGATTGCTGAACAAGAAGCAACTTCCGAACCAAGTACCGAGCAACCCAGATCAGACACACAGCTTCCAACGGTGCGGAACAAGGTTCTCACAATCCTCGATGACAATGACAGACATAAAGATGTAATGAACGAAGACAACGGGCTCGACGCTCTCATCGTCGAGCAAGAAGCACGACAGCAAGAAAAAATAAAACAGCGCTCCTCGAGCACGAGAGCAACAACCTCTCCGGGTACCTCAACTCATTCGAACACGGACGCCGATGTACAGGTCGATCCAGATGCAGATGCAGACGCAGACGCGGATGGGGAAGACATGTTCTCCTCATCCCCAATCCGCACTAACGAAGCAAGATCGCGAAGTTCGAATATTGTTCCTGGACTGTCAGCTCCAGTTCCGACGCGGTCCACAACAGATATGGAAACAGAACGAGGATCAAACAGAAAAGGGAAAATGGCTGACGAAGAGGATAGTATAGAAGCGGAGGCGGATAACAACGATATGGGGGCAGACGACATGTTCTCGTCTTCGCCTGTGCAGAATGATTGAGGACGAAGTTTGTTGGTCCATGTATGGCAGTGGAAACGGTTCATGGTGGATTCGCAGCCTCCTGCACGACGTTCTGAATTTGCTCCCGTGCTATATCTGACACGGCATTCACAGGTACGGGTCCCTAGCGACGGGTCTCGCTGTCAACAATTTAACAGCGCTCTTTTGAAAAGTTTGTTGCATCTTGAATATTTCTTTATTTCTTCAGTTTCGCATGTCCGAAGCCTTAAACCAGAGTAGATTCAACCGATCCACGATTCAGAGATCAACCTCGATTTCTCTTCCGTCCCAGTCCTCATTCAAATCAGAGCCTAAGCCCAAGCACAAGGCTATCCCAAGGAAAATATGCACATTCGGTGAACATCCTCTCGCTATCCAGGTTCAAAAGAAGGCACACCAACCAATATACATCCTACACAGATTCGCCATATCGGTCGCCCTCTTAATCATCTCCTCAACATATCCACCCACACTCAACGGTACACTCTCACCCGGCAACATACCTCTAACTTTCGCTCTGACACCCTCAAGGACCTCGACCGGCGTGTTCGGGACACCGTTGACCTGCTTCTTCTTCCGGCCAGCAACATTGATAAAATCAGTAGTGGGATCATGCAAAAAGGTCTCCAGGATCGTCATCAGCGCGTCTTCGTTGGAGCGAAGTAATGTCAGTGTGATTTCGCAGCATCGGCGGAAGGGACCTTCGTAACCGTAGGCGCCCATAGCATCGACCATGTTATGCGTCAAACGGAAGGGGACCATTTCAGGTTTCTCGAAGGTCAATCCTTTGTCAAAAAGACAGTTGAAATCCACGTGCAGTGTGCCGCCGTTGTCCTCTTCAAAGAGGATGTTTTCGCCGTGCCGGTCGCCGAGGCCGAGCACGTGGCCGACAATGGACATGACGGCTGCGGAACGCGTGTAGCGGAGTCGGGCGTTGAACCATGCAGAGGGGTCTGGGAAGCTCTCGACAAACCACTCGTGGAACACGGGCGGGAATTTTGTCAGGACTTGGTTCGGGAAAATATTGACCTTTTCCGGGTCGCCAGAGCACGATTCGTCCAGCAGATTACGAATTTCGACGTAGTTGGGCTGGATTGATTTGTCCTTGTACAGCTTGAGGATGATATCGCGGAATGTCTTGAGGTTGTCGACCCATTCAATTAAGCCGCATTCTTCATTGAGAGGGATCACAGCGTACGTGCGGATGTAGAGGCGGCGTTTGGTGGCGTCGACATCGCGTTTCAAGAATCGATTGATCATGTTGTTGAATTCCATCAGTCGCTGATCCTTGCGGAGGTCATCCTTGGGCTTGGCCAGGACGTGGTAGGTATTCCCGTCAGAGCCGCGAATCGTGAGTTTGCGCGGTTTCTGTAAGGAAGAAAGGACCAGAGCCTCATCCTCAAAAGACTGAATGGTGACTGGTTCTTTGGCAAAAGGTCGAAACGCTTTCAGCTGAGCCGGTTCAAAACTGGTAGGCAGGCTAGGCATCAGGCATGCTTGATTCGGAACGACAAGCGTCGACGGCACGATCTTGGATGAGAATCCTAAATCTCTGGACAAACTGACCTTTGACACCTTCCCTTCGATGGGAAACTCAGACACGCGGAGCAATTCCCGGACAAACTTCTGCCCGCTCGTGAACATATTTCTGAGTTCTGCCGCCGTTGCATCTCTGCTGGATTTTCTTTGCACTTCGACGATTTTGTTGACGATCCCTGTTCCTTTCAAGGCGCGGTCCTTTTGCTGCGATTCCACAACGGCCAATAATGTCCAGAATGCCTGCTGAGGGAATGCTCTTACCACTTTGACCACGATGCTTCCTAGGATGTCCGAAACAGTTTTATTTCCATGGCAGATCCGCGCAACCACTTGTGGCAAGATGGTGTAGAGGAGAACTGGTTGCAATCGTTCCATGTACTTTTTGATTTGATTGTTTGTGTCTTCAATGACTCGCTTTCGCTGTGCTGCGTTGTGCGCGTGGAATTGGGCATTTCCTCGTCGAGGATCAGGAGAAATGTCCGCACCATCGACCAGTTCGAGCCAAAGGGTCAAAACTTTGGGCAGCGTCTGAAACAGGTATTTGCTACCGTTCAAAAGGGATCGAAGGTAATTGTCGATGACCACTTTGGTGGCTTCTCCTGTCAGGAAAGCCTGGCTCTCTTTTCCAGGAGCCATGACCTTTTCCGAATCGAGAATTTTGTTGTAGTAGCGACCGAGATGATACCAACCCTTTTCCCCTTTACGAAAGCTTTCTGTGGCTTTTCGAAAGGTTCTTCGAATGACTTCTGACTGAGTTTGGCCAGCCTGGTCTAGCCATTTCCCTAGTAAGACGTGTGCCTTCGCCGTGATCTCGTTTTGAGAATGACGTTGTTCGACAGTCATCGTAACAGAACCATTGTCCGCAAAATAATCATGAGCCACAAATGCTCCAGATTCAATTGCTCCCTCTAGCGTTTGAATGGCCTTTCTGTGATGTCCTTCGAGCCACATGAGTTTGGCGTGTTCAATGGCCGCTGACTTGTCGCCCAGGGCCGATGCTTTGAGGACCGCATTGAAGGCTTGAGTGGTGGATCGAGCTTTCCGTGCCAATCTGGCGCTTGCAAGCCAAGCGGCCGCAATGTCGTTGGGGACAAACATGTCGGATCGTAGAGACATCATAGCACGACGAACCCCGAGAAGATACTGCTTGTCAGCGACGTTCGAACCAAGAATGTCCAGACGACCCCGGAGGTTCTCCAATACCGCCATTCGGTCATCTTTTGTGGCTGTTGTTATTAGCCGAACATCGCTAAGCACATGTAGCCGCAGCATGGTGTCGTGACCCGCCTGAAATGAGGATATCACATTGGGAGTAAATTCTGACGCCGTGGAACGGTACAGCTCATCGATCAGCTGGATGGCTGTTTCTTTCGATTCGCGATTCACAGCTAGCATTATCTCCGCAATATGAGACGCGAAGTCGTATCCGCCACTCTGAGGGACGTAGCTGGAAAGTCTATCCCATCGACCGGTGGCCCATGCAGCTTCCATGGCGTAAGGGACAAGCATTGGTGAAGTGGCGTTGCGACTCTTGATACTATCGAAATGGTGAAGCAAAACGTCATATTGTCCGGATTCTTTGAGACAATCCATCAAGTTCTTTTGAACGTCAACGTCGTCTGGATGAGAAACAAGTTGCATTTCATACCAGCTCTGAGCAGCAGTCCATCGGCCGGCTTTTTTATGTTCCAGGACTTGTTGTTCAATGTCCAGGACATGTATTCGAGAAGAGATCCCTTCGACACTGTCTGGTTCATCAATTTGAGCATATATGTCTTGCAATCGTCGGAGTTCTGCCTCGATGTCGTCGGCTTTCAATTTACGGATATGCTGCTCCCAATGGAACAGCGCTCTGGAATAAGACTTGCACTCCAGAGCTCGACGGGCCAAAATATCGGGAGGAATTTGCTCCAGAACCTTCTCAATATTTCGTATTTGTGCTGCCGAACTTTCCAGAAGTGGATCGGTATACCCCCGATCTGATTTCGCTAGGGCGAGAGCATATTGCTTTCGTTTCTGTTGATGCCAGGTGGAGATATAATCAAGAATCTCGAACACGGTCTGGCTACATAATTTGATGTCGTCTTGGACTCGTCGATCTTGTCCGTCAAGGGACTGGTTGAGAATGGACGTGATTTCTTCCACAATGTCCTCACTGTCGCGCTCGATGCCGCTGATGACGAGATCGACCACGGCATATGGGAGCAAGAATGCCGGAATGGAGGTGTCTTGGCCATGTATAATCCGGCAGGCTATTTCAAAAATCATTTCCACGTTGTCTCCTGACCCTCGATGAAGAAAGTCTAGCGTCATGGTCCGAAGCCAATCTCGATGTTTCATGCCGGGGTGGAAGAGAGGGTACTGACTTTTTCCAGGTGCTCGCATCTCCTGCACCGTATACTTCGAACTCAGGAATGGAGTGAGAGTGTTCTGGATGGATGCGGGGAGCTGCGCCCATAGACGTGAAGCCAGATTGGCAGAACCCGCTCTCGAAGGATCTTGTTCGCACAGTTTGAGATATTCTTGCATAGCCCAACCAAGAAAACCTTGAGCTCGTGTCGTAGTGGCGGACAAAAATGCTTTGACCAGGACATGCTGAAGAAAGAAGAACAGCCACTCAACCACTTCATCTGCTTTGCCAAAATTGGCCAAGACTACCATAGATTTTCGATCCCTCACGCTTTCGATCTTGCTGGAATCGAGGCATCCTATGCTTCCCAGACACTGGCCACATAATCGAGTCACCTCGATGCTCGAGTTAAATTTCACGCAGCAATCGAGGAGAGCACGAGTCATGTGCGCAACAAAGTCATCCGGCTGCTCTCGGAGGACGGAGCGCTGAAGAAAATCTTGTTTCCGATGCAGCAGCGGTGAGAGTTCGTTCAGAGCTTGCTCTACCACGACGAGGTTTTCATCCTGCAGTCTCTGAACATATGCCATAAGTTGATGTCGTTCGTCCATTTGATGTTTCAAGGCCACAATTTCCGACTCAAATTTGGCCATTAGAGGAATCGAGGCCAACGAAGGCATGGTGTCGAAATGATCTCGTACAAGGTCGGTGTGATTCTTCAACAGGTCGCCAACGAGATCGTACGCCAATTGTTGTGAGGAGCTGTCTAGCACATCCCATGTTTGAACAATGATGGCGAGCGTCTGGTCCATTAGCGGTTGGAAATCATCTCTCTTTAGCGATTTCATCATGACTGCCCACGAGGCAAATGCGGCATCACAAAGATCGTTATCATCAAGACCCGACCTCAAACAAGCACAAATCTGAGGAAGAGCACGGATGACACGACTTTTCCCCAGCTTCACTACCTCACCCAAGGCAGCCAGAGACCGTCGCTTCTCGACCTTTGATTCTTTCGCTTCCAGATCATTCAGCAAGACAGTGAAATGGGTCACAATTGCGAGAACGTTACTCTCTAAAAAGTTCCCAATACTGTCACTTCGTCTAGAACCAGAAGACTGTCCGCGTTGGCGGGCGACCAGTTGAGCCAAGAGCTGCAAGGCTTGATAAACGCGAGAGGATTTTCCTTGACCACTGTCTCCTATGGCTTTGAGCAGTTCGCATGTGATATGGATAGGATTCAGAGCCACCCAATTCGCAAGATCATTCTTTCCGAAGTCTTCAGCTACTTCGGACAGGATGGACATGATGGATTGTTCGGCCTCGGGAAATGGTTGCACCAGCAAAAATGATAGAATAGCAATCAGGTTACGTCCCTGTGTGCAGAGATCGAAAGGTGTCGTTGACTGCCCACCGGCCTCGGCGAAGCGTTTGATAGCTTCGTGATTTTTGTGAAGGACTAGATATGGAAGGGCAAACTCTACTGTATGTCCCATCAATGCTGTCATATCCATTCCGAGAAGATCGCACAATTGTTGCGCCACATTCGGCCGAGTGGTCAAGGATTTGGCGAGCACGACTCCCAGGGTTCGCCAGAACGGCCGGAACAGGAGCCATAATGACACTTGCATTGATTGTGCAAGATGCTGGATCTCCGCATACACCACACCACTGAGGTAGGGATTCGTATGTCCCAGATATTCCACCAGCCGGACCAGGATGATGTTGAGCTCTTCGTCACCAACCACACGAGCCATCCGAGTCAAAGCAACGACTGATGTCTCTTGAATCGCCGCATCTCCTTTTTGCCAAAGTGTTTGGAGGGTATCCAAGGCGACAATTCGGTTTTCTCGTGTCACTGACGCATCAACATTCTTCCTCCGCACCAGGTAAGCTTGGAGTGTTCTCGTAGCTGCCATTCGAAGATCTCTAGAGGAGCTCTTAAGAGATTGGAGGCACCAATCTCCAGCAGGCGTCGAGTTAAGTTTCAAATAGTCAGTGGAGTTTGTGTGCATGATGGCTCGACGTAGAGCCGACATGGCGGCAATCCTTGCCCTAGATTGGCGAGAAATACTTTGAATGAGGACAAGGAGAGTTTTGAGCAGCTCCTCATTTGATGCCGCTTCTGGAATTGTGGCATTATTGGTCAATTCACCGTCTTCATCACATATGTGGCATGGGGATTCTGGTGACTCGGAAGCAATCTGGCAGGCGGTCAGACCAAGAAGTTCAAGAGCAGCGCATTTCTTTTCTTCTGAGAGTCTTCGAAAATTTCTCGAAGCCGTTTCGCTCAGGCCATCGAGGTCAGGCACAGCCCGCCCAATCAGGTCCGCAGTCAGTTTGCGGTAGATCGTTTGGCGCACGTTCCCTTTGGACCATTCGTCCTCCGCATCTGTGGATAGGCGTAATCGCTTGCGGGCTCGGTCATTATCAGGCCATACATCCTCCGATTCCTGGATGAGGGGCTGATGGAGAGGTCTGGAAGGTTGGATGGCCAAAAGGCGGATTTCGTGAGAGAGTTCCTACATCGGAGTGAGCTGTGAACTATGAGCAGTGCGGCGTATTTGTTGAACGGACCTCGGACCGATCATCTTCCAATAGAACGCTTTCACTATCCTCGGCAAACAGCCGAAACCGGCAAAATGTCTTCCAAAATTGCAACTTGCTTTGCTTTGATTCCGATTTCTTGGAGATGACCTTTAATAGCCGAGCTACGGTCAGGAGAAGTTCGCGAAGAGAGGGAAACCTGAAGCTGAGCGGGTTGAAAACAGCCACGTGCATGGCTTCGGAAATTCTGGATGCGAAGTCTTCGCCATCAATAACGATCACCTTCCGAGGCTGGAAGGAAGGCAGAGCAGAAGCAAGGGAGAGGATGCCTTGTGAACGGTTAGTAAGAGACACGTTGAACGCGACACGCCACGTTCTTACCAGACACGCAGACTCTCATGAATTCCAATACGTTACCGCACGAGCAGGGAGCCGTAGACTTTCGATCAGCCTCCAAAATGGTGTCAAAGACGACAAGAATAGCATCTCGGTCATGGTCATTCTTGCATGAAGTGATCAATGACAGGAGTCGAGGCACGAGCCATGAATAAAGCGGGTGTCCTTGAGCAGAAGTTTGGTTGCCTTGGGGATCTGACTTCACGTATAGGACTTGTGGGGATCTTTCAATGGCGACCTGGAGAACTTCGAGGCAAGTTCTCAATTGAGAGTTGACCTTACCTGCGGCAGCTGCAGACTCAAATGGGTTATCGTCAAGGGCGGGCTCGATGCCGACTTGAAAAATGATGCAGATCAACTTGTGGTTGACTGAGACATCAGCGCCCAGATTGGGTCGGCCCTGCTCGTCCGAACCAAGAGCCTCTGCCAGGAGTTGGTTGAAACTGTCTTGTTCGAAATCAGGGACTCCTTCTCCATGTACAACATGTGTAGCCAATATTGAGGATGCCGGAGGTTCAACGCCATTGGGTTGTCGTGCAACAGGCACCGGCGCCATGGGCATTCATTTAGACATAGAGAAAGGTTGGGAGAGAGTCGTGGACGCGTTGTGAAAATGAAAACGAAGGGTTGAAGTTGAGATCAAGTTCTCTACGCGTCAAGCCATCAACTTCACCGTAGCTGCCATCTTGTACGCATCTCGGATTATCTTTCTTCCTTCACCGGAGCGAGCCTCTTCACGAAAAATCCCCCCCCCCCCCCCCCACCACACCACCTTTTTGAACCCTGGTATTTGTCTATTGGTTTGATGAATCAGAATATCTCTTCTATCTTCTCATCGTCGTCATCCATTTCCGTCACTTTGGGCGCTTCTTCTTCCTCTCTCATAATCACCTGTACTAAGCGATCACATGCTTCTTTGACATTTTCATCCTCAACGTGTAAATGCGTCTCCCTCACTAATGGGTAGACTTGAACATTTCTTAGCTTGTCTCTTCCTTCTCTCGTCGTACTCAGTAGCAATAATGTCTCGAGATGAGTGACCAGGATCTCATTGTCGCTGTCCCTCGCTTTATCTGATGGCAGAAGTTGTAGGTCGGGCAGCATATTGGCGGATTCTTCCTCTGAGAACTCTTCCGCGCCAGCAAGAGGGAGCAAGATGTATGGTAATAGATTCACTCCGGGTGTGTCATCGACGGATTCAGTTTCATCCTGCCAAAGTAATGGATGTTTGTCAACCTCAAAAGCGACGTTCTTGATGGTGCTTGCCACCCCTCTCCTTCGGACAGGACTCTTGTGCTCCGTGAACACGGTCAACTTGCTTATTGGTACCACACCGTCGTATTCTCTCTTGCTGAGCAAGTGATTTCGTCCAGATTTATACTTGGACATATCAGCGAGAAGATAAGCGAGGTAATCAAAGTCGGCGTGCTGGTTTAGGTTGCCATCGGCGCCTTTGACGAAGCAGTCAAATAGTTGATCGAGAGCATATGGAGACGTAGAGACCGTTGTGGAAGGCACCGTGCGCTTGAGCTTGATTAATTTCTCCATCAGATCAGATTTGGCGAGGTTCGAGAGCAGCATAGCGATGTCATCGGCCGCGCGTTCCTTCGGGTTCTGGCGAAAAGAGTCAGAAGGCACGTTCTGGTCATGGCAATTTGGTTCAAGAATGCCGTAGGCAATCAAGACCTACATACTGTTATCTTGGTTAATAGCGTTTCAATAAATGCATCGTCTGAGGCAAGGTCCTCGAGAATCTCCGCATCATGGCTGACATTAATGAGGATGGTGAGGGCATTTTTAGCAATCGGCTAGCGAGCAGAAAGGAGATATGTTAGCACAGGACTGACTGTTGGTCCCGGTTGGATACTCACCGGGTAGTCTCTGACGAGAAGTTTCAAATCTTGGACCGGAACTAGTTGGGGCTTTTTGAAAATTGAAGGGTCGGATGAGTGGCCGACAAGGTGATCACAAGCTGGACAAGATACCCGTCAGCATGGCACTGTCATTGACAGAAGGACCTATTGGTCGATATTGATAGAATCTCTCCCGGTCTGGAAATCTGCTTACCAATTTGCCGGATCTGCGTATTGCCGTGGTGGAGGAACGCAAGGAGCTGGGATGAGTTAGCCGTGGTCCATAACCCACAATGTCCGTATGTACAATGCGTTACTGACCTCTTCCAGTTCCGTAGGCATGCTGATATCTTATCCTGCTGGACAATAGGCACGGGGCAAAAATGGCCGGAGCATGTTGCCTCGCAGGAAAAATATATTTGATAAACTCCCAAAACGGCCTAGCGTCAGATGACTCAAATAAAACCCAATGCGGTCAAGACCCAACGGGGCCAAATAAATACCCACTCCGGCTCCACTTCTCTCCCTCCCCCCATCATCCACCATTCCCTCCCCTCCTGTCATCATGTTAGTGTGGCGCAGTCCAGCCCAACCAGTATCAAAAGTCCAACCAGCTCAAAAGCAGGCAACCTGAATGTCAACCCTAACTTCTCATGCATGAAACGCTTGCGGACGCTCGAGCGCCCGGTTTTGGGGCCATTGAAGCCTCTTGCTATCGTTTTCATGGCTCCAAAAAGCCCTGCCAGGGCGAGACGGTAACCCGTGACCCTCCATCAGACCGGCATCGCCCGCCTTTGATCAAAAAGGCAGACTTTTCTTCCTCGAAGCTGATCTTCTCTTAAGTTCTTCTTCCATCTGACTTTCAGCCTTGTCACACGACAACATCATCGCACAAGTCAATATCTGACTATAATTTCCCGTAACCGCGAGCGTGGTTCCATTCAAGGATACCATTACCGGTAACTCGCTATTCGACCGCTTACGGTAGAGCCTTGCATCTACGGTGCATCCCGCGAATCACAACCTCGACCCTCCGCAAGGCTACGGTCACCAATAACAGCTCCGGAAATTTAACACCACCATGGCTTTTGCTGGAGATGACGGCATGACACCACCGGCACCGGCGCCCATCACAATTCCACAAGCTGTCGAGGATCTTCAGAAGGCTCTCATTCAAATCAGGCGTAAACTCAAGACGCTGATTGACTGGTACATCTACCCGGTCATTGTCCCCAATGAAATTAAAGCCTACGACCCACGCCTCCAGATTCTGGAGTCGCGGCTAATATCCTTGTCAACACTATCATATCAGCAGCTGCCATATCTATTTGACAACTCCGACGGTATAGCAGCCCACTACCTCCTGAACATTCTCGATCAACTCCTGAACTCCATGGTGGGAATCCAAAAAATCTTCGTCGAACACTACGATCGCGACCTAGATGAACGCCGGCCCTTTGGCACAATCTGGGACACACTTCAATATCGCAGCGACCAACTGAAACTCGTGCCCCAATTTCTCCCTCACAATCCACGACGCCAGCGACCCGAGGACCTGCGCACGAACGAACTGGGCAATTTCTGTCGGGGCGCTCTCCAAATGATAAACAATCGTGATAAAGGGCGAATCTCACATTTAGAAAATAAAGATCTACTACCCGAAAACAAGCGCAAGCTGAAGGCCTTTGGCGGCGCGTTTCTTTTCTGGGAATGCCCCGAATGCGCGTACAGAGTTCGCTACCACGTCGCCAACAGCTCCTCGTCCAACATCCACACCGCCACCGAAATCCGCGAACACAATGGCCTGGGTATACAATACCGCAGTTCCTTTCTGGCTCGATGCCACCTATACCTCCCTCTCTCCGAGAAATCATCTACCTCGTCGACTTCCTCCAATCGGCGCCAAAGTCAAAGCATCTCCACTCTCTCTTCCTCATCCCCCAAATATGGCTGTGTCTTCTGCTTCGCGTGCGGCCGTGACTTGGAGCGAGGGGATACCGCGTTCAACACGCCCCGCGAACTTGCCGAGCATATCGTACTGGAACACAAAAGGATCTTGCCGCCGAGCATGATACTGCATAGATTTCTCGTCGCTGTCGAAGGAAAGATGCATGACCCATGTCAGCGCTGGGATTTGAATCTTTTATAACGGGTTTTCAGTCCCTCTCTTTCACGTCAATACTGGGAAAGAATGAATTGAAGCCGAGCCATGATTAACGAACCATGTTTCTCCAAGTTATGTGGGTGAGAATTTGTGGATGCATTGCGATGTTCATTTTGGGGTACGATCGCGGTATTATGCCATGCTATGATGCGATATGATGTGATGCGATGCATGGAGTTGGAAAGAACGAATTACAGTACGACCCGGGCACAGCAGGGCACCATCAGGCACTTCGTTTTATGGAGAATAATACTGCAGACGGGCTCAGGTAACTTGACGATTATTAACTCTCAGTTACGAAATATCACATTATCAACTTCTTTTGTATCTCTTTAATTTTAGTCAATACTAGCCCCAGTGTCTTCAGCCTTGCGAAGAGTATATTTTTATTGGTTTGGTCAATGTGATCGACTTAAAGATAGGGAATTTGGTATAATAGGAAAGTATAGACCGTACAATTTTCGGCGCATTTCGTTTGTCTTCTGTCATACGCATTCCCTCACCCAGAGAGACGGTGTAATGTGTATATATACAAAGAAATCAGCTCAAATCCTACCACTCGCGCGCAAGTCAGTCGACCACGCACCGGGCGGCTCACGGTAATGTTGTACAGATATATGTGCCCTCCGCTCCCAGCTCCCTGGCCGTCACTCCCTGAGCGATTCCAAGCCAAATTCAATCCAACCCAACTCGAGCAAGAGCAAAACTTGAATTCTTGCCGGTACAAAAGAAAAGAAAACTCATAACCCTTTCCACCCCTTTTTCCCCCCACCCACAGGTCTGTCTCGTGGCTGTGTCCAGCTCATCCCATATAGACGAGTGTGATCATGAAAGACCTTGTCATCCTGTCTTCCAAAACTGCCAAAAGAGGATGTCATGACATATGAAATGAAGATAGAATCCAACGCCGATATCTCATGCATCGAGACCACTCAAAATGGAAGGGGGAAACCAAATCCCCCAACGCCATGCATGGAAAAGCAGCCCATTGAATGAAGCCCGGGATCTAAATAAAAATGGGAGGTAAAAGGAAAAGGAAAGGAAAGGAAACAGTCTAAGAGAAACAAAATCTCATCCTCGTCTTGATCCCCGTTCCCTTCCGATCCAATCCTCGGTCCCATTCCATCCCATCATAACCAGGAATGCGCATTCTTTATTTTCATACACTCTCCACAACCAAGCCCACACTCAGCCCGGGTCGATGCCCTTTCTCCGCCTGCACCACGACAGGCGAATACGCCTTCTTCTCTAGTATCTCCCATTTCCTGGCCTCCTTCAGCATCTGCTTCTCCGTCTCCTTGGTCCACTTATTTTTCTCCGCCGAAGGCTCGCGCTTAGTGATTTTTATTTTATCTTTTGATTGCGATTTGGATGTGCTGCGGCGGTGGCGGTGGCCAAGGATCGATTTTTGTTGCTGCTGCTGCTGCTGCTGCTGCTGTCGTTGTTGCTGTTCTTGCTGTTGTTGCTGAGTAGAAGATTGAAGTGGATTCTGGGCAGAGGTTGAAGATTCGGCGGCACGGCGGGCAGTGAGTTTTGGTCCAGGCACGATAACACGGGAGCTTTGTTTGCGGGACAAGGAGACGGTGCGGGCGATGGCAACTTCGGCGGTTCCAGTTACGGGGTTTGAGGCGACAGGGTTGGGGCGTGGTGGGATGGTTTTCTCTAGGCCACGGAGCGAAGATTTCTCCTGCTGTTGCTGCGGCTGTAAAGATGACGGGAAGGTGGCGGATCGTTCTTTCGTGGGGCGAACGGACGTAGTTGTAGATGCCCCAAGATTGTCGGTGTGAGATCGGACAGGTCTTGTTGGCGTCACACCCGCTCGTTCAATTGCAGTCACGGTGCTTTTGGCAGCGTATTTCGACAATGGGATGAATTTGGCGTCCTTGGCCGGGACAGGAGGAGGCTTGTCGTCCGAGAGAGATTGAGGTGTCGGGATTGGGTTGGATTTCGGATTGGAGATCGGGTTCGGATTACTTGGTGCTGGAGCTCTTATCGGAGGGCCTTGGGGAATTGTGGGTGAGTCGTCACATGGTCGATCGAAGCGCTTGACGGTGGCCAAACGAGGAGAAACGATTTTCACAACTTGTGCTTCTGGTGCTTGTCGTGCTTGTTGAGGCGGTTGCGGTGAAGGGGATTTCGAAGAGTTATCTTCTTTCACCTCGGCGACGGGGGAAGGAATCAGCCGGCCGACCTCTTCGCGGGATCTGCTTGTTAATCGAGGACCATGATGATCTGTAACTTCTGCATGTTGACCCTTTGCACTGGCGTTTGATTGCTGTGGCTTCTCTCCATTATGACCGGCCACTGTAACAGGACCGGTTTTGAAATTCAACGTCGGGACCTTTTCAGTTGTAGAAGTGGGTGACGTGAGTCGTTCCACCGCAGCAATGGCCTCGTCGAAATACGCTGTATTAACAGAAGTATGCTTCGTGGTAGCCGCGGAGACAGCGTCAGTGGTCGTCGGAGCTGGCACCGGTAGTGCTGTGATTGCTTCAGCAGGCCCATCTGGTTGGGGGACTTCCACTCGTCTCAATCGACTTGCAGCGGCGGCCTTCTTTGATCTGGTTCGAGCCAATTCAACCGCCGCCGAATCTGGTCTAGTCATAACAAATTGACCATCCTCAACACCCTTGGAGTCTCGGAATGATTTGATATCAAAGAAGATCTCGTCCACCGTGGTGGCAGATGAGACCGATGACTGAAACGAGTGAGCAGAACTCCATGGAGCCTCCCGGTCCGTTGAAGCGGTATTGTCATCTGGACTCTGTACCATTTGTTGTTCATCGGATATCATTCTCTTCGGATTCAGAGGCTCGGGCTTGGCCACCGATACAGAGAAGTGGTCTTGCATCGGTGACATACGTGCTGGTGAGGTAGCTGATCGTTTCAACTGGCTCGGAGCGTGACTTTCATTCTCTGAAAATGGAATTTGACCGACGATTTTCACAGGAGCAGGAGATGTGGCTGGGAACAACGAATACTTGCTCACCGCTGGTGATCTGGTGGTAGTGGGCGTCGTCAAGCGTCTAGGTGGCATCAGAGGGGTCAGAGGTACGGCCGTCGCATTAGAATTCTCGTCTTCGCCTTTTGTGGTTGGTCGACTATCTTCACAGGATTTCAGACTATCCAAGGTCTTGCTTCGTCTTGCGAGGAGGGATGAAGAGCGGGTGGCGGCGGGTAGATTGCGAAACATTACGCTGTAACGATCAAGAGGCGGAGTGGGTATGTCTATCTCGAGTTTTGGTAACGGTGGTCTCGTATCAGATTCGCTTAAGAAGCTGGCATCGGTAGCAGTGGAAGGTCTTGACATTAAATCTTCGGCAGATTTCTGGCTTTTTTCTGAAACGTTCGGAGGTCGTTCCATTCTTTCGGTCGGCGGCGGCGGAGGACCATGATGAGGTTGGATGGGCCGTAATTTGTACTCTTCCAGTTTGTGTGCTTGACTGGTTGGGCTCTTGTCCAGAATCACCAGGCCCGTCGGAAGGCCAATAGTGGGACCAGGAGGAACTTCATCTCGTCGAACGGCGGCTTGACGTGATTTAAACAACGTTCCAAACTTTCTCCATCGTTTTGACTGCATTTGAACGGACCGATCTGGACAAGGCGAACAATGTCGAGGGGAAGGATTATGCTCAACAGGACTGTGAGGTTCGGGGACACAAAATCCGGCCGGAGGGTGGCTTGGACTGCCAAAGGCCAGACCAATTAGACTGTCGTCGGATTTGGAGATGGCATTGGGGTGTTGTAATGGTGAAGGTTTATGATTCTCGGAAGTTCGTGGTCGAACCAAAGATACGTCAAGGCGTAGTTTTCTGATTCCAGTTGGACCTCCAGAGGTCGTGGGACGTATTTCGGCCGGTCCAGCAGATAGAATCCCGCCAGGGATGTTGGAAGTACTGTGAATGGTGGAAGGAGACTCGGTAAAAGCGAAATCAAAATCTGATTGTTTCGCTGTGGGTTGAGAATCGGAATCGTGTTGAAGAAGAGGATGTCTATGGCGAATGGATAACCACCTCGTGGGCATGATTCAAAAGTCCCCCGGACCGGCCAGCAAAGGAAAACAGATGCCAAATTAAATGGTGACAAATGAAGGACAGGAAAGCGAAATGGTGATAAGGAGGGGTCAGAAGCTCAGCGTGATCAAGCTCGAGAAGCGACTGCAGAGTGAAACAAGTTACAAGATGCACATTTGTTAAACGGCCGGGCGTCTTTGAACCTGGATGTTCGGGTTGACGACGCCAGGGTGGGAGAGTTCAGAAGTTAGAAACCATGTTCGACGCACAAACTGCAACAAAATTCCCAAACCAATGCAACTGTGCACCGGTGGGTAAGCGAAAATAGGATCGGAGGATCAGGGTAGAAACCGGCAGCATGACTTGCATAGGGGAAGTCAAAGTCGATTCTCCGATCTGAGTGACCGTAAATGCGGCCATGGCGGTAATCAAGTGAACATCGTGTGCATGGTTGAACAGACGGGCCACGCATCTGTTGAACAGCCAGCCAGAACAGAGCAGGGAATCCGTGGGCTGGCTGAGGCCAGTGATAGAATGAGAAGATGGAAACGGGGGGGAGGATGGAGAAGGGAAGAACGAGGTTGAGACAGCCACTCACAGCAGGCGGAGCCTTGCCGGGGCCAGCGGCCTGGCGTGATTCAGATTCTTCTTAGTGTCTTCGCGTGGCGTCCTCTCGCCATCTATGAGAACAGGCCCTGAAATCTTCCAAGAGGTGGATTGGTAAAGCTTTGTCAGGAGATCCCTTGGAATCCCGTACGTGCACAGGGAATGTCAGCAAAAGAGAGTTGACAGCAGCATGGGGGCGTATATGAGAGTGTGAGATATACCTGTATATCGGACCACCACTCTGCACCACCCGCCTGTCTCTGGTCGAAAAAGAGGTCTCGTTTTAATTTTCTATCTCATTTACCGCCGAATGTCTTTGCAATACCCCAAGCCTCCGGCGTGGCGGTCATCCTGTAATCTTATCATCCATGTCGACCTCGGACTTTTCGGTTGCCCCCTGAAACACACCGGCCTCAACCGCCCTGCAATACGCCACCACGGAGTTTGATCGGGGAGGGTTGGATGGGTTGGCCTGGGGTTTTGTCTGGGTCTGGAACTTTGATTGATTCCCACGACGAACATCGACCTTCTGCATTCTGACTGGCGGTTATTTTGGCATCTTTGGGGAATGACAAGACCACCACCCATGCTGCAAGGGACAAAGATGCCAAACGGTTGGGCCTTCGCTTGGTAAGAGGATGCCGACTTTGTTTTTGTTTTCATCACGCTGCTGTGGTTTTCCATTGGTACGATTGGAGATATTCGCTTAAGAGTTTGGCGAGTTATGATCTTATTTGATTAAGATATCTTGATCATCCCTGAGAATTGTTCTCGACCAAGGCTGGTGTTACATCGTTCCACTCGACCATTTATGCGTCGGGATTCCCTCGTGGCGTGGCCGTGTCAATCCTCAATCTTACATAGCAATGCCAACACATCTCCATGCAGACATGCATCGAGAAAACGAAATTGGATTCTGGACAATTAGACGATGGACTTGTCAATCTTCGCAGCCAAGGCCGATACCACATTTCTACAGCCGCTACCAACTATTGCTCAGCCTTGCTGCTTCCTCTTTTTTTTGCATTGGCTCATGGTGGGTATGTGCTCTCGAGAATAGACCCGTTGGCCTTTACCAGTTGAAACCATGTTCGTTGAGATGAATCATAGGATCCGTGACAATTCAGCTGTTCTGCCGGTTCTACATTTCTTTAATTTTTTTTTTCCCATCTTCTATGCACATCACCACCGCCTAAGGCGGAAGAGACAGCACCACGATTCAAATCTCATACCCCATTACTACATGAATTGTTTTTGGTTCTTGGCGATTAGCGGTACAGCCATAGTTCCCGTCATTACCAAGTGCTGAAGTCCGTTGTCCTTTGCCTCGGTTTTGAAATTTTATTCTCCGCATGGCAATAGGAAGTCCGCTTTGTGCGGGCAGCGGGGGAACGGATTCATACTGTATATTCAACAAGTAGTATCCTTTTCGATCTTAGGTTGTTACGCTGACCTTAAGTCAGAGACTTAGCTGGCATGAAGAGCGATAGGTTAGGTAAGGCGTTGCCAAAGAAGCTCATGCACTTTCTAAAACATACGAATACCTAAAGAACACCAACGCCAAATATAATTTCTCACTCTCAATTAGAGCACAGGGCCTGAAGACAGGGTGAAGGTACCCGAGATGGCTGTCAGGGTGGGAACAACAATGCGTGGGCAGTGTAAGAACATGGCAATTCCAGGCATAATCTCCACGGAGTCGATGTATCATAGGTATGGACGACGAGAAACTCTGAAAGCACCATGGAGAATATTGCGCCTGACTTCCTCATCAACACTGTTCAATCATCAGGGCAGAAGATGGACATCGACACCCTACTTCGTTCTGGATCACCGCCATTTCAGCACCAACCACCGACTCTCCAAAGCCTCCCCTCTCTCAGAGGCCTTTACATTCAACGCACCCTCGAACCGACCATTAAGCGACATCACAATCGTGGCACTAGAACAGGTCATCTCCATGCCCCTCGCGACGCGACACCTCTCGGACCTGGGGGCACGTGTGATCAAGATCGAGCGGCCGGGAACGGGAGATTTCGTACGACAGCACGACCAGCGCGTCCGGTCCAAACTGTGCAGCCACTTCGTATGGATCAATCGGAATAAGGAGTCGCTGGCTCTCGACATTAAGAACCCGGAGGACATGGCGGTGTTAAAGAAGGTGCTATGCGAGAAAGCCGACGTGTTCGTTCAGAATCTACGACCGGGAGACGCCGAGAAGATGGGCCTCGGGTACGAAGCTGTGAAGGCGATGGTGAATGCCGCTCACCCAGGCGAGGCGAGGGGAGATCGATTGATCTACGCATCAATCAGCGGCTATGGATCCAACGGGCCGTACGCGCACAAGAAAGCATACGATCTTCTCATTCAAGCAGAGGCGGGCTTGCTGAGCATCACCGGCACGGAGGGCGACGACGGGATGGCCAAAGTCGGCTGCTCCATTGCCGACATTGCCGCGGGCATGTACGGGTACAGCAACATCCTAGGCGCCATCATCCAGCGCCAAAAGACAGGGCGAGGATGCGAACTTGACATCTCCATGCTGGAAGCGCTGGTCGAATGGATGGGTTTCCCCATGTACTATGCACATGAGGGGCAGACGGGACCGAAACGCGCAGGGGCCAGCCACGCAAGCATCTACCCCTACGGCCCATTCTCGACCGGCGGCGGTGGCAAGGTAATGCTAGGCGTGCAGAACGAGCGGGAATGGATGATCCTCGCCACCCAGGTACTAGAGCGGGAGGATTTGACGACGGAACCGAAGTTTAGGGACACGGCGTCGCGCAGCGAAAACAGAGACGAACTCGAGGCCGTCATCAGTGGGATTTTCACGCAGTGGGATGTGGGCGAAGTGACGAGGCGGTTGGAGAAGGCGGGTATCGCGAACGCAAAGGTCAATGATATGCAAGGCGTGTGGGAGCATCCGCAGCTCAAGGCCCGGGGGAGATGGAAGGAAGTGGACAGTGAGGTGGGACCAATTAAGGCGTTGCTACCGCCGGGGATGAGTGCGGACGTCGAGGCGAGAATGGAGAGGATCCCAGCCGTGGGAGAACATAATGAGCAGATATTCAAGGAGTTGGGAGTGAAATAGAGGTAGGGGGGGGGGAGGAGGGTCCTAGGATCCTGGTTCGAGCATAGCACAGCAGAGCAGGGACATGGAAATTTTCCAACGTCATTCGTTCACGGCATCGAATCTCATCTCCGACCGCCCTTCAAGCTCCTGCTTCTTTCCCCTTCTTCTGCAGACTCTCATCAACGTCGACTTCCACGATCTCGACAACCTTCGGTTTCGCAATCGGCACCACCACATTCTCTAAACGCCATTCCATCCCTGGATACGCATCGCTGAAAACTACTATGTCAACCTTCACCTCTCCCTTTCCGCCCACTTCAGTCTCAGACACAAAGCCATCGGCCAGAGTTTCCGAGACTGGAATCTTCAATTTGACATGACTCAACTCCGTCGTCTTGGTCCCGGTGCCTACAGCGCCCAGCTTACTCGTCGATACCGGCCAGCTCGCCCTCTTCAGCGCTAGAATGTCCGGATTCGCACCCACATGTCCAGATCCTGCACCATGGGGAAGGGCGAGCACAAAGTATCCTTCTGTCTGCGTCTTAGGGAACCTTGGCGCATAAATCCTTGCTTCATTGTCTAGCGATCGATTCCCACGCTTTATCGTCACTTGTAGATGATTATCCGTATCACCCGCGGCCGTGAGCGTGATGTCTGGCAATGCATTGGCGGCTTGGACAAACTGAGCACGCGTGCTGGGCGCCGCAATCCCAAACACGTTCATCAGACCATCTATGGTCTTGGAGCCGTGCCTGCTCGCTAGCACCGCGGTCGTGACCAGATCCCTGGGAACTTTGCCGTCGAGTGTGGCATCAAAAACCTCGTGGACCCCAGGCAATATGCTGAGAGGATAATCGTCGGGCCAGCGGGCCGATTTGACAGACTGAAGCAGTCGGACCATCTGAACCACCGCGTCAAATTTGTTGATTTCCGTCATCACGTCGATTCCCGCCTGGATGATGCGAATGCTCTGGTCGAGGACTGAAGTTTGATCGCCTACGTAGTCGGTAATAGGCAGGTCGACTCTCGACATGAAGGCTTGCATGAGCAGAAAGGCTTTGACGTGAGGATCCCACATTGGCAGATTTTCTAGCATGGTCGTGGACAGAGGAAGGTTTTTACTCAGTTCGGCATTGACGAGGTCTTCGTTGTGGCGGACTGGGAGTTCATCGAATTCGGTCGCGAGGCTGACCCAGGCCAGGACATCTGCGAATCGCGTGGTAGGCGCTTTGGCCGCCTTGGACAAGAATTTGCGGATCGTCAAGTGGCTGAGGTAGTAGTAGGACATGATTTGGCCGAACGCTGTGCTGTCGACATCGCCATTGTCGTGGACGAGGACACATCTGCTCTCCGCCAGATCATCGAGTGATTTGTCGACCAGGGTGATCATGTAATCGGCGGCAAGCTGTCTGGCGACGAGTTGACTCTCTCGGTGTTCTTCGGTAGAGATCTCGAGGCCGTAATACGTCGGATTCTTGTGGAGACGGCGGAAGAAGAAGGTCCAAGTCAAGTAGTCGAGCGCGTCTTGTTTCGTGGTGATGACTCCGGCGGACACTTCGGCGCCCAGATGGTTGTCGAGGACTTTGTGCAGTGAACTTTCAACGGGAAACCCGGTGTGCAAGAAATGTTTGTAAAATGCCTTTTTCGACTCTTGCGTGAAGATGCGAGCAATACCTGATGTGTCGAATTGCGGTCTGCCGGCTCGACCTAACATTTGGAGAACATCAGTCAAATCCATGTCCTTGTATCCTTCCAATTTGGCATCGAAAAATTGTGTCCCCTTGACGACGACAAGATGAGCTGGCAGGTTGACTCCCCAAGCCAAGGTCGAGGTAGCAACGAGGATTTGGATCTTGTTCGCGGCAAATAGTTGTTCGGCAAGTGATCGGTCCGATTCCACGAGACCGGCATGGTGTAGACCAATTCCGAAACTCAATGCCTCCCTCAGGGCATCATCGTGGACCGCAGAGAGTGTGTGCCGAAGATCATCTTCTGAATCAAAATGTAAGAATCTTCTTGGATCTTCCTCCATGCCGCAGAAGCTGACGAGGTCCTTGGCCGTCAAACGAGTTTGTCTTCTGGATGCCACGAAAACAATGACCGGCTTCGTAGGACTGTGATTCTTAATGGCCAGGTATGTTGGTCTATTCATGCTTTGCATCAGGGGACAGAAACCCCGTTGCTCTGGAAAGCCGTCGATGTAGATTTCCAGTGGGACGGGACGAACGCTGTGCCGAAAATTGAACAGGCCTTGATTGTTTCCAGACTGGACTCCGAGCCAGTTGGCCAGGTCTGTAGCGTTAGCGCAGGCGGTCGACATACCAACAAGTCGAATGGAACCGCTCTCTGCCTGTGATGCAATGTAATTCATTCGAGACACGATGATTTCAAGAATGGGACCACGATCCCCCCCCAGGAGATGAATCTCGTCGATAATCACCAGTGAAACTTGTCGCACATAAGATCTGGTCTGCCATGATCGTGATATGCCGTCCCACTTCTCAGGAGTGGTAATGATAATGTCCGCGTCACGGATCGTTCTTGTGTCCGGGGTATTGTCGCCTGTCAGCTCGACGAGCTTGAGGCCCGTTGGCCCCGCGAGTCGCTTGCGCCAGTCTTGCACTCTCTCACGCACCAGTGCTTTCATCGGAGCAATGTACACGACTTTGCTTCCCGGCTTCTCACGGCGCGCCCACCACATGGCGAGCTCGGCGGCAACAGTCTTACCAGAACCGGTGGGTGATCCCAGGAGGACATTGTCGGCGGTGTGATAAAGCGTGTGGAAGATCTGGGTCTGCATGGGGTTGAAGAATTGAAAACGCTGCCCATACAATTCCTCTAGCACGGGATTCTTCAAAGCCGTGATCGGCAGCGGCTGGAGATCGAGGAGGTCCGTATAAACACTCTCGGTGTCGGGCCGAATAAGATGCTGAAATGAGACTGGATGCACTGTCTCTGCCCCTAACCAACGATCAGAGATGACTCGAACATAGATCTGCGGCGGCAAGGGATCAGCCAGAGGAATGGTGAAATGAAGCTCGTGTTTATCGTTCATCTTCTTTCGACTGAGAATGAAATACTCGTGGTGATATATTTCCGACGTGTCGGAATTTTCCACCCACACCCAGTACGACTCCGAAGTGCCATGGTGACGATCATTCCAGACAAACTCAGGGTACAGGTAAAGCCTCATGCGAAGGACATCACGGTTGAGCGGAGCGATCTCTGCATCAACTGACAACGTGGGGAAATTTTCCAGTAGTCGTGATATCGTGGTTCCCATCCTTTGATTGTGAACGAGATTTCCCATTTCTGCGGGATCCATTTCACGAAGACTTTCGATGTTGGAAGAGGGTGCTTTGTCGTCCAGATTCTTCAAAACAGGCAGGGGAAGATCGAATTGATGGAAGGGGTGTTGGAAAGGCCAAATCTGCTTTTCAATGGCTTTGCACATCGAGAGCAATACCTGGCATTGATAACCCCAACCACGGTTCAGAGCTATCATGAATATGGCTCGACAAATTCGGGCCGAGTTTTGTGCCACATAGGCCAAGTCGGAGGCCAAAGCAAAATCTTCAAGCTTGGCTCGAGATATGTAGGACTGCAGTAAGATGTTGGTTTTCGCCTGATTCTCCATGACTTTACGTTCCTTCTCATCTTCCGAGCTTTGTGGACCATTCTTTCGATCCTCAATCTCGCAGGGGACCGACTCCCGACGAAGTCGATGTAACTCTTGTGCTTCACTTTCTCTGGATTGAATATTGTCGAACTCGCCACTCATGCTGATCATCTTCAGAACGTCGGCCTCGCTCGCACGTGGCCGCATCATTGCGTTGAAGATCTCAACACTACTCTGAAGCACATAGAACTGACTGGCGATTCGACCCACATCTTTAGCCCGAAGATCATCGGTTCTTTCGTTAAAAATGATCATCTGGCTTCGATGCAAGGTTCTGGCGGCATCGACGATAAGCTTCCGGCGACGTTGGCCCAGCTGAGGATCGTCTTGATATTCATTCCAGTCAATGCCGTAGGCTCCTGGATTTCGCCTCATGCGAACGAAAAGATATGAGTAGCCCAACCAGGTGACCGCTTCTGGCACAGATGTGACTGTCCCCAGACTGATTTCAGCATTGAGATTATCGACCAATCTCTGGGAGAATTTCGATTCGATCGGTCTCTGTTGAGTTACAGCCGTCAGATAGTGCTGTAATTTGTCCTGTGTCGTACAGATATAACCGATACCACTGTCTTGAAATTGCGGACGACCGGCACGGCCCAATATCTGGAACACATCCAAGATGCCGAGATCAACAAATTTTCCCGCTTCAGCACTGTAAAGCTGAGTGCCTTTAATGACCACGGCAGCTGCCGGCAAGTTTACCCCCCAAGCGAGCGTGGCGGTGCAGCAGAGAACTTTGACGGCGCCTTCGGAGAAGATTCTTTCGACAAAGTTTCGGTCCGAGCGTGCCATCCCAGCATGATGACAACCAAATCCTTTGGGAACAATGTCACGTAGTTCACGACCTCTTGTGGTCTTCAAGTCCGACATCGCTCTCAAAAATGCCGGGTTGTTCGGTTCTGGCGCAAAAAGGTCTGCACTGCCATCGTCGACTGCCATCGTGTACAGGGTTCGAGCAGCCAGGACCGTGTCTTTCCGCGAATGGACAAAGATCATGACTTGCTTATCCTGCTTCAAGAGCTCCTTGACTTTCTCAAAGGTTACATAATCCAGGTTTTCTCGTTGAGCTATACTTCCCGCTTTGCCTTTGACTCCGATGAAGTGCTGCTCGAGAGGTACAGGTCGGAAAGAGGCATCGAAATAGAAAAGACCAGAATCTCGATTGACTTTGAGAAAGTCGGCGACGTCCACGTAGTTGGGAAGGGTGGCAGACAGGCCAACAATCCTGATCAAGGATTGAGTGCTTTCAACTTGTCTCTCAGTCCTGGCGACCAGAGACTCAATGACCGCGCCGCGTTCGTCGTGAAGCATGTGAACTTCATCAATGATTAGGAGACGAACCTTCTGGACCAGTTCGGGGTCTCCAGTGCTCTTCCGGGTGACGACATCCCATTTCTCGGGAGTGGTTACTATGATCTGAGTGGCCGCAATTTCTCGCTTCGTCAGCTGCATATCGCCTGTCAGCTCCCGTGCTTGGATCCCGAGCCAAGCCAGCCGTTTGCCCAGCTTCTCCGTGACCTCGGCGGCAAGAGCTTTCATGGGGGCCACATATACAATCTTGAAGTCGTCCGCCATGACAATGAAATCTGTAGCGTCAGGTTCTTCGATAGGATTGGGTGTGACATTCTTCGAAATTGCTTGCAAGATGGTGAGCATGGCAGCATCTGTCTTACCAGCACCGGTGGGAGCACAGATAAGCATATTCTCAGAGGAGGTGTAAGCCACAGGATACAGCAAACTCTGCATGCGATTGAGACTTTTGTATCCCCTGAACGTGCGCTGACACAATCCGTCCATTTCGTCGACCGTGATTAGCCTCCGACCTGCAGCGAGGGAACCGACCCTCGTGGCCGGAATGGAATATTCCTCGTACTTGGGAGAGTCGTTTCTCGTGCTACCCGCCGGCAACGCATATTTCTTTCCAGACACATCGAGCATGTTGCCCGATGCCGCTGCATCAGACTTGTAGACATGTCGGTATTGAGGTGTAGATCGGTCGTAAGCCGGAGCCAGAGTGGCATGTTTGTGTTCATAGTCCTGTCGTGTGAGCATTGCTTCTCGTTCTTTGCGAGTCTGAAGCTGTCCGAAAAGCCCATCAGTCTGACGAGTGGTGGCAGGAGGAGCGGCCAGGATCTCCTTGCGATGCGAAATGAGTTCAATGAGAAAGTCCAAGTCGTCATACCCAAGAATATCCGCCAACGACATCTGCAACTCATCATCGGAATTGTCTGAGGCCAGTAGAGCGCTTATCTGTTGTTCGAGATCGGACGCATCGATACCAGGCCTCGAGCGGGCAAAGGCAGCACATTTGTTGCGCAACCATAAGCGGTCGCCGACTCCATCGACAACGGGATCAGGAGTCTTGAATCCATTTGTGGTGTCATCCCAGTCATCGCTGGGCGGGCTGTCATCGAGAGCGCTTTCGACATCCCAAATATCATCGTCGATTTCATCGCTTAAATCTTCATCCAGCTCCAGCTCCAGCTCCGCTCCATATATCTGTGAGGCATCTTTTACTGGTGGCAAGTTTAAGTCGGCGATTGCCTGTCTCATGTCAGCCATTTGAGACAGCCACTGTGCCTCGGATGAAAAAGTAGTCTCTGCCATGCCTAGACAGGCTCCGTGGTGTGTCTTGTGAGCAGCTGCTTTTCAAGAAATAAAGTGCAGCCTGTGCGCAGGACATCAAATATTGGTCCCTGTGAGAGAGGACGCTGTGTGGGAAAAAATGGCCAGAGGGATGATGATTCGCCCAAGTCTCGGAGAGGCTGACTGGTCCGGGAGGCATAATTAATTAGAAAACAGGGGCAGGCCTCTGAGCGACTCAACGCATGTGATGTCCTACGCTTCTAGGCTCTTACAATTCACACATTGTACTTGAACTGGCATTCGATCCCATTTCCACCTCCCCAACCGCCAGCGCACACTTCCTCTCGTGACAGACAATCCACGGTTGAAGTTCCAGATAATTCCTTCGGATCAAAACTTGAGCTGACCGACCACTCTCATTTTCAACGGCAAGCCCTTCCATTCTACACCGCCAGCATGAAGATCTTCTACATTGGAGTAAGGAAACCACACTTCAACATTGGCGCCTTCAGAACCTCTCCTGACCAACTGTCCAGATCGTTCGAAATGACCCCGTTCCCGCCACCGAACTCGCCGTCGAACGAGACCTATCATCATTCTCCCGCTTTACTCGAGACAGGTCAGACAACCGGACGAACTTTCTGTTTCCAGATCTCTCCAGCTAATCAACCACCACAGCTATGGAGAATTCATGACCATGTTCGCCAAAACGGTGGCCGAACGCACCCGCCCAGGCGTCCGACAAGACATTGAAGAAAAATCCTACACATTCCACGCCTACGGATCCAGCCAGGGCATAGTAGGCATCATCATCAGCGACGCCGAGTATCCTGCACTAGTCGCCCACCAAGTGCTATCGAAAATCATTGACGAATTCACGTCGCAGAACCCGCGGTCCAGCTATCTTTCCCCGAGCGTGACGAGCCGACCCTTCCCCCAGCTCAAGGAATATCTGGTCAAATACCAGGACCCGAACCAGGCAGACAGCATCATGAAGGTACAGCGAGAGTTAGACGAGACGAAGATCGTGCTCCACAAGACGATTGAGAGCGTGTTGGAGCGAGGGGAGAAGATTGACAGTCTGGTGGCGAAGAGTGATGGGTTGAGCGCCCAGAGTAAGATGTTTTATCAGCAAGCCAAGAAGCAGAATTCGTGCTGTGTGGTTATGTGAGATGAGGGTTACTCGAGCATACCAGATTAAGAGAAGAGGGAGGGACATGATCTTTTGAACGGAAATGAATAAGAAAGCGGTTATATCAATTGGACTATGAGGGCGAGGGCTGATGAGTCTTTGATCCGGGTAAGCAGGCGTTGGAGGCGTCCTGACAAGAGAAAGAGAAAGACGACGTTTCTCGTTTTGTTGAGTTCAAACCACATATCTGCAATTGGCGTCTTCTTTGCTGGTCCTGCCTCGTTGATTTCGAGGCGGCTGAATCACTGACTGGAAGACCTACACCCTCTATTCGTATCCTCTCCCCCGACCCCAAACCCAGGCCGACTCCCTCACTCATGCACCGGTTATCTAGGCCATTTTATATATCAATATCTTCTCAAACCACCGCTTCTATGCGACCAGTTAATTTGCAGCATCACCCGTCTTTCCTCGCCAACCTTTCCAATCGTTCCCCATCAACCCTCATACCCACCCATTCTTCCATCCTCGTCGCTCCCACACTCTCACTCTGATAAAACTGAATACTCGGCTCATTCCACTTCAACACATTCCACTCCAGCCTCTTACATCCCAGTCTCGCGCACTCACGCGCCAGAGCCTGTATCAGCGCGCCTCCGAATCCTTTCCCCCGATACGCAGGCCTCACAAAGAGATCTTCGAGATATATCCCCGGAGCAGCATTCCATGTACTGTAATTGTGGAAGTAAAGCGCTAGGCCTGCGATTTGGTCTTCTCCTGCGGCGGATATGAGCAGTGTCTTTGCAAAGCCTGGTGTAAAGCCACCCGGGGCATTAGAGTCTGGGAAAGAAAGCGTATCGCGGAGAGTTTGTTCGGTGGCGAGGACTTCATGGAGGGCCTTTTCGTACGCTGCGAGTTCTCTGACTAACTGCAATATCACCGGGACGTCGGATTGGGTGGCGTAGCAGATTTTGTAAGTTGAAGTTTGGGTTTCGGCCATTTTAAAATTCAATTCTGAGTGGGATGCTTGGGTAGAATAGCAAAAGACGGCACGATTTGAATAAGTATGGTAGACGCTGGATCTACGTAATTGAAACTTATGTCTAATGAATGGCAAGGGTAAAGGATCTTAAGGGAGAATCACAGAAGAATACAGAAAAAGAACGAAGGAAAAATTCCTCTCAACGACAATGTCAATCGCCAAAGATGCCAGATGCCAAAGGGCGTGCGGTCAGATTTGTAGACAGTTCAGAGATTGGGATTATGCTTGAAATCTCTCCCCAAGTTGGGTTGGGTCAGGAAATAAAAATTATAATCCCGCATAAATAATCCCATGCTGATTGCATGGCTGGTACCTGAACCATGAGAGCTCCCAGGCACCCGGTAGGAATCAATATCCCGCGTGAACGCGATTGAGGTCCACGTGGCTCCATCCCGAGACACACGTTTGACATTCAATCTTGTCTCTCAACAGGCGCTGGAGAGGCTGTGTGCGTATTTCTGCGGCTGGAGGATCTCCCACTGCAACATGTCAACAAGCAAGATCGAAAGATTCCCAGTCTTCGCCCGGGTATTCCGACTCTTTGAGATACAAGCACCAGTCTCAAATGAGGGAAGGGAATGGCCAATGGAGATGCCCTTCACCATTGGCAGGCTACCACCTCCTTGTCGAGAGCTTCATCCCGGATTAAACTGCAGGGCTACCATGGCGAAAACAATTCAGATGCAGCAACATTTCCCGGCCCAAATCACTGTGCTTCAAAGCAGACCATGAGTGGACGATGGAACTTTGCCTACATGTACTACCGTGCTTAATCGTCCTGTGCGGCCACTCGTAGACAAGCCCTCTATCTAAGCGGGAGAGACTTTACTCACCGCTGTGCTGGCTTTCTTACCCTCGTAGCTGGCGGGCACAACAGAAAATCAGTACTGCCTCCAGAGAACGGGTGTGGAAGACATGCTCCACCCCCTTAAATGCATCCGATCTACACCAGCCTGATTTTGATTCCACTTGATACTCAACTTCTTCAGAACGTACGTAGTACCATGCTTCTCTTTCAACTTGTTTTTGTTACACTATCGGTGGCAAGCCTTCAGCAAGAGCAGACTAGCGTTCACTCCATCTAGAGTACTACAGCCTTGTCCATACCAAATCGCAAGCGAGCTCCACCCTTGAGATGCAAGCGAATTCTACCGATAACGATATCAAGCAAACGTCCTCACCTCAGCCGGAACGTCCATCCCGAAACTCGGGTCAAGCGGCCTGTGGGACTATCGCTCGGAGAGATGCCACCTCCCGGCAAATGAAAACTACGCCGATCGTCGAGGCTGCTGCCCCAAGATCTTACGTGGAGCGCCGTGGTAGAACAACGCTGCTCTTTGCCATGACTGCTGCGCTCGATCAGCAGCGATGGTCATGGTTCCCAAACGAACATCGATTGATGAATACGTAGACCATTGACAACGCCAGCCACGAGGATGCTAGGCGATGTACAGTAATCTACTCATCCAAAATGCCTCGTCGAAACCACCAAAATCCTAACGACATGATGGGGCGATGATAATGATGACGAGGAATAAATGCGGTCTCCTGGGTTCACCTCTTCCGTGGTTAGTCTGCGTCGTTCCCATTGCTCCCTGCCCCTATCCTTGTTGTCGTATCTGCACTTCGCTCTCACTTCTTTGGTTTCTTAGTCCAATCCGCACCCTAGATTTGAATCGAGCATCAGCATTTGCATAGACAGATCCCCAGAAGCTTTGTTTTCTTACCGCTCCCAGAACTGCCTGCCCTTGTGCTAGAGACTTGGACTGTTCTTCCCCCAGCCATTGCGGCTCCAGCCGGTCAAGCTTCTCCTCGATCTCCCATGCTCGGCCACCTTCCACATAGAAGGCCTTTCCATTCTCCTCATGAGCGCATGCAACGCCAGCAATGACCTCGGCGACGTCCCTGGGCTCATTTACGGGTAATCCGGCGGCCCGCCAGCTCGGTTCAATTCCGGCTGTCATGGCCGTTGCCACCATCCAAGGACATATGGCATTGACTCTTATGCCCATCACGGGCGGCAGATAAAGCCTCAAGGACCTCATGATGCCTAGGATGCCGTGTTTGGTGGCCTTGTTCACTCCGTCAGTTCTAGGAGCTTCGTGAGGTATCTCAAGGGCCCACCCACTTGATACACGAAAAGGCCCGGCGATTCCTTGAAACCAGCCACAGATGAAATCAATGTCAGGGACCTGTCCTCTCCCTCGTTGCGTCTTTGTCGCAGGTACACGCAGGCAATTCGAGCAAAGTATAGCGATCCCAGCAGATTGACATCGAGGACTTTCTGGTTCGGAACCTTCCCCTGGCGTCATCCATTTGTCCCCTCTTTCACAATTGATTCATAAGGTATACTCACCTCTCGGATGGAGTCGACATTCAAGTTTGGATCAAACCAGTTCCCCATCTCAATGATTCCTGCGCAGGAAACAGCGCTGTCGATGCGGCCGTATGTTTCGAAACAGAATTCAAACAGTTCGATCAGAGATTGATAGATTGTGACATCCGTGGTTTTGAAAGAGACTCGCGCAATGGATGAGTCCTCGACCTTCGGACAAGTTGCATTGATACGGTCAGCAAGAGCCTGCCCGGCTTTCTCGTCCCAGTCCCCAAAACAGACATATGCACCTCGTTCAGCACAGAGCTTCACTAATGCCTCTCCAATGCCATGGGCCCCCCCTTTGCTGCCATCAGTTGCGACGCCTATCTCTCTCATGGAGGAGTACTCTCACCTGTCAACAGAACAACTCTCCCCTCCAGACGTCCGAGAAATGTCGCGGGCTGAAATCTGGACATCCTCACTTCGAGGTATGGGCCAAGTTCAGAGTGAGAGATAATCGAGTCCCACTACCGGTGATTGCTGCTGTTTATTCTACCATGCTATTGGAACGGCGGTCAGATTCGTCGCTTTTACATTGGAATCCAAAATCTCAAGCAAGAGTATGAATAAGTCCCCGGCAACAAAACTTGATCCGGTTTCGAATCACAATCCTCGGTATCCACAAAGGTTTTGTTCATACCAGGAAGAACCGAAGCACAGATCCGGGGATTAAGTAAGCCCCCCTCCTTACCATTACATTCCCACCCCTTAGTGTGTTTAATTCCTGGGCGGGGAAACCCTATCATTACAAAATGGGTACGATCAAGAAGCGATATTTATATTGCTTCAAGGGAGTCACCGAAAGCCAGATCTGACTTCTTCCTGTATTTAGCTCCGAACATGTCTCAATTGCAGACCTTCATTCATTCATCTAGCGAGAAGGGTCTTTCGAGTGTCTCGACCCTGGTCGTGGGCTGCAATGTCTGCGTTCTCTTTGATCCACCGTTTTTGATCCCAGATGCCGATTCGGTGGTCGAATGGATCAAGAAAACGACGCCGGTGCCGCTGACGGCCGTCTTCGTCACACACCATCACCCTGACCACTACTTCTCCGCCAACCCGATTCTCGAAGCATTTCCAGCTGCAACGTTGTATGCCGCCCCCTATGTCTGCGCGGGAATCGATCGGGAGTACGATGAGAAGATCAAGTACTGGCCCTCGGTGTTTGGAAAGGAGAACGTCCCTGCCAAACCGCGGAAGCCGACCCCTTTCGAATTTAGCTTTTTCCAATTAGACGGCAACCCCAAGTCGCCTATCGTCCTCCTGGGTCCACTACAAGGGGACTCGGTCGACCATACATTGTTCTGGCTGCCTCAGGAGAAGGTCATCATCTGCGGGGATGCTGTCTACGCCAGGAGCACTCATGTTTGGTAAGTTATTCTCATGCTCCAGGCATCTGGTCAACACCTGACATCGCTCAAGGGTTGAAGAGGTCGAGACTCCACAGATTCTTGAAGCATGGCAGAAAACCCTTGATGTGATCGAAGCCATCGGCGCCGCGAAGATCATTCCTGGCCACCTTGAAGCCGGCTGGGAATTGGATGCGACCGAGGATATGGCGCATATGCGAAAGTATCTAAATTTATTTTCCGAAAAGGTGACTTATGCGAAATCGAAGCCACAAATCAAGGATCTGGTCATGACGTTCAAAGATGCATTTCCTCAGGCAGACAAGAACCTGGACTTCTTCCTGGGCCATTTGTCAAACCAGTTCGGAGAAGGGGGAGAAATCTGGGAGGAGAATAGACACCACAATGTAGGAGCAAGGAAGAAGGAGCAATTGGAAGGGTTCTTGCTGCGGTGATGAATATGACAGTTTCAATAAGATTTGACTCTTCTCGCCAACAAGTTGAAAAGATATTACTACCTGCGCTACCAATCCAAATCTGGAGACCGGGGGTTTTCCCGGTTGCGGGAGGGGGTTACTAATCCCCTAACACTGGCCCCGAAGAGGAGTCCTGGCCTTCTAACGCCGCTTGTTCATTATTCTGCGAATCGGCACCTGCTTTTTCCTTGTTGGAATGTCATAATCATTTGCACGAGAAAACGTCGGAGCCAACTGGGATGGACATTAAACTTTCCCTCAGCCCCGCAGAGAGCTTCTCCCCAGGCTGCCACCCCACAAAGACGTGATCCGGGGAAGCGCAGGTCTTCGGGTCCGGGCTCTGCGCCCCTTAGATTGGGCTGACCTCAACTCATCTTGAACTCTTTGAACTCTTACGAATTTTCGTGTTTAGGACACTCTCCTTTCAGGCAATTGATCCATAAGTTCCTGCCGGACAATCAGCACCACAAATTCCGGATACGATGCCAACGTTGGATCCGATCAAACGCCGCAAGCAAAATTGTGAGAACCAAAAACGTTGGCGACAGCGGCAGATCGACGAGCTTCGAAGACTCACGACCGCACTTGACAAGAGTAACTCCCACGTGAAAGTGCTCGAAGTGGAGTCTGGACAACTACGAGGGGCGCTTCGCAATGCACTCGCAGAAATCAGCCGCCTCCGGAAGGCCAATGGTGCTCTCAAGAGGCAAGTCCAAAATTCCTTGAGCCAGGTTAGATCACCTTCCAAGAAGACAGACCGTGAATGGGGAACCAATTACCGTTTGCCGGTCATGTTTCCGGAGAACCAGAGGCCGATGGTTGAGTTAATCGAAGTCGACGGCTCAGATTCATCAAAGAACGGTAGGCCATTTTATATGAAGTACTATCGATGTCCTTCTTGAGTCCTTCATTAATACGTCTGATGCAGGGCTTGCCTCGAAGAAGAAGCAGCTGTTGAGTGGGGTGAGCGGCTCTGATGAAAGTGATGGGGACTGGAAGAGTATTGTGATCATGGACGAGGACGACGAGGAAAACGAGCAGGACGAGTTATTCGAGCAGGCTCGCCGCTTCGAAACTACTCGTGAGAGAACCAGCTATTTGGCGGGCCATAAACAAGCTGAAACTCCGAGCGGAACAGAAAGTTTCGCGTTGGACGATGACGTTGTCGAATACCCCCAAATTTTAATCGACGACACCACTGTCCCCGATTTGCACCACAGAAACGGGCAGGGAGAGGGAGCTCTTCAAGAGGTCGATGGAGTTCATCCTGGTGCCGATCCTATATATTTCAACTGGCCCACTGATTCAATCCTCGGCGGCACAGGGGCCATCTGGCAGAGGATGACGAATTTTCCAGATACCACACGGATCTCGAAACACATCTTGGCAGTTCAAAATGTACTGTCTGGTGCTTTCGCTCAACTCATCCAAAGGTAGAAACAGCCCACAAAAGTCAAGAGCTTGTATTCCGCTGACATGTGTAGACCGTCTGTGGATTGCGAGAGGATTGTGGCAGAAACTTTTGCCTGGTTGATCCGCTCAGCCTGGCCATCGTGTGAGAGCTGCTTCAAGATGATGGTAAGTGAGTTATTGCCGGACATTGCCTTTCCGACGAGATCAACGCCTTACAATCCCAACCCCCTAACTGCCCCAAGACCGTCTATAGACACATATATTTGTTCGAGCTCTTTCGGAGCTTCCCTTGTCCGGTGACATACAACAAGCTACACCCATTCTACCGTCCCACAGCGCTCCAGCTCACCGTGCCTCACTCTCCAGCCATCGACTGGCTTCCGTGGCCAGCCATGCGGGACAGAGTGATTCAGATGCAAAACCAAACCAATGTGGACGTGGATCAACTATGTCTCGCGTCGCTCGAACACACGGTCATAGAACCAGAACCGAGCTTCTCCTCCGGAGCCGATCAAGGGCCCGACGTACATGTTACTTTTCGTATCTGGGACATGTACCTCCTCGAGAGAGCGGGAGGAGGATCTTTCCCAAGTACATCCATGACCATGACGCATAACCCTGCATCTCCAGATCTGCAGGCCTTGGCCAAGGTGTACAACCTCCCATTTCAGGACATCACTCGTCTTCGGATCGACGCTCCTTTCTACAATATGTTTCCTGACACATACCTTCCGGGATGTACTTCGGGTTGTCAAATCGTACCCCTAGACGTGGAATACAAGGAACATTTGGAATATCCGTCCGATTTAACGCTTGCTTCGGTTCATCGCCTGGAGAGACGAGTGCAGGAGTGGCTCAATGTGTTGGGCCGAGAGAAGATTGATTGATTGAATCTATCTGAGCGAGGCGCGAGCTAGAAAAAGGCCACGAAGGTTGCGGTGCACGTGACTATGCTAGTCCCAATGTGGACTGCCAACACAATGTTAGAAAGTACTCGCAAGGAGCTACTCAATAAACACGAAGGCTCGATCGTAGAGACTTGGAATTCTTACTGTGTTACCACTGTATCCAAAACTTATATGAACTTGGTTCTTTTTCTCCCCCCCAGGGAGCTGTTCTGTCACGTATAATGTAACAACATTCTTCTCATGGTCCACATTCGTACCATAGCCTGAGAAGGAATTTATTCGCCCCACTGGATCCTGACGATCCAAGGCCCGAGATGATCATCCTCCTTCAATCAGTTCTCTGCCGAGTTTCGCAATTCCACAGTCAGCGTCTGGCCATGTCTCAGAACCATTTCCCAGACAGGGCAGAACACCTTTTTGGTAAAGTACCCTTGCGGCCCTAGCACTTTCATACCATTGAGGGAAGGTGTACGACACAGATTTACTATCAAACTAGCTAGGACTAATCCAGCGGCACAAGGTTGGGAGCTTCATACTGCTCGGCTGAGTGGCTGTCTTCATTCTTTACCGACTCTAGTAAGCTTTGAGTCTTGAAATTTACCCCAGGATCATCAAGTCATCTCGCACTTGTTACCCCAGGACTTAGGGAGTGGTTATGACCACCGACTCTCATGGCCTGGTCTGGGATCTCATTGGGTTCGTATTGTTGCAGATCGGTTGTGCCGGAACAATGCAGATGGACGGGTAAGTATCCGTTGCGTATGCTAACTTTGTTTAGATCTATCCCTATTGTTTGTCACGGATCGTGTCTGTGCTCGCTTCATTGAAAAGCGATATGAGAACAAGAGCTCGAAGTCTATGTTTTGATTTATTCCCCAAATTAAACCTCTACTACGACTCCGTATGGCAAGTGAAACGGGACCCGCTCATTCATTTTGAGACATCATGATCAGCTTCGTGCTCGAACACAAAATTATACTCCATCTCGCACTCTTTCGGTGTTTCAAATACATTCATATTTGCAGCTTCTGCTTCTCTCTCCCGCAAACGTGGACCAACTTCCACTCCCAAATACTTCTAAACTGTACCGAATCCCACCCTTCCAACCTCCAATGCGGCACCGCGTCGGTTCGATTAGACCAGGCCAGTCCCACAGGCGACCAAATCACTCTTCATGAGCAACATAAAGACTACGCCAGAGGAAATTTGAAATTCTCCCTTGTCGTAGCCTTTCAGATCAGATAGCCGGAGATACGAGGGTAGTGGTACAGAGAGGATGCAGCCAAGTTACCAATTCCCTTCCCAACCAATTTCTTGTGTTCAAGGGTCAAGTTGTGACTTGAGCCGCCGACTTAAATGTCGCGGTACATGACCTCGTTCACAATCATTAGAACTCGTATCCGTATCTTCACGGTTTCAAAGAGTTTTCTTCTCTGGACTTCGACTCCGCGCTCGATGTTCTTTGCCTGGACTTCTTTGGTACACTAGATGTTGTGGACTCGCGAAGCCTTGATCATCTTGCCACTCCCCATAGGGCTGACCTCCATAGTGCATTCCCGACGGCAGCGCAAATTGTCCCATCTGACCAACGTGCTGGGGATGAGGCGTATATGACCCTGAAGGCGGTCGATAGACCCCCACTCCCGCATGATGGTGTTCTTGCTGTCGTCGATACAGCGTAAATGTGGCATTGTTGACCACTAATCCGACCACGACCAACGTAATGGTAAATATCCTGGACAGTCTCTCAGTGTGGGGTCCATCATCATTCAACCTCGTGGCAATAATATATACTCACATCGTTTTCAAGCTGATGGGCTCGACGAAACTGTTGAAGATTTCCGCAAATGTATGAGCACTCAACCTGGCGCGTTTCACGGCGCTCGGGTCCCGATTCATACACAATTCCCAACTGTTGCAAACTGTTTCCAAAGCTGGTAATCTGGTGTCGGCGCCACACCGATTGTCAACGTAATTCTTTGAGCATGCCGCCATCTCCGCCAGCACTTCTGCCATGGCGTCATCGCTTGCACGATCAACATCGGCTCGAATGGTGGCGTAGAACGACCAAAACATGTACAGGCAACCACCGAGAATGGCGGCATTGAAGAAAACTTGCAGATATTTGGCAATTATGGACGGCGCGTCGGGGTACGTGTGAATGAAGGTGAACAATCCGGTGATCCATCCCACCTCTTCCACTTTGCCCGTGGATTTCTTGGGTCGTCCCGTCGGACCTGGAGTCGTCTTGCCCTCATCGTCACTGTCATCATCCGGGGTTTGGGCAAGAGCCTGTTTGTCAAATTTCTGCGCCCGACGTCGCTTCTTGTGTATCCGTCTGGCAATCGCATCACTTGGAGGTTTTCTGATTTCTCCGCGGCCCGGACTCGGGGCAAATCTTCCATAGAGACCAAACAACGAGTTTCTCTTGTTCTCCGTCTTGGAGAGACTGTTCGTGAACTCAATTGGGATGGGTTTGGCATCGGGAGTGTCGTCGTTGTCTGTTGGTCCTAGTGGCGACGAGTTTTCAGGTCCGGAGGAGAAATCAATGTCGAACACATTTCGGGGGGTGGTAAACGAGGGAGCGCGGAAGGGTGAGGATGGAGGCGATGATGCTGGAGGGTTTGAGAAAGAGAATGGTTGACTGTGGGGTTCGCGCAAGGCAGACGGATCTGTTTTCTGGGGCGAATCAAACTCGCTGTATGTTCCTGCTTTGATCAGAAGAATAACAATATGGCTCGGGGTAGAATGCCAGACATACGCATCTTCGCATGTGCCTCCATGATGTGTTTATGGAAGGGAGATGTAGGATCAACCGGGCCGTGACCTTGCCACTCAAAGTCCATGGGGCTCTCTGTTCCACGAAAAGCCATGTTGAGCGAGAGATTGGATTCGAGAATTGGGCAGGGCCGTCGTTCACGTCTTCTACCGGGACTTCGCGTTGGAAATGTAGGGACGGGCCCCGGCCCGCCAAGGAAAAAAATAAACAAAGAAAACCCCTCGCCGGACCAGGATTTCGGACATTCTTTTCCATGGTCACACCGCGCTTTTAGGACTTGTCGATTCCTGCTCATTCTCTTTCTCTCGCACTGTCGAGACTATGATTTGTTGAACGACTCCAGCCATGCCCCGAGAACAGTCCGAAGAAGCGCAATGGTGGTTCGAGGCCGTCTACTCCGCTGTGCAACAGATCCCGCATGGCCAATGTACGAGCTACGGTCATATTGCGCTTCTCTTAGGCTTTCCCAGGCGCGCTCGCCAGGTGGGAGTCTGTTTGAAGCATCTCCCCTCTTTTGACCCTTCCGACCCGGATAAATTCTATTTCCACGATCAGAATGTTCCCTGGCAGCGAGTGGTGAATTCTAAGGGCGGCATCAGTCCGCGTGGAGATGACGGAGTTGCCGCCAACCGACAAGCTGAGAGACTGAGAGCAGAGGGAGTCGAAGTGAATGAGGCGAGAGGAATTGAAGAAATGACGGTGGATTTTTCCAGATTTGGGTGGTTTCCGTCGAAATTGCCGGGGGAAGACGACGACCTGGCCGGGGGGACCAGAATGAGCTAAACGAGACCTTCAAAATCGTGGGAAACCACAAGCCCCACCAAATTACTTTTTGAATGATATGGTCAGCACCTTGAATACAAAATATACGGGGCAAATCCGAGATTCCATCCCGATACCCGATGGGGGTCAACGTCTTGAATATATCAATCTTTCAGGAATCCCAGACCTGGACCTCTCGTCAAAGAGAACCATTTCCATACAGCATGAAGCCCTTTCTGCTCACATTAGCCAACGGTGCTTGTCTGTCCGGGATCTCCTCCCATTCCTGATCGGACTTCAATAGCCGCTCGGGATCGTCCGCTCATTGTCGGCATCCACGGAGGCACATACAGTTCCGGATACTTTGATGCCCTTCCAGAAAATTCGGCAGGAACAATATCGGAGAGTGTGGGGATTGCATTTGTGGCGATTGACCGGCCAGGATACTGCGACAGTTCAAGTCTGCCTGACGTACCAGCGGGATCAACATTTTTGCAAGAGGAAAGGCCAATACCTGCACCGGTATATCCTCCCCAAGCTCTGGGAGGAATTTGGGAAGTCGTCGAAAGCCGCCACCATGATTATTCTCGCTCATTCACTAGGTTCGGCGAGCGCCATTGTGGCGGTGGCTTTGCATTCCCAGGAGACCGAACATCAGTATCCCTGCGGCGGTCTGATTTTGTCCGGGTGGGGGACAGTGACGACACTTCCTAAAGAACTAGTCGAGGAAATGCTCACAGCACATCGACATGTTGGGCGCCTGAACCTTCCAATGGACGGAAAAGACATCTCGATGTTTGGTGAGGAGGGATTGGGACTGGCGAGTACGAGAATACGTGGTCTCAGCAAGGAGATGGACCAGTCGATGTCATGTGGGGAGATCGAAGACGGAAACCTCCATTGGCGAGGATATTGGGAAAGTTATGCGAAGAAAGTGAAGGTTCCTCTGATGTATGGCATGGGGGAGAAGGATGGGTTATGGGAAGCAAACCAGAAGACCATCAACGACTTTACAGCGGCTTTCTCAAATTCACCTCGAGCGGAAAGTGGTTTGGTTCTGGGCGCTCCCCATTGTTTGGAATTGAGTCATTGGGGACCCGGGTGGCTTTGGAGGTGCCTTGGGTTTGCCGTGGAATGTGCAACGAGCACGGGAACGGAGGGCCCCAGGCCAATCTGACTCAGAGCAAGGGATCCTGAGTCACGGCAGGGGAACTTGAACAAGGTCTCATCGGTTCCTGGTTGCGATGACGAGGGGAGGATCATGTGGCCGTGAGCTGGGGAAGTCGTCACGACAAACTCGTACCTGTCTGTACCATTACATAGTAGCGAGAGACCAGAGGTACCTGAGTTGCTCAGTGTTCAGGGACACTACCCTCGGCGCTTATGATTCCGTGCCAGTGTCTGGCCTGAAATCACCTGTGTTTGCCTGGCATGATCTAAAGATGAATGACGGTGGCATCTCTTGCGGCAAATGACTTTGGATCCTGTCACTTTTGAGCTCGGACAAAGTGGTTGCTGAGTTTCTCGTGTTCTAGCGTGGGCGACTCCCATGCCACTCCGCGCGCCCGAATGACTCCATGTCGATGCTATCAGTCCCTAATGAACCAATCTGCAGCCTGTTGCTCGCCTTGTGCTGCGAGCCATCATCCGTTGTTCATCTCCCCCCCTCCATCATCCCAGAAGCGGTCATGGTGTTGCCTCCACATCAACAAGGAGTCTCCCGGGTTGCCAGCCGAACTCGTGGCGCCAGCTTGTGCCAGCTTGTGCCAGCTTTGTGCTTCACCATCCCTCCGTTGCGTGTGACTCCTGTATCCATTATTATCAGCTATATACAGCTGCCCCTCCTGTTCTCTCACTGTCTTCTTCTACTCCAACAACTTCTTAGTTGTTCGTTGGCACTTCTACTCTCTTTGTCTGATCTCGTCGGTTCCCTATCAGCAACCTCCACCTACCTCGGTCCAGTCATTACTTCTTTGTTCTACCACCTTTGAGTTCGTCTCGACGCTGTCAGTTCTTTGACTCCTCCTATCTGCTCCAACAGCTGATCAATCCTACGAACCCTATATCTCCTTCCTCTTTCTTGGTCGATACCTTTGGCATCCCTCCGTCTGAATCAAACCATCTCGAGTGACACCATGTCTACCTACTCGGCCAACGACCTCCGCAGTGCGGCCAAACCATACCAGCGAGAGAAGAACCACAACACCAAATGGGCGAGAGGAGCTAAAGAGGCTCAAGGCCAACAATGCACTCTACATGAAACTCCCGATCCAAAGTGCCTCAAATGCATCGGCCGTCCCAATCGAGGAGTCAGTCGAGCCGAGGCCAAACATAGACGTGTGGTTCACAATAAACTCTCTGGTCAAGCGGCCACTCTTGCACGCAAGGCCTTCCGAAATGAGGTAGTGGATGCCATGGATGGTCCTTTGGCCCATGTCTCTGACACTTCCGAGGAAGAGGATGTTCCAGACGCGTCCGCGGCACCTGTTCCCGCTGAGGCCGACTTCATGTACAGCTACGACTATCAGACTGGTCCTCGAGCTGGTGGTGACATCTTGAGCCACGCCATCACTCAAGCTGTTCGACGATTCGAGAATAATGAAACCGAGAAATTGGTCAACAAAGAATATAACATCGTCGGCGAGAAAGAAATGACAGAACTCTCCACCGATGAGGATGAACTCGACTTCGAGATCATCGACCGCGCTCACTTGGGCTAAATCTTCCCCAGTCCACCTTCAGTCTGGTGGATTTGGCGTTATTGGGTGTGTTCCACGCTTTTAATTATCATCCGGCAATCAGGCAATTGCTTGGCTACGGTGTATTACTTCCATTCATCAAGATACCCCAAGGACTCATTAGGGAAGCGGGAACCACAATATGACATGAACGTAATAGATCATTCATGGGAACCGGCGCTTCTTGAGGATATGAATGACCTTGGAGAAGATGGGACCCCTCGGGCAATGACGGGTGTCCTTGACTTTTATCGGCGTTGCCACGAATCAGGACTCAGAATTCAAGGGCGGCAGCAGACAGTAATTGACTCTATAACTTCTCAACTGCATGATTGTCATCAATCGAGTAGGATGGTGCGATAATTATAGCAACCAGATATGAGCTTCTAGCTCGTAGCATGCGACGCGCGTACCCGGTCGAAACAACAATGACGACAGCCAAGCTGCGCTTGGTGCTAACGGAAGCGCTTCGCGGGAGTCACGTGGGAGTTCGCCTAGACTTACCCGCTTTTAAATCCGCCTCCTCAGAGTACAATTGCATTTGCCTCCGGTCGAGACGCTACTAGGAGGCTTCCGATGAACAGGATGCCGGAGTTGTTAGGTACGGGGCTATGCTGGAGTCACTTTGTGTCTGTAAGCAGCCCCAGAAGACTTGGGAAAATGACCACATAAAATACAATGACAACGTGGTTGAGGCCATCCAGCCCGTTTTCCGTTCCTTTATAGACGCAGATTCTGGATCAGAGGGGATCTGGCATAGGTGCATAGCCTAGAGGCACTGGCCACGGCCTGCTTCCGGTAGGAAGCGGCAATCATCAAAGAACATGCTGAGAGTAAGGGAATGACAAGAGTTTGCTGAATCATCTAATCTCCATCCGGTACCAGCGCCTAGGGAGATTTGGCAAGAATGGCCCACGGCCAGGTCAATCATGTCCAAGTTTTATACGCCGCTGGCGTAGTCCATCACACCGGGGCCCCTTTTTCTTCTCCAACTTTGGGCACGGAAGGAGAGGTTGAGTGAAGTTCGTGCTTGAGCCTCAGCGTGTACGTTGTCTGTCCTCCACTTCACCGCCATGTAGATGCACAGAGTCAGGAACGTTACGGGAAGCCAAGTGGCGACAAAAATCCAAAAGTTCGACCCTAGCACGAGGCCATTGGAAGTAGGGCTGAATTCGAAGAAGTTCATACCGTACAAGGTCTGAGAGACAGTGAAGAGTTAAAGCCTGTCAATGACGAGTCTTTTACGCTGAAGGAATATCGCACAACTTACCGCAGTGAAGCTGCCAGGGAGGAATATCAGGGATAGGATAGTAATGATCCGGACGGTCTGGCTGTCGTTTCTGAGCGTCTCGTTGATTTTTGCCGAGATCTCTTGATTGCGGAAGTTCACAGCATACTCAAGCTTGATAGAAAACTTGGTCAGAGATTTCGCGATTCGGTCGACTACCGACCTTGAGTTGTATTTGGGAGGAGCGGGCTACTTACCAGTCCATTGGTGTTGTTGACTCGGTCTTGAAGCATGGCAAAGCCTTGTTGACACTTATCAAGTCGGTCGCAGTCCTCACGTTCGATCACGTAGATGGGTTGCCGGTTCGACCCAGCAGCTTCAGGAAAGTGACTGGCTAATGATTCAACGATTGAAACATTGGCTACGCACAGGATTCTCGCAATGACGGCGCAGTCGTACAAATGTCTCAATCCTTGGGCTGGGACCAACCCTTGCGTAAAGCTAGCCGAGTTCACATCAAAGGTCTCGATTTCGTCGTTCTAAAGAATTGAATATTAGTTTCTTTTCATGATAGGAAGCAAGGCACGTGGAAAGAAAGACACACCTGCGATACGAAGTGCTCGTTTAGATGATGGAGATAATCCTTCCAATTGACCATGTAAAGCTCGAGTATGTATGCATGGAGAAACGACACGTCCTGTTGAAGGCATCGGGCGAGCTGGGACTGGTCATTAGGATTCGGGGTCGCTAATGATCTCAAAGAAGTCTCCAAAGGACTGTTATGTATGGGGTGGAGGAGGATGAACAGGTCAAACGGTTTTGAATTCGTGTTCCGTTGATGGTAGACGCCGGTATGTCTCAACGAGAACGGGACATGTGGTGAACGTTGATTGAGTTCTGGATATTGTATTCGATAGGAGCAGATACCTGGTAGGCATTAGCTCGGAAGATGTAGTTGTCGAAAACGTAGGAAGCGCGAACTTGACTGTCCATCTGCGGATTTGCGAAACGCGCCGTCCAACCCGGCTCTCGAGAGCTGTGGTGCGTCACCGATTGACTCGAGAACGGTGAGGAAGTCTTCGGCAACATGATATCTTTCCAGGATTTGGTGCATCATCGGAGCTCTGATGTGAAGAGGCTGCACACAGCCGCTGGAGTGGATGGAGCTCCGCTCGCTCAGCACCTCATTTCCCCCAATGTAATTGTCCACTTACATGATACGCACATCTGGCGGTGCCCCTTTTTCCAGGAGTTCTTGTACCCCGGACCAGACGTAGCATTCTTGCTGTCTCCACCGAGAGACACCGGCTGGGAAAATGTCAGCCCTCCTGCCAATTTCCTTGTCTGCAGATAACATACGGGACATTGCGGAACGGAAGCCATCAAAGAACAAGATCTGCAAGTCTTTGCCAAAGGCCTTGCCCAGTCGACTACTCCATGAAGGCGAGAATAAGGTATCAGAATTGTTATCCGCATAGGAGCCTTGGAGACGTTTGCCGAGCATCTCGCCGGGCCCCTCCACGTGCGCGAGCTTGGTGCTCTCAAAAGAAAAACGAAAAAAAAAAAAAAAAAAAAAAAAGGAGATATTGGACATCCATAAAGATCAAAAGGCATGCCTGGTGACCCTTCGCTACCGTCACAGACGCCCTGGACAGATTCCAGCCTTACCACCCCCCCTCCCTTTCTCTGGGGTTTCGGGCAGTGTTTCTTCATTGGCGCCAGGTCTCCATGGCTAATGCAGTCCAAAGCTCACCGGTTAAGAACTCTCGTAGGCACGGGGACATGTAAGCGATACACATACAGTACAGTGGCAAGTTATTCTTGTCTTCTGATAAGTGTGCATACAATCCTCAAACCGATCAAACCCCCTCCCCCTTCCAGGCCTAGCCCCCGTAGTTACACTGTCCCAATCTGCTCTCAGACCGTGATCTTTTGAGCCTGCTCGTTCTCCCTCTGGAGCTCCTCAATCCAAGCTCTGCGAGGACTTAGACGTTGGGCATCACAGTTTGAGCTGCGAACTTGCCGGATAGTAGTCTACATACAACGAATTAGCCGGATAGCAACCGTCAATTCAATTCTGACTTACCCTGTCCACAGCCTCTGGGGCGTCAAACTTCCAGCGACCTTGCTTGAGCTTTAGTCGTAATTGTCAGGCGGATGTGTCCTCAAAGGAAGGAATCGAGAGTCAGGAGGTGGACGAAACTACCGTAATTTTGAAGTCTATGCCCCTTCCAAAGCTCCGGACCAAGAATCGCTCCAATTGGTGGGCTTCCACAAAGTATTTGGCATCTTCTTGACGGATTTTCGTCTCAACCATTGTCAGGGCAATGATAAGTGACCTTTGGTGGAAATTCGAGAAATTGCAGATGTGATGCCATTAAGCTTCGTGGAATAGATCAAGTCTCCTGGACGTGCTCCTTAAATGATGGTGTTTTTTTTTTTTCTTTTTCCATGCATAAGTCGATTGGATGGTGACCTGTCATATCTCAGCCACGTAATTGCCTGGCTCTTTGCAGTTGATAAGACTCTGTGTGTATGCGTTTCTGTGTTCCACACAATGGCCAAACTATTCCATAATTTTGACGGGTACCGGCGGCCTCGCAGGGCGATATATTAAGTATGCAATTCATCCAAGTCCACAATTTCTATCTCCTTGTTTGCGTTGCAGAGCACAATCCGTGGAGGAATGGCGTCTGAATTGTGGGTTTCAAAGAGTGCAACTTTTGCTTCCTTGATCGTAGTCGATTTCTTCCTCAGCGGGAGATTGGGGACGGGGAGCTTCAAAGGCGTGCCCTCTAAATCTACAGTGCCAACGTTCCATTTGCTTTCTTTCGAGCCGCTGAAGACAAAGACAAAGTGTCTATCTTTAGCAGTACAAGACCAGTTGTCTGTTTTGTTTAGTATTGTTCTCCAGCGATCCGTATTAGGTTGAAACAGGCACGTTGATTCTGGGCCACACGGAAGTAAAATATCTCGGTCTCCGCGGGAAAGTTTCTATGTGGTATGAATTGGTTGTCGAACAACAGCATAGTGATATAACGTACCGATTGAAGCGGCCACTTGCCTTTTAAACAGACTCCACTCCCGTTTTGAAGGTACCAGACACGCAATGACTGATCGGTCCACAGATGCAATGCGCCGCCATCGACGCTGAATGCTGCAGCACGTATGTTGCCATCACCCTCCTTCTTCGAATATATCTTCTCAGGCTGAGAGGTGGCATCTCTTAGAGACCATTAGTGCCGAACTTTGAAGCAATTTTCTTACACTTACAAAGTACGGATTTGTAAATTTTCGAGGTCCCACAATGCAAAAATTCCATATTTGCTAGGTATCACGTTTCCGTCTCCAGTGAATGTCGATCGCGAAGTTTCCGAATGTCCAGGTCGACCAATATCGTAAATGTAGAACTTTGATAGACATGCGATCAGATCAATAATCCCAACGAGCCAGGCGCAGAAGGATGATCGCTTACCTTTCTTTCCGCCGTCGACTCGCACCTCACTGTGATGTATTGGCCGGCGATGTGCAGATCAGTCCATTTGAGACCCGGAGGCATTTCTATTTTTTGTATCTCCGACAGGGTTCCTGATGATTGTGACTGGCGTTCACTTACAACAACGTCAAACACTTCTAGTCTTGTTTGTTCCCCGTCCATTACAACAAAACACGCCCGTTCTCCACTCGGAGAGAGAGCAAATGTCTGGAAATTCTTTCTTATCCGTCCCCAGACCCAATCACACACCTGGGACATCTTGGATGCTTTTCTGGGCTCAGCTTGATCTGGGGACGTGTCAAGATCGGTGACCTTCGGTGGTACAAGATGCGTTGCTGGAGATCCGGTCGCAGGATCATCCGGTATTTGAGTCTGATCGCTTGGAATTGTCCAAAAAGGTACAAAATTTTCTTCATCTGTAAATTGCGTTCCGAAGTCTAGGTGTTGTAGGTCCTCAGACTCATGAATCCGCTTTTGCCACAGTTCTCCGAGTCTAGTCCTGGCCCATTCAAGTGATTTACGATGGTCGGGAGCTACCTTCAGTGTCTGACGGATGATAGCCGTACAAGTTCTAAATCCTGCGGCATCGTTAGGATCACTGTCGGTGACCTTCTTCAACCATCTGATAAAGCTGGGTTTTAGCCGGAATGCGATCTCACGGCCATCTGTAGATTTTGAGATACGCTGTTCATAAAACAAATCATCGGTAATGTTGAATTCTGCAGTGTGACTCTGGTTTGGGGATGTTCGTTCATGGCGGGCAGAGGTAACCATTTCTGCCCCATGTTGCGATCGATGATGACCCAATGCAAAAGCCAAAACATCACTCGCAATAGCCCCGAACGACCAAATGTCTGATGCGCAGGTCGGAGGCCTTGGTGTCTCTTTGTTTGAAAGTTCTGGTGCACGATACTCGTTTGGCCCTGGATCTTGTCCGGTTGAACCAAGGGCCACTTGTCGTGCTATATCACCTATCGTTTCAGTAGACGTGTCGTGATCGCTGGTCCCAATTTTGAAGGTACTGATTCCAAAGTCTGTTATCTTCCAATGTCCAACAAGGCCTCCAGGAAAGACGAGGATATTGCGTGGGCGAAAGTCTCTGTGAACACAATAAGTTTGTAAGCCTTTGTCTTGCAGTCCACCGTGGAGAAATGCCAGAGCAGAAGCCAGGTGCCCGAGTTCGGTGAACAGATCTAAGCTTGAAAAGTTGCTGAATTCGTGCTGAAAGTTATACAAAGGTTCGTCGGTAGATAGTGTATTGTCCAACTTCCTCCTCCCTTCACTCAGGAAAACATCAAGATCTCCAAGTGGGGTGTAGGGCAGAAACAAGTACATTGCGTTGTCCTTCAGGAATGCTGCGTGGTGAACAGTTATTCGTTTCTGTTCGACAATCGACTCTTTCAGATAGTTGAGACGTTTGAGTTCCCGCCGGCCGTCTTTCTCACGGCAGAATTTCTTGTAAGCAATATCATAGGTATCCTGTGAAAGTTTAGACTCGAGATGAATTCAAGATTGTACGGGAGACCGACCTTGAGATTTCCTATTTCGGACTCGGATGGATTGGTCTCCTGAAAACAGCCTTTTGCAACAGTTGCACGAGAGACGGTGCCATAGCTGCCTCGAGCAATCTCATGATCCTCAAGGAATGGCCACCGGCTTTTATGGGATAGTTCGAGAATGGTCTCTGTCGCAGCCCTCGTATCCCGGATGATGATCGGCTTGAAGATGAATTGAGTCTTGTAAAAGATTTTGATGACATCATTTTCTCGAGAGCTCAGGGGCCCGAGAATTTTCTCAACTTTGTGTTCTTCGTGCAATGGAAGGTGATCGTCGGTACATCCTGCTTCAATGAAGCGGGCCAAAGCATTTTGGACAAATGCCAGCTTGGGCCGGATATAAACCAATATCGACAAAATGACAATGAAATTGCTCCGGATATGCTCAGGCGAATGCGGTGTCCCATTCTCTGAAGCTAGAAACGGGCGTAGTCCATTGTCATCATTCGGCGGCCAAACATGTCCCAGTCGCTCTACCGTAATGAACTGGCGATCACCATCGTCACTCAAGTACATGAACTTTTCGATACTTCTTTTGAGGCTCGCTAGGTTCTTGGAGGCCATGTCTTGGCCAAAGCCAGTAACAACAGGGTTAGGTTGGGAGGCTCATACGGGATTGCCTCGGGAGAGCGAGTCGGGAGAGCGAGTTTCGAACAACAGCGAGTGGGTCTGGAGCTGTCTAAGCACAATTGAACCTAGTTGTGCGAGCGTTGTCCGGTGGATGGCGCGGTACCTCAAATCCCTAGTAAAATGGGGGGTTTTCAGGTACCTTTCCATCCACTTTGCCTCGCTCGCATAGTTGGCCCTTTTGGTGCTTCTTTTGGCGTTGTTGCGTGATCAGAGCGTCTCTGTTGTCTCTGAAGGTTTTCTATCGCTCGTGCAGCCCGCCCTTCTACCTTCTGACCATGTTGTCACTTCTATCGCCTCTGTGGGCTCCCTGCCGCCTCTTGACGTCGCTGTCGAACCCCTTCCGAACCTTCTTGATGCTCTGTGAGCCTCTTGTGAGTCTTGAATGAATCCCTGCTCTTTTTCCTGGTTGTATCTCGTAGTGTGAGGGCGCACTCTCTTGCCTCTTATCCCGGCCAGTGCTGGAGGTGCTGTAGATGCCGGAATCTCGATTGGCGAAGCCTCAGGAGAGGGCGATCGACGCGGTCGGGGTCTTTCAGGAGTGCGAATCGGTAGGCGCCGTGAGAGAGCCCGCAAATGCCACAGGTGTGTCAGTACCTCAATTTTGATGTTTTGGCACCTTGATTTGGGCGATTTTACTAGGGTTTCGGGGGGGTTTTCCAGGTACCTCGCCATCCACCGGACAACTCTCGCACAACTAGGCTCAATTGGTGCTTAGACAGCTCTAGACCCACTCACTGTTGTTCGAAACTCGCTCTCCCGACTCGCTCTCCCGAGACATTCCCGCTCATACCCTCCGCAAGGCTGACTTTGTTTTCTTTTTTTGAAGCTTGTAGTCCGCATCCGTCAAGCATGCAAAGATAACACGTATCTCCTCAACTGGTACGGGATAGTATCTTTTCAGTGATACATCAGGGCGGCCGAGATGTAAGGCAACCGCTAAGCAGCGCAAGACAGCGACGAAACTTTCCGCCCAAATGACAGCCTCATCCATACCGCCTGTCTCGCCAAGATACGCGAGGGAGGCGTCCAATGAATTTACGAAAAGGGAGTTTTCGTGATTTCTGCCTCCTGTCAGATAACTCGACGCCTCTCCGTATTATCCTAGTTAAGGGGCTCATGTCTCACATGTCAACGATAAATTTCGACCGCGACGTGGCAACCTAACAGGTCTGCTTCGCTGCCCAACTGTTTCCCTAAGGTTTTTGGAAGCTCGATTTATCTGTTGTCCCTCGCTCGATAACTTGATAATAGACAGAGCAGAAGAGGAATCTTGCAAGTGTGAGATCAGCAGAAATAATCTGATCTGAGAGTCAGGTCGTGAAAATGGACAATCTGACAGGACCCCACTATCTCAAGTATGCTCCTTATCACACATCTAGTAGGCTATGTGGTCGCTGACACTCACTGTTTCCAGACAGGTTTTGCGGAGCTGGCAGATATTTGTGAGTGTGATAGTGAGCTCACTTTCGTACCAAACTCACATATCCTAGTTCCTAAGTATTACTACTGTGATTGGAACGGGAGTTTTCACCGACTATGGCTCCGTAATTGCAACAGCAGGACGAGGGAACCTGATCATAGCCGTGGGTATTGTTGGGCTAACGGCCATCGCTTTGATGGAATGCCTTAGCGAAATGAGCCAACTTTTCCCATGTGTTAACCCTCTTGTCGAATATGTTCACGAATTCGTCGACCCTGAGCTTGCAATTTGTGCCGGAGTCGCGTATTGGTATGCCTAGACACTTGTGATGCCGGCAACAGCTTCCTTCCATTAACACTGTCCAGGTTTGCATTCTCTTCTTTTCTGGCTCTTCAACTGGCCACTGCTGCGAGCTACCTAGGTGCTTACACAGACAATCTCCTGGCAAAGATATTCATTTTCTACGTCTTCGCTCCTATTCTTATTGTCTTCGTAAACCTCAAGAATGTCAAGGTGCGTTGGTTACGCTACGCAGCGGAGTTTTATGCTAGGGTTGACGAACGCAAGTGGTATGCCAATCTTGAAACTGCAGGAGGCTTTTTGAAGATATGCTCCATGATCGCAACGATCATGATCCTGTGCTTTCTGGCCGGGAAACGTGAGTCCTCCATGACAATGTCAAGCTAGGCTAACCCTACAGCGTTGTAGAAGCTGGCAAAGGTAGGTATATATGTCCTTCCAGCCTTTTTGGAGCCATCACCGTATCTGAAACTCACCGCAGATGTGGAGTCCGGTAATTGGTTTAAATGGAGACTTGGTTCCGAGAATGAGCAAGGTGCATCGGGAGGCGCGTTGTTGTAAGTGGGCGATCTTGACAATTTCGGTCAACTTGCACTAACACACTATGCCGCCAGCCTTGCTGTCAATTATGTATCTTTCAGTTTCATTGGCGTCGAATCCGTTGCCGTTACCACCTTCGAAGCGTATCGGACGGCTGACCTGCGTTTGGCCTCTCAAAGCATCGCCTACGTCACTGTCTTGATCTATCTTCTCAGCGCTGTTGCCTCAAGCATGTGCAAAGATACGAGCTATCTTGTTGGCTTGCTTAGGTCTACCACCGAGGATGGGCGAAAAATGACCTCCTTCTTTGCCGTCGAAGCAGCCAGATCAGTGAAAGAGTATACGGTTGGAAACGCTCTCAATGGTATCATGATATATTGCGCCCTAAGTGCGGCAAACACGACCGTATATATAGCTTCACGCGCCATGTATGGTTTCGCTCACCATTTGAGGCGTGGAACGGCTCGACTATATGGCTTGAGTAACCTCTGGGTGGTAGAAAAAATGGAGTATGTAACTGACAAAGGGGTTCCAAAATGGAGTGTTTGGATTAGCCTCTGTGCTTTCGGCACTTGGCTCCCATTCTCACAAATCTCCTCCTCAGAAACTGCCCACGAAGTGAGCCCAATCCAGCTCCCATTCATATGTGACTGACTCCCTCCTTTAGCTACTGGAATTCTTCGTGGTCAACGGAAATGTCTGTGTTATCTTCGTCTGGGGGTGCCAATGTCTGGCTTATCTGCGGTACTGGATCTGGCAAGTCGAATTCCGTGCCCTTCACGTTTGCTTAGCGGCTCATGAGTTCTCCAGGCTGAAACAGTTCCAGAATTCCGAGTATCTCGCTAAAAATCCGTGGTTGAATCGATGGAGTAGGGACTTGGATACGCGAGGTTTTGCAACACTACTGAATCTGTCTCCAATCCCTTTGCAGCCTGGGCTGTCAATATTTGGTCTTACCATGAGTTTTTCAATATTCTTTGCACTCTCGACCTCCCCCTGGTGGGGTCGCGGAGCATCTACTTCTGAGTGGTTCCGCTACTATCTGGTGGTACGACATCCCTCTTCAGTGACAGACATCTATTTGAGCCCTGCTAATTTTCTGTCATAGCCCGTGCTGGTACCTGTGCTTTGGATGGTGCTCAAGGCTTCCCGCGGACGCTCTGCTCTGAAAGAAAGGAGGTTTGGATTGTTTGTGCACTTGAGTCGTGACCCTCACGATTTCGCATTAGCAATCACGAACCTTCGACAGCACCTGAAGATAGACCAAGGGACGGATCTCAGCAAACCAGCCACCGTTCATGAGCAAAGTTCCCAGGAGATGTGTCCTTTGGCAGGAGGAGATCAAGAAGAACGCAATAGCAATGGGAATAGGAGGATTGGTTAACATGAGAGAAACACGGCAGCAATATATCGTCGTTACGGAGGTGGTCTGCTAATACCTGCCGGCGCCTCACAGGGCGCTTCCCCATTCCGAGAGACGACTCGTTATCCCATCTTCTGCCAGCCTCAAGCGTATTATCAGGCGAGCTCCAAACCTACCTCGTAAGCCCTATCAATCTACCAAGGCCTAGGCCAAACACAACAACAAAGGAATTCCTCGAGACTTGAGACACGAGGCTGCGGCATCAAACTGTGTCTTCTGCCCCTCGGGTAGCTACACCGAGGACTCTTTATTATTTGATTGAAGGACAGGGGCTTGTAATGAGCGCGATCAAGACTGGCCCTGGTCAGCCATCCAAATAGAGCCACAGGTAGTAGGCCAGGAAAGACTGACAGCATCGATGGGCTGGTGTGATTTTACGGAGGACTTGTCCTATTTCGAAGGGGTCCAACGGACCGTTAGACTATATAAGTTACTTTCGAAGCTTCCAGGATCTTTACAAGCCTTGGCGTCGCCACATATCACACTGGCATAGTAATGCTGTTATGTGATTGGCGGATGCCAGTGGTAATCATTACTTCAAGTCTCGAACTGCCTCGTCAACGTACAACTTTTGGCAGACGTATAATACACCAATGTGTCTAGTTCTTGACGCCCGAATTTCCTCTTAGTGTTGAGTCTTGTTCCAATGCGACCCGATCGACTCATCCGCTCCTCCAGCCTCCAGCACCCTGACCTCGCGCAGAAGGCCATCCAAACTGCAGCATGTCCAGGGCAAACCTCGCGGCCTACCTGGCGAAGAACTACCTTACCGCCTCTGCTGCCTCTGACTCCCAACAATATACATCTACCGGTGACTTCCAAGACTCGACACGGCCGAAGAAAAAGCGGCGGAAGAACAAAGATCCCGACGCAAGCGGTGGACTGATTGTCGCGGACGACGATGACGAACTGTCCCTACGGGGAAGCTCGGTGCGAAGGAGAAACGACGAAGACGGTGATGGTCTTGACGTGCCTACGTTCGAAACGGGCGTGAAATCGGCCGAGTTCAGGAAGAAAAAAGGCGGATCTGGATGGAAGGTCATTTCAAATGCTAGATCTACATCCACAGGTCGAGAGACCTCAAACACCGAAGAAGGAGCAAAAAATACTACTTCTGGCGAAGACGATGCAGAGGCAGAAGCAGAAGCGGACCGTGTCCTCGCGGAAGCCGAACAGGAAGCCCGTCTCCGCCGTCGCCAGCTGGAAGACGAAGACGCCCCTGCTATCATCGATATTGCGCCCGAGGAGGCCGGCGGCAGTCCGCGCATGCAATCTGGCGCTCGAGCAGGCCTACAAACGGCGGCCGACACGGCAGCTCTGATCGAACGAGAACAGCGTGAACGCGATCTCGAGACGCGGCGGGAGCGAAAACAAAAATCCAAATCGAAAGAGACTCCACATGAAGAAGAAACAATCTATCGCGACGCCACCGGTCGACGAATCGACATCTCAATGAAACGCGCCGAAGCCCGCGCCGCAGCTGCCGAGGCAGAGCGCACGGAACGTCAGGCCCGCGAGGAGGCCATGGGCGATGTCCAGCGGCGCGAAAGAGAAGCCCGCAAACAGCAGTTGGAAGACGCCAGGTTCCTTACACTCGCGCGCGGCGTGGATGATGAAGAAATGAATGAAGAACTTCGCGGGCGCATGCGCTGGGATGATCCGATGGCCGCGTATATGGCGCAGAAGAAAACAGAAGCAGCCGAGTCTGTCGCCATGACTCCCGCCAGCAGAAGCAAACATGGAGCTCAGAACCCATCTGCTGCGAAGAAGTCAAAGGTATATAAAGGGCCCGCACCGCCGAATAGGTACGGTATACTGCCTGGGTGGCGGTGGGACGGTGTCGATCGAGGGAACGGATTCGAGAAAGAGTGGTTCCAGGCTCGTGCGCGAAGGGGTCGCAATGAGGAAATGGAGTATCAGTGGCAAATGGATGAATGATCCAATGATATATAACAATGGCATAGCATTGCATTACGAATGGTCCAAGGCAGTTCTGTCTACCGATCTAAGGACAGGTATGATGGGAGCAAAATGTCTGGGAATCAATCTAGATCCATACCCTCATACCGTGTGTAATATTTTGTTCATTATATGTGTAACCTTCAGCTCGAACTGGGAAACTTTCTCTACAATAAGATAAATATATGTCCAACTCCGGGGTATTTGAGACTACAGTACGCTATGCGAATTTGATTTATACGCCCAAGACCAACGTTCAGTGTTCCACTCTTCTCTTTCATTCCATTGTGTTCATGCCTGGTCCAGACCCAGCTCAATTCATCCCATCATCACCGCTTTCCTGTCCTCAAGTCCAGTTTCTCTCATTCCATCATGATCTCCACCAACCCTTAATATGGCACAAAGTTTACCTCCCAACCATTATCCTCTGAAGCTGCAAACGTTCCAACCACAACTCTGAATCTCCCAATCATCTCCGCATTCGGCCACCCGTCCTGTTTCCGATGCAGAGTCTCCAAATGCTCCATAAAGCTCGTCACATTACCAAAGATCGGCGTCGATCGATTCGTTCCATCGACTTTAATTGCTGTATTGCCGGATCTGACACTGGCGTTTGACCATGCATCGAGCCAGCCTCGGTTCTTCCCTTCCGCACAACAGAAAATACATCCGAAACTGCCGAAGCTGCCCTCGCGAGCTGCCGGGGTATCGCTGGGAACCATCCCTTTGAGTGCAACATGACATCTAGCCAGGAATGTCCATCGATATCGTATTCCGCCACTTTCGGAAGTCCTGACTTTGGGATCAAATAACCGCTCTGGTTTTCCTTTCTTTTTGCCTTCAAAAAGATTGACGGAGCTATACATGGGACCTTCAAAATTGCACTTCTCGCATTTCCAGTATGTGATCATGCTTGCAAACCCAGCCGGACGATTCGCAACCGAAAATGCTTTCCGCTCTAGACCGGCTTGGAGACGGAACGCACCTTTACAAAATCCGAGGAGATTCTTGTCCGTGGGCAGTGTGAGTGGCCCCGTATTTATGGGAGGATTGACCGAGGGAGTAGAAGAGGCAACGGTCCGAATCGAAGGCGCTCGATCGGACGAATCGATAGATGCGGGAGACAGGTGTTTAGCAGCAATGGCGTGAGATCGGGAGGGAGAATAAGAGTTCGGCACCGGAGGGGAAGGAAGAAGTTGATGAGATGGCTCTGATGGGCGCGACTGATACTCTCTCGAGTCCGTTTGTGCACGAACCGGACGGTGATGTTCTTCTCGGACAAGTTTCGTCTTCTTTGAGGTATTCATCGAGGCAGATTTCGGTTGCGGTCGAGGAGCTCGACTGTTTCCCTGCAGATAACGGATATGATCCATAGGACCAGAGGCCTGGACTCGTTGTGGATATGAAGTTGAAGCTTGCCGTTCCGGTGTCGTTGGCCGGTACATGTCGTAAATTGTACCATAACTGTTCTGCCGGGTGTCCGTTCTGCCATTTGATTCACCATAATCATCTGGTCCATATCGATCTCTCGAGTTCTGACTGTGATGACCACTTGAAGCTCTGGGGATATCTGGGGACGAATACGATTGACTCTTCTTCCCAGAAGATACGTACGATTCTCGATCAGTATCTTGTCGGGCGGATGCTGCAGGCAAAATGGGTTGACCACCTGGTTGAGGAAACATTGACCAGATGATGTCGTCAGGTGCAAGAGCTTGGGATGACCTCCGCCGCATACTGATTGAGTCGGATTCTTCAATTCGATGGACTCCAACCGGAGGTGCAGTAATACGGAATTCGGCCGCTGGCCGAGGCAACACGATAGACTGACGTTGATGGAGCTCTTGAGAACCTCCAGAACTGGTCGACATCTTTCGGTCGATATACGGGGGCCGCGTCGGGGGCGAGATATTTAGATTGCCGAATTGTTCAGCCACGGTATCAGGAGTCCGCGGACCCGGAAAAGCGGAGGAAGACTGCGTGCTTCGGCTACTTGAATAACCCAGGGATGGCGAGATGGGTGGTATCAAAGCGGAGCCAGAGGGATAGGGGGTATTTGGAGGGTAGAAAGCCTGTGCTTTCACGGCGTCGGATAGTCGCTGAGACCATTGTCCCAGACACACTCCAGCATTGGCTCGACAATCATCGGACGCCGTTTGGAGAGCATGGAAATCAAGTTCCATATCATCCATGTACACGGTTCGAAGAGTGATGATCAGGGTCATTTGTAGATTGATCAAGACATCTTTCATCTGTTCCCTGGCTTGTATGTCCCCACAGGCGTATTGTTCTCCAAATCGCTTGAGGTCATGTTCGTAATGACCACGAACAATGACGGGTCCCAGAGCGAGAGATTCCAGGAGGTCGCGGGTAGGCTCTTCAGGTAGTTGTCCGCCACTGGTATCTTCTCTGTGATCGCGAATGCGCCGGACGAGTTTCGTGGCATCTTCAAAAGCCGCGATGACTAGATGTGGAATGAGACCGGGACTTCCCCCACAGGGTGATAACATACCAGCACGAACAAGCGATGAGAGATCCATCACAGTTTGATGTGAAAGATGAGGGGTTTGAGAGGCTGTTGGATTGGTCAACTCATCGCGCAGTTTGGCGCATATTCAATCGAGGAACAGACGATCATAAAGAATGCACCCCAAGAAGACAGGGAGAACAGATAGCAGCTAGAACATAGGAAACGGAAGTGCCAAAGGAACGGAACGAAAACAATCTTGAGGTTGTGAGCAGGGCCCATAATCCAACCGGAGGCCAGAGAGGCATCCTTTGGCCATTGTTACCGTACTATTCGGTTGCCTTTCTCACAAAGGAACTGGAAGTGATTGCAACAGTAGCACAGCCAGTTCTGGGCGAGAAAGAAGAACTGGTTGGGCGATGAGGGAGACAACCGTGGAGCAAAAGAAGAAGTGATACGCTTTGAGGTGCATTAGCGGACGAGGATGGACAGGGGATCTGATGGAGAATTTGGTACTTGAGGCATCATGTCGCCAGGTTCGCCTGCGCCCTGCTGTACCTGGCGACAAGGGACCTCTGCTGCTTCTTCCGAGGTCCTCTTCTCTCTCTTTCATCGATACTCAGCGCACCCTCATTTATTGAAATACTTTTCGCCTTGATCCTTTGGGCTTCTGCTCTTTCTCGATCACCATATTTTGACTTTCTCTCAATCTTCCGGTCTAGACGCAATTCGGCTTCGTCTCCGAACCGTTGATGGAGCCTCTGTGCTTCACTAGTCTCTCCCCAGGCTCCCAAAAAGACCCTTTGCCATCCCTGGTTCGTCCTCGATGCCTTGCTCCATCAACATCTCACCCGAGTCACCCCCTGTCCGCACCTTCAAAACCAGAAAATTCCCACGTGCTTCCCGAACATGTCACAATTTACCCAAACTTACCGAGTGCCCTGTTTCTCCCCCAACCCGTCGCCACTGAGATCGGCGGTTCAAAATGAATTTCGCTTGTCGGAGCCTTGTCGGGTATGGACTAAGCGGGAACAAGGCGATGGAGAGTTACATGGCACAAAAATCTGGTAAGTTGGTGGAGGTAATGAATGCCGCTTTTCATTATCTCAATTGGTGGGACTTGTTGCCCTCGCCACGATCTGTACCAAAAAAAAGGAAAAAGGAAATCTACTCAATAAATCATATCTCTACTAGTTTCGACGAAGAGGTGTCCACTGCTCACCTCCTCAAAAACGCCATGTCTGCAAATTCGCGCTCCCCTTTTATTTTTTTTTCCCTATCAGACGCCAAAAGAAATACCACATTCATCCGAGCTGTTCGGTCATTCACAAGTTCATGCCACTGTGGAGAGGCGCCTGGCCCCTGGATCGCCGGCGCCTTCATACTTGTCCCAATCTTCTAGAATCTTTGCCAGCCGGGGTGAGTTGGTCAGTTGGTATACCTCCTCAAAATACCTCTTGGAAATCTCGAAAGGTCTGGCAGTGACATTAGGAATGTATTTGCCAATTAATTTCGCTGGATCGATGCTCGTCTTGTTGATCTTTTTCAACAAGAACGAGCGGAATGGCTTGACGCCTGATCGCAAGAACGTGCTGTGGAATGGCACGTCAATCCCCTTGAGTGGAATCACCGCAAAGCCTCGTTCAAGCTCAATCGGTTGCGGTTTGGCTTCAGTTCTCTTGCGGCATTCACCGATAATCTCAACCAAGTGGGCTTTGACATCATCCAGTGACATCTGTTGCATCAGGGCCTGGATGTCAATCTTCTGCATCTTGAGCACGTTGAGGACATTGGTCAAGCAATCCAATGCTCGGAGATCGCCGGCGCAGACGTATTGCATGTTGGCCACATTGTAGTTGACGATCTCCACCAGCCACCCGGTGGTTTCGGCAATGTTCTCCACCACATATTGCAGAGCTTGCTCGTTGAATGTCTTGGAGATACGGCTCGGGTTGACGGCGCACATCGAGTAATTGCTTCTGCCTTGCTCATCGCGCTCCACCGCCACTTGCATGGTCAATCCACGATAGAACACAACCGACACCAAGCTTTCAATGGGCATGACTTCCGCGATGGAGGCCAGGGCAGAGTATTCACCGAGAGAGTGACCAGCAAAGCTGCTGTCACGCTGGATAAGACCTTTGGAGCGCATATCTTCAAAACTGGCCTTTTCCATCAAAGTCAAGGCTGGTTGGGTGAATTGAGTAGCAGACAGCAGACCGGTGGGCGACCGGTAGGTGTATGAGGTGGTGTTTTCATTGATTTCCTTGAAAATCTTCTCCGACTTGACCGATCCGTCCGCATTGATGGATTCAAAAGTCATGGCCATATAGTTTTGTCGGATAACTTTGCCACGAGGTCCGCCAAAATGAATGGTGAGTTCCTTGGGATTGTTCTTGACAATGTTGATGATCGAGAGGCCATAGTTTTCCACGAAGTGACGATCGGCACGATCCCAAACTTCCTTGGCCACGGGGCTTCGAGCATAAAGATCCATCCCCATACCTTGTTCTTGAGAACCTTGACCGGTGAAGACGTACGACGATACCGGTTGCTCGACCTCGGCCTCGGCCAGGAGAACCTTGTCACCGGTCTCTTTGTTGCTGGTTTCGATCTTGATACTCTTGCGACCGGCGACCATACCAACGTGCTCGAGTTTGACTTCCAAGTCATCATTGGGCAAAACCATGCCCACCAAAGAGACGTGGTAGCTTCGGACACGCCCGATGTTGTTCTCCGCGGCCCAGGTCTCGACCAAGCTTCGAACCGCGGCACTGGAGTACATGCCGTGAGTGATGGTGCCAGGAAGATTGGCGTAGCTGGCAAAGATACGAGAGACGTGGATGGGGTTGTAGTCGCCCGAGACGCGAGCATACGTCTCATTCGATGCCGGAGCTTTGAGAGACAGAGGAGTCTTGCCACTCAAGGGGATCGCATTCTCAAAGTTGACCGGCTGTTCGATGGATTGGCCATGTCTCTGCAGGTAGTCAATCACGGGATTCCCGTGAGAAACACCGGCATCGTATTCGACAGAAGCGACTTGAATGATTTCCTTGGTGGGCAATTCAAGCAGGACCTGGCCCACGGTCTCGACGCTTTGGAAGACGGTCTTGTTCTTGAATCGGACCAAAGAAGACAGACGGAAGGTCAAAGTCTGGCCCAGCAGGTCGATACCGGGCTCGTCCAGATGGAACCACTCCTTGGATCGGAGGACAGCCACGTCCTTGGATGACGCAAGCGTAACTTGCATGGGGGTCTCTTCTTTGCGCTGGAAGGTGTTCTCGTAGTCCGTATAGTTCCCTCGGTACAAGAATTGACTGGTGACTTCCATGACGGGCTGACCTTGGCGGGTGATGGTCCCACACACCTCAACCATTTTCCCGGAATCTTGATTGATGACCGCATTGATTCTGGCAGAGGTGTGAAGCTCATCACCCACCTTCAACGGCTCAGCGCCCGGAAGCATGCGGAAGCCATTAGACAAATGAACCAGTTTGAGCAAATCACCGTCAATGGAGCGAGGGAAGATGGGTTTGATGATGGCTTTCCAACCGACGACGATGGCAAAGTCCATGGGAGCAAAGACTTCTTTGCCTGGCCGATCAACGAACGCCTCCCCAGTGTTCCCAACCGCGTGAACAAAGTCGGCAATGTCTTGAGTGACGATCGTGGCCTTGCCACCGTCAAACGTGTTGGTGGTTGGGGTGTCAAATGGAACGTCCTTCTCACCGAACCAGATTCGGTAGTAAAACTCCTTGATGCGGTCATTCCGGCCTTCCATGACTTCGTGGATGGGTGCATAGCCAGTCTCGGGATGATAGACGAACTTGAAGGGCAATGGAACGGCACCACCTTCGGCAGTTCTCTCTTCCCACATATTCATCCAGATTTCGTTTTTCCCGACCAAGCCAATGTCAAGGCTCTTCACCAACCTTCCGGACTGACTGGGTTCCTTGACGACAATTGTGGTCCTTGACGGATCCTTAGGATGAGCAATTTCAATCGTCATACCTCGTGTGGGAGCTAGGATGCGCTTGAGAGGGTTGTTTTGATATCGAGCACCCTGGACAAACACGTCGGTGGTAAATAGAGCATGACGCCACGAGTAATTCTTGCCAGCCAGCAGTTGACACCAAGCTTCAACATCAGGCAGAGGAGCCGATGAAGAAGATGACAACCGGTACGTGATGCGAGAGCCATCTGGGATCACGGTGACGCCATCAAGCTCGACCACACTTTCTGGAGATGTGATGACCTTGCCACCAAAGTACTCGACCACGGGGACCGCGGCGTCTCGGCCACCATAAACGTCCTGGACGAGGCCTTGGATGTGATCGTGGTGAATGCCATCCAAAATGTCTTTGATGGGTTCGTCGATCTTGGTCGAGTATTTCGCCGCCATGGGTCCTTGAAGAATACAGGTTCTACCGACATCTTGATCCACGACAGCGTCCAAGTCCTCGGACTGCCACAATGAGTCCTTCTTGAACCAGAACTCAAAGTTTTCATCCAACGAGGGAACAAAAGGCACGGGCTTCTGGCCACGACGCTGGCAGAGCAGTAAGAAATGCTGTACGTCTTGTGCATTGATCAATTGAGTTTCCGCCTCTGGATAAGCGGCCAGAATCTTCTCCACCGCCGGGAATGGATTGTCCAGTTCTGCGTAGCTCTGAATGAGAGATGGTTTGCCGGAGCCGACGGTGAATCGCTCTTCCACTCGGCGAATGAAGTCCACGGTGAGGTTTCGGAGAGTGACCTCAATCCAGCGAGATCGGTGCTTGACATACATGAGTTCGACCATGCGTCGAACGACTTCAGCATAAGTCATGTCCTCGAGGTCCACCGTTTCGCCGGCCGAGTTGCGACCGAACCAAACCTTTTGGAAGTCGTCATTGAGCTTCTTGATGATGTATTCGCGCTGCTTCCTCAGCTCTGCGACTCGCTTCTTCTTGTCCAAGCTGAAAATCTTTTGATCCATCTCGGCCCAGAATTTCACGCCACGAGTGGCCAACTTGTGGATGGGCTCACCCATCTCGGACCGGACAGTAATGACACCACCCGCAGGTCCCTTGTAGGTTTTCTCCCATTGACTGTCGTCCACACCCTCGGCCTCAGCAATAGCCTTCTTCGCGTTGGTGGATGTGTGAGCTTCTTGGGCCGTCATCATTCGACTCCCAAAGAGGACACCGTCGAAAGGCATGGGGGGGTATCCGAACTTGCGTGCCCAAGTTCCAGTAAGATAGGGATAGGTGTCTTCAGAGCCACCAAAACCACTACCGGCCACCAAGATGATGTTCTGGCATTTTCGAATACGTCCATACATTTGAAGGACGGGTTGGTGGAAATCCTCAAAAGAATGATGGCCACCGCCACGACCGCCGGTCCATTGGAGAATGACAGGGAATGTCGGGTTGGCTTTTGCAATGTTAATGACCTGCTGAATGGCATCCATCGAGCCGGGCTTGAAAGCAATGTGCTTAATGCCGAGGCTGTCAATGTATTCTTGAGCGACTTCGATGGATGGCACACCTGCTCCGATCGTCAAGCCCTCGATGGGAACGCCATCCGCTCGAAGCTGAGCGAGAAGAGGGATTTGCCAGCCCATTGCCCGAGGATTAACATAGATCAAGTTGACGGTGATCCCTCGACCGGGGGGGATGGCTTTCTCGATCTGGGTCAGGGCTTCGGTCATGCTCTTTGCGTTGTAGTAACCGCCACCCGCCAATTCAATGTGGTAGCCAGCGTTCATGGTTGCAGCAACGAAGTCCCACGGAACCGTGCAGGGAGTCATGCCGGCCACCATCAAGGGGGGGACACCAAGCAGGCGTGACATCTTGGTGTCGACAAAGGTCTGTCCGACCGAAGTCTTGACCAGTTTGGGACCATGCTCTTTGACCCAGTTAACGGCATACTTGACGGCCTGTTCTTCGTCGCGGTCGAAGAATTCCGGCTTGTATCCAACCTCGGCATTGGTGCCATCCATCGCACCAGCCAAGATGACACGGACACCAGTACCATCCTTGTTGCGGTTCGTGAGGACTCCGAGACCCGAAATGCCTCCGGGGCCGAAGTCGACGATGTGAGTGGCGCCCTCAAAAAAGGTGGCCTGCTCCCAGTGGACGGGATCTTGGGTGATCATGCGCACGAGAGCCGGGACAATATCCTTGTCGTGTTGGGCACGGAGATCTTCCCCAGTGTTTGTATCGTACACAGGGATGGTCAAGCGAGAAGCGGGAATCTTGATGTCACTGAGATCGTCCTGAATGTGCTTGAGAGCTTCGCTAAGGAGAGGGCTGTGGAATGGGGCGGTGATGGGTAAGAACCTATTCACAAACCGCACTTTACGCTCGGTGTATGGAATTCGGTTTTGATCCAGACCAGTCGGGGCCTTGACTTTGCGCAATCGCAGATTCAGACCGTGGAGAGAAATTGGCGCCCCAGTAACCACAAAGTTGCGAGCACTGTTGACCAGGGAGATGGCGATGTGTCGGTCGGTCGGTAAATGCTCGTTCGTGGCGTCGATATGCTCCTGGAGCTGTTTCCGGGAGAGATCTCGGACGGAGAGCATCGGCGTTGGAGTACCCTCCCCCGCCTCGAGCGAATCCTGCAAAATGGAGGGAGCAATGCTGGTTCGAGGATATGCCTGCTGACTTCGCATGCCAATCCAGAACAGCATGGTGATGGCTTCTTTGGCGGCCTTGGCAAAGCTCTCCCAGGATGTTGCCGTGGCAATCGCGGCAGCGGTGACAACGCCTTGCGAATGACCAGTTGTGCCATTGAGCCGCTCGTTAACTTCGCCTGGGGTCTTGCCGAGAACTTTGCAGGCAACTTGATAGTGGGCCAGTTGGACCAGGCCGATCAAGGGCAGGCTGACAGGAGCGGACACCAAATAATCCGTATCCGGCTGGGTTTCTCGGTCCGCCAACCACCGGAGAATGTCGAGGCCTTTTGTATAGAATTTGTCCGCCTTTGGACTTCTAGCCAAAGTCTGCAACAATTCTGCTGAAGACTCGACCAAATCTTTGGTGAAAGAAGGATATGTGGTGTAGACTTCTCTGAGCTCGTCAAAGTATTCTTCAATATTGCCTTGCCCACCAAAGACCGTGAAGATGCTCGCCTCTTCGTCATCTGCAGCTCTCAGGAGGGCGGAATCGTGTGGCTTAATGGGTCTTGCCACGGCAGCTCGGCCGGCATAGTAGCACCGAACCAGCAACAGCTTCTTTGCGGTGATTCCAGGTAATGTGGCAGCCAGCGCATGAACATCGTTTGCATGCATAAAAGACCGTTCAAATTCGTTCAAGACAACTTTTAAGACTTCCACAAAGCCGGCTGCTTCCTCCTCCTCATCGACTTCAGCGGCAATGAAGCCAACGTAACGTGCGACAAGCTCGGCGCTGGACGAAGGCTCGTCATCTTGAGCCAATTCGTCCGTGGGTTCTGGTAGAGATGCATTGAAGGCGTCTTTCAACTGGGATGCTTGGAAATGCAGAGCAGTGGGTATCAACAAGGAATATTCGAGGGAGCCATGGGTGAGAGTTAAAGGTCGGAGGTTCTGAGAGGATCGAGGAGTGTGAGTGCCGGTCGCGCCGCCGGAATACATGGCCGCGGGAGGGATGGATGCTAATGTGTCTCTGTAAGAGAATATGAAAGGGTTTTTCAAAAAGTGAGCAACTTAATGCCACTTGGTGTTGATAGACAGGTAGGAAAATGAGTGAGAGAGCTTCGTTGGTAAGAACAAGAAGGTATGCGAACAGACCGGACGGATGGATGGTGAGATGATCGAGATGGGAATTAAAGAATGGATTAGTTATTGAGAGAGCCAGGGACGATCAGGTGAGTTGTATCACGCTGTCAACAATATTTGGATGGATTGAGGCGGTCATCTGCAGTGTCTGGCGAAAATTGGGGCCGAAGATGGGAGCGTTGAGAAATGCAAAGAAGATTTTGCTGCCTCGCCGCACCAGCAAGAAGCCAAGTCAGCGACGGCCAATGGGACGTCCCCCAATCGATCTCATCAGGCCCCCTCATCCCAGCTAAAAAAAAAAAAATGCTGGGCGGCGGCGGCTGCTGCAGGGACACGGGCAGCGGCATCATCGCTTTTCCCAACCTTTCACCAGAGAAAAAAAATTTTGACAGCCTTGTCACTGCTGCCAGCTTACCACAAGCGAGATAGGCAACAGAGCAGGCAGCAGTCAAGATTAGTATGCCGTATCTCGTATGTTCATAGTTCTGTACGACTGGATACGGTGAATAGAGGCATACTGTGTTTTCTTTATTGGTACCAATTACCCTAGGTACCTTGGGCCTTGTTCACTGCCAAAAATTTTGGCGGGGAGCTAGTCAAAGATCCAGGCGCAGGCCGCGCCGGGGTGGCACGGATACTAAAACAACCTGGCCCCCTGGCCGGGTGACCCGCTTTTGGTCCCAACCCATTTTGCTCTCCAACAAAAACTCGTTCCGGAAGGCCAGTTCGCCTGGGGAAGCATCACGTTGACCGACCTGCCGCTCTGCTGCACGATAGGCTTGCCGGTCATTTTTCATCCAACCGCCCAACCAACTTGTTCGGTCCTCACCAAATTGATCATTTCTCCCACTTGTCCTCTTTCGTCTCCATATCCTCCAACCCTCTTGTCCGGGATCATTGCCCATCTTTGATTACTTTTCTCTCCTCTCCCGATCAATATCGACCTCTTCCTTCCTCTCATTCTCCATCCATTCTTCTCTTCTCCCTCTACCAGTGCGACCGACCACCTGCGGCTGTTTTGGCTAGCACGGTTCCTTCTCTCGAGCTAATTACCGGTGCCCTCCCGTCTCTGGCCTTGCTCTGATTCACTTCATTCAGCAACGGGCAGGACAACGGTAATTGGCATTGGACGTCTCGAAACCTGATACTACGACATCAACCAAAATCTCCTCTCCTTCATTCCCGCGTCCCGTCACGATGCGGCCCGAAATCGAGCAAGAGCTCGCCCATATCCTGCTCGTTGAGCTGTTAGCATATCAGTTTGCCTCTCCGGTCAGATGGATTGAGACTCAAGATGTCATCCTCGAGAAGAACCGGACGGAGAGAATCGTCGAGATCGGCCCCGCGGACACCCTTGGTGGAATGGCAAAGAGAACCCTGGCCTCGAAATATGAAGCATACGACGCAGCTACCTCCGTATCGCGGCAAGTTCTCGCGTACAACAAAGATTTGAAAGAGATCTATTACGATGTCGATCCAGTGGAGGAAGAGCCCGCAGCAGCGGCTCCGGCTCCTTCTTCCTCAGCCCCCGCCGTCTCGACAACGGCACCAGCAGCAGCTCCCTCCGCGGCGGCGCCTCCTCCTCCTCCTCCACCACCAGCGGCGAGTGCCGGCCCAGCTGCCGTGGTGACCGACGCTCCCATCGGAGCCGTGGACATTTTGAGAGCTTTGGTTGCTCAGAAATTGAAGAAACCACTTGCGGATATCCCGCTGAACAAGGCCATCAAGGATCTTGTCGGTGGAAAATCGACGCTACAAAACGAAATCTTGGGTGATCTGGGAAAAGAGTTTGGTTCAACCCCCGAAAAACCAGAAGACACTCCTCTTGACGAGTTGGGTGCTTCCATGCAATCCACGTTCAATGGCCAATTGGGCAAACAATCACAGTCGTTGATTGCTCGCTTGGTTTCCTCCAAGATGCCCGGTGGTTTCAATATCACCGCTGTCAGAAAACATTTGGAGAACACCTTTGGTCTCGGTCCCGGGAGACAAGATGGAGTTCTTTTACTCGCTCTCACCATGGAGCCGGCCTCCCGGTTGAACTCAGAGAATGACGCCAAGGCTTATCTGGCCGATGTCGCGCAGAAATATGCAGCCACCGCAGGCATCAGCCTTTCGTCCGCTTCTGCGGGAGGGGCGGCCGCCGGTGGTGCCGGCACTGGCATGATGATGGATCCGGCCGCTATAGACGCTCTGACCAAAGATCAACGGGCTCTGTTCAAGCAGCAGCTCGAACTGTTTGCTCGATATCTCAAGATGGATCTCCGCTCTGGCGACAAGGCATTCATTGGTTCGCAAGAGACGAACAAGGCTCTTCAAGCTCAGCTTGATTTGTGGAACGCCGAACATGGAGAATTCTATGCCGCCGGCATTGAACCTTCTTTCAATGCACTGAAAGCTCGTGTTTACGACTCCTCCTGGAATTGGGCCCGACAGGACGCTCTCAGCATGTACTACGATATCATTTTTGGCCGTCTCAGGGCTGTTGACCGCGAGATTGTTAGCCAGTGCATTCGTATCATGAACAGATCAAATCCGACCCTGATTGAGTACATGCAGTACCATATTGACCACTGTCCCACCGAACGAGGCGAAACCTATAAGTTGGCAAAGGAGTTGGGAGAACAGCTCATTGAGAACTGCAAGGACGTTCTAAATGAAGCCCCTGTCTACAAGGATGTGTCTATCCCTAAAGGCCCACAAACCACTGTCGATGCTCGCGGGAACCTCGACTACCAGGAAGTCCCACGACAAAGCGCTCGCAAACTGGAGCACTACGTCCGTGAGATGGCCGAGGGGGGGAAGATCTCCGAATACAGCAACCGGACCAAGGTACAAAACGACCTTCGCAATGTCTACAAATTGATCCGAAAGCAACATAAGCTCTCCAAAGCATCTCAACTGCAGTTCAACAGCTTGTACAAGGATGTCATCCGCGCCCTGGCGATGAACGAGTCTCAAATAATGCCTCAAGAGAACGGTGACGTGAAGAAGCCGGGCCGAAATGGATCTCTCACCCGCGCTACCATGAACGGCACCATTAAACAGGGCAAGACCGAGACGATTCCTTTCCTCCACTTGAAGAAGAAGGAAGAACATGGCTGGGAATACAGCAAGAAGTTGACCGGTATTTATCTCGAAGGCCTCCAAAATGCGGCCAAATCTGGCCTTACCTTCCAAGGCAAGATGGCACTCATGACCGGTGCTGGTGCGGGATCCATTGGTGCCGAAGTTTTGCAAGGTCTCATTAGCGGTGGTGCCAAGGTGGTGGTCACGACCAGCCGTTACTCGCGTGAGGTGACCGACTACTATCAGTCCATGTACGCACGCTTTGGTGGTCGGGGATCCCAGCTCGTGGTGGTGCCCTTCAACCAAGGCAGCAAACAAGATATCGACGCCCTCATTGACTATATCTACGACACCAAGAAGGGACTTGGCTGGGATCTGGACTACATTGTTCCGTTCGCCGCGATTCCTGAGAACGGTCGCGAGATTGACAGCATTGATTCCAAGTCAGAGCTTGCTCACCGTATCATGCTGACCAACTTGATCCGTCTCCTTGGCTACGTCAAGACCAAGAAATTCGAGAGCGGTTTCAACACGCGACCCGCTCAAGTCATGCTACCACTGTCACCCAACCACGGGACCTTTGGCAATGATGGCTTGTACTCCGAGTCGAAACTGGCTCTGGAAACTCTCTTCAACCGTTGGTATTCCGAAAGCTGGGGTGACTACCTCACCATCTGTGGTGCCGTCATCGGTTGGACTCGCGGAACTGGTCTCATGAGCGGTAACAATGTTGTCGCGAATGGTGTCGAGAAATACGGGGTCCGAACCTTCTCTCAGCAGGAAATGGCTTTTAACTTGCTCGGTCTGATGTCGCCCGCTATTGTCGACCTCTGCCAGAACGAACCGGTGTTTGCCGATTTGAACGGTGGTTTGCAATTCTTGCCCGATCTTAAAGAATTGATGACCAAGTTGCGCGCGGAGATCATGGAAACCAGCGCAATCCGACAAGCTGTCACCAAAGAGACGGCCCTTGAAAACAAAGTCGTCAATGGCGAGGACAGTGAGGCCCTCTACCGGAAGGTCACGATTGAGCCTCGAGCAAATCTCAAGTTCGAATTCCCAGAACTTCCCAAATGGAAGGAAGATATCGAGCCTCTCCACTCCAAACTCAAAGGCATGGTGGATCTTGACAAGGTTGTTGTCGTGACCGGCTTTTCTGAAGTTGGCCCATGGGGTAACTCCCGCACGCGTTGGGAGATGGAAGCCTATGGCGAATTCTCGTTGGAAGGCTGCGTGGAAATGGCTTGGATCATGGGTCTGATCAAGAACCACAACGGACCTCTCAAGGGCAAGTCGTATTCTGGTTGGGTTGATGCCCAGACCAACGAACCGGTCGACGACAAAGGCATCAAAGCCAAATACGAGAAACACATCCTCGAGCACTCGGGTATCCGTCTCATCGAGCCCGAATTGTTCAACGGATATGACCCCAACAAGAAGCAGCTCCTTCACGAAGTCCAGATCGAGGAGGATTTGGATCAATTTGAGGCTGCGAAAGAGACTGCCGAGGAATTCAAGCGACAACACGGCGACAAAGTCGAAATTTTCGAACTCGAGTCCGGAGAATACAGTGTCCGTTTGAAGAAGGGTGCAACTCTTCTCATCCCGAAGGCACTCAGATTTGATCGTCTTGTGGCGGGTCAGATCCCAACCGGCTGGGACGCCAAGAACTACGGCATTCCGGACGATATCATCTCTCAAGTCGACCAAGTCACCCTGTTCGTTCTTGTCTGCACCGTTGAAGCCCTCCTGGCCGCCGGTATCACCGACCCCTACGAGTTCTACAAATATGTCCATCTCTCCGAGGTGGGGAACTGCGTTGGTTCTGGTATCGGCGGCACCACGGCTCTGCGCGGTATGTACAAGGATCGGTTCATGGACAAGCCCGTTCAGAAGGATATTCTCCAAGAGTCGTTCATCAACACCATGTCTGCTTGGGTTAACATGCTGCTCTTATCATCGACGGGCCCCATCAAGACTCCGGTTGGTGCCTGCGCGACCGCTGTAGAGTCCATTGATATCGGTTACGAGACCATCGTCGAAGGAAAAGCTCGCGTGTGCTTCGTTGGCGGTTTCGATGACTTCCAAGAGGAGGGTTCTTATGAATTCGCCAACATGAAAGCCACCAGCAACGCCGAGGACGAATTCGCTCATGGCCGCACGCCCAAGGAAATGTCTCGGCCCACCACCACCACCCGAAATGGATTCATGGAGTCCCAGGGTGCCGGGATGCAAGTCATCATGTCCGCCCGTCTTGCCTTGGACATGGGAACTCCGATCTACGGCATCCTCGGCCTTACCACCACCGCCACCGACAAGATTGGCCGATCCGTACCTGCACCGGGCCAAGGGGTGTTGACCACGGCACGCGAGAACCCGGGCAAGTATCCATCTCCTCTGCTTGACATCCAGTACCGTAGGAGACAACTGGATCTCCGACGACGCGCCATCAGGGACTGGCAAGAGTCTGAACTTCTCTACCTCCATGAAGAGGCCGCGGCCATGAAGGCCCAAGCGGGATTTGGCTTCAATGAAGTAGAATACATGCAAGAGCGTGCCGCTCATATCGAGCGAGAAGCTATCAGACAAGAAAAGGAAGCTCGGTTTAGCTTGGGTAACAACTTCTGGAAACAAGACCCTACCATTGCTCCTCTCCGTGGTGCTCTGGCCACGTGGGGACTTACGATTGATGACCTCGACGTCGCATCATTCCACGGCACCTCCACTGTTGCCAACGACAAGAATGAGTCCGATGTGATCTGCCAACAGATGAAGCATTTGGGTCGTAAGAAGGGCAATGCTTTGCTTGGGATCTTCCAGAAATACCTGACCGGTCATCCCAAGGGCGCCGCTGGTGCCTGGATGTTTAACGGCTGCTTACAAGTTCTCAATAGCGGCCTCGTGCCCGGGAATCGGAATGCCGACAATGTTGATCAAGCAATGGAGAAGTTTGATTACATCGTCTACCCCAGCCGATCATTGCAGACGGACGGCATCAAAGCATTCTCCGTCACTTCATTCGGTTTTGGTCAAAAAGGTGCTCAAGCTATTGGTATTCATCCCAAATATCTCTTTGCCACCTTGGATGAAGCCGAATTCCTGAGGTACAAGGTGAAGGTCGAAGCCCGACAGAAGAAAGCCTACAGATACTTCCACAACGGCATGATCAACAACTCGTTGTTCGTGGCCAAGTCGAAGGCACCATATCCTGACGAGATGATGCAGAAGGTCTTCTTGAACCCTGACCAACGGGTGACCACTGATAAGAATTCCGGCGAGCTCGTTTATTCATCTGTGGCCCCGAAGAAGGTACAGAGCGCCAAGGCTTTGGAGACCAAGGCCATGCTCGAGTCTCTGACGAAAGCGAGCGCCGTCGAGGGATCAAAGATTGGCGTTGACGTTGAGGATATCCAAGTCATCAACATTGAAAATGAGACTTTCGTGGAAAGAAACTTCACTGAAAAGGAGCGAGCTTACTGCGACAAGGCGGCATCTCCTCAAGCTTCATATGCGGGACGATGGAGTGCTAAAGAAGCTGTATTCAAGTCTTTGGGGGTATGCAGCAAGGGAGCCGGTGCTCCGCTCTATGACATTGAGATCCTGAGTGACACCAATGGAGCACCTAAAGTCGTTCTCCATGGCGCGGCACTGCAGGCCGCGAAGGAAGCAGGCGTCAAGAATGTCAATGTCAGCATCAGTCACAGCGACAGCCAGGCCATTGCTGTCGCTGTCTCGGCATTTTAAACATTCCCTGGTGACTAGAAACTGTATAAATTTGAGTGATCCTGGCAAAAGAAGGTCAAAATAGCGTATATGGTGCATGCCTAATGGAAGGCTTTCTTTCATTTTTCTTTTGGAGCTGCATCGGTGTCTACAGTTAGTGAAAAGAGCGGCGCGAGGAGTTTGGGGGGGGCACAAGAGCCTCCTGTACACTTGAATAACGAGTCTATGCAGAAGCCAGAATAGAATCGTTCCCCTTGTTTGACAGGGTTATAATGGACAGTCTAGGAATCGCCGAAATGTTCTCTTCATTAATCTCTTTGGTTATCACCTCGCATCAATTTCGACGTCAGGAAGCGTCGAGGCCAATTCATGAATCAAATCTGGAATACATCTTTCTAATAATGCACTTAGAAATTCCTGCTCTTGAAATTCCCAAGGTTGTCCGTAAATATCAGGACCGATCCGGGCGGCAAGTCTCGATGGAACCTCACGGACGACGTATGTGACAAGCCTTCGAATTATACCCATTTCCGTCCCCTTGGCTATCACACCGGAAGTGGTGCTCCTGGAAACAGGATTTTGAAGATATCAAACCAATAGTCAACTGCATTCCGGCGCATCTGCTTCCTCTTGATCGCTTTATACTGATCCACGATCATCTTTTTCTCAAACGGACAACTGCCCTCAGAACAGCACGCTGCTTGTACTAAGTGCAATTCAAGTATACCATGCGTTTGGAACTCAAGGAAGCATTTCAAGCCGCTTGTGGACTCGGTGCAAATGCTGCTGGCACATCGGCGATACTGTCTTTCGTCTTGTTTGGAATTTCGCTCCGAGTATGTATCTGGATCATGTTTGGTATACGGGCACGCTAGGAGTCTGTCGAAATCCATCGATCCAGATGAATCCACATCCAGCCGCGGTCTCTTCGGTAGCCTCGCACCGTCTTCGTCCCCATCATCCAGGGTCCGTCCGACTAGAGACGTCAGCGCTGTCGCATTAGAGAATGCCCACTGACTAGAACCTCCTGCATCACTGATCCAAGCACTTGGTCCTGACAGCCGCGGCATCATTGAGAAAGTCTCTAACTAACTCATTCCCAAGTGCTGACAGGATTGTTTCGAAGTTCTCTTCAAGCATTAGCAATCCGGAAGGGCTTGACGAATCACCCAGGATGAATGATTCTTCACTTCCACCACCGGCGTTCGAACCATGAAGGCACAACCTGTCCTCGATTTCATGATTAGTCTCCGTGTCCAACACATCCTTTGGACGGTCTTCCATTGGCAGTGAAATTGTCCCGGCTGGTGGTGTTGTTTTCAAGAGCACCTGCGGATTCCCGATTATCACAGGCTTCGCAGCAACTTGATTCTCTTTGTTGCGACTCAGAATTGAAGAGTGATCCGGCTGCATCTGACACACATCAAGGTTGAGGCTTCCGCAGTGTGACTCATCAGACGATGCCAGAGAATCCACATCACTGAGCCGTGACAATGACTTCGATATCTTCGTCACAAAGAGCTGAAGATACGTTATGTCAAGACGGCAATCGCAACAAACATCCAAAGAGCTTCCATGAACACCATCACATATCCAAACTGTCCCCGGATACTGGTGCAATTCCATGTGTCTCCACAATGCTCGATGAGTGTGAAACGTTGGCGAATTTTTACAGAACTTGCAGAGGAGCCCCATACCGCCTCCTGGTGGTGGACTGACGCATAGTTCGCCTCGTTTGCACTGAAATTTTCAGCCTTGCTTCAAATACTAGGAGCAGAGCAAAAAGAAACGACGACCATCCGCACCTTTTTATTCGTTAAGAAAGATCGTAGGTCGCTCTGATACTTATTGCACGGTGCCCCCTCGAAGAACTTCCTGCCGGTGCGGCTCCTATAGTCTCTTGCCGTACACTGGTGCGGTTTGGGATGGACGTCTCCGTTGGATTCGCTACTTAGGTCTATTCACTCGTTTAGTCAAGGATCCTTTGAGAAGTGCAACACGACTTGGTCGTCTCACCATCATCTGTAGACGAGTTACCGGACGATCCGCTGTCATAAGCCTCCACGAGAAGCCCAATCGGAGGCCATGGTAGAGTCTGATACACTTTATGAAGATGCATCTTCGGAGGGCAACATTTGCTACCAACCAAGCTGCGACGGGGGAAGCAGAGGTCTTTATTTAAGACCCAAAAACTTTCCCATGTGCAATATAGGGGTATACTGCACCGGAAACTTGGATATCAGGGACCCTCTCATTTACCAATGGAAATTGTCCTGATTGGACAAATGGCATGGGTGATCTGCATTTCTCACAACTGTGTGGAAATGTTTCGGCAACGATCCGTCACGCTTAATGCACCCATAACGAGGCCTACTTCAAAGAGCTGGATGACGACCTTTAACCGAAGCCACACGTTAGTAGCCATCCTTTGTTTATTGGTCCCTCCGCGGGATGCTTACTTGCTTTTGGTCATCTATGGATATCTACATCTCCATGGACTTCTCGAGATAGTTGACGCAGATCATACCGAAGTGAAAGCTTTGAAGGCTCAAAGGGAAGTTTAATTCGTGTGCCGTTATTGAAAACACCAGCCAGAGCTTCGCTAAGAGCGATGAAAAGGTTGTTTAGGATTGGCTTATCTGCTTTGCATACCGTTATGCTGCTGGCTTATGGCTATGACTTACCCTTGAATACTCACTGTGCGCCCTTTGACAACAACACTCCCTCTCAAACAGTCTTGAGGGAGTAGATATATATACATATAGGCATGACGCTCCTCGTGAAACCGTAAAATGTGCAATATTCCAACATCACATTGAAAATAACATCACCAATTCATTCACATTCTTCAACGATCATCGCTACAAAGCACTCTCAAGATGCTGGTGGACAACAACACTCTCCTCAGCAAGATACCTAACAGCCTCCCTCCAGACACGCCAGTCATTATGCTCAATCTCCTCCAATGGAATGAGAAGGCAACTTATACACAGGACTATGCTCTGCCACCCTGCTCGGGCCGAGAAGCCTATATGCATAGATACATTCCAGCATTCAGCGCGATCGCCAGCAAGGTCGGGGGATTCACCGTGTTGTACATGGGCGTGCCTGTTTCGATGTTGGTGGGCCCTGAAGAGGACAACAATAAATGGGACATTGCGGCGCTGGTAAAATATCCCAACATCGAGACATTTCGTCGGATTGTCGGCAGTGAGGAATATGCTACTGCTGCGCTACAGCATCGTGATGCCGCGCTGAAGGACTGGAGATTGTTTGTGACGACGGAGAGTGAGCCCTAGAGGTTACTGTAAGACCGATTAGTACACGAGGCGGAAAGGATGGGGGGGGATTATGCCGGTCCGTCTGCTCCCTTGCTTCTCCTGTCTGGAAACGTTTGGGACTGGATGAACTATGTACAAATCGAGTCGATAGTCTGAGCACAGTTCTCAACCATAGCAAGGCGATCTTACTTAGGTTTTGTCGCAAGTACGCTCTTTCAAGAGTGCACATGGAATTATCACCCTAAAGTGCAAAAATGTCGAACACAGGCACGATTTCTTGCTCGGTGCCAGCTATACCGCCCTCTTTTCATATCCGACTGAAGGTTCGCCGCATAGATGTCACGGCAGCTCGAATAGCGTGATTCCCACAGATAGTCAGTCCGACTTTGTCGAACGTCGCAACCTCCACAAACGAAAAGGGCAGACAGCTCGTTGGCCCAAGTATCAGTGGCACTAACCCTTAGCCAGGCGCGGCAGAAGGACAAGATTTGATCAGGCGTCTTCTGTCTGCTGTGGATCAAGACGGCATCAGCCCCTGCCTCTGCGTATGGGAAACACTGAAGTAAATCCACGAACAAGGCTTCAATCTGTGGAATCACCGGCGTTGGACTTGCTCCTTTGACAGCCGTCGCGCCCGCTGCTGCGAGTGAGGAATTGCGTATGCTACATTGACGGCATTGCCGTATCCCGTGTCCATGTCGACGATGATGACAGGGACAGGGGGATCTTGCGGGAGAATCTCACAGATTGCGCGTGCTATCTCGAGGTGCGTGCTCATGGGCAGGATGCTGGCATCAGGCGCGGCGCACCAGGCTGACTTTGTTCTAGGCCCACTGAGTCAGATGGCGCCGACCTGCTGTGCCCGGCTATGGCGATTGCTGAGCTGGATGTTTTCAAGTCTTGCGTGTAGGATGTCTATGTTGGATTTGGGAACACCCTCCTGCTAAGCCTTGCTGGGTATCCGGAATGTACTCACTGATTTTATTGATAGCCTGGCTTTATAGGCGGATGCTGCTGCATGAGAAATCCCAGGATGTGACTGATAGTATAACCCCCCCGGTAAAATGCACTAGATCTAGTATCGGCTCTGGTAGTGGATACAATGGTCTTGCAGTCTTCTCTCTCGGTGCACTTCTCACCGTGACAGTGAGATTATATCTTCGTTTTCCCCGCACGGCTTTTTGGATTAATGTTCCCCAGGGCCATTTGTACTCTTCTCTGCCTCTCGCTTCATCCGATTCTGTCAACGCTGCCTCCCCTGGTCTCTTCTCCTCGAGATTGACGAACAATACCCATGGCAGGAGAAGATCTCCAACTCATAACCAATGGCGATGGTGCCGAGGTGCCGACATATACGATCATACAGGCCGACGGTCTCTATCCCGTATGTCGTCTTGTACCGGCTTCTGGGCACGGGCGGTTCTTCGCTTTTTATATTAATGCACGCTCTAATTTCTACTCGACGATATAGGATGATGTTGTCGAACAAGAGATTTTCACCACCAACCCGCCTCACCCTTACAAATTGAAGTACATGCAAACGGGACTCTTCCCCACAGGCACCCCGTTACCGAAGCCCTGGTCATGCATCCCCAAAGAGATCCGTGACCAGGTTGACGGCATCATGGTACTCAAGATGGGGTTTACGGAACAGGATTTGGCGCTGTTCCCGAGGTTGAAAGTGTCAGTGCCCGCCCGCAATCTTCTTCCCTTAATTGGATCAAGTCAGGCTCAGATGGCGACCGACGGCTCTGATTCTGGTTTAGGATAGTGAGAATGGGAGTGGGATACGATCGACTTGATAGAGTCGCACTGGCCAAGAGAGCAGTCATAGTCTGCAATGTGCCCGGTAGGTCCTCTTCCCAGAACACAACGGTGAGGGTGGCTCGGCTTGCTCAGTTGATACATCTGTGAATGACTAGACTATGGGACCTGCGAAATAGCGGACCACGCTCTCGGCCTCGCACTCTCCTTCCGACGCGGGATTTTGTTACATCACGAGCGCCAACGACAGCCATACGTCGACCCCTGGATGCCCATTGACACGCCGTTGGTCAGCCGGTTGCAAAATGCGACGTTCGGCATTCTCGGACTCGGAAGGATTGGAACCGCCGCGTGCTTGCGTGCGAAAGCGTTTGGATGGAACGTCCTCTTCTATGACCCGTATCTCCCGAACGGCGTTGATAAAAGTCTGGGTATTGAGAGGACGAAGGATATCAAGGAGCTGTTTCGCAGGAGTACGACGTTGAGTATTCATTGTGCGTGCACGAGGGAGACGAGGGACATGGTCGGGTGGGAGTTGATTAGCCTGATGCCGAAGAATGCGGTCCTGGTGAATACGGCAAGGGGAGAGGTGTTGCAGCTGGATGCGGTGGAGAGAGGACTCCGGGAGGGCGTGCTGGCGGGGGCGGGATTGGATGTGCTTCCTGAAGAACCGATCCCGGAGGATAATGTGCATCCGTTGATCAAGGCATATCGGGAGAAGGAGGAGTGGTTGCAGGGCCGATTGGTGTTGACGTGCCATACGGCCTTCTACAGTCCCCAGAGTTTTGTGGACATACGGCTGAAGAGTGCGCAGACGATGAGGGATGTCTTGATTGATGGGGTCATGAGTAATGTCATTACCCCAGATATGCTCTAGATACATATGAGTAGAATAGACATATAAAGTATTGTGCATATTGGCCGGGACCTGGCCTTGCCGGAACCTCGCTTTTACAACTGAGGTAGCGATTCTCCAAATTGGCACCCGCGTTTAATCCCCTGACGCCCCTGACACCCCTGACGTCCTCCGCATCTTGGCTTGGACGAGGCTGATAATAGGCGTTCCTTTGAGATTTGTGGCGTGCCTGGACTGGCGAGGCATGGGCAGCCAAGGCACCATTAGACTTGTGTAAACCAACATCAGGTGTAACCTGGCGGAGATTTTACCATCTTTTACAGATTCACAATTCCTGGTCAGCATCGCGATGAAGCCTCCTATTTGCTACATGATTTTCCGGAGACACCATAGGTTCGTCCAACAGAATATGATCAGCACAGCTCAGCTTGCTTTTCTTTGCTTAAGCAATACTTGTATTTGAACCTCCCTTGTCCAAAACGGCACGTTGAACTTTCTCTATCAGCATGCGACCGCCAGCTATTTCTCAGTTTTACCTCGATGACACATGGCCCGTCCGGCTGCCGCGGTTCTACTCAGTGCGCTGACTGTCGCGCTGTTCACACTCTTGGTTATCGTCCTAGAAGCGCCCAAGTTGTCGCATCCACCTGCCTTGGGACGTCTGGAGGCGAGAAATGTGGTCAAACGGGCGGGGACGACCTATCTACTTGGAGTCGGCAAGGCGGACCTCACCGGGTGAGCAACGGGATGCTTCCATGTCCAAGAGCCTTTCATTGCTGACGATGTCCCTAGTCCGGTCGTCGAACTCGAGTTCATGGGCTACGCCAACTTGACGCAAATTGGGACCGGCCTACGTCAGCGAATATATTCTCGTGCCTTTATAATTGGCAACCCTGATGTGCCAGCCGACAGGATCCTCTATCTTGTCTTGGACACGGCTACGGGCGACTCCGCTATTCGAGATGGTATCCTTCGAGGCCTCGCAAACATGGGTCCCGCTTATCAGATGTACACCCGCCACAATGTTGCCGTCACCGGAACTCACCAGCACTCGGGACCGGCGGCGTGGATGAACTATCTCCTCCCTCAAATTACGAGCAAAGGGTTCGATCACCAAAGCTATCAGGCTATTGTGGACGGCGCCCTCCGCTCGATCCAGCGCGCACACGAGAACATCACAACGGGTCGCCTTGATGTTTCTCTCGGACGAATTTCGGATGCGAACGCCAATCGAAGCCCTTACGCATACCTCGCCAACCCCGAATCCGAACGAGCGCAATATGAGGATGACGTGGACAAAGCTATGACCTTGGTTCGATTCCAACGAGAGAGCGACGGCAAAAACATGGGTATCTTGACGTGGTTTGCAGTGCACGGTACCTCGATGTTGGGGAACAACACCATTGTCACGGGGGACAATAAGGGAGTCGCGGCCTCTCTTCTGGAGCAAGCCATGGCTTCCGACTCCATGGCCGCACCAGGTTTCGTGGCAGGATTTTCACAGTCCAACGTCGGAGACACCACTCCCAATGTCTTGGGGGCGTGGTGTGAAGATGGATCGAATCAACAATGTGCATTCGACACCTCTACCTGCGGTGGAACCAGCCAGGCATGTCACGGCAGAGGCCCGTACTACGGTCGCGATGATGGAGGCACCGACAGCTGCTACGAAATAGGGCGTCGTCAATATCGCGGCGCCGTGGACATTTTGTCCCACATGTCGACCGAGGGTACCCCAATCACCGGAGATGTTACCCGGTCATTCCACACCTACGTCGACCTCTCGAGCCTCAGCTTTCCCCACCCCAGTCACGGCAGCATTGTCCGAACTTGCTCGGCAGCCCTGGGCTATTCTTTCGCAGCTGGTACCTCGGACGGACCGGGTGCGTTTGATTTTACCCAAGCCGACAACAACACTGGTGACAATCCGATTTGGGGTGTTGTTGGCTCGTTCCTCCACGCCCCTACCGCCGATCAGCGAGCTTGCCAGGCTCCCAAGCCGATTCTCCTAGATGTGGGCGCGTCGACAATTCCGTATCAATGGAGCCCCAATATTGTCGACATCCAGATGATGCGCGTCGGACAACTGCTCATGATCATCTCCCCCGGCGAGGCGACAACCATGTCTGGTCGCCGGTGGCGCAATGCTATCGCCACTGAAGCAAAGTCTTTGGGTCTGATTGGCGATTCGGTAGAGCCCGTCGTCGTGATCGGTGGTCCATCCAACACGTACACACACTACATCACCACGGAAGAGGAGTACGGCGTCCAGCGATATGAAGGCGCCTCGACACTGTACGGTCCTCACACATTGAACGCGTACATCAACCTAACAGTGGACCGGCTGGATTACCTTGGTCAGACTCGACCGAATCCACCACTGGCGCTGGGGCCTAATCCTCCGATAAACATCAACAACTCGCTCAGCTTCATCGCACCCGTGGTGTACGACTCATCCGGGAGCCAAAGTTTCGGCGACGTGATCCACGATGTTGAAAGCCTCTACACCATCAACACCGCTTCCACGACGCCTGCTCCATCAGTCATCGCTAATGTCACATTCGTTGCCGCAAACCCCCGAAATAATCTGCATCTGGAAGGTACGTACGTCGAGGTTGAAAGGGTCGATGACAGCGGCCATACTTTGGCCACAGTCCGCAATGACGGCGATTGGGATTTATGGTTCCAGTGGCGTCGTACGAATGACATTCTGGGCACTAGCGAGGTCGATGTCTTTTGGGAATTAGGGAAAAAAATAGGCACGCCAATTCAAGCGGGAAAATATCGAATGAGATATCATGGGGACGCGAAAAGTATCTTGGGCACCATCACACCGTTTCAAGGGGCAAGTGCAACTTTTGCTGTTCAGTGAGAAAAGACCGAAGAGGTGTTTTGGACCGTACAATCTCCAAGGGTGATATAGGTAATAGTAATGATATCAAAGATTCATTTGTATGCCTTATGTTAAGGGGGGCCATATATAGAGGTGTAGAGTGGAACGATAATGTGATACGGCAGTCTCTGGAATGGAAAAACCACAATCTGTCCTTGAGCGACCCAAAAACATCCCTACATTATGGCGTCCAATGCTGAAGCGATAGTGGATTCGATCTCTGCACCTTCGACTGGGAGATGAGGTTAGTAAGACCTCCAAGGATACACATCTTTGACAGAGTTTTCCCGAGCGTTGACCGTCATGATATTGGCTAGTCAGCAGAACCACCATATCCGATGCTATCCTCCCCTTCCGTCCCTCCCTCTACAGTTCAACGCAGGTTGCAGGGAAAATTTCCTCCGAATTTAGCGGCCGGTGCCGCCGCTTTTAGAGGATTTCTTTCGTGGATTGGCCTGCCTTCCCATTCACCACGCAACCGTCACTAGGGACCAGAAACAGCCCCCCTTCAGAAACTATGAGGGATCTCTTTCTCCCCCCTCCAACTCTTTGAAAACGACGGGTAGAAATAGCTGCAGCACGTTGACTATGGCGCCTCGAAGACATAGAGGAGGTTTCCCTCCGACACCCAGCGACTCTTCCTAACTGAATCATCTAGATGTAAGTTATCTAGCGTTCAGGTAAGTCTCGACAACGTTCCATTGATACGTACACCCCCCGTTGTTTTTGAGCCGCACCTCACCTTCATCCACTGCCCTTTTGTCGTGTGCTAACTCAGGATTGGGCGCTAAACGAATGATCCCTACCGTATCCCGGCTTCGCTGTTGCTTCCTCGTTTTCAAGTGCAGAGGATTCCAGCGCCCCGCGACGTGGAGGGCCACAAAATGAAGTGATTGGGGAGAACACGGCTCCTAGCTGGTGCACGCTTCTCCTCAGTGCTTTGACGAGTAAAATTGACGGAAGACTCACCGCGGGATGCAGTGGACTAGGGCTCAGTGACCTTTATAGGATAAATCTCGCTTCGGACAAAGTGGATTGCGAGAGTTCGAGAGTTCGAGAGTGATTTGGTGATGCGAGTAGGGGAATAAGCATGTCTAACCTGTCAACGGAGGTCCAGGGAGCCTCATAAATACGAGTATGCTTCCCACAGGCCATTGTCGCTTCTTCAGATCCTTCATCTTTCCATCCCATTTCAACAGTGAATCGAGGCTCGTACTCATCAGATCTAAGTTTCGCCGCCGCTTGTCTGGTCTGTTGTTATCTCTAACTGGAAGGCTTTCGACGGCATAAACGAGGCTGCCGATTTCATGATGGAGCAGAAACAAGAAGCGGGGACTGCTCCAGCCTTCCGCTGGCTCAGTCGCGACAATCGAGGTATGTGTATGAATCCGTTGTAATTATTGTAATGCGATAATGGATAATGTCTCTCATATTCTCTCTTAAGTTCTAGGACCGACGTACATCAGCTACAATCAGTTCGATCGCCTCGCAGCCTGCTCCTTCGAGTTCGGCGCAGATGGCATTGCAGCGTCGAGCAACCTTGGTGGAGAGCTTCTCCAACTCTCCGCATCGTCCGAGAAACATGGCATAATATTCGCTCGAGGCGATTTCTCAGATTCGCTCTATGCTTGTGTTGCACGAACCCAGATGGAGGTCGGTGGATCATCCACATTTGGCCTCAAAGTCGCGAGAGACCAGAAACCATACGGCACTCCTGAGTTGGTGAATCGGTTGAACAACAAAGAACATAACTACTCGCCTAACGGGTCTAGTTTCCTTTTAGGCAAATTGATTGATAGAGGATGTTTCAACTACCGCTGGCCATTAAACGAGTATGCTCTTCTACTGAACGACCTAATTGACGGTGACGTGAACCAGCAGGTGGGTACATGTGTGACATTCTCGTTCATGAAGGACGGCGTGTGCTACCAGGTCATAAGAATCGAGCAAAACTGTCGGACCGATAACCGCACCTGGTACCTCATTCCACCAGAAAATCAGATTGTCTTCACGATCGGAGGTCCCACGTGGCTTCAACCTCTGGAACCTGTCCGGACATCCAACGGGTCTCCGGTATCGGATATCGACGAGGTGGCTGAAAAATGTATCTGGGTTGCAGAAACTGGAACCAATATTGCCTTGGAGTCAAAAGTATGGCAGCTCGATGAAGACGGCCGTTCCTACACGCCTCTGAAACTGAAAAGGCACAATGACGAGAATAGCCGTGGCATAGTTTACGGTGCCTGTGCCAAAATACCATCTCTTACCAATGGGTATGGAAGTACAACTTTCATCGCTGCCATACGCCTCGTCGAAAGAACGGACGCAACTCCTGTGGAAGAATGGCCCTCAGTTCCATCCTCAAATGACATCTACGAACATGTCGGTGTCGGGCGTTCTAGTCCAGCGGCAACAGGCGCAATGTGGGACTCCATCACTCTAGGAAGCGATCTGCGTACCGACTTGGTGTCTGAATCCACTGATACCAGCATCATTGGTCGATGCCTCGAGAAGATACTCCAGGTGGATCTTGTTCCTAGCGTCCCCAACACAGTCATCCGAGAGTGGGCGATCATGAGCAATCTATTTATGAACCCTACCATTAGCCTAAGATCCTTATTGTTTGTTCTCCTTTCTTCGTCTATCCGTTGGTCAGGGGAAGCTAGCTAACCATTCTACAGCTGGAAGGTTCGATTCCTCGTGAAAGCCCACAGCTTTCTATCGACGCTTGAAGCGAGCAGGAGCAACTCTCCGATATCCGAAGCATATAAGATAGATTCTCAGGACGACAACCACCATGGCATTGCGAAGAACGACTCCCTCGGCTTCTCTTGTTTTCATGCAGAAGATAGGGAGAACATGGTCGGAATTGCTCGGCATCAGTGCAAACGCATCCTAGGCGCTCTTGCGTCAATCATTCTATTTCTAGCCAAGCTCCTCTCGGAGCCGGAATTTCCATTCTTAACGCCCCTGATGCCATTCTCTGAGCGTTTTCCAGCCGATGAGTCTGACTACTACTACATCATGATCAGTATTTGGTACGTCGTAAAGTCAATGCCCACGTTGAAGGCGGAGTTGGCAGGCCGCCTGAGCGATTTTGACCGAAAGAGTTTGGAACTTTCCTGTATTCCTCCGGATGACCGCGACTTTGGGGAAACAGTCGAGCACAAGATACCTCTTCTCCAGTGGTACCACTGGGGCTCAATGCTCAAACTTGCCGGAGTCGGCATACTTCCGGCCTGCTGGAATACGGCTGCTATGCAGAGGCAAGTCTATCGGTTGGGTAACGCTGCACGAATAGTCCAGACAGGAAGACTATCCTCCAGGTCTCCTTACTCCGCCGAGGACGAGATCGTTGATCGTCTGGCATTTTTGGTGCGTGAATTAGGCTTGGAGCAGTTTGACGCTACTACCGAGGCTACTGCCTCGGTGTCCATCCAAATTGTGCGACAACGAGAGTTCACGAAGCAACTCAATCCCGGCACTCTACCGCCCCATGAGGACGGGCCGACTAGTGGGCCCTGGGAGCTTCAGGCGTTGTGTCACAACAGCGGGCTCAATATTCTTACCCTGGAGGACGGCAGATACAATACACAAGACAACGACGACTGGCGTGCAGACGAGCGGAGAGACGAGGAGGTCGCTCTTCACAAGGCTAGGGTCTGCTGCTTCCTCAATTCAGAAGGCACATTAGTTTCCTGCTGGGAGCGCTCACAGCTCAGGTTACGATCGGGCTGGCTACGGTCCGAAGCGACGGCCGTGTTCAGTTCGACATTGCTTGACATCCACCGCTATATCCCCGTCACTCACGCCAGACTGCAGCCGGCCTCGCCTCGTGATTCACCGCCAAGGTCTAACTCAGATATCCAGAGGATGATTCAGCGCATGATACTTGCGGAGACGGTCCACATGCGGCACCTAATGGTCCGACAAGGCGAAATTCTCGAGAAACTGGGAGGCCACGGCTCGCGCTCCATTGACTGGATGTCATTTGTCCCGTCGCGGCAGTATCACCCGGACAACTTCATAACCTCGCTTGAAGACACGCCACACCTCTTCTGCAGGCCCTTCACGGATAGGGTGACCATTCCCAAGGCCCTCAAAGAGTCCGCGATGCCCGAAGGCGAGGACAGAATTACTAGACGCCATCTTGAGGATGCGGTGCGGGACGAGCCTGGCTCCGTCTCTGTGTCAGATATTGTCGCCTTGCCGATGGATCCGAATTCGCTCTCTCACAAGACCCTCGTTTCCAGCGACCGACATATCTTTGACAGCTCACCTGAACAAGACAATGTGGTCATGGCTCTTTTTGACAGCGTGAGTTTCAGCTTTCTCTGCGCACCGTGCCCGCGCTAACAATCAGCCTAGCTAGTTGACCAGTCTGTACAACATCGAATCCTGTAAGGCCGCATATTCCATTCATTTCGCAAGTGAGATTCGCTGACCAGACATAAGCGCCGTGAGAAAGCTGACGAAGGATCTCACTCGAATTCTGATGTACGTGTTGCATCCGGAGGCGGTCACTTGTCTGAGCAACCACAAGCTTTCCGCTTCCCATTTCTCATGCCAGCAGGGATCTACGTGGACTATGAGCCTCACAGTAACAGGCTGGATTGAGGCGAAGACAACCAAGGCCTCCTCAGATAACGGATATATCTGTCTCCCAGAGGAGCTTGACAAGGTGGGGCCGTCAACACAGGAGCCACTGACAAAAGAGCCGCAAAAGCCCAGACCGTACCGCTTGTCTGTGACTTCGATAATTCTCTCGACCAACGATTTTGGCGACTTTAGCAGGTGCACTATCATTTCCGAGACGATCGATAACGGCCGCCTGCGCCGTCTCGTCAGTCATGCTGATGAAGTATGGAATCGATTCATCCACCAGCCACAGACCGCGAGATGCCTTGTCTACCTGCAAGCGTTAGGGACGAGGTGCACCATCCTCTCTGAGCAGTATCATCGCACAATCGATGAGTTCGGATCTGTTCTCCATTTCATGGTCTGTGTCCGTACTCTGGGTTTTACGCAAGGCACTGCACTAATTCCACAAATAGGAAGTCTTCTTGGTGGAAGAACTGGAGTGGAGCCATGACCGTTCGTCAGTTCCACAGTTCAAATTATCGCTATGGAGTCTTGATTCCCTACACAAGGTCCAGAACAGTCTAAAGACGACCCTGAACAGCATCCTGGACGCGAAGTGGGAGCTTATGAAGCAGATAGACAAAGCAAGGCTCGGATTTTTATTCAAGCGGCGCTTTACCGTGCAAGCTGATCCTTGTGCCAGGGAGCCGGGAGCAGAAGTGAGAGGCTGCAGCGAATGTGTCAAGAATATGTGGCGGAATTCGAAAGCAGCCTAATGGAACTGACCAAGGTGAACGACAATCTTGAGAGGCAAATCGCCTTGGCCATTCGCTTCAAGGACGCGGTAAGCTCTTGCTCGATGTCTCGCTCGGGGTAAACCGAGGGAGTACTGACACCGTCGCTAAGATTTCCTCTATGTTGGCGCTGCGGGACAGCCGAGTCGGGCTTGAGCAGAACAAGACCTCCATTTCCCAAAACAGTACCATCCGGAAGCTGACATACTTGACCATTGGATACTTGCCCATGAGTCTTGTGACTGTATGTTCACCCGCTGAGGTTGTTTGAAATTGATAATGGTTCTCACCAGTCTTTCTTCGATAGGCCATTTTTGCCATTCCGGACTCCCAAAACGTCATCTTCCAATCCATGGGCCTAGCCTGGTTCATCGGCGCCATCGTCATCATGTCGCTGGCGACTTATATGGTGGCTATCTGGATCAGAGAAATCATTAGGTTCTTCCGGTTTCCAGTGAAGCAGAAAAAATCTTCAGCCTCTCAAACTCCAACGCGAAATCTTTGGGCCATGCTGATATATCTTTGGACAAAGAGTTGGAAGATCGTGAAATATCCCCGCCTCGTCCTTTTACGAAAAAAGAGATCTGACGCGTCAGACACTGCGGGTCAAGATGTGGTATGATTACTGAGAATGTCGTCTTTTCCTAGATTGTCGACTCTTCTGTTGACACGCTGGTCAATGTTTCCATTTATAACCTTGAAGGCGGCAACTAAGGTCGTAATAGCACTGCTCGAGAATATTCCCGGCGAGGCTGTCAGGATTCTCATACTAATGACTTGTCCAGAGGTTGGAAATAATTGGGAAACAAGGTCTCTAGCCTAAAGAGTCCGCTTTAACCTCGCTTGGGCCTACCAAATGTATCTCTTCGACTAGAGTAAAGGTTACCAATGGCATAGTAGAGATAGCTGACTATTAAACACGGAGATTGAAAATATTCTTTTTTAATGACGATTTCTCCGTCACCCATGCATTTATAAGTCTGGAACAAACCCCAGAGGGTCCCCGTTACGCGAGATCTTGGCGAGGTGACATTGACCAATGTGCGCCACCGATCAGTGCGGTCGGCTAACACCAAATCTGTGACGAAGGAGTTGGAAACTTGAAGGGTTGAAATGGGTAACGGTGAAGGTGAAGAGGTAATGAGGATCGGGGTTTGGTAAGGCAGGACGGACTTGAAGGAGCCGGTAGAGAATGGATAGGGCCTAATGCGGTAGGTGAGGATACTTGGATATGCATTTTGGCGACAGAGATGAGAGCTTGGAAGGAAGAAAAGCGGTGGCTCGCCGCCCAAAGCGCAGGCGGAATTCCCGTCAACGAACGTTCGTGGTTAAATGTGGGAAGATCATGTAGGTGCCGAGGAGGGCCTGCAACCACGTGATATCACGTGATGACATCACGTGTTCTGAATACATATGTCTCGGGATACCTTCCTGTTACAGTTTTCAAGTTGCCCAGTTGCTGGGTGACGCGCAAGTTTGCCCCGCCAGACGCCACCCGGTGGCAGTCGCTTTTTTGTCGCATGGTGCTGGAGCCTTGATTCTCAACCGTCAATATGACCATATCATCCGATGACTATATTCCCAGCTCACATGCGCACTCTTTATTCACCATATTGCAGACCCCCATATCTATTCCCGGCGACAATGTCATTTATCTCAAACAATGCGGTCTAGATCTAACTTTGCCTAACCACGCGCGTTGACCACCAGCCTACTCGCTTGAGCCGTTCGCATAGGATGACCAGCATCATGGAATCACCTATTCCCATCCCAGGCTCTTTCATGCAAGAACCAGACACCACATTCCACTGCTCACGTTTCAACGCTTCAGTATTCTTACCTCCTGTCGACGACACATGTCGATCCTCCGCGGCGTCCCAACAGGGCCAACGTCAGTCCATCTCCAGATCATCTCCGTCTCACCGCTCCGAGCAGTCTCAACACAGTCGCAAGCGACAACGTCTTGATACCACCGACGATACACTCGACACTCCACTCGGCGATCCGAATGACTCTTACTTCCAAAAATGGTCATCTGGCCGCGACACGCGCAGTCCACCCCCCATGGTCGATACGAATTACCGTTTTGCCGGCGGACTTGATGCGCCCACCGCACTGACGGCTCAGAACGAGGACGATGCACATGAATTCGATTATGAGGTCGATTGCAGACCTAATCGATACCAGCAGAACCCCGTTCATTCTATGGACTCGTCCGTCCCACAGACTCCCGCGTCCAATGAGCATGGAAGGAAAAGAAGACTGTCCCGATCACCCAAGGGTTGGGGAAAGACCATGTGGGCGTTGACTGGAGGAATAGCCGGCAAAGTCTTCAACTTTTGTTGGAGCAACACATTTCGAGGCTTCTACGCCGGGGGCGGGAATGGATACCAATTCGATCTCGGAACTCCCGACGTTGCGTCCCGGGCATGGACCGAGGTCGATACCACGAATGATGTCTTTCACCATGACTACAAGGCCCCTCTTCGACGAGAGCAAAGTCCCGTCCCGGGTGGCTTTCCCGAGGACGCGGACTTCATTGACGATTACATGTCCAATCCTGTCGCCGGTCATCAGCGGAATCATGCGACTCCCACGATGAATTCGGACCAGGATCCTTCTTCCACCCTTCGAGCCAGTTGGGTGGTATTGGACGGGCCCCAGACTGAGTCAAGAGAGACAAGTCCAGTGAGAAAGAAGGCCAGAACGAGTACAGCCAACCTTCACACACGATCAACGGCCCGGCATGTGAATAGTCAATCTCATGTACATGCACGGAAATCCCCGAGATCCCCCATGGCATCCTATGCGTCGCCTCGAAACTCATTGAACTACAACGTCACCTCACAGCCTCGTCAGTCGTTGCCCGCCGTCCGCAGTGACGTCCACCGCCCCGACAGCATCCCAAACAACCACCACCCAAAGCGTCCTAGCAGCCGGGCTTCGTTAGCCTCGCCACGTCGTCAATCCGCTCACCACGTGACCTCGTCAACTCCACCATCACCCGCCGTCCGGAAATTCGAACAAAAGATGCGCCGTAAGGAAGCTAGACAGGACCAAACGATGAACCGGTTCAATGCGCAGTTACAAGCTATGATACGCGAGGGTCAGCAAGCGTTAGGATCCAAAGTTGAGGTCGAGGTCCTGGACAGTGCTGATATCGACGAAGGATATGAAGAGGGCGTTGGTGTGGAGTCGTGGGAGAGAGAATATGTCCGGCCTGGAGTGTGGTCTTAGATCGACGGCACTCGTGTATTCGTGTTCGTGAGGGTTTTGGTGTGCATTAGGGAGAAAGACACAGAGGACGTGTGTGAAGTCTAGTTGACTGGACGGAAGTTGCTCCAGGTGGTCGTTTCACGTATAGATTTCGGCCTCCAAACACCCGGCACAGACACGGAAGGCAAAGGAAGGAGATATGAAGGCAGCTCAAGTCTTTGGGTGCTTCATCTCCTGTCCTGAGCGATTGGTGGCGTCCGTTGATTGTTTGATTAATTGGTGAGTGGGTAGGTATGCCGTTTGAGCTCAATCACTCGCTGGTTCGGCGGACCAACCCACCCACTCATCCGTCTCCTGTCTCTCCCACTTACTTTGAAGGGGAAGGATAGTTCAGTGTACTTGCGTGCTTTCTTTGTGCTCCCAAAGATACCCCAATCATCCATCCGTTCACTTCGCATGATTGTGTTTTGAATAAACTGGGATTGACAGACCATGAAAATAATTCCCTCAAAGACATCAACGGTTGGCTCCTTTCCTTCTTCGGATCTCGAATGTTGTAAGGACCAATTATGATTATGAGGATGAGCACTAGTGTGAGGGTTGGGACGGCGTGGCGGGTATTTCCAAACGAGTTGAACCCCTTTCATCTCTTCTCACCCCGGTTTTCATCGGCTATCTGGTGCTCTGTTCAGGTACAATTGGTATTTTCCGGCCAATTGGTTAGTTCCAGGCATCTTTGCCCCTTTTCTTTTCACTCAACTTTTAAATTGATGTGGAATGATTCCAGATCTGCTCCGGTTATAATATTGTTGGCTCATGGCGTCCGTTCTTTGGTAGTATCGTGACACCATTTCGATTTTCACATTCATGTCATATCGTATTATGTCGTGTCTTTGTTCGTACATCTATTGGTCTCTGATCCGTCGATATCATGGCGGTGGAGTGTGCTGTTTCTGTGTCCTTGTCTCCCTTGCCTTTCCTCGAAACTTGAGGGCTTCAGATACGGTTCATCAAAGTCAATACCATTGCGGTTCGGCTTTTCATGTATGACGATGTTGTCCCTCACGCATGAGTTTGTTCCTTGGTGTCGCCAGGAGTTGAGTCGAGATTGATCCCTCTTCAGTGGGATGGCAAGTTTCGTAGTGGACTCCAGTGTCTTTTCCGGAGGAAGGCAAAAGTTATTTGTTGTCTTTGGACGTTCCCCAGTCTGACAACCGGAGATGCGAGGTACACGGCTAGGCTAAGCTTTGAAGCGTTAGAGTTTGGTGTTTATTGAATTGCCGCATCTTGAGTCCGTCAGTGGCGGGGTCTGTGGTGATGGTTGTGTTTGTCCTAGAGGCATCTTTCGGCGGAAGAACGAGATGCTCCTGTCCCTGTTCCTGTCCCTCGATTTCAGCGCGCAGAGCATCACGCAGCTGTTTCAACTTTGCTGCTCGATCATGGTGCATTGATATGCGAGCTTTCAGCTGCTTCATCAATTCGTTCACGCCGGTACCTCCAGTTGGATCACCAAATTCATGCACAGATTGGTCAGGCTCAGGCTCGTCAAAGGGCCACTTCGGGACATTCGGCACAGACATAGAATTCGAATCCGAAGGATTGCCGTCAAATATATACGTTGCCCATCGACGATCAGCGGCGGCAAACGCGTGGTTTACTTGTTCTCGCAGTGCTTCATAAGTTTGTGGAGGCATGTCCTCGATGTCGTCTTCCGGCTGGGATGCAATTTGTAGTCTTCTCGAAATGTCCCTTTGTTTTGCTTCAAGATGACTGATACAGGCGGTTGCTTTTTCTCGGATTTTCTGTCTGTGACGGAGGGACTGTTGCAAGGAGACACGATGTGCGAGAATCAGTGGGACCATATTCTCGGCATCTTGTTCCTTCCAAAAAGCCTGTGGCTTTGAATCCGTCATCTGGGCTACAATGCTCTTCTCGGTCCCTCTCTGCTTTGTCTTTCCCGTTATTGGGCTCGCTATTCTCTGCCTCAACACCACCATCGCAAACGCCGACAGCAACTCCTCAAACTTGTCCCCTTTGCACTCATCCAGCATTGTCTTTCGCAGGACCGTGTCCCTCGGCAATATCCCATTCTTCTTGAGCTCCATCAACGCCTTGTACAGCGCTGCCCGCAGATTGAGGGACTGAATCGGTGCGGTGGGGGGGAAATGTGGGGAGAGCTTCGATCGCGTCTCCTCCAGGTCGTACAATTCGAACAGTCGGTATAAAGCCCATTCTACGCTTTTGACGCGATTTTGTATCATTGGTGTGCTTGTGCTTGGAGCGCATTTCGAACTGGTCGCCGTGCGGAATGTAGACTCTGAGATGCGAGGGAAGTCCGGCAGGAGATCGAGGTTTAGAAGGTGTAGCGTTTTGATAAAGGTCATGATGTGGCTTCGTGGGCGCCATGGAGGGTGAGACGAGAAGCGGTCCATGGTTGGAGTGGACGTGAGCAACACGATCACACAAATTCTAGTTGAATGTTTTGTGCCGAACAGAGAGATGTGATGGCCCGCCAATCATTTGGCGTAAGGCTGTGCTTTGCTCCGATTCGCCGGCGGTCAAAGAACCTATCCCTCGACGGTCCCTAGCCATGAGCTCTTCTTCATTCTCACATTCATGGCAATTGAATCCAGTCTGCTGCCTTGAAGGCAAAGAAGAAATCTCTCCCTAGAGATATAGAGAAAGAGAAGGTCGGCAGGAAGGGGTTTCTCCAGTCAATTCTTTGAGTTTTGCTTAGGCCATGGCGTGGAGTGCTTGAGAGAGGTCGATCCAAGCGAGGACAATGATTCAAAGACTGTTGAAGAAGTGGACTATCGTGCTGAAGAAATGGTGACCTATCATTCACGACAAACCAGGATATTTTGCAACATTCGTTCACTGGGCAGTATCACCATCAATACGCAACAATGATGACGAATAGATAGGCTCTATCCTGCCCTCATTAGGAGAGCCAGAGCACTCTTTCAATACAAGAAGTTTGACAAAGACCATTGCAGGAAATATAAAGTTCATTGGACTTGCCTCTGCTCTTCATCCCGACTTCGACCTCGAAACATCATTCTCTCTCTTCGGCGATCGATTTTGTTTCTAGAACACCAAGCTCCTCGGATAAAATGTCCATTGACGGCACGCACACCATCACCATCTGGCTCCGTTACAACGCCTTGCGGCTGTTTGAATCTGTTCGTGGCGTACTGGGCTCTATGGATCATCGATACCAGAACATTGCCCCCCTCTCAGTCGTGTCCTCAGCCTTTGGCTTGCCTCGGTGAGTAGGGTCTGAATTTCTCCTGCACACCTGGCAAAGAGACATGGAACACGAACACCGGGTACTGCACAAGAAATACAGTTCACTCATCAAAACTGTTTCCGAATGAGCGCGCTTGTACAGATCCAGAGGCTATGAAGCAGCACCATCACACTCAAACACCTCTCATGAAGACAACCTTTCTATCCCACCTTCGGGAATCCCTCCATTTCAAAACATGAAGATAATTTTGCCACTACGGGCGAGAAACTTCGCGCCGAGAGAAGGAGGATTGTGAATTTCGTATACAGTCTTTCTAACGTTCTTCAAGATTACAGCTCCAGTCGCCCCAGGAGACTTGGGCCCGCAGACTCAGGGTGACTTCTTGACAGATCCGACTCCATTCCCACGGTGGCTTTTCCATCAACAACTGCATTGCGTTCTAGTGTGGCAATATCTCCTTCCTCTTCTGAGACATTGGGGTATTCGATTTCTTTCTCACCCGGCCATCGAATTGGGGGTCTCCCAATCTTGCCGACGATATCCATAGCCAGAGTAACTTCCTCCACAGCGCCATCTAGCCAAACCTGATGGCGGAAGCTTTCTTATAGATGCGCCGCATCAATGAGACTTGAGGACTCCGCTCTTCAATATCTGCCTGATGGATGCCTGGACGGTTTGAACCTTCCTGCTCAAGAAGAGAAATCGTTGTACCTACAAATTTTGGTCAATCAACCAATACGTCATCGCCAAAACTCCGGACGATGCATGGGTTTGGGTGGCCCTTTTTCCCCCCGCATATGCCTTTGGGCGCTTTCAAGGTTTTGGGTGACAAAGAAAGGGTGTTCATTGATCAAAATTTTGTGATCGAATTTTGGCTCTTCCCAGGTGTAGGAGAGGGCTGTTGATCCTCTACGTTGATAGGGACGAGTTTGCCTGTGATAGCATCCGTCTCGTTGTCTGAATGATTCAATGCCATGAGACGAATTTGGCTCAAGTGACTCGCAATTGTGGACTCGTCTGAAATTTGCATAGTGAAGCCTGCTTTCTATTTTCAAGGCGTCATTTCTTCTTCTGTGTCATTGGATTCAAGGAGGGGAATTCCGAGATGTGCTGGAATGGCCAGTACTGCTGAGTCAAGGCGATTCACTCTTTTGTTCAATGCTTTCCAATCTCTGCCATATGCGGGTTACCATGTGATGTTTCTCATAACAGATTCCAAATGTGCTGATCATGGTGATGTCGTCGCTTACCGTCAAACTTTTGTGCAACTTGAGATGAAGGAGCGCTCTGTTTTCTATCTACTTGTCGAGGTCCTGAGACTCCTTTTATAGACACACGAATGCTACATCGTTGCACAGAGCAACCGTCTGTAACGTCGTCGTCTATGGAGACCTCTCATCTCTATCCAACACTTACGTTCATGAGTAGTCTAGATATTGCTTCTCCTCAAAGGATAGAAGGACAGTAAGTGACTTATAACTTGTCTGGAGCGAATGTTCTTCCCATTGAGGACTAGACTCCTGACTCCATCGGCATCTTAATTGCAGCAGGTTCGCATTTAGCAATTGCGTCTTGAGTATGATTCTGTCAGACAGCTGGTGCCTAGTGCCAAGAGCCCCTATTCTGGCCTATATAGGGGGCTTTCCCCCCCAACCCATCCATAGTTGCAATCTGCACACGAGTTTTCACCCCTTCCATCCGCATCTCGCTCCGTTCGACAGATTCAGGGGCACAAGGGCATGGACAATAGCTCTTCAACAACCAATGCTTTACAGCCGCCGAATTTGGGCAGGTGGCGCCGCCGCTTTTGGAGTTCTTCTTCCAAGCCACTGTAGCCACTTATATCGTTTGATAATTGAAGCCCCAATTATCACAGCAAAGCGTTTTCATTCTCACGTGAGCGCTTGGCTGGAACGCCAAGTCTAACAGCCTAGAGAGTGACATTTATACATCCGCTCTCACCTATTCTCTCTCTATTGAAGGGCTGCTTAAGCGTTCATTGTTGGCCAGAATAGACAATGCCGGCTTGACGTGTCACCGCGGCTGGCTTGGCATTATCACCCTGTAGTGACACTTGCACCCTCAACCCTTTCCACCTACTTATGTTGACATTCATCAGAGTGTGCTTTGAGATAGATCAATCAATCAATCCTCTCTCCCGTACAGATCATCATTCATAATCTCTCCTACCTCAGTGCACCCACCTCTCGCCTCAGTACACACCTGATTCATCAACAACTTTCCCTGTCTGATTCTTCTACCTGCTTTTTCTACTCCTTCAACATTGCGCCTTCCGGCCTTCGAACCTCAGCATGAATACAATTTGCGGACCCAGCAATGGGGCACTTATATATACACCCATGTCAAGGTCATCCTCAAGCTCAACTACATCAAAAGAGACTACGGCAGTGGAGAATTCGCCACCGAAGATATCGCCCTTAGACGGATTAGAAGACGCTCGTATCTATTCGTACAAAGGGATCCGAGATCTAAAAGAACGTGTCAAATCGCAGTCTGCTGCGTTGATGGAGGGCCACACGAATCAGCAGTACCTTGTTTTCAGGGGTGTCACAAAAGGCCACCTGGAAAAGATTGACCATCAGCGTGCCAACATCGGGAAGCATACTCGGATGAGCCATTACGCGGGTAACAATCTACTAGCTATCAAGCTGATGCCCTCAGCGGCACATGAAGGTGCGCACCTCACACTAGCCCAAAGACTTCGTGACGAACTTATCATCACAATGGGCCTCCCACGAGAGTGCTTATATCCTGTTGGCGGGACAACGTACAAACTCCCTAATTCCTCTAAAGAGGGTGATATGGGATTCCGACCCCTCCCGACCCGGGAAAGGGAATCTGACCGGCCAACAATTGTTTTTGAGTCTGGACTCTCTGAAACACTTACTCGTCTGAGACATGACGCAGAATGGTGGATTGTCAACTCTGGAGATGTCAAGATTGTCATCATCATCTCAATTAAGCGAGCACAGAAGACGCTAATAGTCGAAAAGTGGTGCCCTTCTCCGCACCCAAATCCCAACGCTCCAATTCCGACAATAGTCCACGAGCTTACTATCACCCAAAATCCCACTCCGCAACTAGGTCCTACTGCTCAGTCGAATACCATCGGTCAGCCAATTGTCACCGTTCAGCCAGGCACTGCCTCAGCCTATGACGTTGCTGGAGCGCCTCTAATTCTCGAATTTGACAAAATCTTCCTCCGAGCCGCTGTACCGCCAGAAGGCGACGTCGTCTTTAATGTCGCGGATCTTGCGGTCTGGGCGGATTACCTCTGGAAGGGCCTTAAGTAGAGAGATCCAAGGGTTATGGCAGTGTCAAACTTGTGGTACAATTTGAGTTGAAGGAGTCCTCTGTTTTCTATCAAGTTGAGGTCCTGCTTCATACATATATTTAAAGATTGTTGCCATGTTTCGGCGTGTCCGTACTCAGCTCTCATAGATGAAATCCTTGCCTAGCTGAACATTCGTTACCACATATTGTCTCACAGTTCAACAGATCAAGGGAACACATGGTGGGTCGGACTATGTGCTGTGCTGTTCGGGGCAACGGAAGTACCATCCTTACCGAGGGTTCACCCAGAAGCGCCATAGATTTCTGTGAAACAATGAATACCAAGAGAATATGAATTGAATGCTCTGCTCTTTAGCAACTGGTCTTGCCAGGTTGCTGATTGAAGCGTAGCTTTAGCGGAGCTTCTTTTAGACTCCGACCCCCGGCCGCGACCCTAGGGATCAATTGTGTTCACGTGACTTAAGCCGTCTCTGATTGGCCGAGAAAATGCTAATCACATCGCGCGCGCCCGTACCTTACCTCTACACAGTGGCACCCCTTCCCTCCTTTCATGTCCGATGTTGACACTTAATACTGCTCGGCCTGTCTTCAAAAGCACCTACTCTCTTTCCTTCTCAAAGATGCCTCGGCCGCCCCAGGGAGCAAGGTCTTTTCGACCTGTATGGCCTGTCGTGACAAGCGTAGAAAGAGAAGGGCTCGACAGCCGGACCTTCGAACGCAGTGAGGGGGGGCTGGTCCCCATAAAAGACATAGTGATCAACATCGTCTACATATGGTACATGCACTGGATCCGATGGAGGATATCGTACGGCACAGGACACGGTGATCAACATCGTCTATATTTTGGAGGGGCGATATGGGGGCTGCCAAACCAGCACCTGTCTCGACTCAAATCAACAACCAACACACCACACAAAGTGGGAGCGCGAGCTTAAGGATCACTTCAAAGGCAGGTAGGTAAGAGCGTCAAAGTACATGAAGGTAGACTAATAACAATTATGCCCAAAAATGTCTGTTGCCGTCTCTGCTGTTGTTACGTCTCTGTTATGCATGTGTTTTCCTCTTTTTTCCCGCGTCTCCCTTCGAAAGAGAGCCATCTGCCTATCATTTGCACTGTTTGCTTACTATGTCACGTGACTGCTTGGCATAGACCTACCTCATACCATCACAATATATGATCCATGGACTGGATCCGATCAAGGGAGTTCTGGTAGACAAAGGCTGCATTCTACCCATTCCTGGGTGGGCCATGGACTGGATCCGATGGAATTAGCCAATCAGAGCAAAGGATTAGGTAACGGATTATAGATTTTCCGGGTTACGGAGAGTTGGCAATCACGTGGCACGAGAGGCCTGGGTTTGGCCCGTGGACTGGATCCGATGGGGCCAGCCAGTCAGAGCAAAGGACTTGGTAGTTGTCGGATTATAGATTTTCCGGATCACAAGAGGTTTGCCAATCACGTGACATGTTATGGAGCCGCATGTATGCGCCGCCAAGAATTGCCAATACCAACGTGACCGGCCAATCACGTGATTCAAATGGCTTGGCAACATCGAAACGCAGTGTGACCTGGGGGTTTGGGGGCTAGCCCCCAAAATACAGAAGTTACGCTTTTTCCCCCCTGGAATATCCTATCCGCGGCCCCTAGGTATTTACACACGTTTTTGTTGACCCCTTTTCTTCTCCTATTCCTACCCCTATATCCTATATAGGTAAAGGGGCTCTTGCTGCTGTCCAATCGTTTAACAATTTCCTAAGGGTCGGAGGGCCGCGGAAGGGTGGACTGGAAGGAGGCCTGAGAATGTAGGACTCCGGCTGATCATGTGAGGCAGGGCAGAAATGCCAGGGGCCTCAGGATGAAGAGAGATGGAGAGGTCGACGTCGAGGAGGATGAGAGAGCGGTTCTTATAGCGACGTCAAAAGCGGCAGGAACGGGCAGGCCGCCTAAACCAGAGGCAGATTTCCCGGCAACGACATTACAATCGCAGTGATTCCAATCCACGTTGGATGAGGCCCGGAAAATGGTCCCATTTCGAAATTTTAGGCTCCTTGGTGTCTGGGCAATGGCGGGTGGAATAGCACGTACGTCACCTCGTAAACAACCAGAATCAGCGGGTTCCAGATTGTTTGACAAACGCCCCGCAATCTTTCCTGTATCCTCCTTTGTCGCTGCATAACCATTGCTGTATATACATCCTAGACGGCCGCCAGGGTATAATTTGAGCGCGTTTCTAGATTTTTTTCTCGTTTCGTTTTCCCAACACCGTCTTCGTCACTTCTTGGCTTGGTCAACCCGGCACACCGACATCAACATGAGCGCAGATCAGCCTGAAGGTTTGTGTTATCACCCAAGCTGAATGCTTTTGCAAAGCTCATTAGACTTGACAGCACTCTCCCAGCCTCGGACGAGGACATCGCACACTTCACTTCTCCCCAAACCCAATCCATGGTCGGTTCGAGCCGTCCTCAAAGATCTTCCCAACCCCCCACTAGAGAATTCTTCCTCCCCAATCTCATTCTTTCACTATGTTGAACGGTTGAAAATTGAGAAACGAGAAGGATGGCGCAGATTTGGCATCTCGGGAGGCGAATCCATTGGCGACCACATGTACCGCATGTCCTTGATCACCATGCTTGCTCCCCCAGAATTGTCTTCTCGATTGGATATTCCCCGATGTACAAAGATGGCGCTCATTCACGACATGGCTGAAGGACTTGTTGGAGATCTGACACCTGTCGACGGCGTACCAAAGGTCGAGAAGAACAGACGCGAGGCTGCAACCATGGATTGGGTCGCTCAATCATTACTCGGCAAAGTCCACGGTGGCATCCCTGGCAGAGAGATCCGCGCAGTCTGGCAAGAATACGAAGACAACGAGACTCTTGAATCGAAGTTCGTCCACGATGTCGATAAAGTGGAGTTGATCCTGCAAATGGTTGAGTATGAGCGCGCCAACAATTGTACCATCGACCTCAGCGAATTCAGTTGGGTGGCGAGGAAGATCTACCTTGAAGAGGTGAAAGCGTGGGCTCAGGAGATCCTGGATGAGAGAGCAGAGTTGTGGAAGAGCAAAGATTTAGCACCCAGGGAACCTCAGACAGCCGCGATAATCAAGGAACAACAAGATGAGTATTATGGTAACGGAAATGCAGAAATGAATGGATTTGTCGAGTGATGAGAAATGGTAGAATGAAAAAAAAAAGAGAGATGAAGTGATACGAATTGAGACGGGATGAGAGGAGCAGCGTCACCAGTGATACCCAGAAAGCAATAGATCCTGGAGTTATGTCTTGACCTCTTCAATCCAGGGGCCTACAGTATTCTATGGTCGTGAAATCTATCCATATCTCCTCAGTTGACATGCACCGTGACCTATCATCTTTGCTGTTGTGGCTGGATCTACACGCCATATCATAACTATTTGTCCAGGCCACGAAGTCGACTCGATCGAAATGTTCGATCCCAGCCTGGGGCATCACCCTGATCAGCCTGTTTCTGAAATAACAATCCCTCTCTCTACTAGGAGGATTCCTCATCTCCGTTCACATGGTCCTTCTGCATCTCGGCCCTCAACCACTCCGCTTCCCTCGTCATCTCCTCCTCGCTCCTCGGTTTCCTATCACTGTCCGGTCCACCAGCAAAGTCTCTCCTCTGCTTAGATCTTTCGCTCCTCTCTCGCTGCATCTCAAGGAAGGCGTTTCCAACATTCCCTTCCTCCCCATCCATGGCGTCATAAATCCGATCGCCGCCCCCTCTATGATCGTAGTCACCTCTCCGCCTCGGGATGACATGGACATGGACATGTGGTACGGATTGGCCCGCATCCACGCCATCTTGGACCGCCACATTGAGAGCACTAGCGGAATATACCCGTTCTAGAGTCCGTGAAACGACCCGGACGGTGTTGAATAGATCAGCGGTCTCCAAGGCGGTGAGCTGGGATAATCGTGATGCTGGCCGCACGGGGCAGATGAGAACGTGGCCGGGAAGTAAGGGTTTGAGATTCACTAGGCCGTAGGATAGACGAGAGCGGGAGAGGTAGAAGACTTGAGACGAGACGGAGAAGGGGCCGAACTTGAGGTTTGGTGGAAGACGGAGAAGAGGCATTGTCCTCTCTCGTGCCGCGTATTCTGAATCTGAATCGAATCCTTGGCCCGAAGGCCGAGAGGACATGATGCGCGTGCAGAGGAATGCCAATGGCAGATCAACTCATTGAGGCTCCGAGTCTGATCGAGACCACGGTCCTGCCGTCAGAGCCGACAATTCTTTCACCACAATACCTCTCTTAGTAAGTCGGCCACTGGGGATACAGTATGTGAGACAGCGTCAGCTTTGGGTACTCAACATCTTAGTGCTTGCAAGGTAATCCTAATCTACGAGAGAGAAAAACTTTCAACTCGAATTCCAAGTCGTAAACACCCCGTTCTGGAATCTTGGCACGCCGCTTTAAACCACGCTCCTACAGCAATTACCTGGAGGAGCTGATAAAGGTGTTGATGAACATAACGGCACCACAAGTGACGTTAAGTTCCTGGAAGGTCTCCGCTCTACTCCAGTCCAGTCAAGGTCAATGATACTGATTTTAACTCCGCAAGTCAGTCATCCTGGTGACGTGTGAAGTTTCGGCTAACGGACATGCTGACGGGTTTTGTATGAAGGAGGATGCGGGCAAGATTACGCCAACATCACGAACTTTGCCGCTGCTTGTGAGCTGATTTATGATGCACCCAGTCGACAAGATGGTGGTTCGTCACTGATATTCGACCCTGGATCTTCATGGACCATTCCCATATATTCGTGCATCACCGCTGCCAAAGCGCCGATCAAGACCATGTCTTTCAGATTTAATAGCACAGACGGTCTCTCGAGTCTGAAGGTCATTGGCTTGAGCGATAAATCCTATGCGGGCGAGCTTTCAATGCCTTTATGGGCGATCGAAAACACCGATCTCAAGCTAGCGGATGTAGATCTCTTATGGGGTCTTGTTCCTACTGAAGGTGTATGGAACATCAACATGTCTACCTTGCTGAAGGAGTCATTATATCTACCAAGGAAAGTTAGATTTGGATTAATCGATATTGCCTTAGACAACTTCCCCGGGGGAAATTTTCATACGACTGTTCTTACCGAGGGCTATGGCACGGGATCACCCGACGAGAGCAAATTACCGGCAGAAACAGCTTCACATTATTCAACAAGTGGCAACAGTTATCCCAACACGCGTCTACAGCGACGAAGATCCCCAACCAGATCTGACCGATGCAGCGGCAAACGCAGTTGTTGGGACGAGGAGTATGGTCTCGCCCAGTGGAGCCACCGAACTGCCAAAAAGGGATATGACGGCAACATCGGGTGCTGATACAAGCGTAGTAATAGTTTACCACCAGCGGATCGGATACTACCGCATTCCTGCCCTTCTCGCGCTCTTGTGAGTCCTGGCCATATTCTTGCCGACAGCCTTCATCCTCATCGGGGCGGCCCGACCATCGAACCTCCGCTCTTACCTCAACGGAACCTCGGTGGGCCGGCTTTTGACATCATAATTGGATTGGAATACAGGGGACGTCTCATCCTCGGGGACGGAGGAGTCCGCTGCCGGAAAACAGCAGATTACTCGCGCAGAAGCGGTAAGCTATGTGGCCGACAAATTCTTTGCGCTCGGCGAAGGAAAAAAACGAAGTTGTTGGGTAGACCGAGGCATTCTCATGGATAACAACCGCCATTCCCAAGGGGTTGATAAGGGAGCACAGATCAATGCTTGCGAGACAGGAATCTGGCAATGCATCACCATCTCATGTCCAGGTTTTCGGTCGCTTAATATATTGACTTGGCTCGCAACTTGCCCTTTCGGCCTGGTTCTCCGCCTCCAGGACCCGGAGATTGCGGTCGGCTCCCTGTGCCTGTCGACTTCCCTTCTGACGTAAATCTTTTAAGAGATACGACGGTGCGTGCGTAGATCAAGCGCTATGCGCTATTCATCCAGACACTCGTTCCCATCTGCCCGGCCCCTTACTTGATCATCTTCAGATCTGAGTTGATCTAGTCCACGTTCGACAAGGCGTCCGTCCTTTCAAGTCTTGACACTTCAGTCAACAGCCCTTTCATTACTTTGTACTCATCCTTGATTTCGTTGATCCACGCATGAATTGTGGTCTTGCACTGCGACGCAGTTGACTCAGCCTCGCGCAAATTTGCCATATCAACGTGAAAGAAGCCATGACTGCTGCAGGTCGCCAAAGTTAGAACTTTGACGGCATATTTGGACATGCAGCTGTCGCATAAGTCGATGTCCACACACTGCCGGCAAACGTGACGGCCGGAACTAATTGTGATCTTGCGGATACAACTATTGCAGCGTACGCGGCCAAAATCCGCCAGCCCACCACCTCGGCATTCGATGGAGTGGCGAAAGGCTAGTTGTGCATTCTTGTCATCTTTCAAATAGACCATGGATCTGCCAAGCCAATCAATGATATCTGCGTCTTTCATTCCCCAGTATTCAGCTAGTTGAATCAAGCAAGCAGTGTTTGATTGCCAAACAAATTGATCCAAATCGGCCATTCTCATGCTTTTGCACAGAACTGCAGCAAAAACACGAATGGCAAGTGGTGAGGGGGGCTTGTTGGCACGGAAGATATTTTGATAGACGAAGAGGGCATGTGTGTATATCTGCTGTGCCGCCTCTAGTTTACCCTGATCAGTATATAGAGCGCCGAGGCTGTGAGCCGTATTGAGAGTCAAGGCGTGATCGGGTCCCAGTGCTTTTTCCCTCCCAGCCAGTGCTCGCATATACATCTGCTCAGCCGCCTCCAGTTTACCCTGATCAGTAAATAGAGCACCGAGGCAGTGGACCGTGCTGAGAGTCAAGCTGTGCTCGGGTCCAAGTACTTTCTCTCTCCCGGCCAGTGCTCGCATATACATCTGCTCGGCCGCCTCCAGTTTGCCCTGATCAGTATATAGAAGGGCGAGATTATGGATCGTGCTGAGAGTCAAGGTATGATCACGTCCGAGTGATTTCTCGTACCCTTCCAGTGCTCGCATGTACATCTGCTCGGCCGCCTCTAGTTTCTCCAGATCGGCGTAGAGAAGGCCGAGATTGTGGACCGCGCCGAGAGTCGAGGTATGATCGCGTCCGAGTGATTTCTCATACCCTTCCAATGCTCGTATGCACATCGGCTCTGCCACCTCGAGCTTCCCCTGATCACGATATAGAACACCGAGATTGTGAACCGTACTGAGGGTCAAGGTGTGATCGGGTCCAAGTACTTTCTCTCCCCCTGCCAGTGCTCGCATATACATCTGCTCTGCCACCTCTAGCTTCCCCTGATCACGATATAGGGCGCCGAGATTGTGGACCGTACTGAGAGTCGAGGGGTGATCGAGTCCCAGTGCTTTTTCCCTCCCGGCCAGTGCTCGCATGTACATCTGCTCGGCCGCCTCCAGTTTGCCCTGATCACGATATAAATTGCCGAGATTGTGGATCGTGCTGAGCGTCGAGGTATGATCGCATCCAAGTGATTTCTCGTATCCCTCCAGCGCCCGTATGCACATCGGCTCTGCCACCTCGAGCTTCCCCCGATCACGATATAGAGCACCGAGATTGTGGACCGTGCTGAGGGTCAAGGTGTGATCGGGTCCAAGTGCTTTTTCTCCCCCTGCCAGTGCTCGTATGTACATCTGCTCTGCTTTGTCGTGCCGATCCCACTGTCGATGCACACCTGCAATGATGTGGGCCGCATCTATGACTCTCTTTTCGGAAGCCATGCGCTGCCATAACGTATGGAATCGTGGGGATTCGAGCTGTTCTGCATGCTCCAATAATCGTCGACTGGTCACCCAGAACCGTGGGCCCGACTCATCGTCAACACTACAAGTAACACATGCCAATGCCGTGAGAAACAATTCCGGTTTCGGCGGAGTATTAAGACCCTCGACGAGCCAATCGTGCAAACATGGGTGGACTAGGTACGAGCCTGCTGCTACATCCACCAGATTGTAGTCGTGCAGTTTCGACATGGCTCGCTGAAAATGAATCTTGGTCTTCGTGACACGACGCATCCATGGGACGTCATCATTGGCGCCCGCTTGGATAAGTTCATACCAAATGTCTCGGTTGCCGAGATAAGCCAGAAATGTCAAGAGCTCGGAAGCATCTCTATCCTGCCTTCTGACTTGATCTAGGGAAAGAGTCCAGGTGGAAGACATGGTGCGTGCTTCGTACTCGAGGAGTTCTTCCATCCCAACTAGGTCCATCCACGCCGAGTTGTAGAATTCAATATATTCGTTGCATGAAATGTCAGCTCGTCCTAGGTAGGTCCCTGCAGTCGCTAGAGCGAGAGGAAGGCCATCTAGTCGTCTTGCCAGGTCCAATGCGTCACTATCTGGTACCAATTAGTGAACCAATACGAGAAAATGTTGAATCCACTATATGTCTCACCGCGTGAAAGGTCTCGGCCTGACCGCTGTGACAAGATAGCCACGCTCGTATGGATGTTCTCTAATTTCCCGAGTTTAAGTTGCTTGCTAAAGGTCAATTTCGTCGATCTGGACGTGATGATAATGTTACCTTGAGAACGGGTTGGGAAGAATGACCGAATATCATATCCCGTTGCCGACCGAACTCCGGGGAGATATGGATCGTCGTAGTTGTCAAAGATAAGGAGCCACTGATCGTTGCCGGGCTTTGACAGCCATCGCAGGACCTCGTCAATCTTGCGCTTCACGTCATCCGCACTTCGAGCGGAAAGGTCCGTAGACTCGTGGAAGATTACCGTACTTAAATCTGCCATTCCTTGTCTGAGGATTTTTTCGTCCTTGGCGTTCACCCAAAATACCGATGAATAGCAACAACAGTCCCACACATGTGCTAAGCTTAACTGTGTCTTGCCTATGCCTCCCACGCCGATAATGCTAACAACACATTGACGATTGGGATGATTGGCTGGTGACAGCCACGCTCGTAGTTGTTGCAACTCGTCCGTTCGTCCGATGAAAGCATCTGGCTCGATCTGAGGGGCTTGACCCAGGCATATTCCAAACGACTCTGACGATCCTCTCGGCGCTACACTCAACTTCGACAGCTCTTGTAAGATATGAGTACCCATGTCGACGTGCCTCGTGGTCTGGTGCAACACCAGTATATCGATACTCTTATGGATCTTCTCCGACGCTTGACATACTTTATCTTCCTTGGCCAGGCTCTTTAACGCCTTCAGACCCCGTTCGAGCTTCGATACGCCTTGGGGTGGGAGGATGTCGGATAAGCATTTTTGTATCACTGATACCTCTGTCGATGTACTGCTTACGACAGCCTGCAGTGCTGTCGTCGCGTCATCAGGGAGGCTACCTTCCTGCGCCTGAGTTTGGATATGTCGAAGTGTCGCAGTCAGCAAAGGCAGTTGAACCAAAAAAGAACGAAACAATTCAGGTATGTCCGAGGATTTGGAGGTGAATCCGTGGAGTCGAGACACAACTTTGGCGCTAGCATCAATGAGGGAAGCAATGGAGGAGACAAGTCCAATGATGGCAACGGCTTCAGCCATGTCCCCAACATCGACGCTTACTCGAGCGGCGACGGCTTGGAACAGGAACACGTTTTCTTAAGTTATAAGATTGACCTCAGCGGTCGTAGGAAGTCGCATTCCGTAGAAGGTCGGCTGAGCCAGAAGGGCAAAGCACTTTTGGCAGAGCCTCAGCGGCAGCCTCGAGCAATTATTCTGCATGACCGCAATGCGCGCTAGGCTCATAAAGGTCTAGCGGGATTGCCCCAGAATCTCCGTCATGCAATTGTAAATCAGCGGTTTTCCACCGTTATGGAAGACCGCAAAGTCTGAGACCAGATCCTGGTTGACATTGGCATGGTAAAGCCCAGACTCTTTCAACATACGCCTACGCCAGGTTGGTTGAACGTGAGATTCACTGGAAAATGCTTTGGCCGATGTGAAGCCTTCGACTTTGATACAGTCTCATCTGTGCCTTGTGAGAGAAGCCTTTCCGATGCCAACGGGTCAAGGTGTGGGATCTTCACCACACATGGTTCTTCGAGCCTGGTAATAATCTATCTCACATGACAACACAGCCAAGCAATCAAAAAGGCCAAATGCACGTCCTGATCTTTTGCTCTGCCTGTTCCAATTATCGTCTTCCGATCTGGCAAATACCTCAATCATCTCGTCCGTCAACTCTTGAAGAGCTACTTTCGCATCGCGGTATAAGTTGTGGCCCACGGCATCCTTGTCAGAACACAACGATCCTAAACGAGTCCTGAAATCGTTCATAATCTGCATGCCATGCATAGTCTTTTCGCCATCGTCCTGAATTTTTTGCCAAGGACTCGTTTTATCAAAGATAAGTGGAAATGGCCTCGGCGACGTCGACCCTTTGATCAGCGGTAATCCTGGCCATACAACACGGAAGTCGACCATTAGCGCGTGAAAATGAGCTTCTCCAAACTCGAAGATGCGCCTTGTGATGTGAGAGGGTCCAATGTCTCTGTTCGTTGGTTCTTGATGCCACGGTAGCGGCCGGTATCTTTTTTATCAACCAACTTCCGGGAGGCAACAAACAGTGCTTTATCGAAGGAATCCCTAGTCGTCCTTGTGCGGTCTTCATTCGACATTCTTGAGGTGTTCTCCAATTCTGGTGGTTCTAGAGTCTCTGGCTTTGATCCCCAATACTGGATGAACGAGGGAAGTTGTGGTCGAAAAGTGGGAGCAGATTAACTGACTGCGAGTCTGTTGTGTCAATGATCTTAGTCAGGTTCTCGGGTCGACGAAGATATTTTCCTCGTGCAGATCATTGTGCCAAAGTGACGGAGCGGTTATCGTGGGATCACACGCCGAACAAAATGAAGATCTTTGAACGACTCTGCCCGGACTCGTTGTAGGGCACCCGTACCTTGGTGAAAGACTTGACGAAGACAGGTCAATGGTGAATTGCTTGCTCAACTCGATCTCCATTGCTAAGTAGTTAGGAGTTCTTTGTGGCCGTGTTGTTTGAACGCAGTCAAATGATTGCGGGAAGCCCGGCGGCCCCATTCGGACGACACCGGGTTGAAAATAAGCTCCCCTCTGACGGGAGGCCAACGGGATTGATTCGGTAAGGAAGAAGGGAATGTCACGATGGCAAAGTTGACTGAAGTAGTCCGTGTTGTTGTTGGCTATCTATACATTGTTCTCCAGAGGGTTGCGCGGCAGAGCCGGAGTCGAGAGCTCCATGGCTAAGTGCCAACCAGACATAGTGAGTGTCACGTGACAGTCCACGGCTAGCCAATGGGCTTGACGCCCGTAGGAAGAGATGATACAGACAGAAGACTGGTGATAAGGATACTTAGGGTGATGTCTCTATTTGAACGAAGGAACCTTCTTTGACTGTGTACCACTGCCGGTGCAGGCCATTGATATCTCGGCTTCAAAGGTACCGCACTTCGGACATCTCCATGGTTGCGATTATGTAAGTTCAATCTCTCAATGCCAACAATCTTTCTCTTTCTTTTTCTCTCTTCTCTCCATCAGATGGTTCCTGTCTATTAGAGGAGAATGGGTAAGAATTGAATAGATTGAGTGGCACGTTTGCAGCCCTTCCCTCACTAGACCTCGTCTGTCTCTTATCTTTCCCTCCTTGCGCTTCTTGCAAACAGCCTTTCGCGTAACAAACCCAACAAGAGCAAACAGGACATCATATAACTCATAACCACATTTGTATCTCCCAACCTCAAAGGACCTGGCAATTGCGTAGAGCTTCTCATTGCTCTACGGGCATCATACATCCAAAACCCTCTTCTTGTACCTTTGACTATTCCCAATGGTTTCAGAACTGTCCATCCCCCGCCTCGACACCTCCTCTCAAACCGGGACCTTCTATTTCGCCTACGGCAGCAACTTGTCCGCGGTTCAAATGTCCATTCGTCTGAAACACACATCAGCATCAAGCATTCCAGTTGCCATCGCTCGTCTTGACAACCACGAATGGATCATCTGTGAACGAGGCTACGCCAACGTTGTCGCCTTACCACCGTCTGATGTCGCCACAGACGCCAACACCGTGTGGGGAGTGCTGTACAACATGAGTGCGGAAGATGAGGCGATCCTCGACGGGTATGAGGGCTATAACGAGGCAAGAAATCCTACACCCGTACTCAACCCCGACCCCGCGACGCAAAGTATCAAGAGACACCTACAAGGCGGATGGGATTATAACAAGCATTTTCTCCCGATGACGGTTACTAAGTGGTTGAGGGATCCTAATGAATACGGAGTCCGTGTGCCAAATTGGTCTCCCGCGGCTGAACACAACACGACCATCCGGGCTCTCGTCTATGTTGATGAATTCCGCACAGGTAAAGGCCAGATTGGGGCTAACTACACTGGAAGGATGAATCGAGGTATCGACGAGTCGGTGAGCCTGGGATTGCCGCAATCATGGGTCGACAATGTGTTGCGCAAATTCATCCGAAAAGATATTTACCCCCAAGACGGATATGTAGGGACGGATAAGGGCTATGTTGGCACAGATGATTAAGTGGGAAAGACATTGAAAAAAAAAAAAAAAAACGAGTCCGAGAGTACAGGTGAGATATATGCATATGTGCTCCAGAGAATCAGAATAATTCGCTCGGAAACTCTCTTCAAAACGAGCCGTCACAAAATTGTAACCTGGCTTCCAAATGATTGGACTCTTCCCGCCACAAGATTTTCGCTTGGGTCGCGACATAAGGCTCGGCGGCAAAAGGGGTGGAAGGGGAGACTTTTTGTCGAGCGGGGATCATAAAAATGGGTACATTTCTCGGTTGTTTTTAGCCGCCCACACCCCCAAGTGGGAAGATCAGAGCTTGGCCGCTCGAGGTTTATCACAATGATTCGAGAATGAATCTTTATCCCTGAAATGACTTACCTGGGGACCCCCCCAAAAAGCGCCAACTGCAGGCCGGGCTTGAAGAAAAGGAAGCCTTTTTGCGGAAGTTGCGCCCGATTTCAGCCTCATGGCTGGCACGCCCCGAAAGCCAACAATGCGCGCCAGCGCATCATCTTCGTATCCTTCATAGATCCTGATCGCTGTCAATTTCCTTTCATCTTTCCTTTCATACATCCCTAATCAGCTAATACGTACTTCCGTAGCCAGAAGGACTCCATGTATGTACTTCGCAGGTACTGAGGTTGCAATCTTTCCACTCGACAGTGCCGATTCAACAAATCCGAAATCCCCCCTCACCAAACCAAAGCTTCTAGCCTTGAAGAGCTTCTCTAGTCCTCACGGCCCCCATTGAACGTCTGAAGCCCAGCAATCCATCCCACCATCATGCCTCCTCGACCCTATGAAGATTATCGAATCGGCTGGATATGTGCCCTAAGCATAGAGATGGTGGCCGCCCGAGCGATGCTGGATGAGGAACACGGACTGATCCGCGGACAAGGACAAGACACAAACACGTACTACGGAGGACGCATACATGATCACAACGTTATCATAGCGTGTTTGCCCGCCGGGGTCAGTAGCTTGGTCTCCGCCACGCATGTTGGGAAAGACATGATTCGCACCTTTCGTGAACTGAGATTTGTCCTCCTCGTTGGTATCGGCGGAGGTATTCCCGACTTACCCACCCATGATATCCGACTGGGGGATGTCGTGGTCAGTCGACCAGGTGAATCCCACGGTGGTGTCACCCAGCTCGACAAAGGAAAAGCCATCCATGGTGGCATTTTTCGACGCCAGGGATCTTTGAACGCCCCACCCAACACCCTTTTGACGGCCATTTCGGCTTTGGATGTGGAGCACAGGCTGAATGATGGCAGCACGAACATATCAAACTACCTCTCAGATATCCTCCGCCGCGGCCCTCACATGAGAAGCTATGGTTATCCAGGCGTCGAAAAGGATCGTCTGTTCCACGCCGACTACCCCCACCCCCCAGAAAACCCTACTTGTTCGAAATGTAATTCCGCCCATGAAATCCACCGAAAACTTCGCTACAATACCATCCCACAAATTCACTATGGGGTCATAGCTTCTGGGAATTTGGTGGTGAAGAATCCCGTTTACAGGGAAGAACTACGCCGAGATGCCAGCGCATTGTGCGTCGAGACGGAGGCCGCAGGTCTGATGAATATCCTTCCATGCCTGGTGGTGAGGGGGATTTGTAACTACGCCGACTCCCACAAGAATGATATTTGGCATCCATATGCAGCTGCAACTGCCGCCGCTTTCACAAAGGAGTTGCTTTTGTATGTGTCGACGGATCAGACGGATCACGAAGAGCCCATCAGCGAGAGTTTAGGTCTATAACGCCCCTCATCGAAATTTGAAATAAATTCTAACATCGTCATATCTGGCAGGCCACATTCAACAATATATCGAATACCAGGAACCTTTCCAATGTCAAGAAGCCATGGAGCAAACGCGAGACAATAGCCGAATGCTTCAAGCGAACCAAATCTATAATCTTGATGCGTACGAGGAACAAAGGAATCATTCGCGGACCACATCCGCTGGTTTACTGGAAGATGCGAAATATTGACCACGACACAAGAGACGTCGGAAAAGATTCTTCTTTGGGTCTCAGCTTGGCAGGGGTGTGGAGAGTTTGATGCTTTCAACTTTGTTACCTGACCGTGATCTTCGGAAAGGCGATATCTGTGTCCGTTATATCTGTGGTCACATCTTCCAAGAGGTCGAGAATTCGGATCGTCTTGCTCTTGTATTGTTTGCCATCATTCATCAATTTATTCGCAAGTTAGCCCACGTCCGCCTGGGGATGCTCTACCAAAGTCATGGGTGTTACCGTTCTCAGAATTCTTGAACCGGTCTCCCTTCGACCGAGTCCCGTACGACACGGCAATGGGCCACGGAGATATGCCGAATCGGTCTCGCATTACTAGGACTTATAGCCAGGATCCGAAACGTTCAGATCAAATCTCATCATGATTCCCGAGATCTCCTCCCTAGAGCTTCAACCATTGATCCGTCACGGCGAATTCAAAGACGCCCACCCCAAGTATTCTGCCGATGCTCGCGAGTTCGGATCCAAACCATAATCTCTGCTTGAGGTCCAACCCGTCAAGGCACGAAGCAATGCTCAAAGGCCACGCTGCGAGCGTCGCCAGATAAGGCTTGATTTCCTTGTCGGTGTTGAATATGATTTGATTCTGATCTGAATAGTCGGACGAGCCGGTGTCATCTTTTTCTTTGACTTTAAACCTCTCCAGGATGAACGGTATACTGGATGCCAAGTCATCTGCCGTCGCGTTCAAGCGTGACAGACACTCCTGCCGCTGTTTCTCGTATTCGTAGGCATCACTCTCACCCTCCAGGTTTGAGTGAGGCGTTGGTTGACGGCGTTGTGGACATAGTAGCAGTCCCAGAATCTTCAATCGTGCATTATTGATTAGCATTCTGGTGGCGAAATATAGAATCCAAGCAGCCGGATGCGCGGGACTCGCGTAGCTGTAGACCGTCGACGAGTAGAAATGTTCCTTTTCTCCGTTCCTGCTGTTCCCGTCCCCGAGATGAGGATCTGTGGCCGTCAGGGTATGTTTCTGATAAGACCAAGCCCGAGGGAACCGGCTCGTCCACTCGTGCAATTCCGTGTCGATGTCTCGGGCTTCATCATTCAGTTTGTCCGCCGCGAGCAACATCTCGTGAGATAGAGTCTGCGTGTGTGACTGACGCTGGACAAGGACGGCCAGTTCACGACGCAAATTGACGATTCGAACGATGGCGCGATCATAGCCCAGATCCAAACCCTTCTCGCCATACCACCGGCCCTCCCACAACCATTCGGGCAACGCGAGATGTCTAAGCACCGCCGACCTAATCATCCCGCGTCTCAGGTACTTGATGATCTCCGATGGCGCCGCCTGCTTGGGACTTTGGCTGTGGGCTAAATACTGGTGAGGACAGTGGTGCTCCTTCCAAATCTTCAAAATCGCCAGGGCCCCATCGTGATGCGCGTAGCTGTTGGGCGAGTAATCCGCTAACCTCATGACCTTCCCGTTGCCATGGGCCATGTCGAATCTGCAATGGTTCGAGTCCTCAAAACGGCTCATGAAGAAAATGGCCAAGAGACAGTCGTCGATGTTCTTCGCGTCGTCGACCAAGTTTGGGCTGCTGATACTGGTGCGCATCATGGCCAGGAGACGCTGGTACTTAGCACTGGCTTCTATGGCGGCCGGCGGGTGGTGTTGAGTGCGCGCGAAGACGGCGAGGGCCATGGATGAGATCGCTAGGTCGACGAGCGGATTGCAGTGCTTGGTGCCGGAGAGCCAGGAGCCCAGGTGGTCGTGAAGGCCCCGTGAGATGCTAGGCACGGTGTCTTGGGCGTACGGTTTGGCGAGGTAGTAGTGGAGATAGTATACTAAAGCGCGGGTGGAGAGGTCGATGTGTAGGGAGCGATACTGCTGTAACTGCTGCCCCTGCTGCGGCGTGTTGGAGCTATGTTGGTGGTGGTGGTGATGGTGATGGTGATGGTGGGTACCCGTCAAGGCCGAACGAGGACCGCGAGGGCGTTTGGTGTTCCCGCTGGCATAGCGGTTTTCATTGTGGATCGAAAAGTAGGTCTGATCGGTGGATTGGCCCCAGAGGCAGACACGGCGGGATTTCTTGCAGCGTTTGCATGTTGGTTTGGTTTCGTCGCACTGGATCAGCACCGAAGGGGGAGGACGTTAGATGTTGTTCTGCACCCCAGAGTAACGAAGGAGAGAAGGGATGTTTTAGGTAGTGGACCTTGATCGGGTGGACTGGAGGATTCCCTATCCGTATTGCTCACCTTGATTCGTCGGCTCTTGCATGTTTCGCATCCCGCGCTTGGATATGTCATGACAATACCTGTGCCTATATCCGACTTAATCTGCGACGGTTGTTTGATGATCGTGGCCGTGGTCCAGAGTGGCGCGTGCGAAGGCTATTGGGGCTGTGGGGTGTCTGCCGAGACTTCAGTATTGCGTCAATTATTGAGAGGTTTGCTCCCAGGGAGATTAGCTGGGCCAAGGGGCCTTTCTTTATATTGATTCCTTTGTTTTAACGTTTCATCTCCATCCTGAGAGTCTGGGGAGGAGATGCACCTGACGGGATGCACTCTATACACTCCGTTCTTCGGTTTTTCCGGACGCTGGTGTTTTGGCCACCACGGCTTAACTCCTAACTCCATCCCGCCAATGAATTTATCCATGAAGATAGCACGTTCCCCCGGCGAGGACGACATTCGTTCTCGAACGCTCGTGAGTCCGAAATGTTCTAATTACCCGCTTTGGAATGGCAGAACATCACGTTCAACTCTCAGGGAGTTCCCTCGTCGGCGACAATATCGAATGTATTTTCATCACTCATCCTCGATGCATTTCAATCGTGCTCAGTTGTGACTCTGCCAGGCTCTTCCGCCGTTCGCGTTTCCATCCAGAAACTCGTCACCCAGCCTTTCCAACTTGTCTTCAGGGCATCTCATCTTCTCCTACTCCATTCCTGATAGACTGTGGAGTCTAGAGAAGGAACGTGTTGTTGTTGTTCTATCTAAGAGAGAGCAAGACGAAAAAGAAGGGCGCAAGTTGCCAAGCCAAACAGCCTCACGTGACGTTGCCAAGGCAACCAGTCACGTGACTGGCCAACAATTCCCACTTTCGACACTGTTCCCCAATCCATTTCTTTGCTTCCCTTCATGCTTCATGATTCGCACTAGGGGTCGCAGACAGGATATTCCGCGGGGGGTGAAAAGCGTAGCTTTGTCTTTTGGGGGCAAGCCCCTAAACCCCCAGGCTCGCTGCGCTCGAGAGATCACGTGATTGAGCCGGCCACAGTGGCCTTGGCAACTCTTGGCGGCGCACACATGCGGCCGTACGACGATTCACGTGATTGCGACCCCTCGGGATCCGGAAAATCTATAATCCGGAAAATGCCGAATCCTTTGCTCTGATTGGCTGGCGCCATCGGATCCAGTCCATGGGGCCTCTCGTATCACGTGATTAACCAACCCTCGGCAATCCGGAAAATCTATAATCCGAGAATTACCTAATCCCGTGCTCGGCCCCATCGGAGGCCCGTCCAGGAGTGGGTAGAGCGCCGCCGTAGCCCGGAAAATCTATAATCCGACATCTAATCACGTGCTCTGATTGTATAATTCCATCGGATCCAGTCTATGGCCCATCCTGGAGGAGTGGAATGCCGCCGTAGCCCGGAAAATCTGTGATCCGACAATTACCTAATCCTTGTGCTCTGACTAGCTGACCCATCGGATCCAATCCACGGCCCACCCAGGAATCGGTAGGGGAATGTATCGGGAGAGCGACCACCCACAGCGAATCGCGTACAACAGCGACCTTACTAAACACCAATTGAGCCTAGTTGTGCGAAGGTTGTCCGCATGGTGGAAAGGTACCTGAAACACTCCCCATTTTCCTAGGGGTTTGAGGTACCTGTCCATCCAATTTGTCTCCTTCGCATAGTTAGCGCTTTTTGGCCTTCATTGAAGGACGTCGTTAAGCCCTTTGACAGCGCCTTTTGCACTCGATTTCGGCGTTGTTGCGTGTCAGGGTGTCTCTGTTGTCTATGAAGCTTTTCTATCGTCTATACAAATCGCGAATCGAGCAACAATAAGGTAAAGAGCTCGCAAATTCCAAAGGTATGTGAGTACCTCAATTTTGATGTTTTGGTTCCTGGGGGGTTTGTTAGGTACCTTTACATCATTGGTTGCGCCTTTCCATCTACTATGCCAAATCGAGCTTAAGGATATATTCCCCAAAATGGGCGTGAGTGCAAAAGACTGTTAACGACGTCGTTGAAAGAACACCAAAAGGCGCCAACTATGCGGGGGAGGCAACAAACCCCTAGGAACATGGTTGGGTTTTTAGGTACCTTTCCATCGTGCGGACAACGTTCGCACAACTAGGCTCAATTGGTGTTTAGTAAGGTCGCTGTTGTACGCGATTCGCTGTGGGTGGTCGCTCTCCCGGCTGCGGATGCCAGCTCTCCTTAAAGAACTCGGAACAGATTGTTGAGAGAATGGATGCAGGAGTACATGCACACTGGGCTATGGAGGCTTGCCTACCTGAGACTATCTGAGGATGAATGAGTGACTTAAATACACAGTTGCTTGTTTCGGCAGAGACATGTCTACCTGCGTGGCCCTAGACCATAGCAGGCTGCAATACAGGGATGGAGCAGGCACATGGGCCAAGCAAGGAATGAAGATGCTCGCCATACCACCAGACCAGCGATCTCAAGACTGGAGTCCTGAGTCCTGCGTCCGATCATCGCGATTACAGGCAATCAAACAATGCTGAAACAGCAGGGTCTACAGGGACGTTGAAACCAATTGATTCATTCTACGCCCTATTCTTGTGCTACAAGTAATTCCTCTTCACTACGTGCTAGTGATACCCTGTAAACCCTCTGCATGTTACAAAAACATGCGGGGTCTTTTGGGGAACCGATCATCCTGGGTATCCTGGGGAATTTCCACTTCCTTTCTCTTCGATCGGGTATTGCTTGCTTCCTCTTCCTGCGCTTCGGTATCAACCACTCCGCGTTCTTTTCCTGCCTTATCCACAGCTCCCCCTTCTTGCTCAAATCCTTCATATCTGAAGCCTTCCCGAACCATATGGAATGATTTATTTCTTAGAGAGAGTCGGTCAGCCAGAGTTTCGCCCATTTTTATTGAGGCAAAGAACCGCTCGCTCGAATCTGTAGCATTCATGTACTATGTACTGTAAGCAGCCAAAGACGGTGTAATCGTGTCCTCGCGAATGGATTGCCCATAAATCAGGTCGCAGTCCACTTTCGCTGTGCATCACTTGAACAAGTGGAGCGTAAGCCCGGTTGCTTCTAACCACTCCCAGATCGAAGAGGAGGAACAGGATCGGGTTCGTCATCTGATTAAAGACAAATTTCGTTGGCTTGCGCTCAGAGCTGATCGCCTTCGATTTGCCGAGATTCGACGTTTCCGGGCTGATATTCTTAAAGTCCTCCTGGAAGATCTCTCGGGGTGTTGTGGCTTCTTTCTTATTCTTCACCTGTACTAAGATGACTCCGTAATTCGATGGGTCGAACTCCTCATCCTCCGAGCCATAGTACACGGGAATAAGCAGATCGTATGTTTCCTGGTTCCAAGATAGCTGCATCGCAGCGCTTCGGCGTAATAGGTCGCGACATAATGCAGGAATGACCTCGGGGGTAATCTGTTCATCAGCTGGTATAAAATGAGTGAAGTTCATTCGGGCTTTATGTATCTGCTCCGGTATCTTTCGAATTGAATCGTGATGATCTCGAGCATATAATGCCTTGAGAAAGTCGGACACAGTAAAGGTTGATGCAAATTTCGGGACACGGTGTAATCGAATGCTTCGAGCCCATCGAACCCAATCGTGTGCCAGGATCAACACTAACCGAGCATAGAGTTCTCCTTTGCGCCCCTTTTCTATTAATCCTTTCTCAAGCAGCTCCTGACAGAGTGTTTGAATGCTACGCGACCAGTTCGCGTCGCAGAGATACTCCATTGCTGCCCTGGCTAAGACAGGCTCTGATGGTGTCACTGTGTCCATCACTCCGGTCTCATGGTTCATGGATATAACCACCCTCATGAAAGAATTCACAGCAGTCCTTGTGAGAGAGATGGTGCAGGGGTTCTGTAGACATACATCCAAAGAGAGACGAAAGGACAGCGCAGCAAATACGTGATTCCGGTTAGATGCATTGTAATTTCCCCCTTGCTGGCCGCCAATGAGCTTTAATTTGGCCAATTTGATCATATCATGGCCCTCATATGCATATGCATGCCAAAGAGGCCTGCCGAATTGGGCCATATGCCCTAGTTCCGCAAATGTCTTCAACGGCTTAAGGAGCTCCTCTTTTCTTAGTATTGGATTCTGCATCCTTCGTCGGTCCTCGATGTCGAGCTGGAGACTCACAAATGGGGGAAAGCGCATCAGTTCGGCGGGCCGTGTAAAACTGACACGAGCGGAACGGTCGCGAGAGTAATCGCCAGTTCGGATGATATTGTTCGGCGGTACAAGGTGTCCGATGAGAGATTCCGTTGAGAGGAAGAAAGACCACGCACGAAACTTCTTCAGACAACTGATGATTCGATTAAGCGCCACATAGAGTCCGGTGTTTGGTTCGTCAGACGGCCGCATTCTCATTAAACTTGACGCCTCGTCGAACACGATTACTAAGAGCGGGCCCGTGTCGCTTGTGCCTCGACATTGTTGAAGAATTTTCATTAGGTTTTCGGCAGCATTTAGAAGACCGTTTAAGGGATTGGGCCGATGTACACTATGCGCCATTTCGAGTTGATAGTGAGCCTTTGACGGTCTGTCATCGTCGAACTTCCCCGTCCAATCCTGGCTGGAAATTAACCCTTGAGCGATAGCTCGAGCTCTCTTGGCTACCGAATCGCAGAACTCGATGCGTATCTTGGACCGCTGGCTCTTGGCGTCTTGAGCATTAATAGCTGGTTCAAGTGTTGCCATCTCTGCATGCCTGCTATCTGCAAGCTCTTCTAGAGTCATCGTGGTAAAGGGTTGACTCTCCACCCAGGTATTAACTGATAAGATTAAATTAGTGAGAGTTTCGATGAAAAAGTATCGACAACGTACATGTCTCGAAACTGGCTTGGAGTAACGCCGTAGCGAGAGTGTGGTTCCACACTACAGCTGCTCTCCTCTCCACAAAATCACTAGATGCTCCCTGTCGGTTAGTTGGGCCGGGGATATTATCTGGTGGCTTGTCGCGCAGAAATGATAATATCTCTCCATCGGGAGGTGGAAAGCCGGTAGTTCCAGGCTCACGAAGAACGAAGTTGATCATCGGACAGAGTTGGCCAAAAGCATCCGCTAATCTGGATTTACCCATGCCACTGCTCTGGACGAATACCAAGGTGTTTGCGTAATACTCGTTCACATCGAGTAGCTGGTATTGCCGAATGAGGTCCCGTAGCGCAACTAGGGAGTGCGGAAAATAGGCACTGTTCCAATCTTTTTGCAGAGCATGAAGAACAGCACTTGTCTGAAAGGAGGTACGTACGTGAGAGGCGGCTTTTTTATTAGTTGTTTTCTTCTTCGCCCGACTCGGGAGTACCTTTTCGTACTCTTCCGGATGGTTTTTCTTCAGCCACTGAAGCACCTCGATTATATCCTTATCTTTTAGATTCTCTTCGTACTCTTTCGGGTATTTTTCCTCCACCCACTCGAGCAGCTCGTTCATATTCATACCTGTCGACTTTTTTCCGGTGTACTAGACTTTGCCTGGGAGGCTTGGGAGACTTGAGAGCCTGACCCGGTGTGCCCCGTGTCCGGTTCTGAAGGGGTGCTCATAGTGATGCTATCTAGAATGGCCGGACGTGACGAGAAGAGAGGCAGGAAGCGAAAGCAGAACGGGGAAGGCGGAGAGTAGGAGCGGCAAGCAACAGAGGCGGCAGAGGTGATGAATCAGGCGATGAGAAGACGGTCGATTGATTCTAATGGACTATTCAGTCTGTTGAATGATTGGTTCTGTCCATCTCTCTCGGAGCACACAAATGAGTGGAAAGGTCTTGCCTTAAACACCAGAGGGGTGACATAGCGAACGTGACACGCCAAGCCAAGAATAGGCGACCCCGCAGGGCGCGACGCGGTACACGTGACATGCCAAGCCTGACAGGGGGGTGTTAGTCACACCACCTTTTATTATTCTGTGATATTGGTAATGAGACATTTTGAAAATCAAACCGATAATGCTTGAACTCTTTGGTGAATCACAGAGGACGAATGAAGCGCGGTCTGTTGAATGTCAATGGCCCTTTGATGGCATCCGATATAGATAGGGAGGTATATCCGGACAAGGCTTTTTCGACGGGTTTCGAATTGAGTCTCTGCGATCGGATTGTTTATATATCGGAAGAAGATAGCTGGATTGTGGCAAGGCGAGATTGGGTTTCTTCGAGCAACGAGATGAATACACACTTTGCGAGGAGCTCGAATTGAGTATGCGCCGCAAGACATGCCGCGGGATCACTGCCGACTTTATCCTCCACACAACAAGATCTTCTGCTGCCAACGTTCTACCAGGTTCTAATTATTAATCGTCTCGCCAGATGTTTCATAGGAGTTGCCAACCAAAGTATATCTTGTTGGTCACCTTTAGGCGACACAGCATGGAAACGGCAACGGGCACGATCGCCTGAAATCCGTTCAATATCTGATCAGACCGAGTCGGACTTGCCCTTGTCTCAGAGACAAAATGTGTTTTGAACGAGTACCTGATATGATTGGTATTGGTTTTCGGAGTATATACTAACTTATTTGCCGTTCAAGTTGAGACGGATATTAGCAGTTTGACAAGTTGGAGTCCCATCGGTTTCAGGGGAGCCGTACTGCATCCATGGATGGATGGCATTCTAGTCTTCAGGTTCAGATACTAGGTACCTTTCACCAGCACTCTCTCCTCCAGCGGCTTGACCTCCTTTTCTTTCAAGTTGTTCCGGGCATCATCCGCCGGTGTCCCAAACACCAGCTGCGCCTTCAACGCCCAGTCTGGACTCACGCTCCAAGTCTGTCGGACCATACCGTCGATATTCGGATTATAGTGCTGTAAATTGGCGCCCAGCTCCTCCGCCTCCAGCGCACACCACAATGCAAACTGATGCATGCCGGCACTATGCTCGCTCCACTGCTGGAACTTGTCCTGCGGAATGATACCGTCGTACTGCTTCGCCAGGGCTGCCACGGTAGCTTGGTCCTCGAAGCACAAGATCGTGCCGTAGCCTCCGCGGTACTTGGCTATCATGGGAGCAAAGTACGTCGTGAACACGGTCTCGGGGAGAACCTGCGACATGATGGAACGCGCCTGGTCCCAGAGCCGTTGGTGCTCTTCGCGCAGCAGGATGAGGAATCGGGCGGATTGGCTGTTAAAGGGGGAGGGGACATGGAGGGTGATGTGCTGCACGATGTCGATGATGCGCGAGTCTGGGATCGGGGAGGTGGCTGTGAGGTCGTAGATTGTACGTCGGTTTGCTATGGCTGAGAGAAGGGACGTTTTGGAAGCCATTGGGAAGAGGTCTTGGATGGGGAATATCTGTTGCTGTGGATATCGACTACCAAGAAACTCGCAGAGAAGGGCTCCTTAGGCCCTTGGGCCATGGTTACCGGGAGTCTTATACGACCTCCGTACCTTCTTCTTCCTCCCTCTTTAGACAGATAACAGAACATTTTGCCTGCATAAATGAGTCAAGGAGCCAGGCAGCACTCCTTGGCGGGTACCCGCTCAAGGTTTTGGAATACGGCGGACTCTCGAATCGAACCCTTCATCTGATAGCTAAGTCTTCGATCATTTCAGACCCTATCCCACCTTTAATCTAGAATTCGTCAGACCTCGAACTCTCGCGTAAACACGGGCGAGTTACGATGTCTCCGAGGAGTCTCCGTCATCCGGAAGCGGAGTAAATGAGCGTGCAATATGAAGGAGCAAAGGTGTGGTGTCGACTAGCGGATAAGGGGCGGAATAGTACTGTACCCGCGTAGTAGCTAATACTATTTCTTCCTGTTGCAAAGACATGAATATGAGAAAACAAGCGGCGCATGTAAAGGGTCCCGCTACGTAAGTACCGTAGGTCCACGACATGTACAGGTCGAAAACATAACGCCATAGTGATGCAGTGTCATGGATGTCATGCAACGCAATGTAACCAAAAGTACCACCAACCCTTTCTTTCGCTTTCTGTACATCAGACACCCACACATCCCACTACACGTGTCTGAAGGCTCCCCTTTTTGTTCCTATAGTATCACGAATCAAAAATTGAGAGGCCTGTAATTCGGAGGCATGTATCCTTCTCGAAAACTCCATTTTTTCTTCTCCACACCCGTTCAAAAAGCAATTCTTCCCGGCGCGCTGGCTTGACTGATTTCCCTTTTTGCACCTTGCTTGTCTTTGGCAAGGAGTCCCCCATTCACAGCTCCGGGTTTTCTTGGACTCTTCGACCCCATTGTTGAACTGCTATTGCCACTACCTTCGACTGATCGCTTCAGATTGACACTCCTAGCACGGTCTCTTCGAGCTCGAATCTGAGCGAGGGCCGCTTCTCGAGAAATTGGTGTGCCCGGGATATTCCCTAGGATGGATGTCGTGACAGTATCTGTCTGCCTATGTGAGCCCATTTCGTTCACCGTAGAATTGAGTCGTGTGTTCACATTCGGACCCTCGGCTTGGGCATCGTGATCTGGGCTGAATACATCATCATCTGTGTCGGCAAATCCTCTCAACGGCACGCGAGTTGTGGTGGTCGTAGTGGCTATCGCCTGTGGTGGACTCCGATTGGGAGGTCGCGCCTGTGTTTGTGCATGCTGTGCTAGATTATGCATTGACCTTGAAGAGTGGTGCAGAGGCGTGACGGGAAACACGGTATGCGCGGCGGGTGAGGCCGATGCCTCGTGGGCGAATCCAGATCCCACATTGGAGTCACCGGCGTGAGACATGACCGAAGACACCAAAGGTGAGTGACTTCGAAGATTGGGTTTGGACTGTGTTCTTCTGTGCAGACTTCGAGGTGGTGAATCTTTTAAGGCCACTTTCGTGGTTGTAGTGATTGATTGGGTCATGGTGTGATGGCGATCATTTGTCGGCGTTTTTGATCGACGGGCTTCACGATGAGATGTTCTGACCGAGCGTGGTGAATCTGGAACAAGGCGAATTGGTGATCCCAGGGTCACTATCCCCATAGCCGTTGAAGGACGTCGAGGAGGCGCTTGTTTGGGAGGTGAGAGATCAAAAAGGTCGTGGTCAAGAGCCACCGAAGCGTTTTCCACCGGTCGAAGTGGTGGAGCTTTGGTTCTGAAACCAGGGTTGCTGGTAATGGATGTCGAAAAGGAGAATGGTTTCGAAGCTGTTCCCGGCTCAACCAAGACTTGTGTGATATCTTCCAAGTGAGCGGTTGACTCTGGAGTGTCAGCTTTGGGATCCAGTTCCATTGGCTGTGGCTCAGGGAGGGGTATTCCAACAGCTTGCTCCAAAACCTGTGGGTCGGCGGCAGTGGAGAGAAGTTCTGGTGTCGGTTCGGGGGGAAGTCGAGTAAACTCTCTCGTCCTCCTCGTTGCTTTCGGTGTGTCTTGTGCAGACGCACCATTGTCCGCGGCAACGTGCTCTCCTGGGTCTTCATTCGATATCCTTTTCTTTTTGGACGCCCGTTGTTCCTGCACACTGGCTTCATAGCCGTGATCATGAATAAAACGCTCTCCATTTGACTCAGCCAGTCGGCATGGACAAGCATTGAATTGACACTGCATGTGCATAAAATGAATCAAATCCTCATCTTCAGCATGCCGTTTCCGTGCCCAGTTCAATTCCTGTTTGAGAAACTCAACCTCTTCTGCCAATGTGACTTCTTGTCCTTCTATTTGTTTGTCGTAGTATTCGAGACAGAATTTGATAGAGGCAAAGGTTGGGTCTCGAGGCCCCAGGGGCTGTGTGGGTGCTTCCACGGGCGTACGTTCCGAGACTGTCGTGGATTTGAAGGCACTTTCGGTCCCATTTTCGTCCACCGTGGTTGAAGACGGGGGGATCTCTTCCTCTTCCTCCACACTTCTCGAATTATTCTTCTCCTTATGCTCTAGAACTGCGCTCTTTTCGATAGCACCTGCCTTGGCCTCCAATAAAGCAGCATCTCTCTCCTTTTCAACCACTGTCAATTGATCTTTGAGTTGTTCCATTTCCCCTATCATACCAGCCAATGCATAGGCCCTCTCAAAGCTTTCTTGTCGACTTTTCTCCTTCTCGGTTTTCTCATGTTGCACTTCGGCCTGCGACCGCTTCAATTCACCGCGGACTTCTTGTAGATCCTGTCTGGATGCCACAACCGCCAATTCAGCACGATACGTCTCCTTGCGACACCTCTTAATTTCTTTGGCGTAAGACTCTTGATCTCGAGCCCTCTTCTCTTTTTCCGCCTGCAATTCCTCCAGCAAATCTTCCACACGCTGGGATAGCAATTTTTCTCTCTTCTTCCTCGAGGTCAACTCTTCCTTCGCCCGTTCGAGCTCCGCAGTCAATGTGGCTAAGCTCGCCTGGGCCTCTTCATAACCCATGACAGCCCGTTGGAGAGCATTGTTCGCATTAGCATTATTACTAGGGTGGATGTTTCCATTGCTGTGTGTATTGCTCAGGGTTGCACCTCCCAATCTTCCTGCTCTGGCGGGAGATGACTGAGCACTGGCGTTGGCAGTCAGACTATTCAGGAATGCAACTTTGGATTGAACATCGGAATTGAAGGAGTCCCGAGTCTGTGGTCTTTCGCTTTCGACAAGATAGCCGTGCAAGGACGGAGATTGGGGTTGACGTTGTTGATTGATGCGCTCGGGCGACAGCGGGTGGAGAGGTGTAGGAGCACATTTCAGACGGTTTGGACTGATGCTCTCCATATTATTATCAACAAGTAGAGCTGAGTCCATGATATATGAACGTCCAACAAAATTCTTACTGTCATAAGTCACTCATGGTTGGGGAGTGTGTGATACGAGGAACGGTATGCCGCAGACTTACGAGCAACGGATTTTGTTTACATCCCAATGGGGAAACGGCAATCACCAGCCTTGGCAGAGACAAGATCACGTGCAGAGGAGGGATTCGTGCTCGTCCCGAGGTTGATTTTCATAAACTGTTGATAACTTTCGTGTTCATCAATTTTTTTCATCTGTATTGATTCATGATCGATGCGCATTATCAATTACAGGCAAACTCCATCAAGCCGCAGTATACGCCCACTCTTGCAGAATTCCCATGTTCTTCCCCCATCTGCAGGGCCATCCCGTATATTCTGTGTACAAAGTCCAATCCATGTTCCCATGGCCATCCCAAGTTTAATAATCTTACACGTCTCAAAAGGTCCCGAGGTCTGTTGAGATGTTTCACCCAACTAAAGTCCTCATAGGTTCATCTTCCCTCCTCTTCCCGTCATCGACTCGCGACCCCCAAACCTTTTCAGGTCGTTTCGCAGTTCAATCGAGAAAAAGAAAATTCCCGTCGATGAATCTCGGCCGTTTGAAACCAAAAAATATCATAAACTCAATGCAATGCATGACTTAAACACCGTCGTCCCAATCCTGTATTTCAAGAACTTTTTTCAAGAACAATCCATCTCCACATCCTCCCGTCGTTGCAAGAATGGAGCATCACCAAAATCCATGGCTTCCATACCACAGCCCATCATGTGTCTATGCCCGAAACCACCACCAAATTGAAGTTTTTGTTGTTGAGAAGCCAAGTTGGAGAATGGGTTGAATGCAGAAGTAGGAGGCATGGGAGGTTCGGCCGGTGGCATCATTCGGTTGCGACTCTTTGGCATGACGATACGCCGACCATTGCATGGTGGTCGGGCACGATCACCGATTTGAGTCATGGGGCTGACATCGCTCATGGTGTCCATGTCGATAGCGAAATAATCCACCGGCATATTCATTCTGTCATCGGCCGTCAAATTCGGGGTCTGAGGGAACCAATCCTGGCTATCATCGCTGTCCGAGTCGGCTTCATAACCACGCTTGTGGCTGGTAGAATAAGACCAGAGCGATTGTTTGGGGACAGACGGGCTGGACCTGTCGTCGCTATAATGGGAGAGGAAATCCAGACTGACACCGCAGTAGGTGGCCGTGCTCAAAGGTTGAACCTGAGAAGCGGCATATGGACTCAGCTCGTTGGCCGAATCAGAGTTGCCGGACGAGAGGGCAGCTTGAGTTTCCGGAGAAAGTCGGTGAATGTCGAAAAATGGACGAGGAGTGAATTTCTTTTGTTGCGTCTTGTAGCCTTCAGCAACTGCCTTCCGGACCCGCATACCGACCTGGAGGAGACCTGTCTCGATTTCGGCCCGATCAGGGGCTTGTTCACAAAGCTGCAACAGCAATGGCGAGTCAAAGGTATGATGTTCAATGTCGGAATTATCTGAGACAGGCATGACCGGAGGGAGGGAGTTTGGTGTGAAGCGACGACGCTTAGAGAGGGGTGAGTCGGACTCAATGGAGGGCACTGGGGCCGAGAAGTCCTGTGGGAGACCCATTGAGCGGAGACGGAGGGGAGTACTGGGGGGTGGGTGATGTGGAACGAATGATGAATCTTGCTGAAGAGTAGATGTCGAACGCGAGGGATGTCAGATGGAAAAGAGTGTGCTGGTCTAGGATCAGGAGACGGCTGAGGCTGCGGGAGGCGTAGGTGAAGGACTGATGAAGAGGCGCAGTCAGGAGATAGGCTGATGGTGGTCCTACTAAGTGAATAGCAAGAAGAGAATGAGTGGATTGAGAGTGGAAATATTAATATCGGTTGGATAAAGAAGAAGCTCCTCAAAGAGTCGAGAAGAGGAAGAGAGGAAGAAGAGATTTAGTTTGTAGGAGGTCAGACAAGACAAAGCCTAGGGGTCAGAGGGTGGCAGTAAGAAAGCAGGCGAATCCGGTAAAAAGGCCGTTTAGAAGCGCAGCAGTACGAGGAGAATGCAGGGTAAAGGAGGGGGGTGGGACACGGTACGACGATAGCGCACGGATCGTGTCATCTCAGTCCTTTTTCCTTTTCTCTCTATCAAAGTTATCTTACCCTGAATCTGATGCTTCCATCCTGATTCTTTGAGGTACACTGACTGGAGTGGCTGGAAGCTCGGCAAAGATGAAATCAGCCCCAGCCACGCTAAAAAATTTTTATTAATAGTGGTCCTCGCTTCCGCCGCTAGTTGGAAAGACCTCAGGCCTCTTCTCGGGCCTTTTCAGGTTAGACGATTGCTAGTGGGCGGACTCGCACGCAAAAGTCCGGGGCTGGGGATGCTGAGGCTTCTGAAACGTTAAAATGGCGAGGCGATTGGTTGGCTGAGCTCACTCGGTATTCCGCGTTCCTGACAGAGTCCAAGGGCGTCTATTAGCCACTTCATGACACGAACACGACGCGAGGGGCTTCCCATTTGCATGCATTGCCGATGCCCAGACCTGAGGGCCCCAGTAGGCTCAGCCGCAATGCCAGCAAGGGATGGCCAATCTCACTGGCACGACCATCCGCAATTCAAACCAGGTTGAGATGAGATTGCAACTCAATAGGCAAAAACGCAATTACCAAATTTTTTGAATTTTCAGCCTCGATTCCCTCTCCTCCCACCTTTCTTACTTCTCTCTGCATGCGCCCTCAGGATCTTCCGATGCTCTACCAAACTCCTCTTCCCTTTCGACCTGGCCTTGCTCAGAGTCATTAGGAAATTCTTCTTGCGCGCCTTTTCTCTATTCGTTGTACTCTTCCCTTGAGTCTCCTTACGCTCCTTCTTCCTTGCCGCTTTCGATTTGTGTTCCTCACGATCCTCTTTATGTTCTTGCAGTAAGGCCAATTTCTGCGCACGGGTTGCCTTTCCCCGGGATAAAGATGCTAGACCTTCAATTTCCGCTGCTGTCAGTGGGTCATCAATGTGTCGTTGAGAGTTTGTTTGATGGTTCTGTGCCGCGTGATGCGATTTATGATTCTTCATCAGCGAGGATACCGAAGCGGTTGTTCGAAGTTCCTGCAGTTTGGCCAGGTCGGCGGGTGTCAAAATCTGACTGGTTGCAAGATCCGATTTCGGAGGTTGTGTTGTGCTCTGGGGTTCTGAATCCCATTCCTCTCCTGCGTCGAATCGAACCTTCTTCGCTGTCGGTTTCCCGTCTTCACATTCGCTTTCACGGTCACTGATATCGACTTCCTCATCACTCTCCACGTTGATCCAACCACCAGAATCATCACTATCATCTTCTTGGACCTTCCAGGCTTCCTCATCTTCATCGTCTTCGTCTCCATCGGCGCCATCCTGCCTTTTCTTGTCTTTCTGTTCTTCCTTCCATTTGGCAAGCAACTCGAGGCCTTCAATCTCACCAGCGGCCTCCTCGCCAAACCTCTGTTGTTTTTGCTCCCCTGAACGTAAACCGAGAGTCGCATCTCGGCCACGATCTCGTTTCTTCAACATCTCTGCTCCGACCTGTCTGTACAAGCCCAGCAAACCTTTGGCAGCCATCATGACTCCTTTGTCTTTGCTCTTTCTATACATGACCAAATCTTGGAGTAACGTGTCATTCATAGCCAATGGCTGCCGAACACAAATCTCTCGAATTGCGTTCAACCCGGCGGCAGCAACCTCTCCAGCAGCTGCCTCCGACACAAACTCGTTCGCAATCTTCTGGACCAGTGGCTCCAATATATCCGGTGGCACCAGATTATGCGTCGACTGCGCTAATGACGCCAGAAACGACGTGACTGAAGGCTGGCGAGGAGTAAGGTATTTGAGGAAGTAAGAGTAGAAGCTGATCACCGTCAACTTGTGTAACCCAATCAATCTTGACACGAGCTGCAGAACCAGAAGTTTCTGCTCCAGGTTCAACTTCGATCTGGTATTCTGCAGATGCTTCGAGAACAAGTTCTCCGCAAAGCCCTGTGGATGGTGCAACAGATGCAACGCCGAAAAGTTCAATGGATGTGGTTGTCCCTTTTTCTTCTCCTTCCGACGAATGGTTGCCGCCGCTTTCTCGAGTTTCCTCGCAGCTTTCTTGCTCTTTTTGTTGATTCCAATCTGATGCCGTAGCTGGTTCACATCCACCGGATCTTCATCTGAACTCTCATCTTCCAGCTCCTCGCGTTCCTTGTCGCCGCCTAAGAAGAATCGTACACCTCCGACGATGCATTTTTCGTTGTCGCCCAGAGATACCTCTTTCATGATCTCGACCGCCTTGGTATCGGTCCAGATCTGCCGTTTCCACATCTCTCGTGTAATCTTGACCGCCCATAATGCCTTTGGCGACGACCGATCTTCCGTAACTAGATTATGCAGAGCAGTCTGCGCCACCCGATTGAGTTTATGGTTGACGGTCTTGGAATTCGAGGAGCGCAGGTCACTGACGATCTTCTGAAAGAGCAGCGCCCGTAGAGCCTTGCTCGGCGTGGATATCAGGATAGGGAAAAAACATTGCAGCAGTGTGATCGAATCGACCATATCTTTCTTCCGAAGTAAAACTAGACTGCCCACGATCTTTTCTCTCAGCTCCGGTTCCAGTGTCGCATGATGTGTACACAGGATCTCGATCAATTCCCGAGGGAACTCTTTTGTCTCCTCTTTATAGCAGTCCGATACATGTGCCACGAATTCGATCAAGTCGCGAAACGAAATGACTCCGTTGTCTGAAGTCGACGTGGGTGCCTGCACAAAAATCTGTCGTTGGTTTTCATATTGAATGTGTTGGGACAGGAAATCGCTATGGTACGAGGCGGGGTCTCGTTTGATTTTGTTCTGGAGGTTTGCGAGGTCGGCGTCGACTTTTTCAAGGGCTCCAAGTTTTCGTTTGACCATTCTCAACTCTTTATAGAACCTCTATCTAAGGGAAGGCTGTCAATCGAAAATTCATTGAACAAGCCTGAAACACCGAAAGGATTTCGCGGACATTTTTTCCTACCGGAGATCTTATCTAATCGACGATGTGGTCTAACCAAATACGGAATCGAACCTCCACAGCTGATTTTCTCGTGAAATCAGTCGGGAGGGTAATACTTATGGTCTCCAATCGAGCATGATTCTCAGATTCTATGCTCTAATTCCGGATAGATGTTATACTCGACAAATCCTCCTCATGCCACTATCATACCCCCACCCTTCCGATCCGACGCAAACCTTACACCACAGTGTATCCTCTGGATCATATTTCCTTTTAATCTCCTTCAATTTCTCATAATGCTCTCCCCAGAACGCGCGCTGGAAATCCGGCTCATCAGGATTCGCCTCGTTGAGGTAACATCCCGTATCCAGCGCCTGGTCTCGCAACGCTTTTCCCAGCACATGTGTGACTCGGTCTTTAGCCTCCTGCTCGGCTGTCGCGTTATTGTACGGGAATCCAACCGTCGTGACTAGGGATCATTCATAAGCAGTAAGTAAGTGCGTCTTCAATGGGAATTTTCTGCCGCTTGGGTTGGGTTGGGTTGAGTTGAGTTAAGTTGTACGTACGGACATGCAAGTACGCCCTCCTCCAAGCAGGATTGACGCTGGTGTAATTGACTTGCACCTCACGGACTCTCGGACCCGTCACCATCAAGCCCTGAACCCAGTCCTTTTGCAAGACTTGAAATGTTCGAGTCAATGAGGCCTTGTCCGAGACTGCTTTGCGGTCCCAAAGTCGGCTGGCCACGATGGCGTTCCTGCCGACCGTCCCATCACTAGCCGTGAGATCATACAGGGTAAGATCCTCCTCGGTCGAGAAGTGTACCATGATGCCATCGGTATTGTTCAGACTCATCAATATTGGATCCAGCAGGCTTGTTCTTTTACCCTCGGGCGGATCGAGCATGACCCCAGAGAACACGAAACCCATGGGTTCTGCACTCGCCGACAGCGGCGGTTGAGACCCCGTGGCCAATGCTTCCAGGAGACTCAAAGGGTAAGTAGAGACCTGGCCCATGACTCCCGACTCCGAAAGGTGTGGAATCCCTGTCATTACCTCCGTGAGCGCAGCATACCAGTTTGAATTGTTATTCCTCGCAGCCTCATCGTCCGTCGAATTGAATGCGATATTGAATCGGGAGATGTTCACCTTCGGATACGTCTTGATGGTCACGCTGAGGAGAATACCAAATGTCGCCCCACCACCCTAGATACAATCGTGTGTTGTCAATGTTGAACACTCATCAACGACGGTCTCGTTTCGTCATTTTGGCACTCACCCCTCTCATCGCCCAAAACAGATCCGAATACTCCCTCTCGTTCGTAACAACAATCTCCCCACGAGGTGTCACAACCTCCATCTCCATCACATTATCCACTCCCAACCCAAACCTCGCACTGATCGGGCTATGCCCACCACCCGTCAAGAATCCGCCAACGCCAACATTCGCATCGGCTCCCAGAACGACTGAAAGCTGCTTTTTCTCCGCTTCCGCATAGACGTCGCGCATACTGTGACCCGCTGCTATTTTCATCGTCACCGGCAAACCTTCACCTGTCCTGCCTCCCCCGGATTTATTGTGAGAAGAAGAATGAGGAGGCCAAATCTCAATTCCACGAATATGTCTCGTCCAGACTGCGAGGCCCGGCGCCGTCGAGCGGCCGAGAAAATCGTGTCCGGTGCCCTTGACCGAAAGCCGCACGCCATGCGTGCCCGCAAATTTGACTGCTTCCGCGACGTGTGCGCCCGTCGAGGCATTAACGACGTATTGCGGAAACACACTCCCGTCACATGGTGTGTCTGGTGAGAGCGTCAGAGAGCGCGGCAGACAATTATCGCCCTGCACATTCGGCCAGTCGACACTCACGGGGTCCGCGGCGTGGAAGCTCGAATTGGCCCACCGTGTACCGACGAGTGTGCAGGTGTCATTGTCGAATGCGCTGGAAGACACGTCGCACGCTTTGCCGGGTGGGAGGGGCGCGAGGAGGTTGCCGTCCACGCTGATATTGAATGCTCGCCATTCAGCAAGTGATGGCCAATCCGCGTCGCCTGGCTCGGTCTTGCATTCACGAGGCATTGGTGCGGGAGATCCAAGCGTGGTAAAGCTGATCGTTTGCGTAAGGAGAATCGACGCAGCAAGCACGATTTGGAAACTTGTGCGATGAAACATTCTGCCAACGGCGATGGATATCAGTAATAGAAAGGGCAAATTATGCGGAAACTTATCAAAGGTTGCCGTGCAAGAAGATTCAAAGTCTGGCTCCCCAATGTGTCCTTCATGAAGGCATGTTTCATATTTCTTCCTCTACCTCAAGTCTTGTGGTGGCGACTACGGCAAGCCCGGATGAACACATCGTCAAGGCGCCATCTACAGCGCCTCGTCATGAACTGTAAACAAACCTGCCTCGCAATCAGGGAGGAGGATAGCAAATTACCAGATAGAGACAGAATATGGAAGACGAATACGATACTAGCCGTCTTAGGCGAAGCCAAGGAGATCAAGTTCCACAAACTCAGCCCGCAGCTTTCTGGTTGGCCGAGAATACGAGGCTTGATGTGTAAATGGACGGTGTTACAGAACGAGTCTAGTCGCCGAATACTAGTATGACAAGTTTGTTTCAATGCACCCTAGCTGTCCCTTATGTACTAAGAAGACTGCTCTCTCTCTATCCGGAAGGCGTCCATCAAGAAATTTTTGCTCTGCTTTTAACCTCATATTATTACGTAATGGTTCTTACTAGCCAAAGTATTCATGAGCACTTTGTTCCTCAGGAACCTCCTCCAGCCAGATATTCTCATGATACATCACCCTTGAACCATAGGGCCCACAGAGACATTTTTGTTAGTTGAGCAGCTAGACGTTGGCTGCCTCCGATCAGCTCCTTTCTTATCACGGCTACATGATGGATCCGTTGCTTTTCTGGTGGTAGATTCCGTGAGACAGACTCGAGGGATGAAGGTGATTCTGAACGGTAGGTGAAGTCATGACCTTCTTCGATGGAAATGACTTTCTCAATGACGCTTGTCGGGGCGACTGATGCCCAGAGACTTTCGCCGGCCGGAGCTTGTCGCATGAGATGTAAAGCCTTCCGTCGTAAGAGCGGATCGCGACATTTTGTCGCAGAAAAGTAAAGAGGCGGCATCACGCCAATCTCGAAGGAAAGGACCGGTTGGCCAGTGGCGGATTCGGCACTGTAGTAGAGAGCTTTTTGGGCATGAAAGATGATCTCCGCAAACCGTTCAATATGTTCATCGAACGCCGTCTGAAAACGACTCGTGCAGGTCGCCAGCCAAATGTAGGAGACACCCCAGTACATAAGAAGATTTGAAGACACCCAGGCAATCTCCATTCTCTTGTCGCCACCCCATCGTTCCATGAAAGAGGTTCTCCATTGGTGCAGTTCTTGCAGCAACGAATTCTTTTGCGGCTGTATTTTCTCCATTTCGTAGTCATCGTGAGACAACAAGATCGCTACTCTGATAATTTCATATGATTGGTACATTAAATTATAGAGTTGCGTCCGGACATTATCGAGCACCGCTAGAGAGGACAGGATGGATGGCTCGAGAATGTTTTCTGCATGATAGCTCCATCCCGGTGGTATTGGAGTCCCCAGGGTAGCCATGAGGACAGCATGACGGGAGAAAAGAGGAGTCACCACTTCGTGAATGGCCAAAGTGGTTGATGAAGCGCGCTTCGTTGCAGCTGTTGAGAGACTTTGAGCAAGTATTCTATAGCCGCTCTTCATTAGAATCAAGGCATTCCCTATGTTTCTCTGTTGAAATTCAACACTGGCAAAGAGAACGCAGCTGAGAAGGGCGTTGGCGGTGTCCATTTGGCCTTGCTCGATACGTTGTCGAAGATCGGCAATTGCTCGGCTGTACCACTTCAGAGCACGTCCATGATGGGGAGTTATCGAGGTCATCGGATTTCTGTACTCAAAAGTGGTCACCAAAGACTGGTATGGCACGTGTTCGAACAGCCAACTGATCGAGACAACGGTATTCCATACGCACGAACTCGACTGGGCGAGTCGCGGGACTAAGTCGATCCAGAAAGAAGCATCAATGGCCCCGGCAAATATGGGTGCGGCGCGATGTGTGAAGTAATCGAAAGCGTGTCTTTCATCATCTGGATGTTGCGGCGCAAGAAGAGAAAGCTCAGTCTGCAATGTCGGGGCCTTCGGCCTGGCGGGTTGTTCTCGAACAAATCGAATTTGATTTGCAACAGGGCCTTCGCATTTCCGCCCCAATTCTGTACATTTGCGGCAATGAGGTTTAGTTTCGTCGCATTTCACACGCCTTATCCTGGGCGATTGAATCAATGTAAGGATATAATAGCATAACGAAAGCGTAGAGTCACCTACTTGCATGTCAAGCAACCATTTCTGGACTTCTCGTGACCAGCCCGACGTGGGCGCCTGTGATTCGCCTTCACTGTCATGGATCTCGGCCAATTTCTGCAAAGCTGGTCAGAATGATAATCGAGAAGATGGTGGGACAGTCTGCCACTTCCACATTGGAAAAAGGGAGGAATAGGACATCCAAGCTTGTAATAATAGGGCGGTTCTGACATGTAGGTCGCCTTACCATTCACGAGAAGAGTCGGGCGTGGTCTCAAGATTTCTTATTGTCAGACTGAGCCATTTCTTCGAGGCAGGAATGCGAGCTAGGAGATTGATGGAATATGATTGTTTAGAGGAGGGAGGAAAGGCGGGAACGCGGTAGCCGGCCAGGTACACAACATCCGTTGTGGAGCCGAAGCCTTGCCGAACAATAAACAATGATTGGGCCTCGTATTGTCTCCCAATTCCGGTTAGAAGCTCCAGCGTCTGGGGTATTCAGTTGACACAATCCTAGTCATAGATATCGATTGTCAAAACCGCAGATCCACCGGAGATGCTCCTCAAGATGGAACTCTTTTGGACCATAGGTAAGTATAATTCGCGAAGAGGGCGGCTGATCCGAAGTGCCGTGTGTTGATGAAACTTCAATTTCCTGCGTATTTGTTGTCTCGAATTGGGACAACCATCGTTCATATATATCACAGGCGGAAGCTCTGAATCGAGTCCTTGGCTGGTCCATGCAAACTCCTGATCTCAAATACTTTGTGATAGAGTTAGCCAGATACTCTCCAGCCCAACTTTCGTTTTATTTCCTCTTCGTTCTGGAAACGCTCGAACTATCATAACGACCTCCCGCACTGGGCCTCCTGAGCCTGCACTTCCCTAATAGATCACCAATTTTCTCGGCCTATCCACTCGAAGTCTTATTTCGAGTCTCGCTCCACAGTATTGTCGGTTCATCGTTTCTTGCGCGATATGGGCATCCCCGATCAAGTCGTAGTCCTCCTCTGTATTATAGGCGCCGCTGCATCTGTCACCATCGGCTTCGCCTTCCACAGACTTTTCAGCAAGGAGACTTATACAGGGACCAATTTTAATTCAAAGGACCCGTCCCAGGAAGCATATATGAGGGAAGTCCGGTCAAGGAATCAGATGATGGCATATGGAGAAGCCAGACCTCCGCGATACCCTCCTCCTGAGATGTGAACAAGTTTCTGGAATATACGGCCGGATATGATTGTTGTGCAATGAATCATATAATTTTTGGTGCACAATGAAGAAACGTCGAAAGACTTTTGGCACACGTGGTAAAGAGGACGTAAATATTGGCACATACAGAGGTGCTTGTGGCGGACATAAATAGCGGCAACGGGATGGGGAGTCCAGCTTAACATCTCCAACACACGTTGACATGCTCGAAATCATCTATGGGCGGACATGGCGTTGAGGGTTGGATGATTGGGGCTTCCCTGAGACAGATTCAGCAAGCAATACCTCGGATAAGAAGTCCATCGTGGTCGCTGCAGCAGCTTTTTGTGACCGAAGAACGTATTGTGAGCAGCGAGGGAATGCATTGACTAGGAGGTTGAGTGAACTTGGAAGTGTCCAGATGAGGTATTGAGATCGTTGAGGTGGTTGGGGTTGCATTCAGGTGCTCTGTGCATAAACAATAGAAGAAAACAGGAGGGAGGGGGGGGGGGGAATGGCGCCTCGCACATATCCCTAAAGCACCTTTCGTGGAGTAAGAAATCATCGTGTTCTTCCTGGAGGGAGTAGGTCACCGTTAGTACCAACTGCACGGTTAGAATTGTTGAATTGTGATGAAGCTGGCCAGAAATAGCGTTGGCTCCATTTGGCTCCACCAGTGTGGACAACCATGCTGCTCCAAGCCCAGTATATTAGCAACATGGGTCTGAATTCACCTGCTGCAAGATAGATTCGAGTTTTGATTGTTTGATTTCTTTTGTGGACATCAGCATAATCTAAGCATTGAATCTGCAATCCTGTCGAGTTTCATCACCAGTGGGTATGCGACCTCGCTCGATGCCTCGGAGATGGAATTTGAACCACCTGCATTTTTGCAATGATCACCACAAGCGCAAATCGTACTATGTGAGTTTCCCGCAAAACACCATAACGTCGTGAGCATTTTACCGATTGCTCTTGGCCACACGTTCCAACTCGTCCTTCTTCTTGATAGCATAGGAGTTACTGCTTCCCTTAGCGGCATTGATCAGCTCTTCAGCGAGGCATTCGGCAATGCTCTTGACGTTCCGGAAGGCGGCTTCACGGGCACCAATGGTAAGGAGGGCGATGGCTTGGTTGACACGACGGAGAGGAGAGACATCAACGGCTTGTCTTCGGACTGTGCCTGCGCTTCCAATTCTGGTGCTGTCTTCACGGGGGCCGCAGTTGACAATGGCGTCAACGGCGATCTGGATGGGGTTTTGATCGGTCATGATGTGGATCTGAAAATCCGTCGTCAGAATTTCCTTCCGTCCTTCCAATATCGTTGTGGACAGAACCTACAATCTCAAAAGCGTGTGCCACAATTCTGATAGCCATCAGCTTCTTGCCGTTGTTGCGACCGTTCATCATGAGGGAGTTGGTCAGTCGTTCAATGATTGGGCATTGTGCCTTTCGGAATCGTTTGGCGGCATATCGGCCTGCGGAGTGGGAGATGTAGACGGGAGATCTGATTTGGATGTAGTCGCTGTAGAGAGAGAGAAAAAGTGTCAGTCCTCCTTGGTCATCGCTTGTTTCAGCCTAGGGATCCGTACGTCAACGAGATGTCTCTGATCTCAACATCTTCATAGCTCCATTTGTTGAAGAGCTTGATGCTGCCAATCTCAGCGGTGACGTCTTTGGGTAGGACAGAGAAAGCTGAGACGGGATTTTCGACTTCGACCTCGCCGTTGTCAGACATCTTGACGACAGACTCGGTGGTGTAAAGGGGCCGAAGCTGAGATGGTCGCAATGGTCACGATAACGGGTGCGGGTTCGAGAGGAAATTCTCTGTGGGAGCGCCAAGTCTTGCAGGTCGCCAAGAAGTCTATACCACGTGATCAGCCGATGTTTTGCCGGCCCAATGTCGAGGCGATCTTCACTCCCTTACAAAGTCGAAGAATTGCCACTAATCACTCGTTCTGTCTATTCTTACACCGATGCTCGCTTCTCTACGCTGGCCCGTCTCACTTGCTCAATTTGCGCATTGATGCCTCCGGTCGTCGTTGGCCCCACATACCCCTTGCGGGCGCCAACAAACCACCAAACCGTTACAAAAATTGTCAATCCGCCCCAAATCAAGCATGCATAGTTCATGGTTTGGGCATCTGTTGGCAGATAATATGGGAAGCAGTAAATGACGAACCACACCATCATGTATCCACAAGCGATGAAATTGAGCGGAACTCCCAACTTCTTCAACTGGAAAGGCCCAAAGGTAATGTTTTTGCGCCCTGTCAGAAGGTGAGGGAGGATGGCCGCAACATAGCTGTTATATCTGTCAGCAATGGATTCAACTTGGATGTGTCGGATAATTGCTACTGACGATGACGTGCTCATTAGAACAAAGCTCCCCACAAATGCATTAAAGGCCGTCGTACTGCCCACATAAATGCTGTCACGGTGTGAGTGCATTTTCGGTAAAGATGTTGGGATAACTCACCAGCCCAGTACGGTCACGACGCAGCCACAGACTAGCGTTGCAATCAGTGGCATTCCCAGTCCCGGGGAGACCTTGCTAATGTATTTGGGAAATGGAGTGGCGCCATCTCGAGCAAGAGCCCACAAGGTTCGGCCGGCGGTGATGTACACCCCCACCATGCATACAGCTACGCAGAAGAGTAACAGGCACAACAAACCAATTGCGCCCGCAGACGAACCTGTGGCCTGTCTGTAGATTTCGGCGACCGGAAACGGCGATTCGAACAACGCATCATAATCACTGATGGCGTACATCAAGGCGATGATATAACACAGGCCGGTGACAAATCCGATACCCATCTGGGTGCCAATTGCGATGGGGACCTTTTTGCCCGGATTGGGGATCTCCTCGGCGATGTGACTGCAACCCGTCTTAGCACCTCCGATCTCATCCGAGTGTTGATCGCTTCCCAGGGAGCCTACCTTACGGTATCCGGGGTTCCAACGGCGTAAGCCCCGTTCAACATCCCGGCCACAAAGACAAATCTATGACGGAAGATGCTCCGGTCAGCATCATGCAAGAAAAGACTTCAGAACAAAACAGCGACTGATGAGTTCTGCAATGCAAGGACACATACCCATTGGGATATCCGATATCTGCTGTCCACTCTGTCCACACAAAGCTGGATGAGGCATGTGGAGGACGTCCACCGGTTTCTGGCATCGCCGCCCTAAGTCTAGTCATCAGTCTTGAATCGTCATAGATGATTCCGGACGTACAGAACAATTATTGTGATGATGAAGCCTGAGAGGATCAGGAATATTCCAACGGTATTGAGGTGAGGCATGGCGTTGTTGAAGAGACAAACGCACGCGCAGGCAATCCACGTCGCAATCTTATCATCTCGTCAGTGACGCATCGAGTCACTTATCAGGAGCTTGTTCCATATCTCTCCGATCCAACTGAAGAAGGGATTTGTACTTACGAGGTAGGTGACAAAGACGTGCCACTGCTTAGCTTCGAAATCGCCATGTGTGACTCCATACATTTGGACAATGGTATTTGCTGTGGGTGATCAATGATCGACATTCGAAGGAGAGAGAACCTGGACACCAACCGAAAATGAAGCTCATTGACGCGGCTCCGAAAACCCATGCCAGCCAGTTCCAATAGCCAGCATAAAATCTAAAATACACCCTCATGAGATAGAGCATAGGTTCAGAGCCGGGAACATTACCCAACGATTCGGCCCCAGGCTTTCCCGGGCGTTACAGAAGCCCAGTGATACACGCCTCCGCTAGAAGGGATGGCCGAAGCCAGTTCAGCGATTGATGCAGCGACAATCCAGTAGAATACCGAGACGGTTATGAATTCGTAGATGACTCCCGGGGGACCGCCATTGAAGATCGCAACCAAAATAGAACCGCCGACAGCTGGCCAAACATTTCCAACAACGAGACCGACACCGGCAGCGGCCAAAAGGCCAAAGTTTCGATCCAATTCCTGGACATGACCGGATGCATTGATGAGGTCTCCGACCTCAGTGTCAGGAGGAGAGTGGGTTTGCGTTTCGCCGCTGACGGGATCCTTTTTCTCCTCCGTGGTAGTCATGATGTACTAGGGACCGTGAGAAACAATGACAGAGACACAATGACCCTGCAACACCTCTAACGAATACAAAAATGGAAGAAAAGAGAAAGAGAAGTTCCACACAGGTCAAGATATCGTCGCCATGACCAGACACGAACGAAAACGACAAGCAGATAGGCAATATGGGCGATATCTCTTGCCCAGAGCATAAGCTCCAATGGAAACACCAAACTACGGGGACTCTCTAGGCCCGAACGAGCCTGAGGTCTGGAGCTTTGGCCACCAAATCAAATGGCTCACCGAGACCATTTTCCAGGGACCCAGCCGGAAGGAAAATGTCCGCCAGCGTTAATTGGACGGAGATTAAAAGACAAACACGAGCCGAGTCTGATAGGGGAGATAGCTGACAGAAAATAGCAAGTAAGAGAGCAAAAAGTCAAATTCCCGTGGCAGCGGGCAACAAAAAGAGTGGGCTGATCTCAGGCTCCAGTTGGTGTTGGAGCTAAATCTAATGAGGCAGGACGATACTATCTCTCTAATGGTAGATATCGAGCCAACCGCGACAGACACAGTGGAACACACCAAGAGCCCCTGGGCTCGGGTGATAGATCTTCCACGTGGACGCTGTTCTCCATGCGAACTTGGACCCCAAAGCCAGTTGTGTCCATCTCCGAAAGACTTTGAGACGCAGTGGCTTGCAAAACCGGCCTCGCCACATGGGCCCGGGAGCGATGGCGGAAGCCTGACTATATTTAGCCAATGATTGGTCACTCTACATTTCAATATAGTCGAAGCATTGCTGACTTCTATCATTAAAGGCGAACTAACTTCCACAGTCAAGCAGCAAGAAAGCTCAGCGCCCAATATTATAATCAAAAGTGGATTAACAGAATAAGCTACAACTCAGGGCATTGTCTCATGGCCGTTATTCGATGCTGCTTGCAGTGCATGGCCATGGTCCACTCACTCCTTGGGTATTGACGTCTGCCCCGGCATGCCAGTAGGTCATTACCATACTCTCTTCCGTGAGCGTTGACATCTGCCCCAGCATCCCCCAACGTCTTCATCACCTCGTCATACCCATCAGTTGACGCTACCTGCCGTGCAGTGCCATCACGCCCACTTTCAACATTGATATCGACTTTCCGCCTAAGAAGTATCCCTACCACCCCGTTATGTCCACCAGCCGATGCGACCTGAAGGGCATTTCTGTAGTCCCCTCCTTGGGCATTGACATCCGCTCCTTCAGTGAAAAGTATCTCCACAACCTTCTCGTGGCCCCTTGGCTCGAAGCGAGATCGGATAGTGTACGATTGAGCCCACTGCCGATATTATGTGCATACTTCCACCGATACTCCACCACATATCGGGCTCATGGATATCGATATAGAAGGCCCAGAGTGAGTGGTCCTTACTTACAGAAGAAGAGCACGTAATGTACGCAACTTTCTACAGTCGCTATGTGGCAGGTGTCTAAGCCGGGAATCTGATGTGAGGAAGCATCGTCTAAGTAAAAGACCGTCTTTCACGGTAAAATGCGCGAGCTGAACCTGGTCCCGTGATGCTCAAGCAATGGGTCAATCAAGAACTCTCGTTCACAGAATTATTTCTCCGATGGGTGTGGAGGGCGTGCTGTACCATTTGAAGAGGGATGCCGACATATTAGCGGGAGGGGTGTCATTGTGTCCAGAGGGCGTGAACATATCATTGCCATTATGGCTTTGGCCCGCCATGCTTGGATATGCTCATTTCCCAATGCTCATTCGTCATTTTCGCTCCAAAATTCTCCTCGTTGTCTTGTCGCATCAGACGGAATCCGGCTTTCTGGTAGAGTCGTCGCGCGGAAGTGAGCACGTTTTGAGTCCAAAGGACGATCCGTTGGTAGCCGGCATCCCGCGCAAAATCGATGCCTTGCTGTAGTAATGTCGCCCCGAGTCCCTTTCCTCTTGCGCTAGGTTCCACAAGGAGCAACCGAAGTTTAGCTGTATTGCTTGACTCTCTGTCCTGAGCCAACACGATAGAGCCCAGGAACGTTCCGTCGCGTTCTGCGAGCCAGCAGCGTTCCAATGTTGGCTTATAATTTTCGAGGAAATCGGCCGCAACTCTGGCGACAAGAGCCTCGAAACGCTCGTTCCATCCGTATTCTTCCGCATACAGCGCCCCATGCCGAGATACAATCAGACCCATATCTCCAGGGCGGTGAGTTCGTAGCGTAAACGAACTTCTTGGGGATCTTTCTCCTTGTTCCATTGTTAGGTGTGCGTCGGATCTCTGGAGACCATTGTCAGTTGGTTTCTTTGCCATGGAACCCATCCGCTAATTTCTCTTACTCTGCTGGCGCAGGCTCAACTGGGCTTTATGTGGAGTTATATAACTTTCATCCTTGTCTCAGGAGAGCTGCTTTGAACCGATTTGTCACCCTTCGCGCCATCCTGGTCATCGGTAGTCGCCCAGTTTGCGATGCTTCCCCGGAGTCTTGTTCCCGCTTCACGGAGGAAGGGTTGAAAGAACGAATTCCCCCGCATACACTCAGGCTGAATAGGCGACGATTGATTATGTGGGGTGCAAAATGAGCGGGGAAGGAAGAAACCAAAAATTGTCAACTATTTTCTTCGGTCTAGGTGGCCCCCAAGCAGTGAACTTTGTTAGATACACCTTGGCCAGCTTGACCATCAGAATACGACATACCGAACGCCCTTAGGCGATAGCCTACAGCCGAACAGAATCCTCGGCAGTTGCTGGGGCAGAACACCAAGAGCCTATGCCAGCGATAATCCCTTGAAGTTTGGAAGAACCGTCTCTAGCGGTGAAAAGTGTCTGGAGCTCACTCGTATACGATTCGGCTCGAGGGGAGTTGGTCAAGCCTTGCCGAGACCGAGGGTCCAGGGACAAGAAATCCCCAGTCTGGATCGAGGAGCTCGCGCGAGCACGGTATTCCATACCATCGTAGTCCTGTCCGGTATGGTGGGGTTGCGCAGCCGTTTCAGTGGCATTGCTTGGGCCTTGACATCTTACCGCTGCTAGCCGACAAACGAGCTTTGTGAATATCTCAAATCTTTCTTTGTGTGATGCAGATATGGTCGCTTAGAGTCTGATAATGTGGCCCGGTGACGGATTTGCTAATGGTATTATTACTGTCGACCAAGACTTCACGGGAGAAATTCAACGACAGAGTCTTCGTGAGACGGGCTTCGCGAGAGCTGAGCACTTAATTCCCACTCTCCTCCATTTCGGATACGATGTACACCACGTCTGTCGCGTTTTTCGAGGCGATATGGGAGGCACGTAGCATCCCCTTGAATCCTGTGCGGCGCCATTTCGCAGCGGACTGACATGTAGTCTCTGGACAGGCTGGCATAACCCACTGCTTCGTCAACTTGGGATCAGATCATCCTTCCATAATAGAAGCGATCGTGCGAGGACAGAATGAGAAGAACGGCGCGTTTCCCAGGATCATCACATGTCCCAGTGAGGTGAGCTCGTTCCCAGTAACCCAATTCTTTAGCGTTCCCTTGCCTTGTTCTCATGCTGCCAAATTCTCCTAGATGGTCGCCCTGTCGATGGCAGATGGCTACGCCCGTCTGACGGGCAAGCCTCAATGCGTCATTGTCCATGTCGACGTTGGCACTCAAAGTCTGGGCGCCGGCGTCCATAACGCCAGCGCCGGTCGCAGCCCGGTCCTCATATTTGCGGGTCTAAGCCCCTACACGGTGGAAGGTGAGCTGTGTGGTTCGCGGACAGAATACATCCACTGGATTCAGGATGTGCCAGACCAGAAGCAGATAGTGGCGCAGTATTGTCGGTATTCAGGAGAGATCAAAACAGGGAGGAATGTGAAACAGATGGTCCACCGTGCACTGCAGTTTGCAACAAATGATCCTCCAGGGCCGGTCTATCTTGTCGGCGCGCGAGAGACCATGGCTGAGGAAATTGAGCCTTACTGGCTGGATCAAAGCGTCTGGAAGACGGTGGGGCCTGCAGCGTTGCCGCCTCAGGGCGTGGAAAGCATCGCCAAGCAACTCATAGATGCGGAGCGGCCACTACTGATAACCGGATATTCGGGTCGCAATCACGCCGCCGTACCGGAGCTCATTGCTCTAGCCGATACGATGAAAGGTCTTCGCGTCCTAGTCACTGATGGAAGTGACCTGTGTTTCCCCTTCTCGCATCGCGCGTCCCTTGGCATGAAATATGGCGTTGATGACGACATCCCGCAAGCAGACTTCATCTTGGTTGTGGATTGCGATGTGCCTTGGATTCCGACCCAATGCAGACCCAATGACAAGTGCAAGATCGTGCACGTCGACATTGACCCTCTCAAGAACATGATGCCGGTATTTTATCTTCCCGCCGTTGAACGTTATAAGGCCGACGCCACGACTGCATTCAAACAACTTCATACGTGTCTGTCCCGGCAGTATGGAAATGTTCTTGACTCTGAGAAATTTGATATTCGCTGGATGAAACTAGGAGAGAGTCATGCGAAGCGGCTTGAAGTAATCCAAAGTCTTGCTGCACCTCCAGAAGGCGGAGCCTTATCGAGTTCCTATGTTTGTGCCGAGGCGAGGAAGTTATGTCCCGATGACACAATTTGGACCGTCGAGGCTGTCACCGAAACAATCTTCGTGGCCGACCAGATACAAGCTGAGGCTCCAGGAAGCTGGATCAACCAGGGTGGAGGAGGCCTGGGGTGGTCTGGCGGAGCGTCGTTGGGTATCAAGCTCGCCTCAGACGCCGGAGCTGGCGGCCCTGGCAAGGGGAAATTTGTTTGCCAGATCGTGGGCGATGGCTCATACTTGTTCAGCTTTCCCGGATCCGTGTACTGGATTGCTCAGCGGTACAACATCCCTACCTTGACCGTCGTTCTCAACAACAAGGGTACGCCATGTCTCTTTTCATGCCTTGTCCTTCGTGTCTAACCATTACTCGTTTCAGGCTGGAATGCACCCCGCCGCTCGCTTCTCCTAGTCCACGCTGATGGTGAAGGCAGCCGATCCACAAATGAAGAGCTCAACCTCAGTTTCGAGCCCTCCCCCGACTACGCTGGTATTGCCAAGGCTGCGAGCGGGGGCAAGATGTGGGCCGGACGCGCCACTTCTGTGGACGAGTTCTCGGAGCTGCTGCCTGAAGCAATCAAGAGCGTGAAAGAGGGGACTGGCGCTGTTTTAGAGGTGAGGCTGAAAGATAAGGATACCGTGCCGAAGCAGAAGAGTTGAGTAGAAAGCTTGTTGCAGACGAGAAATACCTTAGATCGAGCAGGTTCTCCAATCACTCATTTTGGATCCAAGTCAAATCTGTCTCCAGGCTTTATTCTCACAGCGTGCGCTGATACTGTAGCCAGTACTCCTCGGTTATGAATTGTAGCCTCAAAAGAGGCCGCAGGGAAGACCGGGGAAGGTTCACCGAGAAACAACCTTGCCTCGCAAGGCTGGATCACGTGACCGTATCGGCCGGATCAGTGAAAGCCAACGGGGGGTATTATTCTGTACACCAACTTTTGTTATTCTGTACACCGGAAAACCTGCTTATTCTGTACACCATGCCTCAACTCTCCTTATTCTGTACACCACCACCTCTCTCTCGCCTTATTCTGTACACTTAACGCTCTCATCCTGTTATTCTGTACACCGCGCTAACAGAGCTTGTTGCCGTTGGCCCGGCGATGGCGAGAAAACACTAGTAAGTGGCGTAGCTGTGGAGGGGTGACGCGTTAAACTCTCCCCGTTATAGGTGGTTGCGAAGCAATAAACACATTTGATTCCCTTTTCCTTGGTAGATAAGTACCGTGCATTTTGAGCTTCTCTGTATACTTTGTAAATTATTGTGGCCTACACAGCCGGATTTGTGTAGAGATCCCCTGCACGGTCGATACCTCGTGCTGACTAAGGTAACAAACCAGCGCCCATAGGCTTGGGTGGGAACCGCCCATAAGCGGGGCAGTTGCCCCCCGGCTTATGGGCGGTTTCCCCCCGGTTCATGGGCGGTTTCCCCCTCCGGCTTATGAGCGGTCCTCCCAAGCCTATGGGCGCTGGTTTGTTACCTTAGTCAGCACGAGGTATCGACCGTGCAGAGGATACCATCGTTAACCATCATTTCTGCATTCTATATAGGCAGACTTAGGTGTTGTGACATCACGTATCTTCGAACTGCGCAGATAACCGGAAAAATAAAAATCCGGACCAATCAAAAGCGGTGTACAGAATAACAAAATGTGGTGTACAGAATAACATTACCCAAAGCCAACTGGCCCTGAGGAGCAGCATGGAGGGTCTCATGTCTATTAATCACAGTCACTTCATGGTCTCACTACGTAGTCAACTTCGTCTTCAATCGTACCCTGTTGAACGGTTGAACAAGTAGCCAGTGCCCATTTTTGGGATATAGGGGTAGGAATGGGAGAAGAAAAGGGGCCAACCAAACGTGTGTGAATACCAGCAACTTGGCAGGACCAGTTGCTAAATAGACAGAGCATTCAATACATATTCTCTCAACATACTCAATTTGACATACCCCGATCAGTTAGTACCGCAACTCGCTCTGTACTAACCCTTCTTGCCTAGTCATCTTGCTATGCGACTGCCCCCTTCGCCTTTCAAGTGTGATACATGACATCCCCCCAGGAAACTCGACTTCCCTGCATTGTCAGAAACTAAGTCCACGCCTCAATCAAAGAGCGCATCACCGGTACGAATATTGACGGTCTTGACGTTGGTATAGTTAGCGAGACAATATTTCCCCAGTTCCCGTCCGATGCCGCTCTCCTTGTATCCACCGAACGGGGCTTGCGAGAAGATCATGTTGTACTGGTTGACCCAGACGGTCCCAGCATTCAAACCGTTAGACACTTTGATCGCCGTGTTAAGATTCTTGGTGTGAACCGCGGCCGCAAGGCCGTAAGTGGTACTATTACCGATCTTGATTGCTTCATCCTCGGTTTTGAACTTGGCGATGGAACAAACGGGACCAAAGATCTCCTCTTGCATGATCTTCATGTCGTCGCAGACGTTGCTGAAGACTGTGGGCTGAATGAAGTATCCAGTATCTCCATGCCGTCCACCGCCTGTTTCAATCTTCGCGCCGGCTTTCTTACCGGCCTCGATATAGCCCATGACACGGTCAAATTGACCTCTGGAACTTCGAGTTCGTCAGGATGTCAATTCAATTTCACACTGAGAATCAAATGCGGCAACCGGATGGCAACTTACATCATGGGGCCTTGGAAGGTGTTTGGATCATGGGGGTCGCCAACGGCATTCTTGAGTGTCCTCTCCCTGAACCTTGTGACGAACTCATCGTATATTCCTTCCTGGACGTATATTCTCGAACCAGCACAGCAACACTGTCCATGGTTATAGAAGATGCCGAAATTGACCCAAGAGATGGCGTTGTCAATATCGGCATCATTGAACACGATATTTGGTGATTTGCCACCGAGCTCTAACGTGACCCTTTTCAGGTTCGAAGACGCCGCGGCTTTGAGGATCTGACGACCAACGACCGTGGACCCAGTGAACGCGACCTGATTGATAAGCATGTAAGTCATGACCGATAACCGCGGGCGCAGGGGGGTGAGAAACCTTGTCGACATCCATGTGAGAGGCAATAGCCGCTCCAGCAATTTTGCCAAAGCCAGAGATGACATTGATCACTCCGGGTGGGAAGCCAGCTTCTTGGCAGAGTCTGGCCGCATAGAGCCCCGAGAGAGGCGTCAGTTCAGCTGTCTTTAGGACGACAGTGTTGCCGCAAGCTATAGCGGGACCAATCTTCCATGACCACATGAGAAGAGGGAAGTTCCAGGGAATGATTTGACCGCACACACCGACAGCTTCGTGTCGTGTGTAGGTGAATGTGTCGGCATTCGTGTCCATAACCTTCCCGTGAATCTTATCGGCGTACCCAGCATAATAGCGAATGCAGCCTGAGCTCAGCTGAACGTCAATTTTGGCCATAGAGATAGCCTTGCCATTATCGAGGGTCTCGATTGCGGCAAGGGTATCACTGTGGACATCCATAAGATCGGCCAACTTCATGAGCATCTGCCCACGGGTGCTTGGCGAGATCTTCGACCAAGTGCCATGGAATGCTGCTCGTGCGGCTGCGACGGCGCTGTCAACATCGTCCACAGAGGCCTCGTAGACCGAACAAATCGTCTTCTCGGTCGCTGGGTTGACGGTCTCGAAAGTCTTGTCGTCCTTGCCCTTTACAAACTCGCCGTTGATGTACCTGTAAAAGCGGAGTCAGTTCGACGTAAGAGGACGGCGGAACCTGTTGTGATGGAGCGGCAGGGACACGTTGTCCTTGCCATGGAGGAAGCAACGAACCTGCGCTCGGGGATATAGGGGGCAGTGGAACAAGGCCGCCGAAGGGCAGGAGAGCGACTTACAATCCGATGGGCTGGGTCCACTTCCCGTTGGGAGACTCCAGCTGAATTTCGAGCGACATAGCTGTTGTGTTGTGTGAGAAGTGTCCTGGAAGGAGTATTGAGTTGGTCAAGGGCGATGCAATGGAAGTAGAAAGCCTGACGAAACTCTGTCAAGGGACACGAGAAGAGAAGACCAATCTAAGAACCGATTTGGTTTTGCAGCGAACTCTAGAGACGTGACATACCGTCCTCTTCCTCCTCCGCCTTATCTCGTCCATAGTTCTACCCTCGCTACCGAGACAGTCCTGGTGTCTAACCACCGGCAACCGTCGGTCCAGCTCAAACCAGCACCGACAGATGGATCAACTGTCTTGTGTCTGCATTGCAGCGCCAGAACTCTATCGTGTCTTGCCTCATCCGACGCTCTCCTTCAGGTTTTGGAGCACCCGAAAGACTCACCTTTGTCCTACGATCCGGACCAGAAGTTTTCCGATCATGGTCAACCACGGCCGGGCGTTGTATGATCCACGTAACTAATCGAAGTCGTCCTTGACGAGAACCGAGAATGCTCGATTCCAAATTCTCTGTCCCTCCTAGTACAATAGCGAGCTTATTGCACCCCTGGCTTAGCAGTGGTGTGTTAGTCCTTCATAATCTCCCGGCCCGAGGCTTCGGGTTCGCACTGGCAGCGGCGACAAATGCTAACTTGACGCAGCGGGGCATCCCCGAACTGCCCCACAGCTTGGACTTTGAGATGAACTGTCGCTTCGACTAAGTTTGGCTCGTTTTAGGGTACGGTCAGTTTGCGCTTTGCACACTTGCAAATGCTTCGATTGGGCAAGACACTCACGAGTTGCTCAGCCATGATCAAGATTTATATACCCCCCTCGTGTGTTCCATTATTTTCTAGTATGGGAGTCTGTTATGACATCTTGTTATTCTGGAAGAGAAGACACCAATTTCTCTGCGCGCATTCCATACTGTCTTCCTTTCCCTGGCTACAGATCATCATGGTAAGTCAAGGCATGTTATTGGAGAATACACCCACTGCGCGCTCTGAGAGTCCAGTTACCTCGCAGATGCATGACTCCAGCGATGCTGGGATGAAAGGAGAAGACGATTCTTTCGAGCACACCGAGAATACAGCAACATACCATGAGTTTGCCAATATAGATGAGAAGAAGGTGTTGCGCAAAATGGACCTGCGGCTTATACCGACGCTCGCGCTTCTGTACCTGCTGTCCTTTTTGGACAGAGCAAATATCGGCAATGCAAAAATAGAAGGCCTGGAGGCCTCGTTGGGAATGACTAGCCCTCAATTTAATTGGACATGTCAGATGACCCAAGTGAATACCAGAGCGGATGCTGACAGCTTTTCAGTGACCATATTCTTCTTTGCATATGCCGCGTTCGAGGTACCCTCCAACCTGCTGCTTAAACGCCTCAGGCCCTCGGTTTGGCTTCCTTCCATTATGGTCGCATGGGGAACTGTGATGGTGAGGGTTACTTGAGGCCCCCTTTTTCGACGCATTGCAGACCCTGACCAAAATGACAGACTCTCATGGGAACCGTCCAAGGATATCACGGGCTGCTCACTGCCCGTTTTTTCCTTGGCGTCACGGGTGATGAATCCACTGGCTTTTCCTCGAACCGCTGCCTGACTTTTGATGATAGAAGCGGGACTCTATCCCGGACTCGCTTACTACATCACGATGTGGTATACCCGACACGAAGCTCAATTTCGCCAAGCCTTATTCTTTAGCGCTGCAAGCATGGCGGGTGCATTCTCAGGGTTGCTGGCTTTTGCCATTGCTGTAAGCGTCTCCCTAGTCTTGAACAAACCAGACGGAGTCAAGCTAACAGAACTCGAAAGAAAATGGAGGGAGTAGGAAATTATGAAGGGTGGCGCTGGATCTTCATCCTCGAAGGGCTTGCGACGGTAGTTGCCGCGATTGCGGCATACTTCATACTATACGACTTCCCAGAGACAGCTTCGTTCCTGACCGAGGAAGAAAGAGCCTGGGTGATTCACAGGCTGAAGTATCCGATCTCCGAAGGTACTGTTCATATGGTCGCGCAGAGTGAAGAATTTCGGTGGAAATACGTCAAAGATGCCTTTTCCGATTGGCAGATCTATCTCGGCGTGGTCATGTTCTGTATGCTGAATCTCTTGCAGTTATGCCCTTCTGTCATTCCTGGGAGGGATTGCCACTGACTGTTACAATCCTCAAGGGGGCATCGTTTGCCCGCTGTATGGTACGCCAAACCTTGAATTGGTCCTCCATCAGTTCCTGATTGAGCTGATCAAGTCCAACAGGGACAGCTCTCTTCCTTCCAACGATTATCAATGATCTGGGATACAAGTCAGCCACTGCCCAGCTTCTCACCGTATGCTCTTCCTTCTCCTTGTCGTTAATCTAGAAACCCTTTGCTGACAAGTGAGACAAGATCCCCATTTACATCACCGCTGCGGCCATTGGTATAGGGGCAGCCTATTCCTCCGACCGTTACGGGCAGAGATCCCCTTATCTGCTCTTCTTCCAGTTCTTCATATGCATAGGTTTCATTATAACTATGGTCGCTTCGGCTAAAGGAGGCGTTCCTGGTGTCGTCTATGCTGGGGTGTTTATTGCTATCTGTGGTTGGCCATTCTCCTTTCCTCCCCCCCCCTTCCTTTTTAATCTTCTTCGGGGATACTCTTTCCCGGCTGTTAGCAGGATGAACCGAAGAGAAACTGAGCTGAACGGAATATACACTTTGTACAGGTATTTACACTGCCGCCCCTGGTAACATAACCTGGATCAGCAACAATCTGGCCGGCAGCTACAAACGATCAGCCGGAATGGCTATTCAAATCGGCCTGGGTAACTTGTCAGGAGGTATGCTTGTCCATCAAAAACATCAAGAAATTGCTAAGATCAAAGTCTGCTAATACCGTCAAAATAGCAATGGCGTCCAACTTCTACCGTGGCAGAGACAAACCAAAATATATCCTTGGCCACGCACTGGAATTGGGCTTCGTGGTAGCAGGGGTCATTGCTGTCTTGGCACTTCGACTGAACTATCAGCGGATCAATCGTAAGAGAGATCGCTGTGGAGTGCCAGACCAACTGACCGCGGAGGATCTCAGTCAGATGGGTGATCGCGCCCCGACTTGGCGGTACATGTTGTGAATTGGGAAGTTGGGCCTAGGTTATTGGGATCTACGATGTGATATGGTCGTGAGGACGTCATGATTGATATGGAGAGACTGTTCAATGTGGACAGGAGTGGGTTGCTCTAGGTATCACATACGTGGCTTACAGAAAATCGATTTATTCAAAATCTTTCCGACAGTGTTTGATGTTTTCCCACCTATTGAGTTCCGATCCCAATCACGTCTCAGTCTTCGAGCTCCAGACACAGAGACCTTGGTTGAGACACAATTGCTCCCCTCAACTACCCATTAGTGAAGCCGACAGGTTCCGAGAAAGTTGTGACCCTACCGCTGCTCTATCATTCATCACGATTTCGGTTCAGTTTTCAAGAGACTCATTCCAAATTGTTACGGTGAATCTCCTGGATACATATCCTAATCGAGGTTGTCAGAAAGACTGGCATTTCCCCCCCAGTCACCACCTTAGCTGCTCCGCATCTAGACTATTTACTTAACGAGCGACACTTATATTCTGAGGGTTTCTCCAGAGTGATGAAATTCTTCAGCCGCAAAGGAAGAGATGAGCCAATGTGCCAGCTACTTGCAAACAGGGCGTTCCGCTTGGGGAGTCAGGCGGAGGAGATGGCGGCGACTACCGTGACCCAAAGGGTAACTAAGATCAAGCAGTCAGTGTGAGATAATAGGACTGCTTCAAGAAAGGGAGAGACTGACTCCAGAACTACCGAATGCAACACCATCCGATTATCATAGACCACGACCGTGTCCTGCTCCCACCGGACACGAGCATGGAAGTCTTGACCCTTCTGAAGATGGTCATACAGGAATTGCAAGATGTTGTCACTTTCTTCCTTCTTTAAGCCGACAATTTTCTTCGTGTACCCGGGACTGCAATAGAGTGCTTTCCGACCCGTCACAGGATGCGTCCGTACCAATGGGTGAACACCATCGATAGGCTCGCGGCGGTGAAGGTTCGATTTCTTGAAGAACTGTGACTGGCTTTTCCCGTCATGGACGGCGGACAGACTCTCCAGGAACTTCTGCATTGGCGGGGAGAGGCGATTATATGCTTCCATGGCGCTGAGATAGAGGGTGTCGCCACCGGCTTCGGGAGTGGTTAGTTGACACAAGAAGGTGGTTCCAGGAGGGTTTCTCGACATGATGTCAGTTATTTACGCACTAGTTAAGCTCTTCCTGACCAAGGGGTGGGCAGCATACAGCTCATAGGACATATCCGAGTGCCACTTCGTGCTGTTCAGGGAGCCTTCCGCCATGTTGTCATACATCGTATCATCACTGTCTCGAAAGACAATGACAAGCTCCGGGTGGTTCTTGACATGGACACCAAAACAGTGAACATGGAGTCGGCCAAAGTGAGTTCCATACTCCTTGAGGAAGTCCGGGCCTTTGTACACGAAATCCTGGTCGCGAAATACGACAAGCCCGCGTTCGGCCACGTACAGAGCGAGTTCATCTTTCTGCTTATCTGTGAGGGAAGAGAGTTGGGTGTCCCAGACTTCAGTACCCAGGACGGGCGTGATGTCTTTCTTTCGGTTGATGGCTTCGAAGAGAGATTTCTTCTCTGGATCTGCGCGGAAGGCAGGATCTACGTGATCGAATGTGGATAACGGCGGTTCTGCTGTGAGAGTGTTGTAAGGCAGGTATTGCTTCCATTTATACTTTCGAAACAAATCAGCTTGCTGCTGCTGCTGGCCGACAAGAGCATCGACGCGCCCCTACATCTTCTGTATTATAATCCCTGGCAGTCTTCTGGGGTATCTCAGTGGGCCCCTTTGGATTGAGCGGGACTTCTGCTAAGGTCGAAGGGAGTTCAAAATCCTTTGGCGGAACAAAGTCGGGGTTTGGTTCCGTGCAAGACCATGTCTTCGGCTTCGTCTCAGGGGCGGTACTATAGATAGTAGGCTGGGATACATATTTGTGGTCTGCGATGGTGGCTGCCACGGCCATGTTGGTGATAGTCTAGCGTTGTCAACACGGAAAAGCGTACACAAACAACGCAAAGCTCGGCCGATTTTATGATTTAATGGAGACAAGCCAGTGGGAAATATGACACGAAAAAGGATACCGTCACTGCCGAAAGTATCACCAGCGTTGTGCTGGGACTGTCTTAGCACCAATAAGACACTGCAAGCACTCATTGTTACAGTTCCCCGAACTGAGTTGCAGACCGAGATCCGAACAACGCTCCAGCTCCGGTGAACGACAATCCGGGGAACCCTGTCTGAGTAGAACTGATATTGTGGTGTAGTACGCGCAAAAGCACAGGCCAATCCCCGCAATCCGCTAACGTCTCGAGTGATGGCAGAGAAAGGCTACAAGTATTTGTCATGTCCAAGTCCTCGTCTGACCTGAGCTTTTGATTTGCGGTTGGCCATTCTGTCCAAGGTAAGGTTATCTACCTCCCCTGATGATAACACCGTACTGTCTCTCGTTATGCCGACGCGAACCGTCAACGCCGTACCTTACCTCACTTTTCCTTCCCTTACTTACGGCCGGTCAGCTTCCCCTGGGATGGCTGCAGCAGTAGGGAAGTCTGGGTTCCCTGGTGGAGTTTCTACCTGAACTCCAACCTTTGGGTTAGATTCATCTTCTCCAGTTGCAGCTTCTGCCACGATGTCTGTGAGCTTGTGGGGCACCCTTTCCTTCCCCCGCAAATTGTCGACTTCAGCTAATTGCCAGTGTGTGAGCTCTTAGGATCGACTAGAATTTTCCTACACATGACGAATTGCTGGTTCGGAATGCGTACGGCCACCTTGAGTTAAGACCTTTGGTGGGAAGAGATCCAGAGCCAGAAACCCAAAACCCCCTCCCCAGACGCCGCAGCTCCCCCGCTCTTCTCCGGAGAGTGGAATACCTTCCTTCCAATTTCATAAAGAGTCTCTTCGCAATAATGACACACGCGATGGTGCGAACTTTCTTTGGCAATTCCCACTGCATCCCTCATCAGAATGGAGAATGTGCAGTTCGTTCCAACTTCTCAGACCTTTGGTGATCCCTCCGTCACAACGGTCGTCGTAGAACCCAACAATCAGCGTTCCAGGAAGAGATCTCGCATCGCTTGTCACCTATGTCATACACGTAAAGTGAGATGTGACGTCTCCGCCATAGGGACTCCTTGCACCAACTGTCGACTGGACGGTCAGGTTTGCTCAGCCAGGAACTTGCCTGCTCGGTGCGTGATACATTGGAAATCTTCACTCCGAATGCTAGGCGGCGGCAACCCGGCTTGGTCACTGGGAGGCGCGTTCTAACATGATTCTCATCTTCTCAGGCGTCCCAAAAAGGCTATCACGAAACCGACGCAACCATCGTCCACTACCCTGTTGCTTGAGAACTCTCCACCCGCGCTCGAGTCGACAATTCTAGCACCTAATTTCGAGGGTGAAGAGGCGCTGTCCCCTCCCGCATCGCCCTCAGCATGTTTCTTCATGGATGGTTCCTATGAACTTTTCGATCACCAGAGTCATGGTTCGTCGAGAACCCGGCATTTGCCGTGGTCACGCTAATGAGGAGATGAGAAGCCGGCACCGACGCCTTTCCCTCGATGTCCTTTCCATTACAGCCTTCGTCGGGCATCTTTCAGCCCTTTTCGAAAGATCTGACTTTCAATACAAGCGTGATCTTCTCCTATTATCGATTTCTCGAGATGAAAGAATTAACCCGACTCCCGCCCGAGGACGTGAGATATTTGGAAATGAAGGGATGCTTACATGTTCCAAGTGGGTCTTATCTGGACGAGTTCGTGCGGCAATACTTTCTTCATGTTCACCCTTGTTTGCCGATACTACATGAGGGGGATTTTTGGCACATGTACGCCCATAAGCGGGATGATTCACCTCGGCCTCCTACCATGTCGCTGCTTCTTTTCCAGGCAATGCTGTTTGCCGCATCCACAGTATGTCCCAGCCGGCCATTCAACTGAGGATACTGACCATGACGAGTTTGTCCCCTTGACGGTTATGAAATCCTGCGGGTTTGAGAGTTTCTACGCGGCAAGGGAAATTCTTCACCAACGAGCAAGAGTCTGTCTATCTGGCGCATCAATATCTCCACCCTCGACTTTCACTAATTCCCTGTCAGCTCCTGTATGATTTTCGAACCGAGTTGAATTTTACCGCCATCTCCCAAGCATCACTTTTGTTGTCACTTCACTGCACGCCGCTCGACGCGCACGCCAACACATCATGGTTGTCGACAGCCGTTCAATATGCTCAGGCCGACAATGCACACCATTATTACCGCCTCGCGGGCCTGAGCGACCATCAGCGGAGGCAGAAGAAAAGGCTGTGGTGGAGTTGCGTCCTCCGGGATCGCATACTCGCGGTTGGGACACGGCGAAGTATTCAGATCACGCCCGACCATTTCGACTTCAGCCAAGACGTGGTGACCGAGCAGGACTTTGCTGGTGAGATGGAGCAATCGCAAGCCTACAACTTGGAGACCAAACGGTCTCTCGTCCAAATCTTCAATATTCAGTGCAAGCTGGCGGTGGCAATGACGTCGACAGTCATGAGGATATATCCACTGAACGGTGTCTCCATCCCCGTCAAACCGCTCAAACATGACTTCCTCCAGGCGCACAGTCATATCAAGCAATGCAAACAGGAATTAACCAGGTGGGCCGAGATGGCAAAAGCACCGCTGGCATCGGGCACGCACAATATGACCACCCCACACCGTTCGGTGACACTTTATGCGGATTTGACCTATATATATTACTTGTGAGCATCACGACCACTTGAAAGCGCGGACGAAGGGCTAAACTTTTCGGACTTAGTACCACCAAAATCGCGCTGTGTAACTATGCGATGTCTCTATTGAACGAATATCGTGCCATCGTGAAGGACTTCGTATGGGAACAGAAGGCCATCAAAACAGAGCTGGAACAGAGTATCAGGACCGTCACGAGGAAAGTGATGGGTGTCGTCACTCACGGATTAGCGGGTCACCTCCCGATAAGCGCGTAAGGATCTGTTTTACTGTTGCCCCTTCTCGATCCCGCAGCCGGGCGGATTTTGACGACCCTTGAGGCTGATAAAGATCTCCAGGATCGCCTACACAGCACTGCCGCACGTTTTACTCTCTCTCGACGTCAAGCTTTCGTCCACGGAGTCCCAAGTCGTGAAACGCAAGCAACGACTGTGCTTCTATGTAGAAGTAATGAGGCAGTACGGCTTTCGCTTCGACTTCGTAAACGCCATTTCGACCATATTCAAGAAGCTCCTCCGTCAAGCCGAGATTCCTTCTCAGTCGACCGACTCTCCGACGGATCGCGCCTCGTCAGCAATAAACGTACGGGATTTCACCCCACCGTTCAGTCATCCCAAAAGTTGGGTGGACGTTCTCGATCGACACCCGCAGATCTACTTCCGATTATCATTTTCACTGGACTATTCCTTGGCCAAAGGCCAGTATCCGCGTGACGACGACCTCCCGAGCTGGATCATTGGCCCTCAGGATCACGGCCCACCAGATGCGGTTGATCTGTTGGAGCCGGTCGAAACGACCAAACTAAGAGAGGATGTTCCAACGAATATGTCGCTCCACACGGACGAGCGTTTGGGGAGGTCTCAGTTGCTTCGTGAAGAGGAATCTTTCTCATTGCCCTCATATTCCTTGATCCCGACTTGGAGCGAGGAGAACTTATTCCTCGAATCCGAAATGTTTGGACTCTCGCAGAGGCCGGGTGTATCAGCATTCGAAGGACTTGAGGCGTATTCAGACGTAAGAAGTGAGGAGGACGCAAACCATGTCATGCCAAATTCGATGCAAAATATGTTTGCTTCCGTGCCTACAGATGTGATGGATTGCTCCACACGGGCGTCACGAGTCACGGGGCTTTCTAAGGAGCAGGATTAAGATCAGGGGTATACCAAAGAGAACGCCAGTACAGAGCACGTCGATGTAGTCGGGCGAGACTATTCCTAAGCTCGTCGGTTTGGAATAAAGACGAAGTTGACCACATCGAGCGACTCCTGAACAGGAGAGACTATACAAATGAAGGGAATCGCGTCTGCCCCGTGGTGATCTGTCGCTCTGCTGGGGTAGATCCCAGTGCAGCAACAGAATGGGAAGAGCGAGAATTTTGGTCGGACGGCCAAAGAGATATTGTTCTGGACTCAACCCTGCTGCACCAACCCGCGCTTGAAGGGCCGGACTCTCTCCTTGTTCGATAATGCTGAGGTTATGTAGCACCCTGGCCATGATGTTGGTTTGACTCCGAGGGTCTGTATGCAGTGTATTGACTCTATCTGAGTGGTGGGGCGACTCCATCAGTAACTAAGTGCCATGGCCCGGTGTCGATGTAAACGAATCCACCAGCAATGCTAAGTCCGGACCGAGTTCGGTATCGGTTCGGCCGCACTCTCACACCCCTCATAGTCTCAAGTCCGGAAAGGTTTTCATTTGTTGACGGTTAGTTACGGTTGGTAAAAGGGGGCTAGCCTACCAGAGCATGACAAATATTGAGCATGCGACATCGTTTCCCCCCCACCCTGAGATACCTCGTTCATCGTTGGTGCATCGCAAGGAAAAAGGTCCGGGGAAAACCACATCGTGGTTCTTGGCTGGTCTCTTGGTGGGGTTGCCACTGCCCTGGTAATGCGGGGATGAGATCGCATTCACCTCCGTCACTTTTGAGTCTGTATGGGTTTTGGCGTATGGGCTTAGGTTCCCAGCATGTAAAACCGGGGCAAGTTCCAATTAGATTTCCCTCTCTATTAGCAACGATGGGTGCTGAGGGCGGAACACCCCAGGAGAGGTATTCATTTGTGGCGATGACCTGCAAAAGTCATCACCACTACGAGAGCTCGTTGTAAGTAGGACCTATCTAACAAATAGTAATGCCGGGTGTCCGTGTCAAGTATTGGCCTAACCCGGGTTAACCAACCACCAGCCCAGGGGCCTCAAACCCTTTCAACGACATGCCGAGATTGTGCAGATGGTCCAAGATCAGCACATTGGAACACACGGAAACCCCTTCCTGAACAACTGTGCCCATCTTCAGAGCGGGGCCGTTGACGGCGGGCACAACAGCCGTCATTGAATATCTCCCTGTGATATTCCAGGATACCACTGATTTAACAACTACAGTCGAGGGATTAGCTTGCTCCATTCCACTCCAAGGGGATATGGATACCCAAATGAAATGGCATGGCAAGATCTAGAAGACATCGTTGAAGCACCATGTGCAGGTTTTCATATCTCATATTCCATTCCATATCATCCTTTCCTCCAACCCGCACCAAATTCATTCCCTCCCCTTCCATCGTCTCATCCCAGCGCGCGATCCGATCTCGTCGCTTGGCTCTATGGCATCGGGATCCTGACCGCCGTCCGGAACTGTCTTCACCCGTCAACCTCCCAATCCACATATCGCACACTCCCAAGGTTACGTGACTTACAGGCTTGATGTCCGCGTTCGCCACATCCCACACTCCACCATGGCCGTAAGCGTCGTTCTCGAGGATGGAGACGACTTCTTCGCGGCTGTCGGCGTACACAATCAGGGCGCTGCCGGCCATCTTGGGGATTTCGCCGTCGACGGGCTGTTCATCAAGGAAGGCGCCTGGAGTCCGCCGTGCCAGTCAGAGCTTGATAGGAACAGGGCGGAAGCAAAACAACATCCAGCTGATAGTTGTAAATGAGAAGGCCCATAGCGAAGGAACCGCATTTACAGAAAGGTGAAACCCATTGATCCAGAACACCGAGTACTTCCACTAAGGACCAAAGAACAAAAGAATAAACTCACCTCCGATAGTCAACTTCCCACTGTGAATCATCGGATTAATCCCCTTCAAATGATCACTGTGTTACTTCCCGATTCAGTGACATTCTCTTCGCCTTCCCCGCAAACTGCTCCTGCCCAACCCCCCAACCCTAAGAAGAGAAAACGTACTTCCTAATCTTCATCCTCTGCCCCAAACTGCCCGGTTTATCTGGCACGACAACCAACCATTCATACTTTCCCACACTCGTAGCCATGGTCCTGGTGGTTCTCTAAACTCGCGCAGCGGAGAAAGAAAGAATTGAAGTCCTGAAGGGTGGTCTAGCAAGAATCCTCAGCTGGAGTCTTGGGTTTCGACAGTGGGTTGAAGACGAAAGATAAAGTCCACGGCTGGAGTTATGGGGGAGGCGGTAGGGCAGAGGCGTTACCGATGGTAACCGCGGATATCAATTTCGAGCTCCCGCGATTCAGAGATAAGAACAGGGAGATACCCTATCATATGGTGAGAGAGATATCGAGGGTACAGGACGACCGTAGTATCGCCGAAGGCTGAGGTGAGAACTTTGAATGCGAATGATGGATTCGGATTCCGCTGGACTTTATGATTGACTATGTCGTCGAATGGATCACACTGAGTGCTCTGTGGGCCGCTATAGCCACCACCCCGCTGTGCGTGTTTATGTAGAGTCGTCTCTGAGCACCCCTTGGTGTGCCCTCCAGTTTTCAAGGGTAGAGACATCACCTTACCTTGAGCATGTTGAATCCCGGTCAGGTTCAGTCGATAGAGACTTTTGCCGATGCCAAAGGCCTCGTCGTCGTCGTGGAGTAGAGGTAAGTGCGGTGTTGCCCTCGTAAGGGGGGTTAGATGCATATAGAATTGTATGAATTTCCCCACCGATCGGAGCGAGCCGTTTATGGAGTCACGTGGTCTGCACTGAATGTGGCCTAGCGATTGCCAACATTCTTGGCAGAAATCCACGGGGAGCATGAAGAAAAGTCAAATTTACCTTGCAAGGCAAAGGCGAAGGCTCAAAAGAAAGTGAGGAGAGAGCCCCGAGGAGTTGCAGATTTTTGCTGACCCGATCTCCTCGCGGCTATCATGTCAGGGCAGTCACAGTCATTTCTTGGGCTGGAAGGCCTTCATGTCTTCATCACGGGAGCTGCGGGGGGCATTGGCCGTGCTGCCGTCAAGGAGTTTCTCGGTATGGCTGCATTTTGACGATTTTGGATGCTTACTCCCAAATCGATTTTCTCTGACGGTCTCTTCAGCCCTAGGTTGTCGGGTGACAGCTTTTGACAGAAGAACCATTGATGTTGCACAGCTATGTTCGACCGCCGATCAAGCATCCAGGATCTTCACTACTCAGGGCGACTTGACCTCTGAAGATTCTGTCGCTGAAGTATTTCGGTCCGCGACGGCCAAATTCGGGCCGTTGAATGTACTGGTTGCTAATGCAGGAATTACCGATGAAAGTGCCCACCCTCCAATATGGGAGATTGGATCAAATCTCTGGGATAAGGTGTGGGAAAACTCCAACGCCGAGCCTGTTTGAGTCTTTTGCTCACATAGCCCAGGTGAACGGGAATAATGTCAAAGGCACCTTTTTGACCGTCAAACACTTCTTACTATCGGTGAAGAAAGCGCAGGAAGCCCGAGGCAGCGAGCTGGAGAATGTTGCCATTGTCATTACAGGTTCGGAAACGGGCAAATTCGGTCAAGAGGGCCATGCAGAGTTGGTCTCTCGGCCGTGGATGACGGGGATCGATGCAACGCTAACAGTGAGTAGGTACGCTTCTGGCAAAGCCGGCCTTCAATATGGCCTGGTCCGAACCGTCAAGAACGAAATCGTCCGACTGAATGCCCGCGCTCGAATCAACGCGGTGGCACCGGGATGGGTCAACACCGCTCTGATCGGTGATCGACTGGATGATCCGAAAGAGATGTGGGCGGAATGCCAGGCCACGGTGGCCTTGAAGAAGATTGCCCAGCCAGAAGATGTTGCCAGGGCCATGGCTTTTTTGGCGAGTCATCGTGCCGCTGGTCATATCTCTGGCGAATGTATTTCTGTCGACGGCGGGATGGAAGGCCGAGTCATTTGGCGGGAAGAACGGATCCTGTCGAAAACCGGCGGGACTGAAACGGCCTTGCGAAGTGCCACCATCCCCGCTTCACTGAGCCCTCCCCAAAGAAAAAGACGGTTACGCATCTGCCTATCTGTGGACTTTGACGCGATTTCAGGATACTTGGGAACGGGTCATGATCCATCTAATACCCTCTCAGACTATTCTGCGGGAATTTTCAGCGCCAATGTCGGTGTGGGCCGGCTCCTGCGTTTGTTCCACCAGCACGGGATTGCTGACAAGCTCACATGGTTTGTTCCGGGCCACAGTTTGGAAACATTTCCGGTGCAAGCACAGCAGATCGTTCAGAGTGGAGCGGAGATTGGGCTGCACGGCTATAGCCATGAAGGAGCGTATGCCATGACGGTCAAGCAAGAAAAGGATGTTCTGGAGAAGTGCATCGACCTGGTGACCAAGTTGCGAGGTGGCAAAAGGCCAGTAGGGTACCGAGCCCCTCTCTATCAAATTCGCGAAACGACGGTTCAATTGCTTCAGGGTCACCAATTCCTCTACGACAGCAGCATGAATGCACACGACTCCTTGCCTTACTTTTTGCCTAACCCCTTCCCTGGAGATCCCCCTCATGTCCCGGATTACAAGAAGGATGCCAGCAGCTGGATGATCCCAACACCGATCCCCAAACAACCAGAGGCAGGCTCCACCGAAGCAGACAAGGCTTTGGTGGAAATTCCTGGAAGCTGGTATACTGAAGATATGACACCGGTAAGTTTTTCTCGGGATGGTGAGGATCGATGAGTATTTGCTGATCCCGTCAGCTCGGTTTCTATCCCTACTCCGTCAATACGCAAGGTTATGTGGGCGTAGATCTTGTAGAGAAGATGTGGTGGGACCGGTTCGATTGGCTGTGGGAAAATGAGAGCTGGTTGGATGAAGAGCCTGGAAAAGGTTATGGTTCGGTGTATCCGTGAGTCAATCCTGGACCACTCGTCTCGGCGATGGTAAGCGGCAGATCAGATCACGAGAACTGACCCCGTGGGTATTTTAGGATGATCTGGCATCCAGAGAGCGCAGGGAGAGCCCATATCGTAGGCATGATCGATCGCTTCATCTCCAAGTTGGTGTCGCGGATGAAGGCCGCAGGCGAAGGCGAAATCACGTTTGAGACGATGGAAGGCGTCGCTCGAAGTTGGAAACAACGTCGATGAGAAAGATGGGAAATGGGATTACCTCAGCCTTGAACTGGCGGCAGCTTTCCCAGGTGATGCCAAAGCTGCTGACGGTAGACTGCTGATTCAGCGAGTTGCCCCAGAACGTGCAGCTGAATGGAGATAAATGAAGGGGGTCGAGTGGAGGGACAGCGAGGCACTTGGCCCAAACCAGCAAAGGGCTTCGTTACCTCTTTAAGCCTAAAAAGTCTTTCCACTCAAACGAAATAGTTTCTCATATTACCAGTCATTGAGCAGATACGTACTCATAGAGTTATCAAAATAGTTTCACCGTTTACCATGCACCGCTCTAATCTCCTTTAGATTTTCCCTTCTCTGCTTTCTTGTGATCTTCCCTCCTAAACTCTCACCCTTGCCGTGACGTGGACCGCGCCGTGGTGTCCTCCGCTCCCTCTCTCTCGTCTTCACATATTCTCCCAGTATCCTCTCTATCACTCTCTTGGCCTTGTCCGCTTCGACTCCTGCCCATCCCTCGGCCGAGTGGCCATCGTATTCTTGATGTCTTGACAGTCACAGTCCAACATGTCTAATACAGATCCTCACACCGACCGACGTCCACAGCCAGGGGTCATCCCCGAGGTGATTCTCCATGAAGCCGAGGCAGCGGCGGCAGCTGCCCAAGAGGAGGAGGACAGAGGTTCAAAAGGGGTCGATGTCCCAGGATTCCAAGGGTCTCCAGAACACCACATACGGCATCATAGGGGCGTTTCACCTCACCTAGAGCAAGTGCCGCCACCCGCTTATAACGGTTCAGACTATGGCCATTTGGATATTACCCAGAATGGCCTGGACACGGGTGCTCGAATCTCCAGTGATGGCAGAGTCAACATCAAGATCAACCAACACGGCAAAAAGCTCACGAATATACTTCTTCCGGCTCTAAAACACCAATTGGAAGTCCAGAGGCAGAAGAGCGCGCAGCCACATATTCCAGAGGGCTTAGGAGAAACGGACGGCCTCCCTCCCCCTCCTATGAACATTGTGATTCAGATTGTGGGCAGCCGAGGAGACGTCCAGCCTTTCGTGGCCCTGGGTCAAATATTGAAGAACAAATACAAGCATCGTGTGAGGATAGCCACTCATCCCACTTTCAAGCAATTTGTCACTGAAAACGGCTTGGAATTTTTCAGCATCGGCGGTGATCCCGCCGAGCTCATGGCTTTCATGGTCAAAAATCCCGGCCTCATGCCTGGTATTGATTCGCTCAAAAACGGCGACGTGGGAAAGCGAAGAAAGGGTATCTATGAGATCATTACAGGTTGCTGGAGGTCTTGTATTGAGGCCGGAGATGGCACTGGCATGCAGGTTTCAGACGACAATATGGACGCTCGCAGCTTTGACAGTGCTGCGTTTTTCGGCGTGGACCCCACACTCAAGCCATTTATTGCGGATGCCATCATCGCCAATCCGCCGAGTTTTGCGCATGTTCATATTGCAGAGAAATTAGGCATCCCCCTCCATCTGATGTTCACCATGCCTTGGTCTCCAACGCAGTCTTTCCCTCATCCTCTTGCCAATATCATTTCCTCCAACACTGATGCCAACATGGCGAATTTCGTGACGTATGCCTTGGTGGATATGTTGACCTGGCAAGGCCTGGGCGATGTTATCAATCGGTTCCGTGAAAGAAGTCTAGGCTTGGAGCCCATCAGTATCATGTGGGCTCCTGGGATGGTAAGTCGGTTGCGCATCCCCTGGACTTATTGCTGGTCACCGGCTTTGATCCCCAAACCGGCGGATTGGGGCAGTTTCATTGACATATCCGGCTTCTACTTCCTCAATCTGTCCACGAATTACCACCCCCCACGGGAGCTGGTCGACTTTTTGGACGCTGGTCCACCACCCGTTTACATCGGGTTCGGCTCTATCGTGGTCGACGACCCCAACGCGATGACCAAAATGATCTTTGAGGCTGTCCAGAAAACGGGTCAGCGAGCGCTAGTCTCCAAGGGCTGGGGCGGACTGGGTGCCGACGAGTTGGGCATTCCCCAAGGCGTCTATATGCTGGGCAACTGTCCTCATGATTGGCTTTTCAAACATGTCTCTTGTGTTGTACACCACGGTGGCGCTGGGACGACCGCTGCAGGTATATTGGCTGGTCGACCGACGGTTGTCGTCCCATTCTTTGGTGATCAACCGTTCTGGGGATCTATGACAGCCAGAGCAGGAGCTGGGCCGGTGCCAATCGCCTTCAAGAATTTGACGGCAGACAAACTGGCGGCACAAATCATGGAAGCGTTGAAGCCAGAATCACTTGAGCGGGCCAAGGAGCTGAGCATGAAGATCAAGGCCGAAAGTGGTTGTGAGAGTGGTGCCGAGTCCTTCCACACGCAGTTGCGCGCGTCAGATCTGCGATGCTCGTTGGCTCCGGAGCGCGTAGCTGTCTGGCGTGTGAGACGGACTGATATTCGTTTATCATCGCTTGCAGCCACCGTCCTCGGAAGTGAGGGTCTTCTCGACTTTTCTGACTTGAAGCTTTACCGACCTCGAGAGTATGAAACCGAGGATGGGCCTTGGGAGCCGATCTCGGGTGGTGCGGCGGCACTGATTGGAACGATTGGAAACCTCGGTATGGGAATTGCAGACTTTCCGGTGGAAATTCTGAAGTCGTTGAAGACGGCCTCTGGGGAGCTCAAAGAGATTCATGAGAAAAGAAAATCGGCCAGCGGAACTTCCACTCCGGTTGTCAGTTCTGATCACCCATCAACCCGGGATCTAACTGCGATGGCGACCGCCCCTGACGCAGCACCGTCCACCCTCTCCGCAGAGGTTCGCGAAATATTACGTGCTGAGACCATGCCCTCAGCTATGTCGACTGTCATGTCGCCTGATGGGACCGCGAAATCTCATCATCACCATCGTCGCTGGTCACGCCATAGATCTCGGTCTGGTTCACCCAAGCCGAACGATGATCGTACGCCCTGTCCTGGTGAAGAAGTCGGCCAAGTGTCATTGGAAACTGCAATATCCGGTGCAAAGGCTGTGGGAAGGATTGTTTCCGCTGGGATCAAATCACCGATGGACTTCACATTGTCTATGGCCAAAGGGTTCCACAATGCACCGAAATTGTATGGTGATGACACCGTACGTCGAAATGATAAGATTGTGGACCTTCATTCTGGGTTGAAGACAGCGGGCAAAGAATTCGGATATGGATTCTATGACGGCATTACCGGACTCGCCACTCAGCCGATCGCCGGAGCCAAGAAAGAAGGTGCTGCCGGTTTCATCAAGGGAGCAGCCAAAGGTCTAGGAGGCCTGGTTTTGAAGCCAGCCGCCGGTATTTGGGGACTTCCAGGGTATACCGCGAAAGGCATTTATGCAGAAGTTGCCAAACACTTTGGTCGCTCGGTGCAGAACTACATCATTGCAGCTCGAACGGCACAAGGCTTCGAAGACTGGAAGAACAGCACTCCAGAAGAAAGAGCAAGAATCGTCAATGCTTGGAAAGACAGCAAACTGGAGATTCGGAAAGGTGGAAAACCTGATGGAAATGACCAGGTCAGAAAAGAAAAGAAACAGAAGAGCAGCGGCCAGGTGAAGGGCCAAGGAAAATTCTGTCCGTTTGATCACGATACAAGCCATCGCTTCAAGCACAGCGGTTCGTTCTCGAATCTAAGCCCTTCTCTCAACTTTGGTAAGACTAACTCCGGGGAAGACGCCGTATTGAGTGATCATGAGCACGCCATCCGGGTGTCAGTTAGCGCGACCAGTACAGGCAACCCCGAACAGGATGCTATGATTGAGCGAGCATTGCGAGCCAGTCTGCTGGAGTTACAAAGCCCGAGTGCGAACAAGCATGAAGACGAAGCGTACGAGTCAGCCATCAAAGCCAGCATAGAAGAATTCAAAAAAGCACGAGCAGAATATGCAGAACGTGCACAAGAGAGCGGCGTGATATCTACGGCAGAGGAGCTGTCCGAACATGATCATGAGCTCGAAAGGGTTTTGACACAAAGTCTCGAAGAATACAGGGCCTCCCAAGCCGCCCGGGGAGGAATTGAAACCCCAATGCAAGATCATTGGAAGGATGATAGTGATTCTGGAATCGATACCGATGATGACGAGAACTTCAAACGTGCGATAGAGGAGAGCAAGAGGCTGCACACTGAGAATGAACAAAAGAACAGAGAACGGACGGACTATGAAGCAGGTCCGATAAGGAATGGAAACGGGCCTGTGGCTACAGAACCATCTGATTTGGCGGAAGATGAGGAGCTGAGACGTGCAATTACTGCGTCCGAGCAAGATGAAAAGGCACGCCAGGAGAACTTGACGAAACAGAAGACGGAGGAGGAGATTGTGATGGAGTATGTCAAGAAGCAGAACTTGTTGGAGGAAGAATTTAAGAATCAGAACCAAGGCAAGAATGTCACTGCTGTGATTGCGGATGAAACGCCTGCTCCTACGACAGCAACGACGTAGACATGGATTCACGTGGGCGACTGAGACGATGTCTTCTATACTCCTCTTTGGGCTTCATTTTGACTGTCATTTACCGCTTGAGCACCGATGTCATGTCTATGACGAAACATGATCAAATTATTACTCCCGCTGAAAGGGATAACTTACACTAATGAGGGAACATTGGAATCCATGGCTAAATAACATGACATCTAGCAACCACGACCATGAATCTGTGCAGATTGTTGGTTTTCGTGAACCTCTTAGATGCACACATCCCCCCTCCCCTTTGGCAGATATCACGTTCTCATATTCTCTAGCTAGCGGTCATGAACACTGCCTGGCTGTTAATGTAAGGGAGAGAGAATATTTAATGATCAATAATTAGTGAGAGAAACGAATGTGTTGCCATCGAGTTGGGGTCTTCGATCGAGGTATTCAAATTACATGGTTCTATGCTATGCTAATCGTGATCGTAGATTGTATTATGGGTTACATGAATTACGGTGATGCTTCGCTGGGACGACCCCCCAAATGCCAATCGATCAAAGTTCAATACACGCCCAACGGATAGGATGAGGGGATGTTATTCAGCGGCGTGATGCTCGGAACTTGAGTCATCGCTCTGCTCACTTCGACAATGTCATTCAGTCTACCCGTCACGGGCATCTTGCGCATGTGCATTCTATCGTCAATCGCCTTGGCCACGCCCAGGAGGTTCCCTTCGGTCCAGGGCAACCCGTAAATCTCCATGCCGATGGGGATGCCGATCGGTGCACTTGCCGTCGCGGGCGAGAAGCCAACCGGAATCGTGACAACAGGGTCGCCTGTTAGTGCCGCGAGGGGCCCGTTGCGGCCGGTCTGCGACGGCGAGCCCACGGGCACTACGAGGTTCTTTTGTTCCGGGTAGATGAGGCAGGTGAGGTCGTTGGAGAGGAGCGTCGTGTGGACGGCGCGCGTCAGATTGGCGATTTGCGATTGTCTGGCGAAGTAGCTGATGTTGCTGGTCGAGGAGACTAGAGAGGTTTCGATGTACGAGTACTGTGTGGGGATGACGAGGAATTGAGGGTCAGTCGGGTTCGGCATGTAGAGCTGGGCCATGTTTAGCGGGCGACGGCCCTGGAGGTCTGGTGAGGATAAGTAGTTGGTGAGTAATTCGCGGTATTCGAGTCGTTGCACGTCGATCTCCGCACCGATCGCTGTGATGTTGTAGGTCATGGGGTCGTTGATGCTGATGACCGTGGCGCCTTGGGCGCGGAGCAGCGAGATTACATTGTCCATGGCCCGGTTGACGGGGTCTGTTTCGTCGCTGCGTGTCCGGTTGAAGAAGGACTCGATCACGCCGATGCGTGTGCCCGAGAGGTTCGACGCGTGGCCTAGAGTCAGGAATGTCGTGTAGTCTGTCCCTATGACAGAGGGCGGGATAGCCGACGTCGCGTTGTCGGTGGCGTCGTAGCCCACGGATGCCATCACGGTCAAGGCTGTTGCGATGTCCATTAGACAGCGGCCGAAGGCGCCGACCACGTCCTGGGTGTACGTGACGGGGAGGACTCCTGCGCGTGATATGAGGCCTCTGGTCGGCCGGAAGCTGAAGAGGTTGTTGGCGCTCGCGGGGCTGCGGAGCGAGTTGGCGGTGTCGGTGCCGGTGCCGAGTACTGCGAACGAGGCGGCGATGGCGGCGCCGGTCCCGCCGGAACTTCCGCCAGGCGTGCGTGAGAAGTCATAGGGATTCAGCGTTTGGCCGCCTAGGCTGGAGACTGTGAGGCCTTCGAGAGCCAGTTCGTGGAGGTTGGTTTTGCCCAGGATGACGGCTCCGGCGCGACGAAAGGCCGTCACAGTGGCACTGTCGTGGGTGGGCATGGACGAGTTCAAGGCCAGACAGCCGCCGGTCGTGGCCATGGGGAGGGCATCGTAGTTGTCTTTTAGGAGGATGGGGATGCAGAAAAGGGGTCCCGTCGCGTTGCCTCGTGAGAGAGACTCGTCAAGGGAGTCGGCGATGTCCAGGGCATACGGGTTTAGCGTGATGATGGCGTTGATGCTCGGGTTGAAGTGTTCGATTCGAGCGAGAAAAGCGCTGACGATTTCTCGGCAGGTTGTGAGTCCTGCGTACAGGGACGTGTGGAGCGATGAAATTGTTGCTTCGCGCACGTCGACGGAGAGTGTTTGGGAGGACGATAGAAGAGGAAGAAGGAACAACAGGAGGGTTTGGAAGACGTACATGTTTGATCTTGGCGAGTTCCTCCTCGATGAGGGAGAGTTGGGGTTGTGTTTCTATAATCACTGGCACTCCTGGGAGGGAAATGATCATATCGGAAATGTTCTTTCGGCCATTGATATAAGACCGCGCTCAACGCATTTCGCAAGACAAGGTTCCATGGCAAAATCGCCACTGCTTCTGGTAGGAGTTGCGCGTAAGGAAATGCCCACCTTGTCCTCGTCACGGGTAGCGGTACAAAGATGTACAGGACGTCCGACCTTCCAGATCCAGGTATTCAGGCCATCTGAGCAGAATTGCGGAGGCAAGAGGGCCTAGAGGGAAGTGAGACCGGATGGCAGGAAGGACAATGATTGACAGAAAAGGTCGAGGATATCCGAACCTCATCTTATCGGGCAGAGAGATGCTCCGGACCAAGGAAGAATCAAAGTTGTTGATGTCCGAATAAAGTCAGTCACGTGGCGGGCGGCTAGTCACGTGGTCGTGTCGTTCTCAATGTCCGCGCCCCTTCAATCACGTCGTCAGCAATATCAGCTCTTCTTGGGAATACAGAAACATCGGCTTTTATGAATTCCGCATCCAGTGTAGATGTACATCATCTTCTCTCGCGTATGCACGCAATGGTCTGGTGCCCTTCTCTTCGGCACATCACCGGGCGAGCTCGATGACACCGCTTGGCAATATCTCCAACGTCACTTCGTCCCTTTGCCTCTTTGCTCCTCATTCTTCCCTGTTTTGAAAACTTTCGGAGCATGAGGAGGACTCCTAGTCAGGAACGATCCCGCCTCCATTGGCTCTTGTCATGCTCTGGCCAGATGCCTCCTCCATCCGCGACTCCTACTTTGTGGGGTAGCCCGAGCTTTCATCCGCTGCTTTAACTTTCGGGTTCCCTTCGTCAATCTATGCGACTGGTTGATCTGATCGGACCACTTCTCAGCAATGTTACTCTGGGGAACATTTCCCGGGAGGGGAGTCATGGGAATCTAGTTCTTCTTTATTTGTTTTTAAGCGTCGCGATCGCGATTGCCGTGGTCCGTTTCACATGGTCCCTGCCATATCGTTCCCTGTTGTATCTATCATTGCAACATGGTTGTGATTCCCATCCTTCTCGCCTTGTGGGCCTCAGGCCTAGGTGCTGCTCAAAACCCATGTCCTGGATATACGGCTACCAATGTGGAGCCGACTGAGCATGGCTTAATTGCCAATCTCCACCTCGCTGGTCCTGCTTGTAACGTCTACGGCACAGATTTGCCCAACTTGACTCTCTCAGTGGAATATCAGACCGGTATACGGACTGGGTAGCGATCGATAAATTCGCCTCTACTAACTCGTCTTCAGCATCGAGGCTCCATGTCATTATTCAAGATCAAAACAGGACCGTCTATCAAGTCCCCGAATCCGTCCTGCCTCGCCCTAATACTACTAATGCGGTCTCGGCATCGGACTCTCAGCTGCAGTTTACCTACACCGAGGATCCATTCAGTTTCGCCGTGTCTCGTCCGGGCGGAGAGGTCCTCTTCAATACATCCGGCTCACCCATCATTTTCGAGTCGCAATACCTCAGGCTCAGAACCGCGTTGCCCAATGACCCCAACTTGTACGGCCTCGGGGAGCATTCTGATCATTTCAGACTCAACACCTCCAACTACACCAGAACTCTCTGGTCGCGAGACTCGTATGCGATACCTGAAGGAACGAATCTGTATGGAAACCACCCCGTATACATTGATCACCGAGGTGAGAATGGCACTCATGGTGTGCTGCTTTTGAATTCGAATGGCATGGATATCAAGATCAACGACACCGATGGTCAATACCTTGAGTACAACACGTTGGGAGGCGTCCTCGATTTCTATTTTGTGGCAGGACCTTCCCCCATTGAAGTCTCTCAGCAAGTGTCGGAAGTGGTCGGCAAGCCAGCCATGATGGCGTATTGGACTTTTGGTTTCCATCAATGCCGATATGGGTATCGAGATGTGTATCAGGTGGCGGAAGTGGTCTACAATTACAGCCAAGCCAATATTCCCCTGGAGGTGAGGATTTCTTCCGGTGAAGACGACATTGACTAACGGGTACAGACCATGTGGACCGATATCGACTACATGGTCAATTCTGTTTTCCCCCATGGCCCCGAGCCGAACGAACTGACTGAGGTGTAGGATGCCCGAAAAGTCTTCACGTTGGATCCGGACAGATTCCCCCTCCCGAAGATGCGGGAGCTCGTGGCATACCTCCATGCCCACCAACAGCATTACATCATGATGGTGGATCCCGCAGTCGCGTATCAAAACTATTCGGCCTTCAACCATGGCCGAGAGCAGGACATCTTCATGAAAAATGCCGACGGATCGATTTTCGAAGGCGTGGTCTGGCCTGGAGTTACCGCTTTCCCGGATTGGTTTCATCCGGGAACTCAAGACTATTGGAACAGCGAATTCGACACGTTCTTCAGCCCTGAGACCGGCGTGGACATCTCGGCCCTTTGGATTGATATGAACGAAGCTGCCAAGTACAAAACGTTCGAGAAGGGTCTGAATTCGTCTACTGACTCGGTCTTAGTTTCTGCAATTACCCGTGTTCAAACGCCAGCGGGTATGCCGAAGAGAATGGATTTCCCCCCGAGCCACCACCGGTGAGAGAGGGCCCTGCCATTGTTCTCGAGGGCTTCCCACCCGACTTTCAGCCACCAACAAACGCCAAAAGACAAGACACGACCACCGGCACCATGCTAGGCCTTTCGGGTCGGAAGCTCATTAACCCTCCATACACCATTCGTAATGCTGCCGGCAGCCTGTCCAACAAGACATTGGATACAAACCTTGTTCACCACAACGGGCTTGTCGAATATGACACCCACAATTTGTACGGCACGATGATGTCGTCAGTTTCCCGCGCAGCACTTCTCCATCGACGACCAGGAGAACGACCGTTGGTCATCACGCGAAGCACATTCCTGGGTGCAGGCGCCCACGTGGGCCATTGGACCGGTGACAATGTAGCGAACTGGGCCCAATACGAAATTAGCATTTCAGACATGTTGAATTTCGCATCCATCTTTCAGGTACCCATGGTTGGCTCTGGTGGGTCGGTTCCTCCGCTTTCAGGGGATGAAGTTGACGGGAATATCTAGACGTATGCGGATTTTCGGGCAACACGACTGAAACCCTCTGTGCGAGATGGATGATGCTGGGGGCTTTCCAGAGCTTCTACCGGAACCACAATGAGTTGTGTCCCCCTCCGTTTCCCCCCCCCCCCCCCCGGTCTGAGAGGTTTCTGACAAAAGTCCCAGGCTCGGTAGTATTGGACAGGAGGCATATCGCTGGCCTACCGCGGCTGAAGCCTCGCGTTACGCCATCGACATCAGATATCGTACCTTAGACTATCTTTACACGGCCTTTTACACCCAGACGCAGACGGGAAAACCTCTTTTGAACCCCATCTTCTACCTCTACCCAGAGGATGCCAAGACGTTTGGTATTGATGCGCAATTTTTCTACGGGGATTCCATCCTCGTGTCCCCGGTCACAAAGGAGAACACCACGACGGTAGATATTTATTTGCCTGATGATATCTTCTACGACTGGAACCACGGTTGGTCTCCCGTCCGGGGAAATGCCTCTGCGGTGACTCTCTCGGACGTCAACTTCACGACAATTCCTCTGCATGTTCGGGGAGGCAGCATTCTTCCCCTGCGAGTACAAAGCGCTAACACGACGACGGAACTGCGCAAGAAAGGCTTCCATCTGGTGATTGCCCCCGGAATTGATGGCACGGCCCATGGGTCCCTCTATCTTGACGATGGATTGATGATTGAACAACCCAGCACGACGTTCATCAATTTCACATACAACAATGGGTCTTTCTCGATGTCCGGCGACTACAGTTATGCGGTGAACGTCAGCATTGAGAGAATGAGCATTTGCAGCGTTGCTTCAGCGCCTCCATCAGTGGACATCACCGGCCATGAGTCGACTTTCACCTTCGACAATACCACTCAGGTGGTCACGATCGACACCAGCATCCCCCTATCTCAGGACGTCAGTTTCCAGCTCCCGTCCTCACAAGCTAGCTCTATCACACCGGGAACGGGCATAGAACAATCGAGCGGGAATGGCACCCAAGGAGAGGGAGGGTCCAGAAGTGAAGGAGGAGAGTCGGCGGCTTCTCCGTATCTCGGATCTGACGTAGGGTTCAAAGTGTTAGCGGCTCTGCTAGCTGTATCAGTCATTCAGATGGCATTCTAATGAGCCATCTCAGACGCCGAACCGTCAAGAGAGCCGACTAACTCGGGGCGGGCCACCCAATACGAAGAAGCGGTGAACGACAGATTTGACGTCGGAAAGATTCTTAGGATCCTGGCGGCCCGATGGAATGGTGACAACCTTGTTTTGACAGCGGATGTTGAATGTGGCTGTCGACGCCTCTCTTTCTCTCAGGTAATTATCAGTAATGAGCTATTTTCTTGTGAGCGCCCACAACTCGGTCCATCAAAGATGCGTTCCCCAAAAGTCTCGGCTCTCAAATGTGCCGTCAGGCTAGATTTTCCCTCGGAGAGCGATGAATGGAGAGGCCCAGATCGCATCCCGGCGTGCTAGAAGATACCCTCATTTTATACATATATATATCTATCAAGCATTGGCTTTGAGAAAGCTGATAGGGGGATCTCACTTCGACTGTTATCCTTTCATTGGCAGTTTCATTCGGAGCCAACGACCCTCGGGACCAGAGCTAAAGTATACCAGCGACTCGCCGGGGCATTTCTGATTCGAGCCATCCGGCCGTGCCCTTTGCTTCTCTCCTCCTGGTTGGACATTTATTTTCCACTTCTCACTGGAGCCAGCTGCAATTAGGTTGTCTCAGGTATCACCAGAATCAGTCGCCCAAACTTTCGAACCCAGTGCCGTCCCGAACAGGGTGCGGTTGCCCACCGGAAGACCTCGCTTCCAAGGTCACATTCTTGGAGAGAGGTCGTCGGCGATGTGGACACACTTGGAGAACGATAGGAAAAGCACGTCAATGGCGGGGTAAAGTAGTGCCATGATGTGTTCGGGTCTTTGAGTCTTGACCAGCTACAAAGTGGGCATTCTCGTTTTCTGCTCATGCATCAGCCCCATCCCGTGTTCTTTTCTTGCCGGCCAACTAACTAAAATGCAAACCCGGTTCGTTCGCCTTACTTAACAAACTGACAACTCATCCATCCGCATTTTCTCCTGCACATGCCGCCTGCCTGTCGCCGTTGCAGCCCAACCTGCTACCCGTCCACGATGCGTCGGCCACTGCCGCCGTTCTGAACTGCCGCAACTGGGAACCTGACCTGTCCCTCGTTGCTGTCTGTGCTCGGAGTCACTCTCCCTCTGGTCTATCGAGTCTGGATCCGCATCATCTTTTCAAGCATGCTCATTCGGCCCTACATTGCCTTCTCCCTCGAATCGCCTGCCTGCGTTGCGACCGAGGTCCATCACGAGGTGGACAATCGCTGCTTACAGCCTTTTCCCGTGATCCTCGCCGAAGACCGACGCAACTTCTTCGACCGTCAAGATGTCCAAACCACCTTCCAAGTCCAATAAGAAAGTCAAACGGGACGATAAGAGTGATTCTGAAAGCAGTGATGATGATCTGCAGCCGATTCACTTCTTTGTCCCCGGCGAGAACATCAACGCCGCTGTTCTTGTCGAATATATCACTCAATATGTCGACAGCACCGCGAAAATCACCTCAAGTCATCATCCAACTGTGAGGGCTAGACGATGGATTCATGACTCGTATTGACGACTACTAGGACAGATCCCGAACCGGCTTCAACGTCCTCGCAAAGAAAACCCTCAACGCCGTAAGAGCCGATTCCGGCACCGTTTGTCTGGCGCGGAAACTTACTCTTCCTTCCAGGTCAGCCTCCGCGATCTCATAAACGATTCCAAGGACTGGGATCTAGAAACACAGAGCAGTATGGGTCCACCGATTGTGGAAAGAGAGATGGAGGACTCCTGCTGACTCGCTTCAGAAAAATTTCGGAAAGACCCATATCGATATGCAGATTCGGATACAGCAAGACGGCGAGCCCGTCAGGGTGCATCAAAAGGTGGCACGGATCGACCCCAGCGCCAACGCCGGGAGCGCGAGGCGTCATTGGAGCCGGCCGAAAGTCATCGCCGCGATAGAGTCACCAGTCCACCGAGTATGAGTAATGTTCCCGCCCAATACAGCCAGTACCCGTCTTCACAGCCTCACGACTTCTCGAGAAGCACGGGTGGATATTATCAACAACCATCCAGACCGGAGCAGGGGCCCAACACTTATCATACCTATAACATTCACGCCACGTCGTACAGCGCCAATATCCCTGTGAGCGCCAGTCAATATATGCAGAATCCATATCCCAGTAGTGGCGGTTACTCTCAAATCCCCAACCCCGATCCCAGCTATCCACCACCATCATACGAACAGTCCAACACGGGGGTCCCGCCACGACCTCGACCTTTGCCTCCAGGCCATCCGGATCCGGACATATTCGACCGCGAAGACAAGCCCCGGATTTCGGATACCATGGACCATCCCTCTTCACGACAAGGGTCAATAGCTCCGGGGGAAGAGTCGGGTCGGTCGTATAGTTCTTCCCAAAGTCGTCGACCAGCAGCTCATGACGAGATGATGCGAAGGTCCGGTCACAGAAGCTAGCGGTTGCTGAACGAGAGGAATGACCCCACACTACATCAAATTGTGAGGTCAAAACAACAATGGATGCAAGGCTGACTTGCATGTCGATGAGTCCGACATCTCCCCGTCGAGGCTGACTCCGGAGAAAGCCATCACCACCACTGCAAGCGTTCCGCTCATATCCAAAATTTGCAGGACATGTTTTTTTAAACTTACCTCCCCTGAGATAAAATAGGGATTGAAGACCGTCAGGCATCGTTATGTTCTTGTCAAGTATCCGGACCACTACAGCGGTACGGTCAATCGTGCGTTGGTTTGCAATGCCTTTTTGAATTTTTGTAACTCAGCAGCGGCGGCAGCAGCAGCAGCTCGGCCAGATAACCATAGAAGGGATGTCAACAGTGATCGTCAATTTGACAGAGCATGGAGGGAAACCCAAGATGGTGCCTTTGGTGGGGGGAGTTCCAGCCCAGAGAGAGCAGACATGTCCTGGTATATCGGTTCTTTTCTTTCGTTTTTCATTTCTGCCTTTCAAAGCAGATGTCTTCCTAATAGAATCCGGGGCTCTTAAAGGGATTGGGGCATCACGTGCCAACAGGCTGATGTTGGATGGACAAGGATGATGGACTTCCCGGGGTTGCTGGTCCTTTTGTTTGGGGAGGGCTGACGGAGGAGAAAACAACATGGGCTCGTTACACCCAAGATCTGCCCGGCTATGGACAAAAATCCCCCACATAGGATCAAGGAGGTCTCGATGGCAACCCTGTTGCGGATAATGTATGGCATCTCATCCCATTGGCGACGCTTCCCCTGCATTGGTTGTACATACATATTTTTGATCTCAATTTCCGAACACGTGAATTTCGGTATTTCGGTGCGTCATGACGAGGGACAAAGCGTGCACTAGTGATGCCGTCACCCCAAAGAGCAGCAATCGGCCCTGTCTGCTCAGTTCGCAACCGTATGAGACGGGCAGCACGGGCATTGGCGATAATCGAACGGATCTCGAGTAAGTCATGTGACTGTGGATGGGCAAATAGGCAAAATGGACATGATCGAAGTGGATGATGAAAGCCTCTTGTGCAGCCCGACACGCCTTGAACTATTTAATATCAAAGATGCTTCTGGAAATCTACACCCTATGTATGAAAAAAATCCTGCGGGCATTCTGCGACATCTGTTGAGAAATTTGGGACTCTTTGTCCGCAATCTTACTTGGGTCTGAGGCGCCGAAGGCGGGTCCACGCTACAAGGGCAAACATTGGGGGTGATTGGCCAACATAAAAGCCTTTGCATATGCACCAAGCGAAAAACTAGACCCTGGACCGTTGAGATGCATGTCTCACGAGGGGCCACGACAGTTGAAGACGAGCCACCTCGACCACGGGCCACCTTCTACCACCACAACCCCCCCCCTCATCATCGACGGGGTTTCTTGCAAGGCAAACAATCACCCTGTCAAACAATCGCCCTGCCAAACCGTATTCAGCCGAGAAAAACGACCTCTGCAGAGATTTTGCTTCAAAGTTGGCCCAAGGTTGGCATTTTTGATCCTAAACCTCCCTTTAGGTAGTGATGAACGTTGAGCAGAGCAATACAGCATCAAGTCAATGGCCTTGAGCCTGGGGGATCCCCAAGGATGGCCGGTCAACAATGTTGCTCAAGCTCCAGCTTCGACGGCCGTGCCTGCTCCTTCTCACCTCGAGGCGCGAGAAGGCCCCGCTCAGGCTCAGTGGCAAGCGGTGAAGGAGGAGATCCGGATGTTGTACGAAAAAAAGCCCTTGAAAGAAGTCAGAAAGATCTTGGAACAACGGCATGGTTTCCGAGCGACGTAAGTACCATACAAGCTCCCGCTGCCACGGGGAGTTTTGTTTGTTTTTTTTAATTCCCCAGCCATCTCCAAGCTTATCATCCATGCTGATAATCGATTTCACTCTTGACAAGTGAACGGATGTATAAAGCCCGACTCTCGCAGTGGGGAATCAGCAAAAACTACTCGGATAAAGACTACCAAATATGTGCGGTCTTGCACCACAGCCGTCAGAAATCCGGTAAACGAGCCACGGCCTTTGTTGTCCATGGCCACAAACGGTCTCTCAAGGATTTACACAAGTACATCAAAGGCCGGAAGATGTCCGAGGATGAGTTCCTCACCACCGCCCTGAAAAACATCGTCCTTTGCAATGACCGTACTGGAGAACTACAAGAACCCTATGCTCACGTGCGGGCGTATACTCCGGAGCCTGAGACGGAGACCGAAGACCAGCAATCAACCCCAACAACAGGGCAGCTGTCGGGGGAAATTACTGCGAGTGTCGCCAAGCAGTCGCCTCAGGGAGCAGAAACAGAGCCAGGGCCAAGCCTGGGACGGGCATCGGGCCTAGCATCGAGGCCAGGCTCAGGCTCAGGCGCAACATCAGGCCGGCGTTCCACCGCCCACCGAGAGTCACCCACATCCCAAAGGCTCTCACCCCACGGCAAGGCATCACCACCTACGCGCCAGATTTGTGGTACTCAATTTCCGCCCAAAGACGGTGCCGTCTCTGTCACGTGGCAATCACCGCCGTCGCCGTCATCGCGCGGTCCTCTCGTCTCTTCTCCCCTGGCTTTACCTTCTTCGGCAGCGCTTTCATTCAATCATCCTGTTGCCAATCTACCCCTAGGGTCGTTCGAGGATCAGGTCCGTCATGCTGGGACCGTCCATGACAGCATGCCCACGCCCACGACCACTTGCCAGCGACTTGGGAGAGAAGTGGAATACATGGCTTTGCAAATTATCGACGCGCCTCCTCTTAAATCACTATGTGGTCACGATGATGTCCGCACCTGGAGATTGATGAGCGATACGTCATCCGTCGACACTGATGATTACGAAAAGATCTGCCCGACATGTCACGAACCCACCCAGGACCATTTCATCAGTCTCCCGAACCTGGAAATGCCACAGCAATCCCGCAGCATTCTCAATGAGACATCCAGCGCGATGGACAGCACCATATCGGTCCCTGCTTCGTCTCGAGGCCACGAGCATTCTTGGCGATGGGTAGCGCGATGCTTCGCCGCGTACATCTACATGAACAGAGCTAACGATACGTTAACGCAAAGGAGTCTGGAGGATGCGAACCTCGAGTTTGAGAAAATGCTAATTCCTCAGCAAGATCCCAAGATCCTGCTGGCTTTGAGTCAAACCCTGCTCATTCTCAATATGCATGGCCAACCCTCACTTACCGAGTACATCATGTCATCAGCGCACTCCGTGGCCGAACATATTCTGGGTCCTGAAGACCCTCTGACGATAATCACCCGCTGGATGGTCGATGTCGCCAAACTCGAAATGAAAACTAGTGAGACTACGAGCGCCACGCTGAAATCCGTGGCCGAACAATTCATTCTGCGCCATGGCCACACCGACCCCCGCTCGATTGCCTCGCTATACTGCTACGGGTACATGTTGAACGTGGAGCGAAGATTGAACGAAGCGGAGCAGGTATTGATCGACGTGTACCAGGTCTCCTCAGCCACGCTGGGACCGCGGCATCTCCAGTCTATTTCAGCCCTTACAAATTTACACCGAGCTCTGGCTCGACAGGGCCGATCCGAAGAGGCGATTGGCGTGCTACGAAAGGCGATTGACGATTCACGAGACACATTGGGCGAAAACCACCCACGTCGCCTTGAGAGTATGCGTCTTCTGGCGGTCTTGTACGAAGATCGGAGGCGCGAGGATCTCACCGAGGAACTCTACTGGAAAGTCCTGGAGGGCCGGATCAAAATGCTCGGTCGTAATCATCGGTTCACGCTCGGGATCAGGAACGATTTGGAAGCATTGCTCAAGCGCATGGGCAAATGGGGAGTCGAGAGGCCTCGGAATGCGAATGTTCGTGCCGGCGCAGGTCCATCTCAAGATCGAGATCGAGATCAAGATGAGTCAACGTCAACCACCGAATTTGAAATGGAAATTATCGAAAGCCCGGAGCAATTGAGGATCCAGGACCTTTTCGAATGGGATCCCGATGAGAAGTGGGATGAGACGAGGAGTTTCGACGGGAGCGATGACACGGGCAGTATGCATGAGGCTTTCTGATTCCTTTTTTTTCGTTTTCACTTTCTTGCCGTCTGCTGCCATTAGGCGAAAGGAGAAGCGGGCGTAAGGGGAGCCCAAGAAGCCTAGGAGTCTGGGATCTATCTATTTACTACTACCCCCATTTGCGAATTTGTTTCGCACGAAATCGACCTCAGTTATTCACGACAGTATCCCTTTTTGTTTTTTGGGGGGGCTATGTTTAGCAGGATTGGAATAGAGAGAGAAAGAGAGAGATACGTGAAGAGAAGGGTGCAGGTGTAAAGGTGGGTGCGAAACGGCTGTTGTTGATTGTTGAGCATTTGAGGACTGAGAATTGTATGAAAACATCAAGTCCGAACCTAAGTTGTCGTCTACCAATTTTTCCTACCTGTTACGCTGACATTCACCTTGGTATTGCACATTTCTGAAGGTACGGTTCCACCTCAGCTTAGCATGTTCATCAAATAATTTTTCTTTTTACATGTCCGTATTCCTTTGCCATGCAAGTCTTCAACATGCCACAACACAGCACAACGGAATATCAAGAAAGAATGCTCACTCATCATAATCATGCTCTACAATACAACGACCTGGGCAAGTTGGGAAGAACGATACTCCAAAGAGAAGCACATGCGTCTGTACGCTTTCGATGTCCCGTGCAAAAGTTGCTGATGCGAAGTACAGTGCATTGTCGATCCTCTCCTTTTCACATTCCCTTTGTTCCTTGTCTCATGATTTTCTTTGCCTCACGTCGCCTCGCTTCGCTTCGCCCGTTCGTTCGTTCGGAACTTGTCAGATCCGGAATGTACAAGGAATAAACTGGAAGACGCTACTGAAATGTGAGGCGACTTTCAGCTATCCAGAATAGTAAGCAGGGCGTACAGACGGAGCAGGAAGGAGTGTCACGCTATTTTAACATAGTTCCTGGTGTCCTCCGGGCGAGGCTTGACAAGACGAGACGCGGCGGGATGACGCGAGGTTAGGTGGTAGATGTGATGAATTTGTTGTCAAGATGGTTGAGGAGAACGTCGACGACAGCCATCGCTGTAGCGATTGGCGATTGGTAATTCTGGTACGATCGTACTCCTACGCGATTAGCGCCGGTCTCCGCTTTTTATTGTTGAGATTCAATAGTCGTTGCAGGATCTACTCCGCTGGGACCTTCGGATCCCGAACATCTACCACGTAGTACTCGGCGGTCACCTTCGACTTAAATGCGGCAGAGAACAAGGGACAAGGGGGAACGTCATGGGACGCTGGGTCCGCGAGGTAGTCTCGAGTCGAACGGATCACCGTGTTGGAAATACATGTGGCGAACAAGCGGGAGGAAGCGATATTAGGCTCGGGATGTTTCTTTTGCGTGAAGGATTGGTGCCGGTGCATGCGGTGATTGGCATGTCTCACGCGGTTGGAGCGGGAGTGTGGTGAGGGATCATGAGACTCGAGCACTGCTTGGAGTCGGTGGTATAAGGATATTCTAAGTTCGGGAGCATCAGACAACTGAGGAAGAAGAGGAAGGAGAACGAGACAGAGAAGAGTGGGCGTGTGTGGAGAGGGAGGCAGGATAAGATAGGTCGGACACCGCGATGATCCCGTGGTATAACGAACATTTTGTCCTGTGCAGAGCCGAGTCGATCATGCTGCAGCCATGGGAAGTAGCTGACTAGCTGCATTGTATCTTTTTGGGGTTTCTTTTTTGTCGTGCCTAATACCAGTGGGGATAAGGTTGCCATGGCATACCTTTCTTTGACCAATCCATCCCTTCTGTGTCTTCAAGATTGATTCTCAAACTTCAATCCACTTTCCAGTCTCTTCGCGCCGTAAATACCTGCAATGTCCCCTTTCTCACCTTGAGTCTCTTTGACCACTTTCAGATACGAATCCGCAAGTTCGACGTTCTTCATTCGACATCCGCTTTTCTCGGCCAGGTTCATCGCATGTCCCGCATCCTTACGGGCCAGATCCACCGCGAACAACGGTTTGTCACGCTTATAGTAGTCTCCTGTCCGTAGTCTATTCGAGTAAGCCGTATACGGACCGGGAAACATGACCTCGATGAACTTATGCAATGAGTCGACACCGAGACCGGATTTCTCGGCCACCACATGTCCCTCGGATAATGCTTCGACCATGCTCATGATGAATGTGTTGCCAATGACTTTGAGAAGGGTGGCTTTGCTCGGTTCTTGGCCGGAGAAATCGATGTTCTCCCGTCCGATCACGCCTTTGCAGTATGGTTTTACCTTGCCCACCGCCTCGGCTTGGCCAGACAGGACGCAGATTAATTGTCCTGCATCGGCCATGGCAGGAGCTCCGAAAACGGGACACGCCACAAAATTGCCGCCCTTCTCTTCAACCATTTTTGATTCCTGTGCCGTGGTGTCTGGGTGGACGGTGCTGCAGTCCACGATGATTTTGCCCTGGACATCGGTCTCGAGAATCTGTTCGAGTGTGGATATCACCGACGCGTCATCGCCCAAGCAGTAGAATATAAGGTCGGCCTTCGATACAGCGTCGGGAATTGAGGGGGCCACCGTCGAATTCCCGATTTGGGCAGAGAGGTCATGGGCCCGTTGGATCGTGCGGTTGTAGATGATCAGAGGGTTGGCTAGCTTGCCTTTCTCGACGAGGTTCTTGCACATCCCCTTTGTCGCAGTTAGCACATCACAAGGCAGTCTTTTTGCAGATTTGTACCCTGCCCATATTCCCAAGGCCTAGCCATGCTATTTGAGGTGCCATTATGCCAGGAGAGAGGACTGTTTCGAAGGATGAGGAATCGAGGTTGGGTGAGAGAAGTAGAATATCTGTCTTCAAGTCAATGCTCGACTTTATACCTGCAGTGGCACCAGTGACGATCGCGTCGGGTACGAATCATTCTCGTCCGAACTTTTGGATGTTGAGACGGGCGGAGAGTCCACGATACAACCGCATGGACAATATTGAGGTCGAAGTTAATGCCCGTTATGTTTCGCGACGTCCAACAATCGGGGAATCACGGATCGAATGCAGCAGTGAGCTTTTACAAAGCACAGCGGAATGAATGCGGGTCTTGCACTGGTATCCAGATAAGTCAGAGAAAGCCAAATTCGCAAATTCCGGGGGTTGTACGCATTTACGGCGAGTCATACAGACGTTGTAGTAGTGCACTTTCAGAGCTTGCATATCCAATGATTCATACGGCAGTATTTACCCCTTCCTGCGTGCCCTCAACACAAAATTTTTCTGGGAGAAAAATCTTGTGAGACCCTGGGTATATATCTCTCCATGGGATATCATTGTTCTTTTCTTGTATCATTTTCTTTGTCTTGTTCCTGGCTTATGGTCATCATGAAATATGACCCAGACCACCTTGAGCTGGCCTGCAGTCGCCATTAAGGGCCATTACTCACACCATTCAAACAGAAATATTGCTGCCGATGTCTTGAGAGCCTACATCAATTCTAATCCGTCCCCGTCTTCATGCTCAGGCAGACCATCTCGTGCTCGCTTCTACTCTGCACAACCGGCACCTCGAACCGATGATCCTCCTCCCCATCATATTCCAGAGTTGGCCGTCCATGACAGACGAGGATCTTTTGCACACCAAGCCAGGCAAAGACTGGCGAACAAGGAGTTCTTCACCAGTCTTTTGAGTTCTGCAGCCACCAAGCGAGATGCCAAAGCCTATATTTCTCGGCTCAAGAGCCCGACCAAGACAAGCCCTGTGCCGAAACCTGCTCCCCGACCGGCAACCACCAAACCAAAGTCCGAGGTGAATCTCGGGAATCTCTTTGGCCGAAGTCGAGCAGTGGAAGAGAGCCCTGTCTTTACGCAGTATGACAAAGAGCTAGAGCAAACCATTGAAGAGCAGGAGACTCTCCATGTCGCTTTGGTCAAGCTTAGCCATGCTAGCGGAATGACCGAGCCGATCCTCAAGGGCATTGCACAAACTTTGTCTTCTCTGTCCCGTCTGAGTATGGCACCTTGTGTAGTGCTCGAAGAAGCGGACCAGATCGATGACAAGGCTCGCCGTGAGTGTCTCACACAATCGGCCAATAGGCTCGTTGCAGCAATCGACCGGATCAGCGATTCCGGAGCTAGAAAACTTGACAATGTCCTGAGCTTCGGTGATGATGGTCGACCTCAAGTCTTTCTGAGGAAGCTCCTGACTCGCCCTCTGCGGAGAGGAAGGATTCCCGTTGTCGTGCCGATTGCTTATTCGGAAACGCGACAACATGCAGTTCCCACCACTGCTGACGAGGCTCTTTTGGCCCTGACCAGGGAACTGGCAGGTTTGAACTTCACACCTCGAGAAGACGACCCTCCAGATCATGTGGCTGAGAAAGTTAGTAGGATGCGGAAACAAATATCTCTGGACCGGATAATTGTGGTCGACGAGACTGGGTCCATTCCGAGCACCAAATCAATTGACAAGAAACATGTTTTTGTCAATCTCGAGCAGGAATACTCTTCACTACAAGAAGAACTGAGAAGTTCCACCGACGGAGGTGTTTCTCCTAAACATGCATCCAATCTAAAATTGTTTCGAGATGCCCTGAGAATGTTACCACATTCTTCATCTGGCCTGCTGACGACGCCGCTCGAGGCGGCAAATACATTGAAGGCGGCAGATGATCAAGTTTCTAGCGTGGGCACAAGGCGGCAAAAGAACCCTCTGATTCATAACCTCTTAACTGACAAGCCGGCGTATTCTTCATCCTTACCCACCGGACGTCTAGGTCAGGACACGCCATCATCGTCGGCCACCGCCTCGACCTTTGTCAAGCGAGGGATGCCGCTGACCATTCTCCCCAACCCTGACGCACAGGCCTGGACAGCAGCCAGGACACCCCGGTTGGAACTGACTGATCCAAGAATTGACCTGGACCGACTCACTTACCTGATCGATGACTCCTTCAATCGCAAGCTCGATGCGGAAGCATATTTGAAACGAGTCAATGACCGCATCGCCGGTGTGATCATTGCAGGAGATTACGAAGGCGGCGCAATTCTGACATGGGAGACACCGCCTGGTCTATCTGACGGCGACACGTCTCGTTTGGTGCCGTACCTGGACAAATTTGCCGTGTTGAAGAAAAGTCAAGGCGCCGGCGGTGTGGCCGACATCGTCTTCAACGCCATGGTGAGAACATGTTTCCCCGATGGAGTCTGTTGGCGGAGTAGGAAAGATAACCCTGTGAATAAATGGTACTTTGAGCGGTCGAGAGGGACCTGGAAAATACCGGAAACCAATTGGACCATGTTCTGGACGACGCCAGGGCTTTTGGAGCCCCAGAAGAGCCAAGTTTTTCTCGACTATGAGAGTGTCTGTCGGACTGTGAAGCCGACTTGGGCTGATGGGAAGGAAATCGCCGACTAATGGCACACACGACGGTAGCGGTTGCGGCGTCGAGAGCGAAAAGTCCGTCCTCCTATCGATGTCTTATACGGGAAATCTATTCGCTTTACGAAATGTCTTGACCCAAAACTTGGCCTACTGTCATCGCTAAAACTCATCTACCGTTCCGGCTTCGTTTCTGCATCGAAACTTCCTCTTCATTCCGTGGTGTCCACTGGACGATCAGTGTCTCTGGACAAGCTAGCCTCCTGTAGTTTCGTCTGCAGATGCGCACCCTTTCCTGAAGCCGGCCTGTCCGAGACCCCAGACTGTTTCAACTGCCGCACGTTGCCCGTGAACAACGCGATTAGGAAGCTCGAGTCGACAAACTCGACCTCGTTGGCCTCTTCGGCTGCAACGTCGCTGCTTGCATGGCGTCGACAGAGCCCGTCTTCGCGGACTCCGGATTTCTCCCCTTTCTCCTCCGGGGAGCTCGAGCTCTTCTTCTTGGAGATCCACACGTTTCCTAGCGCAAGACTTGCTAGCACACTGAGGCCGAGGATCGGTATAATGGAAATGAATGCCCACATTGTCGCTGTCGCGCCTTGTAAGCGGATTGCCTTTTGCTCTGCGGCCGGTAGCTGACTGATAGCGTCGAGCGAAGCTTGGTTGTGCAGGTCGAGCCTTGATGTGCCGTTGTTGCTGCTCCTATCGACGCTGCTTGACCCAAAGTACTGGCTCATCTGGTTTTGGAAGACGGAACCCATGACGGTGAGGGCCAGGGTGCCACCAAATGGCATCGCGAAGCGCAGCAGACTGAACACGGGCGCCAGGCAGTCGCGGAACATGCCGGCCAGGTGTAAGCTCGAGGGCATAAAGCGTATGCCGGTGCCTGCGCCGGCAATGGCCATCATCACGTTGACGAGCGTTTCGTCGCGCACTTTCACTGCGTACGCGAGCGTCGCGATCCCCGCGGTTTCCACAACCGCGCCCACGAACAGCGGCCAGAACGTCTGGCGCGGCCAAACGTTGCACACGAAGATGGCGGCGAGCACGCCGACGCCAATGCCGGGGACGTAATACAGGAGCTGTGTGCCGGCGTCGCTTGCTTCGTAGGCTTCAACCAGTGTGAAGTAGATGCCGATGAAGTAGAAGACGGAGTATAAGGCGGAACCAGTGGCGGCGCCAATAAAGCAGACGAGACTGACGTCTTTAGCGGCCAGGACAGAGGAAGGGATCATTGGCACTGTTCTGGGGAAGATGCGATTTAGCAGTCGCGAGGGTGCGAGAAGGGTTTCGTACGCGAGGAAGGCGAGGATCAGGACTGCTCCAAGAACGAGGGTTGAGATCACGGCACCCGAGCTCCAGGGGTATGTCGAACCACCCCAGGCGGTACCCAGAATGACGAGACCGACGCCGAGGACGAAGAGTGTGGTGCCTCCGATGTCGACAGTTGCGATACCGGCGGTGAAGGCCCGGAGGCGCGTTTGGTTTCCAGAAGGACGAGACAGCGAGACGTTGCCAGGTTTGAGGTCTTTGCGCAGGAGGAAGATCGTGAAGATGCTGATCACCGACATGCCGGCTCCCAGAACGAAGCAATATCGCCAGCTGGTGTCGGTCAGGTAGCCGCCTATAACAGGGCCGACGGCTGGGTGGTGGTCGTCAGACAAACTCTTCGGCATATGGGGATCGTGGTGGTTGACTTACCGTATCCAATGCCGTTCAACAACTGAAAAATGCTTGTGTTGATGGCCTGTTCTTTCAGGGGGACCGAATCTGCCAGGACGATCAGAGAGACGTTGGAAATCCCCGCTGTTCCAACGCCCTGTAGCGCTCGGCCCAGCAAGAGCACGGCCCAATCTGGTGCCGCTGCGCACAGAACGCTTCCGATGGTCAGGAGGACCACTGCACATTGGAGGCTTGCATGTCGGCCAAAGATATCGGAGAGTTGACCAAAAAAGGGAATGAAGGCGGTCGAAGTCAGTGTAAATGCTGTGACGATCCAGTTGAGCTGGTTGAATTTGTCTGGTCATCAAGTTAGAAGCAAATCAGGGTTGTTGAATTGTTACAGACGGACTAAAATGCGAAGATATTTCGGGAAGTGCCGTCGCGACGATGGTCAAGTCAAGACTAGCCACCAAAAAGGCTGGTTGGAGGCAGAGTAACAGCTTCCACCTGTATGTTCGAGCCGTGCTTTTTTCTTGTGAGCATTGTGGACATGCTTTTTTCGAAGCTGGACCAGAAGGAGGTGCAGGAGTAGAGGTCGGATCAGACGTTGGGGAAGTTGTGCTTGCTGCTGCCGCTTCAGCAGCTTTCCGAGCGCGGTACGCTCTGATTTTGCGATACGTATATATGATCATATTGGATGTGCGGTAGAGTTGGGAGGCCCAATTTAGGGGAAACTCGTGGCGATCATGGACGGAAGATGTAGTCACAGAGGGAATACTTTATATCTCTTGAAACAAGAACCCTACCCATTCTGCGTATCCATATGAATACGACATGCATGAAATAATTTCCCGGGGCTGAACCTCGAGGGAGCTGCGTATTGTTTTATGGGGCTGTATAACGGGCTCATGGCCTATGTTCGCGAATTGGACCAAAACAGGAATGGTCAGGTTCGGCCCCAGACCGAAAACGGGGATTTTCACGAAACCACATCCGCTCAAGCATGTTTGTAAAAGCGGGCGACGTAGATCCTACGGCGGTTATCCCTAGGTCGCGCCAATCGGTCAAGGCAAGATAATGGATCGTATAATATCGAGGGGCTGGTAACGCAGACGCGTTTATTCCCCATTCGAGCATATTCTGCGAAACGAAACCAGGGGCTCCGAGGTCAAGACAAGAAAATGAGACTAGGCCTGATTCGGTCCATTGTGCTCGAGATGGCGATGCTCCGCCGTTCTTGACTATTGCTTCTCTACGGTGGGGCATGGGCACACATAAAACTTTGTCATCTCACGCCCGTCTACAACCATATCCTTTCGGCTTTGGCATTTTCGATCCATCAGCCAGGCATGCCGATATGCATTACATGCAGCACTCCGGTCAGGAACTTATACACCGTTTACAGCAAGGCAGATGATCGGACCTTAGGCAAAGGGGTCCGATTAACGCAATGTCCCAATTGTAAACGATTCGCCGACAAATATGTCGAGCATGACTTTGTCGTTCTCTTCATTGATCTTGTGTTGATCAAACCACAAGTACGGATTCCCACTCATGATTTTAATCTAGGCACGGGGTTCTGACTCGAAACAAGGTCTACCGTCATCTTCTGTTCAACAGACTGGGGCGCTCCGATGACAAGTTCGATCCCAGCATCTTGCGGCTGGGAACCCTACTGATTCTATTCGATGTCTACATTACTTGGGCTAGAATAGAGAAGACGCATGCCCTTAACGGAGGCACTAGTGTCGGGTCTCGCCTTAGTGAAATGCCCATTCTGACGCAATATCTCTTCTTTCTCACAATGAATGTCCTAGCCACTGTTGCCCAACATGGAATCATTCGGGTATTGACAAGACTACTTCTCGCTCGGCCCATGACTCAGGAAGAGACTGGCAATGGTAACAAGTCACCACATGCCACGCCAGAAAATGGATCGAGACAGCCATTAATTCCAGCTGGGCGCGCAAGCCCAAGTGCAATCAGCACGGCATTGTTCGTTTCAAGTTGCACCAAACTTTTTCCTATCCTGCTGGTGATATGGCCGACGGAAGCAAAAGAAGCGGATTCTTTTGGCTTTGCGTTCCACGCCACCAACTACGTGGGTTGGGCTGTCCTTCTCAACAATGTCGAGGCTTTGTTGATCCTCCTTAATTGTGGATATGTCATTGCGACCACTCTTGCTGTCTCTGGGGTTCTTGCACGATGGGCAGTGGAAGGCTGGATACTAGGTTTGGTGGGATTAGGAACCGATACAGGCCCCGTAGGAGATCTCTGGGCTGCAATCGCCTTTTCCAGGGCCCTGTTCAAAGGGAGATAAGCAATGTCCTCAATAACCGTTCGAACATACAAAATTCGAAGGCCTCATGGCCGGGTGAGGAGGCCATCACAGAATTTTCGGTGTATCAATTCTTATTTCTACTTTCTTTTCTCGCATTCCATCATATCGACACCCTATCTTTTACTTTACATCTGCTTAACTATCACATAGCCGCTCGGCCACTCGATCCATTACAATACCCCGACTCGCTCAGGGTTTTTCCTGGTGTTCTCAAGGGAGGAGTTCGAGGGTAAGTGGTATATGAGCATCATGCAAGGAAGGATCGTGTCGTTCGCCTAGGAATTTCCGAAGGGATCTCCATACTTGAACCCGAGGGTAGACTCGCCCACAACCATATCACGGAGCTGGAATCTGGATACGCCCACAAGTGACCGCCAAAGCCAGCGCTCGCAGGGATCGTAGAGATCGTTCGGGTGGACCGAAGTTTAACCGAATTGGGGATTGTTGTCTGCCCACGAACGTCAGAAACATCAAACCTTGCCAACAAGTCGCCCGGCATGGAAGAATCATCCGGCCGTGGTCACAGAGAGAAAAAGCCCAGCGAAAAGATCAAAGAACAAGTCTCGGGCAAAATAGACAAGATTGAAGATGAGAAAACAATTGTCCTACCCACGTACATAGCCCCCAATGACCCCAAATTTTTCCAAGACCAGAAGGAGGTGTCAAAGATCTACGATCACACCAAGATAGCACCGAACGGAGACAAGATCGATTTCTTTTCGCTCGGAACACAGTATGTGCCGCTCCTCCCCGTATCACGGAACAGAGAAGCTAACGTGAATAGTGTCGAAAGCAAAGAGAAACGATATTATGTCCGCGCAAAAAGAGACCCAAATACCTTCTATTTCCACACAGATGAAGCCCCTCCCCGATATGCCCACCTCAGTGACGAAAACCATCCTCAATGTGGAGTCGAAAGCCTCAAGAATACCTTCACCAAGGATATGCTGGGAAAGAGTGGAGAGTTTGGGAGCTATACGACAAGGGCAAACGTCTTTGCAAGAGAAGGGAAGTTCTTCTTCGAAGCGAAGGTCATCAGCCTAGCACCACCGGGCAGAGAAGATCCAGATCGCGCCCTAGCGGAGACTCAAAATCCGGACAAAACTGCAACAAATAGAGGCGGGCTTCGAGTGGGATTCTGCCGACGGGAACATCACTGGAGTGAAAACCTTGGAGGAAACGCCTACAGTTACGCCGTGATTCTCAGGAGTGGCAGGTCCAAGGAGTACGGCAGCGTGCGGTTCAACACCATGATGTACCATGTGCAAGGCGAAGGTGCAAGAGATCCCGAAGATCTTTCTCCTGGTGACGTTGTCGGCCTCATGATCACCCTGCCGTCCTTGGAAATTCACAAGAAGGTGGTGGAGGGAACATTCAATCCTGCCGAGTATCCAGATCTCAAATGCGGTCCGGCTGTGATGAAGAAGAAACATGGGGCGGGCAAGAAAACTGCTAAGAACGGTCCGAAACCAAAGGAGGGCGAAGTCGCGAAGAGCAAGGATGAGACAAGCAAGAAATCAACTGTTCGAGCTGCAATTCAAAGTACCATCCATCCGCTCGCGGGCATTTCGGCTCCTTCAGATCACGACATAATCCGGGACCGGAATCCTTTTCTTCATAAAGGCATGACTTATTTTGAATGCCCCGAATATACACCGAACCATGACCTCAGTCGGCCGACGTTGAATTCGAAAAACAAGTCCATCAACCCCGAGACCGGTAAAAAGTACGATCTTGTCACGGATCCCCACCCAACCCACGAACTCCCTCATCTACGAACCCTCCCCGGAAGTAAAATTGAGCTGTGGGTTAATGGCAAATATCATGGCGTTGTTTGGGAACACCTCTTTGCATTTCTTCCACCGGCGTCTTATATTGAAAAGGGCAGCCGAGCTGTCACCGGCCATGGAGACGTGGATGATGGTTTGCTCGGGTACTACCCGGCCATTAGTCACTACACCGGTGGTGCGATCGAGTGCAAATTTGACGGACCATGGTGGTACGGATATGATCAAGACGGCCCTCAACATCCGGATGCTCGCCCAATTGGCGCCCGTTACCAAGAGCAAATTGTGGAAGATATGATCAATGATTTGGTGGACGAGATCTACCAAGAAAAGTTGTATAACGACTCCGACTGGATGAAGAAGCGAGTGTTGAACGCACCCATGAATCTACCACATAGCTGAGTGAGCTACACGACTTTTCTGGGAGATATTGCACAGGGTTTGGAACATGTCATTTGCGGCCGTGATCGGGATACAAGGCGTGGGTGAGACTGATGTCACTCAAATTGGTAGGACAGGGCGTGCTCGATGGGATGGCGATCAAAAAGTTTGTTGAAGCATATTGAGATACCCCTGTCAATGATTACACTGGATGTTGGAATAGCAACAGCATGACATAACCCATTAGCAAAGACACTGAAATCTTCGTTCCTATATACAGTCGACGTTTTCATTGGTAGCAGGCAGTTCGAAGCCATAATATATACTGCATGATGTGAGATAATGCAGCTGCAGTCAGCATCTTAGGTGGATTGACTGAATGAGCCGATAACTGATTTGAGAGCTTTGAACCTCGATGCAGGGGGTGGTACTGGAGGGCCCGAGGATTGCGTTCAACACGACTGAGCCTGACCCCGTGAAGGACCCCCTGCATCACTGACAGTTGGGATATGGTACAAGTGAGCGACTGCTGACGCAAAGGAGAGGCATTCTTAATCGCTGCGAAAGTTGTGGATCATGGGGCCAAGGAGAGGACCAATCGAGCTCCAGCGACGAGTCTGAGGCTGAACTGGAGCTATCAGGGCATGGCGTGAATTTGAGACAAGGAGGACGACATGGAGGTCTGGCACAAGAGAGAAAGGCCGAGTAGATGCGATGGGTCAGGACTCAGAATCAGGTGCAGGGGGTCGCAAAGTCAAAAGGTGCGGCCCCCTGCATGATGACACTCTGGCCTTTTTATTTAATTCCCGGTTGCCTGCTCTTGACCACCATCACCATCGTTCTCTCTTCATCTTACGGATTTCCTTTGACTTTATCTGTGGCCTGCTTTTCATGAGCGACCTCTACTTTCCTTCACACGGTCTTGCGTGACCAGCATGCATCCACCTTGAGGATACGTGGTCAATTGGTCCCTTGGATCCATAAACAACTTGCATTCCCGTCTACACTCTGTCCTCTCCCATATTCGCCTCCAGCCTCAACAGACATGGCCAGCCCAACCAGTGTCGTCGATCCAGCCTCTTTGAGTGTATCTGGCTACTCCCAAAGCTACCCTACCCCTCCCCCCATGTCGGACGACACGGAGTCGAGCCAACCACCCGTAGAGCAACCACCGAAGAAGAAGCGGAAGGCCTGGGGGCAACCAGTACCAGAGATCAAACAAATCCTTCCACCGCGAAAGCGGGCAAAGACAGCAGAGGAAAAAGAACAAAGAAAAAATGAAAGAATTCTACGAAATCGTAGAGCCGCTGACAAGTCTCGACAACGTCAGAAGGCCGCGGTTGCCGACCTCGAAGCCCGACAAGTTCGCATCGAGCAAGAGAACGCCTCTCTTCGTGAACTCCTCGCTCGATACGAGGCCAGATTCGGGGTTCAGACAGATTTTCCTTCCCCTATGCCGGCACCACCATCCAAGATGGATGTCGATGCCACTCCTCCCTCGCCTCCTGACCTCAAAGCGGCTTCACATTCACCCATGACTACGACCTCATTCGACAACACCACCGAAGTTGAATCAAATCATCCTACCCTTGTCCATTCGGACAGCGCCACCCCTCTCAAACATGAATCACCAGCCCTCGCGCCGCAACTCAACCTGATTAATGAACATCCCGAGTCTGAACAGACTGAGTCTATGGCAACTTTCGACGGCTTTCCAGGGGTCTCCGGTATGACACAATATCCTGCCGTGGTATTGTGTGACCTGCAGTGTCAACCGGAACCCTGGGCTATCAAGCTGCCGGTGTTCCCATTCAAGCAGAAGTCCAGTCTTGGTCTCAGCTATCTCCTCCAAGTCTTCCAGACCTTGACGATATTTCAGACCTTCTCAACGACAACGCTCTTGCCGATCTGCAATCTCTTCCAGATTTTGGCGCAGAGATTGTCAATGACCTCGACGGAAGAGGATTTTTCCTCCATCCTGACCAACTTCCCACTAATTCATTCTTTGATTTCGATGCCTTCGACACCGACCAGACCAGCGGTCTTCCGCATGAAACTCCTGAGCCGGCTTCTCGCATGCAGCCCACACATGGCGCGCCTCTTACTGGCAGCGACAGACCGGGCTTTGCAGCAAGTGGTTCGTGAGGATGGTTTCGCTGAAGATCCTGATCGTCGGTGGACCTGGTCGAGTCTGATGACCATCAAGTGGGTTATTTTGAGGTTAGAAAGGGAACATCGGAAGATACGGCGTCAAGTTTGGGCGAACCAAGATGGTATTTCAAGACTCAAGGTTATGGCTGGCGTTGATTATCGAGCTGTGGCTAGGAGTTCACAACTTTGGCAGGGGATGAATTCCAATTGTACGAGTACTAGGGATGAAGGTTGGATGGCGGCACAGGAAGTCCATTGAATTATAGCAGTACTTCCATAGACAAAGCGATAAAAGCTTTTCAAATTGATCCTTGATCCACTTCCCCCAAAGCCCCCCTCCGTGTTTGAAGTAGCCGGTATGATTCCTTCTGGCCTTCCATTGCGCCCGCTTCGCTTAAATGATTTTTACGGCTACCCGATCACGTGACCATAGCCTTGGGTCAAATCCACATCACGTCCCCGTCGTTTTTGCGCGGACTGAGGCAACAACACAACCAGATTGTTGAGCTTGCACGACGCCGTTCGCGACGACGCAACGATGCCACCTTTCAAGGATGAGCACGTCCTCGTACGTCTCGCTTTCCCGCACTGAACTGCCGCAATTTTTCACTAACCACTCAATTTTTCAGATCATCGCGCCTGGTTCGCAAATTACTGCCGCGCAACTGGGTCTCCCTGAATCATTCACTCCTCCGCGATATCGTTTTCCTACTCGCATGTTTCCTGGTACAAACCCCGGAGAATGGGAACCTGTGAAAATTCGTTCCAAGATCACAACTGTACCGAAGTCATCTGAACCTGCTACAAATGGCCAACCATCCGCAACCAATGGAGAGCCGGTTCCGTCTACAGATGTGGAAATGTCAGAGGCCCCCCCTGCAGTTGAAGAAGCCGCAAAACCAGATGCCGAGACACAGACGGAGCCGCAGGCGGAGTCCCTGCCGTCAGACACAGCTCAACAAGAACCTCAAGATGCAGAAGAAGAGACGACCGAAACCTTCGAAGACGACCACTGGTCTACTGAAGGTGCTGTCTATCCAATCCAAGAAGGTCGCATCGAGAATTGGTCATGCTTCTTTGCTCTCTTATCTCACATCTACAACATGATCTCGCCACCTTTCCACATGCCGGTTCTTTTCGTCTCACAACCCTGCTGGTCCGAGCGCGATCACGAAATGATCACCCAGTATGTCTTCGAGAACTGGAAAATCCCCGCTTTTTGTCTGATGGATGCCGCATTGACGGCTGCTTGGGCTTACGGTGTGCCATCTGCCCTGGTCGTCGATGTCGGTCATGGAAAGTGCGATGTGACTGCGGTTACAGAGTTTCAGGTCAATCATATTGGTCGCGGCGTTGCGATATCTGGATGTGGTGGTCAAGCAATGACGAAGCGATTACAGCAGGGCTTGGAAAGTCAAGGCTTTGATGAAGATATGGCCGAGCAGCTGAAGAAGAGTCCCATCTGTGAGATTCTTCCTGCCGGCACGCCTCTGCCGCAGGCAGCTGCAAATAGAACCGCTGCTAACCCTGCCGCCGCTGCTTCCACGGGAGCATTAGACTCGGGAATGAATGCCAAGGATGTTGACGGCCTGAGACCAGGTCAAGCACTTCGAGGTCCTGGTATAGGGACGACGGTTGGTGAAGAAGGTGCAAATGGTGAGGATGAAGACAAGGAGGGCGTTCTTGACGTTGCGGCTATCGTTGCACGAGATAACGCGGCCGAAGTTCTCGCCAAGCGCGAAAAGGAAAAGGTGGAGAAGGCTGCTGCGAAGAAGGGCGGTGCGGCCGAGGCTCCCAAACAGATTCGATTGAGGAATTCGGAGAGAGAACGAGCGACATTCACCTACGTTGACTATGTACCAGTGGATGATTCGTCGGCAAAAGACGCTGAGCCAATGAGTCGGAAGCGAAAGCGAGAGATTGAAGTTGGCGTGGAACGATTTATGGCTGCTTCACCTCCCCCGGGTATGAGTGACGGAATTATCGACATAATTGCGGAGGCGATTCATCACACCATTCTCAGTGTCCCTGAAGTTAACTTGAGATCGACACTTTGGGATAATCTGATCATCCTCGGCAATGGAAGTCGTATTAGAGGTTGGTGGAATCTACTTCAGTTTACGAGAGAAACATGCTAACATACACCAGGATTCACATCCAGTCTCCTGTCCGTTTTGAACGCCAGATACATCTTGTCGCCGTCGACTGCGACCATCTTTACCTCAGAGCTGCCTTCCAATTTTTCCACTCCCGTCGCCACGCCGGGCACGAACACTCCAATACCCGGACAAGGAAGCTACCCCCTCCACCATCCTGGAGGACATGGAGTCAATCCCCTCTTGGTCGCAGCAACTAAGAACATGATGCAACCAAACCAACATCTTCAAGTCCCGGGACAAATTCCACCCATCCCCGATCCAAACATGCACCACAGCCATCGAGGCTATAGCCAATCCCCCACTTCGATCAAGACGGTCAAACCTCCAGACTACTTTCCCGAATGGAAAGATCCAAGTGTTAGTGGTATGGAAGAAGCGGCGTTCCTGGGAGCACAAGTGGCTGCCAAAGTGGTCTTCATCGTTGATCAAGGCAACAGCAAAGGCTTTTTGACGAGAAGCGAATATAATGACCTTGGGCCGGCAGGCATTCATGACTGTGCAATGTGAAATGCTAAAGCCAAAGCTGACGCATCGATCGAACCGAACCGATTCGACTCGACCCGATTTTCAAGCATGTGCATATTCATGATTATGATCATGATCATGTCGGCGAGGCAAGGCAAGACATCGCCAGTGTTGTGTCCAATGAACCGACAACATTGTTTTTTTTTCAACATCATTGGCATCGGCTTGGGGTGGCACTCGTTCCGGATCGGCATATTTCGGCGTTTCGTCCGATCATTGAAACAAAATTTAAGGATCGGTTCAATATATTGCGTTGCACTGCGCCGTTGGAAGGCTAAAGCTAGAAGGGGGGACCTGGAAATGGAAATGGCTGAAAAATAAATTGCACATTGGACTCGGTCTCGGATAGAATTGTTTGATGTGACGCTGTGAGTTGAAACTCAGAATAATTCAGACTCGAACGGAGACTCAGACTCAGACTGTCTGGAGATTAGGGATATTGTCGATTGGGAACAAAAGACAAAGCAAATGAAATGAAATTCTGGACCACTTTAACGGTTCTGGTATCCACACACATGCTTCCTGGTATCTGTGTTGCTCGCGACAAATGGGTGTACAACCACCACCACCATTGGCCGAAAGTGTTCCGTCAGTATTTGCCAAACAAACATCAAACACTGGCTAGAGTTTTCAGGTGAATACTGGCATTGATCGCGCAACGGGTCGAGGTGCTTTATCTGCATATGGCAAGGAGAGCATGTCAGCCATCCACCCATCCAGCCCAGCCTTGCGAAGCATGAGTACAAGACCGACATTTTCGAGAAGAAAAGAGAAAAGGGAGATGGTACAAGGTAGCCCGTGAAGGAACTTTTTTTTTTTTTTCCCAATCGGGCGGGCCACTGAATCCATCAGCTCCAGCACTGCCACGCCAAGTTTGCTATTCCGGTCCAGTTTGTCGATGTCAATGTCGATATCACACCTTTTTTCTTTTCTTTGTCTACCACCCATCCTCTGTCACACCAACTTTCTTTCTCCTCTTTACTCGTCTACGGATACCACCTCCAATGAGGATGTCGTTCCATCAACCCATCCTCATCGAAATTAATCACACGATCCACAGGCGGGATTCCGGTCGCTGCATCTCGTCTGCGATTATCACGGACATTGATAATCGTTACGATCAAAGCGCCCAGACCCATGAAGCACGTACATGCGAACAATGTCCAAAATCCCGTCTTGTACGCTGGCCCATCTTTCTGAGGGAAGAGATAGCCCGTCGCAATGCCCATGGTGGAGCCAAAGGACTGGTACAAGCCGGTGGCGATGCCCTTTTTGATATCTCCACAGCAGTTGCTGGTGATGTTGCCAAGAGTGAGCGTGACGGAAGACAAAATGCCGGTGATGATGAGAAATGTGGCCCCGTAGCGGACGTTGTTGTATTCGGCAGGGACGAGGACGAGCATTAGGTCACCTGCGGCGGCGATGATGGCGTTGACGACGAGGATGCCGGAGCAGGATTTGAGATGGTCGGACAGATGACCTACCACGAAGACCATGACGAAGGCGACACAGTAAGGGGGTGCCACCATAAGTTGGGCCTTGACTTTATTGAAGCCAAAGGTGTTCACGATGATGGGGGTGAAGGTGGCGATTGTGTAGGTTGAGATGACTTGCGACATGTAGATGGCGATGTTGAACCAAAGGCGCCAGTCTTTGAGCTGCTGGAGGACGACTATCCATTGAATTTTGCCGTGAGTGCGGTTTCCATCGCGCATCATGCGCCAGTCCGCCACGTCGCGCTCGCGGGGGGTCAGCCATTTCGTGTTGTGTGGACGATCGGGGAGGACCCAGAGGCAGGTTATGCCAAAGACGATGGTCAGGAGACCCTCGAGGATGAAGAGAATTTGCCAATTCTCAATGCTGGGGCTGTGGATGTGGGCAACACCATAGGCAATCCAGCCACCGAAGGCACCGGCAATAGGGGTTGCTGAGAGATAGACGCAGATTCGTTTGCCCCATTCCTGGTCTGTGGATTAGCTAATGTGGTCCCTCTGCTACGGGGTTGGGACTTGCAGCACGAGGGTATAGGACCGTTGTGAGATATGGAGCCCCTGAGATGAAAGCGGCTTCGAAGACACCGAGGAAAAATCTGATAGCATACATGCCTCCCGCACCTCCGGCAACGGCTTGGAGTGTAGCCATGATACCCCAGATAACCTATTGAGTTCCTGGTCAGCGCATAGCTCTGTGTGTATCGAATACATCGGCCAAACAAATGGTGACGTACCATCGCCCCCGCAAGGTATCGACTGGGTCGAACATACCGCATGCCGATATTGGTGACCAGATCCGCTACGCAAGTGCCGACAAAGAACATGCTGACAGCCAAGCTGAATTGTTCACCGGACATGTTGAGATCAGTCTTGATGTCCATCAGTGCGGCATTGCCTATTGGCAGGTCAACCAATGATCGGCTTTGGCAGTTTTTCGCAACTCACCCAGCGCTCCACGATCCAGCCACGTGAACATGTACAAGACGAGGAGGAAAGGTGGTAGACGCATGTCGATCTTTCGCTTAACCCGTTTCTCCTCTGCCGGTGTCACCGGGGGATCAAGGGCATTCATGCGTGCCACGAGTTGTTCGTGGTCTGGCAGTTTTTCCATATGAATGTCGTTTCCCTCCACCGTCATCTCTTTCGCCATGGTGATGGGCTCTTGCATATTGGCGACGCCAGACATGATGGATGTCGGTTCTTACTTTAGATGCGGCGCGGCAATAGGACGGTCAGACACGAAGGAGTTCTGTAAGGAAAGCTCTGTGTCTGATACGAGAGATGCAGCTTGGAGAGAAGATGAAGCTGGAGACATGTTTGACCCCAGACATTGCCCCGGTTATTTGAATGTTGTCTCCAGACCCTCCAGGTCGGAACAGATTATCAGTCCCCTCCATTTGGCAGCATCTACACCGTGCCGGCCCTCATCGGGGTAAAACACCGAGCGACATATGTGCGGATTGACAGTCTTTGATTCCAGAGCGGGAGAGATACGAGAGACTTGCCGAGTTGAACCATTGTGTTGTGGGGGTAGACTGCTCCACTCCGCACCTATAGAAGGTTGATCTTTTCTTTTTGGGCAGATGGACCGGCGGAAAACCATGGCTAGCTGTGATGATGGGCTGCTAAGAAGGGGTGGCATCTTTGTCCGCAGGAAATTAGAGGCATGTTCGCCTTGATACACTCCGCACGCCCAGACCGATGTGGGATGATAGCCTTTCGGGGAGGATATTGACGATTGGTTCTTTTAGATGGAGTAATGATCTCGAGAAGCCAGTCGCGCTGTGCATATGCATTTGGTCGTTTTGGCCGTTTTGGCATCCCCACTTCCAGCATTTCACTTTGCCATGTGTCCGAAGAAGTCGCCCACTGCCGGAACGGAATATTTGCCCACTCTTGCTGCATGTCCAAGGTTCACCATGGTGAATTAATTACCGAGCGACAGGAACTCTAGACCAGTATCATAGAGGTATCCGCGTCGTGGGAGGATCATGTGTGTTGCAGAGCTCATGCAGGGTTTCCCGATGTGGTGTGCATTCTGTTCCTCGCGAATCGAGGATGCAAGGCTGAACTTATATAAGATGGGCAAAAGCGATGGAATCACGGTGGTCTTTGCTGTTCTCTAAGATGATGTTCTTGCTAAAGCACAGAGGAAATAGTACTATGCTACGGCCTTACCTGCAACACACACAAGAGACAAATAGTTCATCATCCCATTTAACAGTCGCAGACGTTGCCACTTCGTATTCATCCAGGCTGGGGCTCCCCACTTCCCCCGCCCATATACCCCGCGGGGGGACGAGGCATCTCCCCATCCATACCCATGTATATACACAATTCGGACCGGAATGTCTATCATTGCCGCCCGAGCCGCGGGTTTACTTTTCCATTGATAAGTTTCTGATAGACCGAGCTGCCGGGTCTGTGAGAGGTTAAGGGACAGCCCCACCCGGTTGATGCGGTCGCGAACAAACAAGACACAGCCATCTCTTTCGCTCTACCTGCCTGGGTATCATCTTGTTTCGGATGAGATCAGATGAGATCAGATGAGATTGGATCAGGAGAACATCCTATCATCGAGTTTCATCCCGCGGGGGCGGCATTAAATTCATTTGATCTTCCATCTGTGACCTGGACACGGCCAAAGTTGCCTCATTGGACACCAGTCTTGTTACACGGAAAAGATTTAAGAAGACAAGATGCGCAGGACTTCAAGGCACGGCACGATCTCTTCGTTGGAAAACAATACTTTTGGTTGTTTTCTATCATGCCTCATGCCACGGACCCCGAGTACGAACATATTCAGCTTACGGAACTGGCGCCCACTTTCGGGGCCCAGGTCATGGGTGTAGATTTCTCAAACCCGGTCGAGAAAGAGGTGTTTGACGAAATTCTCAAAGCTATCACCCATGTGAGTACTATACACCACTTCCATTCCTCTTCCTTTCGCTTTTGGATATCCGCAAAATTATCTTGAATCGTTCTGAGATTGTTTCTTTGCGTGAATCCCTTCACTCAATGGCCAGAGCCTCTACAACACTCAATTTTTGTTGACTACATATAGTATGGCGTCCTTGTTTTCCGCAATGCCGGACTCGACGATGCCCGTCACGTCGCCTTTTCAAGAATGTTCGGAGAATTAGACGATATTAAACACTTCCTCGCTCTAGGACGCAAGAACAGATTCGCATTCGACGAGCTTTTTGATGTGAGTAATCAGGAGGACGACGGCTCTTTAGTGAAAATCGGAAGTCAGCGCCATCATTTGGGTCTCGTATGTTCTTTTCTCCTCTCTATCTCTCTGATCAAGGCCGCGTCAAATTGACAGTCAAAGGGCAATCTCATTTATCATACCGACTCGAGCTTCAACCCCCGACGGGCAGGGTACAGCCTCCTCCGTGCCCATTCGCTACCTCCACCAGGACACGGCGGTAATACGGATTTTGCGGACACGCGAGCCGCCTTTGACGATCTCCCCGAGGACCTGCGCAAGGAATTAGAAGAGAACGAATATATCGGCGCGCACAGTGTCTGGCACTCGCGCAAAAAAGCCGCGCCAAAGGATAGCAAATGGCTCGTCCATGTTGATCCGGAAAACTACTTCTTCGGCCGCCACGACGTGGTGCAAACTCACTGGCCCAGTGGGCGCAAGAATCTGTACATCGCCAATCACATGCACCATCTCGAATACAAGCAGCCGAAATCGGCAGATTTCATGGCCACGAAGGCTCAGCCTTTCGAGCGTGTCCCAGAGCCGTATGGCACGGAACTCATTGAACGTCTTCTCACGCATGCTACGCAGGATAAGTACTTGCTCAGCGTCGAGTGGCAGAATGAAGGGGACTTGCTCCTCTGGGACAACACATGCGTCATGCATAAGGCTGGTGAAGGGACTTTTATGGAGAAGTATGCTAGGGATATGAGACGATGTACGGTGCACGATGGAAGTAATGACGCTTGGGGGTATAACGACAAGAATGCGTCGAAGGTTGGGTTACCGTAGGGAGAAGAGATACGGACTGGATCGAAAGGGGTGACTGCTTGAAGTCGAGAGGGCTTTCGGTAGTTAGTTGCTAGTATGTTGCTTCATGTGACTTGTGCCCCTGACCGGGGGCTTTGGGGTTTTCAGCTTTCGATCGAGATCCTAGGCAGAGGTAAGAATATGATGGGTATTATATGGGTTTGAAGATCAGATGCTGTCCCCTCCTCGTCGGAGATGTGGACCTTATGCTTCAGAGCATGGGGTTTCTCGAACTAGAAATTAGTAGTTTGAGAGTCGTGTTACGATGTGGGCTCGAAGTTTGGCCAATGAAGCACCCCCCAGTTCGCTGCCATATTTTTCTGGCCGGAAGCATGGATTCTCCTCGACGGAAACGGTCTGGTCTTCTTTCGGGAGTCTTTCATCCGATCTGGAGTCGTCCCGTACCAGCCGTTTAGAGGTAAAGCAGTTCCCTATGCAGAACTTTGCTTTGAACCTAGTTGCAAACGGATAGTATAGGCACTTCCTTTTCTCTGATTCAGAGAAACATGGGAATTTTGACAGTATTGACTCTATTATCAATTATAATGAGGTGTACCAAACCTGGGACGAAAATCGTCGGCTCCTCTGCATTAGTCCAGTTGTATGAAGCGAGAAACTTGCAGCCCTCAAATTTGAATCTTAGCATCAAAGTTCGATTCAAGGTCATCAAGCTTTATGATCATGACCAATGCCCCTTTCGGTGTTAGGTTTTCCTCCCGTCCGTTCTTGCTGGCAGGAGAATAGTAGAGGGCGCACTGATAAAGTGGCATAAGGTGGCCAGCCGAAGGTCGCTCAATCTGATTGGGACCTTTCGGTGGAAGGATTGAAGTTGCCAAAATTCGAACCAGAGGCCATATACGGTTTTGTACCACCTCTCATCGCTGCCGGCCCTAGGCTCGGTCTTGATACACACACACACACACACACGCTTACACTTTTGAAACAGGCCATCGTTTCCTGCTACAATCGAATTACTTGGCTCGGCTGAAACAGGAGCAGCGATCATGTACAGACACACCCCCTTTGGGGGCCGGGAATTGACATTATTGGCCTCGTCAAACAGCGAGCGACCAAATGATCCTTGCTCGGTGTGCTTAATCCGCTTTTCTTCAAATGTCTGTGCTGCACGCGCCGGTGGCTTCATCGCCCGTTGAGGCCCTGATGCGACTCTAGGGCTTTGTTGGTGGGCCAGACGTCTTTCACCAACTTCAAGGCTGGTATAAGATAGCTACTTTGTAGCTTTCACCTAACGACGCTCCTTGTCACAGCCATCGATTGTTCCTCAAAGCGCCCAATACACACCATGTTGCCTGAGATTATGGACCGATAACAAGAGTCCATTGTGCACCCAAAACCGCCTCCCCCCCCCCACAAAATGAGTTTTTCTTTCATACACTGCGTGTATCTTCACAGCCCGTCGTCTCATGGGGTATCATCAGGATGGGCAGGTCCCAGAATGGATTTCATTGAAAGGAACTGATAACAGGTATTTCTGAACCTCAATCCAGCTCTTCCACCGTGTCCGGCTTATGCTTAGATATCGCAGGGGCAAAGTCTCCCTCACCGAACAATTAGAGGAGGACCATGAAATAGTCGAGTCGAAGTCTCGCCTACTTACATTAGGACAATCACCATCAAACCGCTCAGGATGGCGAAGAGGTTTCCCTGTCGCCATATGTGCTGTTGTAATCGTCCTGGTGATCAATATCGCATTTGGAATCTGGGCCTTGATCCATGGGCACATGCACAGCGGAGTAGGTACCCTTTCAGAAGGTCAATGCTCCAGAATCTCCGACTACAGTCTGTACATTCATCTGCTTATCAACGTGCTGAGCACCGCCTTGCTTGGTGCTAGCAATTACGCCATGCAATGTCTCGCAGCGCCAGATCGCGGAGAAGTCGACAAAGCCCATGCACGAGGCGATTGGTTGGACATTGGTATCCCAAGCCTCAGAAATCTCGCCCGCATCGACAAGAAGCGAGTCAAGCTATTGATTGTACTGGGAATATCCTCGGTTCCTTTACACCTACTGTGAGTTCCTCCTAATCCACAGGACATAGCAAGTACCCATCCTAACAACCACCGGATTTCAGCTACAACTCCGTCATTTTCAAGGTCATATCAGCCAACGGCTACGCCGTGGCCGTTGTCACACATGGATTCGAAAGTGGCGCCGCCTTCAACAGCACCCGACCTAACGACCTGTATGTGCTGCCTAGCAATCAAAACGGGACGTTCAGCAACCCATCCTTTCAGTCGCTCCCGTCAGACTACCCCTTCACACAACTTCAGGACAACGTGTCCGGCCTAGACCGCCTGTCCAACGCGGACTGTATGGACGCGTACCGCAACTCCATCCTGACGAACCGGCGCAACCTGTTCGTAATCACGGCGAATAACACCTACAACGACGGCTCCCTCGTGACTTGGACCGAGAGCCATCCATACGATCGCGACCGACCAGCCTTCGATCCTCTGGGCTGGATATGCATCTTCCTACCCAAATACAACGGCCTCCACTTCAGCGACCAGCCACGATGCAACGTCCAAGACGTGATTGGCGAAGCAGGGACCTGGAGCATAGCCGACTATCCCGTAGACTACTGTCTGAGCCAGCCGGTGGAGGAGCGCTGCCAAATGCAATTCAGCCTGGCGATCCTGATTGTCGTAATCTGCTGCAACCTGGCCAAAGGTGTAGCCATGCTTCTCGCCACGCGCATGCTCAGCGACCGCAACCTCATGACGGTCGGCGACGCCGTGGCTTCCTTCCTGGACGCCGAAGACGGCACAACCCACGGACTATGTCTGATGTCCAGGGACGACATCCCCGCCAACCTCAGCCATTACCGGACATCACGACTGCACAGGCCCGCCGTCTATAAAGCTCGACGTCGATTCTTCTTCCATTCCGCAAGTCCCGCACGCTGGGTCATCTTCGCGATCCTTTCCACAGCCGCCCTCGGTGCGACAGGCTATCTTCTGGGCCAAGGCATCGCGGGTCTCAAATGGCTCAGATTGCCAGTGTCATTGTCGGCGCTGGCCAAAATGGGCTTGGGGTCCGTCTCTGCCGACACGCTTGTGCGACTCGGTGGCAGTATCGGCGCGAACAACAGCCTCGTCGGCTACGTGCTGCTCGTCAACTTGCCCCAACTGATCGTGTCGAGCATTTACCTGCTCTACAACGCCCTGTTCACCACCATGACGCTGTCGAGTGAGTGGTCCAGTTTCGGTACGACCCGCCAGACCCTGCGTGTCAGCCGTCCCCAATGCCCCCAGCGCTCGACCTTCTATCTGCAGCTCCCCTACAGATACGCGATTCCGCTGCTGGTCGCTTCGGGGACGCTGCACTGGCTGATTTCGCAGTCCATCTTCCTCGTCCGGGTCCGCATGTTCGACTTCTTCGGCGACGACGATCCCGAGCACTCCATCACCACGGCCGGATACTCGTGCATCGCCATCATCCTGGCCATCGCCCTGGGCAGTACGCTGGTGCTAGCCTGTGCACTGCTGGCGCTGCGGCCTTTGCCCGATACCGGTCCGCCGCCTGGCCCAAATTGCAGCCTTATCATCAGCGCTGCATGCCATCCGGACGTGAGCGAGCGGGACACGGACTCCAGCGTGCCTCTCTCGATGCGAGAGCTCCAATGGGGTGCCACCATGCACAAAGGAAGTGCCACTGTAGGGCATTGTACATTTTCTAGCGGACCGGCGGAGCCTCCCCTCGTAGGCAACAAATATAGCTAACAAGTAGCGTTTGCTGCTGTTTCTACGAGCCCTCACTTGAATCCGTGGCAGGGACGCACGATGAGACGGATGTATTCCTGAATGCACAGAGGGAAACGATGATCTGATATTCGGAGCCAAGATGCCAATATACTTCAGACACCATGAAAGATATATATGTCCACTAGAAACTCAGGATAATGCCGTTGACAACGTGGACTCTGGCAGACATGCACAAATCAACCTCACCTACACTACTTAGTGCGGGTGCAAAATCCTCGCTGTCGTTACCCCGTAGTTCGGAGAAGTCAAGTTATGACCACGACTGATCATTCTTCAAGGTCCCCTGGCAAGTCGTTCCTGCGTCATTGCTAGCAATATTTCTGGTATTGTATCCTGCGTCGCACGAATGGTCAAGCGGAACATCTGTCATCGAGTCAGTAAGCCTCTGATTGTCACTCATCTCTGTCGCCGGGTCTTGAGGCTAAAAGTACTCTGTGCTCCCAGCGGCCCTGCGCCAAATTGACGCCAGCGCTTGAAAAAGTCTTCTGACGAGAGTTCCGAAGGGTCCATGAATCGATGAGCCAGGATTGGGAGTTCCAGGGCATACCCCTGAAGCGCGCCGGCAAGATATGATATTCGGATCTTAGGTGGTTCCGAAAAAGGGGCTACTGACGTACATACTATGGTTTCTTGAACTTGAAAGTCAGCTTCAACATGCGACTCCGGTAGACTCTTTGTGTCAATTTTCAGAGCTGGTGCGGATTTATTGTCGAGAGTGGTTGTAAATGATCCGATGGCAGATGATGCTTTGTTGGTGAAGTAGAGCTTGATCACACCCAAATGTCCACGGTATTCTGCTCACATACCAACCTGGATCTGAGGGTCTTCATAGAGGACGCCTCTATTAGAAAAGTACATCTGTTCGTACCCAATCTCCCAGTCCGGCGATAAATGAGCTGCGCTGGCTAGTTGGGCACTGTCACATTTTCGGTGTGGCCATTCATATCCAGACCTTCAAGGTCCTCTGATGCACCGGTTACTCCATTCTGTATTCCACCAGCATGTCCGGATTCTGTGCCATTGGCACTTGGTTTGGCACGGCCATTGACAATGGTGGTGAACGTCCGCTTACGACCCATCGGCTGAGCCAGAAGTATTTCTTGCTTGTCGGCGTTGGTGTCCTTTCCGCCAACGAGCCACGTCCTTCGCTCACGGATGCCCACACTTTTCTTGTGGGGTCTCGGAAGCAGGATCGAGGCTTTCTCTCAGAGAATGGCGGCATTTCGTCGCAAATGGTCCGCAGCAGATCGTCTGTTGGCATCGTCGCAACCGCAAGGTATTGTATTCGCAAGCCCTTTGCTGCAGTTCGGAATCAGGCGAATGGCTGTAGAATTGGAACTTCTGCAATAATTGGGGTTTGATCTCGGGAAATAGCTTGACAAATTTGATGAATGTAGACATCATAAGGGCCCTAGTGGCGTCCGGAGTCGAGATCATCTTCGTTTGCAGCACCATCAATTGTTCAATTGGGCCGCATCCCTTATTATCTGCAATGAGATGCCCGAACTCTCCGAGAACGTACCCGCCGATCTTTACAAGAATGCTACTTTTTTCTGCTATGATAGACTGTGCGTTACGATACGAACGGTGCAAGTTGCAATATTGCCAAGCCAATAGGCTCACGTGACAATGCCAAGCAACATGTCACGTGACTAGATCCTGAGGCTAACCAATTAGAGGGCTTCATTTTGGCCCTCAAGGACTAGGACGAATGGGGACGTTCGTCCTGCCAAACACTGCGTTCGCTTATCTCTAAACCAAATTTCAGATTTCCTCAGATGAGCTAGGCAACTGTTCCCTGTATCGCAACCTTCGTATGGAATAGTATTAGCTCTTCCTCTCCTACGACCTTCATTTACAAGCTCAGGGCCCAGCAGCCAGTGACTTGTCTAGCCCTATGAGTGAACTAGGCCAAGAGACCCCACCAGACGACCTGAGATGCTCTGTTGCTCTGTGATGGCAGGGCATCAGAGCACCGTAGAACACGGGGATTCTCGATGTCACGACTCCTCTTGAGGAGAAGGCATTCGTGGTCAACTTCGTTAGTTTATTATAAGTATAACGTAGATTATATGCGAATGCAACACTCAACTGCTCACCCAAAATCTGCGAAATTCGTAACGAAATATCTTAACCAATTCTATATAGTAATACCCAGAACTTTATAGATCCCCATAGACCCTCATAATCACAACTCCCATTCCACCAAAATTCCAGGATCCAATGAAATCAACGAGAGATATCATGGTTTCAAATTTGGCATTGAGATATTTTCCAATGGCTGAGATATTTCGTTGCGAATTCTGCGAATGGTGAAAAATTGAGTGTAGCACTCGCTTGGGTGTTGCACTCGCATTGTGATCGATGTTAACTAGGGAATGGATCGGGGCACCAAATTCGGCTAACTACTGTCGAGCCAATCACGTAAGCACATGGCTTGGCATTATCACATGACCACGTGGACACTCCCCTTGCCGCACCGCCCTCGGATCCAGTCTGTGGACCATATGCCCGGGGGCCACCCTACTCGACATGATCCACGCATCAGATCCAGTCTATAGACCACCCAGAGAAGCTCCATTGATCACACTCGACATACTGTAGTTCATGAACTAGATCCGATGAAACACCACCGCCATTGGATCCAGTTTATGGACCACCTACTTTTCTATTCCATTAGCTTCTTCCGGCAAGTAATACGACTTATCCAACAAATTTTCTGGGCATCTTCTGTGATATATCTCATGGCTTACCTAGGTAGTATTAGCTTGAAGCAGAAATGTTGCAAGAAACAGAAGCTACTGCAGAGTCCGACATGTATATATAAAAGGTCAAAGTGATGGCATTGTCTTGAATACCTTTACCAGCAACAATCATCCTTAATACAGCTCGAAAGTCTTTACAAACCTCTCAATATGAAGTGCACACCTATTACAATGTCTAGTCTAGCGACTCTAGCAGCTCTTATCAAATACGTTTCCGCCGCACATTGCGATGCGACATACACCCTAGTGAACTCTTATGTGGTTACAACCTCCGGTGTGCCAAACATTCCTCAGACCTGTGGCTGGCTCTGGGACAATCTGGAGGAATTCCCAGGCTGCGAAGCATTATCGGACGTTTACTGCGGTGGTACAAATGGAAATCTTAAATGGACGCTGACCGCATCTTGGGCCTGTGATGCTCCCAAGATCGAGTCTAGTTGGTGGGATAGTACGGGAAATAAATATGGTGCCATTGACTGCGCATCGTGATGGGTTGGCTGAGGGAGTCGTTGTTGAAGAAATGGTGACCAATCGTTCACGACAGACTGGGATATTTTGCAACACTCACTCAAATGGCTGTATCACCATCGACAGGCAACAATGGTGACGTACGCTCATTGGATAGACATATAGATGGGCTCTATCCTACACTCATTAGGAGAACCAGAGCACTCTTTCAATTCAAGAAGTTTGACACTATTTGTATCTCGAGAAGGCTGCGTGGAGTAGCAAAGACAACCTCTTCCTGATAGAAATAGTGTCTCCCGTCCCTTACTCCATGATCGCCACATGGTCTGCCACGGTGAACTTGGCGCTCGTCTTCTTCCTGACCATATCAACAGTGACACCCTCCGCCGTCTCCGTTAACAGAAGTCCCTTCCCTCCCTTCCGATCGACTTGAAATACCGCGAGCTCGGTAATGATCGTACTTACGACGCTCTTGCCCGTGAGCGGCAGACCGCACGTATCCACGATTTTACTCCGGCCATCTTTGTCGGCGTGGTATGTACAGACAATAATCTTCGTCTGGTCCGGATTACTGACCAGATCCATCGCGCCGCCCATACCGTTGAATGCTTTGCCGGGAATGATATAGTTGGCAAGATCCCCTGACGCAGAGACTTGGAGGGCACCGAGGAGAGAGACATCAACGTGCCCGCCGCGGATCATACCGAAAGATTCAGCCGAGTCAAAGGTTGATGCACCCGGGACGAGTGTGACCGCCTCTTTACCGGCGTTGATAGTATCAGGATCCGCGGCATCACGAGAGGGAGGATATGGACCCATCCCGATGATTCCGTTCTCCGATTGTAACCAGACTTTCGTGGAAGGGGGCAAAAACGATGGCGCCAGCGTCGGAATTCCCACGCCCAGATTGACGTAGAATCCATCTTTCAACTCCTTGGCAGCGCGGCGGGCGATACGGTTCCGCTTCACGGCATCGTCGGTTTGCTCTGCTGCCGGGTCCTCGGAATGTGACGCCAGGACGAGTTTCTCGATATGCTTGTCCGATGTCGCCGGACAGATGCGGTCGATGTATATGCCTGGAAGATCGACGTGATCTGGGTCCAGGGATCCGATGGGTAAGATATTCTCTGCCTCGACAATCGCTAGTTTCGCGGCCTTGGGCATGAGCACACCGTACGTCTTGGTCGTGGAACGGAAGATACAGTTCCCGGCTTCGTCGACTTTCCATGCCCGCACGATCGCCACGTCGCCCTTCAGCGCTGTCTCCATCATATATGTGCGTCCGTCGAAGATGCGTGTTTCGCGCGGCCGACCGGGTTCCACGATCTCGTGTTTGTCTGTCTGTTGATCCTTTGGGCCGAGACGGACGGGAATACCACCTGTTTCGATCAAGGTGCGAGCACCCGTCGCTGTGAAGAAGGCAGGGATCCCGGCGCCAGCGGCACGAAGACGTTCGGCAATCGTGCCTTGCGGACATAGTTCAATGGCCACTTGGCCGTCGTGATATTGCTTACCAAGTGACTTGTTGTTTCCGATAAAAGAGACCACCATGCGAGAAATCTGTCCCGTGGAAGTGAGTTTGGCAAGTCCATGTTCTCCAGCTCCGGCATTGTTAGAGACGACGGTGAGATTTTGAGTGCCTTTCTTCCGAATTGCGTCGATGAGAGTCTCTGTAGCCAAGATATTAGACCCCGGAAGTACTCATGGCGACGTCTAAAAGAGGTTTAATACATTTTGCTGGCAGTATTTACATACCTGCCACTCCACAGAGTCCAAAACCAGCGCTCAATATCGTAGTCCCATCCTGCAGATCTGCGATGGCATCGTCTGCGCTCTTGAATACCTTGGACGAACTCCGATTATGCTGCGATTCTTTCTGTGTAGAGAGGTTTGCTTGCTCTCGAGGAGTCGGCCTAACAGTGAACCCTTGTCTTCGTATCAATATCCGGGTTTGGAATGATGTTATTAACGTCTTTGATGTCCCATGGTGGACGCCGCTCGAGGCCGCTCTCTGCGAGTATGCTTCCAGAAGAAAGTACATGGGGGCTCAGGTCGAGTAACACTTTCTTGAGAGGAACTTCTGGACAGCGAGGAGAAGTGCGGAGAGATATATCTCGGGGTGGACACTGACACTGTATCAGGCCGCATGAGCTCCGACTGTGTGGGGAGATGGCAGAGGTGGGGCTGGCGGCTATCAGGCTTTACCAAAGGCCGTGATCCTGTGTTCTTTGCGCCGATCCATTGTGCAAAAGTACACATTTGAGTAGTGTCAGGTTCTGCACCGTTCAGTGCGAAAGGTAGTTATGGCTTTGATTAAGATCATCGGCCTGGTGGGGAAATTGCACAGGGGAGGATACCCAACGTTTATCCGGCATCGAGCTTGGGCGTTGTTATTGGCATCCATGTCCATTCCATTGCCCTGACTTGATAATTAATCGTAGAGGAATCCCCATCCCTCCTGGCGCATACCTTAAGGCCTTGTACAGCTCCGATCCATTGGGCAATCGACGGTTTATCATTATGGAAAGCCGTCATGTTATCATCAACTGTAGACTTTATCCCCCCTCTCCCCCTTTTCTTCCTCTCCTGGCTCGCAAGTTCCTTTGTGAATGTCCCTATCAATCGACACTGACACCCTCATCTGACCAGCTGTACTTTCAAAGTGCATCAATCCTGCCCAACAACCACTGCAGATGTCGGTAGGTGCTCCTAGGCTGGAACTGCGGCTGCATATGTCCACTCAGATACGTTTCCGCCCACATCAAGCCGCGCTCGTAATGTTGCACGCCCATGACGCCCTGGTAGTCGTCGAGGCCCTCGAAGCCGCTTGAGTCAAAGACTTCCTGGTATTGGAGGTCCAGAAGCTTGATGATGATGGGCTTGGATGGTTGGGATTGGAACCCCATCTTGCCGTTCCAGGTCATGTTTTGGATCGCGAGCATGGTGCCATTGGTGAGGATATCGAGGTCCAGTGCGCCATTAGAGCTGCAATCCGTCAGTCATACTTCGGTGGAAAGGAGAGGAAGGGAAAAGGGAGGTGGCTGAATGGGAAAGGGGAAAGAAACATACATCAGGACACGATTAGTGGCTTCGATGACTCGAGGCAGGACGCCCTGCAATGGATCCGGGCTCAGGTCATCATAACCCTCTGGTCCGCCATCCCCCACGAAGACCGGTCCAGTACACAATTCCCAATCTGTCGTCAGGGGCGCGTGCATCGCCTTCTTCACATCCGTCCGGTTGAAGTAAGGAGGCAGACCGGGGTACGAGTAGATCAAGTCGGTGGGAAAGCCCAAAGGGTCTGAGAGTAACGGACACTGCAGGTTCGGCTCGTAGACATTGAAGCATGGGTTGACGCCGTATGCGTTAATGTAGACCATGTCCCAGGTGTCGCAGTCGGGATCCGCGGTGGTGTTGAGATACAATGGTGGCTGGGTCCCATTTGGCGGAAAGTGCAGGAACTCCTGGCGGTATTGGGCATAACCGCACTGTTGGTCACGTTTGGCGAGCATGGAGAGGAACGACTGGTTGAAGCCGAGGATGTTGTTGTTTTGCTCGACGAAGGGGTATACGGAGAGAGCGTTGGCGTAGTCGAATGACCCGATGCACGGGTCGTAGACGAGAGCGCCTTGGAGGAAACGTTAGAAGGGTTATGGCCCGAGGCTTGCGTGTGGTATAGTGATTTACCGGAAACATTGAAGTGAGTGATGTCATTTTGATCCAGCATTGCATTGGCGACGTATGGAACATATCGTCCGGCATAGCTCTCTCCCGTGACGTAAATCTTGTAGTCGCTGATGTTGAAAATTTCCTATTGTCTTCTCATCAATTGAGATTTTTATCCCCAAACGGAGCTTTCGTACCTGGAAGTTCCTGAAGAATTGGACAAACTCCTCAGCCGGTTCTTCTTCATTTGTGGCGGTCGGTTTCCCTGGAGAAAATCCCACACCCACTGGATATTCGACCCAAAGCATGTTGGTTAAATTGACCCAAGAATAAGGATTGATTTGAGGAGAGTATTGACCCCAGCTCCACTGAATCAGTCCGTTTTCTTGGAAGAATCCTTCCAGAGAGCTGCAGCCTGAATATTGGAATCAGAGATTGCACATGCGTCGAAATTCCCCCCGGGAATCCCTACCTGGCCCACCATTGAACCAGACGGTAATTTCTTCAACAGGGTTTCCGACTCGAGGTTGAAAGACAAAAAATAGTCCCCGACTGTCATCAGACATATTCAGAGGAATGACTCCGCTGTACATTTCCGTCATGAAGCTTTGAGGGATATCGGGCAAGGATTCCACGAAGTATTCTGCAATATCACAGCGTCAGATTCACAGCAACCTTAGGTTTGGACATTGAAATATTGTGTCAAACTTACTCTTGGTATCATTGGTGTAATACTGTCTTTCGGAAGGTGGGGTAGTTCGGCCATATAATGACCTGGCTCGCAAATCTTCCAGTGCCTGCGGTGTAAAACCTCTTCTTTGAGCGACATCTCGATGGCGGCCTGAAACGGTGGCTAGCAAGAAGCTTCCAAAAAGTAGGATATTCGTCCACTGTTGAAACATCATGTCCTTGTCACAGATTATACTCTGGTGAGTGGACGTTGGAGTAAAGGTGCAGCTACCAGCTACATATAAAGTTTGAGCAAAAGCGGGTTGGCGTTACTTCAAATCCACGATCACTTACCAGCGGATCAACATAACTCTCGCGATTGGGTCCCTTTAAGCGATGGTTGCATGATAGCTGTCAGGACGACCGATATAGGCTTCAGGCGATGGAAGCCGATGAAGGAATGCATGCTTTAGATCCATTAGTGAGCCTGTTAGAGGCTTCCTTGACCGTTGAGGGATGTAACTCCACGTGGAGTGATCGTCAACAACTCTTTTTTTGGGGGGTAGGAGAAGAAGAACAAGGATTGCTTTGTAGACCGGGATTCCAGATCGGAATGGGTCGTGTCAAAGCTCTGCATCGAAAGCCAAAGACGTGAGTGGGACAGATAATACCCCGATTTGGGACAGTCTTTTGCAGAATGAAGGTCTTGGAGCTTGGCTGGAGCTTTTCGGAGCTTGAGTTAGAAAGCTTTTGACAAAGGAATCAATGGCTCAGATCCAAGGTTCACTGGGAGGCCGTATCTCGTTCATCGGCAGGGTTGATAACAGAGCTTTCTCGCCACGACGTATCCGTAACTTCCGATAGAGGGATAGGTTGAAGTGCGCATCTTGCTAGGACGATAGTAGTGTTACCTTGGCGGGTACCCAACACCATGCGGGGTACAAAAAGCAAGGAACAGGAAAGATAAGGTCAAAGTTGTGGGCATCTGACTAGGCTTCGTTTCCATCATTACCGTGAAGGCCGAAAATGGATAGTCCATGTCATAAAAAGAATCGTCGGAGAGGAATAAACCTATTGTTCACGGGTACTTGGGATCACCCTCGCCGGGCTGACACATACGAGGGGGCTAGGATTCGTGTCCGAGAAATGATCTTCCGAAAACTGGACAAGCAGTGAAAATGCAATCTTGTACTTGGGATTCCCTTATCAACGGCATCAGAGCAGGGTCGTAGTAGACAATGGTGTAAGCTTCGAAAGAGGAAGGACGAAGAAGGGAAGCTCGGATGATGCCGGTGGTTACTCAGCAGCAAGTCATGTGACCCCAACTGGCAGCCTTGCGAGTGCTCTTATTTATCCCCTTGAAACAATTCGTACCTCTTATCTATCGGGGATACGTGGCTGCAGGATATCTCCCTGGGATCAGCAGCATCCTGAATCCATAGCCATTCTTCTTCATTTTCCAATGAATCCTTGTCTGAACACTGGTCAGTCGTAGACCATGTTTGTTCAATTTGATCATTTCTCCCCAAATTCCTCGATTGTTGCATATCGTCACCTCCTCTCTGCTACATCTGATCCTTTGGCGTTGGGAAGACATATGCTCCAACCCCAATAATAAAATAGCAGGCACATAGCAAACTTCCCTCCAACAAATTGGTCCTGCCATTTAGGATCAAAAAGTTCACCAGGAATGTGGTTGCGAACAACGCCACAGTCTCAAAGAGACCAAAGAATAATGTCATCTCCCTACCTATTATCCATCCCGCGATCACCACTAGAGGAGTCACAAAGAGGGAAATCTGAACGGATGAACCAATAGACACCCCGATCGCAAGGTCAAACTTGCCCTTGGTAGCAACCGTGGTGGCTGTAATGTGTTCAGCACAGTTGCCTGCAATTGGCAGAATGATGAGACCGATGAATGACTGAGTGAAGGGCCCAGACGAGACTATGTCGTCGAGCGTGTTGACCATAAATTCTGCGCATACAGCCACAAGGAGTGACGAGACCACAAGCAGACACATCGATGTTTTGCGTCCAATTATCAAGGTCGGATTCTGGGGTACATCCACTTCGCTTCTGGGGTCTTGATCCGAGACCGGGTTTCCGAGCAATAAACGTGGAAGACTGGTGGTAGAGCCAGCAATCGACATTTGACTGGTCCCAGAACGATACATGGACTCTTGACTTACACCCCGCCGGGATGAACTTTGGGAGACAGGTCGACGGCCGCAACGGGGATGCTGATATATGGAATTTTTCGGTGTCGTCTTCTTATCAGGTTGCAATTCCGGCGTCTTCCTTGCTGACGGCAAGTCCTCATTATCACTGGCCTCATCGACTTGGAAAGAGATGCCGTTCTCTTCAACCTCAATTTCCGATCGTTCCGAAACATCAATAGAGCCAAGCTCCAAGCTGTCCTTTCGAAAACCCTCGCTGAGAGAATGATCGTCGCCATTCTCCTCATCCTGAAATCGGATTGAGCGTGGGAGGAGCAATGATAGAGAAGACCTCCCATCATGAGTGCGACGTGACATAGGCGCCGGGTCATGGGCAGCAGCAGGATGATTCGGCACACGAATGACGATAGATCTTCTGATCTGAAAGAAGATATAAAGCAAGTAAGTAGCTAGTAAAGTTATTGAGGACGCTCGGCTTAGAGTCAAGACAGCTGTTCCTGCGTCTTTTGCATCCTCGATAGAGTGATAAAATGCGTTCTGCCATCATCAGCGCCCTAGCGGGTCCACCTCATTGGAGAAGAACTCACCGGTATAAGTAGGCTAAACACGGACACACTGAGTAGGCATGCAAGTGCTTGGGCCTCGTCTTTATTGTGGGCCTGTTCCTGATAATAAAAGCTTCCAGCAAGAATAGCTGTCCCCAGAATGAGAAGCAGATTTACAAGGATTGAACCCAGGATGGACGCCTGGACCACGTCGAATTGGTTATGGTACAAAGCGGCACTGGAACCGTCAACTATCATCAAATCACTATGGAATGACTTACAGACTATTGATGGTTAGCAGGTCAAACATATAATTGACTGGATACGACTGACAAAATGACAATTTCAACCAGATTCCCAAACGTTACGTTGAGTAGGGCACCCAAGGCATCTCCTGAGCTTCGTGCTAAGTTCTCGGTTGCAAAGGTAAGCAACGCCGAAAGTGGAATGACTGATATTACGTTGGTCGTGAAAACCACGGTCTTGTTCGCCTTGACTAGGTAGCTGGCCACCGCCACGGGCACAACAACCAGGAGGACGTTCAGCCATGAGCACAGTGCAATTGCACGGATCGTGGGAAAGAACCCTGTTGGCGATGGAGAGAGTTGGTCATCTGCTTCCTGCGAGTGTAGTGCAGGTCGCCATCGTCTAGCAACATCAAATATTTCGGAACGAGTTGGGAAAAGGCGGAGTCGACCTGACAAGCATGTCATTATCTCGTTATTCAATATGAATCTTTCGCACAAACTCAAAATCCTGAGAAAAGCGTCAACAACTGCCACATGGTCATGGTGTTACAATGCCAAAGGAGGTCTCATACCTCGAAGCGCAACTGCTATTTCCTCCAGGCACCTCGTTCTGATTGTGATGTGAACCTTCTCCTAACAAATTGCTGTGATGGGAGCCATGGTCTTCTGTATTCATTCTCTTGAGGCTACAGACAAGGCAGATCCAAAGGAAAAAGCAATGAGGGTGAAGAAAAAGTGGATATATGTATTCTTTTCAATGTTGATGATGATACTGAGGAAGCAGAACACGAATAATCTTACTGCGGAGGAGAATCCTACTCGCCTAGCTCCCCACACACCCCCGTTGGCAGCCCTTTTTCCGTTTTGGACATTATGAGGGATTTTTCCGTGAGAGAGGCCTGTTGTTAGCGAACCAGGACCACTTGAATCCTTTCGGCAAGGATTCAAGGTATCCACATGGGTATGACTGATGGAGCAAAGAAATTTTCTCCAACATTCTTTTACATTTTGATTGGTGGCGAGGCCAGGAACCTCCCCTCTGCAGGGGAACTCCGAGCTTAGAGGCCGTGCGACAAAGGCACTGTACCTCGTTCAGCGACTGGCACTGTGCGAGCGGTTCTGGGAATTTCAACTCGGCATTTTCAAAAAGGAACAAGAAATTACAAGTCTTTCGAAGGTGTCAGACTTGCAGAGGACCAGACTATTAACAAGAGAATAAGTGCTTCGACTATCACACTTAATCTGCCTCCTGCAGTGATAATCAGTTGATTCGTCTTCTTCAAAGTCCACGGCTTATAATGGGTCGACTCAGATGCTATGGCACCCATGACAACAGCACAAAGAACCAGCTCGGAGTAAGTTCCTGAGCTGCACTCTTCGGTTCTGTCAAACGCTGATAGGACCTCGCGAAGTTCCTTACCTAGTCGCAATCTAGTATTATAGGCCCCTGCAGCGGGAAGCAGGACTTCGTGACCATAAGTCTGGGTCGCTAGCCGGCTAATGTCAAAGATAGAATTTTGGTTTTCACGCTCGTTTATTGGGGCGTCCTTTGATGGATTCAACTAGTACAGGATGCGTTGGAAGATTGTACCAAGCAGACCGATCTGATATAGAGGACGGTAGCCTTCAGCGGAACGGTGGCTTTGATCAAGAGCAGCAGTCAATTGAGCCGCACGTAAGGCTAACCCCACAACGTCTGGATGATTGTCCTACAGAATGTGCCACCCTGTTCCAAGGAATGACAACAAGATCTCAGCGTCCATATACAAGCTGAATTCCCGGTTGTCGTACGCATATCTCAAATCTCAGCGGACTGGGAAGACGGGACAGTTCCTGTCCTTGCACGCCACAGCAACATCTGCCCGGTCAAAGTGGTAAGCACAAGCCTTTTCCAACGTGAGGTTATGGGAGTACGTGCATTTGAGGCGGGTGTCCAACCCCAGGTCTCACCGACTCTAGACCACCACCATGTTATATTAGTGCGACAAGAACGTAGAAACGAGGTACGTCCATTTGAAAACGACCATAAAGCTTGATACACATGGTTTCAGCCAATGGTGTCTCGGAGTAAAACTGGACGGTTGAACCCTCGTAGAGATTTCCACCTTGCGTTGTCAACATCATGATATTTTTGAGCCAATCTTCCGAAGCATGACTGGTCATCAGCCCGAATTTTTCTGATAAGTCTTATTGCGATTGCTTGATGTTTCAAGCGAATGTGTATCAAAGTTCTCATGATGGTTGGATCGGATAAGCTCACAGCATTGGAAAGATGAACACGGAATTGCAAGGGCCCTTGTACCACTGCCTTCCTCCAGAATTTCACCAAAGGACTTACGGCAGGACCAGTCACGGCAGGACAGTTGCGGGGGCTAAAGATGCCAAATCTGGCACACAATCTGACAGTGTAAGGCATCAACCACTGAGAGCATAAAGGGTTGCATAGTTTCTTTCGTGGGTGGCTATGGTGAAACGTATCGAGGCACCAAGTTTTTCTCAGCAGGATTGGTGATTTTCTAAAATACTCGTCCCATATATGATCTATACGAAGAGAAGCATCTGGAAAGCCCAGGATCTGAATCTCCATCGTCTCAGACAATGTACAGGAGGGTTTTAGTTGTCCGCAGTGGCAATAAGCTCAACCTTTCCACTGTAATCTATTCATCAAGAATGGTAATTATGACGGAATAGTGGCTTCAGAACACGATGGGCGGGTTCGATAGATGACAATCTAACTACATGACGGCCTATGTCGCTTCCACCTATAGCTTGGAGCTGTCCGAGAAAAATACACCAAACCCTACTTCAAACTCGCCATAGCCACAATCAATCTCCACACCACAAACGCCAAACACGGTCCCGCGACTGCGAAGAACATATCTTCCCGCAATACACTCCAGGAGTCTAGTAAATATTGCGCCAACATCACCCAGAAGCCGACTAAACACCCTAGCACGGTCGCGGGGCCTACCTACGCGATATGCCTGTATTGCAGCCCTCTCTTGTCCTTCGACTTCAAGTACAACGCCTTCGCAAAATGTCCCCACAGGGTTCGTAGATCCGACGCAAGTACGTACCTAAACGATAGCGGCATTTGGAAAAGGTCTCGACACGAGGATACGTCGGGGAATATTCATCCTGCGTGGCCAACAACAACTTGGATGCAGCCAACGATTGTCTTCTTGGAAATTTCCGTATTTTTCGCTCTGCTCAATCTTGGGTCGTTGATAGTGTTGTGCATCAAGGCATTACTCAGGCTGCCTTTTTTTTTTTTTTTTTTGGTCCAAACACACAGCTGATCTTGTACAGACACAATATCAACGTCACGGAGTGCTTGTCACGTGGCTCTCCGGCTTTCCTTTCACCTTGACTATCGCAGCATTGGTAGTGGCGCTACTATACGCAAAATCATGGGCCAATGAGGATGGGTCGTCTTCAGAACTGTGGTCTTGATCATGCAGTCATCAAGAAATTGAGGTTAACTTTGGGAGTAGTAATGTTGGATTCGGCATCATGTCATTATATGGCGAGTCCGTCGACCTTAGATTTCACCGTAGGGTGCTGACTTGGACTGATTCCTCTGAAGGACTGTGTCTTCTGTGATGGGCTGAAAACAATTGGCTTGGAATTGACCGGTCTGATCTTGTTTTGCATCAGCATTGGAAAGCTTCCATAGATAACGACGTCCCTCAAGATTGCTCTGCACAGCGAAAAGGCTTTCAAATCGTCTATAAAGAGGCCCTCAGGAGTGTAACTGGTTGGTAGAGCGAGAGCTTTCAAGTTGCGCCCCATTTGACACAAGAATACAAATTTTATATCCGGAAACACATACCCAGTAGCGAATGACCAGATATGGATGGCTAGGACAAGGCGAACGTCACAATCTACAAGCCAGGTCAAAGGAGTGTGACTGACCAAGACGAGTTTGGAGGAGCAAAATCGCTGTCCAATACACCTGCTATCATTTTCGAACAATGTCATGTCTGCCACAAATGGTAGCTGAGTATATCGAGTAAAAAACTCTACTTGGTAGTTGGGACCTGCAGTGATAGCCGTCATTCCCTAAGTGATTCGTTCCTTCTACAAGGCTGAAGCCGACACATAAGTGTCAAACGATTGTGGAAGGTTTGCCGAATTGCGGAAAATGAAATGCCAAGAATTCGAGACGGGGCTCGGATTTGCCCAAGTAAAAATATTCGCCGCCTGACTTGAAAGAACTCAAGAACTGAGAGCAGGCAATTATATCCTCTCAGTAGTGGTGGCGCGTGTCATTCACTCTTCAACTAATTGCTATGTCGTCTTGAGCGACGAATATTTCATCTTTGCTGTGCCCCAACCACACCTGTAGGCACCCGACCTTCTCAAGCAGTCTCCAAAAGTTGTCGACTTCCTCTTGCCCGTCATGGCGGATCCAAATAATGTCTCGCAATACAAATACTCGGCGATGTCGAACCTGGTTCTCCAGGCCGACCGCCGATTCGTTTCTCGCAGAACAGACGAAAATACTGGAGATCCAGAATCGCTGGCTGGAAGACTCAATATCCGTGACATGGGATCGCGAATCAATCGAGAACCAGCACCGAAACAGAAAAAGTTGGCTCCTGGTCTACAAGGTGTGGAACGAGGATCGATACGGGAAGGTGAAGATGTTCTCGAACGTGAACAAAGGAAGCGAAAGAGGGGTGAGCCTGCCCAAACTCGAGGAGCTGGCATTTTGTCTGCCGGCGACGCACTGATCGAAGGGCTCAAATATCGTCCCAGGACTCCTGCTACTCGGGCAACATACGATTTATTGCTCACCGTGACGGCCAATGCTCTGGGGGATGTTTCGCAGGAAATCGTTCGAAGCGCCGCTGATGCCATACTCGAATACTTGAAGGATGAAAATCTGAAGGATCTCGATAAGAAGAAAGAGATTGACGATATTGTGGGAACTACGATGACACCGAAGCAATTTAACGAACTGGTCAACTTGGGCAAGAAGATTACCGACTACGATGCGCAAGATGATGACGAAAACACGGCCGATGGCGCCGGCGCAGATGAGGCCGAGCTTGATGAGCGCCAAGGCGTTGCTGTGGTTTTCGATGAATCCGATGAAGACGAAGATGGCGTTCGCCGAACGTACGAAATCCGAGACGAAGATGAAGGATCCTCGGACGAGGAAGATGTTCAAGACCAACCTAGTCTCGAGGAATCCGCATCTGCCGGTGGAGCCGGAGCACCTGATGCTAATATGGATGGAGATGAAGACACTGGAATGGTTCTGGACGGCAGTATGGGTGATTCCGGCCGCCGAAAACGGGATGACACAGATTTCATTCCGATCCACGAGATTGATGCGTATTGGTTGCAGCGTCAAGTCGGTTCTCTGTATTCAGATGCTCATCTTCAGCAGCAAAAGACCCAAGATGCCTTGCAAATTTTGTCTGGCAAGTCACTTGCAGGCGAAGAGATATCCCTTCGAGACATTGAAAATGATTTGATGGACTTGTTCGACTATGAACACCCCGACATGGTTGGCAAACTTGTTTCCAACCGAGACAGAATCGTGTGGGCAACGAGATGGCGAAGAGTGGCTGAAGACGATGATGCTCGCCATCTTGTAGAGAGCGAAATGGTCGAAGCAGGCCATCGAAGCATTTTGGATGAACTGCTCGGTAAATCTGATCGAAATGGGGAAGGCCCACGTCCAGCCAAAAAGATGAAGCTGGATCTCATGGATATTGACATTCCCAAAGCACAGGCGGGTGAACAAGAGAAAAAGGATGGGGTGCTTTCGGGAGGCCTGCAGCCTCAACGGCTCATCAACCTCGATAACCTCGTCTTCGACCAGGGAAATCACCTCATGACCAATCCGAAAGTCGTCCTCCCACAAGGCTCTACGAAACGGACGTTCAAAGGCTACGAAGAAATTCATGTCCCGGCACCGAAACCCAAGCCAGCTCTGGGGGAAAAGAATATTCCCACCACCGAACTTCCTGATTGGGCCAGACCGGGATTTGGATCGGCGAAGGAACTTAATCGGATACAATCAAAGTGTTTCCCCTCAGCCTTCCATGATGATGGCAATATGCTCGTCTGTGCTCCAACTGGTTCGGGGAAGACCAATGTCGCCATGCTTACCATCCTTCGTGAGATTGGCAAGCATAGAAATCCCGAGACTGGCGAAATTATGCTGGATGATTTTAAGATCATCTACGTTGCGCCTCTGAAAGCGCTGGTACAAGAACAGGTGGGAAACTTCGGAAAACGCCTCGCAACATATGGCATTCGAGTCTCGGAACTGACGGGAGATCGACAACTGACCAAGCAACAAATCGCCGACACCCAAGTCATCGTGACCACCCCAGAAAAATGGGACGTCATCACGCGAAAGGCCACCGACATGAGCTATACCAGACTCGTCCGGCTGATCATTATTGACGAAATCCATCTCCTGCACGACGATCGCGGCCCAGTCTTGGAAAGCATTGTCAGTCGAACGATTCGAAGGATCGACCAGACCGGCGACCCGGTCCGGATGGTGGGACTGAGTGCCACGCTCCCTAATTATCGCGACGTGGCCACGTTTCTTCGAGTCGATCCGGAGAAGGATCTTTTCCATTTTGACGGATCTTTCAGACCTTGCCCACTTCGGCAGGAATTCATTGGCATTACGGACAAGAAAGCCATCAAAATGTTGAAGACGATGAATGACGTCTGCTATGCCAAAGTCATCGAGCACGTCGGCACGAATAAGCAGCAAATGCTGATTTTCGTCCACTCTCGAAAGGAGACGGCCAAAACGGCCAAATACATTCGAGATAAAGCGGTGGAATTGGAGACCATCGGCCAGATCATGCGAACTGATGCAGCAAGTAGAGCCGTCTTGCAAGAAGAAGCAGATGCGGTGAATGATCCTAACTTGAAGGACCTGCTGCCCTATGGGTTTGGGATTCACCATGCAGGAATGGGTGTTGCCGACCGTACCTCGGTCCAAGAACTCTTTGCTGATGGCCTCTTGCCAGTCCTTGTCTGTACCGCGACACTGGCATGGGGCGTGAACCTCCCCGCTCATACCGTGGTCATCAAGGGCACACAAGTCTATTCACCCGAAAAAGGCAGTTGGGTGGAATTGAGCCCACAAGACGTGCTTCAGATGTTGGGTCGAGCCGGTCGCCCGCAGTACGATTCGTACGGTGAAGGTATCATGATTACATCTCAGGCTGAGATTCAATACTATCTGTCGTTGATGAATCAACAATTGCCTATTGAAAGTCAGCTGATGGGCAAGCTCGCCGACAATCTCAACGCCGAGATTGTTCTGGGAAATGTCCGAACCAGGGACGAAGGAGTGGAATGGCTCGGTTACACGTATCTGTTTGTTCGAATGATTCGATCTCCAGGACTCTACAGTGTAGGTACGGACTACAGTGACGATGAAACTCTCGAACAAAAACGGGTGGACCTTATACATTCCGCCGCGGTGGTCCTGGAAAAAGCGGGACTGGTGAAATACGATAAGAAATCGGGCAAATTGCAAGCTACTGATTTGGGCCGCATCGCGTCACACTATTATATTACCCACAATTCGATGCTGACTTACAATCATCATCTCCAACCCTCCATCGGGACCATTGAGCTTTTCCGAATCTTTGCACTCAGTGATGAGTTCAAATACATCCCTGTCCGACAAGATGAGAAGCTAGAACTGGCCAAACTATTAGGCCGAGTTCCGATTCCGGTGAAAGAGGGCATGGAAGAGCCGCAAGCTAAAATCAATGTCCTTCTGCAAGCATATATCTCTCGACTCAAACTCGAAGGTCTCGCACTCATGGCGGACCTCGTCTATGTTACGCAATCGGCGAGTCGAATTTTGAGAGCAATCTTTGAGATATGCTTGAAGAAAGGTTGGGCGTCGGTCGCCAAAATTGCTCTGGATCTGTGCAAAATGGCCGAAAAACGAATGTGGCCCACCATGACCCCGTTACGACAATTCCCCATGTGCCCCCGGGAGTACATCCAGAAGGCTGAACGCATGGAGGTGCCGTGGTCGAGCTACTTCGATTTGGATCCGCCCAGAATGGGAGAGCTCTTGGGACTTCCCAAAGCCGGTCGAGTGGTGTGTGATCTGGTGTCCAAGTTCCCCCGACTGGAAGTTCAAGCTCAGGTGCAACCAATGACGAGATCGATGCTCCATGTGGAGCTCACCATTACTCCCAATTTTGTTTGGGATGATGCGTTGCACGGAAATGCTGAATCCTTCTGGATCGTCGTCGAGGATTGTGACGGTGAAGAAATCTTGTTCCATGATCAGTTCATTCTGCGACGCGAGTTTGCCACGGGCGACATGACGGAACATTTGGTCGATTTCACGGTGCCGATTAGTGAGCCGATTCCGCCCAACTACTTCATTACCGTGGTCTCTGATCGATGGATGCACTCGGAAACGAGAGTTCCCGTTTCATTTCAGAAACTGATTCTTCCTGAACGATTTCCGCCCCATACCCCGCTCTTGGACCTCCAACCAGTGCCGGTGCAGGCCCTTAAGATCAAAGAATACGTGGCCCTCTATCCAAACTGGGACCGGTTCAACAAGATCCAAACGCAGGTTTTCAAATCTCTGTACGATAGCCATGACAGTGTGTTTGTAGGTGCTCCAACGGGAAGTGGCAAGACGGTATGTGCCGAGTTTGCTCTCCTACGACACTGGAAAAATCCAGAGGCTGGAAAAGCGGTTTATGTTGCTCCCTTCCAAGAGTTGGTGGACTATCGTCATGCTGATTGGCAAAAGCGCTTGGGTCAGCTGGGTGGGGGAAAGATCATATCAACATTGACCGGTGAAATCGTGGCCGATCTTCGAATTTTGGACAGATCAGACCTCGTTCTGGCGACTCCCACTCAGTGGGATATCTTATCTCGGCAATGGCAACGCCGGAGAAACGTACAGAATGTCGAGCTATTCATCGCGGATGAACTTCACATGATTGGTGGCGAAAATGGAGCGGTTTATGAAGTGGTGGTGTCCCGAATGCAGTACATCCACATTCAGCTGGAAAACAACATGCGGATTGTCGGACTGAGTGTACCACTTTCCAACGCCAGAGACGTGGGTGAATGGCTGGGGGCCAACAAGCATACCATCTACAACTTCAGCCCGATGGTGAGGCCGGTCGGACTGGAATTGCATATTCAGTCATTCAACATCCCACACTTCCCGTCGTTGATGATGGCAATGGCGCGACCCGCGTACCAGTCCATCTTACAGCTATCTCCCGATAAGCCCGTCATTTGTTTTGTGCCCGGCAGAAAACAAGTTCGAGCCACGGCTCTTGATATCCTTTCAGCATGCATCATGGATGACGACGATGAACGTTTCCTTCATACCAATGTCGAAGAACTGGCTCCATTCTTGGAACGAATTCATGAGCGAGCGTTAGCTGGATCTCTCACGCATGGCATCGGTTACTATCACGAAGCGCTATCGACAAGCGATAAGAGAATTGTGTCCCATCTCTTCAGGATTGGGGCTATACAAGTCATGCTCGCTTCCCGAGATGTCTGCTGGGAACTTCCCGTCACGGCACACATGGTCATTATCATGGGCACGCAGTATTTCCACGGCCGAGAACACCGCTATGTTGACTACCAGATTAGCGAGATTCTCCAGATGTTTGGCCGAGCTTGCCGGCCGAGTGAAGACAAAGTCGACAAGGGCGTCCTCATGGTCCCTGCTGTCCGAAGAGAGTATTACAAGAAATTTCTCAATGAAGCCTTGCCGATCGAGAGCCACCTGCAACTTTGGCTGCATGATGCATTGGTCACGGAAATCAGCACCAAAACCATAACTTCCACCCAAGACGCCGTCGATTGGACGACGTACTCATACTTCTATCGTCGCCTGTTGGCCAATCCCAGTTACTATGGGTTGAACGACACTTCTCACGGTGGCTTGAGCGCCTATCTCTCCGAACTGGTCGAGAATACCTTGAAAGAACTGGCAGAAGCGAAGATCATCGATTTGGACGAAGAGGATGACTCCCTCTCGGCCCTCAACCCGGCCATGATCGCGGCGTACTACAACATCTCCTTCATCACGATGCAGACCTTCCTTCTGTCACTGAATGGCAGGACGAAGCTGAAAGGAATGCTTGAAATCGTGACCTCTGCCACCGAGTTCGAATCTATCCAAATGAGACGCCACGAAGACCACATCCTCAGACGCATCTACGATCGCGTACCCGTCAAAATGTCCGAACCGGCCTACGACTCCCCTCACTTCAAAGCCTTTGTTCTGCTCCAAGCGCACTTTTCACGCATGCAACTCCCCATCGACCTCGCCAAAGACCAAGAAGTAGTCGTCAGCAAGGTGCTCAGTCTCCTTTCCGCGTGTGTCGACGTGTTAAGTTCCGAAGGTCATCTCAACGCCATGAACGCCATGGAAATGTCCCAAATGGTCGTGCAAGCCATGTGGGACCGCGACAGCCCATTATTGCAAATCCCACACTTCGACTCCAAGATCGTCGACATACTCGCGACACACGGCATCAAGGACATCGACGACTTCATGACCGCCATGGACCCAAGCGAAAACCCTGACCACGCTAAACTTGTCGCGGCCATAAACCTGAGTAACCGCCAGCTCGTCGACGCCGCCAACTTCACCAACAACAAGTACCCTAGTCTCGAACTGGACTTTGAGGTCCTTGACAAAGACGAGGTCACCGCAGGACAACCATCGTACCTTCAGATCCGCATCTCGCGCGAAGTCGGGGAAGACGAAGATGAAGGCGGAGATAACGCCGAAGTCGATCTCACAGTCCACGCGCCATTTTACCCGGCCCGCAAGCTTGAGAACTGGTGGCTTGTGGTCGCGGACGAAAAGACAAAGTCGCTATTGGCTATTAAGCGCGTCACCATCGCTAAGAATCTCGTGACAAAGCTGGAATATATCGTGCCGACGCCAGGGAAGAAGGATCTCACATTGTTCCTGATGGCGGATTCGTATGTGGGTGTTGATCAGAGTATGGCCTTTAGTGTGGATGTTGCCGAGGGCATGGATGAAGATGAAGATGAGGAGCAGGAAGATTGAGGAGAATAAGGAAGGCCATCCATTGATTAGTTGGCACAGGAGGAAGAGAGTGAAAGTTGTTTGCCTTTCCAAACGCGAAGGGTAGGAGTGAGCATGTGAGATGGTAATAAAAAATTTGATTGGGTTTCGTATCAGTTACTAAATTTTCAAAATGACGCAACATATTTCCATCCTCCACTCAAATCTTCCGATTGTTTGGTCATTTCTTCAGATTTAAATCTCTTGGCCTTTGATGTTTCGGGCAGCGACCCCTGAAACATTGAGCCTTGTGGCACCTTCGGAGCTCCCATGCCCACCCGCGATACATCAACACTCATGGACGTGTAGTTTGATCATTGAGAGAGGGAAACAAGAGGTTGGAGTGACGAGGTCGTAATCGGCAGGTTCGAAGCTACAAATAGCAACAGGCTATTCATTCAAGGGTAAGGCCAGACAGTGGTGAGATGTTAACTCGAGACAAGTTGTTTGCAGATATTAAGTGGACAAGACGGTGAGGAACTTTATGAGGGTCTGTGGAAATGAGAGGCGCAGGTAGCAATTATTCGGTCCCCAAAGGCATTCCGAAGTTCGCAGCTGATATCAGTTGATATCATGGCGGTTGCTCCACAAATATTTCCTCTCGACTTCGCACTGAACCCTGAACTTGGATACCAAAGATTCTCCTTGTCTGACCACGGCATAAAGTGCTACAATGTTTCTCTACTTCGCGGTAGCCTTGGCGATGCGGAGAAAGATGGGGACTCATTTGCCGATGCCGAATCCCTCATCCGATGGCGGAACCCCATGAATAATTATCTTTACCCGACGACCTCTTCTTCCATCCGCCGTGCTTTAAGGGCTTAGTTTGTATTTGGTCCCTTCCTTCCTTTGAATTCCTCTATAGGTACAAATCGGCCGAACTCGATAGCCTACGCAGCCTCCAACCGGCCATCTCTCACCATGGCACACGCCAAAGGACTAAAGCAGATACTCTCAAAGCAGCCTACAGATGTGGTTATCCTCTCCTCCCTTCGAACCCCCGTCACAAGGGCTATCAAAGGCGGCTTTCGGGACGCCTATGACCACGAGCTTCTCTCTCACGTCCTACGTGCTACTCTTGGTGCCAACCCAAATCTCGACCCTGCCAAAATCGACGACATAGCGGTTGGAGTGGTGCTCGCTGAATTGGGCGGATCAAAAGCATCTAGAATGGCACAGTTACACTCTGGCTTCAATGAACGCACGGCCCTGCATACTGTCAATCGAGCCTGCAGTTCGGGCTTGGCAGCAATCACCAGCATCGGGAATCTGATTACTGTAGGACAGATCGACGTGGGGATAGGAGCAGGTATGGAGAGTATGACCAAGAACTACGGGAGCAGGGCTATTCCAACTATGCTGTGGGACGAACTGAAAAACAGCAGCATCCATAACGTGCCGGATTGCATAATGCCTATGGGTCTAACAAGCGAAAATGTGGCAAAGAGATATGGGGTCAATCGGGAAGATCAAGACGCTTTTGCGGCTGAATCACATCGCCGAGCCTCCAAAGCACAAAAGACCGGACTGTTCGATTCGGAAATTGTGCCTGTGAAGGTCAAGCAATATGAACCCGAGCATCCAGACGCTCCTCCAAAGGAAGTAGTCGTCGATAAAGATGACGGCATTAGACATGATGCGAGTCTCGAGAAAATGGCCAAGCTGAAGCCTGCGTTTTCAGAGGATGGGTCCTCGACAGCAGGCAATTCCAGTCAAATATCTGATGGTGCTGCAGCAACGTTGCTCATGCGCCGCTCCACAGCGACCGAACTCGGTCTGAGCAAGGATATTATCGGCAAATGGGCTGGTACTCAAACCATTGGCTGCCGACCGGATGAGATGGGTATTGGCCCTGCAATTGCCATCCCAAAATTACTCGACTACACAGGCCTGAAGACCGACAATGTTAACATCTGGGAAATCAATGAGGCATTTGCGAGCCAAGCCCTGTATTGTATTAGGAAGCTGGGATTGAATATGGAAAAGGTGAACCCACGAGGTGGAGCCATTGCCCTCGGCCATCCTTTGGGCATGACTGGTGCAAGACAGCTTGCGACGCTGATGCCTCAGTTGAATGAAGGGGAAGTTGGCGTCGTGAGTATGTGCATTGGTACGGGCATGGGAATGGCCGGTTTGTTCGTCAGGGAGTAAACTCCCAGATCCCGATCGAGGGTTTCGGAAGTCCTAGAACTTCCTCCATTTTTATGTGGCGCCATCGACAGTCACAATATCTGTCGGAGCATAGACATCGCAGGTCAATTTGTGGGGGCCATGTGCGGTTGATGATACCTGGACACACCAGACTTCTACTTCAGTGCCCTCGATCATACCACTTATCCGCCACGACATGAACACCAATCTGGCGAGCGCCTTTGAGAAAAAAGATTCCACGACGACCTTGACAAATTCAGGAAAAGGGATCTAGCAACAGCGACTTCGATCTCAAAAGTGGTGCCAATGTTTTACCACTGGCAGCCAGGGTGGGCGCGTTCCATTCTCTGTGAGCAATCTAGAAAGAATATTGGGGTTGTTGCTTGTATAGATCATTGCCCTGCATTAGATATGGTTTTATTTTCTGCCCGCTGAAAATTACAGCTTAGTTATTGGGCTCGAAAATTTGGATGCAAAGCATGGGAGATATCTGGAAAATACTAGAACGGAGTTTACATATCCCTGTTCCTTTTCCTTGTACGGCCGCCCACACCGATAGACGTACGGATGCATCCCATTTCCCACTTTTACCAGGACTAAAACTGTCAGGACCGACCTGATAGACTGGCCAATTGAAGATCTCATCCTTCCATACTCTACATATTTTCATATTCTTTACAGAGGTTCCCTTCTCAACTCTCGCTGCGCCGTCAGATTCTTATGTCCCAGAACGGGTAAACCTCTATCTCTCAGTTCACGCTCAATCACCTTCCATCTCCCGACCTCCTTCTCCTTATCCACGGGCGTCTCTCGCCGTGAAAGAACCATCACATTTGGTCCTAGAGGTTGGGGGAGTTTCCTCGTCTGCTTGCTGCCTTCTTGTACATCACGTATTGGGACTACTGGGTCTTGAAGCTGAGCCCGGGCCGCGAACGCGATTGCTTTCTTTTGCTTCGCGACCAAAGCTTCCGCGACGGATTTGGGTTTCGGTTTTGACGACTGAGTGAGGAGGCCGATGAGGGCGGTGACGGTCATATTCTTGCGGAGGACGGTGTTGAGGATGGGATCGGGGATGCGGTGCTTGGAGAGTTGGGAGAAACGTTTGAGGATCTGCTGGATAAGAAAGAGTGAGTATGTGACGCATAGGGATAATTTGGCAGAGAAAAGTGGCACAACGAGAATGTCCGGATGAATGACACGGTGAAGGAATGCCAACGTACATTGAACGTGAGACGGTCATTGAAATCAAATTTCGCAGCTGATAGTTGTTCGGTGATGTCGGGAATTGAAAGGTCAACAGCTTGGTTCTCGCTCGATTCGTCGTCGCCCTGCTCTTGATCCAATATGCCCTTGGAGTCTTCTAGGTGTGACAAGGTGCCTGTATTCGAGAGCTTGATTTTCAGAGCTGTCACGTGGCCCTGCGTGATGGATGGACCGGGTTTGCACATATCGAGATTCATGTGTTTCGCAGCGAGGACTTCGAGGATGGCAATGTACATGCACATGAGGAGCTGAGTTCGATCCGGAGGAGTCGCGGCGGTGCCTGCTTCAAGCCAGCTACGGAAAGGCAGGTCAGACTCGGTCTGGCGATTCCTTGAGCTGAGCACCCAAACTTACGGTTCGAATTCATCTTCGGATTTTGGAGGGAGATCTTTCCAATGTCCTTTGTGTCCAATAAGTTCCAGGCCGTCCCAAGTTTGCGCTTCGACATATTCCTCCATGGGAGGAAGATTGGGATCCCTCCTCCCCTCAGGCATGGGTGGTGGACCAGGATTTTGCCACGGAAGTTTGAGTGAGACAATGGAGCGAGACTGATTCGCTGGAACACATGGTTTGCGTCGGACTGATGCTGTCGAGATGGCACTGGAGAATTGACGGTTCTGGATCGCGTTGGGTTGGAAGAGGTGATTTCTGCAGGACCGGCAAACGTATTGGGGCGCCACCGATCCTGAAAAGCCGTCACAGATGGATTGAGGAGCGCGGCGTGAGAGCGCCATCTTTAGAAGAGCGATCAAGGTGCAAAAGTAGTTTGATTAATTGAAAATGTTAGCTTTCCCATCTGTCGGCGTTAGACTTATCTAGGAAAAAATAAAAGCAGCGTTGCTAGGTGCATACTTCTAGACTAGTTTCATCACTCACGCTTTACCTATATGGTAAATGACCCACAAAAGGGAAACTACGCCAAGGACATAGCCTCGTGAAGACGAGGCTTGGAGGCAGGCTGTTTCTTGCAACATTCCTCACCATCTAGACTCCGCTCTGGATTGTTGTTCCACACGATAGACCCTTACATAACTTGCCAGGCTTGGGGATACCAACTCTGCTACCTGTCCATCCTCGTCTTGTGTGCATGAAATTCAAAACCAGAGGAATTGTGACCTGCAGCCCTGTCTGATGTTCACCGCTCCGCGACAACGCCCCAAACTTTGAAAGCTGCACTTGAACCTTGTTTGCCAGTCCGCTCTGCCTCTCGATTTGCGTTTTACACGCCGATCAATGGGACAACTTTTTCGAGTGCAGGCCAATGTTTTGGAGGTGGTAGCTGATACACATTTCAAGGGCCCCCCATGAAGCGCGCGCCTGCGAATGGTAAGTCGCTACGGCGGCCCTCAAACCATATGTTTCTAAGTTCGCTAGGAAAGACAAATATCTATAGTTCAAAGGCCATTTGGCATCCCCGTGTTCGACGGTACACATGATCCTCTTGTCATCTCCCAGTTGCGGATTTTCCTTTAACAGCAAAGACGCAGTTAGAAGGGTGGAGCCATGTCAAGTCCCACAAACGACAACAACCCGAGCAAGCCCGAGCAGAGCCAGAATGGCGATCTACTCACGGAGATGGCGAAATTCATGTGCAAGGACAGTGACAACCATGTGCTAAGGCGATTCGACAAGCTCAATCTCTACAACCTCCTATCACTTCAAGACCGGCTCATCCCTCTCGCCACTGAGATGTCGTCGTATGAGGGAAAGGACCATATGAAGGTAATAGAAACAATCGAAAAGGCGAGGCCGCTTTTGGAAAAATACAGTGAGTTCCTTTAATGAGCTGCCGACCCAAGTGTTCTCTCTTGCTCAGATGTACGGCTTTTACCTAGATAAAGCACTTCTGGACTATGCGGAAATGGAGAAGCTTCGTCGCACCCCACGTTACGTCAAGCAGCAATTGAAAAGAGGAGTGGAGGGCTTCAGAGCACTCGGGTTTCTATTCGACGGTGGAGACGGCTGGGACGAACTGTCCTCATTCCGAACCAAAGAAAAGGGTGCCATCCACAACTTCATCGACTATCATACTCCGATACCCAAGTTGATCTCCAAGGTACCCCCCCAAAACCAATCCTCCGATTAGCTGCAAGCCCGCACAACTATGAAAATCAACCAAACTAACCGAACGGGAGGGAGGGGATTGGGGTTGCGGCGAAGAAACCGCCCCTTCCCTCGTCTTCGACCAAATCATCTCCCACCTACTGATATGCTCCATTCTCCTCCTGCCATTGTACACCCTGGCCTACGTTCAAGGCACTATACCCAAGATCTGTATCGCTTTGGGGTGTGTCGTCACAGCATCCTTCCTTTCCCATTTCTTGTCAACCGCGGCCCAAAGGAGCAATCTGGCGTTCATGGCGGCGTAAGTGATTCTTCTTTTTTTTCTTTTCCGGGTTCCACGAGGGATGAATGGGACAGCACGGTGCTGATAAGACCGTGTTAGGTACTGTGCAATTTTGGTGGCGTTCTTCGCCGATCAGAACAAGCAAGTGTAGCTCAAAGTTGGGGGAGATTCATACGCTGTTATATTCTGGGTGTTCCTCGTTGGAATAATGTGACACGGTGCATTTCTGGGAGTCTACACATATACGGCTTGTTTGATGACCGTATACGTACTGGTCCTCCCCTGATCCCCGATGCCCAACACCCCCGGACCGGACTCGGATAAAGTATTATGTACTATAATTGGCAAGTAAGATGTATTAGAAACTGGATGAAGATGGCTTCCAGCAGGATTTTGCCTTACCATATGCAGACACTGATAGTTAAGTGTCACTCATCTCTGACTTGGAAATAACGGTCTGTGAGACCCTTGCCACACGCCAAAACCTTCCGACCCTCTTCCTCCTGCCAGTCCAAAGTCAGATTTTTCCACCCCGCTTCAGCCAGCCGCTCAATACTAAAGCCTTGAGGGCCTGGGAAGAGGCGGATAGTGGACTTCCGGGCACGGACCGTCATCTTCCCCGATTTCCTAGGCACCCCGGTGTGAAATATGGCATCACTGTCAGGCGAAATCTTCAGGTCATATCCCACCAGACGGTTTCGGTACGTTCCGACAAACTTATCGATCGGATCGGGCCAAGCGCCTAGGTCCTCATCCTGGCTCTCAAGGTCCCTCCAGGGTCGGCAAAGCGCATCCAGGTTCTCCATGACCTTCTCGGCTATCTCGTGCCTCTCCTCCAGTCCAAGGACTTCCTGCAGGATACACTGAGCCACATGAGAGGAAAAGTCGACCGGACCGGTAGAATTAGTTAACACGACGATGCACACCCGATGTTCAGGAGCAAGAATGAGGCGGCTTGTAAAGCCGTCCACCACACCTCCTTTGCTGTATATCTTCTGCGGCTCGACCTTGCCCTTTTCACAGTAACTGCCCAGCGTGTAGAGTGCGTCCGGCCGGGACAATCTGTCCGGAGAGTCTCCCACCATCCATTCGGATGTCGTGTCACAGAGAAGGCCCGCAAACGTTGAGTCGTAAGCTTTTTCTTCTATTTGGGCTCGCTTGTTGAAAAACGCTTCGGCTGCCTTCTTTGAGATGGCTTTGTTACCGCTGGTCCCTTTGTCACCTGTCCTTAGGTCGATGAGCTGCAAAAGCAAACCAGCCAAATCATCGGCGCAACTCCAGGTTCCAAAGCAGGCAGAAGCAATGGATGTATCTCCCAATAAGTCTGTATGTATCTCGTCGCATCTGGAAGGGTCGCCCGAAACACGGCGGCCTCGGAGTATGGGTCCAAGGGCAGATTTTCTCTCATCGTCCAGCAGAGTCAGGTCCGTGGTAGTAGAGTCCATTCCAAAGCGGCTGAAAACGTACTCTCGCATGATCGATTCTATGTCGCGGCGAAACATCTTCTCCAAAATCAGGACCGCGAATATGTGATTCGCGTTACTGTATTGAACTGAATTTGATGTATAACTGTGAAACGCCTGGCCGGGGATATTTGGTATGTATTTGATGAAATGGTCTCCTGATGCCATGAATGTTCCGTCGGGAGCAAAGAGAAATCGATTTATGTCTGCGAAGGCGTTTCGGTGCAGGAGAAGTTCGTCGATTTTGGGGCCCCCAGTGTGGATCTCAATCTTCGGCTCGTCGACATTACATAACGAATTGTAGAAGACAAAGGCATCCGTGTCCCAGTCGAGGCGTCTGACGCCCGTCACTGTCGTATTATCTTCAATGATGATGCAATAAACCAGGTTAATCAGTGGTTTCGACAGTGACGCTATACGGAAGAGCTTCTTTCCACTGGCTGCATCATCATCAACGACGGCGTTGTGACCCATTGTGTGCCTGATTTCCTTCCATTGCGTCGCCCCTTGCACATCCACGCGGACGACGGCGGTCGGATTGCGAATCTCAGTCGCGAGGTGGGATAGAGAAGTCATACAAGGGTCAATATCGATTTGGAAGGTATCTTGCGAAGCCGAGGCGTGGGAGGGCCTCGAAATTCGTCGGAGGAGTTTCCGCATCCTGAGGCCAAATGAGCGAAACGTCTGGGGGTCTGTCGGAAGTGATGTGGTGGAAGATATCCCGCAGAATGATCATGTTCCAGAATGGCTGCTGGTGATATTGGAGGCAGATATTGTATCCTAAGGAAGAGGGGGAATTCCAAGGAGCAGGATTGATTCAGTCGTCCAGAATGGAACGGACGGGGTAGAATCCGAGGGAGAGAGAAGCAAGCGGCATGGAGTGACGCGATTCCGTCGAACCGTACCAAGAGAAGAAGACGACTTCCCTTTTTGGGGGAGAGTATCATAGCACATGAACTGCTTTTGAGCAAGCATATGGTTCCTAGTTCTATTTTGAGTTCGATCCCTCCTGTGCCTCCATGGTGTCGGTCCATGCAATCGCTGACAGATCCGGAGTGCATCTCGGAATGACTAAACCTGTCGCATACGACGTTAGCCTTCCACAGAGCGGGTCACCAGCAACTCAAATGGACCACCTTTGATCACACAGATGGGTTTCTTTTAGGCTCTCTGCCTCCTCAAATGGGCCTGTCAAGTAAAAAGTCAACAGAGGCAATAATTATGCCTGTGCTCAAGGAAAATGACATAATTTACATGCGTGGCCGCTATTATGATGCACAGCTTCGACCATTTTGCATGTTTCGGTTCTCTCGACTGCGCACAAACAAACCCTTTTGACAACGACCCACAGCTGTCAATCGAAGTCAAAAAAAAAAAAAAAAAAAAAAAAAAAAGGAAAAGGATGGAAAGAAAAAGGAAAGACTGAAAGAATTATATTACCCTGGCCGGCGTTGGCAGATGTGATCTTCAGTAACATGAGCCGAACATTCTGGACCCGGGATCAACGACATTGTCAAAATATGCGCACCTTGGGTCCGATCCATATGGAACATTGCCAATACACCGGCTGCTTTTTTCACTGATGTGGCACCATCAGAGCCCGTTCAGGAAAAAGGGCGCATCGTCAAATATAACAAGCTGTAACCGAAAACTGTTGAAGTTCGGCGACGATCCCACATATGCAACCATCGAACCCATGGCGAACGAAAGCGCGCTAAGGCGATACGGACAGTACCGGAGCTCCCAATTAATGTCCTTTGCGAAAGAGAGGCGGGCGCTGTGACCATTTCGGAATTGACACGCTGGTGGTTATTGACGGGCACGTCCTATCAACCCGGACGAGTTTGTCAACGGTGCCGTGCTATATTTGCCTTCATTCATGGAATCGTGCCATGAATTGATGCTGTTGGCCGGACTTACGCGTAAGCTTGTGTGTGAGAATGCAATGCGACCACCGCCGCCGTCGTCGTTGTCGTCAAACAGTTCTCCAGTAACCCTCAATCGTGTCTCATGATGGTGGTCGAATCGGGACCATGCTCCCCCGGATGGGGTAGACTTTGATCTCGAACAGAGGAACAGTCAACTGTGATGGCGATAGCAATTGGGTGGATTCTTCTCCCGCATGGCTGGGAGGGTCAAATGACTGGAAGAAAGGGCGGTATTGCGCACTGAAATTCAGGGCCTTTGGAAGCCGAGCTGCGATTCAGCAGCATTTGAACAGTCGACCCACGGAACCAAGGCAGGTGGCGTCAACAACATGTCTACGATGGCGCATGGCATGCAACCGCTTGATGGCGTGTTGCAGGTAACCCTCGAGATGCAAGCTTGGGATCAAGACTTGATGATCGGCTAGGTCGTATTGGGAATCTGCAAGGTACAATGGGATGGACACCCGCCGTACTTTGGCCCCCTCGATTTTGCCGACTTGTCTCGGTTTGATTGGCTGATCTGGGCAAGCTGGCTCGCTTCATTCGATTGCTTCTTCGCAAGAGGACGCTCTCGCGCTATGGACTCATTATATGTTCCCGCTCGATCCCAGGCATAGAAGCGGGGTCCCCCCTTCATACGGCCACGCTCCAGTACCGGTCATAGCTACACTCCCCGGGATAAAGACGCTTGCCGCGGTTCCTCAAAGACCAATTTCCCACTTCCAATCATCTCTTTGCAATAGCTTCGGGTTCTGTTTACTTTGATTCGAAGGATTTGGAAAACAAAATGACGGATACGCTCGACTTGAAGTCCACGGATGAACTCACTAGGAGGCAGCAGGAGGAAAGGAAAAAAGAGAGCGCGCAGCTAGAAAAGCTTCTAAGAAGACACAGAGAGAAAGATCGAAAGAAACACAGACAGAAGCGAAGAAGGATGACAGCCCAGTAGGTCATTGGCAGGCGATGGCCCGGGATTTTTCTCTGCTAACGAATGCTGTCCAAATGTATCCTGTTATAATAGCCAGCTCGAGCTGCGGCTCGGACACTACAGGTGGAGGAGCCGGACAAAATCTGGTGAGGGCCTTGCGCCTGTCGCAAGAATCCCAATGGGTGTGATGATAGGGCAAGATGGAGACCATCAGCTCATTCTTTCACCTATTCCCACCCTCTCATGCGATATCCAGATAGGTAGCTGCGTTGAACCACACATGTACTCGACACATTGTGCCGTAGAATGATGCTCATAGCCCGGAATGACACCTAGAATGTGGGACAAACGCCGCCTTTCTCTTTGCCAAATCATATTTGGTTGGCTGGTTGGCTGTTGGCCGTGGGACACTGTTCTGCTTAGATCGATTTGCAAGGATCCAAGACTTCGTCTCGTGGCGGCCCGCGCCGTGTGGCAGATCCACTGGGGATTTCAGAGCTCGATTTCAGCGCCTGATAAGGAATATACAACTGCATATTGACCTGGGTGACACACAGCAGCGACGAGCATGGCACTCCTCCCTTCGTCTCCGTCTGCAATTCCATACACAACCCGTCCGCCACAGGCATAAACTCCAGCCGTGGTTCGGCCGCGGGGTAAGTCTCACTCAGGCCGAACATCCGCGTCAGTTCTGGTTCGCTAACGTGTAGCTCATCGGGTGTCCCAAAGCGTCAAGCTTACAGCCAATAATGCTAATAAAAGTATGCAGACAGCTTGCGTCGCTAGACCGAAGTTGGTAAATCACCTCCACCCATCTCGCCTTTCGTCAACCTCCATCGAGTCTTTAGTCATGAAAGCCGCCGAACGACTCACGCTACTATCGACATTCCGCCTTCCAACATCGTCTCTAAACTTGATTACTTCGAGCACGCAATGTCACACGCCTCCTGGGGCTTCCGTATTTGAAGTGTTACATAGAAGCCAGCCTTACGAACGGAATTTGAGAACGTGAACGGGGTTACACATTACTTTCCATTCAAAATAAGATCGAGACAATTTACACTTGAACACCATTACGTCTTCTATTATCCTCTCGTGTACTCTTCGATCCTATCCAAGATGAATCCATCCGGGAACCCTGTCGTCCAGCCGCAGATCGAATTGAGCAACTCAGCCTTGCTAGCGACACATTTCATAAAGTCTGTGCTGCGAGCATGCGCGGAGGAAGATGTACAGCCACAATCTGGACTGGCTCTGGAGCGCCTGGGACAAAAACTATTTGTCTCACGGCAGGTTATTGAACTTGGCCGAGAAGTGTTTAAGAGGAAAGTGGAAAAGGTGGACATACAGAAATTAAAACTCGTCATCGGACTTAGCAACGACGGCTTAGCTAAGGCGATGAGGGAGTCCATTTCCCTCATCAAGGCTTTCTTGTTAGTCGTTGCTTTGAAGATCTGCTTTATTGACGAAGAAGCCGGTCGTCTGCTCCACAACATGATGTGGTCGGAGGGAATCATCAACGAATTCCCTCTCTATCCGGACCAAGTCACCCAGTTCATTACTCGCGTATCTGGATATGGTCACAGCATTCTACCCTTTGAGCATTTCAACGGAATATCGTCAAAGGTACTCAGCTCGCTCGACACTCCAGATCAAATCCCGGCTCTCTTCGAACGTTGTGACCTCGATACGCTCGCTCAAATCCTCACCCGCATATTTGACGCATTCTCCAATGCAGAAATTGTCCGAATATCTGTTGAAGGCTCTCGGACAGGGCTTTGGCTCCTCGCAGCACTCTCATGGCTTCTCCCCGACGAAACTGGGTGTATCGTTTCTGGAAGACTAGTACTCGGCAAGTCCAATGCCCGACTTCTTATATGTCTCAAAGACCAATCTGAGTGGGAGGTGGCAGAATGGCGCTCCGAACGGCAGGCCGACTCTGCAATTATTCGAACGGAAGGTCTTGTACCATCATTGAAATACTCGCCCATGTCTCACTCACCTCTGGGATCAGCAAAGGCTTCCATATCTATGCAGTATAACTTAAAACCGGAGGCGGCGGATGCGACAGGCCAGCTGGCAGCTGCACTCATCGACGTCGCCTTCGAAAAGGGCGTCCTCTGCTCAGTCAAATGCCAATCACAGTCCATGTTGAAAGACGTCTGTTCCAAAACCTTTATCGAAATTCATCACACCATCGTGCGGCAGTATGGTTGGGATTACGGTGTTGAATCCGAACGTACGAGGACATTTCGCGATAAACAGTGTGCTGTAGCAAAGGCTCTCATTGATTGGATCCCAGACACTGCAGTGACTCCTCCTGCACTGGGGTCTTACCACCGACAAGTTACAAAAGCAATTGATGATCTTAACATCAACTATTTCGACCGATCGGGAGAATCCCTTTTTCCCTTGAAAGATTCGGAGTTCCTGAAGATAATCGACCCAGCTATTCATGTTGCAACGGAAGCGCTTCTTCGGAGTTTCAGCGAGGAAGGCTGCTCGGCGAGGGTGTTTAGGCCCTGCCATGTGTCAACGGTTGAAAGGGGGGCAGAATTGCTATATCATCTGATCTTTTCCCCCCAAATTGTCAACCCTTATCCGTATTCAAAACTCAGGGCGATGGCCCTGGAGTCGTCCCTGCCGGGAACCCACTCGGTATCTCCCACGGACCTTGCCATTGCTCACAACGGCTATGTTGCATATTTGAATGTTCTAGAAAATATATCTACTGATAAGCGATCCGTCTCGCTCATTCGTACAGTCCCGGGGACCTTGAAACGGGCAGGGCCCGGGGTCCGAGACGGCGGAGTTTGCCGGAGCATTGAAGAAGTCCTGTCCGAGGATTCTTTGTGCGGCCGGGAGCTTCAGAACTCATTGAACCCGGTCAACCCATTTCCCACCGGGCAGGTCTATTCTGGGATTGAGCCACAGAAGGACCCTTACGGGATCGAAGCCGCCCACCTGTTCAGTTTTCAAAATACTCGACTTCGGTTGAACACTGTCCTGCAGCCAGTGGGAATGAACCATCGACGTGTCTTGCAGCCGTCGCCAGAGACTCTGCTCCAGCGACAGATGAACGCATATCCTTATCCGGCCAGTTGGACAGATTCAATTGAAGCAATAGCAACGGCAGTACACGTCTTTGAACATACCTTGGATACGGAGAGTGAGCGTTTGTTAGTGGAAGAATGGCGAAGAGGTGGAATCTTTGACAAAATGGTGTGGCATCCATCAGGGAAACAGGCAAGCCAATTTAACAATCGCATAACCATGACATCTTCAAGTGAACCTTTGCGATTTTTTGAAGCGGGATACCTTTCCCAGCATGGAGAATTAATTGTCAGGCAGGGGGAGATCCCTCTTGTATCGTGCCTAGCTAGGGCCACTAATCCGGGCAGTGACAAAGTGTGGACAATTGTGGCATGAACTGAAATTACTGCGCTCTTGAACGCCCATGGCTACCGTTTTCGTCATTCGGATGATCGAGTGGAGGATCTCCGAGGAGAAGGCGATCCAAACCATTCAACGTCGTCCATTAAGCACCACCAAATGAGAAGGGACTTACGAAATGGCAATCAAGAGTCATGACATGAGAAATACCCTGACAAAGCCGCTGTCATAGGCCCATGTCCTTGGCCGGGTCATATACCCATTAATGGTCGGTCCCGATACACCTCTCCAGGGTGGATATTGTCCATTGAAGCATTTCCTGGAATGTCGCGATGGTCTGAGGGCAACCTAACCGACGTGTTGGCTCCTGTTGGGGCCCCATCTCGCCTTTTATCAGTCCTCGGCTCAATTGTAGATCTTGATGAGGACCAATCCAACGGCATGACAGAAGGCACGAAACCACACTCGATGACCATAATATTGAACAAGTCTGGATTAGCTTCTGGTTCCAAGGGAGTTTCGACAAGCTCCTTCCACGCCTCGGAACATCATTTGAGTAATGGAAAGAACAATCTTCTCACCACTATGCGGTCATACTGTCGAGACCTCCGAGCGACGGGCAGGAGTGTTTGATTTTAGATTCACTTTCTCTGCTCAATGTTTTCCTTCAATTGAAACGCAAATATGGACCCAAGCTACGGTTTCCGACTCATGGAGACGGGAAATGGAGACTTGATGCTGACGGTTCATGTCGCTGAACTTGAAATGTTCTCATGGGATGAAGCTGCCTTTTTGGAAAAACGACCTTTCCTTTGAGCTGAATTCAAGTGGATAATCTGTTATTCAACGAATCCTGCCATCGAACTTGCACATCTAGAACCAAGGCTTTCTTTACAAGGTACGTCAGTCCACATAGCTCTCAACGAATTCCGTGCCCTAACTCGTGAGTCCACGTGTAAGCAAATCACCCTTCTCAACCTCCACCCGCCTCCTACAAAGTTCTTTAACATCCCAATTACCCCAACTCAATCTGCCTTTGCAACGGCCCACAGACCAAGCCGCAGGCAAGCGCATATCGTCCTTGGCCAAATCGCGGTTTCCTTTTTCACCACGACCGTAGGGATCTCGCTAGGCTGTAGATTGAAGACGTGCAGGGAAGGGTGGAGGAAAGCGAAGATCTGGCATGCAGCGAGCTTGGGGGACGCGTAAGCGGAGAAGGTCGGTAGATTCGGTGGAGGAATATGAATTGCGCCCGTCGAGATGTTGATGACTACGGGAGACCGACCGGAAGCTTGAGAGGTAGGTTGCGATTTGTGGAATGCGCGAATGACGATCGGGGCGCCTTTGACGAAGCCTTTTTTATTGCTGTGCTCTGGCGGTGGCCTCGACTTTTATCGCACTATCAAGAGACGACGGTGTGCAGCTTGTGATGATCACGGTACGGGCGTGTGCTTGTGCGAAGACGATAGCTATAGCTTTTCCAATGCCCGAGCCGTCACCGGTGATGAGGACGACCTTCCCTTGCGTGGACAGGGATGGGTCAAGGGGTCAACGGCCGGAGAGGGTGTGTGGGGCCATGTCTTGGTGAAAGATGGAAATCCCGCCATGGTTTGATGTTGATATTTGTCTCAAGAGAAGATTTCTTTAGAGCCAGGCTCAAGTAGGTCGGTTCAAGGAGGTGGGAAGGAGGAGGTTTGAAATATTTGGTGGTGGCGAGGGGCTCGAAATTGTTGGTAGTGGCCGACTTGAGGGTCACCATACTATGTACTGCTTTAGACCCGGGAACGCTGTTCGCCATGATTGCCGTGTGGTTGGGACATCTATATTGTCGCGTGATAGCGACCTTCAACAAAGAGCCCCAATACTTTTCGGTTACCGGTGGAGTGTTGAATGCATATCAGCTGCAGCATTGATACTGCTGTGAAGTCAAGGTTGACTCGGCACCAATAGAACACGCGGGTGTTCGCGTCAACGTATAAGAGGCGGAGAGACAGCCGGAATTCGGACGCGAGCCAAAAAGAAGCCGGCGAAAGCGGTGTCTCACAGCAGAACTCGAACACTTCCTATTCCGTGCAGGAAGTAATGTCGGATTAATTAAACAGGCGTTTGATACCCGCCCGGGGGGTAGGTCTCGGTCCCAATTGCTGGCCAGGACAAATCCGGTATCGAGATTGCTGGCTCGGCGAGCTCGAAGATGATGAAAGAGAGATGACAATCATTCCGCTTGTCTTTTATTGGTGACGGGCATTGGCGGGAATGGAAAAGCCTCGTGTCATGAAATCACCATCTCTTCTCGTCGTACTGTCTGACTTTTTGGCATACAGCGAATTGATGTTTTCATTGTCGCGCCTTCTCTTTTTCCTTGCCTCTTCCTCCTCAAGCACTCGAGCAGTCAGACTGGCCGTTGCTGCATTCTTAATCCCGTTGGATATCATGGGGGTAGAGGTCCCGGACACAGGAGGGCCAGACCGAGAAATGTTAGCCGCCAATGTCTTGTGTTCCCCGTCGGGGCCTTTATCTTTCGGTTCGGCAAAGGTGCCATTTGCCGGCTCGAACTTACTCTCGCCGTTTGCTTTGCGCTTTTTACTTCCGCTAGCCTTCTTCAAAGCATGGGTCAACCCGAGAGATTTCAGAGTGTCCATTCGCTCCATCACCCGGGTTTTGTCGTGTTCGTTGCTGGGTAGAATTGGGACGACATCTCGTTCCTCATATGCGGTACCACATTGGACACATGTACCCTCCCTCTTCATCTCCTTGATGGCCTCTTGGGAGAACGCATGGCCACAAGGAACGAGATACACAGCTTTCACGTTGGGTCCCAACTCTTTGGCGGTGATGGGACAGATCCATTTGATCGATTTGGTCTTCTCGTCATGTTCTTCGTCGAAATGGACTTCCACAACATCCTTCAGACTTTTAATACGCCCTTGGATGAATTTTTCGTACTCGTCCTTGTCGACTGGACTGGCCTCGGCGGGGAGGAGGAACTGGATGACGGCATCTTTATTGTACAGATTACCAGAGCAATCGGAGACAACGGGCTTTATGAGTGGTTTATGGGAGATAGGGCATGTAGACCATCGATGAGCGAGATGCTCTTTTTGTTTGTCTTTCAACTCGGTCGCCGTGGGATTTCTCGCCGCTTCTTTGACCAGTTCGCGGCGAGTGGGGATACTACCAGTGGTGAGTATATTCTTGCCCTAGAATTCTGAAAGCTTTACTTACCTTCCTCCGTCGTTCCCCATACTGGTGTTGACCGGTGTGAAGATCCCGAGTCTGATCGACACCGAATTATGAGCGTCTTGCGCCGCTTTGCTGCACGTGACGCCAACGAAATATTTTTTGCCCCTTCGCTGCTTTAGGCACTTAACTGCCCCCATATACTACGGTGATGATGTCATGCCGGATTGCTATCCGATATCAGAACCCCCCAAACTTTTCATCTTCCATCACTCGGAACTTCATAAAGAAACGGAAATTGGTTAAAGACGCCGTCTATCTCCGCTATCCCACAGGATGTGTCCACAAGTCGAGAACAACAGCAACTACAGCTCGACCCCCAGACCGCGAGCCCATCCATTCGTCTAGGTTACCTACCTTCGTACCGTGTCACCCAATCATGTGATAGCCCTACTTTAAGCTTCTTCCCAGACATCACGCCTTCTCAAGAAAGAAATCAGGACAGTTCCCCAGGAACAGGCTAAGCTGTGGCCGGAATTAGACCCAGTGCGGGGTGTGAAGTGAAGAATATGACGGTCTTAACGGAGATGAAGCGAATCAGCTCTGGAGGGAGAGAGAAGTGGGTTGATCTCCGCCAAGGAGATAACGGATCTGCTTGCAGGAGAGTGGTCAAATATACGGCGTTAAATGACGACAAGATTCATTATAAATATGTTGCTCTCGAGAACGCAATCTATCCACAGCATTCGACCATATTCGCGACAACTCCCATCTTTAATCAGGAATTATCATCAAGCAGCAAACATGAAGGTTCTTCTCACTGGCGGTTCAGGCTTCATCGCCGCTCATTGCGTGGATTATCTTCTTCAACGCGGCCACGATGTCGTCTTCACCGTTCGATCTGATGAGAAAGGGCACAAGATTTTGAAGAATCATCCTGGAACCCCTTCCAGCCGACTCAGTTACGTCATCGTTGGCGACATTGCACAAGAAGGCGCCTTTGACGAGGCCGTCAAATCCGATCCGCCCTTTGAGGCCGTTCTTCACACGGCATCGCCATTTCATTACAATGTCACGGATCCCAAGAGGGACTTGTTGGATCCCGCTATCATTGGCACGACCGGTATATTGAAAGCTGTGAAAAAATCGGCTCCTTCGGTCAAGAGGATTGTCATTACATCATCATTCGCCGCCATTCTCAATGCCGCCAAGCATGAAAAGGTCTACTCCGAGGCGAATTGGAATCCCATCACCTGGGAAGAAGCCACGAAAAACCCAGCCTACGCTTATCGAGCAAGTAAAACCTTTGCGGAAAAGGCCGCTTGGGAGTTTGTCGAGAAGGAAAAGCCCAACTTTGACCTCGCCACCATCAACCCACCCCTGGTCCTAGGTCCCGTTGTGCACTATCTCAACTCATTGGACTCCATCAACACGTCAAATGAGCGAGTTCGAAATATGATTCAGGGTAAATTGCGCGGTGGCCTTTCTCCATCTGGAGTTTACATCTGGGTGGATGTACGCGACGTGGCACTCGCCCATGTCAAAGCTATCGAGCTTCCCGAAGCCGGAGGCAAACGATTTTTGGTTACAGCAGGACATGTGTCGAATGCAGCTATCGCAAACGCCATCAAGACCCAGTTTCCGAATTTGGCCGACAACCTGCCCGCGGAAATCAAGAGTGACATGCCCGCTGACGTCTATGGTTACGATAATTCGAGAAGCAAAACGGTCCTAGGCCTCGAATACAGAACACTGGACGACAGTGTGCGGGACACGGTAAATTCGCTGCTTGCCGTTGGAGCGTAGCCGCCCACAACCGCCGTTCGGTGGAGCCATGGTGACGCCGTCTTGTCGAAAACGCTCGTTGATATACGGCACAGCGTCTGGAGACTTGAGAACAACAGGAAGGATAGAATTAGAACTTTCTGTCGATACCATTCGTTCAGCAAGGTCGATAGAAGATGGAGACCCCCCAAAATATATAAATCCCGTCAAAAGAATGAGCCCCGATCACGTGACATTCCGCTCCGCTGATGGTTTCGAGAACGCTTCTTCCAATTATCTGCAATCGCTGTGCTTTATTTCTAAGGAGGATTCGCAACAACTGTACTACTGTGCACTACGCCGGGTAACCTTGGTGCCAGTGGGACGGATCATAATAAGAACGGGCCCGAATAATTCCCCCCAGCACGGGATTGGGGGGAAACCGATTTAAAACGTCCGCCTCGATGCATCTCATCTTCTGCCTTCCATTGTCTCTGACTCATCTAAATAGGGATCGTCGAAAGAATTCCAGCAGGGTGAAACAAAATCCAAACAAATTATGGGCCTAAATGAACAACGGACTCCTGGTTGACGATCCTCGACCGGACCCGGAGTGTAAAAAGTGTCCGTCGAACTCAGCACTCCACCATGGCGTCCTTCCTTTGATCTTTCTTAGGCATATTCAAAATTATCCTGTGGAAGAGAAAGGGGAAGGGGGGAGGCCTTATTTTGCCGCCTACCCTAAAGTATTGTTATGGCAACCACCTCTTCCAATTTCTAATCATTCCAAAAGACGACGCAATGCCTACTCCCATGGCCGCGACATATCCTTCAGACACTCCAGGACTCCGGGCACATCGAGCATGTCGAAATTGTGTCCAAATCAAAGCGAAATGTGTTCCGTTAGAAGGATCAAATAACACCACATGCCAAAGATGCCATCGATTAAAGAAAGAATGCACCACTCCAGTCCCGGTCCCACGCAAACGGCGGAATAAATCCACACGCGTCTCACAACTCGAACAAAGACTTGACACTCTAACCAGTCTCCTGACGACTCGTGGTGGTGCCAACGAGATTCCGGATCCACCTAATCCGTCTCTACCAACCCCTCCAGTATCTTCAACAAACGAGCGGAGAAGCCTCAACGACTTCAATCATGGCCCGGATCCAGACGCATGGGTAAACCCTTGCAAAGCTCCTCCTATCAAACAGACCCTACGTGAGGAAGCCGATGAATTCTTCCACACGCCTTTAGCGCCTGTGATGGAAGAAAAGCTGTTCAGCCACTTTCGCACGGAGATGAGTCAATATTTCCCATTTGTTGTGGTCCCGCCCGATGCAACAGCCGTGGCGTTCAAGGAAGGCAAGCCTTTTCTATTCAGATGCTGTGTCACCGCCGCTTGTCATCCCGACCCCCATGTGCAACGACAACTCGTCGAAGAATTGCTCAGATATTTGGGAGATCGCATGTTGCTCAATAGTGAGAGGTCTCTGGATCTGTTGCAAGGAGTCTTGGTATTGATCGCATGGTGAGTCTCCTTTCCTTTGGCCTATTTTACGACCCACGGTTTCTTGGATCCTATCGCTCCTGCTGAGACCATGTCTCCGGAAATCATACCATCTATCGATCACATGTCCCTCCCTGACTCCGAGCAAAGGTATCAATTCTACAATCACTACAATCCTCAATTGATGAACCTCCTCCATCTGGCCTCGGCACTCGTTATCGATCTTGGATTGAATCGGCCATGCCATTCCGGACCGTGGCCACCGGTCGGGATGGTAACTGAAGTGACCCAGCTCATCCACGGCGGACCCGTGATGCAAGGAGCACATACATCCGATGAACGCAGAGCAGTCCTCGGAGTCTGCTATTTCACCGGAAAAATATCATCCTGCTTCCGAAGGTTGGATCCGGTACGGTGGACTCCACACTTGGAAGATTGCTGTAACTCTCTCCTTGCGGCAGCCGAGTATCCCACGGATGTATATGCTGTTCAATTCGTTCAATTGTATCGAATCACAGAGAGATATTCACCATATCTCGCCACAAGATCGTACGCGGAGGTACCTATACGCACTTATGTCCGGTGCTTTGAGGAAGATATTGAGAAATATCAGCAACGCCTCCCTCCAGACTTGGCAAAGAACGGTAAGTATTACTTTCGCCTGGTCGTAGCTGCAAAACGTCGCTGATTCCTTGCCTTGTCCAAGCTTTGATGCGAATGCATATCCTCAGCGCCCAGATCGGACTTTATGAAGCTGTCGTCAACGCTGAATGTGACGCCCCCATCCAAAGAGCAGAGGCATTGCATGCCTGTCTGCAACGGGTCAAATCTCTCTACGATGTACTCGATGGACAACCCCCGGATAGTCTCCCCAATCTTCCCTTTTTGGCATGGATTCATGTTGTCCATGCTCTCATTGTGGTGGCCAAATTGTCATTCCTGGTGGCCGACGGGTGGGACTTGCAATACGTCCGAACGTCCCCAGTGAACTTTGAGTCTGTATTGGACTGTCTCATCACGAAGCTGGAATCCGTCGCCCAACACAATCTTAGAGAGTTTCGAACGCCCAACGCCGTTTCAGCTCGCTTCATGTTATATGCGGAGAAGACACGCGTTTGGAAGCGGTGGTATGAAAACAAAATCAAGGTAGAGGCTGCACCTCACACCTCACAACCTCCTGATATTGGGGGCGCTGTTTTGCCAATGGACGATCAGGTCATCGAGGGATTTCTTGACGGGTTTGATGATGGAGCCTGGCAGGACTTTATAGGCGATTGGACTGCTAATTTCCAGTTTTGACCGTTGACGGTGCGAAATATCGAATTCAATGGCATTACGACCACGGTCCCAGCGGACATTAGCAGAAATAGCGGGGCCAGTGCCACCTCCAACGAATTGTGTGCCCGGGGAACGGACCATAACTTCAGGACCCGGAGTCAAGGGTGATCGCGACTCCGGCCCCTGACTCGCTTCAACTCTGGCACTGGGACCATCCTGTCCGGATATAAACATTCACCAACCACACCTCGCCGGATTCTCCTTTCACCTCTGCCATCTTCATTCATTATCCGCAGACGAGCAGTCAACACTCTCGGATCAAGCTATCCGAAATGGAGAGCAAAGCCACGTCCCCCCGGGTCGAGTCACTTCTACCCTCGCCAGCAATTCCGACCGTGTCAACATCTGCAGACACCAACATGGCTGAACCATCCACCGCCAAAGAAAGTGAGGACACAGAATACCTAGGTCCTCGGGCCCTTTCTCTTCTAGTCGGCGCTCTCCTCCTCGCCATCCTCATCGTCATCCTCGATACATCCATCCTGGCCACGGCAATACCTCAAATCACGGATCATTTCCACACCATTTCCGACATTGGCTGGTATGTTGCCGCCTACATGCTCACCAATGCGTCACTACAGCCTCTCACCGGGAAATTCTACACCTATTTCTCTCTGAAATATGCCTTCGTCGGCTTTCTTGCAGTCTTTGAACTCGGTTCCTTGATTTGTGCTCTCGCAACATCGAGCTCAATGCTGGTCATCGGGCGTGCGGTGTCAGGAATAGGAGCGTCCGGGTTACAGAATGGCGCCCTGACGATCATTGGCATTGCAGCTCCTCCGTCACAGCAGCCCCCCTTGTTTGGAATCCTCATGTCTTTCGCAGGAGCAGGACAGCTTATAGGGCCGCTCATCGGTGGCGCTCTGACGGAACATGCTTCCTGGCGCTGGTGCTTCTGGATCAATCTCCCTATTGGCGGTGTGACGATTTTGACCATGATATTCATTCCGTTTCCACCTTATCGGGCCCGGAAGACAAATTGGACATTCCGCGATGTCACCCGTGATTTCGACATTCCAGGCTTCGCCCTCTTTGCCCCAGCCTGTATTATGCTTCTTCTCGCTTTGGAATGGGGTGGAGTTGAATATTCCTGGTCGTCTGCTACTATCATTGGGCTTCTATGCGGTGGCGGGGGAGTCTTTCTTGTCTTTTTGATCTGGGAATATTTCCACGACGGCTCGGCCATGATTCCGCTCTCACTGATACGCCAACGCGTTATCTACAGCAGCATGTTAACCGCGGCCATTCAATTCGGTGGTCTCTTGATCTTCACCTACTACATGCCACTTTGGTTTCAAGTCATCAAGGGCGCCAGCCCAACGCTGAGCGCGGTGTACATCCTCCCAACATTCGTCACCCAGATCCTCTCCGCAATAGCCGTAGGCGTCATTGTCTCGAGGGTGGGCTACTTGATGCCTCCAGCATTCATCGGCTCCGCTTTTGCCACCGTCTCTGCGGGTCTCATGAGCACATTTACCACCCATACAGGGACGGGAACCTGGATTGGATACCAGATCCTCAACGGTGTAGGGCGTGGAATCTCGCTTCAACAGCCAATCCAAGCGGTCCAAAGCGTCGCATCCTCGGATTTAATGCCCACCGCAACAGCGATGGTCGCATGGGCCCAGAACTTCGGTGGTACAATCGTGATCGGAGTCGCCCAGACCGCTTTCCTGAATATTTTGCAAAATGCCCTAAATACGCACGCCCGAGGTGTAGATGCCAGCGAGGTTACTGCCGCCGGTGCGACTAACTACCTCGCCAGTCTCGCTGGAGATGATAACGCAGATCTCAGGAATAATGTGCTGATTTCGTACAACCAGGCAATCACGCAGACATTTTATATCGCTGTGGGGTGTGCAGCGGTCAGTTGCTTCACCATTTTGGGAATTGGGAGGACTAGAATCGAGAGGAAGAAAAAGAGGACCGAGATCACCGGAAAGGATGAAGAAAAAGGAGTAGAAAAGAAGACGAATGAGACTGGAAGCAATAACAATGACAAAGGTGATGAAAACTCCGGGACTCTGACGACCGCTGAGCCAAACTTGCGTCGTTCCGTCTCGAAGTCGAGCTCGAGTAGAGAGCCCTGAGGGAAGGTCGTGAAGATTGACCATCTTCAGAAACCAAACACTCGATCAAAGAAAAACCCTGTCAGTCCAGTTAATTCAAAAAGGAAAAAGCCGGTGCTTCAGCCAAAACGTCGGAATGTTGATCAATACAAGGCTATCTTGTAGTTCAAGTCTGAGGCCGGTGACAAGGTGTCTTTCGTGGAAATCAGCCTCTTTTGTGGAAATGTCCTCCTGTTGAACAATTGATGGCCTATCGTTCACGAATAACCAGGTTATTCGCAACAACTCGCTCACCAGACTGTATCGCCATTGACAGGCAACAGTGATGACGTACGCTCGTTAGATAGATATATAGATAGGCTCGATGCCATCCTTTGACCCAAGGGGATCAGAACATATTCTCTCAATGAAGAGAAGTTTGACACATCCCGGCAGTGCCTCAGCCCACCTCCACCCTGATATGGGTCATTAGGGTCTCCACGTGACCTTGAGGCAAGTTCTCACTAGAATCCACTTCCCTGACAGATCTGTACTACCTAGCTGTGCAGAAGTCGAGTCAGTCGAGTGCAGGGTCGGTAAGCAGCTTATTAACGTTATGTTGCGTCATGGGGTAAATTCCACGTCTAGTGCTTCTAGTACTTCTTTTTGCTTTCTTCCCTAGTTATGGCTTGCTTTGGTTTCTTTTCTTGTTCTGGTAGTTGAATGTGATGAATAGGTGTAGTATATGGTAGGTTATCGCTTAGGTGGAGCCTGAAAACTATGTAGTAACGTTGATGGTGTATACTTAATGTGATGTGATATAGAGATGTGACATTAGATGGTAAGAGTGCTTGCTTGAAGAAGAAGCAAAGTAAGGTACCTTCGGGATTTCTTGCTATTCTCGTCGGGGAAGGAGAAGAAGACAGAGGTTGACGTATACAAGACCTGGGCCCTGTCAGTAGTCGAGGTTTAGAATGAGAAGAAAGGGGATGTACCAAGTCTCTCTTCGGCCGTCTGCCAGCACAATACCTATCAGCCTTCGGAGGGAATGAAGGATAGGAAATATTGCTTTTTGTTCTCGATACCCGTCCCTCGGCCTTGCCTATTGAGTCAACCCATGCCGAATGCCGAGAATGCCGACTTAGACGACTAGTAGAGTTGAAAAGGAGCTTGACATAAAATTCTAGGCCAAGGATTTGCAAACAGGCTTAGATGATAAGGGGCGAAGTGAGGCGAGAGAGGGGCTGGAAACAGCGAGCCAGCAATGTCTGATGATAAAGCTACCGAGGCATCCTGTATCACACATGCCCCTTTCTCAGGGTGTAAAAAGGGTATCATTCCTTCAAGGTGACCACGCGGCTGAATCAGTATTTCAGATTTGGTCAAGATCCAACTGGTGAAGGTCATTGACGAGGTTAGTAGGGGAACAAAGGCCTGGCGACGAGAAGCAAGATAATCTCTTGGACGCCTCAGGTAGACTGTCCATCTCCATGGATAGGCATGTCTCAAGGGCAGATAGCAGAAGATGAATGCAGCTTTGAGACCCAAAAGGTACTATTAAGACACTATGTATATAAGGCATCCAGGGGTCTCCTTGACCCGTTCAGCACGAGGCGAACACGATTCGCAAGAATATCCAAAAAACAATCTTCAAAGACCCCTATTTCCATACCTCCGACGGGCGCAACTGCAGAACGCTTGTCAACGGGAAGATTCGAAAACGATTGGCCCCCAAATATGAGTAGATGTGCAGCATTCGTTGACGGTCCGGCGTCGTTGAGGGAATAGGTGTAGATCCAAAAATGGCGGCACAGGGCCTGAAATAGTCGTCCTGAGATAGAGATTTCCATATTCTGTTGGGAGATGTCCTGCATGACTCGCAAGTGTTCGTAGACCTTATACAATGGAATAATCATCCATGCTGCTGCACAGCTGACACCAACATTTAGCCCGTTTCGAACATACAGTGCAACGAAGCTTACTATTATGCCCACAGATACATTCAGGAAAGGAATATCCGCATTCCTCACAACGAAGAACCTGATCGAATAGGCACTGGCAAGTCTCGAGATGAGAACCATAGCCCGAGTCATCAGCGTGGTACGCAGGGTGATGCGGGGGGTGTAACCCATGCGGTTGTCGCTGACGCTCAAGATGTTGTTGTACCAGTTGTCTCCGTTCAGCAGGCCGCGTATGTGGATCCATGACCTTATCTGTAGTGCATAGAGTGTCGAAGATCTGTGGCAGACGCTGTGATTGAACCCCGCTTTGCTGCACCGGGTTCAAAACATCAGACCTATTGAACGTAGACATTCCCACTGGTGGAATTGAAGAAGCTGTTCGCTGGTTTGGATCTGTCGCAACGGGATCATCTTGACCGTATAGATTTTGAGCTGATGAATTGCCAATCGGATAAAGAAGCAGATCATCTTGATTTCCGTAAGACATTTCTGGGATTGTTATCTCTTCTCCGCTAATTCGATGTTGAATCGTACCAGGCGGTCCACTTCCGGACAGCTGAGCCTCCAGGGACGCCAAATCTTGCTCATATGACGCATGCAACTCGTCCAGTTTGTGTTCCACTTGAGTCTGCAGTTTGGCTTTTTCTCTCTTGTACCAACGCATGATAGTTTCATATCGTTTCTTTCTTTCCTTCAACACCCGCATGCATCTGGTGATATGACCATAGAAAGAGGGTTCCCGGCTCAGTCGATCTTCTAGCATATTCAGAACTTTTTCGAGTTTATCTTCTGCGTCCGCGAGCACACGGAAAGGCTGGCCCATTTGGCCCACATTGCTGCCTCCAAAGATTTCATAGTATTTTTGCCACCTCTCTTCTGGGCTGAGTTTCGAATGTGAGAGTTCTTCTATTCTCTGCAGCTTCTCCGGGTCATCTTTAGCATCTCGTTTCGCATGTCGAGTGACTGTAGCAATCTTGTCACTGCTCCACTTCTGACATTTCGAATCGCAATGTTCGGGATTTGCGGCATATTTCGGGCAGCGAAGTTGCCGCCGCTGATTCTTGTTGTGTACACGACCGGCCTTCGTATCATGGGGATCGGGGTCTCCCTCCTCTTCTTCGTCGTCGGCATCGTCAGATCCATATTCTGAAGGGCGGTTCTCAGGATTGTTGTTTCTAGTCCTAGCTCTCGTAGATCTCAGTCTAGAGGTTTGTGAGGCCGATCTCCTCCTCTTCCTGCAGTCGGGACCCGCGGCTTGTATAATCCCTTTCGGCTCGGTCCCAATGGGGAGCTTTTGCGTTGGGCCGTCAAGCGGCTGTGCACCTCCACGAGGTCCCAGAGTTAACCTCCCTTCACGGGCGTGCACTCTTGCTGCATCATGATAAGGCTGAGATGCGATGGAAGTGCCAAGCCTCCCGGTGTCAACTTTCCCGTGGATGTCTGGTGGCTCTCGCCGAAAACAAGAACCGGGGGGGTTCTTTAATTGACCCGAGAGATTGACCATAAGTGCTTCAGCCTCAGTCTCTAGGGTTGCATCTCTAGGCGCTTCGGGTGTGAGACCAGTTGGGGGTGGCGGCTCTGCGGAGGGGCATGCGGCATGGGGTGGGGTGTTCAACCGAAGATTATCGTGCAAAGGAGCCGCTGAAGAGGAGCCATCTAGTCCCGAACGAGGCAATCGGGATGGGTGCGGGACGATTATGCCCTTGTTTCGATTGAGATCGCCATGATGCTGCTGAAGCGGCGAGATCGAGATGTTCCGCAGCCACGCCAACCCAAGATCGTCCGTTTGATCGGCGGGGGAAGTAGGAGATGTAGCATTGGAATCACGCCTCCGTCTTTTGATTCTGCAGGAGGGGCTTCGAGCGAAGTGTGGATGTCTGGAAGCCTTGTATGGCTCACCGAGCCCAGGAACCGTAGGTGACTTCTCAGGCCATGGCTTCCCTGGAAATTGAGGCTGCTTCAAGAGAGTTTCCGACTGTTCTTTTTCTGCTATTGCTCTCCTCCATGCGTATTGAGCAGTCTTGTTCGGGGCAACAACTTGCCAGTGAAATGCCGAAGAAAGTGTCTCGAGAATGTGCTGACAAAATATGGCCCAAAGGTGTAGTAGCTGTTCAACGAGGTGGAGTGCACCAAAAATGACCGAGGCAATCTTCTGCGGTAGGCAGACGAACCAAATTAGCAGATGAATGGCTAGCAGGACTAGACCACCCAGCTTGCTTTCTATTTGAACTTGAGCTGGCGGAAACCTGCGAGGCTGATTAATGGTAGACAAGTGAACAACCGTGAGTCGAGCATCCATGGTGAACAAGACGCGGGACCGAGTGTATTAGTAAAGGTTCGCAAGATAAGCAAACAAATTGGGTTGAAAAGGCAGGAAGGCAGAGATGAAGGTCAAGCTGGTTCGCACGTTCTATGTAAAGATAATATTTGGAACGCGGGCCTCAGAGAGCCGCTTTCAAATTTTTATCAATGCTTTGTAAGAAAGTCGAAGGGATCCGGGGATGTCTTCTTGCTTCTTTTCTGCCTTGAAAGGTGGCGATGAAAAGCCAAATATTGATGTTTGCGCGAATCTTGCACATTGCAATGTTGTCAATGGACCGATTGGATTTGTGCGTCTGTATCGGTAGCTAAGACGACTCTGATAGTGGCGGAGCCCGGGTGATGAAGTGTTCGTCCTTTTTTGGATTTTAGTCGATACTCCATGAAACTCGTTGTGGGAACGAAAAACCACTGTCCTGACCACCCGCCGCTGCCCGTCCAAGGCTTTCGCCGCTTTTCATCTAAGTGGGACATTCGTTGCTTCCATTGCGGTGGTATCACCATGACATGAGGTCTCAGAGTGGGGAGTAGACAGAAGAATCGCCCTGCACTGCCTGGACATTAAACTTACGAGCACAGCCGTCTCAAGGGATTGTGAGGAGGTAAAGGAGTTGTTTATGTGCTTTTCCAACATTTTCATGGCCAACAAAGGACGAGCCCTGCCAAAGTATGATGCGTCGGACCTTTGGTGCTGTGGCATTTTGCCATTTCGCGTAATAAAGTAGGTGATGATTGACCGTGTAGGCTCACCATTCGCTCTGATGCCTCTAGCTCACTGCTTGTTAGAACACTCCCCCGTGTCGCTACACCTCTCGTGATTGACTGCCCCAGGGCTCCCGGCTCCACCGGAGGTAAAGATTGCCAGTGGCGGACGAATGTTGGAGCCGAAGCCTGTCGCACAATACATCGACAGAACAAGTGGTGTCGCGCCCGTAGAGCCTCCATATGCAAATAGCGGTCTGTGATGCTGATAGAGCGATCAGCTTACTTTTGTCATGGCTTAGAGGTAATAGCCCGGTGTAAACTTCTGTCTCTGCCAGTGGGTTTGTGTTGCCCAATTTTGGCAGCTAGATCTCGTTGGAGGATGACCACCGCTATTACACCGGTTCGACTGCCAGATTGCCCGTTGGCTGCTGGGCCTCTTTTAGCTTCGACAGGCCGTAATCCGCGTCAGTTGTGCTTCTTCCATCAGAGTCAAATTCTGGATGATCATTCGTATGAATAGGCACCACCAACGACGTGAATGTCTCAACGTCCGCCCAAGAAGTGGCATCCCAAAGACTTAGTGCTACCGGCTCGGATTTTCCCTTGCCCTAAGTCTCATTCCAATATGGCTGAGCCCAGTTTGCCCCAGAGGCGAAAGAAATGCTGGCTGATTTGGTGGTTGAACGAGTCTGCCGGGAGTCTGCCGCACCACGCGTCTCACTTGTTGTCTGCATTTCCTTCTCGTGTCGTAAAAGACAGCCTCGAACGCAGTTACCAGGTGAGAATGATCTGGGATCCATTCAGGCGACCCTTCCCGAGCGGATATCTGATTGTTCTTCTGCCGAAGCGAATGGTTTGACGACTTCAGATTTGTTGGCGGTGTGATGTTCGGATATCGTCTTCATCTCAGCCCCAGTGGCTTCTCCACTTCGCAGCCGGGCGATGGAAGTTTGATCTTCCTAAGAATTTGGTCTCTCTATTGCATGGCATCGCGATTCATGTGTGCCGTCCCCGTGTTTCCGCCGGTTTGCCGAGGAGATACTGCTCCCTCGTTGACGAGCATGACAAGGCATTCTCCTCTTTTATTTGGCCTTGAGATGGCGGCCATTGTTGTGGCTCGATAACTCGAATATGGCAGTCCACAACATCGGAGGTCATTCTTTGAGAGACCAGAAGATGGATCAATTGACAGCGAAGAAATGTAAGTGGCTACACCAAAAATATGGCGGATAGCCGGCGCGGCGAACAAGGCTGCCTAATGAGGCCAGATCATGCAAGCAGCCTTGACCACGGAAAATATAACAAGGAATCCACCCACTTGAACCGAATCTACACAATATTCACCACGACCTTTGTAACAGCCCGTATCTTCAACGACTACGTCCAAAATTTGATGGCACGACGGGCTTGTGCTGGTTGGAATTGCGTACAAGCCGTCGTTTGATCGAGGTGACGAATCGAGCCCCCTGCCTTGACACCGCCAGTCTGAATGGGCCAAATCCATACTATGATCCGGAAACCCGGTTTGAGGCCTCCATTGGGTAGTTCTTACTGGTTTGGTACCCAAGCATTGTCTCCAAGAGCGGGGCTTTGATTTGTATCTTTATTTTGATTCAAAAAGGACTGGTGCCCAAGTCTTGCTTTCAAAAAATTTTGCTCCACGGCGGCATACTCGCATTGAGATGCAATGATTCCTGTCACCAAAAATCACGGACCGCTCCCGGGTTTCCCATCTTTTTTTCTTTCCACCCGCCAATCGGGCAAATTGTCAAATATGAAGGTTGGTGGAGACGGCGTCACGTAAGTAAAGGACACGTTTTTCGGATGGCCATCGGATGGCCTTTGGTCCTCAACTACCAATGGACACGCAAGCACATTTTTATCATTGGAATATCACATCTGATTCCCTATCGGAGTTTTTCTCCATGTGATTCGGAGTGAAAGGCGTGTTCATTGATCGAAACACCGACATTCTTCGATCATCCAACAAACTGGGCCCCTTTACAGTTCTTGAGCATGTGAAGAAGGATTCGCGTCCTTTCTTCAGACATTACAGTCGGAAGAGCAATTTCAGGACGTGGAAAAGGATCGAGGGAATCTTTTGATCCACTTCCAAGTACACTCAGAGCTCATAAACAAACTATCAATATCACGAGTTCGAGGAAGTCAGTCCGGGCCAGCAGCGGACTCACTTTCTGCTAAATATCCACTTGTCCATCCAGAGCTAGGAGTCCTCAATGCGTTTATCAGTCGAAATAGAAGCATCGGGTCAAATACGCAATTAATTGGCTCTATATAAAGAACGAGTGCCAACCATAGGCAGCCCATTAGCCTCTTAATGCCCCTCTACAGAGGTGCTAATAAGTAGCTGCAGGCAAACTACTCTCCGGTTTGGCCTCTTGGGGCGGATCTGTATGCCGGCGCTGTAAACATGAACGCTGTCCACGTGTGGTGCAATAACTGGCTTCTTCCGTGCACGAGCTGATAATAAATATGAGTTCTTTCAGACTTTCAGTCCCAGTTGACGCATTCTTGAACCAGACTTTGGGAAATTCTGCACTAGGCTCTTCTAGGAGCTCGATGTTCTTAGACTCTAAGGCCGGGAGGAAGAACCCCCAATGTCAACCTTCTGAGGATCCGCAACATCCTTGTTCCGTCAATTCGTCCAATGAAGGTTTCGATAGGAGGTAGGACGGAGGCATTGAGCTCGAGGCTCTTGGCCGAGATGGGTTAATCCGTGAATGAGTTATGCTGAGTTCCATTGATCGGGAGTTGGAGTTCGAACCCCGTCCACTCCTGCCAGATCGCGGTCCATGTGCGTCGCTGGTTTGATGATCATGTTCACGTCCTCCTACGAGCCTAGTGTCGACAAGCAGGATATCCGTAGCTGTGGCACCCTCAAGAAAATGTCCGAACACACCAACGTGTTTTGTTTTTAGCATGAGGATACCAAGTTGTTTCGTGATTATCGAGCTAGACGGAGCATTGAGGACTGACAAGATGTCAGCGATGCAAAGTGTGACTGCTTGTGGAATGCCGAAGTCACTGAAAAAAAAAAAAAAAAAAAAAAAAGGCAACATGGAAAGTCGCTATCCTAGGTGACATATATGGTATCCTGGTCGTTCGAGAACAATTGGCTGGCTGAAAGAAACAGCATCGAGCGAAGAGAATTGTTACAGCAAGGCGCATAGGGGTCAAGACGGGACTTGGCAGTCAGCGAAAAGGTGGTAATGTAAACATGGATGGATACGGGGGAAGGTGGCAATGCAACCAGCTGGCACATCACCCAGCAAAGGCAACAAGTGCAGCACAAGAAGAGAAAGGTAATCATCTCTTTAGATGTGACGTTTTCGATTCGATCGGGCGATCCAGCGAGGGGAGGGACGGAGTTTGACAGTGAACTTACGATTAATTGAGGATGTGTCGAAGATATTTATCATGAGGACATCGACACCTCATCTTCTGACGTTCATTTTAGCTGCTTCGTTGAGTCATCGTTGAATCCAGGCGGACGTTCGGCAAATGGGAAACTCAAAGACCGAAGTGAAGGAATTGCCGTATTCGAATTTCCGAGATATCCCATCAGTAGAACGTGTCTCCACGCTTCTCCGTGAGGCAAGAAAAAGCATCGTAGAAGCGAATTCCCTTTTTCTCGTAGTCTCTGCACCAAAGTCCATAGATCGGGAAGACTTGCAAAACTGCAGTGGGTGATGAATTTTGATCTGATAGCTTCTGACCACCTCGTTATGATTCGTTAAATCTGACAGTGCGTGCAAATGGACACGAGGCGATGGAGCGTCTAGAAATGCTCGAACGGCTTGCCAGTATCTATTCTGCACAATGGAGCGGAGAGATGATCAGGTGCGATCTGCTGGAAATGATTGAAGAGAACGAGAATTGGATCCAACGCCGACATGGAGCAGAATTTTTTTGAGGATTGACCAGCTTGGAAGGTGAACTCGTAGTAACAGGGGAATGTTCGACCGCCTAGGGACCAACCGACTGTTTTGGATGCGGCACGTTCACCAAGTTCATGGACCCTCCTATTATTTGTTGGCAGCAAGATAGCATTCAGAAGGCAAGTCGCTTGGATCCTCGAGGATCAAAAATAGCTCCCCTACCGAAAGGCAAGCATGCCCAACCAGCGGGCCGAAGTTCCAGGGTGCGTGTCCCTCATTTGGCAGTTTCAGGGTCCATAGGAGGCAGGATAAGACTTTACAGCAGTCTCAAAAGGTGATCATCCGTCATAACATCCAAGGAACAATGGTAAGGCGTGTGAGCAGGGATCTGGAACGAAAGTTCAAACCTGTCCTGCGTTCCACTGGGCGCAGGTCGAGGGTCCATGCACCACCGTAATGCACCACCGTGATCTTGGTGCAAAGGTCAATCAATCACGGTTCTTCTGCTTGATTCATATAATCTCTTCATCCCGCATAGGCCGGCCAGGCTCGTTGCAATGACCGCGGTGCGCCTGTCACCGGCAGCGAACCTGCTTCGACATTCCAAACTCTTCGCTGTCCCATCACCATTATCTCTTCCAGCAACTGAACCTTCGTCCGAACCCATTGCACACTCCGACACAGCAACCACCCCTTACCCCATTCGAGCGGCCTTTGAGACCCCGACATCTTCATTGCATAGAGGAGATTGGGGCTTGAAAAGATCACTTCCAGTCGCCACCACAACGAAGTCGGGCACGCCAGTCATTCGGATTCAAGGAGGAATTGATACCCCCGAGCACATTGCCGATTTCGAGTCTGCCGCAGATCATGTCTTGACCCTTCGCAAATACCAAGAGCTGAATCTCAGAGTGACCCTTCCAGCTCCAAGAGAATGGAGGTCAAATGTGCGTACGAGTGCCTTCCATCCCGAGGTGGATCACTCGGCGGATACAGCTCTACCGAAGCTCAACAAGAGTAATGCGCCATCTTCGTGGCTTCAAATGGGCTCTGCTGAGCGGGCGGCCCAAATGCCAAAGCATCTAAAAGATACCCTGGAGGAGATCGCCAAGGTCAAGGCTGCGGAAGCTGGATCTGAAGCTACTCCAGCAAGTCAACCGCCGCCCACCCGACCACCGTCATCGATTCCTGCGCAAACCCGGCGACGATGGCGCTACTCTGGTCCATATTTGGCAGGAATGAATGGAATGGAGTTTGACGCGTTTCTAAACAAAATTACGAGAGAAAAGAAAGCGGCTTTTCGGGCTTATGTCAAAGAACATATGCGCATGCAGCGCTTCGATCAGAAGCGTGCGGAAGCTCTTGACCAAGGTCGCGGTAACACTGCAGTTCATGACACCGCCGAGATTACTGACGAAGATGTCACACGATATCTTCGATACCTACGTTCTGAGCCGGGTAAGTTTGGCCCGTTAATCGTCGAATTTTTCGATCTTGCAGATGGTCCAAAACCCACCCCGGAAACCACCGAACCTTGGTCATATGGACGTGATACGATCTCTGCAGATCCGTACAAGGAATCTGGACCTCCCAGAACCCATCCCTCTGCTGGGTTATCCTATCTCAAATCCGACATGTTTTCTCCAAACGACATAACGGTTGGCCCCAGCGCAACCCGCCATCCTGTCCCGGCTCGACTTCTGAAATCCAATCCTATCACTCACGGCAAAAACATGCCATATATCGGTGTGGCTGGATTTGTTGTCCCGCAACCTAGCTACACCTCATTGACGGACTTCAATTGGAAATGGGAACCCAAAAAGGATGGTCCCAAGTTTGTCGTTACTCCCACAATCACCACGATTTCACAAGCTGGGAAAGTCGAGATTCAGAGCAAAATTCAGCCGAAATGGCATTTGGAGGATGATTTTCCTGTTAACAGCGCGGACAGGAAAGCCAGGGGAGACGCGACTACCACGACGACCAATATTTCATCTTCACAGCTTCCGAACCTGGACAACCGTGGTCCGAGAAATCGATATTCACGGTATCGGTTTACGCCTGAACCCAGTCAAGATATTAGCGCGGAGTTGGATATAATGACGCGAGAAGCATCCAGGTCTCTTGGAAGGAAAATTATTTAGATGTACCAATACACTTTCCATATCTATACGTGAACACGTACACTGCAAAAAACATGGGCTGATTGTTCCATAGTCACGTGACTAACTGGATACTATCTCTTGGCGCACACTGACAACTCGCCAAGCACTTGGAAATCCCCCTGCAGGTTGAATCATCACGACTTTCATCCCCATCGCCCTTTTAACCAACTCCTCAATAACCGTCAAGATGGGTCGCGTTCGCACCAAGGTCAGTAAAGAACCAACACTCGTGATACATTTCAATCAGATTGGTAGACCTAACGGGTTTGGACACTGTAGACCGTCAAGAAGTCTGCCAAAGTCATCATTGAGCGGTACTACCCCAAGCTCACTCTCGACTTTGAGACCAACAAGCGAATCTGCGACGAAATCGCCATTATTGCCTCGAAGAGACTTCGCAATAAGGTTCGTCGGGCACCCCATTCATCACAGTCTTTCCTCTGCGACCGAGGAAGGCAGTTATGAGGCTGACAGACTTGGGTTTGTAGATCGCCGGCTACACCACCCATTTGATGAAGCGTATCCAACGCGGTCCTGTGCGCGGTATTTCATTCAAACTGCAAGAAGAAGAGCGCGAACGTAAAGATCAGTATGTGCCGGAGATTTCGGCGTTGGATTTCACGCAGAACACCGAGAGCGGACAATTGGACGTCGACTCGGACACGAAGGATCTGTTGAAGAGCATGGGCTTCGATTCCATCCCGGTCAATGTTGTTCCCGTCAGTCAGCAGCAGACGCAAGAGAGAGGAGGACGCAGAGTCTTTGGCACCGATCGACCAGGCCGACGAGACTAAAATTGGGTCGATATGAGATCAATCGAGGCGAAGATGGGTCAGGCTGATACTAGGTATTGCACTGGTGTTGGCCTGTGCAAGCAGTCTCATTCTCGCTCTGCTCTGATGAGATCATGTTGCTATTGCCCCGAAGGCGAATTGCTCAACATCCATGCCCCCATTCCGCATTCGACATCCTTGAACGACACCATGGATCTGACCGGCAAGAATGATATGCCACTGTGCTCGGAAATCTACTTGTGCTGCCAACATGGCAGCTCAATGGAAGGCACTCAGATAGAAGAACCACGGAAAAAGCGAAAAGAACAAGAAAAATTCCACAAATAGAAGGTGTCGCCTAGTCCCCCTCGTGGACGAAGCTTGATTGCCAAATTCTTCCTTTTCCTCGAGTTCTCTTGTCTCCGTAGAGTATCGCGTCACCTGATTTCCCAATCACACTGCAGTATCCAGCTAGGATGCGAGGCACGAGCGGGTTGGAGAATTCCTCTCTGAAGCAAGAGCGTAGAATTCAATTGTGTTTTGGAATATTCTTGTAACAAGAATCACATCGACTGAGCAACCAAGGGAACCGATATGAGCCTTTCGTACTAGGTACCTCATTCCCGTCCCTCGCCATGTTTCCCGAACGCCATTCGCCATGCGCCGTAAATATTGGATCACGCTGGACCAGAAGACGAGCGTGTACCATTTTCTCCCCTCCCTTTCCTCATCTTGGTGGACATATGCATTGGTATCAACAGCCCTCATTTTCATTCTGCCCAATCCGAAGGAAGGAGATGTAACCCTTTAATCCGCCTTCCCGTTTGTCGTACCCAACAATCCTTCTTTTCCATCAAGATGAAAATATCCACTGCTATTCCTACTCAAACTCCTTCTGATCGTGGTACCATTCTTCAAGACGTAGACGAGCGCCGCGACGGACAAGATCAGCAGAGCGAACGAGAAGTAAGGATGGTAGGTGCCAAAATTGCGGATCTGGAAGAAGATGTTTTCAAAGGTGCCGATGGTGGATTTGGGGGTCAGTTTTGGTGGTGTTGCGACGATTCGCGTCAGGGTTTCGAGGATTGAGGTTCTCGAAGGCACAATGTAGGCGCCTGAGTCGGTGACGTCCCAATAACGTCGATTCTGCTCCAAGTCAGTGAAGCTGCATTGTCCAACTCCAGCATGAGCACTCACATCTTCATCGTTGATAATCACGCGTTCACCATTTGAAACATCGACACCGTAGGTCGATCTAAGCCATCTTTCCCAGAACACACCATCAACCCAAGCAAAGCTGACTCCCTTGCGGAAATTTTCTTCGGTGATACTGATGACCAAACTCTTGGCCTGTCGCAATGCGCGTTGATCATTACGATCTTCGGCTTCTTCGATTCTCAATTGTTTGGAATCGCGCATTTCCTGCCGTTCAAGTTGGAAAGCTTGGGTCTGTTTGTCCATCCACTCTAGAGCGGCGTTCTTGAGTTCCCGTCGTGATTGCAAGAATTCATCCGGTCGGTCTCGAGAGAGGATGCCCAACACGACATATCGTCCAGTCATGATTTCTTTCGCATTCGACGCCGTCAATTCTGGTACAATCGGCAACCAGACCGATTGCATCCAGGTCAAGACGCGCCGGAAATCTCTCATATCCTTCGGAGTCAGGGCATTGTAATAGCTGGGCCTCCCGTCTCTAGACACCAGCAGCCTCGGCCACGTGGAGATCTTGAAACGGTTGGCTAAGATTTCGGAATCGGTCTTGACAATCTTTGCGTGCCCAATCAAGCTCAACGTCAAGCGGTCCAGCGCGGCAAAGTCCTCGGAGGTAGTGGCGTCGTCGAAGAAATAGACAAAAATGACTTCTTCGGTCTCCTCCATCTCCTTAAATGCGGCAGCGTCGACATATTTGACATCGCTATCCAGTGCCTTGTTTGCGAAAGAGAGCAAATCACCAAGACCTCGAAGGCCTTCATATTCGACACGTTCCCCACCCCGGAAGAAGTAGATCGTCGGATAGGCGTTGACTTTGGCATCTTTGCACAGTCGTGGGGATTGTTCGCAGTTCACCTCGCCGACGTTGAGTTTGCCCTCCATTTCTTTGGCCATTTCAGCCCACGTGGGGGCCAGGTGTTGACAGTGTGAACACCATGGTACATAGAATTTGATGAACCATGTGTCTTGTGATGTAGTGACCAGTTTTTGGAATGACTCGGGCGTCAAGGGAATCGACGTGCCCTTGGGGTTTGGTAGTGGTCCGCTCTTCGCATTCTTGGGCCGGCCCAGCCTCGCGGTCTCCGACGCCAGCATTGCCGACGATGTTTGTGTCAGGATTTCGGCGGCCTCTTTGTTCTGCTTTTCTCCCGCAGCCACTCCCGCAGCAGCATCCTTGTCCTTCGCAAGGGGCTTTTCTGGTGCGGAAGTTCGATCAATACTTTTCGCGCCCGGTTCGGGTACCTTGACTCCTTCTCTCGGTCTAGAACCTGGTTTGATCTGTTCTAATTTTTCTTCCACATAATTGCTAAAGCCCTCCATGGTTCGCTCTCCCGAATATCGTTCAACGAATTCGCCATCTTTGTACAACATAAACGACGGCCATCCTATCACCCCATTCTTATCGCAGACATCTCCAAAAGCTATACAGTTTATTGAAGCGAAATGAAAATTGTAAAATCCGTGGAAACTGTTGGGCGAGTCCAAATCTGGCTGACTAGCCTTTGTCCGCCCTTGGAGAGGATCTGATGTCACATAGAATTCGTACAAGGTTTGCCAATGAGGCGCGATCGCTTTGCAATGGCCGCAATATGGTGAATAATGCTTCACCCACCTGCGTGGAGTCAGTCTTGTCTCAGGTCTTTGTAGGATTGTCTATTACCAGTAACCGTTTTTGATGGTTTCTGCAAATTCGTCGCCTTGAATCTCCTTCATTGGAGGCACCTGAATGCCATTGAAGGTGGTGTATTTAACAGCGTCCCCTCCCTCAGCATTGGTCTCTCCTGAGACGGCATCTTTGGATAACACGGTCGGCGGCGCGGCGAGTGATGTTGTCAATACGGCAGCTAACGCCCATGCCAGCAATGCTGGCCTCATTTTCGAGGCTGGCCAGAAATCGTTCGATAGAAGACAATGACTAAAAATCTCCGTTATCGAGGTGGTGTCGCAATCCAGTAAAGGATCAATAGAGTGATTAGGGAGGGTTCTCGTGGGTAAGGGGAAGTCGAGAAGAAACCACTGTGAGGAGAAAGATTAGTGTACGGTAGAGTCACGGCTCGGGCGAGGATACAGGTCAGTAGAATTTCAATGAAACCACATGGTAGTTCTCGAATGCATGTGCAAGATGCGAGATGGCGAGATGGATTACGGAGAACTTAACTGCCAACTAGCAGAGGACGACTGCTTGGCAGGAAGCAGATTACGGCGAAGCATAGCACCACATAGGAGACAGCGGACGAGGAGGAAAGAACTTGTTTTATTCAGTCATAATAGGGTATTTCTCGAATCGAAAGTTCCATAAATGTCGTGCCGAATCATCAAAACCATAGCCTTTCGAGCTTGTGGCCCCAATATGTTGCAACAATGGTGGAACAATGGCCCAGCGTTGATAACCTGCTCGGTCGGCAATTCTCTCAATCATCATATCAACCAGCCAGTCTGTTTGAAGATCCGCCCGCTCGAGAAGAGGTGGGATAATTGAGCGTGGGAATACAAGGCCTTGGGTGCAACAACCGTACTTATTCATTTCATGAATTCCAGAGGAAACCGGAAACACCGTCTGCCGCCCTGCAAGAAAGACTAGCAAAATAGCGGCTGGTATACAAACGCAGGAAATTGCAGCCATTATACCAGCGGTCATAAACTCGAGGTGCTTTGGGAAGCTCCTTTTCGTTGCGATCATCATTGCTGATAGTGACGCCCAGGCGGCAAAGGACCAGAACAAGTAAATGGACCACTCTTCACTGTTCCAACCAAGAAGGGCATCCGCGTAAAATAGTCGCAAATATATCCATGTCCGCTTTGAGACTTGAGGATGAGTTTTAGTAAGGACAGAGTTCAAGGCAGAAACCAGGCGCCGGAACCAGCCAGCGACGGCCAAAGTGTCATCCTCAATCATGGCCACATACTCTGCTCCTGTGTCATAGCAGTCCTTCAACAAGTAAGTGTAATCGTAGATGGTCTTATTCCTGTACCAGCCGCCCTCCTCCCAGGCAACGATCTGATCATGCTCCGGGCCCGTTGTGGGATACCGGAGAATACGATCTGGCAGGATGTCCAACCAACTCTCTGAGAACACTGGGTGTATCGAAGGATTTGTGTGGCCAATAAGAATGTTGAGAAATATCAGACTCCGTTCCTCTTCGCTCATACCAGCAAGAAGTGAGCCAACTGTCGATCTCACATATTGGTGTCCAGGACGAGCGACGGTGGCGATGCCGACACAAACGACAGGTGGATGAACTCGGGATGAAACAGGGCGATCATCCTCTTTGACCGTGGCAATATAAGCATCAGCTTCCTCAATCCGGTGCGCTGAATATATCCATTCGTAAGCACGATGAGGATCAAAAAAATAGGAAGTGGGATCGCGGTAGCTCGTTGAGTGGTAATAGTATAATGAGAGCAGGTAGAAGATGATGAACAGTGACACAAAGAGCCATGCAGGACGAAAGTTGCATTGCATAAGGGGGTTCCGGCAGGGGGAATATCTCCACAGTCGCATAATCCCTCGATATAGCTTCTGTGATGTTCTGAAATCTCGTAGATATAGCCGGCGAAGGACTTGAATCGATAGAAATAAATTCAACGAGGATACTGTAGGAATATGCTCAAGAACCCCTCACCAGCAAACCTACGGCGCATGAACTTAGGCGCCACCCTGCATAACGCCTAACTAATCACGTTTCCCTGGGCCGACCCGCTGCACCACCCACCTCCCAAAACCCACAATTAAAGTGGCGCGACAAATTTCTTCTCAACGCCAAAAACGAGTACTTTTGTAGGGTACTCGATAGCTAATGCGACTCGAGTACATCTACAGTAGATTACCTCCATTCCATTGGCAAAGCCTAGTTCGAGACCAGCCCCGGGAGAATTCCCTTCCAGTCAATGGCAGTGTCTTATGTCTGTCACCACCATCTAGCCATATGATCAACCATGTTAACCCCCCCCCCCCCCCTAAAATCAGGCTATGGCAGACTGAATTCATGACTGTTACACACCCGTGATTTCCTCGTTGAGGTTGTGCTTCCCGGTCTCTATGAGTGTTATTAAACTGGGTACTTGTTGGCCGTAGGCCCATCCGGGATTTCAGATGGTGTAGTTCCATCTTGCGCACCCTCGGGGCCAAAAAACTTAGTACGCGCCGGATGCTACGGAACACAGTCAAGCGCATATGTCCAAAAGACTTTCCCCCTATCAAAGTGCATGACACCAGGATGACCGTCGCCAACTTTGTTTCAAAAAGTGCCGCAAGCGCCTGGTGCTACACTATCCTTTGTCACGACTATGACATGCGTTGGCCCAAGACCATCAAAATGTCTAGGATCGCGAATGAAGCCTTACCTCCCACCCAAAGAGCAGCATCGCTAGCAAGTCGGCAAATTGACCCGAACTATGGCAACCATCCAAAAGCCTGCCCTGGACCAGAGCATCCTTTGCTCCATTCTACTGCCTTGTACCATACAAGAACGGGTATTGATGCTCACCTCTACCTCCAGGCATGTTCGCAACATCTCTTGCCTTTTTGGACAGGTTTAGAGCTGGTCGATATCTCTCCCTTGATCTTTCAAAGAATTCGCTTTCCACCGGCGAGCCAAAGAAAGTCGTCGTTTCCGATTCGAGAAGAACTGCACTTCGACGATGTATATTCCACATTCCCCCTGTTCTCGGTTCCATCGCGATCCTCACGCTGAATCTTCATGGCATATACTTGGGGGAGGAGGTTAATTGGCTCTTCAAATCAGAGACTCTCAGTTTGATGGGCTTCCAGATCTTGGCCAAGATCCATGAGATTTTCATCGTGACCAGCCTTGGATTGATCGTCCTTCATGCAGTCAGGAACGAATTACTATTTGGACACGGACTCCCTCTGGGTCTTGTTGGATCAGGTCTCTCCTTCAGCAATTTCAGCTTTTTCTTTACAAGAGAGTTTGGAGGTGGCTTGAGAAATCTGGTGCAGCCGGGCCATAGACTGCGAAAAGCGAGCTTCATAGGCCTTCTATGTCTGGCAGGTGCCATAGCTACTCTCGCTGGGCCATCAAGTGCCACCCTCATGGTGCCCCAGACTCAATCTTGGTCAGCCGGCGCAACAGAATTCTTCCTCAATGGATCCTTGGAACGTTTTTGGCCGTCAGACCTGTCAAAAGACATGGCTGAGCTTCAACAATATTGTGACAATGAAACCTCCACCGCATCTGCATTCTGCCCAGCCGGTGGCTTCATATCTCTCCAAGAACACTGGGGAAGGATGAATTATACAAACTTCTACGATTACGATGTGCCGCCATATGCCAAAATGCTCTCGGGCTCGCGATTCTATTGGCCAATTCACAGTCCAACATCTCCTATTCCCCCTCTCTATCAATTGGGAGACCCCAGGACGGATCAAGACATGCATTCCTATACCTTCTTGGTGCAGCCGCATGCAGCAGCCGCAACGCTGATGCAGCGGATAGCAACGGACTGGTGGACAGTACTTGTCTCAACCATGGGGTTGACAGATTCCCGGGTCGACGACCGCAATATCGGGGCTGATGTTCTAGCTGCGATTACGTCCGTGAGATGCACGGAACCACAAAACATCTCTGAGTCAGGCAAAACGGTCCGCTTCCCAGCGATCGATGGCCGCTTCACCTACATTCAAGGTTTTGATTTTGTCGTCGACGGTCTCGATACAAATGCCGTTAATCACCTGCGCTTTCAGTGGGTCCACCTTCCCGAAACCTTCGGCGCTGTCAGCATCGGAGGTGTTTTCGAGTCACCCTGGAGTTCAGACAACAAATCAAGAATCGTGATCGGATGCTCTGCACAATCAGGCTGGCTACCGGCAACAATACTCACGGATAAGTACTCATTCTGGTCTGGATGGTATCCTTGGGGTATGGATTGGGGCGGTCGTACTCCTGCATGGACCTCCACTCCTGCAAATGCAGAGGAATCCGCAACAAACGGGAGAATAGCCATTAGCTCGGAATGGCTGGATCTTCTGACGCCTACAACTTCGGACATCGTTACAGGGGCTGAGGTCTGGCAGCCGTCGACGATAGAGAGTGTTCTCGACAACGCAAAGTTGGCAGCCGATCTATCACCGCTCAATGGGGCAACGCTGACAGAAGAATGGGTCAAAAATGACCCCTCGGAAGTGAGCAGAACCACTCTTCTCGAAGCAATCGTTTGCAGCGTCCTCGTCGACGGTCTCAGCCGAACCGGGAGCTATCGAGCATTCAATACAACAGGCCCCAGCTCGGAATGGCCGTTGGCGTTGTATGACCCGCTCCCCGACTTTGCAAATCGACTCCTTGCAGGCCGCACGGCGTTGAGCACACCCAGTTTACCAAGTGCCGAAGTAACCACTATCCATATCAAAATGCAGATCGATGGGTTTGCCCTTAAAGCGACTCTCGCGACCTTTCTGTCCATGGCGGTACTTTTGATTCATGTCACCATGGCCCTGGTTCATACTGGCTGGGTCTTGGTTCGGAAAAAGACATCCAACAGTTGGGACTCCATCTCCGAGCTCCTCGCCCTGGCGCAAAACTCACAACCGGCATCTGTCGCCCTGGGTAATACTGCAGCAGGTATCAATCTCGGCAAGACTTACGCTCAGATAGCTAAGATAAGAGTGAGGAATCAGTATGGGTATAGCAACAATGACCACGTTGCACTTGTATTCGACGAATCAGGGTCGGAGCTTGAGACCACCGCGGCGTCGTCAGGAAGACGCGAACAAGAGGACAACGAGCACCATGCAGTTGGCATCGCCGATAACACTATGAATAATGAAGAAGATTCCTCGGGAAACAGGAAAAACCCCGGAAGCTCTGAGATTTCAAAGCAACATATTTTACCGTTATCCCGGACCTGGCCACGACCTCGCGGAGATATCCTGCCTTTAAGTCAAACGTTGCCTGGGTATCGAGATATCTCCGGAAGAAGTAGGTCGACGTCAACTGAGAGCCTAATTCCGTCAAAGAACGTCGTCAAAGAGATGATGGATGACCGAGTCGTTCTGAATCGTGCATATGGTTGACGAGTTCCTCAATATCTATCCTGGGGGGGTAATTGAATATATATATGGAGAGGCAAGTGTGGTTAACAATGAGGGAAAGGATCGTAGGCTAAACTCTATACTTCGTATCCCATAAATTATTATCGTCTATTCCGATCGTTACTCCAGCGCCATCGGGGTGGCATGTGATCATGATACCTCTGCCAAGGATTGTGTAGGCCAGTGCTGACTGCAAGGTTGAGCCTAGGGGCGGAGCAAATCAATCATGCGCCACCACCTTTTTGTCACCACTCTGCCAGTGCCTTTCCGCTTTCCTTTTCCTTCCTGCGATATCAACGACTATCCCAATATCTCTCTTGCCCAGCACATCCTCGAGTGGTTTTCAGGAGTTAACATTCTCGCCCTGGTTGATTTGACGGTCCGTGGACAACATGAAGGTCCCAACCCTCCTCCTCTCCCTTCTTACCGCCACCGCTGTCTCCTCGCGATCCCTGTTTGGAGCAAACCAAAATACTCTCGTGGATGAGCCCAAATACCCTGTTCCTGGCAAGAATCCATTGAATGTGAGAAGGACATGATATATTCTACACAGCTTTGTTCTTACGGCCTTCCAGTTCTGTGCCGATCCCAGCGACTACATCCTGACGATTGATTACGTTGACCTAGAACCGAATCCTCCTCTTCCGTACGTTAGGTGCTGTTCTACTTGACTTTAAACCAAGCTGATGATATTGAAGAGGCCAAAAATTGACCATCCTTGCCAACGGCACTTTTGCCAAAGACGTCGACCCGGGTGCTACCGTTTTCCTTCAAGTTAAATATGGATTGATTACCCTTATCAAACAAGAGGCCGACCTCTGTGATAATCTGCCACAAGTGGACTTGAATTGCCCATTGAAGGAGGGCTCTATGTCGCTGAAGAAAGAAGTCGATATCCCTAACCAAGTGGTGAGCTCGACACACAATTACTCGATGGTGATAATTGATTGACACAATATCCAGCCTCCGGGGAAATACACCGTTCTCGCTGATGTCAACACGGTCGATAAGGAGAAGGTTACGTGCATGGAGAGCACGGTTTTCTTCTCCAGAGGGTGATTTGGTGCAACACGAAGGCTCACAAGCGGGATCAGCCTGCAAATTCTATGCGCATATCAGTTTGTGGTTTTCTCCCCCTTGCAAGGCGTTTACACCGGATGTGGGCTCGAGATTTTGAATTACCTTCCAAGATTATCAGCTCGACGTTAATAGAATCGACTTGCACCTTGGGCCTGCAAGGTGCCATGAACTGCAATTGCTAACTTTAATGCTCTGCCAATATTGATTTACGTGCCATTTCGACCATTGTACGTTCGTCAATTCCTCGTATGCACAAGCGCTCAATATGTCCAAAACTTCAATTCCAAAGATATCTTCGGCCATCTAGAAAAAGAAACCTTTTCCATGAATTCATCATTCCGGCTCCCAGATTTGCTTTGATTTGTCAAATCGATGCCTGTTCGAATTGGTTAGCTGGTCTTTCTAGGAGGGGATTGGAAAGGACACCAGAAGGAGAGGGGGAAAAGAAAAAAAGGGGGGGCGTAGCAACTACCAGTGAAAGCGTGTGTTTGTTAAAGACTTCTTCCCATATTCATCCTGAAGCACCTTCGCACTGTCTCGAGGCACTTTGACCCGGACACCCTCTAGGCTCGTATCGCGTAACGGAAACAAATCATCCCTCTGGTACTCATGACCGTCTTTGCAGAACAAAATCGGCGCTTGCGGCGGGTCTTGGACATCTGACAGTAGGGGGCGAACATGCACGGCTGTGATGTCGATGTACTTGCCGTTGGAAGTATCGATCCAGCGGCCGTCAATTTTGTTGGCGACATCACGGGTCGACGAAATCGAATGGTGCGGGTTGATATCCAGCAGGTATGTCCTGGGTTTCTCTTCGCCGGCCATGACATACCAGTACTCTGTCATGTTGAAGGGGACAAGATAGGCCAGCGTCTCAGCCGACATTTGCACGTCCAGGTCCGTATCCCAGGGCAGCAGTTTTTGATTCCAATACCAGCCCAGTAAGGCGCCGTGAGCGATCCATGTACCGTCGTCAGCGCCTAGCTGGCTCATGGTTGCCATGTAAGATTTCAGCAGTGCGACCAGCGCCTGCCGCGTTTCGGGGATCCCAGGGGGGTCCTTTGGTGCGAATCTCGGATCGCAATGGCTGATGGCTCCAAATTGTCGCGTGTGATACTTAAAGTCGATTTCGGTGAAGTACTGGTAGGTGCCTGGCATGGGCGGCAGAGGCGCCGGCGTGGGCGAACCAGACTGATGTACCAGGAACAGCAGCAGGGCCACTATTCCCAGCGAACACAGAAGGGCATTTCGGCTCCGTAGAGGCACGAACGCGGGCATAATTTGTGCCGGCAAAGGGGGAAGTCCCCGTCTGGAATGTGAAATATTGTGAATGAAGTGGCTCAGAGTACTGTTGGCCTCTCTCGGTGCCAGGTTCCATGTGTATGATGATGACTAACATATTATGTAATCATGTTTTCTGTGGCCAATCTACGCATGCCATCATGGCTTCAAGCAGTTTTAACAGAAACATGAGAGGGAACACATATTAACATCTTCAAAGATGCCGAAGTATTCTATCTCCATATGCCATAATCCAGACCTTATTGATGCAATGATCTAACTCCATTGGCAGTTGGCACATAATTGGTTCCTCTCCAAAAAGCCTTTGATTGACATGCTATTCTCCTATGTGCTTGCAATGCCGTCATAATTTCCTCGATCAATGACTCGGACGGACTTCGGGGCGTTCAATTGTTTGACGGAGTATCTCAAAGCTCTGGATAGCTTAGATTGCTTTGTCTTTGGTGGTTGGGTGTAGAATACAGCCCCCTGGCGGATAGGACGTAGCAGCCTGATGGTCGTATTGTTGAGCCGGCCGCAGCATTGGGCGTGGAGTTTAGGCCATAAAAATGACACAGGATAAGATTGTAAAACAGGAAATGGTATCTTCGGAACTCACATGTTCTTAAAGCTCCCGACTGGAGTGTAATGAAACTGAAGATTGAGAATACAAAGTTACTGAGGTACCCGATTCTCGGATAGAAGTTTCACCGATCCCGATAGGGTACTGGCCTTGCCAAGCCTCTGCAAGACTTTCTTTCATGTTCCTTTCAGCGTGCCTATGATTCTCCAGATATCTTCAGTATGAAGACGCGCAGGTCCTGATAGACCCAGACCTCGGAATGATCAAACCTAAGCAATCAAACGAGGTTTATATATCTGTTCCATCTTCGACGCTGACGTCTTCGCCCACTTCCGAGTTGGTCATTACAATCGGCTCTTGTACTTTACGATAGCCTCGTTGTCAAAGGCGAGGAATTGTATTCTTCTCCATTTGCCTGATTGACACAAGATATCTTGTCATTTGCTATGTTCCTGAGATTTCTCGCCGACATAGAAACCCCTGACCCTACCCATACTTTGTCTTACTTCTGCAAGGCTGAAAATATTTGATAATAAGCCATGCCTCGCTGCCTTAGCTGGTCCTGCCTCTGCCGTTCTGTTGATTCCAAAAGAGTAGCCTTGGAATACAGGGGTGCTTCTATCTTTATCCCTGCTTCTACCAATGTGCTGTGGCCCACCGGGTTGGACTCCTCCACCAGGGATGCTGATTCTCTCTGCACGCAAGACAGTTAGCTTCAGCATGGAATATGCCAAAATGGAGGTTACTTCTCCCTTTCAAATGCCCGCGATGTGATTGATATCTTCAGAAAGCCTGCTTACATCCTTGGAAGTCCCCACAACCTTACGATGAACATGATTTTTGGACTCAAGGGAGTTGATCTGGCGAATAATTTTGAGCTGATTCGTGGCTTGAGATATTCGGGAAACTTCCGAGGCGATGCTTGTGAGACTGCTATCTTAGGTGTTCGAACAGTGGAAGCGATGTACCACAAGACCGTTCTGCAAGATTGGACAAGAGAGGTTCTGTCTATCCCATGGAATCCTCATGGGAAAGGAACCACCCTCTCCGAGTACAAATACTATCGCAGTTTGACAGCGACCACTCCTTCGAGAATTCCAGCCGTTCGAGTCTCTTGCACACCCGCGCAAAACCTATCCCGGTCTGATTCGAAAGTCAGAGTTCCGTTCCTCGAACCAAATGGCTGCTCAGGCGGCTCACAGATGTCCCAATTTGTTGAATTCGACATGTCCAACAACTCTTCGACCAACAACATACATGCTACCTGGGGCCGATTAGTGGCATGGTGATCGTGACACTGCCTTTCAAGCCGGATTCAGACACGACCGCTGCAATAGGATGCTCAATAGATGCACGTTGGGCAGATGGCAGCGTCGTTACAAGTGATTTGCGGTCGTTCTCAACTTCGTCCAATCTCAATGTCAACTTTCAAGCTCCTGACAACATTGGTCCAGTTATTCCTGGCTCACCTACATCTATCGGTCGTCCGGAGTACTCAGAATTTCGCCCTGTGATTATGAATCCAACGTCGGCCATGGTCGACCTCCGTCAGGATTGGCTCTATGACCAAGGAGCACCTAGAACCAACACATCGCCGTCCGGGTTATCTGGCGGATGGAGCTCGACGAACCTGGACACTTTCCTTGGAGAATTGAGCTTTTGCCAGGGCGACTTATGCGCGGGAACAACAACACAGGCCCAGTCATGGAATGCCGAAGAAGACGGAAGTGTCAATCGGACGGTGGCCTTGGAATGGGCTTTGGCTCTGATAATTGTTGATGCCCTCTCACGTACTGGCAGCGGATATATCGTGGATATCAACGACGGGCCAATCTCTTCCTCTTGGACGATCCGAGGATACGAGAGAGTTCCTGACTTTCAGAAAGAGCTCCTAGGTGGCGGAGATGCTCTAAAGCGTCCTGAAGCCACCACTCCTACGACGGAAGGACGCATCGATATAACTATAGGAGGATACTCGTATCGCGCAAGTTCTTTGACGGACTACCTCTCCATCGCACTGTTCTTGACCCATATAGTTCTGGCATCGTGCCATGTGATCTTCATGGTCGGAAAGGGCCAGTCGTCGTCCGCATGGGACTCGATTTCCGAGCTGCTCGTACTAGCCCAGAATTCTCGACCACCCACAAAGGCGTTGAGAAACACCAACGCCGGTATCCAGCGACTAAACACCTATTCTCAGATTGCCCGACTCTACGTGGTCAAAATCAAACCATCGACCAGTTGCCAACAAAACGAGGATGATGATAATAATAACGTTAGCAATGTCGAGCTCATATTTGATGAAGAAATGGATGACGAAAACCCTGTCGGATCACAGTTTCAGCGAAGAAAGCGTTCGTCACACAACACCCACCACTCCTCCTCCCCCTCTCATTCGACCCAGCTAACATCTAGGGTACGAGAAGATGACGGAAGATTCGTCCCTGTTGTCCCTCCTACACAAGGGCCGAGGAAGGCTCACGTTCCAGATCGTGATCAGGGGGGTTGTAAATGCGCAGAGGCTACTGGTGTCACTCTCGACTACAGTAACATGGAGACGTTGACCAAAGTCCAAGCTGACGTGAAGTATGGAGATCCTCCTCCCTGGACTCCTCAGAAGAGGCGCCCATCTATTGACCGAATGACTATCTAGCGAGACACCACGGAGCTGGGCTCTTATATGCGACTATATTGCTCCAGCATGCGCTCCTTGAACATTACTTAACATGATTCTTGAATGAGAAAAGGAGATGGAGACAAGTCCTCGATGCCAGCCTCAGCCAGATGTGGGATTTTCGGTTCTGGACGAATCTGGGTAAGCAACATCGGCGCTAATACGGAGATCCCAATTTCTGTGCTGCCATTCTCTTCTTTCCTTCAACGAACGAGACTCTTCTCTATCATCCACGGAATTTGGAGAAACATCTCCTTGCCTTAGTGTCTGTGCAGCAACGACGAATGCCGATGAGGAGACGTATAGGCTCATCGAAACGCATGTCACCCATATGAGTTGGGGGTTCCCCCGCGGGGGAGATTTACAGGGGACATGTACATCGGTACCACTTTGAGAGAACCCACCATACATACCACGGACGTTGATATGTCCATGTTGATATTGCTCTTATAGGCTATGAAACGGACATCGGTCACCACACCGTCGGCCATTCTCCGTTTGTCCCCATGTTGAAAGGCAATAAGAGTTCGCTCTTAATCATGGGTTTAGACCCCCGTCTCACGGTCTACCCGTACTTTTGCCTCCTTGCTTGGTCTTCCCAGACGGACTTCTAGGTACAGAAACACCAAAGCCATAATGGAGAAGCCAACCGTCCCTGGGCATGAGCATATTGAGAGTGGCAGCCTCGAATTGAAGACACCTCTAGATACCAATGCCAGCTCCAGCGAGTCCATGTATAACGGTGAACTTGAGAAACGCAACAAACAACTCAATCGACGGCTCGACCTCCGCATCCTGCCGCTATGCTGCTGGGTGTATCTTCTCAACTTCCTTGATCGAGGCAACATCGGCAATTCGAAAGTGCTCAACGAAGAAACGGGCGATGACCTTCTTCAGAGAACACACATGACTGCCGACGGATATGCACTCACGGTGACACTGTTTTCGCTGGCATACGCCCTTTTCGAAGTGCCCTCGAACTGGGTCATGAAACACTATATACGTCCATCTCTGTGGCTTGGGATCCTTCTCTTCTGCTGGGGCGCTCTCACCGTTGGATTTGCCGGCGTTCAGAATTACGCCACCGTCGTTGCCTTACGATTTCTCATTGGAGCATTTGAGGCGGGCTTTTTCCCTGGTAAAGAACCAAGCCATAGCAGCCAAACCCCACACGCAAAGAAATAAGCCCGACTAATCGATCTATCCATAATACAGGCATCGTTTACTTTATCACGATCTGGTACCGGTACAATGAGCGCGCAGTCCGAATTGCTTGCGTCGTTGCCTTTTGTAATCTCGCCGGTGCCTTTGGTGGCGCTATTGCCTACGGCGTCGGCCACATCAACGGAACAGCCGGGTTAGAAGGGTTTCGCTGGCTCTTCATCATCGAAGGCATCATCACGGTTCTCAGCTCCCTGCTTCTTTTCGTCTGTCTGCCGGACTATCCGGCGCGGGCCCAATGGCTGAGTGACGACGACAAGCAGTTCGCCGTGTATCGACTGAGGGAACGAGGAGGCGGCTACAATCAAGACCATGCGAGTCGTCAAGAGGTCCTACAGACCTTCTTCTCCCCGCGAATGCTGGCCCATTACATCGCCTACGTGAGTCTACTGCGGCCATGTGTCCTCTGACTTTTACTGACCGTGGGAGATAGATCGCCGACGTTGTCCCTCAAGGCTCATTCACCTTTTTCACGCCCACCATCGTCACTGGTCTCGGATACAAGTCGATCCACGCGCAGCTCCTGACCGTGCCACCCTGGGTCATTGGCTTTTTTGTGGCCATCACCCTCTCATACTCCGCCGATCATTTCAACGCCCGTGGCTTGCATATCACAGTGGCGTCCGTCGTCGGTGGTGTCGGCTGGTTAAGTGCAGGACTCCTCCCTCATGACGCCTACGTGAAGCGGTACGGCTGTCTGTGTCTTGCGGCTTGCGGCGCCTTTCCCTGTGCTCCCTCCATGACCAACTGGGTAACTTGCAACACGCCTAGCTTCCTTACCATCCCATTTGCGATCGCTCTGCACAACTCCAGTGCTGGTATTGGGCAGATCATTGCACAGTGGATCTGGAAGGCTGATGAGGCTGAAAACGGCTATCCAACAGGCAACTTTACATGCGCGGCTTGCAGCTTTTTTGTAGCTGCTGTGGCCGCAAGTTTGAGACTGTGGTATGGAAGGATGAATCGGATTGGTGCACTAGATGCAAGAGGAGAGAAGAGGACATGGTCTTACTAGGCTGGCTTGAGCAATGGGCTCTTCCTGCTTCTACCGGTATCGACGGAAAGGCTGGTCGGGCCATCGAACCTGTACCACCGGCCCCGGAAATCGCATTCAAATATTTATGGAGGTGGGAGCGCATGTTCCAGATAAGATTAACTGATCGGGGAAAAAAAAATTAAAGATTCCTTTTCTATCTTTTGTTTTCATGACAAGATGGTATGTACCCCAAAGATGATGATAGGTTAGCGGCGAACCGAGATGTACATCTAGATAGCCAACCAAGAAACTTTGAATCGTCCCAAAAGCCGACTCGTACTTCCACTTCTGGTTCCAGTTAGCCACTCCGCCTATTATCTGTGTACGTGCACGAGTGTGTTCTGGTCGGTTTACGAAGTCGCAAAATTCAACCCACCACTCTTGACCCTCAATTTCTTGCCAAATATCTGCAAAAATACAATTAAAAGGAACGCAAACGCGCAAATCGCCGCCTGGATCCCAAAACTCACTTTTGTCCCCTGCGCTTGCGCCCAAGTGACCTGGAAATAACTGATGATGAACCCGCCCGTGGTGCGGCAGAAGTTGATCCAGGCGGCGGTCTCGCCTGATGCCTCAGGGTAGCTGTCGAGGTTATACGCGTTGAGGCCGACGGTGGTGATCATGATGCCGAACACGTAGAGGCCCCAGAAGAGGGAGGTGAGCATGTAATGGTATGCGTCTTCAAGGGCGAAGCCAAGGCCGACAAGGCCCGCGAGCATAAAGGGCGTGGACACCCACATGGCGCGCAGGCGGACTTCGGGTTCGAAATGGCCGTGATGTCGCGTGATGTAGGAAGTCGCGAGGAAGTCGTGGAGCCAGTGCCCGCAGATCTCGCCGAGGAGGGCGGCTACGATGGGCGTGAAGTAGAAGTAGCCGATTTGTTTGGGGCCGAAGTTGTACAGGGGGGTCAGGAAGATGGAGAGAGTCGTGTTGATGCCGACAACCCAGGCGAAAGTCAGGAGGTAGTAGAAGCAGGAGATGAAGACGGTAGGTTTGAGCACGACTTTAATGGGGCGCATGAGGGCTTGGGGAAGTGTGTTGCGCAGGTGTCGCGATTTATATTGAGCGATACCGACGAGGCGCGAAAAGTGGCTGCCTCGAGATGGTTGGTCGGATTGTGGGATGCGACGGTCGTAGTAGGTTTCTTCGACGAAGAGGATGGTGAGGACGAGGCAGAGAGATGTCTAAAGCAAATCTGGTGTTAGCTGGGCGCGTGACATCGTTGGATAAGGGGTTTCGGGTAAGGGGGGAAGGAGAAAACAATAAGGGGAAGAGACATACCTCTGCAACATAGACCCAGAAAGGAACTTGCCAGGGTTGTGTACTGATGATAAACGCAGCGAATAGTGGGCCGAAGTACGGTGACAAAATAATGAATGCCGCCCATATATTGATCTTCCTCGCTCTCTCGTGGAAGAAGAACATGTCGTAGATGAACATCAGGCCTCCTCCTTGGGAAACGGTGCTGAAGAAACCATTCAGGATCCGAGCGGCCATGAACGATTCAAAGGTCTGAGCTGCAGCGCACCAGATAGCGGTCGCGGCCGCAAGGACCAGGAAGTAGAAAAGCACAGGAAGACGGCCAAAATAGGCAGAGAGAGCGACCACGACGACACCGCCAGCGCCGAGCATGAAGACGTTGCCGACTTGCGAATGATTGACGTGATCGGGAGTCATGTTCCAGATCTCAGCTTGAGGAATCAATGTGACGGCTCCGGTTGCGCTTCCATAATCGGGGAGAAATGCCGACATGGAGATGATGATAAGAATGAGATGTTTCTTGAACTGGCTCCAATTGAGAGGGTCATTCGGGTCAGATGAGGGCTGAGGTAGCAGGATCGTGTGGCCATCTCGTGCTCGTTTGAGGTTGGCATGTTCAGGATCGCTGGCATCAATGACATAGCCTTCGAGATTCTTGAACTCGTGAAGCTCAGTGACGTTCTCTACGGCCGCGGGCTCGCCGAGTTCTTTGTCTTCCGTCATGATGAAAGGAGGTGTTTAAATAAACGGATCAGCTGAATTGAAATGGCTCTGATTTTGCCCCCGAAACTGAGACACAATGAAAGAATGGGGAGATGAATGGAAGTTGAACTTGCCTAATGCATGAGACGCGGACTCTCTTATTAAAAACTGATCCATCTTGTAGAATAAGAGTCTCACCCCGGGTCCAGCCCATTGAAAGGCTCCACGAGGACTATCAAAAACGGAGAATTCACTGCCTGTCTCCAGAAATGCCCCGGATGAAAGTGTCTTCGGATAATACCCCAACTTCCCCCCTTTCTTCTAGGGTCGAATAGCCTGTGGGGAATGTCGGTCCAGAATCAAGCGAGGATTCTCTGGTCTCATTGGCCATCAACAATGCTGTCTCCGGCTACTAGGCCCTCGGCAAAGGGTACGAGGCTGGCCAGGGTCGGCACCCGAAGCCTTTGGGCCCACAAACCCCCATTGTCTGCTTGTGTAATGTTTATCAAGCACTCGGGGCGTGTGAGGCTTAACTGTCACCCACCCACGAAATTGAGTTTTTGGCATTCGCTTATTCGGATTTCTCATTGATGGAATTGCCAGGTGAGATATCCATTCCTCCCCGGAATGCTCCCCCAACGAAGGTAGTGAACAGATCTAGAAATCGGCGCCCAAGAATCTCATTCGGCCAGAAAGACATGCATTCATTTTCTCTTTTCCGGGGCAGGAAATTGTCGGGATGGCAGCCCAGGTCTGTGCCATTAGCATGGAATGGTCGTAAGAGACGGCCTGAGATAGCACGCCGAAGGGCTCAAATATTTGCGTCATCAACTGCTAGCTTGTCGGCTATTCAGAAGCGACTTTCCCGTTCCCGAAGTATGCGAAAAGTTGGACCCGGGTCGTGTACCAAACCCATTTCCCTTGATAGGTTTGGGAAGATGGGGCGTTGACAAAGCCTTCATGTCTGCTGCGTCATGCAACATCGTAATGATATTGTGTTTTTTTTTCCCCTCTTCCCAGTCAAGAAATGAACACTTGAAAATGAGCTATCGGCAGTTTCAAACCTTTTCAGTGGCCTGCATTATCCGAACTCTCAACATGGGACCTATCAAGAAGACGTGGAATGAGTCTTGCTCAAGATTTTTCTGCTGTCGACATCAGCGTGTGGCATGGCTCCATAGATAACTTTCAACGTTGACTCACCTCGTTGTATTCGAAGTCCACGCTGCACTGCTAGAAGACACCGCCCAAAAACAGCCACATGATATGGTTCTTCATCAATTCGATTCCAAAGTATATAAAATACTCAAAGGTACCGAAGTACGAGGAGCCTCCAGATGTTGCCCTGAAGTCTGCGGGACACAATGACTTCCACCATTTCCCACCTAGAGGACGGCAAGGCCAAAATATTCGCGAACAGACCTCTCATCCGTGGCGCCAGAGCTGAAGAATCAATACTTCTTCACACAGCGTTCATGAACCCCGAAGTGATGCGATACCTGTAACGACCCCAACTCAGTCTCATCTCCACTCGCACAGAACTCAAAGGAGCACAAATCCACACATCACTGAATCGCAAAGAAGAGAGTGGATTGATAAAATGATTCAAGCTCTCAAACGGTGTGACGGACTTCATCATCTGTCGCAAACCGGACTTCGTTCCCATCGGCAAATTCAGCGTCCGCCGAGACTAAGAGATTGGATTTGTTACTCGCACGAGAATATTTGGGGCTCGGGTTCTCGCGCAGGAGGCGCTGGGGACAGTGATTCTGTATTCCTTCCAGGAAAAGGGGGATGAATGAGATCACTGCGAATATAGGGTTGCTCAGGAAACTGGGATTTGAAGTGTATAATATTAAGAAGACGTGAGTGGTCGGTAGGAAGTAGGTGAGGAGTATGCATTTGATCCTTACCAGGGAAGTATGGAAGGCGTAACATGGAAGTTGTTGGAATAAAATTTTGGCTTTGGATTCGTTGAAGACGGCTTCAAACCTTGGGGGGCGAGGGATGTCGATGGTTGCATCATCTCCTTTTGACCTTTTGAGGTACTGTGAGCTCGGCCTGGTTTCGTTGACTTGTTGAAGCATCGAGCCGATACCGGACAAAATGGAAGGGAAGGAAACGCCGGTACCTATAAAGTTTACGTTCCTTTGCTGCCGCGTCTTTTTGTTGATCTATCACACTAGTCTCGCGTGTCCATCAGAAGGAAGAGTACTTAGCCTCAATGACAAGGAGATGCAGGTCCACTGGTTGATCTTGCCCAATCCTCCTACGAAAGTTTGGAGTCCTTCGAGTCCAGATGATGGACGTACGTGGATAGATCTAGTCACAGTCAGAAATGTTCAAGAACGGGTTTATATGTGCAGAGCGCGCAGATGTTCATCAACAGGCCCCGCTAATGCAGCTCGAGCGACATCCCTTTGTACCGCAGCCTCGTGCGCCAAGCCTTCGAGACAAAGAGGCTCAGAACCTGCCTGAATTCGAAATCACTCGAAGCAGGGAGGCACGAAAGATCCACAAAGAGGGAATGATTGGAACACAAAGGTTTTGCACCCAAGGATGTTCGCACCTTCCTTTCATGGGTTGTAAAATGTTGCCCAACTGAGACCAGAAGAATGCTGAGTGTCGATGACAACAGCATCCACAGTCCATTCCACAAGCCCAATAAGTTGCAGAGTCCGGAAATAAGGGCGGTCTGTCTGGCTTCACATTTTCCAGGACAGAAGCACCAGGTTGCGATCCAAGAGAGGAAAGAATTGTGGATCTCCATAATTTTCTCGTCCCGTTGTACGAGTGTTCCGAGGGGAGAATAGTCCAGTCCTTGGTCGATTTGGAGAACCATGAGCACCACTGGCAACTTCATGTATAATCATGTCTCCAGGGGAGAAAAGTGGATCGCTGCATAAACTCCGTTGTGACGTTTCGCAACACATTCGCACCGTCACTACCTGTGGAGAGTCCCAACACAAGCAAGGCATCTCTGGGTCGCCGTCTCTGAACTTCGGTCTCTGTTCTTCGCTTTATCCGCAGACTGATGCCATAGTCTTCGACAATGAAACACAGTTCCACCCGTGTAGTGACTGGGCCAGGTAGGGAGATCGATTCCAAAGCTCTCAGAATCAACTTCAGTCTTTCGATATCACGGAAAAGTGCCTTGAACTCCTCGCAGGCGTCAGATTTGAGAAACTAACGTTAAAATGCGATCACCGACCTGACAAATAGCAATAACACTGGCAAAGATCCGAGAGGTCCCATAGCTTCAGATCATGATGCAACAAACAGTCTATGTTGATTGAAGCTCGCATAGACAAAACATCCATGAGGTGCATCGATGAGACGGGGTGGATAAGCTGTCAGCCAACCTCAGCCAGCATCAGCCACCACAGCCTTGTTGACGGCCGATGTGGACAACCGGCCACTGGTGTCTTACGCATGTTCCTGTCGTGAATCGGGCCATAAAAATAACACTTCTTCGAGCTCTGTGTGCACGACACGACATTCTGTTTGTGACCCATCTCGGTCTTCGACGACGGTGATTGATGGCGAGAACATGAACCCATTCAATATGATGGGACATCGGTATGTGAAGCCGATGGTAAAAATCGAAGGGCGCAAGACAGGAAGAGTCTCACCGGCCAAGAATATGATATGTCAAGCCTTGTTCAGACAGCCGAATCAATAGGAACAAATATCCTCATGCTGCATGGCAAGAATTCCCATTGGGTGGGAAAGTGCAGCCGAGCAGCACCAAACTGCGCTTGTAGCACTTTTACTTCTCTGAAACGCAGCCCTGGAGCTCATCCACTGTACCTCCAACAAAAGAATTCTCTCAGCTTCAAACCACCTCTTCAACGGCATAGCGTACCTTGAATTTCCTTTCCTCCACGATCATGGCGATATCTCAAGAAACTTTCCAATCCTCCGGTCGCACACCTCTGCGAGAATACGGTCCCCAACCAACATATAGCACATATAAATCACCTTACGGACCCAAGTATGTCTGTTCATCTCCTTCTAGTCCTCGATCTTTCCCCGGGTCCTGCCCTCGAGAAGCTCTCCTCTTCATACCTTCCCCTTTGCATGTCCCCTGAGACTACTGCTGACTCTTTCCGCGTGCGCCATTGCAGACTCAAGCACGTTCCAAACTTCTGGGGCCTGACGCTCGGCAAGACGATTCGTTACGGATACCTAGCCTCAGGCTTCGGCGTGGCCACGGGGGTTTTTGCACTATTTTTCTTCGGCGAGGTGCCCAGGGTGCGCAAGGATATTTTGTCCAAGATCCCCGTCATTGGCGATTACTGGGTCAGGGAGGTTTCACCGGAGGATAATCCGTTCTAAACATTTGAAAGGGTGGAGTGGAATTTGCAGGATGAGGATATTTGGTGTCGAAAAAGAGAGGAAATGAACTTGGACAGTCTTGGAGTGTGAACCTGACTGGGGCGGGAGATTTGTACATATTATCAGGAAGTGCGGTAGCGAGAGCGAAAGGATGGGGAGGGATTGAGAAAGAGAGTCCCAAAAACACCACACAGATGCAATACCACTGATAGAAAGAATTATTTCTACCAAACTACGGATCTGGCACCACTTTTCTCTCGCACATAGCGATGGGTGTGGCTGTTCACAAAGCTTCGCGTCATGATAGCTACGGACAGGTCTTCTTTGCATTTTTCTCGCGAAGCTTGGGGCGACAATATGATACTCCAAAAACAACCAAATCCGCGTCTCCTACAACCTTGGCCTATAATACGCCGTGGGAAATTCTCGAGGTGAGCTTCATGCATAATGCATACGCAACCCAACACTCAAGCAAAGAAAGAGCCCGAAAAAGAGAAACATGATGTTCATGCTCAGGTTTAGTCGTGGTCCTTTTGTTGATTGGTGCTATCCTATATACAGACACTTTCCCTTGGAACTCGCTCTTCCCACTGTCCGATGTGAATGAATTATATATTTACACTCTATCACCTCTTTCAAAATAGACCCATTGGCCGGTCGGAATCTTCTCCTCGAGCTCTTCCCACCTGTAACTCGTCAGTGTCCCGTGGGGGAATAGCAACAACAGCAGAGGACACATACACTTGATACCTCAACATCTCATCCACGAGTCCCAATTCCCCTTCAGCGACCTGCAGGACTTCTTCAATCAGTCCGGCCCCAATTTTCTTCTCAATTTCATCGACCCTGCATTGGCGCATCAGCAAACCCATCCCACCCTTTATGCCCGGTGAATTGACATCGGAATAGGTATTGACATACTGGGCCTTGGTCAGTGGCGGCTCGACCTCCAAATCATCCACAGTCGGCAATTTCCCTTCTTTATCCTCCTGATCCATCTTTTTCACCTCCTCATTGACAGCAGCAGCCTTCCTCTCTGCCTCTTCCATCGAATTCAACCCCCCTTCGGTCTTCACATCTTGCCTTCCAACGACTCCATCCCACGTCTCTACAGGCTCAACATGTAATTTTTCACTGCTCAGCGATCCATCTTCATTCAGCAGCTTACTGTACGCAGAGGGATTCGCCTCGATTTGCTTGTGGACTCGTTCCAGCCATGCGTCATAGCCTTCGGGCTTCGTCGACTCGATGATCTCTAGACGGTGTTTTGTGAGCGCTTCGGCGGATTGGCGGTACACGGAGCTTTTGGGCAGTTGGGCGAGTTTGGTCAGCGTTTGTCGGTACGTGTAGATGAGGGCTGGGCGGGGGGAGGGGTGTGTTGAGAGGCCTGTGAGGCCGGTAGGCACGTTGGGTTCGAGGTATTTGGAGGCCGACTTGACGGTCGCGAAGAGGCGCGAGGTCGCCCGCATGGTGGATGGTGGAGAAACAATACAGTTGTCTTAAGAAAGGTATGCCTCTTAGCATGTTCACTGCTCGAAGCTTCAAAGATTGACGTCGAGCATGCATTGGGCTTGGCAAAGCTTGCGCGCTTTAGCGAGCCTACCCAGGTTATCATTGCTCTCACCTCACTACACCTGTCTATCATTCAAGCTCACAGTTGTAGCCTGACGTATTTGTTGTCCTTCCCGTTCCTCTTGGATCCATTAGGTGGGATCCTTCAAAAACAGGGTCCAAAGCAATGTCCTTTGACGAACCTAAAGGATTGCTTTCAAAGAGCAAGGGATATGGATATTCTCACTAATGTTCCTCCCAGCAACCCATACCCGATTCCTCAAGGAAGCTCCTGCTGATTCGCCATTGGGTGTGTCTGACTCCCTTTTCCCCATTTCGGCACTCTACCAGAAATCTACGGAACAAACATTGAGCCGGGACTGCTCGCCAGGATCAGCCCCCCATTCTAGTGTCTGAGCGGCACGGCTCAAGCGAACAGAAGCGTATGTCTGTAGGCAATGGCCATGACTGGTGCCGTAAGTGTCTCTTGCTGGGAGATTCGATGAGTTGGACTGCTTCTGCATGAGGATACTTCCGCTGCAGATGCGAGTTTGGAGCCGGCATTTCTTTCACGAGCCATCTGTCGCATGTAATGCGAAGTCCCTGGCAAGGAGTTTCCCAATTATCATATGCCAAGGAGCTGCCAACTTTGGAAGATGCCCAAATTTGGGCGCTCGAATAGTGGGGTCCTCCAGCCTTTCAACCCAAGCTAGATGCTGAAGACCCTGCTTGAGTTGATCCTTAAGCCACTGTAAGATAGATTTGGGAGGAGACGTGACATTGCAACGATCAATGCCCCATTTTTGGTGGTGGCTTTTCCTTCCAGCTTCCACTAGACCCGTATATCTTGGACCGAAATCTGGCGAGATAGTACCATCATCCTGACGACCTTGCCAGGTATTTCTTCCTTTCTTATTCTTGCGCTTTTCCTCCGTCATTTGTTCTAGCATCTGATCCACCTGATGAGACTGAGTGGGGTTGTGAGAAAGGAAGAGCAGTTCTTCAGGGTCACCCGGAAGGCAAAAAGCCACGTCGTAGATGTTCCTGCATTGTAGTTGAAGATCTTGAATCTTTTAATTCGAGCGCGACTGTAGTAGTCATAATCTGCTGGATACCACGGAATTAGCAAGTCCCAAGCTCCAGTTTCGGTAACGGCAAGGACATTGACATGACTTGGTCAGTCGTACCGAAAATGTCCAACTTTGGCCCATGATTGATTGCGAACATCTGGTGGAAAGAGTCATCGAGAAGGATTCCGCAGAAAGACAGGGTGCGAAATACATGAGATTCGAAGGGAAAACTCAGACACACTTTACCAGGTTCCTGGGCCTCCACCCAAACACAAAGTGAGAGGTTCGTATGCCCATCTCAGCGAATATGCATCATGAACCAAGTCCCGTCCGTTGCATGCCTCTTGCTTTGGACCTGGCAAGTCCTTGGCCACCACTTCTGCCCAAGAACCTCCCGTAAGCTTGGGACGTGTGAACTTGTCGCACGGCGACCATTGGTACATACCTGTCAGCAATTGTGGAATCTGGTACCGAGACACATCGAATACACCTACAGATATTGTATATCGTAGGTTGGTGAAACACAGCAAAAGCCACGTTCAGTTAGTGCCGCCATTGGCTGCGCCAGTCCCCCATTGCTGCGAGGAGGCGATTCGGCTGAATGTTAGGCCGAAGTGCTCTGTGTACATCGAGGAAGGATAAGGTAATGCCGAAGCTTTTGTTTCGAAGAGCTTGGGATCATAATTTATTGTAGGAGACCCAATATTATCGGCGAGACATCTCTGCAGCGTTTTCACAGCCCAATCCCCGTACAAAATCGCTTCCATAAGTGCTCAAATCATCCGTGCCCTGCTCAAGCTGCTGTATGACAGTCATATTTGTCGGATCGCAAGACGCCGCCAGACGAGACAAAACATTACGGGAGTCCAACTTTCACAATCATAAGAGGTTCGGGGAAAAATTGATCTTCTGAAGGGGTGTATCGTAGCAGATAATGCAATTAGTGCGCCAACTGCCTTGATACAAGACACTTATTCACCAAACAATCTTCTTACTCGCCGCAACACGCTGTCCTTCTCTGGATCATAAGGATGATCTTTGCTCGGGATTTCCAGAACTGCGGGGAAAGCTTCCTGGAATTTGTCCACAGTATCCCGTATTTGTTCCGCAATCTGTTATCTCATAAGCCCTGATCTTGTACAACCCCTCTCTCTCTCTGTGATCTTGCTTGGAGTCGTGGGCTTTGATGGAAGAAACGTACATGTTGGTTGATTAACACGATGCCAATATCTTTGCGCTCCTTGGTAAATCGATTGAAGGTTTGCTCGATTTGAGACTTCTCCGTCTTCGCATCGCACACAAGGAAATTCTTCTGGGAGTCGGGGGGTTCTGTAACATGTCCAATGCCAGCTAGCAAAAGGCCTGTGACTGAGCTGAGAGATATAGGTTAGTCCAATCTCGAGTTCTGACCTGCAACCGGGTTAAACTTACTCTTCATCTCCGATCACAGCGATGAATTGCCGGTCCTAAAGAGGCACAAGTCAATCTTCTGGCATGCCCGTCGAGAGAGAAGAATGGATGTACCTTGTAGGCTGACGCTGGCGCAGCCATTATTACGAGCTTAACTTGGCCTCTGGCGTGGATGAGAGGTAGAGGCCGACAAGCTTCAAGAGAATTGCTACTCCGTCATCGCAACCTGACCGCCGTCTGAAAGGCTCAGCAGACAAGACGTGATATGCACTCGAGCTGGAAGAGATGGAATTGGGAGGTTAGATGGAGGTTAATGAAGGTACCTGCATTGGCGGGGATGTCATACCCAGGATCAACTTACTGATTGGCTGTCGCAGGTTCCGTCATTGTTTATCCGTTCCCATTTCACAATTGACCACAATTCTTCACGCGGCCTCTCCTCAAGTCCTAGAGGGGGAGATGTCTGTGTCAGACTATCTCAGAAATACTCAGCGTATATTATGCCTAAGTTCGTAAGGCGTCAACCGCTCATTGAGCGCATCAAAGCCTACCTCAATCCCTACGACTTTCTCCTCTGGCTCTCTGAAGAGCTCGAATCAAATGGCTGGGACCAACTTGAAAAAGAGTGGGCGATGCCCGTCGGTATCGGATTGAATTTGGTGTTCCTCGTGGCTCGTGCAAACTCAAAGACTGCATCGCGAGGCTATGATGATGTTTTTGGGGATGTTCCCGGCGTGGCATGGACAACGTGGCTAGTATGGCACAATTTGAACAGTGAAAGTCACCTAACTGACATCCCAGGCCGCCTTCATCGTTCATTTCTTGACCTTGGTATGCCTCGTCAATGCTGTGTACACGTTTGGACGACGGAAACATTACCGTTTATTCGAAAACTCAGTCGACACTGTCCCCAGTACACCGTCCGCGAAACGAGTCCGAGTCGATTCCTCTCCCGTATCCTCCTCTCCTTTACGATTCTTTTCCAGCATTCTCGGAACCGATACTGCCCAATCAAGAGCACATCCTGATCCCACAAGAGATGTTTGGGAGGTTGCAGTCTGGGATCCTTTACCTATCTCACTCCGCCTATTCTGTTACTTCAGTCCTGGACATGTCCTAATTTACTGGCTCTTTTTCCCCACACTGTCTTCAGATCCTCGACCCAGTGTCACGATTGTGACCGCTTTATTCCTGGCGCTGATTCTCTCTCTGCAACTCACTTTCCTCCAATCAAGATATTCGACACAAAGCAAAGACACGGCATTCATTTCAAAAGAAGTCTTGCATGAGTACGATACCAAATATGTCAGACCAAGGACACAGCCACTGTATAGGGATGTGGGTACACAATTTAGTGAACATGCTTCCTACTCTTCTGCTCGTGACGAACAGTACAACAAGGTTGAAGTTTACACACCAATGGTAGTCATTAACCGTGGCTTCAAAACAAACCCGAATCCAAATTATTCCCAATATACCGACCCGGATGGTGTGGCAGCAGGCTCCAACAACCTACGGCAGCGCTTGACCACCCCGGATTTCCGATCCCCTCCACCAAACCACCAGCCTGCCGTGGGAATGAGACCATTGGCCGCTATTCGCCAACCAAATTTTCGACCGACTTCTTCTGGTGGTGATGGTGGTAGCCTGGGTGTTTATTCTCATGCTGCATCTCCTCTGAGGAAGAGTGCATCCGCCAACTTCCGACGAGATCGCGCGACTCTGAGTCCCGAAAAGAGCTCGACAAGTCCAGATAAAAGAATGAGTGTCCCTGCAGGGAGCATCCACCCTCTTGCCGCACCTCAAAGATGGGATCCCTTGAGACCTGATAGACACCGAAGGGAGAGCGGTCGTTTCTAGGCGAAGTATCGAATAGTACGAGATACTCTCATGTTTGACCAATGGCTGTAAAGACGGCAATTGAATGTCCCACTGCGGAGAGTCGTTTCCGGTCGTCCCTTTCCTTATCTCAGCACTGATCATGACCAGCTTCAAAATATCGCCCAGACCGGGTAACTTGCTCTCAAAATACCAATACATCGTGGGGCGTTGTCCTCGACCACCTTGTTCCTGCACAGACCACTATATGCCCCTTCCTTCAATCGCATATCATAGCAACCACCTGTTCTTCTGCGATGGCATTAACATCTTCAGAATTCTTGGGTTCCTCCTTCCCTTCAATCGCTCATCGAAGAAGTCGTGAAATCTCATCCTCATCCAATTCACATCGTGGCTCTGTGCAGCGAAGAGAGATTTACCGAGGACAGCCTTATGGCAGTTCTCGGAGTGAGCAGTTGTTAAATCACACCACCAAACTGAACCGAGATGAATCCGTATCGACCCCGGGTTTATTGAAATATTTCCATCAGCGGAGAAAATAAGACCACCCAAGGACGGGTCACATCTGAAGCCTAGGAAGTCGATTTCAGCAAGGAGAATCAAGAGAAAATTTTACCTGTTGATTGTAAAACGCTTTCTTCCACACCCTCACAGGAAAAAAGGGAGGTGGGATCCCTTGTCCATCGCCTCGGAACAATCTAGTCGGAGGACTACCATCTTTGTTGGTAACGGACCACCAGTCTGGTCGTCATCACGCAAACAAAAGATCATACTACAACACCGAAGCGCGCGCACGGTAGAAGCCCGACCTACTCGAACATGTGCCGACCAGTCAACAGAGATGATTACCTACTCGTCCGTGGTGCAAATCCAAGAACCGGAGTTGTTACACCAGGATCACGCAGTTCCAGTAGCCCTATTGATCGAGGTGAAATAAATCGGACACAAGGTCCCGAGCGACAAAGTCGATGGCGTCAGAGAGGTGACCAGTGGATCAGTTTGGACTTAGGTCTACCTACACCTTCATCAACTCCTCCTTCAGATAAATTGCTAGAGCCCTTTCCACAACGTCTGCGAACACCATCTAGACTTACAGATACCAACAATGGCCCCTCGAGCGATGAGAGAGAAAGGCCCTCAACCAGACATCTTCGAATGCAAAATCCGGTCTCTATCATCCCCCCACGAGGGACGACTGCAACGTCCCACCTTCGCCAACATTCAGATGGCATAGGTATCTACCCAGAAATGCTCCACGATGATGTGAGACCGCCACCTCCGCTTAATACAATAAAAGGAGATAGGATGATACGACGAAAGCCTGTGGGAAGTCCCCCAAGCAAAGGCGCTGGCAGTCAAGAGTCTCAAAGATATCAGGGAACAAATGAAAGTACGGGCACAGTTTTAAAGAGTCCTCGAATAAACTCCTCGGCACCCGATCCTCCCAATATGCGTTCCTTCGTATCCAACGGCACGGACAAAGCATTACCTACGCTCCCTAGTGAGCCAACATCTCCCCCCCTGAACAAGAATCAAATCAATGCCACGGATACCTCATTTTTAGGGTCAACTCTGCCAGGCAGGCTAGTCGACTCCCCAAATTCGAAAATCTCCAACATTTCTAGCCATCCCATGATCGAAAAAGAACTACCATGTCTGCCGACGGACGACGGCCAATCCCCGTTGTACCATGACTCGACGCCTCTCCCTCTAACAGCAAGGGAGGAAGAAAAGTCGAACAATATGCAAGACTTGCCCAAATTCCAGACCATAACTCTCCAGGACCCGAGAGGAGGGGATCCCAGCTACCCATTCGTCCGTACCGCCAGGCCTATGCACACGTATCCTCCTACAGCCAGGGACAATATACCTCGAGGAGAAAGAGCAATGCCAATCCCAGTGTACGACAACCCTCCGAAGCACCTCTCACCATTGATGAGGATGACAGCTCCAAAGGCAAGGGGATCACGGTCAATTCCCCCTCCAGGGATGAACAGGTTCAGGGGAGATTTGAACCCATCGTCGAATATTGCCATCGTTCCCACAAACATATCCATGAACAGATCAGGGATCCCAAGGCCATTTCGCCCCAGTCCGCGACCCGATCCGTGGATGATGAATCGTGGCCGACATAGTTTACCTCCAAGACCACCTCCACCAACTATTTCAGACACTTTCATGAACGCCGGCATGAACATGAATACCGATATGATGATGTCCATCCCGCTACCAAGAATCAGACCAAGAGGAATGTCCCGTCCTCAGATGCCAATGAGAGCAGAGGGGATGAACGGCGTACCCAGGGCAGAACCCAACCACAATCGACCAAAAATGGTGGGAATGGAGTCCCCCGCAGTTTGGAGACCACCAGAAATCGAGACGTCAAGGATAGATCACGTCGAGCAAGAACAAAACCCCGTTCCACCACCCTTGAAAACACGGGTGCCAGAAATTCACGAGCCGTTGATACCGAACGAGGTTCAGACAAGCCAAACGAAGGACCGAACGAAGGAAGAAACGGGCGGCTCTAGCCTGATGAGGAAATGCAGCCATTGTCAGCATGAATTCACCGACGTCCAGCCACGCAATACAGATAGTGTCATCTGTACGTCCGTCCAGCTGAGGGACGACGCCGAAGCAAGTCAGGGTACGAAACGACTACATCCGGCATGTATATCTCATCCAGGATTGCCAGAGGAGAGGACTCCTCCAGCAAATGATGAGGCAGACTTAAAAGCGCCGACAAGTTCGCTCAAGAATAACGATGTTGATGATCGCGACCACACAAATTGCTACCCTGTTTGTTGCAAGGATGAAGACTGCCATGAGGGCTGTCTAGGACATTGCAGTCCCGGCGCTACTCCTAGTCCAGCCAAGCGCATTTGGGGTGCGGCCTATAGTCCCAGCAGTGCCAGCGAAGTTGAGGGATGGGAAGGTTCCAATAGCTCGCAAAGCAATGAGAAGAGCAAAAGCAAAGGATTTGCGTTTGTCAGGTCGGCATTGAAAAGGTCGTCGAAGAAGGAATCTCCGAAATCCAGCCAGGAATTTAGCTCAAAGGCGGAAAAACTCACACCAGCCACTGGCACACCCACTGAATTATCTGCTCACCCGCAAACTCCAGCAACCTCAAAGAGGAACGATCAAACCGCACAACTAAACGGGGCTCCAGCTGCAAGTCTAACTAATATGGAATCAACAAAACGGAAAACCTCATCCCACGGTTTCCATAAGAGACAGGGGAGTTCGAGCTCACCTGTTACCGGTGTGGGGGTATCAAGCCAAAAATCGAGCGACGATCAAAGTGATCAAGCTGCAAGTGGATCTCGACTTAGTGATATAACTCCAGCAGGACCAGCGACTACTTGTTCTGGAAGGTCAGAAAGTCGGAATCTCAGTGACACAAGCGATGCTACTTCAGAACCACAGGTTCCCGGACCAGGAGCTCTCGGCGGCGGCGTAATAGCTGAAGTGGTACTGGTGCCTTTCGAAGCTACCAAGATGTGGATTCGGAATCATCCGCAGGTGATAAAAATAGGCTGGGAAATCTTGGAGAGAGGCTGGCAGATGGGCCAAGTCATAGGCGCCACGGGCTGGAGACTTTGGACCGTTGTCTTTGTCTACTCTAAGACTGGCAAGTTGGCCAAGGGTGAAACGGCGGGAGGATTCGTGATTGATTGTGCCCGAAGTGCCTTGTATCTGTTGGTGTTTGCAGCTGTCAGCGTCTTTATCATTCGAGTCCTACGAATTCTCTTGGACATTGCGAGGGCTATTGGGTGGTTGTTCAGGGCGATTTTCTGGGTCTTAAAGCATGTGGGAGGATATGGGATTGTGAAGTGAAGGGACAGGATTAGAATGTTTGTGCTGAGAAGGTGCCAATGGCGATGGTATCATGAGGCAGGTAGATAGAAATGACATCAAGTTATTCTTATTTAATATAATGAACAAGCAAGTATAATTTCGTTCTCTTGTATGCCCAAGGCTGAAAAGTGTACAGGGGAAGCCTCTCACGTGTCCGACGTATGATTGGCGGAATCTCAATGATATCAACTTCCTCCCATTCTTGGTCTTCTTCTATGATCGTCATCTGCGCTCAACAGAGACGAGAACGAAGGTGAAGCGGAAAAGTCCGGGGTCGAGTGCCTTCTCAACAGATCCGTTATGCGGCCGTCAGATTTTCATGAAATGCGCCGAAATGGATGGGCTGAATCACGCCTCAGGCTTTGGATCCTGATCCAGATGCTTAGCAACTAGTTGAGTTGATGTCACGGCAATCCGTTCCTGCGACCTCAAGGTCGGCCATACCGACCGCCGTCTGGGATACCACAAATGTGAAGCATGGAGGAGGAAGAGACAGTCTCAACTCTTTGATTTCCAGCTCCATCAGCATTCCCTAATGCATCTTTCACGATTCACCATCGACAGCATTCGGCCATGTAGTCCCCTCTCTTGTTGGAGCAGGATAAGTATTCGCTCATTGATCCATTGATCACGGTTTCACATCTTTGTCCACCACAATTCCAACTGCTCCTGATTGCGCTAATCAATGTCTAAACTGAGAATTGAGATTGGTGCTGGTGCTGAAGAAGTCCCATTTCAGGCAAATTGGGTATTGGTACACTGTTTTGAGCGGTATGGTTGAGGGTGTGCGTGTGGCGGGAATCGCAGGAGTGTGTCCTTCAGATATGGTTTCGGTTGCGCTAATTTCACTCCTCCTGTCATCTCCCACAGAACTATTACCATTTTCAGCAGAGCGCACACTATTTATATACATGACTGGCCACAAGATGAACTGAGATGCCGGGTAATGTCCATGAACAGGAGGGTCTCCATTCCCTTCAGGAAGCCCATCCACACGCGGAGGATGAAGAGCGTGACGACCATTCCCATTCATGCCGTTCGTGGAAGTCGACGATGGCCGTGGTATTCGAGGCAGTTGATAAAGCGAACCCGGACTGGAATTTGATATAGAGTGTCCGTTGATATATCCATCCACGGTTGAATATCAAATTGTACGAATGTATGATCTGTGAGAAGCATTATTATGGAACGATCGTTTGGCGATGAGATACACGGCATGCTTGGGAGCCAAAAGAGTGTCGAGCAGAGATGATGAGAGCGTGAGATGTCAACGTCGACGCTGAGTCGAGTCGTTACTTCCAATGCAAACGATCACGACTGAGGATGCCTCTGGTCAAAGAGACCTTCATTTTAATTCGACTATAACTTCTCGCACTCTTCGAATAAATCAACCCCTGCTTCTGATGAAAGAGGGGGAAGCATAGGTGAGTATGGTGGCCTTCTTTCAATTTATCTGATCAAACACCACATCGAAACGTCAAACCAGATCACTGTCAATCTGCAACCATTCGATGCCTTGAGGTAATGCTGCTCATAAACAACATTAGTTTCAACCAAAGAACAACGTGGAATGTCTCGCGGGATATCTATCCTTGCCTCGAAAGAAGGTTGGCCATGGCGGCTTTCAGGAAGCACACTGGTCGCCTTTCAGTAAAAAAACTTACCTAACCTCGAAAGTGCATTCTTGACTGATATCAAGAAAAGACGGGTTACCTGCCTGAGAATGAACGATAGTGAATTATCATCAAGATTGAGAGAATGATTGAAGAAGGAGAAGTACAAGCGGGAAGATCAATACCGACGTCTCTGGAAGAAAGTATACAGCGCGCATCACATACAATGCAAACACTTCAACCGGGGCCGGAAACTGGGAAATTCCGATTGCGAGCTTTATATGTCTGCCCAACAAGGGAGCACTTGACGTCGAGCTCACCAAATGACAGCTCATCTCAGCAACAGGGGTCAGAAAGAGGGGCTCGCTCTGGCACATCATCCATCCTTCATCCTCCAACGTTACTAGGCTCATAATAAGTACTAGCAGGGCAGAGTCAGAATGAGTGAGGTGGCCTGACGAGTCATCCTCATCCAGCCCACTTCGCTGTGTCGCATACCAAGCTTCGACGGCACGGAGTCAATCTAGATTTCAATGATTTTCCTGCGTTGCAAAATCCGAAGAATGCCGGCCGGGGTCTTTCGTGTCCATTGCCACATCCGGTGGGGGCCGCCAGCGGACTTGCTTGGGTCAGACAGAACGATGACTTTGTCGAGAATGGGTTTACAGACTCCAGTAAGCTTTGATGACTGTGCCCTTGTTCTAATTGTCCGAGTGACAAAGAGGTTAATTGTTCCAGGAGACACAAAAGTGCCAAGTCGACGACGATTTTTCGTCGAGATGACTATGTGGTATCTTTCTCGAAAACGCGCAAATTCAACGCAGCCCACAATCCAAGCAACTATCCAAAATGGCTCTGAACTTGTAGTGATTCCATACTATTCTGTAAGTAAGTATTCTCTCGCCGCTGTTTAGTATATACATAAATGAATTCGTTATGTCTCCACTGAGAGGCTGAAAAGTCCTGGGTAGATGTCTGATGCATGATTGATCATAAGGCCGTCGAATTCAGGGGGTGCTGGCTTTAGTGTAGCATTACTGGCCCAATAAATTCTGCCATCCTAACCTCTCATACAAGACGATAGCGAGACAACTTGCAACCACAGCCTCGACAGTCATGGGAGCCTTCACTACGTCCATGAACAGCGACAACGCACCAAGCACCCGAAAGTCCCGGCGCTGTTTGTACACGGCAACAATTCTGCCATCGCTCTCTTCGAGCTGCAAGTTGCCGTGGGCCCGCGGATGGCCGTCTTCGACGCCGGGGAGCGTAAGTGTATTTGCACTCCGCCGCCATTTGTACATCCGGGTCCCGGCCGGGTTGTACATCATGTACTCGCGCTTCCAGCCTATACGAGTCACGACCCAGCGGCTGCGGATGTCGAGGTCGAGTCTGTCGGCGAGCTGGTGCAGGTTGTGGTCGTAGTGCATAGCCGGCGTGATGTTGTAGAGTGTCAGGTCGATGCTCATACGGCTGATGCCTTGCCAGCCCGGGTACTTGATTTGGGCGAGCGGGTAGGGTTTCTCCGCCTCTTGGTCCGGCCTGCTGTTGAATTTGGCTAAACTGTCGTGTGGCGGTGGCGGCGACGGCGGAAGCCCGATGATTTCGTTCGATTGGAGTGGATCTTTCTGGTGCCTTTTCGGGTGGGAAGGGAAGATCTCAAACGCCGGCGGAAGCATGTACTTCTCCTTCCACCATTTCATGATACCTGTCTCGAAGACTGGACGACCAGATTCTAGGCTGGTAGAATGTCCTGTACGAGCAATGCCGAGGTCGACGTCAATGACTTCTAATTTCAAGTTCTGCGGGAAAACCAGTCCCAGGGCCGTGCTTTTGAGGATCTCGAATCGCCGGATGTGCTGCTGTTGTGGGAATTCGAGCGAGAAGAGCCCTCGCTGCTCTGACTCTGTGAGCGTTCGGTGATGGCTGGTCGAGCGTGTCCTAGCCATACTGTGTCGTTGAGGGAGCCTGAGAATTGATTTGGTGGTGGTTGTGTGGGCTGCTTCTGTTTGCCCTTTTTGTCGTGATTCTTCTCCTTTGGATGACAGGGGCAACCTCCGGGATAGTAGATCTCACGGAGCGTGATGGTTGTGTATCGTCTTCGGCCATTGATGACGGTGTTAGCTGCATCCTCTGGGAAGAGGGTGTTGTAGGAAGGGAGAAGGTCCGATTCCGCCGACGCCATTTTCTGGTTGACGGCCGACACGATATGGGTGTATTATGGGAAAGGAACGTTTTCTATACCAGATAGAAAAATCCGGGGAAGGGGAAATGAGAAGAAGGAGGTGAGCCCAACGGGGCTTACTGAGAAGTATTATAACGGGACGACAACAAGTAACTTACGGAGTGCACTCAAAGATGTGCTCGGAAACCACTATTCCCACGTGTGGACACAATAATTCAGGGGGGAACAAAAATGCTTGGAGTGAGATGGCCGGAAGGCTGATGGTTGGCTGGTCGGCTCGGATGCTCACGGAATGGGCTGTGCAAGTTGCGGAAGCTGATGCTGATGTGGACGATGCGTCAGCGGCTCAGTGGTCTGTGGCCCCTTGACCCCTTATTTGCCCTTACTCGATTCCTTGCATCAAAATTCGGCCACTCAGGTCGCCTGGAAACGATGTGTGTCGCGATTTGTGAGGCGCGTGTCAATGTGTTTGAGTATCGGGTCGAGAACTTGGCGAAATTGGCGGCGAGGTTATGTAAGATGGACAACGGCGAGACATGCATGTGCCGTGGCACTACACGAGATCTGGGGAGCGAGGGACATCTTATTTATGTGGAAAAAAGCACGCGACCAGATCTGCCTTGCCTGAACCACCGCCAAGTTTTGATATCACGCGATTTGCAAAGAAAGCTGCCGGTTTCTGGTATGCTGAGGGGGATATCATGCCGATAACTCATGATGATGCGAAGAGGTTTGTTATATTTAGCCATGTGATCTTCCTTTTGGCGCAAATGCTCTCTTCTGGTTTGTCATTGGGGGATTTGACGTCGGCGTACTCGTATTGGGGAAGAAATGGTCATTGGTCGGGCAGAAGGCATCAACGGTTCTTCTCGGAGTCGAGCCAATGATATGCTGGTTACGAGGCCATTTGATCAGCCTTGCCCAGACGAAAAGACCAAATGCTACGCTGGGAAGTGCATTCACGACCCATATATGTCTTGGTATGGTATATATATAATGCCATATTTGCCAAACATCCAGAAACTGCCAGTGCCCGAGCAACATGGCTGGTTTGAGATTTCTGCTACCCTAAGATACTAGTAAATGGAAGATTGCCGGGAGGGAGCCCAGAGAGCGCTCACAGCCTCATACGAAGGGACTTGGATTGATCTTCTTCGGTTCGATCAAGACTGCCGCTCAGCAGAACATGATCAGGCACTCTCCTTGAATACATATATGAAACTGACATCGACCACCAAGGGAAATGGACACCGGAGCACAGTTAGGCCCGATCAGAAAGCACCTGGCGAGGGTCAAGAGAAGGCAAAGACATGATGTTCCTCCGGAGGCTAGGACATGTTAATAGAGAACCAATGAGTTGGAACAGCATTCAGGTACTAGGGAGTACTTAGGCTCAAGCTTTGATGGATGGGGTGGTGCATCTTGTGAAGAATGTACTCTGCCTGGCGGTGTGATATCTGCAACGGTAAAGTTTGGCTGAGCGTAATGAGAAGTCGTTCCGGAGACGAAGCCATCCCGTGCCGACCCAGAATCAGAACGTGTCGTAATATACCATCATCCATTGGGCTATAATATAATAGTACCGAAAGTGTTAGCAAAAGGGGGGGATGATATGTGAGGTACATTTCCTGTAGGTACACCTGAAAATGGCAGGTAGAGCGACGAGGGTCGTGGAGCCAATCAGAATTCTCCTTTTCTTTTATTATTTTTCAATATCAAACAGCGGAAGCTTCGTCACCACCACGAAAATTCATCCAAACTCCGTCGTCCTTCCGCGGTGGCTCCTGAGGCGCCTTCCCTTGCCTCGAAGTTGCTTTAGAGTCCTCTGTGACGATACATATTCTTTTTCATATCCCCTCATGCACCCAAATCCTTCTTCACATCAAATATGAAACACGCGGCGACCAGGCTGCTCCTGAGAGCTCCTCACCCACGAGTTCCCATTCATTCACCCCCTTTTCGACCTCGCTTCGCCAATCCGCCTATTCGTAGACATGCTTCCACGTCCGAAGCACCTCCAAGCTTCACCTCTCATCTGCTCAATGGCTTCTATGGTGCCACTCTGATCCTTGGCTTGGGCATCATTTATGTCTATGTCACCGACATCCGAGCAAGCGCTCACCGTTATATCGTCATCCCAGCCCTCCGACTGGTTTACCGAGATCCAGAAGAAGCCCATCATGCCGGGAACCGTATCTTGAAGTCCTTATGGGAATTTAATCTTCACCCCAGGGAACGGGGTGATCCGGACCGATACAACGATCTGGAAGTCGAGATCTTTGGCCACATGCTCCGAAATCCAGTGGCGACCTCTGCAGGAATTGACAAACATGCCGACATTCCCGACCCTCTTTTTGCTATTGGCCCAGCAATCGTTGAGATTGGAGGAACCACTCCTCTCCCACAAGAGGGCAACGCCAAGCCACGAGTATTCCGACTGAGTTCCCAACAAGCTATGATCAATAGGTATGGATTGAATTCAGAGGGGGCAGACCATGTGGCTATGAGACTACGAAACCGAGTCAGAAAATTTGCCCACTCCCTCGGCCTCGGCGATGACGAAATTGCCGAAAAGGCTGTACTGGATGGCATCGCCGGTGTCCCCCCTGGAAGCTTGATACCAGGCAAACTACTGGCGGTCAATATTGCCAAGAACAAATTCACTCCAGAAGATGATGTCGAGGCTGTCACCAATGACTATGTCTATTGCGTCGACAAGCTCGGCCCGTATGCTGACATCCTGGTGGTCAATGTTTCGAGTCCCAACACACCGGGTCTTCGATCGTTACAGCGGTCGGACAAGCTGCAAACCATACTGGCCGGCGTAGTCAAGGCAGCCAAGTCCGTCGACCGGCGGACGAAACCGGTGGTGATGGTCAAGGTGAGCCCGGATGAAGATTCGGATGCAGAGATCGCTGGAATATGCGACGCGGTCTGGGCTACCGGGGTGGATGGGGTGATTGTGGGAAACACAACGAATCGCCGACCAGCATCTCTACCACACTTGAAAGATTTGTCTCCAAGGGAAGAACGACACCTGCTCGAAAAGGGCGGATTTTCTGGGCCCCATTTGTTTGATCGAACAGTTTCTTTAGTGACAAGATATCGGAAACTTTTGGCAGAGAAACCTGCTCCTGCGGAAGCTATAGAAAAGCCACCAAGCCCTGTCGCTACCGAAGCTGAGAAGATCCCGGTTTCTCTCGAGGCGAGTTCGGAAGCTCCCTCAACACTTGGACCGAACTCAGTTGCGATATCCGCTGATACCGATGTTACTCCTCCTCGAGATATACTCGAAAAGGATGATTCCACCGAAGCGGACCAAACCCCACCGGGAGAGAGTGATGAAGCTGGATCGTCTCCTCTTGCGCCCCCGGTAGGTGAACGTGAGAGATTGAAATCGATCCAAGCAGCCCTCGAGCGACTGCCACCTCGGGCACGGCCTGATGCGATGGCAGCGCTTGAGACGGCCGTTCACTCGGACTCGATCGATCAACCCAAAGTGATTTTCGCCACAGGGGGGATCACCAACGGAAAGCAAGCTCTCCAAGTGCTCAATGCAGGTGCCAGTGTGGCCATGGTCTACACCGCGTTGGTTTATGGAGGCATCGGTACGATATCCCGGATCAAAGATGAGATGCGAGAGGAGATGAAACGCCAGGCCGAAGAGAAACGACCCAAGGCCAAAGAGTAAAAGTGGTGTACGCTCTCGTGTCGCGGATTCCTATCTCGGCCTGTCTAATTCAAAGACGACCAGTTTAGTGCTCGACCCATTCTCTTCTATGAGCTCCTCGGAGACCTGCCGGAAGCCGCATTTCGTCAAAATTCGCGCACTGGCAACATTCTGGGCGTCAATGTCCGCCTTCAACACCTCCGGCACCTCTATATCACTATCCACCTTATCTGAACTCGAATCGTCTTTCAGGACCACTTCTTTCCTGGGCAATTCCCACCAAGCCTGAAGCCATCGTTGTAATGCCTCGGTGGCATACCCTTTCCCCCACATTTCCTCTCTCAACATGTATCCACACTCAGGAGGCTCGGAAATATGGCAGCCCACTACACCAATGGCTTTTCCAGGAGCTGACAACTCTTCCACAGCGAAGTTGAAGGTGGTGGCATCATTCGGTGGAAGAAATCTATGCATCCAGACTTGGGTCGCTTCCGGGTCCGCGTCGATTGTTCCGGTACTGGTCCACTTCATTACTTCGATCCGAGTGCGGAGGACATGGAAATCGGCCAGATCTGATTGTTTGATTGGCCGGAGGAGCAGACGAGATGTAGTCAGGGGAGATGCAGGAACGGGGAATATGGGTCGTGTGGTCTTTTTCATCTTGCTCGAAACAGAACTGCAAAAAATTACACGGGTCAAAAGTAAACGGGAAGTGGGAATTTCTGGTGTATATATGCAGAGAGAGCCCAGTGTTCTTTTCGCGGCCACACTCATATTTCTGTGCTACCAGCCCTGGCCACATCGGTATCTCATTGGTATCTCAATTTCACGGCCTTCAGGCAGCAGAAGGGACCTTCCTAAACTGGAAAAATGTCTTTTCCACCTGGGCCCTCGGCAAAGTTGCCTCAGCGGCGATAGCGATAGCAAAAGTTTCTACGGCGTCTCACAACCAAATCGTCCTGAAATTTTTTTGTTCCTCCATCGTGCAAATCTGCCGTTGCCACGAAGAGATCCTCCCACTCCTTCTCAGGGCCAACCGGCAAGATGAAGACCACGTGGAAGGATATTGCACCGGTTCCCAACTCTCAGGAGTTCATTGACATTGTCCTCAGTCGAACACAACGGCGGCTACCAACACAAATTCGTGCGGGTTTCAAAATTAGCAGAATCAGAAGTAACAGAGTTTGAAGACCACGCTGAGTATTCGAGCTGACAAATCTTTCAGGTTTCTACACTCGAAAAGTCAAATTCACCTCCGAAACATTCTGCGAAAAGTTCCAAGCCATTCTGGAGGGCTTTCCCCGGCTTCAGGATATCCATCCTTTCCACAAAGATCTCCTCAACACCCTCTACGACGCCGACCATTTCAGAATAGCATTGGGCACATTATCGACGGCTAAGCGGCTGATAGAGACCGTCGCCAGAGATTATGTCCGTCTTTTGAAGTATGCTCAATCGCTATTCCAATGCAAGTCTCTCAAGAGGGCGGCTCTGGGCCGCATGGCCACAATCTGCAAGAGGCTGAAGGATCCCCTGGTATACCTGGAACAAGTTCGACAACATCTTGGACGTCTGCCCAGCATTGATCCCAATACCCGGACACTTCTCATTTGTGGTTACCCCAATGTCGGCAAATCCAGCTTCCTGAAATCCATCACGCGAGCCGATGTCGACGTTCAACCCTACGCGTTCACCACGAAATCACTGTTCGTGGGACATTTCGATTACAAATATCTCCGATTCCAAGCCATCGATACACCCGGTATTCTGGATCACCCACTGGAAGAAATGAACACGATTGAAATGCAGTCCATCACCGCAATTGCACATTTGAGATCCGCTATTCTGTACTTCATGGACCTCTCGGAACAATGCGGCTACTCTGTATCCGCTCAGATGGCCCTTTTCAATTCAATCAAGCCGCTATTTGCCAACAAACTCGTGTTCATTGTTGTCAACAAGACGGACGTGGTGAAACCCGAAGACTTGGACGCCGAATTGCAGCAGCAACTGAAAGATCTCTTGACACAACACTCCAACACCGAGCTTCTTCAATTATCATGCGTCACCAATGAGGGAGTTCAAGAGGTTAAAAATACAGTCTGCGACCGACTGATTGCGGATCGTGTCGCGGCCAAATTGAAGGCCGGTCAAGCATCACAATCGGCCACCGCCGATGCTCCTACCGGTCGATTAGGTGATCTTCTTGCCAGAATTCACGTGGCTCGACCACTGGAAGGCTCCGTCAGTGAAACGTTTATACCCGAAGCGGTGAAAAATGGGACGTACAAGAGATACGACAAATCAGATCCCAGCAGAAGAAAATTGGAACGAGATATCGAAGACGAAAATGGCGGTGCCGGTGTCTACAACTTTGATTTGAAGAAATCGTATGACCTGGCCAATCCGGAATGGAACCATGACAAGATCCCTGAATTTTTCAACGGGAAGAACATTGCCGACTACGTCGACCCCGACATTGAAGAGAAGCTGGCGGCACTGGAGGCCGAAGAGGAACGACTAGAAGCCGCAGGATTCTATGAGGACAGCGAAAGTATGGAAGATGAAGACGACGCTGAAATCCGCATGAAAGCAGACTTGATTCGAAACAAGAGAGCCCTCATGATGAACGAAGCACGCATGAAGAAGAGTCTGAAGAACAAGGCCCAAATACCACGGGCGAAGAAGACGAGGACTCGAAGTCAAATGGAAAAACATTTCACTTCGATTGGATTGGATGCGTCCGCCTCCACCGATCGAGCCAGAGCACAGATTCGAAATGCGATACCTGCTTCAGTGGCTGGTGACGCGATGGATGTGGATACCCCTTCAGCAAGAGCCAAATCAGTATCCCGAGCCCCGAAAACAAACCGGTTGACCGATGGATTGGGGGCCAGCGCCACTGGAGTCACCGATCCTGTGAGGAGAGAAAAGGCGGAACGAATGGCGAAATTGAGTCAGAGGAAGATGAATCGTATGGCGAGGCAAGGCGAGGCTGATCGACATGAGACAGCTTCGTTGCCCGCACATCTGGTCAAGGGGAAGAGAAAGATGGGCTCGACGAGATCAAGATAACATGGCATCTGGATGATGAACGAAATACATGTTGTTGATCAGGTATTGTTGGTGTTCATGGTGTTCGAGCATTTGGTCCCCAAAATTACAATGATCCGGATGACATGGACTACGACCGAAATGGAATAGCACTGTCGCCGTGCATCCATTCTACCAGGAAAATTTCTCCTTCACCAAACCCTCGGCCATCTCCCATAATTTGTCTGCCTCAGCCTTGTCAAGGCCATAAGAGTGGCACGATGGTGGCAATCTGACAGTCACTCAAGAATTGTCCATATCCTTCCCTGTTCGGCTTCCCCAACTGGGGATCTAGAGCGGCCACTAAGGCGGTACTAGCTCCTTGTTCCAACGTCTTCCATTCGACGTTCATCTTTTTCCTCCACTCGGCCGTCTTCTCTAACCAGTCTAAATCGGTGGTCCGGTGGAGCTCAGTCCGCACCTCGTCGGGATGCAAAGCCATGCTTAGCACACCATGTTTCTCATACAGCCCCTCATTCAGAGCGACCGAGTAGAGAATGTTAGCAGTTTTACCCTGTCCGTACGCCCCCATGGGAATATAGGACATCTCTTCGTCGACAATCATGCCCGTTGCTTTCATGACGGCAAGATTGGGTTTTTCTTTCTCGGGAAGCTGAGATGTCGACTTTTCCCAGTTGATGTCGCTAGCACGCAAAAGTGAGACCATGGTGGCCATGCTGCTGACATTGATGATCCGCGCAGCACCGACGTGGGCCCTTTTCACCGAGACAATGATCTTGGACATGATCAAATTTGTGAAGAGAAAATGTCCCACATGATTGGTGGCCAAATGCAACTCGACTCCATCTTCCGTGAGCATACGCTCCGGAACATTCATTATGCCGGCGTTGTTGATCGCAATATCAATTGCAGGTGCACCCTCCCAGCTGAGAATTTCCGTGGCCGCCCTTCGGACCGACCTCTGGGACCTTAGATCAAGGATGAGCGAGCGAAAATCGACGTCTGGATGCTTTGGACGGAGGCTATCCAAGCATTCTTGGAGTTTGGCGTGGGAGCGTCCAGAATGGATGAGAGTGCGTGGAGACTGCGAGGCTATTGCGAGGGCCGTGGCATACCCGACACCTCGCTTATTGACGCCTGTGATAAGGATTGTACGACCTTTGATAGAAGCAGGAAAGGGACTCGCGACAGTAGAAGCTTCTGTCTTAGCACCGAAGTCCGCAAAAGTCGTGGATGTCATGTCCAAGGTCAGATGATTCAGGTTGGCGACCGAGATAAAGATAACGATGTGACGCATCAGGGATAACGAAATACATCATATGAATATGGTGCTTGATGAATATATACACCCATTTTGAAATCCAGAATTCCACATCAACGAAGCAAGCAATGAAGTACAGGACATGGGTCTGATGCGGGAGCCGGAGCGGCCTCAGAGAGGGTGTGAACCGTGCAGTTTGCCAACGGCGATCGGCCCACTGCGGACTGGGTAGACCTTCACTGTCCTTTTAACCCACGCGGAGATGGGTACCAGAATCCCAGCGGTTCGTCGACAGGGTCTGGAGCCGCTATTGGAGCATACGAGTGGCTAGATTTGGCGGTGGGAAGTGATACGGGAGGTTCAATGCGTGGTCCGGCCGGAGCTCAAGGTATCTTTGGTAATCGTCCATCCACGGGAGCGGTGTCGATGGACCACGTTATCCCGCTGACGCCAGTGCCGGATACCGTGGGTGTCTTTGCCAGGAGTGGAAGTCTTTGGGCGGCCACGACGAAGGCATGGTATCAGAATTTCCGGTCAGACTATCCATCCTACCCCCAGAACATCTACCGGTCCCTTGCCGCTAGCGAATGGAACTCGGGAGAGATAACTCCACCGGCTGCGGCGCTTATTGATGGCTTCGTATCCGCGCTAGAAGGATTCCTCAGGGTGAACAGCACTGTTGCGAATTATACCCAACTCTGGCTCGAGACGCACGGCGATGCGCCTGCAAATCTGGCCGACATGTTATACTTGACCTACGGTGTATTGATCACTCGTGATCAGTGGAATCTTCATGGCAAACCATTCTTTGCCGATTATGCCGCAGTTCATGATGGCCGTCAACCGTTTATCAATCCCGGACCGCTTGCTCGATGGACATGGGGCTGGACCAACGCCGGCGACGAAGCTTACCAGACCGCCATCCGGAATAAGACCATTTTCCAGAACTGGTATGAGACGGAAGGATTTGGTAGACCCGATCCAGACTCTTGCTCGGAGGGAGTTTACGTGTATCCGTGGTTTATTAGCGAGCCGAGTTATCGAAATACCTACTTCAACGCAACAACCACCCCGCCACTGGGATTTGGCGATTCTTCCTTCTCAATTATGGCTGGAGTCCCGGAGGTGATTGTTCCACTGGGCGAAGTCCCCTACAACAGCACCGTCAGCTTGAAGACCGAGTATTTGCCCGTCAGTGTGGCTTTGAGAGCGGCCAGGGGATGTGACTTGATGCTCGCAAACTTGGTAGCAGATTTGGAGGCGGCCGGTATTCTTCGCCCTGTGTCCGCTGGGACAAGATTATACCCATAGATGATAGATAATTACAATTTTCACATCCACCGCATGGAATTCCGACTTCCATTTAGTCTTCTCATGCATAAGGGCGCCATTTAATGCGGGGTGGGGCCGTGCGAGGCTCGGTAAGGTGACTGACAGACTTTGCCCTCAACCTCTTATAAATATCCCTCCTAAACCGTCTTTCAACCGTGCAGCTGATATCTCCTGCCCGAGCTGGAATCATGCCGCCCTCCTCCGCGCTAACAACCAATACATTCTCTCCATTGCCCTCCCTCGGTCCGCCCAATTCGGTGTGTTTTCCCTCCGGATTCCGGGCCAAGAATTGGTCATTGACCGCGCTTCCACGAGCATTGGACGGGTTATTTGAAAATCCCGTAAGATGGAACGGAGGTCTCGGCTTCGGTGATTGGGATTCCATCCTCTGAACGCGACAAGGGGATATTGGAACTATTTGGCTGACAAATCTGGAAGAGAGACTTTCATGCAAAGCTATTACATCATACAGCCTTGCGAAATGTCATTGGCAGGCCAGACACCAGTCGAGAAATGGACGCGAGCATATATGATCAGGAGACAATCCCCCGCCGCTAGATGGAAATGTAAGGAGGAGTTGAAGAGGAAGTCCTGCGCAAACAACATCCCATTCATCGAACATCGTGTCCATACAACCGTGCACCATCAACGATGGCTCCTCAGACCCAAAAGGCCCTGCTCGTCACTGAAATTGGCGCACCCTTGACTCTAACCACGACGCGCCCAGTTCCACAACCCGGTCCATCCCAAGTTCTCGTCCGCGTCACCGTGGCCGGCCCGAATCCTCATGACCAAAAGGCACGAGACATGGGCCTCTTTATTGCCGGCAAACTGCCCGCCGTCCTGACCAACGACGTCGTCGGCGAGATCATCGCTCGAGGCGACGAAGTAACCAAATTCTCCATCGGCGACCACATCGTCGGCCAAGCCAACGCCGCACCCGGCTGGACACAGAACGGATTCCAAGAATACGCCATCCTCGACGCCGACTTCTGCGCGAAGATTCCAGCCGGCTTCACCGACGACGACGGCGCCACGTTGCCAACCAACACAATCGCCCCTCTCGTTGCGATATTCGACTCCCTCGACATCCCTGCCCCCTGGACCTCCGCAGCTTCAGGCTTCAACTACAGCGGCACCACCCTCCTCGTCATGGGCGGCGGCAGCAACTGCGGCCGATTCGGCGTGCAAATCGCCGCTCTGGCGGGGATAGGCCGCATCATCGTCGTCGGCGGCAACGAATCCGAATTGAAGTCCCTCGGCGCCACGACCGTGCTCTCCCGCCACGGCTCGCCGGAGGAAGTCCTCAGCCGTATCCGCGACGTCGTCGGCGACGAGCTCCTCTACGTCTATGACGCGATAAATCCGCTGCCGACCCAAACCATTGGGATCAATGCGTTGTCGTCTACGAAACGGGGCAAATTCGCCCGTCTCCTCCCTATGGGACCTGTTGATGAGAGTCAAATCAAGCCGAAAACGGCCGGGTATGACTTGATCGATGTCATGGGCATGTCGCATTGGAAACCCGAGCTGGCAAAGGAGTTTTGGGATCGTGTGCCCGGGTTCTTGACGGACGGGAAGATTATGCCGGGCGCCTATACGGTGGTCAAGGGGTTGGATGTGGATAAGGCGAATCAGGTCCTGGACCACTATAGGGATGGGAAGAAGGTGGTGAAGACGCATTTTCATGTTGCGGAGTGAATGAACGCAGAAACGAACACGAATATCTCGAACGAGGTATGTGGATAAGTGGGTATGTGACCCGACTTATTTCGACTTGACTTAGTTCTACACTCAAGAGAGAGAAAGACCAGGTTTGAGCTCTGAAATACCGACATTCTGACTGCATTCCAATTTGATGCGAGGTGTGAGTCTCACTGAGTTGCTTGGGCCTCCTCCATATCTGTTCCACTGCACACCCTCATCATATTTCGCCCTCTTCCACCACACCTTCGACCCAGTCGTTTCCGTTCCTTCGCAAGGCAAGCTTGGCTCTGAATTCCACCTTTACTGTACGAACTCCACGAAGCTCAGATTTCACTTCGTCGCCATGCCACATTAATTCTGATTGCTAGTTCACTCTTTGGTGTTTTGGTTCTATGGACGACAGCTGACGATACTGTGTACGCAGTGAAAGCCAGTGGAAGGCGAAACGCAGTTATTCCGATCAGTCCAACGAGAGAAATATCTCAGTCTACGTCAAGAACCAAGTCTGTGTTTTCTGGCACACTCATCACATTTTCATCGACATCCGGCTAGGAAATGGTCAATGTCTCGCCGGTTTCGCCTGCCCCAACAGATTAACCAACCAATATTAATGTCCCGAGCCGCTTGATCAGCGCCATAATTCTCATCGCTTGCGTCGGTTGATCCTCGAACGTACGAGACAATTCTGGCTTACCGTTACATATCCTCCTCCAGGCAAGCACGGTGAGGTGAATGACGCGTTCAATGTTATGATGACTACGTATCAAGAGCGGTTGAACGAAGGTACATCTCGCAAGTATGGAGGAAGAAGAGAATGGCGAACCGGGCGGAAGAACAAGCTTGGTATCCCAGGCTGAATGCTAGATTTGATGAAGTACTCAGGGATGCATAAGAGCTGGACTAAAAGAGGTGAAAGAAGCCTATTCGGACACAACAGATAGAAAACCAAGTGGCATATCGGGAGGCTGATTTGATATCGAACAACCTCTCATTATCCAGGTTGTCTCCGAGAAGCCATAGAAATACCTAATCCTGCAACTAGTCTAGATTTTGAAGCGGCGTGCCACAATTCCAAGGAGCGATCGCTTGAGTCCCCATCGCTTCATCTTGTCTTTCAATACCTCATTCCTCTACCGGCTAACTGCCTTGCTTTTCAGCATACAAGAACTTAAATTTCATCAGATATCAGTCCCATCTTCATTACTCAGCTCTTTCTCGTCCTCATCCTTCTCCTTCAACACCACATTCGACGGTCTACTTTACAAATATCTCCTTCGTCTCCAACCCGGATCCTTCCATACTTTTCTTCCTTTCTCGAGTCTTCGTCCATGTGTCAACGGATCAGAACGAGATCTCATACCTTGAGTATGGATACAAAAGACCAAGAGAAGTGAGATGGCAACAACGGAAATCCCTGAGGCCGAAGCGCCCGGGAGGATAGCGTCGGAAGGGAAAGAGTCGTTTCATATTCGAACAGTAAGTTCACGTTGAAATCGATGAGATGGAGGAAGAGCGGAAGCAATGTGAAGAGTTCCCCGAAGTGGCAAAAATTGACAGAGTCTTTCCGCAAGCTTTAGAATCTTCCGGCGCATCTTTGGCTTGGACTGAAGCAGAACAAGACGAAATTGATGTTCCTGGCTGCGGCGAATAAGCGACCGGGAACGATACAAATTGCCATTTTTAATCAACACAAAGGCAAGAGGCTTTCTCGTTAGATTGAAGGAATGGCATCAAGAAGCGACGCAGGTGTTGGAGCCTCTTGATCATGCCAAAAAGACCAAAGTCTTTCAGTCATTCCCAGCAGTGGCAAGAGTTACGAAGGATATTACACCTCAAGGAGAGAAAATGATCGAGTTTGAATCGCGTCCCAGGAGCCACCGCTGTGAGCCGGTCACTTTGTCCGGGCTTCCAAGCTCGGCTTTCATATATGAGACGAGTCCGAGTCAGAATCAATGTCAGGAGTGAGTCGACATGGCCGAGGCAGAGATTGGAGAGTCTTTCTAGGATTCAAGAGAATGGCTTCGAGGTATGAGACTTTCACTACTCTGGGAATTGAAAGGCTGGCAGGCAAAAGATTCAAAGCAGTCATATGAGGATCCAGCTTCTGTGTAAGTTCGATGCTTGACTAAAATTTAATAGAAGATGCGAATCAGTAATACGACGACTTCCAATGTCTTTCAAAATAGTACAAGCTGAGTCGCTCGCCCAATCCGACTGGATTGGATCTGTTGTTCGCTTCGATCATGCCATGACTTGACCTGCGAGACAGTCTCGACGGCTTGCTCGTGATGGAAAATGATCCCAGTGGGTGCTGATGCCAGAGATGGAGACGATGGCGGTCATATTAATGCTGGCCAAGGCCGGGGAACGGCGTGTTCTGATTGGCTGGGAATGGAAGGAAAAAATCCGGAGGTGGAGAAACTGCCGAAGTCCGAACTTGAACCTCTTTTCATCTCAGATAAACCACTTTTCGGGGGTTCAATAATATTCTCATTCATCTTGTTGATATTGTATACTCCTCTACCTTGTCACTACTCCCTCCACCGCATGCCAATGCTTTATATCTACTTCCGCCACAATCTTCCTCCACCATGACCGACTCTCAAGATCACACGCAACAATCCCCCCACCAACCCAATCCATCTTTCACCAATCTCGCTCGTCAAACATCATGGAATAGCTCTGCCGATAGGAGCAACAGTCATCCGCCACCTTTACACGGTCGGAAGAGATCGGCTGACCATCTTCCCGCCGAACTACAAGTTTCGCGCAAAGGTCGAGCATGTCTGGCTTGTCGCAAACTGAAAGTCAAATGCGACAGTCTCGAACGAGGAGATGCAGGATGCTCGAGATGTCAGCGCCTTGGATTGGATTGTGTCACTTCGAAGCGCATGAGGGTAAGCTTGGAGGATGACAACGACAATCCCCATCCGTCAATTGTTCGTCTCGACCGAGCTGTCGAAAACATTCTGTCCCGCTTAAAGATGCCGCCATTGGAATCCTATTCTCTTGGCCAACCTCCCCAATCTTCACAGCCAAACCCCGTCGATTCCAACGCGCAAACCACGCGGGAGAATTCGCGCGAACCTCAAGAAGATGCCCATGAAGTGGCGACCGCTCCGATGGGCAGCCTGTACGAAGTCACCCAACTCAATACCCTCCGAAGTCGTTTGAAATACGGCGATCCGGCTCGACGCCATTCGCGCAAGCATATGGAAAACGACATGATATCGTTAGGCGTTATCACCATCGAAGAAGCCGAGGACATGTTCAATCTCTTCAAGACCTCCTTGTCACGGTACTTGTACAATGCCACCATTCAAGAATCCCGCACGTTACTCTCCGTTCGAGAATCCTCCACGTTATTTTTCACAGCCATTATCACCGTTTCTTCTTTACATATCCCCGGGAAAGAAAAGGTCCACGCGACATCACACAAGATCCTCCGCGAACTCATCGCCACCAGTTTCTTCGACCGCTTCCACACACTGGAAGACATCCGAGCTCTCTGCATCGCGGCATTCTGGCTCCCGGACCTCAGTTGGAAACTCTCCGGCCACTGCGTCCGTATGGCGACCGAGTTAAACCTTCACCAGGCCTTTTATAAAGCAATATACTCCCAGAAACAATCCGAAACGGACCGAGGACACGCCTTCGAACGTGCTCGGTTATGGTACCTGCTATACGTTCTCGACCACCATTTTAGCATCGCCTACGGTCGGCCCCCCGTCACAGCCGAGTTACAAGCGATTAAAGAGTACGACGTTTTCCTCAACGCACCTCAATGCACCACCTCCGATCGACGGGTCTTGTCCCAAGTGACATTATTCATTATCCTCAGTAAGGCCTACAACCACTTTGGACTCGAGGCGGAGCGCTTAATGGACGGTGACGACGCCACGTTACTCACACACCAGCGCTTCATTGAAGATTTGGATCGGTGGCGGATTCAGTTCCGTCATGTTCGAGATCCCCATATCGGTGATTATCCTGCTGTTGGTAAGATCCCCTGTGTAATTTGTGTTTTCTCCCACCGACAGTCATCTGAGCCATGGCCGATGAGTGGTGCATGACACCCAAACTAACTCCCCTTTTTTTCTTTCTTTCTTCTCTCTAGGCGCCGATCTCCACTACCACTTCGCGTCCATGATGCTCAACTCGCTCGCCCTCCGCGGCCGATCCCTCTTCACCATCTCCTCGACCGATACCCTCCCCACCTCTTTGCGCCCTTTGGCCTACCACGCCATCAACTCCGCACATCAAATCTTAATTATCGTCCTCGAAGAGCCCTCCATCCGCAACTCCATGGTCGGCGTCCCCCTGTACTTACACAGCATGATTGCCTTCGCCGTCGTTTTTCTCATCAAGATGTCCAGCCGCTGGACGGGCATCGGCGTGAGCATCGACGCGGAGACGAAGACAAAACCATTGATTGAGGCCGTGATCGCGCTTTTTCGAAGCTGTAAAGCGGGTCAAAACCACATTCTATACAGTATGGCTGATGGCTTCGAGAGGCTCCTCCGTCGCAATTTCGCGGGCGGAGCGGGCGCCGCAGCCGCTCAGCTGGCTGTCTCCAGTTCCGGGAATAAGATCAATGTCAATGCCAATGAGAATGGACACGGACCCGCCTACGGCGCCAATGCAAACGCTCTGATCGATGAATCAATGCACACGCAGCAGAACGGCGGTAATCATACGCCGTTCGCACATTCTCTGTCCCAGCAACCGCCGCCCCAAGATGGATATGGCTCCTCGAACCGCACGATGCTTCAGCAGCAGCCACCGCACTCGACGACCTCGCCATCCGCCTTCCCGAATGCAAATGCGCGAACAAATGGAACAGGCACAGCGGCATTCGACCACTACGCGCTCTCGCCGCACAGCCAGCCTCCGTCGTTCGGCGGCTGGCAGACCGAAGACGACATGCTGTGGAGTCTGGGCATGGGGTATGATCTACTGGCGACCGCCCCGGACGTGAATGCGCAGGGCTTCGGGGCGTTCCTTGGATGGCCGGGTCCTGGGCCAGGGAGTGCCGGCGGTGGGAGCACAGGGACAGGTGATGGGGGTTATGCGGGCATGTAAACAAATCATGTTATACACAAACATATATTTAAAGTGTCTGGCTTAAGCGGCGAGGAGCACAGAGAGCGAGAGAACAGGAAAGGAGAGGAAAAGCGTACCACTCCCTTTCGACGAAATCTCAGTGCTATAGGTGTACAATATTGCATGGTATGATATGATGGGATGCGAATGACCGGATATATACCCTCCAGTACTCAGGCATGGTTCAGGATGAGGGCATGAAAATGGCATTGGCACCAGCGAGCCAGCTACCCAGGCGTCAGACGTATTGATCTCATTTTGTGTAACTGTCTCCACCTCAAACGAGTTCAGCCTTGTTCAATTTGGTGGATGCTTCCTAATCCTGCGACCCTTTTTGACCTTCACTTGCGGACATACGCACATGATTACAATATGATCACGACGTATTTGTACAAAGGCAACCTGTGCTGGCACCCGCACCCGACAACCCAACACTTTTGCACGTACCAATCGACTGATCGAATGGCATAACAGCTTCTAGAAGATGTCATCGTGTCAAGGGCGGTGGTACGAGGTGTCCGACCTCGGTGGAAAGAGTCTCAGAAGCTATCCTGGTAAAAAATTGGCGGTCTGTTTCACGAGGCTGAACGTTGTAGTTTCCTCGTGGGATCAAGACGGGTGAAACGTAAATGGCCCGGAGACTGCGGCGAAGAAATCGACTCGGGTGGTGGTTCAGCGCTTGCTGGCTGATTGAGAGAAAATATCCAACTTTGGGGCCCTTTCCTCCTGGTCCCCGTGAAGCTCTGCGTGAATCGCCTCGTTGTTTCTGTCGTCGAATTTGATACTCCAACGACACTGATAGTGTGCTCATCCTTTCTCCCAGATCTATTGGTTCCATCATGCTCAACTAAGGAGATTTTGCTCGGCTCAAAACTCGAACCTGGCGCATGTACTGGATCACACCGCTGAAACACCTCCGACGGAATCTTATGCTTCACACTGGCAGTTCGGCGTTTCTTCTACCGCTTGAAATCTTCTGTAAAGCCATTTGGATATACGGACCCACGACTGGAGTATTGCCGGCAAATGACGCTATCGTAGCGAAGAAGTCCCCAAACAGAACAAAGATGCCGTAAAGTTCGATCAAGAACCCGGTCAATGGCCAATGGATCAAGATGAGAAGTATGCCAGTCATAAAAGCGGCCGTCCCCTTCAGTTTCTGGCGTCTTGCGAAGAAGACGAACGTCTTTTGAATGCCAATTATGAGGATCAGGCCGATCAGGAAAAGGATCTAAGGGGGTATCGTCAGAACGAAGTCTTGGAGGAGAGTGCGTAGGACGAACATTGCCCATGGCTAGCCTGTGGCGGAGTCAGAGTACGGTCAGAGAGTGAGATCATAACGCATACATCGATCGGTCAAAGAACATGAGGACGCCTCCAAACAAAAACAGTCCACCTGCTCAATGTCAGTGTTACGCCCATCTTGAGTTTGCGACGCACGCAGCACCTCCAGAGCAGAACCCGACACCAATTTCTGTTCGCCATCAGCTTCTAGGTATGTTCTTTAGACCAGGACAGGAGGCGCATACTCTGCATATCGGTAAGCCACATGCTGGGCATCTTTGCTGCCAATGTTGAAGTAGGCAGTCTAGATACAAGTCCCCGGGAGGGGAGATGACGGGATAAGTAGAGATTAAGAAACAAGGAAGAGAAAGGTTGAGAGGTTGAACAGAGGCTGAGTGTTCGCTTAGAACGTCGCAAATGGTCGAACTGTCCTCAGGGGCGGAGAATGCGCGTTCTCGTTGATCCACTGGAATTGTTTCCCCAGTGAGAATGACGCAGGCAGCATTTATACCTTTTTCAGCCAGCACTCATCACTCCATCAATCGCAATTGCGATGATGTCTGTGAATGGTATGAACTTCCGGTGACAGGACTCGTTCATATCAAAACATCTCCCCTGTTTCTATCTCATGATTTGCGCAAATGAGGAGAGCCAGCATGTCGTGGCTTTGGAAGGTGAGCGCCCACTACACCGGGGACACTTTGTTTAACGTTCGCTCACCAACGGCTTTTAGGGCGATGCGAGCTCTCCAGCCTCTTTTGAAAAGGCACTTTCCAAGCTCTCCACTCAAATCACCTCCGCGAACCTAGCCCTTGATACAAGCCGAACCAGAGGGCGTCGAGTCAAAGCTCTATGGACTATCTACACCACCGTGACATATGTCCTTTACGCTCTGGTTATTGTCCTCGTTCTGGGACCACAGAATTGGTCTCTCTATCACTATGCTGGTCTCATCGGTGCGCCAGCGATGATATACGTCGTCAGGATACTCTTAACTGCGTTTTTCGACTGGAGAATCAGTCGTCAACAGTCATATGTGGACCACTTGCAAAAACAGAGAGAAAACAAGATCGCGGATCTCAAGAGAGCTACCAAATACGATAGTACACAAGAACTATTACAAAAGTATGGCGGTGCACCACCTGCAAAGACACCGTCAACACAACCTCAACAGGGCACAAAACGGAAGATCAACCGCCCAGCGGAAGATCAACCTCCACAAAGGACTGGGATCGCTCCTCCACCCACAGCCAATATTCCTGGTCGAAATCTCCCATCACCTTCTCCTCTGACACCCCATGTTGAAGCCAGTTCCATGTCACCAGTTCGTGGTCGATCACCACTTATGGAGTCTATGATGGCACAGAATCCAACCGACATGACTCCCGACTCGCCAGGATTTGCTCCCAATGCTTTTCCCAGTATGCCACCACTACCACCATCTCCTCCTCCTCCTTCTAGCATGGCCTATGATCACACGCCTCACTGGTATGATCGAATACTCGATGTTCTCCTTGGCGAGGACGAAACTGCGGCGAAGAACAGACTGGTTCTATTGTGCTCAAATTGTCGCCTCGTCAATGGCCAAGCGCCTCCAGGGGTCAAAACATTAGAAGAGTTAGGTCGGTGGAGATGTAGTGGCTGCGGCGCTTGGAATGGAGTGGAAAGCGAAGGAGCGAAAGCCATGAAAGAAATCACAGCAGCCTCGAAGATGGACAATGGAGAAGGGTGGGAGAAGGTGCCTCGGAGCACAGAAATACAGGAAGATTCTACCGAAGACTCGAGGGCGGAAGAACTGGCAGATACTAGCATTCAGGGCTCAACGGGTCGAGAAGTTGACGATGAGAGTGGCCTTAGCAAGCGTGTGACCCGCAGTACAGGCAAGAAGGGTTCTTTTGAAGCATTGGAATGAATTGCAGGTGAGAACACTCGGTAAAGCAGTCCCGAGCATACATCCTTGTCACAATTAAAATGAAATAAAATTTATTCCACACCGATTTTGGTCGCGTTCTCAAGGGTGATCACGTGTTCGTATATGCCAAGAACGGTGAATTGGAAGCCTCTCCTGAAGCCTTGCCGTGGTCAACTTCAGGTGCATAGATGAATCTCGCAACTACGGCAACACCGACTCTGCAACTTGAGTCATGCTCTGGGCATTCTGACGGGGTAAGTCTTGATAGGCCTGGGGCAATTCGAACATCTCGCCGGTCCAGTTATTCGCTTTGTCTGGTGTTCTAAAAGTCGAGCATCATCTCCTTCATAGTCCTGCAAAGACTCTCTTGGATAAGATGCCAGATTTTATTGTTCGTCCGTCGAATACGGAGAAAGATGCCTTCCGGGTCAAGTTGACTGCCGTATCCATGCTTTCACTAAAACTGAAATCGGGTGATACCTGTGAAATTCAGAGTACAGACTCTTCTAAGTATGGGAGGAAACGGCTGGCGATAGCCTGGGAAGCCTCTGGAGCAGGAATAAAGGACTCGGTCGTGCAAACTTCCAAACTTCTCCAAGACCTCTATGGCTTCAAACTGGGCGATAAAATCACCATCACCAGATCTTCACAGCCCTTAACGAATGCCGACACGGTCACTCTTCAGAGCTGTGGACCCCGGCATGATGAGCAGGCTATCAAATTCTGGGAGAAATATGCAAAGTTGACCATACCGGGAACGGACGAATGTATAGCTCTAGCTCGGAAAATCCAATTCAAGTTGGGTATTGATACTGCGGAATTCATGGTCAAAGATATCGGAGTTCCAGATGCAATGATTGCGCGTGTTACAGGACATACCCACTTTGCAATTAGCAGGAGCGACACGCCAGATCATTCGTGGGAAATCAACTTCAACCCTCGGAACCTTGGTGGATTGCGCGATCAGATAACTCACGTGCAAGATATAGTGGCCAGGGTACGGCGACCTATTGTGAAACAGTATTTCCAACTCTACCGACCCATTCAAGGAATTTTGGTGTACGGGGCTAAAGGCACCGGCAAGACCGCATTTATTACAGCCCTGGCACAGTCGGGATGGTCTCAAGTTATTTCCTGGAAACCTGGCACGCAAATGTGTGAATCGACCGAACCTCGATTGGTCATTATCCGTTCGAGACACCTCCTTCGGAATGCAGGTCCTGTACCCGGAGTGACTGATGAGCTCGAAAATTTATTTAATGACATTCGAGGATTTCCTACATTGGTGATAGGCGAAGTCCAGCATCCCAATGACATTGATCCAACGCTACGATCGGAAGGGAAATTTGCAGCCGAAATGGAGCTTCCCATCCCTTCTGCCAACCAAAGGAAGGAGATTTTGCTGGCTTTGCGTGGCAATGACGCCACCCCACAGGACGAGTTGCTTCAAGAGATGGCAGCCCGAACACATGGTTATGTGGGTGCGGATCTGTACGCTCTTATGCGGAGAACACTTGAGCTTGCATCAGATCGCACTCCAGTACCCAAAGACGAGGAAGAGAAGACGGTCAATGGCGAGGAGCATGCAGGTCCCGAATTGGAGAAACCGCGACAATCTGTGGGTGGTGGTGAAAACAAGCCTCGCTTCCATGTGACTTCCGCTGACCTGGACGCGGCCCTCCAACAGATCCGACCATCTGCCCTTCAAGAAATATTCCTCGAAACACCCAATGTCCATTGGTCAGACATTGGAGGTCAGCATGAAATCAAACATCAACTCCGCAATGCTGTTGAGCGTCCATTGAAATTTGCGGACCGAATGAAAAAACTGGGATTGCAACCAAAGAAAGGTGTCCTCCTCTATGGTCCACCAGGTTGCTCAAAGACCTTACTTGTCCGAGCTCTCGCCACGGAAGCAGGTCTCAACTTTCTCGCCGTCAAAGGGGCAGAGCTGATTTCCATGTACGTTGGAGAGAGTGAGAGGGCCACTCGAGAAGTATTTCGAAAGGCTCGAGCGGCAAGTCCAAGCATTATATTTTTCGACGAGATTGATGCAATCGCCTCTCGTGGAAAAAGTGGGAGTGATCTGAATGTCCTCACCACCCTCTTGAACGAAATGGATGGATTTGAGGAACTTCGAAGTGTCCTTGTGGTTGCTGCCACTAACAAACCACAAAACATTGATCCGGCTCTTTTACGTCCTGGACGATTCGATAATGTGGTGTATATTGGCCCACCAGATCTTGAAGCGAGAAAAGAGATTTTTCAGAAACGGCTGGAGAAGATTCAATACGAATTTCAAATCGGTTTAGGTGAAGACATTCATGAGTTTGCCCAGTCGACAGAAGGTTTTTCTGGAGCGGAGATTGTTGCGATTTGTCAATCTGCAGGGGAATATGCTTTTGACGCAGATCGGGAAACAATTATCTCGGACGATATCAGAAAGGCCATTGTGAATACTCCCAAGAGTATCACGAAGGAAATGTTATCGGAGTTTGAATTTTGGAACGCTACCAGAATGCGTTGAGATTCCTATTTAAAGTGTCCATACGAGCCAATATGGAGAATCACGATCCGCGGCGTGAAACGATTAAAAAACGATACCTCCTTCGAGGACCACAAGTTTTCTGCAGGTCCTCAAAGACCTTTGATCTCGACGGACAAACCATGGAGAGTCTTCAAGACGAAATATTTATGGGCTGGATTGACAATCTCATTGTCATTCCTTAGTCTGCCTTCTTCTTCCTTTCGGTGTTATCGTCAACTCTTCCATCTCCCATCAGAAATCTCAGACACACGATAGGACTTCGACCGTCGTATTCATAGCCCAGAGCTTTATCCCGGAAGCTTTTGAGTTCCACAGTCATCAATTCGATCTCTACAGCTCCAGCTTTGGTCATTGTGTTACTGATCGTCCCCTTTATACTCGTCGATCAGATATAATGACTCTACGTCCAGGTCCGAATGACAATATGTCCGACTCTCGTCATATTCAACTCCAGATCGTCCGCATTCATATCTAGAATCCGAGGATGTTGGGACTCATCTTGCAACTCGGACCTTCCAGGAAGATGCCAACCATTTCCTAGCCTCATCTGGGGAGACGACACTGTATCTGAGAGCCTCCCCCCCCTTGGAGTACTAGTCAATGACGATTGCGATATTCAGAACACAGGTGTATACGTCTTTCGATGGCAGATGATGTGGACCCCTGGCGGGGTTCTTATAAAGCGGTGGCCTGCCCCAGATCAGCAATGACGACCACCATGTGTCGACGGTTTGGTATGATTCAGTCGACAACCCACCATGACCGGCATACACCTTCGATGCGCCATTCGACGTCATTGGCACAATCTCAATGCTAAGCTCTTCGAAACATGTATCCTGTACAAAAAATGAGGGGGGGAGGGGAATAGCGAGCCTTCAGCCTCGGTATCCTGCATTTATCATTCGGTTCATAAATCCCACCTCCAAACCCAAAGTTTTGCACCATATGGGGAGATCTTCTTACTTTCCTGACTCAGATGAAAGAGTAAAAAGTTCTTTGAACCCCCTGGAGGAACTCCTCAAAATCTCTTTCCCTCGGTTCCACGCCCGCCTAAAGGTTTGGATGTGGGTAAAGGCCTAAATGCTGACAAGAGCCTCTCATAGTTCGCTTAAAGTTACAATCATCCCTTGAATATATCTTACGACACATGTTGCGTGTTTGAAATAGTCATCTATCTTTCTTCGTTCCAGTCCATCAATCAAGACAACGAATATGTCCATAACTACACCCTTAAACCAGCTTCTGGGCATTCAGCACCCAATCCTGCTGGCAGGAATGGGTCAGACATCTGGAGCACCCCTGGCTGCAGCGGTGTCGAATGCGGGTGCGTAGCAACCGATCCGACAATGAATCCGTATCCTATGGCGAATCTCGTTCCAGTTCAAGAGCTGATGTGAAGAAACTTCCAGGCGGCCTAGGTGTAATTGGCGGAGTTGGATACACGCCGCAAATGCTGCGAGAGATGATTGAGGAATTGAAAGTAGGAAAAACCCTGAGGCCCACGAGTCGAAGAGGCTTCCGTCGCCAGACGATGTCATGTCATATCAAATCAAAGCATTCCGTGGCTTCGCCGGATATTAGCATGACAAAGACTCTTCTTCACCGGGGAGTCGAAACAACGACTGATTCCGGGTGTTTTGATAGGCAAGTCTACGAGACCCATCTCTCCCATTCGGTGTGGACCTCTTGATCCCTCAAGTCGGCGGCTCCGCGCGGAAGACCAATGTAAGTGGTCCTCCTCCTTTCTCATTTTCCTTTCCTTTTTTTCCTATTATTTCCTAATCCCATCAACTTTGAGCCTCTAGCTCGACTACACCAAAGGCGCCCTCGACGAACTGGTCGACATCATCATTGCAGGCGGTGCAAAACTCTTCGTTTCCGCCGTTGGCGTCGCGCCCAAACCTGTCATCGACAAGCTCCACGCCAACGGCATCTTGTACATGAACATGATCGGACATCCGAAGCACGCGCACAAAGCATGCAAAGCTGGTGCAGATATCATTTGTGCACAGGGCGCTGAAGCGGGCGGACATACCGGGGATACGCCGACCAGGTAAATCCCATTTCATTCCTATATTGCTCCGGAACCAGGCCCGGGCCCCGGTTTACTCATTTCCGGCGTGTTCGTGATGAGGAGGCCACTCTTGGAACCACTACCCTTCGTTCCTGAGAACACTCGCTAATACTCTCGTCGCTCATGATATAGCGTCTTAATCCCCGCGAGCGCCGACATCGTCAAGACCTACACATCTCCTTTGACCAATCAGCCCGTCCAGCTTGTTGCAGCAGGCGGAATCTATGACGGCCGCGGCATGGCTGCGAGTCTTATGCTAGGCGCGTCTGGTGTATGGGTTGGCACGAGATTCGTGACAGCAAAGGAATCAGGAGCCCCGGAGGCTGCAAAACGCGCGTACGTACCAACTTCCCTTTCGTCGTCAGATATCACATATCTCCCAAATGTCGTCAGAAACAACAATTGTCCGCCCTGAAATCCCATGTCGTTTTCGGTTGTTTTCACTCGACTTCCCATTTGTTTCTCCCCCCTCCAAAAACCGCCCTTTTTTGGCCATTTCCAAAGCCTCTATTATGTTGTTCCATCCTATTCTTCCTTCCTATTGTCCACTCAAATAGCTCCGTTACAGTATGCTCTGCTTTACTCGGATCTGGTCTGTTTAGTAAAGCTCCATATTTCATCCTGTCCCAGCTCATCTCTTCTTATCTCCCCTGTCTGCCTCAACTGACCTTGGTAGCATCATCAACGCCGACTTCGACAGCACCATTAAATCGACCATCTGGACGGGCCGCCCTCTCCGGGCCCTTGCAACCCCCTATGTTCGCAACTGGGAAACGAATCGACAAGAGGAAATGAAATCCTTACAATCGCGCGGCATCATCCCATTATCCCACGAGATGGACCGTCTTGAGAAAATCAACGGGATTACGGAGGAAATTGAGGATCAATCAACGTTGAGGTACGCTCTCTTCTCCTTACACTCTACGTTTTCCCTCCCTACGCCTCTATTCTCTTCCTTGAGTTTTTACGGAGTCTGCTTAATTAAGTGGGAGGGTGTCTGTTTCATTGGGATTGTCTTTGGTGCTGGAGTTGGTGCTCCCTTTTGAGGAGAGAGCCTTGTCTCTGTCTTTGATCGACTAATGGATGCTTTTTTTCAGGCCTATGGGCGTCGTCTCCGCGCTGGTTAACACGCCGAATCAATCTGCGGGAGAAATTGTGAAAGAGATGGTGGATGAGGCGGTGCGTGTGCTGGAGTCCGCAGGAGGATATCTTCGACCTGCAGCGAAGCTTTAGCTCAAGCTTGATTGAATAGGAATCATAATGGCCAGCCTGAGAGCAAAGGACAAAGCCAATACCAAAGCCGAGGAGGCCTCTGTCCGTTGAATGAAGTGTAAAAGCAAAAAGCAAGAATAAACCCTGAAGGCTACTATTGGTAATTGGAAAGGGAGGTGTATGTGGTGAAATACTTTTTCGAAAACCTCGTTCCTATCTCCGATGTACCAGAAGAAGAAGAAACCTGCCTTAACAGATTCCTCCTATGTATGCCCACTGCATGCCTTCCATTCTCTTCACGACAACAAAACATCCACAACAATATTAAAGAAAATCAAGGCGAAGCTTCAAAAGACCAAAACAGATATATACTCTGTGGTCAATCACCCCTCAGAGACTCGAGGAAGGGTCGGATACAAAGGTTCAAACCAATACCCAGAAGTCTCAGCTCATAGTTTCACCGGCTTGAGTTCCAGTCCGTTGGATTTGGTGTCCATCTTTTCCCAACGGCCTTGGAAACCTGTACCAATTCAAACGGATAGGAGATTCTGACTCTGATTCTGGTTGAGAGTCACTCCGCCCGCACGCCATCTTTTCCATTTCCTGTGTTATATTTTCGTGATTACCCATGAAAGTCATTGTTGCCGTTTTCACCCAGTGTTCCACCACGCGTAGGAATATTTCTACATCGGTGCCGACATCAACATGCTCACCTTCAGTATCAGCATCCAACACCGCCTCACCGACACGAACTAGTGGTTTTTCTGGCTACTTCCTCTTGCCACTTCCGAGACCCAGACTCTCGACGATACTACCCAGTCCGAGACCACCGAGTAATTTATCCACTCCGAGGCCGCCGAGGATACCGTTGACGAGACCGCCCAGGCCAAGGCCGTTGAGCAATTTGCCCACGAGGCCCAAGACACCAGACAACAAGAGTCCGACGGCGGCGATGATCTGGAAGAGTGGCTCTGTGAGCAAGGCCCAGAGAGGGTTCAACTTCTTCTTGGCATGAGGCATGTCTGCGATGCGTTTCTTTGCGTTGTCGATGGTCTTGACTACCTGCGTCGTGAGTTCTTTGAGGCCTTCGGCAACGCGATATTCCTCGGGGCTCGCCTCGCCGGAAGCCGTGCGTGCTTTGGCGTTAGCAGCGATATGTCCGTCGGGATCGAGGCCACGGATTGCGCCGTTGCATTCTCCTAAGACGCGACTGCCTTCTTCAATAAGAGGCTTGACGTTCTGTACCAGTTGTTCTTCGTCAAGTTCGTCGCGAGGTGTGCGGTCGGCTCGTTCGATGTGCTAGACGGGCACGTTAGTACAACGGACGGTCTTTTGGCGGAGAACAGAGCTTACCTCTGTGATCTGTTTGCAGATAGGGTCCATCTTTTCGAGCGTCTGATTGATGATGTTGGAGATCTTCTTGGCAATCTCGCGTTCCTCGTCTTCCTTCAATTGTTCGGGGGTTGGACCTTCTTCAACTGCTTCAGGGATGTTCTCCAGGAGAGTACATTCTCCAATCTTATTTCCATCTTGATCGACGACATAGCCATTGTCATTGATTTCTTTGCCGATACACGCGAGCAAGTTTCCATCGGTCAGCTTACCAATGACATCTCCATTGCGGTCACGGATTTCTCCTTCCTTGTTGACACGCAGTCCCGCCATGGGAGAAATTTCACGTTCTTTGACCTCTGGTTCCCATCGTTCAGCTCTGCCAACAACATTGCCATTCTTGTCGATGATGTCGCCATCATCATCGACATGTCGTCCAACCAGCCTCTTAGGATCACCTTCGACGACACGGCCGATGATCTCTCCGCTGGCGTCCTTGACTGTGCCGTCTTTCCCCACCATGGTAGAGTCGAAGTTAGAGAATGGTCCTTCAGCACGGCCATCATCACCACCTTGGATAAGTCGTCCATGACCAATGACTTTGCCATCATTACTCCAGATTTGACCCTGACCATCAACCTTACATCGAACGAGACGTTTGACATCACCATCGGCAACTTCACCGAAGATGGTTCCGTGCTCATCAACAATCTTTCCCATTTTGTTGACGGTCTTACCTGCGAGGCTGGACAGATCTTCTTCCTCGACGACTTCTTCCGGGACCTCGTAAGGTTCACAGTGACCTTTGACATTGCCATATTTGTCAAGAATATCGCCATCTTCATCGACAGCACGTCCGATGAGTTTCTTCCAATCACCTTCGACGACTCCACCGACAACATTGCCTTCAGCATCTTCAACAAGGCCCTCTTTGACAACGACGACGCCTTCAAGGCCTGCAAAAGGTCCCTCTGGTTTCGCCTCACGTTCATACGGCGGAATCAGTTCACATCGACCGACAACTTCACCTCGATCATTCCAGATCTGGCCTCTTTCGTCAATAGGACGACTTGCAAGTTCCTTGGGGTTTCCTTCGACAAGACGGCCAATTGGAACGCCGTCAGGTCCGATGACATTGCCTTGCTTGTTCGCTTTGAGGCCTCTCAATTCAGAGAGATCAATCTCCTCTGGTTCTGGCTCGGGTTCGGCTTCAGGCTCCTCGTATCTCTCGGCATGGCCGACGACATTGCCTCGTTTATCGATGATATCACCATCTTCATCCACTGCACGGCCAACGAGTTTCTTAGGATCGCCTTCAACAATGCGTCCGACTTTAATGCCATTTTCATCTTCAACCCACCTGTCCGGAACCACGGTGAGACCTCCCAGGCCGGCAAACTCAGTCTCTTCTTCGTTGTCCTCTTGTGGCAGGGTCTGGGCTCGTCCGATGACATGGCCTTTGCTGTCCCAGAATTGTCCTTGATCGTCACAAGTGACACCAAATTTCCAGATCTTCTTAGCGTCCCCTTCAACAAGTTCACCGACGACGTTTCCATCTTGGTCAACAATCTTGCCGGCTTTGTTGACCTTGAGTCCTTCGAGGATAGACAACGGAGGCAGGCCATCACCGAGGCCTTCAACTGCCTCTCCCACTTGTTCTTCGGCTTCCTGGAGAATCATTTCGACCTGGCCAATGACATTTCCATCCTTGTCCCAGACCTCACCTTTGTCATTCAACTTTTTGCCAGCGACGGCGGCAAGATCGCCTTCAGTCAGTTGGGCGATTGGGTCACCATCCTCATTGAGGACCATCCCCTTCTTATTGACCTTGAGGCCCTCCAAGATGGAAGTGTCTGGAAGGTCTGGGACAGCCTCTCGAACCTCAACAAGGCCTTCTTCAACAGCTCCTGGGAGAAACTCGACTTTGCCGATGAGGTTTCCATCCTTATCGAGGATTTCACCTTGGTCACTGATTTTCTTGCCTCGCACAGCCTCGAGGTCGAAGCCGTCGGCCAGCTTGGCAATTGGATCGCCATCTTCGTTGACAACTCCTCCCTTCTTGTTGACTTTGAGACCTTCTAATTGAGAGAAGTCAGGAACGCCGACCTTGTCGACAGCATCGCCCGCTTCCTTAGCCTGTTTCTCTCCATCTTCAAGGGCGTGCTGTGCTTCTCCGAGTTGTTCAACAAGTTGAGGATGGAGTTCCTTCATTGCTTCCTCTGCAGCTTCACCCATGACGACTTCGACGCGGCCAATGACATTGCCATCTTTGTCAAGAATTTTGCCATTGTCGTTAGGGGTCTTGCCGGCACATGCCTTGGGATCGCCTTCAACGAGTGTGGCCAGGACTTCTCCTTCGTCATCGATGATATTGCCTTTCTTGTTGAGTTTGCGCCCGTCGACGACGGTGAGATTGGGTTTCAATTGTTCTTGAATATCTTCAACCCTGTCGAGTGGCTCTTGGACAGTTTCTGGATGAGCTCCGTTGACACCCTCCAGGGCTTCCGTGGCCCTCGGGAGAACTTTAGCACGCCCGATCACATCACCATCTTCGTCCAGAACTTCCCCTTCGGCGTTAAGAGTTCTGCCAACAAGATCGGCTGGATCTCCTTCCGTGATCTTGCCCAGTACATTACCGGCAGCATCCTTGATGGCACCATCTCCTTGTACCTCAAGCCCCTCAAGGGCATCAAGACCAGGAAATCCTCCGGCGGCATCTTTGACAGCCTGTTTGACTTGCCGAGGAAGAGTCTCTGCGCGACCGACGACATCACCATCCTCATCAAGGATTTCGCCATCGGCGTTCAATGTCATGCCGACCAAATCTCTTGGGTCGCCTTCTGTGATTCTACCAAGTACATGTCCTTCCTGGTCCAGGATATCTCCATTCTCTTGAACTTCGAGCCCTTCGAGGACATTGATATCCGGCAGGTATGTTTGGACCACCTCTCCTGCACCCTGCTTGATACCATTGACAGCGTCGCCGGCGCCTTCAGCAGTCTCGCCGATCTTGTCTTTGGTCTGACCAGCAAGGTGTTGTGCCACTTCGGGGGCCAGGGTCGCACGACCGACAACGTCGCCGTCTTCGTCGAGGATTTCACCGTCGTCGCCGATTTCGTAGCCTTCTAGATCAGCTGGATCGCCTTCCTCGAGCTTGCCAATTGGGTTTCCAGCCTTGTCGAGAATGTCACCATTTTCACTAACTTTAAGGCCTTTAAGAGAAAGGTCGACGGGTAGTGGATCTGTGACACCTTCGGCGGCCTCCTTCGCATTGTTGGCAGTCTTATTTGCAGTGTCTTTAGCAGCCCCTTGGACATCGCCCTGTGAGACCTTACCAGCAGCGCCAGTTACGATGTCCTTGGTGCCCCCGACACGGCCGGCAAGCTTCTTTCCCCTGCCGGTGAGCCCACCTGCTGTTGATTTGAGTCCCCCCAGGGCTCCAGATCCTTTACCCTCTGCCTCGTCTTCCGCTTCTTCGGCAGCGTCTTCCCCTTCCCCAGGAGCTTCCTCGGTTTCTTCGCCTTCTTCGGCACCTTTGCCTTTGGCGGCATCATTGACACCGCCAACTGTCTCGTCCTCTTCACTATCGGGTACGGATTCGGGGTTCGCTTCAGAAAATTCGCTGACATTGGCGAGCGAAGTATTTTTGGCACCTGCGTCGTGACCTGGTTGACTGACTTTGCCGCCGGGCTCTTCAGTATCTTTCATGCTGATTCTCTGTTGAGCTTCCTCCTCAGCTTCCTCGGCCTTTTCAGTGACATCTTCGGCAGCCTTTGGTCGAGGGGGAAGCCTAGGTGAGTCTTCTGATTTCTTTGGGGTCGCTTTCGAAGCGCCTAGCTTGGGAGGTTTTCGGCCTGGCGTAGCGGCTTTAGGAGCATCTCCGCCTGTAAGCTTGGAGGCGGATGATGAAAGAGGGTTCTTGCCACTCTTTGTTGGTGTTTCCGGAACAACACCCGATCTGCCTGCAGCTGGGGATGGCATTGTGCTTTGGTCACTTCTCACTGCCTCTGGTGTAGTTCCCTTATAGGAAGATGGTCCTCGGTTGGGAGTTGGGGGAAATGAATAATACCTGTATGATGTCGATGAAAGTCGGTTGCTTGTCATCAGCTAGTTAAAAATACAAATTCACGGTCGACCGCTGCTATCAATGTAAGCGGCACTTCTTTCAATTTGCTCTCTGGAGACGAATGTACCAAGGGGGTAGGATGCAGATAGAGAGGATGAACTTGAAAGACCGGAAAAGAAAAGAGACAGGTGCAGGATCGGAGAGGAGTTTCTGATCAAGTATATTGGAAGAATTGACTACGTCACCGTTCATCTTTACCTTCCTGGTAGAGAGATATACAAGAGGCTTTCCTCATTGTAAAAGAGCTGGTCCCTCAATGTGGCTGACCGTGACATGTTTGAGACGGTGGCATTGCGTCAGAGCAGACGATTAAATCTTCATGAGGAAAGAATGTGGCACAGAAAGCTTGGGTCTGGACATGGATTCCAGAGGGATTCCGTCGAATGGCATGAAAGGATGAGGGAACGGCAGACATGATACAGGGTCCTATAACCAATCCGAATTGAAGACCGAGAAAGATGGGAAACTGGAAAGCCTCTGGCAAGAAAGCCATGTCATGAAAACAAGGGTGACAAGGTACAATGTCGGCCAGTGGATAACCTGATGCCAGTCAGCTTTGTAAACTCGATGGCCAGCCTCAAGGCCGTGAGAACTTCTGATGGGCTTATCTGACAGCTTTTGGACAGCGTGCACTAGACCACAGCAATGCTGCATACCCGGAGTTCGATTTGCTGTGTCGATTATGTCGCCTTTTTTGAAGCCCGATTGACGAAATGTTCACGAAGCTGCTGTAGGGAACCGGGGTTGTCGACGTTACCACAGACTTTGGTGAGATGTAGCTTGAGAACGGAAAGGGTTTCCGAAAGATTTGTTGCACCGCCGCAGCACAAGGGAGAATTGGATCGTCATCGTCGATAGAGAACAGGTTTTCAAACTTGTCGCACCCTCCTTTTGCTGCCTGCGTCACTTCTTCTCCTCTTGCTCCAGCATCTTAACCTTATCGTAGTCTTCAGATGGCTTGGTCATCTCGGAGTGCCCTTCCTCTAGTATTCAGTGCTCGTTCAGAATGCTGTCGAGGATTGGCATTCATTCATTGTCCTCGTATCCAACGCTGATCATCGACGCCACCGCCGTTGATCGAAGGGAGAAAGTACAGGCGAATGAACCGAAGTGGCCAGTCCAGGGATACAAGTCGAGAGCCACAGCTCTCAATTGGTTTTAATAGCTTATGATGGTTAAAGTGGATGGATAATGGTGGACTGGAGGACCCGTGGTTGGTGATCGATTGGTGGTGAGAGAGGAAGAGACTCTCCTCCATCCGGAGCGTGGAAACTCCAGGCCAGGGATCTGGCCAACTTTTAGCGGGCCACCACACTGTGTGTGACATCACTTTACACTAAACATCCTCGGTTTCTTCTTTTTTTTTTAAAAAAACAAAAATTTTCTTTTGTAGCCACATACAAATGAAAGGCAAAATCCTCCACCAATTGACCAAGACGGGGGTCTGCTCAGAGAATCGACCATTATGTAGAGTAGTGTTCATGGACATCTCTCCCTCGTCTCCAACAGCGTTGTCGCCTTCATCTATTTCCGACTCATCTGACAAATTTTCGTCGGATTCTTCTGGTACGTTGTACTTGGAAATTTTGGGATGGGTCGCTGATCGGTACAATGCCATTCACGCTGTGTTCGTAGAGCTCATCCTTAGCCCAGACTTTTTCATCGTTCTTCGCCCAAACAAGGAGACCTTGCTCATCGACTCTTACCAGATTCAACCGTTCTTTTCTCAAGAAATACCGAACTTGTTCTTCTCCAATCGAGCTCTGCTGCACTCTGGAAACTCCAAATAGAAGAAGTTCTAGTCGGTATCTTGTGTTTTCCAGTTGTTGTGATATTTGCGCAGTTCGGCCATGTCAATGTTTCTAGTCTACCATTTCGAGAAAGTATTGCAGATCCATCGTTTTGCCAGTTTTCTTTTCCTGTTCGGTGGTCTCGGCTCGTCTCTTTCTAGCTTCTCCTTCCCGTCGCGACGGGTTATTCGGTGATGCCCCTCTAGACGCACTCAGATCGTCAGAGGAAAAGTCAGATACCATGGTGAGCCGGTCGTCTGCGCCAGCTCTTCGAGCAATTTCGGTTGCTCAATTCCGATTTCGAATTTTTGCAGGGAGATTGGACTTATGACTCCGCTGCCATCTCCATCATGTGCAGCATGTTCCTCATAAAAGGTAGGGGTTCTCGGAATGGTATGTTCACGGAATTGAGCATCTCTCACTGCCTGCGCCGTCAGAGGCTTAGCCACACATATAGACAGACAGGGGACAAAACTGACCTCATAATCCCCCTGTCAAAGCATCCCAGTCAAAACTCTTCAGTTATCTTTGGGCGCGATGACCTCTATGTTTTCTAGGTCCTTGTCAACCTGAGTCTAAATAGCCACGTTCTTACTCTCTTCTGCTTTGAGGTGTGTCCTGGGTTGTTGCGAGGCACCGCTGAGCCCTCGGGCACGGGGTAGCCATGCTCGAAGGCTCTCATGTCAATGCCCGTGGCAATCATCGAAGAACTTGGTTGGAAAAGTTGGGGATGCGCTACACGTGAGGCCGGAGACAAAATGCCGACCCCGCATCAACCAACGAGCAACCTTGCAACAGCAGAAAAGATCCTTTCGCCTCACTGAAGTGGCAGTATATAAATGGATCGTGTTGAATGAGCAACCTGCAAAATTTCAAACTGCGTATTCCTCGTTCTCCAAGTGGGACTTCCTCGAAAACGTTGGCCTCGCCCACATTAGCAGCCTCGACCCTGGATTCGGGCCCGGGATTAACAGGAGCTTCTTTAGTCGAAAGGTATTGCCCAGTTGGCCCAAAGTTCCAACTGTCAGCCATATGTTCAGAGTCAGGCCCTGAGACCAGATGCATCTCTACGACTGCTTTGGCTGCAGCCGCCACCAATTTGGCTTTAGCTATGCTGCTGGACTCTCTTCCGTGAAGATTCGTCATACCACAATCTGATTTATGTGTTGCGCTGAGTGAGACTACTGACTCCGCCTACGGCGAGAAAGGAGATCAACTCACCTGTGTGATTCACAATAATGATCTCATTGGGCTTCTGAGCATCCCAGTAGTACGAGACTTGGGCAAAAAGCCTCAGCCATAGCTGGCGATATATATGTTAGGGAGCCATTTGTCACGAGAACCAGGAGTCGAAGATATCGATGAGAGTATTCAACGCAAATTGAGGCAAGTCAACGGGACAGAGAGTTGTGTGATACAACAAATGTCTCTTTTAAAGCGAGTTTGATCTTAGTTGACGCTGTCTTACCAGTCCAATTCCGGGTGCCCTGAACGACCCGCCCCATAGGCCCTCCCTCAACAGCCAACTCCAGCGCCCACGCAAGTTTCTTTGGGGGCCACATTATAATGAAGTCACACGTTACTAGGTGGGCAACGGGCATTGACATAAAGCTGTCACAGGTACCCACAAACCAGTTGGTTATATACAAAGCTCGGACTGATATATGTCTCGGGGAATTGCGTAACTCGCTTGCAAAGGACGCTGACGAAGTGGGGTTCATTCCCTGCAGTCGTACATCTTCGTAAGGCAGAAGAAGGCTTCGCAAATCAGGAGTGTGACGACTTGTTGACTACTGGATCTCCGCCTGCTAGTGAGGATATTTGTTGGGCGTTTCTCGCTGCATCCTTTAATTGGAGAATTGACCGACTATTCAGTCTGTTGTCAGTGAAAGGTTTGCACAAAAAGGGACAGCCAAAAATTTGTTGATTTTATCCACATTCGATTGTCCAGTCGTATCGCCTTATCTGGTGGCGTTTCCGGTGGATCTCCCAGCATGACGTGGGGGTTTGCCATGACCCGCGGGGCTGGGGGAAGTATTCTATGTTTTCAAGCAAACGAATCAGATCGACCTGTAGCCTTTATTCGTAATCGGACGGCGATTCCATAGCTACTCTGGCCTCTCCTTTCTCAAAGGATCGACTTTCTTCGGAATAGGAAGCTGATAGACGATCATGGCTGCGCCCAAAATGTCTTGTGTTCTTGTAACTGGAGGAACAGGATTCATAGGAGCCCATGTCGTGGATAATCTTCTGGAAAGAGGTTTGAAAGTTCGAGTGGCTATTCGGAATTTGAAGAAGGGCGAACTATTGCGTGATGCAAGACTGGAACACGCCTCTAAACTGGATTTTGTCCAAGTCGCTGATTTTGCCAAAGCCACTTCTTTTCATGAAGCTGTTCGGGACGTCGAGGGGATAATCCACGTCGCCAGCGTAAGTCCGCATATGCATCTCCTTTCCCCTCTCCCCCAAAGTGGTCCAACGAAACGCTAAGTGGAACGGGTCATTATCCAGCCGTTGAATTTCGGCGTACAAGACAACGAGAAAGACTTCATATTACCAGCCATCAATGGCGTGAAATCAATTCTGGAGGCCACTGCCCAAGCACCTCAAGTTCGACGGGTCGTCATCACGTCTTCTTTCGGGGCGGTGATCAACGCTGACAGAAAGGCACCGCCACGCTTCACTTACACTGCAGCAGACTGGAACCCGTTGAGTTATGAGGAAGCTGCCGACAACAAATCTCCTCAAATTGTGGCCTACCGTGGTTCGAAAAAATTTGCCGAATTAGCTGCATGGGAGTTTGTCCAAAGAGAGAAGGTCAACTTCGATATGGTCACTTTATGTCCCCCGTACGCACACCCTGTTCTTTGCTCTCAAGGCCCCGGATCATTGTGAGACTGACCAAAACAGAATGGTTTTTGGGCCAATTGTGCATCCGGTGGCCAGGATGGACGAGCTGAATGACAGTGCTGCCAGACTGTGGGAGGTAGCCTCCGGATCAAATCCCATGCCCGTGGCGAGGGTTCCGTTTTGGATTGATGTGAGGGATTTGGCCCAAGCACACGTCGAAGCACTCTTGAGACCTGGGATAGGCAACAAACGGTTCACGGTAGCGTCACCAGAAAGGTTCTCCTACCAGAAGGCGGCCGAGATCATCATGAGTGAGTTTGACTGGGGCAAATCACGAGTGTGTCAATCAGGAGGCAAACAAGAGATCGATGACTCCCACGATTTGGATGGGGAAACAGCAGCGAAAGAACTAGGGCTCACATATCGATCTTTTCGAGAGTCTGTGGTCGACTTTGTCACTCAAGCGACAAAGCTTGAAGAGATGCAAAAATCACAAGCACAGGAACCGGCAGAGGCATAAGGAAGGGATAGCCTCGCTGGTGGCTGGTCTTTGACAACAGAAAGTGGATGAAATCAATAGAAGGCCTGAAGCCGAGCGTCGCCAGCTTTTCTCCACCAAGACTGGAGGATCAAATTTCCCCTTGAACCGGAACCGTGTTATGAAAAAGATGACTCTCCTAGAAGTGTGCACCGCGAGATTGCACTATCCAGTACGGGCGTCGCTCGATAAAGAGGGCGAACTCAGAAGGGAGCGAGTCAAGAATTTCGGGTCAGTTGACGAGGCGAGGGTCAGACTCAGACTCAGCTGACTCGTTGGAGAAGTGGTTCTCTCCCCGCTTTTCTTTCCGACCGTTTTTCTCCTTTGCTCAAATTCTTTTGCTTAGCAAATCAACCACAACATTGTCCACGAACTGATGGATGCTCTGGATCCCTATCCATTCTTCTTATTGGTCAACTGATTGGCAGACAGTGCGGTCTCACTGCAGTAGCTGCGAGAAACCCCTCCGAGCGCGCCACTACCAGCCGTGTCTCGAGAACAGCAAACTCGAGAATTGGTGTTGGGCGCTAAATGTGTCTCGAGAACTCTCCTGGTCCCCAGACCCGCAGGGTTGACAAAGCGCCTCCAGAATTGCTCTTCTCCTACGACTTGCCCCACTCCTCTCTGCCAGCCTGAAAGCTCACTGGCCACGGAAAATCTCCTAATGCTTTTTCTTGCTCGTCCAAGATTTTCGAGGCATGTCGAGTCGGTCGAGTCGATCGTGTTGACGAGCTTACGAGGTTAATCGTGACACTCCAAACCAGATCGAGATATGCAGCAGAATGGGGCTGCAAGAGCCGGGAAAACAAAACATCCACCGGAAAAAAGGATGTCTCGTTTAGCTGTGCTGGGTGAAAATGGTCAGCACCGTGGATAACTCGGCACCGGACGAGAATCGGGTCCGCTCCACTCCTATCAATGAGACAGCAGAATTCCTAGCTTAGGCTGCTCTGTGCGCTTTGATGCGGAAATGCTGTGGCGTCCAGCGTCTTATCATTACCTTTCTGAACTGTTCTCGTGGGGATCTTGAAGGGCCGGCAGTGGGGATATTTATTTCTCTGTTCTTCTCCACGTGTGGACTAGGGGTTTTTCTCCATCCATGACCGAATCCGGAGACGTGCCCAGTGGGTGGTTCGAGTTGGCCACAGACCCAACCCCCCCCCTTCCAAGCCTTTTTCTGGCAGCCCTCTCTTCCTGAAAGATTTGAGTGAATTCTGAGGACTACTAACGGTAATTGGTCTTTCGACTAACCAATTTCTCCCCAAAGTCTGGATTGACCCCAGTCTCGATCGCTTGCACATCCAATCGCTGACCGGGACACATGTCGTTCGCATCGAACCGGGGTAGTCCGGGGTACCATGAGGAAAATTCTTTTCTCATGGGCCAGTTCTTGTCGCGCCATCGACGCTCATTGATGGAACTAAGGTCCCTTCGGATCCGTACACAATTTCTCCATATCAATTGACCATAGCCCACGCTTGAACTCCGTGGCCCCCCTTCTGGTAGATTCTTGTTTCTTTTCAACATTTCTCTTTCTTCTTCTGTGTGCCCTTGCGAAGAAGCACAGCGTCCTCTATGACAAGTCACTTCCCTCTCACATCCTCAACAGCCGCCTTCGCCTCGTGCAAACGGAATCCAAGTATACATGGCACCGACTTTAGCTTGTACCATGCATACCCAGAGTAAGAGGAAGCCGTCGACGGCTGGGCTGCTTCCTGGTGGGAGGACGGTAAAGCGGAGAGCGTCCAAGGCTTGTCACTGTTGTCGTTCACGGAAAGTGAGATGCGACGTGGTCGAAAGTGGGATTCCTTGTACCAATTGCAGACTCGATGAAGTAGAGTGTATAGTCACCGAAGGGAAACGACGAAGAAAATCATATGCAGACGGGGAGCTCTTTCATCACTCACCCTGCAATTCCATTGAGGAGGAAAAGGAGCCGCCTCAGTTCCCCATCTTTGACGATATTGATGGTCTCAACGAATTTGTCCCGGGTCTCACCTCGGCCGAGCCAGTGTCGAATTCCCATGCTCTGGAGTACGAGCTCAATCACCACAGACCTCATATGCTTTGTAAATCGGCCCATTCTCTTTGGTCCTTCTTCCCGCTAACGGAGATCCCTTCAGATCAAACACAAGGCCACCGTTTGAGCCCGGAGGAGCGAACTCGACGCATGTACGCCATGGGCAACAAACCTCTACCGTCACCTCTTCCACTGACTTCCGGCACGCCCTCCTTCCCGCCGCAGTCCAGTCGACCAGATGTGTCTTTACCACCCTATATCCAACCCATTTCACCCCGGATCATGACGGAAGATCTGGAGTATCTGCAAAAGAAAGGAGCGTTCATCATTCCAGAGACGGGCTTTCGCAACGAATTGCTCCGTTGCTACGTGCAATACGTGCACCCTTTTTTGCCTCTGATCGATCTCCAAGACTTTCTCCATACCATTGATAAAAACCAGCCGACCGATGCCATCAGCCTTTTGCTTTTCCAGGCCGTCATGTTTGCGGCGACGGCATACATTGACATGCGATATTTGGTCGCACAGGGATATGTGACCAGGAAAGCCGCCAGAAAATCTTTCTTCCATAGAGTCAAACTCTTGTACGATTTCGACTACGAAATCGACCGTGTCACCGTCGTCCAGGCCGTGTTGTTGATGACCTACTGGTACGAAAACCCAGATGATCCCAAGGATGTTTGGCACTGGTTAGGGGTGGCCATTTCGGTGGCCCGAACCATCGGTCTCAACTGTGACACGTCCAATGCGTCATTGATGAGCTTGCAGCAACGTCGGCTCTGGAAACGGATTTGGTGGTCATGCTTCATGCGCGATCGACTGATTGCCATTGGCATGCGTCGCCCCATGCGGATCAACCGGGGGGATTTTGACGTGCCCATGCTGGAGCTCTCGGATTTTGAGATCGATCCCTTACCGACCGAGCTCACTCGCATGCTCGGTGGTTGTCCCGCCGTCAAGGACACTTCCAAGCGAGTCACTCTCGCCATGATGTGTATCGGTCTCGCCAACCTTTGCGTTTGTATCACTCAGGTCCTGGCTGTTCAGTACTCCACCCTGGGACATAAGATTGGGGCCACCCAAGAGACGACCATGCGATTGGTCCCGAAAAAGTCAGCGGCAGACCCATGCGACGTGGTTCGATGCGATCGAGAGCTCGAGCAGTGGTACAAGGGGCTGTCACGTGAGCTTCACTATTTCGCTCCGGATTCTCATGAGCGAACGAGTGCCAACGACGGAGACATCATCAATCTGCACCGAGCCCTCCTCACAGGAATATACTTGACCGCCATTAGCGCGTTGCATCGACCGCAAATTCTGCCATCGGTGCCCAACGTCGTTATCGCCCCGGAGCTTCGAGAGCTGTCGAAGAGAAAGGTTCGCGAGGCGGCGAATGATATCACGGATATGTACAAGGAATTGTTTGCACACGACCTGATTAGATACCTACCCAACACCGGCGTGACATGCCTGTTGCCCGCGATTATAATCCACCTCCTCGACATCAAATCCCCCGATACCAATACGCGACAGGCCAGCATTCGTAAATTCCAATTCTGCATGCAAGCCCTGCAGCGACTGCGGGAAATGTATGCTTCGGCAGATTTTGCATTCTCGTTCCTCGATGCCGCGGTGCGAAAGACCAACGCACAAGTTACGGCCGCTGCCACGGTGGCCCCAACCACGAACGGACCATTCTCACCCACCAGCACGGTCATCGACCACAAGAAGGCACCACCAGGCCCGTTGCTTCTGACGCCACCTCCCGAAGCCATGCAAACCGCCAACTTCTTATTGTTCAGCTCAACGTTAGCGCCCGACGAGCGGAATTTCATTGCCGAATATACTCCGCCTCGGTCCGATGCGAGCTTGAATTCGCAGACAACAGGAGGAGCCGCCGCGATGCTGGCGGATATCGCAGAGGATGAACAGACTGGTGATCCAGAGGACCTGGCACAACCTGATTTTGACACGCTGGTTAACTTGGAAGGCGGTAGTGATTTGTTCTCGGGCGTCGAAGGTGGTCTCGACATGAGTATGCAGTGGCTGAATGGATTTGATGACGATGACCATAACGTGAAGACTGAAGCGCTCTCGTCGGACCAACAGGATAGAGCAGAGGAACCACTCAATGGATTGGCCTATGCGGAACAGTCTCTGATGGGAAATAGTGACCTTGACATGGATTTGGGGGTTCAGGAAGAGTCTTAGATCGAGTATTTGAGATCGGAAAAGAATTATACCCGATGAATTACCATGGGTGGCTATACATAGCATATACTTCAAGTCATTCCTCTTTCTCTGAATGAAAATGGTTCGAATGAAGTTGGCCCATAATCGTCAAACCCCGGGTGGATGTGGCTGAAGCTTAGAATTGGTGATTGATTGGTGGGTGGCTTCACCTGCCATATTTGTCTTCCATTTCTTTTCTGCCTCTTGCTCTCAAGGACTGAAATGAGCTCCTTCAGAGCTCAGGTTTGTTCCTTTTTGAAAAACGCAGCTGGAGGCGTGTTTCTTAGGTTTTCTTATCTATTCAGCCCCAACCGAGGCCCTATGCAGTAACGAGACGGGTTTCCCGTTCCCACCGCGGACCAACCATGCACCCATGGATCCAACAGCTTCTCTTCCTTGACCTCCGCCATCCGTTACCCCACCTCTAACTCAGTCCTGCGATGCCTCTTTTTCCCCTCCCGCCAACTGATCGACGGTGTCAGGCTGGGGCGTCCCTTGCGACGTTACAGTACCTCGCAGGCCGACCAGTGGCAACAGAGATAACAAGATAACGCACCCTTGACCAGCCCTCGGACTCTATACCGTCGCCTCCGACAATCCTTTTTTAATCCGTGGGTATCCATGATGTGAGGGACACAAAAGCCAAGTTGTGCAGAAGCAATGCCACCCAATGCTTGACCTCAAGGCACAAGACAGGAATAAGACTTATTGTCTCGGGCGGGCACTTCTTGCCTCGAAATTCTATTTCCAGGTCTGTTCTCTAGCAAGACCTTGAAGGCAGTGTGCGAAGCGGAGAAATCTTGGAAAACAAGTTGATCGATAAATATTTTGTGCATGGAACATCCGTCAACGACGCCATGGTACCTGGAAACGGCCAAGGACCGACCCTGTCCAAGCTCTGTCCTCTAAAGAGCTCAATCTTATCGCAACCCTGTATGGTACAAAAGTCCAAGCTCCTCACCAAGCTCTTGTCGATTTGCCCATCCTCACTTTCGCTACCTGCCACAAAAGGTTTGGTTATGAAAGAGATATGAGAAACGATCCGGCACTAGCCCCCGGTTGGAAAAGTTTCTCACTTTTGAGCATCTCCAACAGTCTCCACCAGATGATTGACGGTACCTGATATCCCTGCCACGATGCTACCTATGTCACGATCAACGTCATCGAATGTTGACAATCCCGACCGAGTCAACTTCTCGACAAATGACCAGCTCTCTAGGATTTCGTCTGGAGCACACCTCGGCTGATACACCAGTCATAAGCTCGAATGAGCTTCAAACTAGCGCAGGCACTAGCATGATTGTTTGCTCAGCATGCGAATATTACCATGGCCAAGAGAGCTGTTGAACATGGTTGCAGATGATCAAGGCGGAAGAATCTTCTGCTACATAACCTCTCGCGCGCTCAACTCAACCGGTGAACGTTACCTTCAAGCAGGTGTTCTGTTTCTTTCGGCTCCCGGCTCAGTCCTAGCGCAAGAACAAAAATATTTGTCCAACTGGGACTCCCAGTTTCTCAATCTTGCACTTTCTTCTCTCAACGATGCAGGTTGGCAAATTCGTCCCCATTGTGGGCGCGTTCGTTGCTGCAGTTTCTGCAATTCCTGGCCCGACAGTTCACAATAAGAGAGGTGGCCCTAAGCTTCAGGTCTTGCCTCGACAATTACCAGCAGAGCCGACCGGTGTCCAGACGATCATCACGCCGAATGGAGTGAACATCACCTATAAGGAACCCGGTAAAGAAGGGGTGTGCGAGACCACTCCAGGCGTCAACTCGTATGCAGGCTTCGTCAATCTTGCGGAGGATATTCATAGTTTCTTCTGGTTCTTTGAGTCTAGACATGACCCGGCCAATGATCCGATTACCTTGTGGCTCAACGGAGGACCTGGAAGTGACTCGATGATTGGCATGTTCCAAGGTAAAAGAAGATGGCGCGTCCAAAAACTCGGTATCTACAGCTAACCACAGGCAGAGCTCGGCCCGTGCAATGTCACCGAAGATCTTGTGACTCAGTTGAATCCCTATGCCTGGAATGAAGCCTCGAACATGATCTTCTTGAGTCAGCCCTTGGGCGTGGGATTTTCGTACGGTTCCAAGGTGCCGATAAATGTCGAAGTGAGGAAAGAGACGACTTCTGACAAGAAATCAGGAACCCGGGTCTTTGGACGAATTTCTTGGAAACTTCGTACCGGCTTCTGAGGCCGAAGTGACCGGAAGATATCCGGTGATCAATGCGTCTGCGATTGGTTTGTCCAACCGCGTTCTCCTGGCAGTTTCAACCGCTCATAATTCATCTCAGATACCACCGACCTCGCCGCAGTCGCTGCTTGGGAAGTTCTTCAAGGATTCTATTCTGCTCTCCCACAACTGGACTCAAAGGTCCAATCGACACAATTCAACCTGTGGACTGAATCTTATGGAGGTATTTATTCCAGTGCAAGATACTTTTGGCCACATACTAACCACTTTTATTTTGGGTTCTAGGACACTATGGCCCGGCCTTCTTCCACTATTTCTACGAACAGAATATGATGATCCAGAATGGCACCACGACCGGCAAATCGTTCGATTTTGTCAACCTAGGAATCATCAACGGCATCATCGACGAATACATCCAAGCACCCTATTACCCCATCTTCACGCAGAAAAATACCTATGGCATTCAGCTCGTCAACGAGACCGTATATGACTACATGAACTTCGCCTGTTTCATGGGATATGGATGCTTGGATCAGATCCAATACTGTGCCCTCTCTGATACCTCAACCCTGAGCGGTCAAGCCGTCTGTACCGAGGCAGCGAACATGTGCCGCGACAACGTCGAAGGCCCCTACTACGTCTTCGGAGATCGAGGAGTCTATGACATTCGCCACCCCTACGATGACCCTACTCCTCCAGATTACTTCGTCGATTTCCTCAACCTGGCATCCACCCAGGAAGCTCTTGGCGTGGATACCAATTACACGCAAACGGCAAACAGCGAAGTCTACTACGCGTTCCAGCAGACCGGCGATTTCGTGTATCTGAATTTCCTCTCCGACCTCGAGTCGATCCTCAACTCTTCTGTGCGCGTGACATTGGTATACGGCGACGCAGATTACATCTGCAATTGGCTCGGCGGAGAAGCGGTGTCCAAGGCGGCACAATGGGCATATACGGACGAATTCAACGCCGCAGGATACACTCCATTCCTCGTCGATGGCGTCGAGTACGGTGAGACGCGCGAATACGGCAACTTCTCCTTCACTCGTATCTACGAGGCTGGCCACGAAGTGCCGTACTACCAACCCATTGCGTCGCTAGCTTACTTCGAGCGCGCTATCAGTGGATTAGACATCGCGACCGGCACTTTCAAGGTCGATGGAACAAATGGCGGGACGACAGGTGAGGCGGAGGCGACGCATACTGAGCCATTTGTGCCGCTGCCAAGTTCCACCTCCTCGGAGGCGGCGACAGGTACTGCGCTGGCGAAGCATGATCCTATTATACCAATCAGGGGCCGACGGTGGGAGTCTTGAACGGGTATCTGACGGGCATTGAGCGGGCTCGAAACCTGAAAATCGGTGTCGATGAGTCTCGTGAATATCTGAGTCCGCTGGATTGAGTAATGAGGATGATACCTAGGAGAACTATGAAATGAAAAAGCATAACTATCAAAAAGTGTGTCTTGATTGACATGGTATCCAAGCCACCAGCTAAATTAGTCAGTCATACCAGAGTCATCATTGTAGTATTAGTCAAACAGTCGCCCTGTTAAGATTCCTGAACAAGCCGTGATTGAATAAGGAAAGCCTCTTTCTCCATCCAGGTCGATGATCATACCCGAGTAAGATGCCCTCAATCAGTGCTCCGAACTAGTCGATCATATTGCCGATATATCGGTATTGACAGATATCGATACCGTCATCGTCGATATCGCCGATCCCGAATATCGGTCCCGGCGCGCCGGGGACCTGGGAATGTGGTGTAGAGGCTTGCGATACGGCTACTAGCCAGTGTTCTCTATCCCTCTGCCACTCTGTCCTCAGCGAGCTTGGTGCTGCCTCTCCATCTGTATCACGGCCCGGAAACTCTTTCATGGAGAGGTATTGAGTGGATAGATCGGCCACCAAATAAGAGGAATCCTAATCGACAGCGATAGCGAGGTGAGCAACACCAATAGTGGGGAGTGGCGGTATAACCAATGAGGAAAGCCGGCAACAATATCGGCGATGTATCTGGCAAATACCGATACATTGGGCTCAGATATCGGCGACGAGATCGGTATTTGCTAGTTCGGAACACTGCCCTCAACGGTGTTCTGGATGTTCCTGATGGACTGTTTGACATGCTTCGATCCCCGAGATGAAAAAGGTGGCATGGCGATAATAGTGAGTCAATGTGTTGAAATCGATATCGAATCCGTCGCTCTAGGAAAGTATAGATATGCCGAATTGGCGATGCTGGGATGCAAAGCCGCCAAAGTATCCGACGCCCAATGGTTGGAAGGTGAAGGTGAAGGTGCATCTAGTCTATTTCAACATTGTCAGTGCGAGGCAACGATAGATAATAAACTGTGTTGAGGAGGATGAAAAATATGAACAAGTTGCCCACCAGTACGAGAGAAAGATGGAACCTGCTCTAGACAATCTTGAAGGAGCACCTACCTTGGCATAGCTGCTTTGGTAGGTTCCCTTCATCTCCTTCCGTCGGCTCGTCGCCACGAATGTTTCAAACACCATGGGTTCGTTGGAGAAAGAACCACTGTGCACAGCTTTGCGATCGTGCAGCAAGGCCCGTTGGCACGACCGCTGACTACTAACCCACCGCAGAGCCCAGCGATCTCTCCTAAGATCCGGAACCACATAGCATGGTTTACCGCATATATGGCGCCATTTTGGTCGCCGCGGACGAGGGAACGGCTGTGTCCGCTGGCGCGGGAGAGCATCTGCTGTCTAACCTCCCCGACAGAGGGCCGACCACCTGGAGGTGATGGCGAGATCCTAGCTGTGCACTGCGACGTTGCACAAGTATATCTCGCAGGACCCCGATTCCCAACTTTCATATCTCAAGGGGTAATATGAAAACTCTTAAGGCACAAAAGTGAAGGCATCCGAGTCCTCGCCGGCACTGCCTCCCGACCCAGACCCTGACCCAGATCCAGATCCAGAATCAGTGGAATTCTGCTGGCCAAGATAAACGAGATCATCATGACCATCGTCAAGTTCTTGAAAGAATGTTGACCAAGATATTGAGCCAAGATTGTCATTACACTCAGCTTCTCTAGCTGTCCATGCCGCAACAGACGCGGATTCATCAATAGCTGTAGGGCCCGTAGAGCTCGAGCCTTGTTCTGCAGCAATGGAAGGTCTAGATCCAGAAGCAGGCCGCCTATCAACCCTCGTCGATCCGGTCATGGTCAATGGGGAGCCCGTCCTTTGGGTGCTAGACTGGCCATCTTGCTCAAAGGTCTCGAACAACTCACTTGGACGGGCAGTTGGACTCATATGGCCATCTTCTTGAGGATTCTGGACGACATTGTAGGACAACCCGAGATTCGAACAGTGACTTCGAAGCGTTTCACGGAATCTTGATTTAAGAGTGGCTTCGTCATCTGCCCGCAGTTGGTCAAATTGGGCACGAATAGCGGCTTCCTGAGCTCTGAGTGGTGCAAGCAAGGCCTCTTGCTCTCGTTCTCTCCGTCTTCTTCTGGCTTCGCGCTCTTTGACATATCGGTCGAATGCGTCTGAAGTACGGCTGATAATGTCTCTAATGTGCGCGGGCAATCCTGGAGCCAACGAGTTGCGTCGTAAGTAATCTGCCAAGATATCCGAATTCCAATCTTTCAACATCTTAGTTCTATTGGATTCCAAATGATGAGAACGATCTTACATGGGTCGGGAACTTGATCAGACCGAACATTGAATAAGACTCTGTAGAAAGATGCCCATCGAAGTTCGGCAGGAAGTCTTCCGATTGACCTCAATTGAATCCGGGTTTGGGAACTAACATCGCCTCGTTGAAAGTGTCTGGTAAGGACATGACGCTATATTTTGTCAGCATACCGATTTCCAATGGTGTAGTTCATGACGCACTGAGCAGACTGTATCTATTCGAGCCGATTTGAACCCGGCACAGCTGGGAAATCGACAAGGATCACGTTTATAGAAAGGACAAGCAAAGGGGGGATTATTGTTGAGAACCTCATTTTCTTTGACGTCAGCCCGGAACTGTAATCCAGAATCTTCTGACTCAGGCGAATTATTTTGTCTTTGCGCCGAGGGATATTTCGAAGAATTTGCACTGGTCCGAGTCTTCGCCTGTTGCTTCTCTGAACATGGCGGTTGAGTCTTCTCATCGGTTCCTGCCAGCCGGCGCAAAGGCAAATGGCGAACGGTCCGTTGAAAATTGTCGTGTTTCTCACCACGGGGGAAGGCGTGTTGTCGGAGCTGAACATCGCTGATCAAGATGCCATGGTAGGCAAAAAATCGCACGAGTGATGCCGTCACATCGTCGACAAAGGAGAGAGAACCTGTCGACCGCTGGCCGGATGCTGAGCCAACGGGGCTTCCCATAATATCTTTTTTCAAAAGTGCGGATGGCAAGTTGTGCAAGCCTTGATCGATCGGTAAAGGAGAACTTTGCGCAGAGGAGTCACTTGAGGATCCCAATGGTTTGTTGAGGTAGCGAGGGAGGTGGACCTCGTTGTTTGGACTGTTGTCGTCAAGTGTGCTTGGTAGTTTTGAAGAAACATGCCTTCGATGTTCACTAGCGTACGATATACCGATATTTAAAGCAGGCGAGTCAGGCTGAGGCGACGGGCCTTCAGTTGTAACTGGACCTGGGCGTTGTGAGTTTCGAGGTGGACAGAACACATTAGTAAATGGGGATCTACGGTATCCTGGACAAGGTTGCTTTATTCGAGCACATTGCTGACAGCCGGGCCTTTCTCCATCGCACTGGAGAGCAGTGAGTATATGGGTAATCAACAAGTTTGCAGCTTCCAACCTTGATTTTCCGCTTGCGGCACATGCCACAGCATATCGTGAATCTCCCTTTTCCAATCCTGTCCTGCCTAGACGCGGACAGAGGCAAGCTTTTCCATGGTTGTAATAGTGTTTCCGAAGAATCAATGGGCGTTGGCTCGGCAATCTGGGGAGAGGTCGGTTTCTCTTTTTCCCCAGAATTAGTTACGCTCATGTTCGAGGCAGGCAAACCAGTTTTGAGACCTGACGGGTCATGAGCGACATTGAAAGACGCGTGTCGTAATGGTGTATTGATCGATTGAGATCCAAAGAGACCGTCCAGTGTCCCCGCTAATGGGCCTGATGGATGAGATCGGTTTTCTAAATTGTCGGCTTTTGTATCACTCTCGATGTGCTGCGCCTGATTTCGCTCCGCATATTCGTAGTTGAAAGAATCCAGGCTGTCTGGAGAGTACTGGCCACTTAGTGCTCTCTCCTTTCTTACTTCCGCTTCTTGCTCGGCTTTCTTGGGTCTCGTTACCATATCTATCTTGGTCAGTCATGCTAAAATCCACACAGGAGAGGGATGAACCTTTGCTTAGGTTGCTCCTAGGTAAGGCTGCTGGTCCTTCTTGTCCACCGCCTTTCAGTTGCCCTTCCCTCATCGTTAACGTATTGAGGACAATTTCTGGGTTGGCAGATTTTAGAATACAGAACGTCCTGTTTTGCTCCCTCGGGCTGGATTCTGAGGCGGTCCAAATCCTAAGGTCTATCTTTCCAAGGTAATCATTGTGTTTCTGGGCATGAGGATCGTCATCGGCGGGTGGTTGCACTGGCAGGTGTCTATCAAGGCGTTCCAGTTCAGCTACGGTGATCGTATTGCAAGGCTTGCTAGTATCGACCATGACTGATCGGCAGGTGTACTTCCCTTCCGTTGGTCGCAAGATATAGATCTCATTTAGGTGTCCAGTCTGGTCTTGCTGTGCATCTTTTGTTGGAATTCCAGAAATGCTTACACCGAGACTATTCTGCTTAGAATCGTTCATCATCTTCCCACTGCTCAAAAAGGGCCGTCGTTCTAACACTTGGTCAATGAAGTTTCCAACAAGATCAATGAATGTGGCCGCTAACCCCATCTTCGAATTGTGAGATCGTCGTATTCCTCGGATGTTTCAAGGCGTCTCTTTCCCAGCCCACGGGCGAGAAAAGATGTGACCCCGCTATTTGCTGGGATAGGAGAGGATGAGGCTTGCGGCTTAATGGGATCCAAAGATACTCGCTTTCCGAGCTCTGGAGTATTGGACGAATGTGAGTCGGCCATCACAGACACCTTCCAGTCAATTGTAACTTGGTGTAGTTTTGACAAAGGTGGTGGGAGACGCCATGTTCAGAAATAAAATGGCTGAGGCTGAGGTCGCCAGTTGGCGAGTTGCAGGGCTGGGCGCCATGGCGTCAGCCGCTCTGGCTTGTCGCCGACTTGCAACCTCCAACTCTTTTTCTTCTGCCTCTTCTCTTGTGCTCCTTCGGCGCCGTTTCCTCGCCATTTCGCTATTTTTGCGAATCCTTGATCGCCATGTCAACTCCCGAAAGCACCCATTCTCCTCTGGTGGCCGGTCTTTCCAGTGGCCACTTGGCGATCAAGCTCGCCATGCGGCCAGAATATTGTTGATATTATTGACGGTGAGCAAGGGACAGTTGGTACGGCCTCCTCAGCATATAACTCTATATGAGATGATGGAGTGCCTCTCGAAAAATGAATCTCCACCGGATGAGTCTAACAAACAGCCGTCTGAGAGCCGACCTACCACGACCGAGTTTAGCAATGTCGAACCAGGAATCGCAACTTGAGGCTCCAGGAATCCACCAGAATATTGATGACTCAAAGGGTCGACGAGCCCAGCAAATCACTCTGGTCATCAGCCACCATGGTGGGAATGACTTTATTCTCCCGGTCACCATCGATGACAAAACGACCATCGACGACGTGCTTCGCCTGTCACGACAACATATGAAAACCAGCCTTATTCGATCTTCTCTCAAAAAGATTATGCTCCAACGCCTTGGCGTGTCGAGGATTGAGGACCGCGTCGTGAGTTCATGTTGTCCGGATCCTCTTCCTCTGTGGCTAAAGCATGATGTCAGGTCCCGCCCAAAGCAACAACTCATTCCGGTCTAGGAGGCTCCAATACACTCTTGTCTTTCTTCGAGCCTGGCGATGTTCTTCGTGTTCACTGGCAAGTAGACAGGGAGAAATCGAAGATGCTTATGGCGACATTACGCAGCCTGGGGTTCTTGGTCGCATTGATTGCCGGGCTTGGAGTGTGTTAAAAATCAACGGGTAGAACGATACTGCGAGTTTCACTCCGTACCCCCTTTGCACGGCCACTGCTTTATTGAATTGCGGTCGTTTGATGTCTGGAAGAACGATCCTAAGAATTGCAAATCTAGCACTGTCAATCCGACGTATCTCCCCCAATATATCTAGTTAGCCTATATACCACCCTGGTCTCCTCGACTGAAAAAAGAGTCTCATTCAGACTTCTGGACCCCCAGATGCGACCCACCCTCGATAGGTTCACGAATCCGACGTATTCAGCCACTAGCCAGTAGCCTTTTCGTCAACCAATCAAAAGATACGAATTTTACTTCAGGCACCGACATTTCTTCTCCCTTCTCAAATGTGCATCGAGTCTCCAATGCAGGATCTCGGCACGAGCTCTGTACAACCTGCCGCACCTTCAAGCGCATTCCAGTCGTGCTATGATGCCGCTGGCGTATCACGAATGGGATTAACAAGTAGGCACCGATTTTTCCCAACCTCCACAAAAGACCCCAAAAGGATCCTGGGAATGGGTATATATATTCTCTCAATATCTCTATCAACGGTCCAGGTAAGTCGTATCATCGGTGCATATGCATGGTCAAAATGGTGAAGATTATCATCATTGGCGCTGGCATCTCAGGCCTCAGCACATACTTATTCCTCCGCAAACACCTTCTTTCCCAGGACCCATCTTCTGAGCATGAGATAAAAATCTACGAGGCATACGATATATCAAAGTCACATTTCAACACGGCACTGAACGGCACCAACCACCCGGACACCAGTTCTCGGTCCGCCAGGTCTGAAGAACTCGACACCCCTCAAACAATTGGTTCCGCAATCGGACTCTCGCGCAATGGAATCAGCGTTCTTTCCCATCTGGACGATGAGCAAGAAAGTCAGAATACCGAACCAAGTCTGATTGACCAAGTAGCCATGCTCGGTCATCCGATCGCGAGATGGGAAATCAGCACGGCGCGAGGCTTCACACTTGCAGCGATCAATTTCGCCGCGAAAGCGGCCAAGTCCAATTCTAAATCAGCGGGATCGCAAAAGGCCACGAGAAAGGACCACAAGTACCACGGCGTGATGATCGCACGACAAGCGTTCTGGGAAGTCCTCCGCGATCGAGTCCTCAAAGTGGCGCCAAACGTGGTCATTCAGAAGAAAGTCCTGGCCGTACTGATTGGGAATATCAATAGTCGAAGCATCGTGACTTTCGCTGACGGAAGTCGAGAGGAAGCGGATCTGGTGATCGGTGCGGATGGATTGAGGAGTGTAGTAAGGAAAGCCATGTTCAGTCAAAACCAACACCCCAATAACACGGACACGGCAACAGGAACAAGAGCGGAAAGCGAAGGAGATGCTCAAAGCGGGAGCGCAACGCATAGGAGTCGGAGTGAGATTGAGAGCAATCGCGGCTGGGCAGAAAGATGGTTCCCATGCTTCTTCAAAACCACAAGCAAGAATGCAAAGGAGGTCGACTACATCACACCACATTATGAGTATGTCTATCTCGCTCTTCATCCCTAGGCCCCAGATCTCTCCTCTGCTTCCATTTCTCAAATCATGGAATGCGCTAGGCTCACAAATAAACAGAAACCTAGTCGGCATAGGCGGCTTCATCCCTTCCCGCATCCTACAATCAACAGGCCACAAACCAGGCACCATGTCCGTTGTCTTTGGGCCGAATGGATTCTTTGGCTATGGGTATTTAACGTCAACATCGACGCCCCCCCCCACATCCGCCATCTCGACCAGCCCATCACATGAGGACCAAACCAAAGGCAGTGATAACAACAATAATATCTCCCTTCGGAGCCCCGGCCCCTTAGCAGGATGGTGGTCAACATTCTCTTCGCCCACGCCAAACCCGTACCCACCCTCCGATCCTCATTCCTTCAGTACAGGAAATCATGATCCACAAGCATTCAACCGCTCCCTTGCCCTTCAAGCCTTGCTTGTCCGACATGATTGGTGGAAAAACGCCAATATCGCTTCGATCCTCCACTACGTCACATCCGACACCACCAGCTCAGCTTCCACCTCCTCCAGCACAACCAATACTTCCATCACCAGTTCTGGCCCCGGCATCGTCAACGAGAGAATCGCCGGCCTCGACAACCGCTGGTACGCTACCTATACAACCCCCGAACTACCGTACTGGCACATGAACGGACGTGCCATCCTAGTCGGTGACGCGGCGCACGCATTACAACCCAGCTCGGGCCAAGGAGCATGTCAGGCCCTCGAGGACGCAGAGGCACTGGCAATGCTATTGGGTCATTCCCTACACAATATCAACTCCAACTCCAATTCCGATTCAGCCCTATCCAACACCAAAACCAATACCAAGAACAAGACGAGCACGGACACCAAACCCACGACGACAAAAAACAACGCAGAAACGAATGTTCAAGTAGAAACGGCAATATCACAAGCCCTAACTCAATTCCAACGTCTCCGTCAACCTCGCGTGCATATGATCTACGAACGAAGCCAACAGATGAGTCGCATGAAAGGAGACATGTCGTTCGTAGCCGAGTGGACAATGTATCTAGTTATATACATTATGAGTAAGTACACGGATTCCCTTCAAGTTCATACTCCATATTCCCTAGAACATCAATTATTTCTGGACTCCAATGAGCCCTCTATTCCTCCTCTTGAGTCTTTTTCAACCACCACGCCACCCTACCCACCTTGCAAATCCACGCAGAAATCGTGTATATCGTCCGTATTGCATATACCGAGAAGTCATAACTCACTGCTCTTTTCCATTTCTAGATTGGTTACGAGATACCTATAACGAAACATTGTTCGACTACGATTTACCGGCTGAAGTCGAGAGAATTATTCAACGGCAAGAGAATGATCTGGAAAGGTGAAGAAGACCGCTCCCGGACTTCGAGATCCATCTAGAAGCATTTCTACACGTTCTATATTGAGAATGGTTTAGGACAAAGATTCATTCTTCTCAATATTCAAGCTTTTGGTGTTTGTTTTTGGGTGAGCAATGATGACCCTGCCGATAATTCGATATGGGACGTTGTGCTTGTTGAACTGGAAGTCCCAATTCTGTGGGCCAGTCGACCAGTCGCCGAGCGCGAGATCTGATTCAGCGATTTCGACGTGCGGCTTCAAAGACGGTTGATGTTGAGGTGGTGGAAGTCATCGTAGGCATATGTAAACGATAAGGATACTAGGGAGTTGGAAGGGAGAGGGAGGCCGCCGGAGAGGTTACAAACCGGCGAACGATGGCGTCCAACGTTATGCTAGCCCCTTCCTTCCGATGTTGTAGATTTCGAAAATCAGCAAAGGTAGCCATAACCAAGATGTCAAAGACAGTCACACATGGTTTATGCAAGGCAATTACAGCAGGCTTCTCTCTTCGAGTACGAGACGTATGTTCGGCATTTATGTGGAACCTGGTCCGGTCGCCCTATCAAACCCAGTAACAATAGAAATATGTATACGCTTTTGTGGAAATACCTTGAGACTTATACAACACTGCCCCCTTGTAAAGGAGGTTCGTGGGCTTTCCGCTTGACCTTCTCAACAAGGGTCTCATCGTCATGCTCATGTTCAAGTCCCAGCTCTTGGTCATGCACTTTCCGCACTCGACGTAAGGCCCAAAAATTGTAGATGAGGAAGAAGCCGCCGGCAACGCACATACAAGACCCGGTAACAGTTGCCGTGATCTTTGCCGTTACACTCCAAACACCATGTTGGGCCGTATAAACATTGACAAGGGTGGTGATCAAACCGGCGAGTGAATTCATCGTCACCGGCCTGTAAGGGGTTAGCGAGAGTTTTGATTCTGTTTCGCATACGGACGCGCGTACAAGAATATCCGACTAATCAACCAGACATAATTCTTGCGCCACCGAAACCATAACCAAAGGCATCCCACCGCTCCAACAGCGCAAAATGCACCCGAGAGCCACAGCAGCCCGATGTTTGCAATCGAATCGACAATGGCATTGGCCACTTCAGTGCTGACATTGTTATCATCGCCATTGAGGGCATCCGATTCTTTGAAGGTGGTAAAGGTACCAGGGACGACCAGAAAGCCTGCCAGGATAATCCACGTGAACAGGCTGGCGAAAATGTTATAAATTCGAGGGATATCGTCCAAGTGAAGCAGCATCTCCATATATCTTGTTTGAACACTGGGCACACGGGTTAAAGGTGGTTTGGATGCCATTGTGGGGAATCTTGTCAATGTTGTTTTTCGTTTCGCTGATCGCGGAGTGTTCAGCTCGACAGGAGCCGTTGCTGCTCGCTTGACCGGTTTGTTCTTGGTTTGATCTCGACCATCGTCAGAAGGTACAGTTGAAAGTGATGGTCGAGCCGTCTGCTCGCTGTCCCGATATCCTTCAAACATTACGGCATTGAATGGAATTTGATGTTAAAGTTTTCAGGTTCAGCGCTGCGAGCACAAGTAGAGAAGGGGAAATATGGGACTGAAAAAACATATGATCGAAAATCAAAGAAGAGCAACAGTGCAAAGACGGTGGCCGTCATGGTTGATAAAGGCACACCGGTCGATAACTTTACCCTCGACGTAGCCCACGGGACGAGGGCGGCAGTGTGTAGCTAATGTCGAAGTATCGATACGTCTCAGACCATTGATTGACAGCTGATGATGTGTTTACTCGCTCAGCGGATCGACAGTTCTCAGAGCAGCATGCCGCTGAGCTGAGATGGTGAAATGGTTGGTGGCAGACGAAGTTGGGAACGGGTGCCTGAAACTTGGTTATGACCCTAGCCGGGGCAAGGCGCTAAATCTCGACCATTTCCCAGAGACTGGTCCAGCGTGAAGGAAAGCTTTCCATATGACCGCATAGGGGTCGACTTGTTTCTGGATATGGTAAGGAGCAGGTGCAACATTTTCATCGTGTCGATTGAAGGCGAAAAGAGAGATCCAAGACCATCACATGACGTCATATGACCGCCAATGTCGTCCCAACTTGGCTCTGCCGGCATTTTTTGTTCTCTCTATAGACGCCACTAACATCAAGAGTAAAGTCCCGTCAATCATCTGAAACTATGCCCGCCTTATTCTCCCAGACGCCTTTCGTCATATTCCACCCGAAACATGACTACATTCTTCGAGCATGATTCTGAAATCCTTCTGTCGACGTTGTCCCGAAGCTTGCTGCAAATTAGAGCATCCAAAACTCCTGCAAACTCCTCTCGATAATGAACAGCAATGTGTATCCTCCCTTTGTATCCGAAGTCCATTTTACACTTTTTCAAATTCTCCGGTGCTTGTAAAATCAGCCCCCTTGCTCTAGGTCGACCACGGTAATGTCAACAACATCATCCGGCCTGTCTTCAGCCGAGTTCTCCAAACAAGGCAGGATTGACTTCACCGTAGTCGATTCATTCGTTTCCCGGGGGACGAACCACAATTGAACAACCCCAATGAGAGCAACCGCTCCAGCTCCCCACCAAGCAAGACCCGTAAACCCCATTTGTGCGCCCCATCCATAAAGCAATCCCGCAACCGGGGGGGCAACTGTTCTACAAGCTGCACCTGCTGAAGCTGCAAGACCGTTAATTCGACCAAGGACCGAAAGTGAAGGGCTCGCTTGCTTAAGAAGAATCAAAAGAACGGGATAATCGAGGATGGAAAGAAGATTTCGGATCGCAAGGCAGGTGTAAATGCCGGGATAAAGGAGGTGTGGAGGGAGGAAAGCGAGGTAAGGCACAATGAAATATGCCACGGGATGCAAAATTGTGACAAGAACAAAAACTCGCCAAATACCGAGACGCTCAGCAGCAAACGGAAAAATGACGGCTTGAATGAAAAGTGCAATAACGCCATTGATGGCCATGACTAAACCGACGGCTTTGGTGGACAGCCCAAGGCCGCCCGGGATGTGGATAGGACTTGCGGCGAACATGGAGACGTCGTCGATGGATCGATCCTGGAAGAAGATGGGGAGGAGGTGGTCATAACACATTGAATGATAGGTGTAAATACCGAGAGCAATGGTCAACATGGCAATCTTTTGGGTGAACCATTTTTGAGGCATCTTCTCGGAGATGGAGGGCGGGCGAGAGGTTCCGTCGGCATTGAGCTCCCACTGTTCGTTCTTGTGGAAGTCGACCTCATTGAATGTCCCATAGGATTCTTGTCGGAGATCGATGCCCGGGTCGGCTGTCGCCCCGGCCGCTGTGATCATCGGTGTCTGTTCGGCAATATCGTGGTAGACGTCGGGGCTGGCCCCCGGTCGGAGGTCGGGATGGGTCTCATCCAGCCAGAGAAAGCCAGCGAGAATGCTGACCAGCATCATGATAGCACAAACGAGGTTGGGGAGGAGCCAAGGAAATTGACCGAAGAAGCCATCAGGAGAAAAGATATCTGGGTAAGACTTTGCGGGGTTGGCCAGCATACCACCAATAACCGGACCGACGATGGTTCCAATCGACCAAACAAAAGGCATGATGGAGTATGCCTTGGGTTCATACTCAGGTTTCGTGACCAGCTCGCCCACCATTGTCTGGATGACACCTACAACCCCGTCAGTCTCGAGTCGATCTTCGCCCTGGTGACGTTATGCATACCAATGTTTCCATTGAGAACACCACCGAGAATTCGTCCCACCAAAGCCATCGCAAAGTTGGTGGAGAATCCCACGACAAGGAGAGACAGCATCGTGCCCAAGCAGCCGAGGAGCAGGACGGGTTTTCGTCCGATTCGGTCTGAAAGACCTCCCCACATCATGCTGGTGAGGGCTTCGGAGAGGGAAAAGCACGCAATGAGGACGCCCGCGTAGAAGGATGCATCATCCATTCCAAAATCCTTGACCATGAGCCAGGCATAAGGAAAGATGGCCGTAATGGCAATGGGTTCGGCTAGACGACATATTGCTGTGGCGGGGGTGTGGTCAGCGAGGAGTCGATTGATTGGTTTGGCCTTTCCCAGACATACCTAGAATGAGGAATTGACCAACGGGGAAGCTGTCATCGGCGAAAGAAGTGTTCTTGGTCTGTGTAAGTTTCATCTTCTGAAGTGTGCCCAGTCTCTTACGACCAATCCTCCCCACACAAGAAGCCTCAAGTCACAAAAGCCAATCTGTCAACAATGACGATGCTTGGTTGCGAGTCGACGAGAATGCTGTTGCTGGTGTTGTTGAAACAACGAAAGCAGTGACCGAACAAGTAGCAGAACGACAGATCAATGTCTGGTGGATGGTAGAGGGAGGAAGAGAGGAAAGGAAAAGGTGGGAATGGAAGATATAAAGTGCGCAAGGGCAGGCGGCCGAGAGTGGGTGAAGATTGCAGCGCCCCAGAGCACACGTGCCAAGACCAAGCAACAGCGTGACTTCAGCGGCTTTTTGAAGGGAAGATTTAGCAGTTCATAGTAAGAGATGCGTATTCAAGTGGATCGGAATGAATCCTTGAGTCATGCAACCTGCAAAGCATGTGTTTGAATCTCGATGTCAAACATTCAGTGGCAAGACATACTGGGAGAGGGGGGAAAGAAAACAGTGCCCAAGTGGATGCAACCTCCAACGAGATGTAACAACTTGTTCACCGCCCGGGAGAGCGCAGGCGGTAGAGCGGTATGGCCACATCCATTGGTAGCGGGTCCAAACTCTCCGGCTGGCTTCGCATCTTGATTTGTCCGGGAATCGACGATAACTGCCATCAAAATTCTCTTCCTAGTTAGTCAGATCCCCGGTGCTGCATAGTCACATCTAGAAGGTTTGTCCCAGAGATCAGCCCACCAGGCTGTGATCGCAACAAACGTCGACTTCAGGCCGGACACCAGGAGCCGGTACAAACAAATGTCATGGTAGCACATGAAAGGGACCATGTCTTCGAACCTGTCCTTTCTCGTTCAGCTCACCATTTTCGTGAGACACGCAACAGGGTAGTCAGCTAGACTTCTGGTTTTACGACTACGGACACCGGCTTGCGCTTGAAATATCATAACACCTCTTGTTCATGTCTTTTGTATATCACATATCATGTTAATGCCGGAATGGGGGCGACGTCGACATGTCGGAGAGAGAAAGATATTGAATGAAAGTCGCGGTCGGTCCACGGTTGAAGAAGATGCTGTATATTGAGGGTGGATACCAGGTTTGTGCCACCTCGAGACGGCGAAGACTTGTGCAACTAGGTCTCGAAATTTGCTTACCCCTGCGGACACACTGCAATTTTCTCTTTCCTTAATCTAGACTAGCTACCGTCAAGTCGGCAACGAATCACGGCGAGGTGTATTCTTGGTATAGATGCGTTATATATTGTATTGTCATTTGTAAAGACTGATAATCTGGCCGATTCAAAGCATACACTGTTCCCGTCTGTACATCATCATGTCAAAATATAAGAGCGCCAATTAGACTCTGCCACTGAATGCCCCAGGTATCGAAGTCCCTATACGAGAAGGCATGGTGTCGGCCTTTGTGCTCGACTACATCGACCTCGTCCTTCAATCTGCGAAATACTGAACTGATAATTCTCGGCAGAATAATGTATCATATTCCCATATCACCTCTGCAAATCGTGGGAATTCCCTGGCGACCACAACTTTCTTGTCTCGTTAGCGAAGGCTTGATTATTCATATCCCCATTGGCACGCACCTCCAGACAATTGTCAGCAAAGTTCGAGGATCGGCTGGAAGGGAAAAGGGCCACCTAACCATTGCTGGTAGGCTTCCGCGTCGAGCGGTTCTGGCTCGCTAGCAAGCGACATAGCCACGACACTGACGAATCCAACTTCCTCCGTGACCGGTGAATCATGTCAAGATTCAGACCAGTTGGCCGGCATGACAACTGACGAAAAGATTGGCTCTGCGCTGGATCGGTGATTGTGGTCCTTCTTGTCATGATGTCTCTAGTTTGGTCAGCTCTCACGATGAAGACATCACAAAGCTTGGAAGGCGAAAGGCTAAACTAGGCAAATGCCCATTCGTAGCACGAGCCTCAGGGGGGATGGAAATTGAAACCAAAGACCGGAAAGGCGGGAAGGGGATTTGATTCTGAGTTGCATAATGACGGGATTAGTAAACAGCAATGAGATTACACTTTCGTTCGGAAATGTCCAGAGACCACATTCTGCTCATGGGACACTCTTTCTGGCTTTCTCAAGGAAACTTGTATATACTTCGAGCTCTCTACTTCCAGAGCGAGAGGATAAAGCAAGACCCTTTCGAATCTATCCATTTGGCGATAACTTTCCAAGTTTTCTGAAGTCACTTTGGAACGGGAGAAAATTTATTTGGTCCATCCAGATTTCATTCGTCCTTGGGTCGATCAGGCAGCGGTGGAGGAGCCTTGCAAATAACACGAGCCTTTTGCATTATATACCGCTCACCAGCCTGAGACTCCTTGACCAGCGCACCAAAAAGGGTCACCCACACTTTGGATCCGACATACTCTGACGTTGAGCCAATCACGTGGTCAGGCTCAAAGTACTCGTGTTCTTGAGAATCAACTCTGGTGTCCTCTTCAATTGGAACGAAGTAGTACTTATCGGCGCTCTGTCTGAGCATCACGGTCAGGTCATACGCCGCTTGACAAATCTCGGCCAGGTCTGTCTTCAACTGAGGAGGGACATAATATTGTTTGACATTTCCCTTTGTAGGAGCAGCATTCTCTGGATTCGCGGCGACCCATGGAATGAACAGGTGTAAAATATACAATGCTGTTTCCCTAGGCAGCTGTTGATGTTCCATGTTCAAGGCCTTGCTGTACCGAAGAGTGAGGGCTCGCCAGTCGCCAATATCGGTGTCTAATCGCACTGTGTGTCAGTTCATGAACCTTGAATCTGAAAGGTCATACATACCTGGATTGTGCTTCACGATCAGGCGCTCAAACTCGCCAAATTTCGCTTCAAGGTCGTCTTCAAGGCCAAATACCTCTTTACTGAAGATCTCTCTTTCCAAAAGGAAGTATATCTTACTCCTCACCCAATATGTGGCGAATTCCTCGACGTCATGTTGGGTGTACTGCTGCAAAAGCGGCTTCGATCTTTTCAACCATTCATTGTCGAAGTTTACAAGTTCTTGACTGGGTCTGGCTATGGTGATCACCTTTCCCACGCAGTACTTTTTCACTATCGACTGGATGCGAGCCCGAATGTGCTCTAGCTTGCCTTTTACCTCGGAGTCGATCAACTCGTTGGCATTGGTGGCATTGCGGGTGATGTGTCCTTGCAGTCTGCCAACCTGGACTCTCAAAGCGCGCTGCCTTTTCTCAGACTCTTCCAGTCTCTGCTGAGCGGCATTCAAACTTTGTACCGTTTCTTGGTGTTCGGTGAAGAGGTTCCGATAATCCCCGCGCAGACGTGTATAATTTTTCTCAAGGTCCTCGTGCTTTTTAGTACGGGACCCCTTGGTCACATTATCAACCATCATTGAATCCGGATGCTCTGCCCTCTTTGGAAGTAATATACTGTTAAGATTCCTCATGGTAGTTGAAAAGAATGATATCTTACCATATAATCCGGCTTCAGGTCGTCGGTCGGGCTTTTGGTGAAGAAACCCCTAAAACATTCCACCTGACTATGCACCATCGCCTTGGTCTCTTCCAACTCCTTCTTGACAAAGGCTAGCTCATCCTTTGTCGCGGTCAATCCCATCTGGAGGTCTTCCTGGGCTTGTTTGGTGTTGTCTCCGACGAATCGGCATATTTCGGTCCCCAAATGATCCAGTAGGGATTTTAAGGGCCCCATTTCTTCCGGGAGCGGGCCGTCCATGAAGAGCATCAGCAAAGACAGTGTTGAGGGGGGAGGAGGTCGGAAGGCCGTCGGGAGCGTAATACTCTGTGACTGTCTTAAAGAGAGATTTGGTCGAGAGTTTGAATCAAAAAGGAGTGATCCACGGCCGAAAGTTCTCGGCCTGATCGTAGATGAGGCTCTGCGCCCTGTGGGCCCCACTTTAAATCCTCAGCCTAATCGACCCCTGTCTTGGTCAGGCTTGGTCAGCCTAACCTCCTTGTTGCAGAAAATGTGACAGATAATTCGCAGAGACTTCGACACGTCACCACCGATATCTTTTGCCTCAAACGCTACTCGCCAAAGATGTAAATTCTCAGCCTAACTCTCCCTGCATCAACCTCGCAGTAATGCGGCTCCCGCATTCCATGACATTAATAGACCTATACTACCGCGCTTGAAAAGCTGAAACAAGTATATGTTTCGCCTTAGCTTCGGGAAGCAACGTGGCGGGCGTTAACCCCGGCAGTTGCGTGACGCAGTTCGCGGCATGGCTTGCTTCAAGCAGTGAGAACAGCCAGGTTACCAATTGTGAAGGCGGGATGATGGCATCTTGGAGGTGGTGGGGTGACTTCTGTTTCTGGCGCAATTCTAGGTCAAGAATGCGTTTCAAGACATCTAACAAAGGCGCGAAGACCAAAATCAGCCCTACATGTTTTCCTGTCATGGGTACTTATCTCACATTGGTGGTGGCGAAGCCTGAAGAATTCCCAGGTGGACAAAACCCAGGCGCTTGATCCGCCAATAATGTACAAGAGACCGCTATATTGACAACACGGCTGTAGACTTCTCGCTGCAGAGCTAAGGAGGCTGAAGGCTGAAGGCTGAAGACCAACGGCATTGCATGTTGAACACCACTTCCCGCCTCATCTACCCTGCATCCTTTACAACCTCGGCTTTTGATCAAAGTGTGTGTACAGGAAGAGAGCTTCTCTTTTCCGGAGCTGCGTAGAAGGAATGAACATCCACGACAATCAAACAGCAATGGAATCAGCATTCGAGGACCTTGCGGTATTCGAGTCTGATGACCAGATCATCATTGCCTTGGACTTTGGCACCACGGTGAGTCCACAATGGCACCTTCATCCTTGAAGCGCTTGCCTCTGACCTATGCAACTTGAATATGACAGTTCAGTGGGATTGCTTATGCGTTCAAAACGGACTCCAAACCAGAGCTCGTTTCAGTTCTTGATTGGCCAGGTGAGTCAAGTAGTTTTGGCCTTTGGTCGCTGCTAACATGTAGTACAGGCCTTGAGAGCGAGAAGCAACCGAAAACTCCCACTGTAATTAGTTACGATCCCAAGAGCAAACGATCATTTACCTGGGGGGCTCAAGCACACAAACATGTGAAGATTGAGGGGATCAAATTGCTGCTCGACCCAGAACAGGATAAGCCAGTGTACGTGCCAGCTACGAACACGAGGGCTGAGTTGGCGAAACTGGGTAAGCCTCCAGTTGAGGTGGTAGCGGATTATATCCGATCGATATATGAACATGCCCTGGAACGCATCGCCACAAAGGTGCCAGAGGAGTACCTCGAGAATGAGGTGCAGAAGAAGTTTGTCATCAGCGTACCCGCGGTATGGTCCGACAGAGCCAAAGACGCCACGTTGAGAGCTGCAAAGCTTGCCGGCATCTACCCGGTGACATTGATCAAAGAGCCGGAGGCTGCTGCTATGTACACACTTCATGTTTTGCAAGACCGTGGACTTGGCGTCGGAGATGCTCTCGTTATCTGTGATGCCGGTGGTGGAACAGTTGATCTCATTTCCTATGAGATCCTGCAAAAAAGGCCGACTCTGCAGCTCAAAGAGCTCGTGCCATCCAAAGGGGGAATAGCTGGCTCATTGCAACTGAATAAACGTTTCGAGGAGCAGGTCAAGATGCTTGTGGGAGAAGATCAATATTACCACTTACGCAAGACCCCGGCTTATGATCAGGCTGTGAAGTTTTTCGATCGCACAGTCAAACCAGAGTTCCGGGGCAAGAAAGACGTCAGTTGGTATGTCAACTTCCCCATGGCAGACCTTGAGGACGACGAGAGTCAAGGCTTGAAGCGTGACTCGTGGGAATTGAAAAGTGATGTTGTTGAGACGATATTCTCTCCACTGATTGAAGACATCGGAAGAATGGTAGATGACCAGGTCAATTTGGTTCAAAAGAAGCGCCTGGTCCAAAACCACAGCAAGGGTGCTGAGGTTAAGGCAATCTTCCTTGTCGGCGGGTTTGGTGCCAGTGAGTATCTGAAGCAGAACATCCAACGTCGTCATCCCGATATCCAGGTCATCCAGCCTCATGACGCGTGGGCCGCGATTGTTAAGTACGATACCTTCTCAGCTCGGTCGAGAAATGATACTAATGGTGAATTGTAGAGGAGCAGTCTTGAGTCAACTGCCCAACGAGGCCCTTATCACCTCCGTCGTCGCGCCTCGCCATTATGGTGTCAAGGCTCATTGGCGATACGATCCAGTCAAAGACGCAGGACAGAAGTCCTGGTATGATTCATCTCACGGCCATCTACGAGTCGATCAAGTAAGTAATCTTTTCCAAAGGTCTGACCACTTCTGACTCTTTCAGATGACGTGGTACATCGAAAAGGGTGAAGACCTCCAGCGAGAGCAGAAGATCAGCTTTCCCTTCTTCCGCCGACTCCCGTATGACTATCAAGACAGCGACCTCGTCTTCACGGACACGCTTTACTCCGATGAGTCCGCTCGAGCCAACAACTATCCAAAGGAGGGTATCGTCAAGGCAAATTGTACCTTGTCTGCGGATCTGAGGTCCATTGACAGGTCGATGTTGAAGGAAAAGGTGTGCGCGGACGGCAAGACGTACGTTGATGTGAATTATGATCTTGTGGTGTCGTTGAAGTCGGCTCTTATGAGGTTCAGCCTGGAGATCAAGGGGAAGGAGTTTGGTAGTGTGGCGGCCAAGTATGAGTGAAATGGAGATCAACGTCTTCATTGATGTTGAAAGAGCGGCATGGTCATAATGATAAGGAGTTATGGCGCAAGAAGGCTCTCAAGATTCGGCCATGCTCTTTTAGTGAGGTAAGGTCCACGACGTATATACCGACCTTTGCGGCTGTTATATTCCCCGAAATTCATAGGACTTGGAGGAAGTTAAGCTTTCGCCTCAACGTTGGATATACATTGGATTCTGATGGTCAGATCATAATGTAGGATAAGGGACATACGAAAGAGGGAACAGTACTACCGTGATAATGGAGCAGTTTTTAACACGTTATGAGTGACGACGACGCCAGAGAGCTATGATCAGCAACCTTCCTCCACGTTGGGTTTTTTTGATCCTTGAGTCTAGAGCATGCATGCATCGAAAATCTCCTGCCGCGCTGCGGTTACCTCAACTCATTCAGACTAGCAAGTTATCGACCGATGGAGAGAGTCTCAATGCACAAAACACCATGTTGAGCTGGTGTATCCTATGCAGTAACCGCTCCATGTCCAAGAAATGACAGCATGATAGTGTATGTTACAGTAGACAAGGGCGTTCTGGAAAAAATTGGATCTCCAAGCCAACATTGCTGGTAAGCCGATAACCGATTTTTCTTACCACTATGGGTTTCGTCACAACATTCGCTGTGCAGAGCTGTACGGTATTGGCAATACAGCTTCACCTCGCCGAATGATGATTCGTCAACTAGGCGATATCTGATCATACGCAGATCGGGAATGAATGACCCACTTCCGTCTTGGCTTCGGATAAAAGAAAGTTGCCATGTAGGGCGGTTTCGGGAACGGCTGTACTCTACTGAGCAGAAGAGCGCCGGGAAGCGGTATGATGGTGGTAGTTGGTAGTCTTGTAAGTCTAGTTGGAATTCATGGACTCGGATAGTGGCCATCAAATGCGGGCATGGCGATAATTTGCTCAGCATACATTCTGCCGGCAGAATTTGCTTGGCCGCGAAGGACTAGAGCGGTCATACGGAACTAGATGGAAACTAAATAGAGGCTAAGGCGAGATAATTCCAATAGAGACCTCAAAAATTTTTGCCCCGTTGAGATTAGCTTCTCGCCAGACTTGCCCTTAAGGTCTTGTGGTCAGCCTCGTCGAGAACGTTTAAAAAGACAATGGGGGAAGTACTCTCTGTACCTTCACGTGGGCACCTGTAAAATCCTCTAGTCATTCTATTTCTCCTTCTTCTCACCACCCTCCACCGCTTCAGTCATCGTAGCCTTCTCCTTTTTCTTCTGCAGCCCCAACTCAACCTCTCCCCTCAGCATCTTGATTAGACTCATAGCCCGGTCTTGACCAGCTGCCGTTCCCTTTCCGAGATCATACACGACGTTCACCAACGCCAGCCCCGCCACAAACAGCCATACATCTCCTCCTCGAATGGGTCTCCACCATCCGTGTTTGACTCCAACCTTCCACAACGAATCCACACTTGTCCTGGCCGCGTACAGCGAATTCATATGTCCCGCTGGTGTGCGATCGAACAATTGAAACAAGCCTCCAAGAAGTCCGCCCAAGACGAATCGGAACTTTGGAAGGAAGTATCGAGGGAAAATAGCTTGGAAGAAACAAATACTTCCCCAAGCTGCCCCAATCGATCCTGAAATGGCCATGGTCGATCTCAAAATGGATTCCGACAACCGATTGAGCGAGGCCAGTGGTGAATCCACCCATTTCTTCATTCGCAACAGCGAAAAAGCCCCATAGTACATGGTGTAGAACTTTGCCAGTTGTGGGAAAGAGATGAGGTTGTGTCGCAAGTACGCCATGAAGCATGACGGGTCGGAAGGATGGATCAACGCGCACGATAAATGCTGAGTTGCCGGATGCGCTCGAGAAGTGATTTGTGAAACAACTGGATTGATGCCTCGTGGTAGGGTCTTCGGATCGTTTGGCCGCAGAATTGGTGAGACAAACGGTGGCCATCTCAATCTCGCCATTTGCGCCAGGGCATCGACAATGTCGTATGCATGAGGCCACGATACCTTCGGTGAAAGGTCCGCTGGCCTGCGTTGAATATATTCTGGCGTATAGCCCAAAATAAATGATCCATACGCTTCCGGAAAGCAATCACGGTCGAACACGAACGCATGAAGCAGTTGACCCTGCGAGAGGGCGAATAATACCCAACTGCCGAGCCACGCAGGCTTCTGTTTTGTCAACGCGGTATGCTTAATGGCGGCATAGCCAATTTCCAAAGCCCGGCAAGCCACATAAATGGCAATGGTCACTCTTAATTGATCCGACGGACAGATTCCCAAAGCAAAGCCCGATACACTGGCTCCAATGGCCGGGGCAATTCGAGATGTAAGCGCCGCATAAATCTTCGGATACCGCTGCTTGATGCTCCGCACCTTTTCATGGAGCAGCTGCTGTCTTATCCTGGCAAAGAGTCGAAAGAGGACTGAATGCAAGAACAAAAGCGATGACAGAGAGAAGGCCATTCTCGCCTTTGACGCCACCAGTTGGTTTCTCGGAGTGGCGGATGGAGATCTGCGTGATGCCAGACGAGACAGAATCAAGTCCATGGTTTTGAGCGAGCCAAAGGTGAGCACAAACACTCGGGACGCAGAGCGAAATGCCGCGGCATTGTGATCGCCGCATTGGTTGGTTGGTGGTGGGCGGTTGTCTGGGAATTCGTTCTTGCCCACGACATCCTGTTTTGATGATGCTTTGGATAGATATCTTCGTAGCAGTTCGTGTTCACGCTCATTTAGCACATAGCGCACGGGGAGCTGGTCCATTGCCATGGCTTCTGGGGCCCCTCGACGGTTGGGCTCGTGGTTAAGCCTGGGTTTTCCAGTCCCAGGCAACCAAGTTCTGCCGCTGCAAGCCTTCAAAATCTACTTGAAGCTGTTAGAAGATATTGGTTGACGTAGACGGCAGAATGGGTCTATGAATTGATTCGACAAACTTATGAAGCGAAGTTGAAAGAGACGTCGAATGCCTCGGCTGCGGCGGACAATCGCCAGCCAATGATGGAGACATTCTGATTCTGGGGAGTTGCTCCGCCGTTCCTAAACGCGTCATCACATCTGAACTCCGCACCCTTCTTTCTATCCCGGTTTCTCAATTCGGTGGGTACGGCTCTCGACAATCCTCTAGCCTTCGAAAATGCGTCTCTTCCACTCTCCGATAACGTCCCTATTCATCCTCCTGTCCATCCCCAATCCGATCCTGAGCGCAAAGTCCTCCGCAACCTCCTTCTGCAAATGTATCTGCTTCAACAACAGCACCATCATCGCCCTGAACCCACCGCCGTCCTCATCGCAGTCTCCCTCCCTTCACAACCTCGACATCCGCTCGCCAGACACAGATCCTGACTCATTCGACTCATATCCTGAACCTGACTCTGGACCTGTGACCCGAAGAGAACCCGCCGATTCGACGCGACCACACCATAAACCTACCTGCGCAGACTGCACACGCGCATTTTGTCTCGACTATAATCTCCCAATATGCAAGAATGCAAGAGATGAGGATGTCTTCACGACTTGCTTCCGTAAGCCTGCTTATCCTCTTTCTTGGGCCCCTTACCGTTTCCAATTCTCCATTGTCCAATCCGTTTGCACTTTTACGTTGAAGCCCCCTATACTAACAGACCCTTCTCTTCTAGAGCGCGACTCGCTGAAAGACGAAGCCGTCGTCGTTATCTTCGTCTTCGCGACTGCAGGTCTTCTCGCCTGGGCCCTGGTGAAACCCTGGATCGATCGACTGCGCGAACGAAGTACCTTCATACCTCTGCCGCAACATGAGAGCCCTCGCCCGAGCAACAATAACATCACAAATAAACCACAGCGCCGAACCGGACCTGGCTTAGATACAGGCACAGGGAGTGGCATTGGTGGTGGAAGAGGAGAGAGGCACTTCCCTACCGACATGCACGCTGAGCAAGGTACAGCTGATATCGTATCAGGGATCGGTTCTGGGTCCGGGTCGGCGTCTCGTCCTTTGAGCTAAACTTGTATCTCTAATATCAAAACTGAATGAAAAGGCATCCTCCGACTATGAATGATGTCTCCGGATGTGTTAAATCCCTCCCAAATCCGAAATCTATGAACTGAATTGAATGGTGATCACATTCAATTCAATTCAGGGTATGCACCGATTGCTCAATTAACCCACTCCTCGCCGTAAGTACATACGTACCTAGTAGATTGATTTTTTAAGGGGAACAGGGCTCAAGCTCATTGATCATATTATCCAGCTCAGTGCTCGCTCACAGTCGCTCTTTGGGACTCCTCTCTTCAGTTTTGTCCCGCTCTGCCATCCAACTCAGCATTCTAAAACGTGAACGCTCACTTTTGTGTGTGTTGTGAATTCGAATTTTTCAATCCACGGCCCTAAGCCGTCCACCACCACCGGTTCCAGCCCAAGCTCCAACAAGTTTCTTCGGAAAGCAAAACATGGTTTCGACCATCCTCCATACAAATCACTTCCATCCAGTCCATCCAGCCATTATTCCACTGACGTTTTTGGGCTTTTGGTGAATCCGGGACCATACCTGAGCCATGCCATGCAACGTGTCTAAATCATACAATAGGAAAAGGTCGAGCTCGCTCGCAGAATCGCTCATTTCGCAAAACCCCAAGAACCGTTTTGTTTCATTTCATCCCGTGTGTGCGTGCCATGCTATTCGTGAAAATCAAGCCGATGGATTTCTCACTTGGAAGACAGCAAGAATCCAACACGTTCTCTCGAAAGGACATGGTCGTTCAATAATTCTTTCAATCCGACTGGCTCCCACATTGCTGAATTTGCCATTCGATCTCGGTTCGAAACAGATCGAGCCCCCCAAACTTTCTGACGACGTGTCTCGCGTTCTCTAACAACATCGGCCATGAGAGTTGACGATTTGAGGTTTTGATGCGCATTCAGGAGATTGTTGAAGAGGTTGAGGCTCTCGAAATCAGCATTGAGGAGAATGTTGGAGGCGACGGTGTCTTTGAAAGTCGAAGCTGTGGGCAAGATCTCAGATTGCGGAGATGATGGAGACATGTCAGCAGATGACGGCATAGACCCAAACACCATAGCGGCCAATGCCGGATTGTGCTTTGGGCGGCCTTCATCGACGTGCGGAAGTCGAGGACTCAAGAGATTAGATTCTGAGATGGTGTCAAGTTTGAAGCCGCCGACATCAATGTTCTTCGCGAGAAATTGAAGGACCATCTTGATCATTGAGCTGCTGGCGACAGGGTAATCGGATCCAGTCATATTCCTTCCGACAGAAGAGATGGGAGACGTTGCCAGGTCCATCGCATTCTTGTATGTGATCTCGAGAATGTCCCAATCAAGGTAGCGGGACAAGAGTCTCTCTGCGCAACCTGCAATCTGCTCAACGCCGAGTTCAATTCCGGAGACCCAATAAGACATGATGTAGTCGAAGTTCTGGAGTCTAGTAGCTTGGACATCCGCAGCTGGATGTGGCTGTGCAAAGAAGTCTTGTGCCAACACCGTATCCGAGTAAAGAAATCGTAATGCAGCTTCGAAAGCATGAGGGATAACTGGACGTGGGGGATACAGAGTGAGAGTGTTGGCTGACTGATTGGGGCTATTTTGGCGAGTCGTCAACATCTGTAGCCGCGGGCTCCGAGAAATGACGACATAATGAGCAAACGTGTAGAATTGGGGTCCGTTTGGCGGATTGACAAAAATAACCCAATCCCAACCTTGTTTCGACGTAGAAAGATAAAGGAGGTGCTCATTGAGCGGAGACAGCGTGTTGAAGGGTCGCGGGATTGGTGCTGGCAAAGTCGTTGGCTTCGAAGCCCCTGCTGGCACAGGTTGATGGAAACCATTCAGAGATTGCGCGGGAACTGCTCTGGTGGAGTCGGGTGCGCATGCAAGAGGATCTCCATGATGATGCTGCTCCTGTTGCTGATTGAATCCATCGTTCTCTGTGGGCTTGGACTGTGATATTCCATTTGCAACACCTTGTTCTCCTGCATTTTCAGTCCGTACAGCCAAAGTTGGTCGGCCAGGTGCTTGCTCTTGCTGCTCTTGTCCGACTACGACATTTGACTCTTCGAAGGACTCTGGATATTGACCATTTGCAGAAGTGACAGCTTCTTCACCGTCTTTGAGGTCATTGTTTCTTACCTCACTCTTGGATGGTTCAGTGACACGGTAATTTTGTTCCTTGGCAGGGATAGTTTCTTTCTCGCTATTTGAATTGTCGGCAGAAAACTCGGCCGGGAGCTCTTGAGGAGTAGGTGTGGATGAGACTGAAGGAGTGACGGGATGTGAGTCTATGATGCGTGCGTCAATTGGATCGCCAAGAGATATGCAAGAACAACTGACCGGTTGGTGATGGAACCTCTTTATCTGCGGGTGACCCATATTGAGAGGCGTCTGAAGGTGATGGATCAGAAGGAGAATATGTCTTGGTCTCAACCTTTTCGCCATTGGTGGCATTTGGTATTGCTGGGTTTGGGTCCGGCTCTTGAGCCTTGGCGGGCTGTTCGACAACAGTGCTCTTCTTTGGCTTTGATCCAGGGATCAGTGGCAAGGCTGGCTGTACCATTCGACTGTACGCCTTCTTGGTCGGTCGATTACTGGTAAAATTTGGTGCCATGGTGACGGAAAATTCGAAAGCGCGCAGGACAGCCACCGACTCCGGACCATGGAGAGAAGGATGGACGGGAGGGAAGAGGAACGAGAGATGACAATAGAGAAAAGAGAGGTGTCGAGACAGCGACAGCTGCTCTACCCAACGATTTACACCACAGAAAGTACAAAGATGGTTTGACTTGAATTCACTCGTGGGGCAGGAAAGTTTAGCGGCGACCGATTTTCCCACTCGGGGTTCGTCGTTCTAGTTTCTCCGCACTGAGAGCTTGCCAAGCGAGATCACGTGAGCATCGGATAAACTAGAGCGTTGAGGTGGTACTGACTCGGAGTATCTATATTCCGGAGAAAGTCCGGTGGTTACCCCCATCAGCAGCGAGGGATGCTCTCCTGCGACGTCAAGGCTGGTCAAGATCCTCGGAGGCGTTGTACGCTTCGTACACGCTGCGAAGCCAATATAGACTGACGGTCCCTGGGACCCCTTCGAAAAGGACAAGTCCTCCGTAAAATCACATTCCCATCTATACATTGGCACAAAGCCTGGGAGTACACAATTTGGTAAAAGAACCCGTTTCAATTATTAGGAGGCCAGGCATTGGCAATGGTGAGAGAAAGAGAGATAACTCATGTGGGGTCAGGACAATATTTGGAAGAAAAACATCAGGACTACATGATTGTGAACTGAGCGGAGGAGAACAAAACAAATTACAAGGTCAATGATCATGCTCGAGGTCAACAAACAAGCATAGACAACGTCAATCAAAATTGGTGGGAGTCTTGATCAAGCATAGAAGTACCTTGTGTCAATCTCATGCCCAGAACCACTCTACGGTGGGTGGACATGTCACCGAAATGAACGACTTTGGGAGATGGGCACACGACAGTCTGACAGAAGGGTTCGCAGGGTTCGTCTTCATCTCAGAGCTTCCAGCGGGAGACGCAAAAAATTTGACATGAGCATTGACCAAACTGAGTTCCAAGCTTCTATTGCATGGTTCATGTATGACGCCATATTAGCAGAGCAGGTTTGTCACAGCCAATTTGCGTCGATGGTGAGGGATACAGCAGATCGAGATCTTTGTGTCAGAATATGAGGCAATAAAATCAGTAAGTGGAGAAGGTTTTGGAGTAAGACATTCGTCAAGATCAATGTCGCAATGCTGAATGCAGATATGGAGTTCCTTCAAGACATGATGAATCCAATTAAAATAGAGGATTGATAAAAGAGCGGGTGAGGGACGGCGTGATCATTGGACAGGTCTGAGATCCCCAGGTTCTGGATCGCTTAGGTTCCCATGTGGCATGGGAAGTTAGGAACAGACTTTTCCTCGGTCAGCCCTAACAGATGCAGCAAGCATTGCCCGATGACGGAGATGCTGAACGTGCGAGTTAGCCGCGTGTCAGTAGTTTTAGCCGGTCATCGGGATTGATGAGGTTGGAAGATCAAAAAGGGACTTGATTCCCTGGACAGCTGAAGTGGAGATTTGGGGCTGATGATGATGCTAACTTTGATGTTCAATCTGATGGTAGATTACACCGCGTCAGGCCCGAAGCCCTAGAAGAAGATCGAGACACGCTAAAAGCACAGCGGTGGAAGATGGTGCTGGATGGAGATCAAGGCGCGGCTCGAACACAAAAAAAGGAAATGGATTGTTTACATCTTTACGTCAGTAATCAGCTCGGGGGGAGATTTGTACAGAAGAGGGTACAAAATGGAAATTGTTCAAAGAGAAAGGTTTGACCAGCTTGGGGTATCTTTTCGGCCTTCCAATCAAGTTCGTCGGCAGGTTCCCAAAATAAATCCTCGAAACGGCAATATCCAGCGGCCTGTCAAATCACCGTATCGCTGATTACCGAGGGAACGATGGAAGGGAAGACAATTTCCAGCGTCAGGGGCCGCCAAAGGGCCATCAGCAGCCGAAGAATCAAACTTCAGCACAGTGATTGGGTTTCAGGGGCAGCCTTAGGGCTTTTCCGAGTGCCGGCCTCGGTATGAAACATCGGAGGCAGAGATTTTTGGGTGAGATCCAATCGGAACTTACCTAGTCACGTTTCTGAAGCAGGCCTATCCCTGCGCACCAAGTCGTCAAACTTTAGAGAGCCGGCAGCATTGAGCAGGGAGCAACGAGTCCCACTGAGACAGAAAGTATTCGAGAAATGAACAAGGAAGAGAAGGAGAAGAAAAATAGCCCGTCCATCATCAAATGTTAATTGCCAATTCCGATATACCGTCGGGCTGCTGTTGTTGCCCGTGGTGATGGTGATATTGATGCTGATCATGATGGTGATGTTGTGGCTCGTTGCCACCAATAGCCACCAAAGTAAGGCCATGACTAGCTGCAAGCCGCCGGCACTTCGCTCTTTGGCTCCCAGTACCCGCGTCTGCTGGAAACCTTTAGTCTGCCGAATTGGGCTGCATCACACACACTTGCGACACGCTATTCCTTCCACAAAGCCTTGCTTTCGTCTCCTTTCTTATCGACATATCTGGCCATCTGCGTTTTTCCCTGTCGCTCCCATTCCAGCCACATCTTTTGTTCTTTTCCTGTTCTCCCATGCTGCGACTCAAAAGATTCATCCATGCTGGAAAATGCTCGATTGGTCCTCTATCCTCGAAGTCTCTCCTATTTCTCCTGACGAGAATAGTCCTCCGTAACCTCCCAGCCTCCTCCATTTTCCATACTCGGTTCTCGTCCTCCGTGTGACCATCCGAAGTTTTGATCGAGCATTGATTATCAATATCACTTTTAGTCCGTCTGGCTAGCAGATATCTGACATCTGTCAACATCAGCCTTTTTCCGCTCCCGCACTCCGTAGAAATACCATTTACGGAGCATCCCCAACCCTTGTAGCCCACGTCCGCTGCTCTCCCGCGACACGCACTGTTTTGATTAGCCTCATTAGAACAACTTTGCAATCCTCAAACGGCCGTCACGGTGGATCCGACGACCCCCGGCACGAGTATCCATACCTCTACTGGGGGCCAGCAGAGTCTATCCATACCCAAGTCAACGATCCATTCTCCTGGCCGGTCCTAATCCTGGGACGCTTTTTGTTCTTTCCCGTCCGCACGCGTTTGTCCACGGTCCAGGGTCGCCAAACTCTGTCATACTCAACCCGCTAAACTTCACCGTCCACTGTATCACCCACACCTTCAAGCCTTTCTACGCTCCCTACTGTACTTTCATTCAGAGAGGACCAAGATCCTCTTTGAATTTTTTTTCGCTCGTTCATTCTGTCTGCCGGTCCAGCTATCCATTCTTTCCTGGTCAAACACGGTCGAACCGCCTCGACAACCATCCAGGGTGGAAACATCACTCGACAAGGGCTGTCAGTCGTTTCACAAAGCCTTTTTTGTCGGAATAACGCCTTCTCCCTTCTGACCTGCAGCCCAACCGGCAACTTCGAAGACCCTCAATCCTTGTTCTTCTGGGCGGTGGAAACTAAGGATCCGAAGATTTTGCTCATACTGATCCGACTGCGACGCGCTCCTTTCAATCATTTCAATCCATTGAACTGCTGAACGCATTGTCAGTTCCTTTCTCGATCCGATATTCTGTCACTCTTTTTCATTTCGACACCGACACTCGTTTTTAGTCTCATTACCCTACAATTCGCTAGTCAGCCTCAGCGCCGAAAACGTCTCAGATACGTCCCACATCAGCCGATACCGATATCCCAGTGATCAGTAGGAGGACCGAAAAGTCTAAGAGAAAGGAACCCGACAGTCTCCAACACGCCGTGAATGTTCACCATACCCATATTCATCCTGCGTCGCACTCGTCCCCCTGTCTGTCTTCAACAGGACTGATAGAGCTCCGGTTGACTGGTTCAATCGATAGCCGCCCACTCGTGAATCCGGATCTCTTCACGAGGATGATCTCTCCTTAAAAGCATCATCATCCTCGATGGAATCATAGTCGCACATGCTTTTCATTGCAAAGTCGCTCTTTTCAATCTGTACGGCTCCGTGGAATCCCCCCACGTCCAACTCATTTGGCTGACTGATACTCTAAAAGTCCTATAACACTTTTTTTTTTTATTCATTCTCTCATCTCTTTAAGCTTTCAACATGAACGTCTTCAAGAAGAAAGTCAAGGCTAAAGATGATGCCTATATCATTCCTCCAGCCATTCCACCAGACCCAACACTCCCATCCAAGATGTCCAGGAGTCTGAAGCGCAAGCCGAAAAATGTAGTCGAACCGAAGCCCGAAATCGACCTTTCGACGGCTTTACCAGATACCAACGATTTCAGAACCAGCCTGCTCATGCCTGGTCTCTCTGCACGCTTCAGTATGCTTCGAGAACAAGACGACCCCAACACGAAGGTCGGCAAGGCAAGCGATGACAGTGTACTGTTTCCCAAGAGAGCCTCTCGCCTCAACCTTTTCACCCACAACCCGCTATCGGATATTGCCGAAGTCGAATCGATACAAACATCATTCAGAGTACCATTCGCCGACAACGATCGCTCTTACTCGTTTTCCGAAGGCGGGGGTTATGCAAGCGACGACGCGGGCAGTGTCATGTCGAGATCGAAGCCCACCGAAGGGAACATTCTTTTCGGGGGACGACAGAAAATGTATCGAATTCCAGCTCCGGGCTCTTCCAGGGACTTGACGGAAGGACAGGCTCCACTGACCGCTGGAAAGCACATGTACCAGAACGATGTGGCTTTATCCCCTTACCAACAAATGCGGCTGAAGGCTCGAGAGGAGCAAGAACGTGAAGAATCACAGGAACGACCAACCAGTACCGGGACTGATGAGCATGAGCACAGTGTTGTGAACACGCCATCCACAGGCTTCAGCAAGAGCAGAGGAACAACATCATCTACGGCCTCAGGTCCCTCAAACCGTCGCACTTCAACCGCTGCAACATCTGTTATGTCGGACTCACCCATCCCTAGACAGAGCAATGTCAGTGCTAGCTCCCACAAGATGAATCCTTCCGAATATGGTAGTGAGGAGAACTTGCTGAAACGCAACTTCTCGTCAGAATCTCGGAAGGCGACCTTTCACGGAACCGAACAACAAGGCCAGCCTCCTTTGCCGACGTCTTCAGTGGCCAGTCGTCAACTCCCACAGTCGAGAAGTGTGACTAATTTGGCAGAAAAATACACTCGAGGAGCATCTTCATTCTCCACCAATACGCCTCGAGCGACCAGCCCTCCTCCGACAATGCAAACCCACGCGTTGGCACCTCTGGACTTTGGCCTCAAGAATTCCAGCAGCCATTCTCGCCGGTATCAAACCGCCTCTCCGACCACGGATGAGGAAGACGACAATGTCTACAACCAAAGTCTGGAGCCCAATGATCGCGGCAAAGCCACGGCTATGGGACTTTTTAATCGACCTCGTCAACAATTTGATGAGCAAAAATTTCAAGAGCGGCAACTGCAAATGCACGAAGGCAGAATCTCACCGTCTTCTACCCACGGCCCAGAATACGGTCGAATTACCGAGCAACAACGTGAGCCGGGCAGAGTCGCTCTCCCAAGCATTCCACCCTCGCCCCTCAACAAAGGCTTCTCCCGTGGCCCAGAGTCCAACAATCCTTCAACCGCCAACAGGTCCCGAGCGCAGTCGAATGCCTCCTCCACCAATGCTGCTCAAGTTCAAGTTCAAGTTGAGGCCCTCATCAAGCGTCAGAATGAGGAGTACTCGTCTCTCCGGGCAAAGAAACCCGTTTCGACAGAATCGAATGCCCGATCACGGCAACCGTCGAAAACACTCATGGATCAGCCTGCAGCATCCAGAGGGACTTTTCTCGACACCTTTGACGGCAGTGATGAGGACGAAGCCGAAGGAGACAGTCCGATGCTGGGTAGATATGAGCCAGCACCTCGATTGGCACCTCTAGATATCCATCCCGCGCTTCGTGATGATTCTCAAACTTTTGACTTCGGCGATCATGTTGCTACCAATGTCAAAGTGGCCCGACCTCAATCGAATGCGTCAGCGGATTCCTCTTCTCCTTCTGTGGTGCACGACACTCCGGACACATCTGACTCTCTTCATCGATCTTCTCGAACGAAATCCACCGATTCACCCACCTTAGGGCCTACGACCGGCCTGGGACTAAGCGGCTTGATCCGAACGCATCTTCGACACGACAGTGACAAATCGTCTTTGATACCTCCGTCGCCTAGGAGACATTCTATGCAACAGGGAACTTTCCCCGGATCCTTCCGCGAGCGTGAACCCTCCGTCGCTTCCACCGCTCAGACGATCAACCCACCGGAGAGCACTCATAGTGATCCCTGGGAATTTGACAATCCACACCGCCGGCAGCGAACTCCTCTGGAGCCGGTGTCGAAAGAGCCAATGCCATCAATGTCCTCAAAAGCGCAACAGATACTCGGCCAGGCCATGTCTCACCGAAACCAACATGCCAGTAAGGCTCAGCAAATACTGGGTCATGATGCTCCCAGGCAAAGTGACGAACATCCTGCGGCAAGACCATGGCAGAATGACATGATGCCTAGCCATCATCGCGGAGAAAGTACCGAGACACACAAAGAATTTGGCAATGAGCTTGCTGAGCGCGCCAGACGAATTCAAGAAGGTCTAAAGGGCGTCGCAGAAGCCGAGAAGCGGTCTGAAAGTCCAGGGCCGAGACCGGATCGATCGAATCCAGCTACCCAAGCATTTCATGCACTCCGTCACAAGTCAAGCAAGACGTCTCTCGGACCCAGAGGTAACGAATCACAGCCCAAGGCCATGAAGATGCTCGGAATCGGTGGTGGACCGAAACCAGGGATGGCTGGAAGGTCCCCAAACATGGGAGCCAGAGGAGATTATGAATTCGATCAAGGCCTCGATGAATACGATGGTAGACCCACCCCCCGTCAAAGACCCGCCGAATTTGAACCTCCGAACGGTAGGCGGACACCGGGATTTGCACGACCACCGCCGCATCCGAATAGCTCGCCAGAAGATTTGGAACGTTCTCGTCAACGTTCTGCCACTCCAACTTCGGGGAGAGGACCGAGACGTGATCGTGCAGACTCGGACGCTGGAGATAGGTCAAGGAGCCGCACAGGTCGCTACCGAGATGAGCAACCCTATTCTCCGGCCGAATATGGTCGACAAGGTCCTTCCCAAACACCACCGCACTGGGAGCAACCGCGTCATTATGGTCCGCCTCAAAATCCACCTCCTCACTATGACCCTCCACGTGGTCCTCCGCCAGTCGAAGGGCGAAACTATGAGAGATCGGCTTCGGCAATGTCAAATCGACCTCCAGGTATTACTGCTCCTCGACCGGGACCGGGATATTTTGACAATCGTGCACCTACTCCCACGATGGGAGGCACTCCTCAACTCGCAGGAAGCCCGGTCCCCGGTATCTCTGCACCGAGACCATCCCCGCGACCACCCTTTTCCCACTCTCCCAGGAGTCCTTTCCAACCGCATCCGGGAATGTCGCCCGCCGTTTCTGGTCCGCTTTCTACAGTCCCATCGGCCCTCCCATCTCCTGTGGCGCCTCCTCCTACGCAATCATCTGCGACTGGTCGGTCTACACCGGTCGAAGGTCGATCCACTCCAGCAGCGCATCGCAAAAAGTCTGTCACCAAGGGCATGATTTCAGAACCGACTTTTATTTCCAGCACTTCATCGGTCCCTCTGGTTGGCCTTCCAGGTGGTCCACGTCCAAGTCAAATTGCCAGCCCGCCAGTTCCTGCCATGAACCCACGACGTCGTGGCAATACTATGTTTGAAAGACCAGATGGATATCCTAGCCCTCGTACCACCGGATCTCCGATGTTTTCAATGCCTGAATCTCCCCGTTATCCAGGAATGGCCATGGCTGCAGCTCAACATGCCTATGTCGATCATCAACAGCAGCAAAGGCCTCCTCCCCGTTCACGAAATCGATTGAGGAAGATCAGCAGCGAGGGTGGCAGTATGGCAGCCAGAGCCCGAAACCAGGCAATGACGACTGAGTTCGAACAAGAAAAGCTTCGAAGTCCGGCGATGCCGATATTCCCGAACCGAAGTGCGACATCCTTGAGCATTCACCAAGACGGTGGTATGTTCTAATGTTTTCAAATCTCTATACATATCTCAACCTTTGCCCGTCTCACCGACCCTCGATTTTTCTGGTCACTTGTTCTTTCCCGACCGATTAGCCATACTTTGAATCCCTCCCCTGACACAACACCTTCACCTTGACCTCGATACAGAAGTTCCCCCTTCTGCTTTATTGAATAATTGATGGAATTTGGATCGTATTTGAGACACGGCACTCTTGGGCTTGAATCTTTCTTCAGTTTATCCGATGACGATTTCTTTTTGAAACTTGACCCAACCCGAAATTCTTCTTTCTCCGGCGCGAAAAGCAGTTCCGCAACAAACGGAACATGACATGAGTGGCTATATCTATTTTATTTGCAACGAAATTACTTTTGTCCAAATCCACCGATCAGCGAACGGGAATGGAATGGAATGTTTTGGTGTGCGAGGCGCCGAGGTCTAAACGCAATACCGAAAATTTTGAATGGGATTTGGTTTGATGCAAAAATGAGATGGCATATTGTGCCAGATGTTTGAGTTGCAGATATGAGGGATAGACTTCGAAGGAGACGGGGTGGGGAGTTTGGAATTGAAATACAGCAAGCAATTATGTGTAGTTCTTGTAAGTAAGAAGTGTACTTTAAATATCCAGATAGTTTTGGAACAATTGAAGCCAACATGCTCAAGCAACTTGTACCTTACAAATGATTCATGATTTTACATCTGACTGGGCAATTCAGCCATTCAACCGCATTCTTCATCCTCACTCCCCATATTCACACAGCATTTGACTTAGGCCGGACGCACACTCAGATTCCAGTAGTTGCCCCGGATTTGTGGCTTCATCAGAGTCCGGTGCATGGAACATCACCTTGGATCAAGAGTGTGAGTAATCATAAACATCACAATGGTAACATGACGCCTGGCCTGAGAGCCAGGTACGAAGAATTCTGATTACGTCTCCCCGGCACCAATTTCATCTTGTCAAATGATCAAGAAACCAGTGATCGATGATGGATCTCTGTGATTCGTTTACTGTCTAGAATCATGGCGATCAGAATGTGGTCTATGAAACGATAAGGTAAGCTGGAAAAGACGAACAAGCGCCTTAACAGATGAGAAGAAATCACGCTTCACCGTTGAATTAGTGCACAGCGAAGCTCTCGACTCGAGCCCAGATATGGACGTGGTGCCGTTGCTCTACTTTTCTGGATGCCCGCATACGACTCACCGTGGATTAGGTTGGTTGCATGGCGTTCATTATTTCGTGTTTATGTCACATATATGCAGGCAACACGTATCCATGTACATGGGCAGAGTACCAACGTACGCAGCAGGCAGAGCGGATAAGCTTGCCCAATATTTGGTTGGTCCCGATAGATGGCTGGTAGGATCAGAGTTTGCACCGAATGGGTCGTCTGCGACGTGAGTGAGTCGGGTAGTCAACGGAGAGCGACGAGATGAATGGACCTTTTTTTGGGGGGGGAAGAAAGGCTAGGCAGGAACCTTCCAGGATCTAAATAAGACGGAGTCAATTAATGAACACGGTGTGGGAAAAGATGAGTGGTGGAGAAGGACTACGAGCACTGGAAATATCAAGCACAAGATCCCTCATGTCCATAACTCAAGGTGAAGGAGCTAGCTACTGGTAGGGACAGATCGATCGGTTCGAATTCATTGATTACCAGCACCATGCCAGCTCCATCATCTTCATCAGCAAGCACCCATGGCAGGCCTTAGATCATAAAGCGGTAACCTTTCTGCAGACGTCTAGCAGCCGCGATGTCAATGCCCTCAACCTCCGCTGTCTTGCGCAACTTGGCCAGATCGCGCTCGGTCAGTGGGACATCTTCATTCTCCAATCGCTCCAATCTTTTATTTTGCCTGGTCAATGTAATACGCATGCTCAAGCCCATAATGGCGGCAACGACCTGAAGACCGATACAAATTGCTAGGGCGAGAATGTAGTGCGGCTCATCTTGGGTGCGGTAGGTGAAGGGAGTCCAGATCGAAGCGGAGTTGCCGATTGAGTTGATAAATGCGTACGCCGCGGCGCGTTTGGCAGGAGGCCGTGGAATGGCGCCAGCGATCCAGGCATAGCAGGTGCCATTCATGGCGAAAATGAAGTTCATCAAGAACAGAGAGAAGTAGCTGGGTCCAAAGCTGCTCGTGGTCATGAAAATGATCCACCCGACAATGGTGATCGGGATCGGATACATGAAGAACCAAAAACGATTACCGAGGCGATCTGACACCACGGAGTGGGCCAGCGAGTAGAAGACCATGAAGATATACGGTGGAGCGCACAAGAGGAGGGTGATGACATGGTTATAGTCGAGCGTGGCCGTGAGTGTTGGGAAAAAGTTTTGGAATCCAGCTGCGCCGGTGATACACATATAGGCGATGGCCAGCATGTACGTTTTGGGGTCGGTCATGGCGAGCTTCAGGCCCTTGACTTGAGACATGCCGCCTGCTTCATCGACGTCGGCTTCGGCAGCTTCAATGGCCAGGCGACGGTTGGCCACGTGCTTCATTTCAGGAGAAAGGGATTTCCAGGTGTTGGGGAAGTCGGGAAGGATGACCATAATGATAAGGCCGATGGTGATTGTAATGCATCCCTCGATGATGTAGAGCCATTGCCTGGAAGAGAAATGTATCAGTATCCGTGGGGCGGCATTCGAAAACGTTTGTGGAATCGGTGTCGTCGTCGTCGACGTACCATGCAGAAAGCCCTCGTTTTCCAGCCAAACCGCTGAGAATTCCAGCAGCGATTAGATTTCCAAAGGCACCACTAACCAAAGAACCCGAGTAGAAAATTGACATTCGCAAGTTCAACTCTTTCTTCGTGTACCACTTGGAGAGGTAGAAGAGAACACCTGGGAAGAAAGGGGCTTCCACCAGGCCGAGCATAAATCGGCATGCCACAATACCTCCAAAGCCCTTGACCAGACAAGTCAAAGCAGAGACCAAACCCCAGGCACAGGTGAAGAATCCCAGGTATAGAGAAGGGCGACCAAGGTGATTGAGGAAGAGATTGGATGGGACTTGGGCAAGAATGTAGCTGACAAAGAGGATGGACAGACCTGGATACATGGTTAGTTGAGGTGTCAAAAAGCTAAGCGGTAGCATCAATTTACCGAGCTGGTATTGATCGCCATGTAAACCCAAGTCTTCTTCCAGACCCTGCAATCGAGCAGCGGCGTAGTTGTTTCTAAAAATGGTTCAGTGCTGCGCGAGCTGGTGTTCCCAGATAGAAGCATTCTTACCGGTCAATGTAGTTCATCAGGTAGACAAGCACAATCAAGGGCATGATCATAAGATCGATCTTGCGCACCAGCTTCTTCTCGATAGCACGCTCTTCCTCGGTCAGCTGGCCAAAGTGCATGGCCTCTTCATGAGAGATGGCTGCTTTTTCGCCGAGAACGTCATGGTCGAGGACCACGTTGGCCTCCTTTACATCAGCCATGTTGAATCGATGCCGATGACGCAGAAAAAATTGCCTCGATTAGCTAGAAGAGCGAGAGGGAGATGAGGGGAAATCGTAGAGGAGAGATCATCGCACTTTATAGCTGGGTCTGTTCCAAGTCTTTACAGCAAGTCAACTGTCGACCTGTCGCCCCCCGGATGGAGAAAAATCGTGGGGGATATCCCATCGAACATCGTGCATTATTTAGTACCAAGAGGTCTAGGCTGACGAAGTGGAGCTTGACCGTAACACCACCTCTGGGCAGAATAGCTTAGACGGAAGTACACCGGTCGGGGTGGTCGGGCGTGATGGAGGTCCCTATTGACCTGATCTCGTGTTCGCAGATGCAAGCGAAGCATGGCAGAAGTGCATGGAAGGGAGGTGGCTTGCAAGAGTGGGAGGTTGATTGGTTGGCGGTGAGAGGAGAAAAAAAAGTCCTAGGTTGACAGATCACCGCGGGTGCCAGCTTTTTGTCCCGGCACATCATCTCGTGCGGTTGAGCCAAGACTGTCCATGCGCGTCATACTATTTTGGGTTTAGACCTAATATGTTAATGAGACTAAGCTAAACTTATTCCGACCTCCTTGTCAACCTTAACTCTTTCGCCTCTTTCAAGCCTGTATCCCTCAGGACGCTTTCTATACCGTGTAGCAGAGCCGGTCCTTACGCCGTGCCCGACCGGTATCCGTCTGGGCCAGTGTCGCCCAACCCCCACAATTCCCCCACAATTCCACATTCAACTTCCGTATTGTACTATCTTTTCTCGCCTACACTTACTGTTTGACCGTCCAGAGGCCGCTTCTGCCTTTAGATTTCTTCTTCCTCACAGGTCGACTCTGGAATTCGAGTCGAAGATGCCCCGAGGCTGAAAAGCTACGCGACATTCATGTATGGTACGACGACGGACCTTTTAAATATCAATCCAATCGACGTATAAGGTCGACTAGACGACAGGTCTGCTCCACCACTCGACTTGCGCCCCGTCAAAAACGCATAAAATTTGTGAAATCTACTGAAGAAGCTTATAGATAATCGGCATCCAATTTACCGACGTGTGCAAGAGTGAATGGGGGAAGGGTGGTACTGAGCCTGGAGATCCATCTTGGCTATGAATCCCTGGCCGCAGAGGATCGTGTGCCATGCTCGTCAAGTAGTTCTTGGTACGGAATTTCGCCGATGACTGGAGCATTAAATTATCCGACGCCCAATCTTGTTAGGCTGTTGCGTCGCGATAGGAAGGCAGATATTCCTCATGAGAGGAGATGAAACTTCATATTTACCGTCGGCATCAAAGGCTATGCATCCCCGGAGAGGCATACTCACACCGTTAGCAGAGTCCAAGTTTGAAAAATCGCTTATGAAGCGTGAGGTCGCATTCCGCAGGAGACTCCGGTCGGTACGATAGATGTTTTATCAAATCACAAGGATCCATAGTGGAGAAATGTCAGATGAGTTTTCTTTGGCTTCTAGCCAGGGGGTTGGAAAAGCAAAGGGCCAGCTCCCCGGCGGAAAGCACCAACCGCGGCTCTGTTCGCCAATGTGGAAATGACGAGACCAAGGTCCCCACCAGGGTCAAGTTTGAATGGATGAAAAATCTCACGGGAGCTTGCCACTTTGCCGTACATTCTGGGCGTTCTACTTTACGGGTAAACGGAGAACACGGAATGAGTCCGCGATACGGGGCTTTGAAGCTGTATTATCGGTTTCGAGGTGGCCGTCTTGAGGGGGGCGTTCAAATATTGGGACTGAGTAAATCATACTTGACACACATCTCAACACTTTCCGCGCTTGCTTGAAAGAATCTCCGTGCTTCCAGACCAACCCATATCTTGAGCAAAGAAAAGTCCCCTTCTTTGAAGCGTTTCAATACAGCACCGGGATCGGACGATCCGAGCTGTCGTAGAATTGGCAAAGCGCTCTTGAAAAGATCAAGATCGGGATCCAATGTCCTCCCGATACCTTCCAACAGGAGGATTGAAATGACCACATTCACAAAATCACCTTCCATTCGGACGTGATGCGATCGGACCATGCCGAGAACTTCGGATAGGACATCTCCAATCTTGATATTGCCAAGTGCAAATGTCTGACCTTTGACTGAGAGGACAAGATGCTGCATTTTGAGGGCGAAAACTTCGCCATCAATAACCGCATCTGGCTGGCGACACCTTTCGATCATGAGGTGGCCCGCTTTATAGCCGTCAAATTCTGCGATCGCCCGGAAAAGATCCAGGAAATTCGTCCTGTTTTTGGCGTTGAGCTCCGTGACGAGGCCGGTGTCAATGAAAATCAACTGTGGCCTGTACCCTTCTTTGTCAATCTGAGCAAGAGCCGAAGTCCATTCCCCCTTCCTCCCGATATGTGGGCGCAGTCGCGATAAAACCGCCTCGGACTCATCAATCTCGGAGGCGGAGGATGGCTGCGTCGGATCTTGTCTGGAGAGGTAAGGGAGCCTCACGTCAGGCTGCGTGGGCTTATAAAAATTGACCATGATGTTGCCTGGATGAAGATCGGCATGCACGAAATTGTCTATCAACAGCATGTGCAAAAATGCATCCAATCCTTCGTCTGCAATTTCTTTCTGGAAGACGCCGCCACCGGACTCCAAAAATGCCGCGATCGGAATGCCTTGGGCGAATTCTTCAACCAGGACGTTTCGAGTCGTGAAGTCGGTGTAGGGATACGGAAACCATGCCGTAGTTCGATTTTGAAAGTGTTTGCGGAGGATGGTTAGATTGGCCGCCTCAATTCGGAGATCCAGCTGTAGTCGCATCATTTCTCCAAAGTTGAACACTTCGTTGGGGAGGTCCAGCCATTCCAGCGTAGGTATGACATTGATGACGGAGGCGAACACCGCCATGATCTGGAGATCCCGACGCACATTTCTTTCCACCTGGGGATGAAGAACTTTGATAGCAACGTATGCCGAAGGGACCCTCTGTGGAGTTGATTTGACCAGTGCATCAACATTCCGTCTGATCCGGTCTCTCAGTCGGTGCTTGTCTTGCATCTCGAGGTCGCTCTCTTCGAGCTTGGCGAGGTCTGGTTTCAGCCTGGCCTTGTAGACCTGCGCAATCGCTCCAACGCCGAGGGGTGTTTCCTCAAACTCCACAAAAATCTCCTCGAATGTCCTGCCACCGAAGGCTTCGGAGATGGTCTTCTTGGTATGACGGAGCGAGTGAGCAGGAGCATTAGAATGCAGCCCCGACATCATCCTGCACATTTCGGCTGGGAAGATGTCGGATCGGGACGCAGCCCATTGACCCAGTTTGATAAACGCCGGACCAGCTCTTTCCATGGAATTCACCAAAAATCCATACCACCATATTGTCCCGGCCCGTTCATTATCACGGTCTTTCCTCCGTGGGCCAATGAACACGGCAGGGATGGTTGCAATGACAGGGACAAAAATGACAACAAGATGAAGGAATCGAAAACTCGTAGCGAGGGGTTCGTATATATACTGATCAAGGACATAGATTATTGTTTTGTACAATCGCTGGAGGCCGTGAGCGTCTTCTGGGATTGGGGGGCTGATCTCCTGCCGAGACACCTCCTGCATCTGCATTTCGCCTGTCTGGCCCTCTTCAGTGTGATTCTCACGTAATTCGACGAAGGCGATAGGGGAGAGGGCGGCAACGGCAAGGAGGGTAGGATTGCGCCGTTGACGGGGATCTTTGAGGCTGTATTTTCGGGTCCATCTGGAGAATGACGGTTGACGACGCGGAATGCCGCAGCAGAAATGTACAAAGCCTCTCCGGCCAGTGAAACGGCCGAAGAGGAAAAGGGAGCGCATCCAGCAGTAGGGTTGCCCTCTGCTAGATGAATGAGTGTATTCGATGAATGAATTATGTGAAAAGAAGCAAGTCGCTACGAAGGGGGAGCGTTGCGCGGGCATGAGAAAGGTTGTACAAGTAAATGACGTCGGCCCGGCGAAAACTTGTGCCAGTCCCTCATCCTATACTGTATGTTGCGTGTTGCCTCTCCATACCTGATGTGATGGTAAAATTCGAAACGTACAATTCGGACATATTCATTCATCCTCTAGCCCCGTCAATGGGTATTGGCATCTGGGAGGGTGCTAGTGTCAGCTGAATCCGCCTCCTCCCTTCGGTACTTCTCGTCCGGCCACCTTCATCTTCATGAAAGTACGGAAGGAGTTTCCCATTGCGGACCTATTGACAACAAGTGCGAGATACTGGTCCCAGCGCCCAGCCTATACATGAAGTATTCGAATGTAAGTGGCTCTGAGTATCAATTGCATGCTGCTTTTTGCGATCTCTGGATAATTCGAGGTAATAGTTCCACCGAGAGGGACGCATTTTACCTGTCAGCGTGATATGGCACGAGTCTGCACTTCAGATACTCAGGTATGTACAATAATGGCCCGTGTGAACAAGCCCGCTATTGCCACATGGCGTCTGATTCGATGTTCGAGTCCCTTCGTATCTTGATCATTCCACATTCTCCTGTCTCCTTATTGTCCATTGAATTTGCGGGACTGAGCACCACCGGAAAATCTCCCCCTGCTCCAGGTCCGAGATTTTCTTTCAGAAACCTTGTTCTGATCCCCAGAGTGTTTTGGCTAGAGTGCTCGTTGATGTCCAGGATATCCTTCACAGCTCGTCAACAGACTGGTTGCATCCAATATGCTCCTGATCCCCCACCCAAAATACTGAGAAATAGGACCTGTCTAACAGTGGATGAGAACTTTCGTTCGAACTTCAACTGACAAGGTTGACCCGAAGAAGATACTATACATAAATTGTCCCAAAAATCGACTTGCCACGAGAACACAGCAAACTTACATCAGACTCGAGATCTCGGATTCGGGTATCCGCTATAAATTTCCGGTCTGGTACTAGCCACCTTGCACCGCCGGCTCATCGTTTATCGCCATGCATTCAGGGGGCCGCCCGTCAGCCTTGTCCCCTTGTTTCTTTCAATTCTGGCCATCTCGGACCCCAATATACAGTAAGCAGAATCCTGGTCTGTACATCGTATTGAATTTAAAGAAGCATGTGCCATACCCGTTACTGATCGGAGCCTGGACCAGTAGGTCTCTCTGGTTATCCCTGGACAAGATTGACCCGGCAGACGCCAGCTTCTGGCACGGTTCTGGTCTGAGAGGAAAGAAATTATATCTCCTCTACCATACATCTACTCCTGACCTGTGGGACTTTCCTCCTCCACCGTCTACCCAACTTGATATTCCATCGTCTACATCAGCCTCAAACCCGTGATTCAACTCTTCCAAAACAATGCATTCTACTTCGACACTGTACCTTATTCCTCTTCTCCTCGCCACTCTCCTCCAACCTATTCTAACTCAAGCCCAAGATTCGACTCAATATGGGGAGTGCGTAAGCAGCTGTCTCAGCACCAACCCGATCGCATCAGCTTGCGATGGCACCGAAACCGGTGAAGCACTCGACCAATGCACCTGCGCCAGCTTCTCGCCATCCGGTGACCCGTTGATCTCCTGCGTCCAACAGTGTCCTGAAGACCAGCAGTTGGCGTACGCGGAGAGCCTACCCAGTCTATGCAATCAGGTTTTGTTCCCGAATTTGGATCTCGGCTCGTCGCCGGATCCGACGGCGGTGAATACGGCGGCGCCTGCTTCTACGGGTCTCGGTGAGAGCAGTTCGTCATCCGCTACGACGACGGTGAACGGTGCTGCTGCTACCCATTCAGCCGCTGGCGACAACGGTGCGGTCGCGCTCGGTGCCTCAGCTGGAGGGTTGGGGTATCTGGCTTACGCTCTGGGTGTGGTTGCATTGTGGTAATTTGTCGAGCTTCGAAACTCCTCCCGCACTCCTTTGAAAGGATCTGTTGTGCTGGAAGTTTGTGGTCGCGAAACTGGTAGTCAACAACTGCGAAGCTCGTCGCCACCAGCGAGGAATTATACCAATCGGCTGCGGGAGCTTCCGCCATTACCTTGTTGACAGACTGAATGGGACGAGCACCTGCTTGAGTACAGGAAACTGGTGGTATTTGATAAGAGCGACCTTTTCGGGCGTCAATACATTTTGTCTCGGGATTTCTGAAGACTTCCCAATATCCAGAGTTGTCCAGTTCTGCAACATCATAACAAGTGATTCGTTCTTTGGCGGTGCATTCTTGACCATTCTTAACCCCGGCCCTCCTTCTCTCGAAGGAGTTATATCCCTCACTCTTAGTCCCCCATCCTGGTATGATGACGAGACATATCGTGTGTTTCCGCTCCTGTCCTTCCAGATGCCCATATTCCCCGCTCTTCTGTGGGTATCGGCGACTTCCACTAGCTCACTCAAAGAACCAGCTCTAGACTTTCGAATCGGCTTCGCTAGAACGGAGAGATCGGTTTGAATTGTTGAACACACCAGAGGAAATGGAAGAATAAAAGGTGTACACCGGCTGGAAACTCGAGGAAAATGATGGATGTACGACATCCCAGAAGTTCCTCTTCCTCTTTCATTCAATATCAAAACTCGTCCCACAGCCACAACTACTCGTTGCCCTCGGATTCCCCACGATCTTGAACTGACTTCCGATTAACTCGGTAGTAAAATCCACAGTGCTGCCCTTGAGCAATTCCAATGACGCATGGTCCATTACCACCTCCGCTTTACCGGGGCCGTCGACCTGCTCGTTGTCGATAGCGAACACTGTGTCCTCCTCTTTATTAACTTTCGATGCTTCCTCGAGAGACATGAGATATTGGAAGCCATGACATCCGCCAGAAGTCACCGTGACTCGGAGGTGGGAATCTTGCGACGAAGGGGAGGAAGTCAGTGTGTTCTTTCGAGGAGGGGCGCTTGTTATTTGCTTGAGACGCTGCGTCGGAGAAGATCAGTCGGTCAGTGTAGATGGACATTTGCTACTACATTGTGATCCGCGGAGCATGTGCAGAAACGTACCTTGGCCGCTCGCTCAGAGATCTCAATCGTCATTTCTTTCCCATCTTCATCGACGCGGGGGTTTTGTAAAACCACGGTTGCTTGGTGGATGCTCGACGTTGAGAAGCGCCGAGTGGCATAACCGGTCGAAGTCTGACCGATGCTCAAAGTCGAGGGGGTCTTTGTCGACCGCTCTGCTGGGATGCTTGAGATGGTCCGACAAGCTCGGATGTAGGATCTGGGATCCTGGTGGCGGCTCAGTGGCCGGGCAACGCGAAATGCGAGTCTCAATGGGCTTTGTGACATTTTCTCTATTCGCAATTCGGGAGTATGGGTAGAGAGAGGCACGGGATTGAAAAGGGCGCAGGTTTGCGGAAAAACTTGGCGCAGACCGTCTCCCCTCATCCACCACTCGTGTAGAACCACGAAGATACGGGCTCGTCATCATCCCACAATACTAATTGGGGGACGAGGCTGCTGGAAATTTTTATCGCGGAAAATGGCAGGGATACCCAATGCTGGCCATTCCACCAATGGACTTATCAACTTCTTTTCCAAGGACTATGCTGCCTCCCTTGACGCCACAGACCCATTATCACATTTTCGGGCAGACTTTTATATCCCATCACTGGCAGATCTCAAAAGACCGACGCTTGCAAAATCTCCCGAAGAAGAGCCTTCCCGGCCTTGTACATACTTGTGCGGTAATTCTCTAGGTCTCCAACCCGTCCGAACAGCATCCCTCATCAACTGCTTCTTAACGCAATGGCGAACAAAAGGTGTGACAGGCCATTTCGTCGACCACTCCGATTCCCCTTTGCAACCTTTTCTGCATATAGATGATCATGCGGCAAAGCTGATGGCCCCAATCGTGGGAGCGGTCGAATCCGAAGTCGCTGTCATGGGCTCTTTGACTGCCAACCTGCATTTCCTGATGTCAAGTTTTTATCGGCCGAGCGCAAAGGGCGAAGGTCGCTGGAAGATTCTTCTTGAGGGTAAAGCTTTCCCAAGCGACCATGTAAGCCGTGCTCACTGGTTTCCCGCCCGTACGGGATATGCTGACAATCAACCCAGTATGCCGTTGAATCGCAAATCGTTCATCACGGACTTGATCCGGCAGAAGGGATGATTTTATTGGAACCAGTCGACCCCCAACTCCCCATCATACCCACGGAGCAAATCCTTCGGGCCATCGACAAGCATGCATCCGAGCTCGCCTTAATTCTCCTCCCTGGAATCCAATTTTACACGGGACAGTACTTCGACATAGCCACGATCACGGCTCACGCTCATTCCCGTGGTATTCTGATCGGCTGGGACTGTGCTCACGCAGTTGGAAATGTCGACCTGAAGCTTCATGACTGGGACGTTGACTTTGCCGCTTGGTGTAGTTACAAATATCTCAACTCCGGCCCAGGAGCAATGGCTGGAATATTCGTCAACGAGAGGTTTGGTAAGGTCGACCTGGACAGCTCGACGCAGAAATTCTGGCCACGTCTGTCGGGATGGTGGGGAGATGATAAGTCCAGTAGATTTCAGATGACCAACAGTACGTAGCCTGTGATTATGAGAGTTTCCAACTGACGAGCATAGACTTTGTCCCCAGACCTGGAGCGGCAGGTTACCAGCTCTCAAACCCCAGCGCCCTCGATCTTTCCGCGGTTGTTGCATCGTTACAAGTCTTCAACGAGACAACAATGAAAGAGCTCCGAGAAAAGTCCCTGGAATTAACCAATTACCTGGAGCAGTTGTTGGATGCAATGGCACTGAAGGCGCCTGGAGTTTTGGACATCATCACCCCAAGAGATCCCAAAGAACGAGGGGCGCAGTTAAGTATTCGGTTGGCGCCGGGTCTGCTGGATGGTGTGCTGGAGCATCTTGAACGTGAAGGAGTCATTGTCGACGAGAGAAAACCAGATGTCATCAGAGTGGCGCCAGCACCGTTGTACAACTCCTTCATGGATGTCTTTGAATTTTCCCAAGTGCTGGAGGCGGCCTTAAATAAGGCGTCCGACGCTTCGAAAAGCGGAACTTCGTCCACTCGGGGAGACTCTTCGCCTCGCGTTGGCTAACTTCTGTCAACATCGGTATATCATTTCCCCCTCCCCTCAGTCATCCTCACTGTCGCTCGGCTCAGCCTCGCGCCACAATACAAAGTCAAAACGGCCGTCAAGATTCACCCGGATATATTCCCGAATAATCTCTTGCTCCGATTCGGACAGGTCACTCTCGGGGTCTGCAGCCATCAACGACAAATTGAACCCTTTCTGCGTTTCGCGATCGAGTCGTTCCAAGAAATCCACAATTTCATCCGCGGCGAATTGGGTCATGGCGTACAAGGTCAGATTCTTCAAGTTCTTCAGATTTGCCAGGGGCAGCAAAATATTTGCCGATACCTCGCCGCCACTCGTCCAGAAATCTTCCAGGTGAGGAAGATTCAGGGCCAGACAGATGATGTGCTCTTCCGTAAACTCATCCGAGACATCCTTCAAGACGAGCTCTCGCAGGTTGGTCAGGTGACTGAGTCCTTCGACCATGATTTGAAGATCGTCGGGCGTGGTATCTTCACCATTTCCCTTCAACCACACCGACTCCAAAGACTTCTGCTCGGCGAGAGCACTGTGAAAGAGCTGGGCACTGGTATGACGCACTGTGTAGCCTTCGAGAGACAGTCTGGTTAATTTGACATTTGGTGAATACAACACACGGGAGAGGAGAGCTGGTCCGTCAAAGAATTTCTTCAAACTGAGGTCGCGAAGTTTGCGACAGGAACTGAGCCACTCCACCACCTCCAGGAAGACATCGTTGTTTAGGGCCTCAAGCTGAACGGTTCCAAAATTGTCGTCTAACTTGAGGGTGTGTATCTCGGTGCATTCTTGAAGGGCATTCAAGTTCTGCATGGCTTCTTGGTTGAGATTACCTAGGTCCAATTGTTGCAACGACTTGTGCCGTCCCAGAGCTTCAAATGAACGTTTTCCCAGATTGTTATAGCTGATCATTTCGAAATAGCCCAGCGTATCGGCCTTCAATTCGTGGAGGAACGTAGCAAAAGCGTCGTCTGCGTCCGGAGACAGCCATTCGTGAAGGGTCAGATTTCGGAAAGATTCGCAGTGTTCTGCAATGGCGGCACCGGCACCGTTGGCCAGGGCATCGCCTTTCCACAGGACCATCGTTTCCAATTTGGGAGAGCGAGATATCCACCGAGGCAAAAATCCGGGACTGATGTGACCGTCGATTTCTTCCAGCAGTGTCGTCTTCGCGGTAACTGCTTCTCCGATGGCATTGACGGTAGCTACGACGTCTACCACCTGTCGGTTGAACTCCTTCTTAGGGAAATGGAAAGACTCGAGGCCATTGGCGAAGAAGGCCTTTCGGACAGGGCCAGTGAACTTGAGGTCATCTAACATGGCGGAGAGATTGCGAAAGTCCAGGGTCTTGATGTACCGACAGTAGGGTTTGTAGGTGATGAGATCGTCGACGCCGGAAAGAATGATGGAACGCCATAAGATGGTCCACTTGCGATAGAATTGGGCCTGCTCGGCGGCTTTGGTGGCAAAATCCACCGGGCGCTGGCGGACCTCCAAGTCATCTCTCTGCTCGAATGCTGGAGAATTCTGGTGTAGCCTGGAGTATGTCAATATCCGAGATATATATGTATATCAAGGATGGGTTCCAGATGTCCGACTGACTGATACAACGTTCTCAGCGCCGGATCGGCAAAGGACTTGGAACTCAGCGCGCATTTGTATAATGATCCAAAGTCTCCATCCTTTCCAAGCTCTTGACATATGAGCGACAAAATCTCGTCAGGTAACGTCGTGCCCTGATACGAAGACATGGTCGCTATTTCGATCGCGAACGATGATATCTCCAAATGGGAAGAGAAGGGCAAAGAACTCCAGGATGATGCGGCCAATGCGATTCAAAAAATCAAAAATCTCTAAGTCCAGTCCGGATGGAAAAGGTAAACAGTTGATGGCGGAGGACGTCAACGCCTGTCAGATTTCAGCCAATGACATCATTCCGATTTTACGCGTTCGACCGCGTCGGGAAGCGAAACGAGCAAAACTCACCCCAAGGACGGACTCATACATTCAACAGAAAACTATCCAATGCCGACCCTCTGGTTCTCCGTCGGCCCCTCTGGCGTGGCGTATTTCCACGATCTCTTGATCTGCCTCGCCAAGTTCGACGAGGATGTCTCCCTCGAGGCTACGTCTCAGTTTGTAAGTCGAACCAACCCCTTTGGTTGCCATGGGAGTCTCACCGAGAATACCAGCTTCGCATTTCAAGCCTGAACATATCAAAGACTGCCCATGCTGCCTTCACTCTCAGCCCATCCTTCTTCAACAAATATCATTTCTCTCCTGGACCGAGAAATGCATCTGACCCTCCTTTGCCCAAGATCTGGACGTGCAAACTCCAGAATCGAGTGAGTTCTCTCCCGGCTCCAATCTCACGGCATAGCCTCATGATATTCAAGGCACTCCTCTCCATATTCAAGCGTCGATTGGCAGACTCAAGGGACAAAGATACCGCCCTTGACACGTGCGAATGCGAACTCCAAGCAAATTCAGACCAAACGGAATGCCGACTCGTCTTCCGACTCAATTGTCGACAGGGCGTCGTCAAGACATATCGACTGTTCTATGAATCCGGAGAAATCCTCCACGCGGCGTTCGACAAGGTCGGATCGATCAATCACTGGACTGTGTCATCTCGGACCCTACGGGATGTCGTTGAGTACTTCGGCCCAAAGACAGATCAGTTGGACTGGTACTTCCAGAATGGAAAAGTCACATTCACGAGCTACACGGAAAAGATTCAAAGCGGGAGAGGTAAATGATGTTAATGAATTGCTTCGTCATATCGCTGACATTCCCTCAGAAATCCTCAAACAACCCATGCATACCTCCGTCGCTCTGGAACGGAAAGACTTTGATGACTTCAGTGTCCAGGAACGCCTTCATATCGGGACTATGGTCAAGGATTTCCGGGCCATTGTGGCCCATGCGGAAGCGATGCGGGTCCCGGTTACAGCAAGATACTCACGAGGCAATCGACCAATGCAAATCAGCTATGAAGACAATGGACTTCTGGCGGAATTCACACTCATGACCAGAGGCACGACGAATGTCCTCAATACGTCCACGGCGAGCACACCGGCACGAGATCTCTCCATGCGGCCCGGAGCCCGCCCACCCGAGAGCCGGGCTTCCACAGCAGAACCCACTTCGGCGAATACTCGGCCGACGCCAGCTCCTGATACAAGGATGCCGCCTCCTGTGCTCACCTCGTTCCGCGACCGGGAAGGCGGACCGCCAACACTCGCGAAATCGAACTCGGGAGACTCCACAGCCGCCCCATCAGCTAGCATCAATCCGAACAGTCTCTTCATCCCGGCAGACGATGACGATCAACAATGGGACGAGCCCAATTTCGAGGAAGAGCCGGACATTGTGACGTGGGACAACACGGCTGATCAAGAATCCGTATCGAGCTCGACACGACGAATTCGCGATTCTGAGCTCCATTCCTTCGCTGCATCAATGCAGGAACAGAATCGTCGGGCCAACACAAACAGTGCAGGATCCAAGTTTCCGCACGAGATCGCCCCGACCCAACGTCTCTCGCAAGTCCGCGGGATCTTTGACTAAAAATGGAAACAATGGGGATTTCACATCTCTCACCCGTCCCCCTGACAGACCACGAAACTCGTAGCGCACCCGGCCGCCACGGATTTGACACTCGTGCCCTCAAGGAGACGAGGCAGGGGAATCACATTCCATCGTCCGACCACGTTTCCCTTCGCATCGAGCTCCTCGCCGCAATTTCCGTGCTCACCCCATCCCCAGGCTATGATTTGGTTGTCCGAGTGGAGTGCCACGCAGTGCTCACTCCCCGCCGCCAGTGCATGGATAGGTGGGAGATTGCTTGGGGCGAGTTGTCCGCGATCATTCCGGCCCATACTCCGCACCAGACATCCAATTTGTGTAGGGGCGGAGAGAACATGAATTGAACTCCATCCTGAAAGAAGCACATCGTCCTCATGTACCACCTGCTCCAACTCTCCGTCGTTGAATGATTTCGTCACACCCCAAATCACGGGCCTCTGACCCCTCTTTATGAAAACAGTATATTCCCTTCCCAACGCAACGCCGTCCGGGGCAAAAGGAAGCATCCTTACACCGTCGTTGCTCACGTCAATCCTCGCTGGCTTCCAGAGGACCTTCTCTTTCTTGACCTCCTCACCCAGCTGTCCCTTGCGACAACTTCCCCACCCCAAGACTTGTCCATTCGACAAGAGGACAACCACATGAGCCATTGACGCAGCAATCGCGATGATCTTACACCCGCCTCCACCTGGACGAAGATCCAGATCGTCAACGTCAAATACTCTCGTCATCTGCTCCGCCTGCACCACGTCCATGCCAAGTCCCAACTCCCCTTTTTCACCTTTCCCACAGCCAAAAATAGCACGCTGATCAACTACGACAAACGTCGCTTCCCACGTCGCTGCGACATCCGTAATGACTCCACCATACCGCTCATCAAACTTGAACTCACGCTCCAGAAAATCGACGCTCGAATTTTCTTCGCTTCCGGGGAAGTGACCCGCCACAAATACCCTGCTGTCATTCATCAAGAGGACTGAGTGATTCCCGCCCGCAACGATTTTCTTGAGTCCCACTTCGCATCTTATTCCGCTAGGATGAGAAGGGATGTCTTTCTGAAGTGGTCGAAAGAGACATTTCTCCGCGCGAGCCACGTCCTCTGTGTGTCCGAGGCCTAATTGTCCCGATCCATTGGAGCCGAGCGCGTATATCACGGGTAATAGCAGTGGCACTGACAGACCAGCAGGTACCGGAGTTTTGCTCCGTGAATCAGGCTCGCCCATCTTTAGCCGGAACCGAGAACAGAACGCCCCGGCTCGAGATGCACTTTTAGGTTGAAGAATGACAAGGAAAGGGTGAGAATTTCATCTCACGGGAGCTGGAGTTTTTGTCTTAATTGATACACTATCTGTGCATCTGAAGACGACATTTGTGCAGAGGACCTCCATTCAGAATCTATTCGGCATCTATTCAGGTTCGACTCAAAGTTGAACGGTTTTTATGTTGGGTCTTGGCGGCGAGGGCACGCCGCTTTTACTCTCACCACCGGAACAGCTCCCAACTTCTTTTCCCACACTGTCATTCAACCTTAACCCATACTCAACCTCCACCTTATCGACTCGACTCGAGCACTCGATTCCACCGCGCTTTGTCGAGGAATTTGAGAGACTTCGGGGACCATCAAACCGCTAAGCTCCGAAGTACCATGGAAACCTATGGGCACACCCCCGAAGCAGACCATTATGTGAACATTGTCCCAGGGCGCTGAAAGATAGACTTCTAGCTTACTCCAAGGAGCTGTATGCGCTTGCACATAGTATATCAGTTCCCGCCTCGAACCTGCGCAGAGTACATGTTACTCACTGTCAATTCTACAGCCCGCTGAAGGATTGGTTACTAGTGCCCCGGGCTGAAGCCACCAAGCCGAGGGTTGAGTGATGATGATGTAAATGAATTCCATTTACCAATGTCTCCGAGAGGCTCTGGATGTGTCACAGATCCTCAGCTATTTGTCCGTCACATCAGCCATCCCGCCAACCGTGCTTATCCGCATGAGACAGAGTGAGTGGTTTCTTATATGTACTTTCCTACCTCTCGCCTCCTACTTTTGGGTGCCAAGACGCCGGCTTTGGGACACACAGAAGACTACACTTTCTGTTATGCGCAGTATCTGGTAACCGATGTTGATTTGGCCTCGGTACGCTCTATGGAATTTGCGAGCAGCACCGTTGCAGGACTACCACCAAGGACCGCGAGACCTGTAAACACTCTAGCTCCTCTGGACACAGGTTTCCTACCAGGGTATCGGGACGTTGGAGCCTTCAACCCTGCTCACTTCCCGAGCGATGACCAACGTCTACGCCTCACCTCCCCAAAAAAGCCAAGAGGCGGTTCCATCCATAACATTGAGCTACTGTTGGGGGGGGATCGCCGGAGACGAAATTGACAACACGCAGCTTTCAGGCATATGCAAACCATATCGATCCCCTTCCTCTTCCTCTGACTTTGCAGCATATCGTACTGGCTGTTCGCCAACTGGGGTGCAGACGTATTCGAGTTGATTCGATGTGTATTCAACAAGATCCGGACACTGACACACCGCACGAAGTTGTGCGAATGGCCGACATATACTCAAATTCAGTCTATACGATCGCAGCAGCAGGTTCGGAAACAGCTCAGACCGATTTCTTAACGAGGACAATACTAAAGAACGGCGACGTTGCTGCACACTTGTATTTAATCGAACCGGTACCCGAGCTTGATCTTTTCATCTGGCAGATTCCTAGAGATTACTTGATGGGGAAGCATCGACATTACATCTACGAGACGCGCAGCTGAGCCATGCAGAAGCCCCTCTTCTGCCTCGCATCTTATATTCCCCAATCCAGCCAAACCCTCTGTATTGGTTCTGCCAGCACAGTGCAATGGAGGGCATCGCCAACTCCTGTGCAGAGAGGGGAGGTTTGCCCGACCGGCTGGAGAAGGCGGCCAGCCTGTCCGCCGTGCACAGTCTGTGACATGAGGCCCTTGGCGACTTGCGGCTTCGTAGGTGCACTGACTCACAAGATATCCTCCCCGCGACCTCAAGCTTAGCAAAACCTTTCGATGATAAGACCCTGGGCCATACTTTGCAGGGACTATGGGGATCTTTCCCTGCGCATGACCTGTTGTGGGAAGGCCACGGAGGAAGGCTTGCTCAATACCGCGCATCGCCACGGTCATGGTGTTCTTGTACGAGCACACTTGCCAAGTACTATACAGAAGAAACCCCATTAATGGGAGTGGCAAAAGTCGAAGCCGGTCCTGAGTCTAGCGAAGCACCGTCCAGTCGATTCAAATATGGCAAATTGACGATCCGTGAACTTGCTAAAAATCAGCACGACCTTGCCGAAGTATGTGAGGACCGTGAATCTCCATGAGCAAATCGTGCACCGGCGGTCCTGCTTGGTTCGTGCCGGTGGTATATTTCAAGAGAAGTTGTGTTTACCTGTGTGGACTGATCCTACAAGAGTTGCGTACCGGCAAGTTTCGCTGAATTGGACCATTTGAAAGGCTTGAAAATACTTGGTTCTCCACCATAGAGAATTTCGAATCATTAACAAATATGGGTGGGATGCCAATATTCACGGACCCTTTCTTCTTCGACAGGCCGGAAATCCTACACACAGTATTGGCGTCTGCTTGGCTGCGTGGTGGAAGATAAGAGATATGCCATCGCATTAAGTCATTCAGTCATCTTCATCAGTCTCATCTGGAGAGGGTGAGTTGATGTGAATTGGATAACCATGATAGGCCGAGACGCGGCGCTTTTAACAATCAGCTCATCTGTCGAACAGATAGTGGCCTATCGTTCGCGACAGGCCGACTCATTCTGCAGCACTCGCCTCTTAGGCTGCAACACCATTAACAGGCAACAACGCGAACGTACGCTGTTTAGATAGGCATATAGACGGGCTCTATCCTACATCCACTTGGAGAGCCAGAGCGTTCAATACATCCCTAGTTGCAACCCGTCTGACCGGTTCACAGCGGACTTCGCTTCCGGCGGGCACCCATATCCGCTCCTCGGTGCTCATGAGTGTGCTAGGTATCTTCGCGTGGAGAACGTGAAGGAAGGCTTCCCTTGCGACGCTGGCGCCGCTTGCATCTGGTATGGACTCCCAGTGAACTCTTCAAGTGATCCGATCTGAAAACTAGAGATATGTCCACATACGATATCTGCTTCATGGCCTTCGTATTGGGGTGTGTTCCTGAGGTTGCTCGTCTTGTGTCGTGGCGTCTACACTGCAGTTCTACACGATCGCCATCTGGTCCGAAACGAGACAACTTTTAAGAGCGGCCTTGAACAAAAGAGGTCCCAAGATAGAGGGTGAAAAGTGTGCGAAAGGAGAGTTCGAGGAGATTCATAGCTGGGATCTTGCAAGAGAAGATGACAGTTTTGCCGCTTTTACGCAAGTCATTGGAACATTGAGAAGTGGGAATGGATCAAAATTCAATGGACAATCTGAACTTTTCGTCTGAACAAACAATTTCTCATTGAATTTAGTTGGTGTAGCAGCGAAAAGGAGTACTGAATAAAAGTCCATTCTCCATCCCATCCCACAGCTAGGTAGTAATCATGGTCTCTCATTGACAAAGCTCATTCCTCATTGGCTCCAAATGCCCGTGCTTCACTCGATCAAGTGGAGCGTCGTTGTATTAGCAGCTAATATTGACGCCAGGTAATGCATGAGAGTTGGATTAATAAATCTTTATCGCTGTTTCTTTCTTTCTTTTTTTTTTTTTTTTGTGATGGTCACCATTCAAATGTACTTTCCTATATATGCTCTCTTCACAGACCTCTCCACCATGAAGTCTCGTGGACTTTGAACTGGGCTTTCAACGGCGTAGAAGCGCTGGAATCACCAACCAAGACATCGTAGACGTCCTTTTCCATCACCCAGGCATCTCGAGCTTCGTCCCAGAAACTTGCTGCGTACTTCTTGGAGATGACAATCTTCACGTTTCCAGCAGACCCAGCTTTGAGAAACACCTTGGAAAAACCCTTGAGTTCCTTCTTGGGTCGATTGATACTGGGTTCATGTTGCGAGATGTACACTTGGACAACTTGAGCACCGTCAACCATGCCAGTATTCGTTACTGAAGCCGAGACTGTGATATCAACACCATTGTCGCTGACTGCGAGATTTGTGATTTCAAAGGAGGTATAGCTCAAGCCATGGCCGAAGGGGAAGGCAACTTCTTTGTTGGTCTTTTCATAGAATCGGTAGCCAATATAGACGTCTTCACCATAGATGGCTCGATTCCGCTCCGACCTGTAGTTCAAGAATGCCGGATTGTCTTCATTCTTCAGTGGGAAACTCAAAGGCAATTTACCGCTGGGATTGGTGTTGCCAAAGACGACATCGGCAATGGCATTACCAGTCTCATTGCCTCCATACCAAGCTTGAAGTAAAGCAGGTACTTCCTTTACCCAAGGCATAGTGACAGGTGTTCCCGATTGGATGACAACGGCGGTGTTGGGATTGGCTGCGAAGACCGCATTGATCAAATCGTCACTTCCGGGGGGAAGATCCATATGCTCTCGATCATAGCCTTCTGATTCCCAGTCACTATTAAGACCAGCGCACAGAACAACTTGATCAACCTCCTTGGCCAGCTTGACGGCTCTTTCAATCTCGGTCTCAATTTCTGCTCTTCGTTCCAGTCCCAGTCTGAGCCCACCAGCTCCAAAGCCAGTGGTACCCGGATTGGTGAAGGTCATCGTCGGGAACGTACCGAAATGGACCTTAATGCCGTATGAGAGTCCCTTCTCCAACTTGAGAGTTCCAATTTCCTCGGCAGTCCCGGCACCGAAGAACGAGTTCCCCGGTCGTTGATAAGTTTCATTGTCAACTACGCATTCACCGTTGACAAAGATCTTTCCGGTTCCCGCGCAGCAAAGACTGAATTCGTATTCATTTGTCTCGTCGGGAATGAATGTACCGTCCAGTTCGAGCCAGTAAAGGGGGCTCTTGATCAATGGGTGTTTATAATCCACCAGAAGGATGTCAGATTTATTCACGTAGACCTCATCGATTGGCCTCCGATCCCTTACGGACGGCGGATCCAAGTAGACTTTCATGGTCAAACCCTGCTTGTCCTCCATGGTCTTGGTAAGACGGCTCATGAGAGGAAGAGATTTCCAACCAGGACATCCAAGCTCGTACTTTGCCTCACGGACCTGACTTCGGAGTCCGTCCAAAGGGCTGACAGCGTAGTATGGAAGGAGGGATGCCGAACCGCCACCACAATAGGCCGCAATAGCTGCATTGGGACCAATGATAGCAGTTGTCTTTGTCTTGCTAAAGGGAAGAATGTTCTTCTCGTTCTTCATCAATACAATGCCACTTGAAGCAAGAGACCGAAGTAGGGCAGACGTTTCTGGGGTGTCGACCGTTCTTTCCGGTGCATTTTCTGGGATTCCAAGGGGCTCAACCTTCTTGATGAGTTTGAGGACCTCACGGACCCTGTCATCGACATCTGGTACACCGAGTTTGCCACATCCTAGCGCCCGGTTGACAAGTTTTCCGCGAATGTATGTAGGGCCAGGCATTTCGAGATCGAGCCCTGCCTTGACTGACTCGGTGGTTGAGTAGGTTCCAAACCTGTTCCAGTTAGTCCTCGTAAAGCAGATAAGCCCAGACTCTGGATTATACGTGCCAGTCGCTCATGACCAGACCATCAAAGCCCCATTCCCCACGAAGAACATCCTTGATCAATCGAGGATTCTCGCTAGCGTGAGTGCCGTTGACTTTGTTGTAAGCGGTCATAAAGCAGTCAGGCTTGGAGTCTCTTTGAGCAATCATGAATGGCATTAAATAGATTTCCCGGAGTGCACGCTCGGTCAGAATACTGTCGACTGCTTGTCTCTGATCCTCCTGGTCGTTGCAAACATAGTGCTTAATGGTAGCAGCGACACCAGTGGACTGGATACCGTTGACAGTGGCCGCACTCATTGCACCAGCAAGATATGGGTCCTCGCTGAAGCTTTCGAATCCCCGACCACCCAACGGAGACCTCTGCATATTCGTGGTAGGGCCAAGAATGACGGAAGCACCTTTGGCGATGGCTTCGGCACCTTGCAGGGCTCCTCCCTTCTTGACCAGGTCGGTGTCCCACGTTGCTGCAAGTCCGGTTCCTTCACAAAGTCAGCCCATTATCAATCTGATGCTCAAAGGGGAAAACTCACCGCAAGGGAGGCAGGCAGCAGGGACTCCATTAAAGAACCGAGTACCACGGACGCCATTGGGTCCATCTGAGAGTCGAATGGAAGGAATACCAAGTCTATGAACAGGTGCAGTGTGCCAAAAGTCAATGCCTGATAACAAAGCCACCTTTTCCGCAGTGTCTAATTTGGAAAGGACATCTTCGACGTCAAAGCTGGTTTGCAGAGGCATGGACCCCATGATGGTGGTGGTACGAGGGATCTAGGCCCGGAGGAGGGACTGTGAGAAGATCAAGGTAAAAGTCAAAAAGAGACGAGAAAGTATAGGTGAAGGGAGAGGAGACAGTAAAAGAAAATTGCTAAGGTCCAGTCAATACAAGTACCGGTAGCCGTTGGAAAAAGCAGTTTATCACTCTGTGTTGGGAAAACCTCGGAGGTCCACGTCGTGAATAGGCTCTCGGGAAGTTCGAATAGATGCATGTGGGAATTGGCTCCTGACAGCCAGTCTGACGTTGAAGCTTGCAAGGACGTCTCAAAGTGACTGACCCACCGCAAAGTACAACGGAGACGATCCGAGCGTATTGAGGCTCTTGAATGACTGAGAATGACAACTGACGGGGAAATAGTGAACAACAATGATCATTGGGTACAGCAATTTCAACCTTCTCTGACCAGGATCAGTATTGGGAATGTACGAAAGCTCTATGCATTGTGCACAGCATTAACATGAGTCACCAGAGCGTATCCGCATCCAGGAAGAAGCGCGGAATGTCGGATCCAGGATGGAACAAAAGATGAACGGAGAGTAGCAGGGAGCGCGGAGGGTCTGACGTTGGTGAGATTATTTCAGACCATACCCACGGATGGCTTCTCATTGGCTGTATGGCTAAACTTCGGTGCACTAGTGGCATTTAGTCTCAGCCTTGGCATGCTAAAGTTTCCGCGAATATCAGGCAAATGCCACTCCGAGAGAGGACCACCCCCGGTTCTCGGTTTACAAGCCTCAACCTTTGACGGCTCTCGGTAGACCATGAAGGCCAAAACCTAAATTGATATCAAAACCGTCGTCCTCTCATGCATGCATGGCCCAGGATGCCGGTACGAGTCCCGTGTCAGCTGCTCATCCAAAAAGAGGACAATGCCGTAACCATATATTCGAATTCCCCATTTCCCGCACGTAGAAAGAACGGACATGGCCCATTGAGAGGCCCCCGTCATGACGTGCCCTTCAGCCAGTTCGAACATTTTTCTGGTGACCTTACCAAAATCCGCATTTGATGACTGGCTCGTTATGTTCTTCCCCGTTCCAAAAGGAGAAAAAAAACTCCGGAGCTTGTAGACGACAAACCGTCGCCCACAGCCTGTTGCTATGTCAATATGCTCAGTCTTCGACCTTGTTTCGAAAGTATGCCAATTCGATTTGTCCGTCAAAGAACCACTTCCGTAATCCTCCATGTGATTGCATGTACCACGATCTCATCGCCGACCTTCCTGTTGTCGCCGCAAGCCCACATACATGGTATTGCAACCTCGACCTGGTCGTCAGGAGAAGTATTGCTACGCCAATCTTTAAGCCATTCGGCTGCGGTTGTCTCGCTCACGTCCGACTGGTCGGAGAGGGCAGGATTCTTCTCAACAAGACACTTGGTCCAACGTTCGACCAGCACCCCCGGCGTTCCATCCTGCCGGCTTTGCTGTACAATGCCTTGACAATAGTCTCCGACACGAATAATGACTCCGCTCCCAGTTTGTGGGGCTCTTCCTTGATCCACCAGCTCTCGCGTCTTCGCGACCACACAAGGCGTTTTGCGAAGACCTCCAGACCCCAACTCCGACGCTGGTGATGACCAGTATTCTTTGTACATCTCTACCTTTCTCGTCTTGTGGTTCTCCATCATCCCGATCTCCATGCAGTCACCATTGGGGAGGAGGAACATGTCACCTTCGTCGGTAGTACCCGGTCCTTTGGAATCGATATCATGCTTCCATACGCAATGTGCCGAATACGGCATCGTAATCTCAGAGGTGTCTGGATCAAAAGTTGTAGTTGCGGACCCAGAGAATGCCCAAAAGGCGGGATCCGAAGCTAGAGGCTTCGAAGGGTCGGGTTGGACGGGAAATCGGATATCGACAAAATCAGATTTTGGAGAGGTGAGAACCAATGTAGAGGTATCTTCATAGGGAGATGAAAAGCCCTATTCGGAGCCGCACAGGTCAGATCAGGGCATTTCCCAGCTTCCGGGTTCTTTGAATGTCTCTAGTCGAAGTACAAATGAATAAAGACCAGTGAGCAGTCACGTCCGGCGCAGACTTACCCAGGCAATACCTTTACGTATTGATACCGAAGGCTTTTCCAGGAAGTCTTTCTTCCACTGGGGTAGGTTTCCCTGTCGTGGACTTTTCCCTTCGACCTGTCCAATCGTCCCCAATTTCTCGCCTGTCATACCGTAGAAGTCCATGATGAAAGATTGCGATGAATCAATCACAGTGAAGGGAAGAGCGATGGGTAAGCAAGGACTCGACTTTGGCAGTTGAATATTGGTAGTTTATACCATCGGCTATGTCCGCCAGAAGGGTCCAGAGCGAACTTCCTATTCATAGTTCCCGTTCTCTACCTGCTCGACAGCAGCAATGGCCAACTATATGGTCTAGCCCAGTTCTATTTTTCAGCCTCTGATGGGCTAGAGCTCCAGAACACACTTCAGAATACACGGCCTCGCGTTCATCTGTTCGTAACCTGAGAGCTATAATTTGGCCCAATTCGTCTTCTCGTTCCTCTCTGCTCCTTGTCACGGGAAGAGTCTTTTGTAGCGGCTCAGGATGCCGGCTCCGGTGGGGAACACCCCAATTATATGGCTGCATTGATCTTTCAATGGCATATCATTAAACCCATCTCATGAAGCCGTTCTGTCTTTCTTGTCCTTTTTCGTCGAATGCACCAGCGACTTCATATCTCATATCGTTCTCCCCTCTAACATTCTGCTTCCTCTGGAAGAAAAGATGCCCATGATTCCGAAACCCAGGTAGAACAGAGCAAGGGGGTATGCCACCAGTCCTCGCATGCCTTTCATTCTACCCACGCTCACGAACATTCCAGAACTGCTATATGTGCACCAACCCACTGCCGCAGCCGTCAAAACATAGCCTATTCCGGTGTCCATCGGAAGCAATATTCCAAACAAGGCCGTAAAGACTAGAGGAAGGAAACAGTAGCCGAGGACACTGGCGCTCCTCGAGTAGGTAAGCGTGCTCGAGAAGTGACCAACATGATGCCCAGAGCCGCCTGGGGTATGGTCTCGTTGAGCCTGCGACATCTGGTCCGAATCGTTGGGATCCAAAGGCGGCGTCATGAGTGCAAACATCCAATGTAGCGCTATTGATCCAAATAGGGCGATACCGTAAATATATCCATAGAAGAACTTGCCGGAGAGGGCGAGGAAGGTTCCGTAGAGTACCAGAAACAGGAGGCCTCCGTACAAGTCGCTGTCGTCCATGATGTGAGGCGAGGGCCGCGTCCATGGGTTGAGTACAGTAAGAGTCTGATCCCCAGTCAGCGACGGTCTTCATCCAGGCTTGCAAAGAAAGGCTCACCTTCGTTTTAATATGTCCAAAATTTACACCGAGCTCTTCCATTAAACCGGGTTCTCCCTCATACCCTTCTGTTCCAAACGCAGCCAACCAGCCCGTTCTTAATCCTCCCGTTTCTCCCATCCGACCACTGACACTTTGTATTCCTGGACCTCCGCCAAAGCCACTGGAAGAGCCTGCGCCGTAGCCAGGGTATGCTGAAGCGGTATTGCCGGCGCCATAAGTACCGTAAGACGCTTGTGACGGTGTGGTGTGGCCCGAGACATTCGAATAGGAAGAGGAATAGAACTGGAGGTTTGAAGAGCCTGTGCCAGTACCCTGGCCATATGTTTGATTGTAGTAGGACATCTTAAAGAGACCACTGAGGTCGTTCGCTATAGCGTGCGCAGATCTGTTGGAAACTCGGGGATTCTTGATCGTGGATAAGTGGCTTCGAGAGATGACCAAGGCAGCCAGACAAGAGTTTAGTAGGCGGAATTCTTCATTCTGAGCGAGTCACAAGAGATGTAGAGGAAGACCTTTCGTCGTCAGAATGGCTGTAAAATTATTCGGTCCACACGCTATCACGTCGTGCGGAGGAGGAATTTGACAGGCTGTGCTCTTGTTTAGCCACCTTAGCCTCTTGCGACGGATAGCCTGACCAAGGCGCCCAAATAACATACAAAAACATGTTTTCCTGCCCACGTTGCTACTATGTACAGGTTTTTCTACGTCATTACTACAAGAAATTGATGCCGATTCCGAAAGACACTCCTTTCCTGGCTTCTTCGTGCTTCCGGACAACCAGTGGCAAGGAGAAATTGAGCTCAAATCGTGCCACAGGGTGAGCATATACTAACCCAATACCGGCTGACATCGTTGGAAGTCCATTCCCCAGCTCGGTGATCGCGTTAGACACACTTTGCTTAACTTCCTCGCTTGTCATCGGCCCTTCTCTTTCTTCGTTTCGTATGGCCAACAATCTGCCACCATTCACAAATGCCTGTAAACGGAATGGCTTATCTTTTCCAACTTTCGGAAGAGGTACCAGAAGATTTGCACTGCCAGCCGCGTAGATGTCCCCACCCACTGCATCCGGTCCATCGTGCGGCCCCAGGCCGGACAATCTGAAACCTCGAACATCCGTCGGACCGCCTAGCTGGAACCTGTCATTTATGCGGGACATTTCTGGGTGTGGATTCGAACCGAGCGTCAGTGGGTAGAGCAGTCCAGCGCGAAGCCCAGAACTGAAGCTGACCCCGCTGTCACCTCTGATTCCCGGCACTGGGATTGGTATGGCCGATTGCGTCTCTATCTCACTTTTGAAAAAGGCGACATCGCCTCGTAGCGGTCCCCAGCCGGCCAATTCCGACGTGGTCTTGGCATAATATCCACGGGATGGAAGCATGGGGTTGTCCCTCCTGTCAGTCGACCATGTATGTGAGATGCTGCTTTTGAAGGAATCGCCGGCTTCATTCTTCACCGTCGGTGAAGCATTCTGTGCCAGGCCGGTCACTTGTCGCCAGAAGCTGTTGTATCCTATCTCATGCAGCGATCCGCTCGATGTTAACCAGCGAAATTTTGACCAACCCCCTTTGAGGACTTCTTCATGACTGGCAAATCCTTTTTGAGTGGCACTCTGCACGCCGCCAACCTGAAAGCGACAGTCGGGGTTGCTGAGGATTGGAGCGTCAAATGCAGCTTGATACGAGGAGCGTGTCCGCGTTCCTATGGACGCGTTCACATCCAAAGTCTCTGCTCCACCAAAGAGATTCCTCCATTGCACATTGGCGTAGGCTGAACCTTCAGCATTACCGAGATCTGTTCCGGTCTTTGCAAATGTCCGGCTCTTCTCTTTCACGGAATAATAAATGGTAACGTCGGTTGGGGTGGTGGTCGGATCGGTCTTGGAGGATTTATCCAGGTAGACGGAGACTGGTTCGTGATAGATTCCTAGAATCAAATGAGACTATTGTCATCGATGGTTCCAAAACAAAGAAGTACCGAATTTTCTGAGCTTGTTGGCAGTTTTGGCCACCTCATGGATGAGTTCGGATTGAGTGTAAGGGCGATCGCGATTGGCACTTAGCAAAGGGTTGACCACCTTCTCCAGAAAGCCATGCCGAGTATTTGGAGCTCCTAGGACGATGACAGAGGAAACAGTGGTAGGCAGCGTTGAGTTCTGGTCGATCAGCCCAGCAAGTCTTTGCTGGCTTAGTTGGAACGCCTTATGAATCTTCTCATTTAAAGCTTGCTGGCGCTGTTCAAGCTCTTTTGGGTCGGCATTCTTCAATAGCTGGAAAATATTGTCTTCAGAAGCATCGGCCATGGAGGCCGACACAGTTGTAGCGAGCGCTGCTAAGATGGAGAAAGCAGGAGGGAGTTTGCGAAAAGCTGCACTACCAGCAAGACTCAAACGATCAAGCACCCGGCCATATCTACGCGAATAACTTTTTAGAGACGGAGAACGCCAAGAAGAGCATCGGTGCCGCCGCTTTAGACTCGGAAAGGCGACTCGCGATTACAAACTCATCTTTTCACTCACTGACATCAATGGGCTAAAACATCCCCGACTTGCGAGTATTGCATAATATATCAGACACCTTCTTTCGGCCGTCGAATTCGAGATGTGAAAACTGTTCGGGTTGTTGACCGGATCTCGCTTCATTCTCTGTGGGAAAGAACAAAGGGAGAGAGCTTCGAACTGAAAACTACACACCAACCAAAGTTTCTTTTACATTCTTCTAGTCGAAGATCCATTCACGTTCGGACAACGTTATCGGACACTGTCCGCCATCTCCACGCCTGTTAGTGCGCCTCAATTTCCTTTTGCAGACGAAGCCAAAACTCCGATGATTAGCTCCTCGAATCGTACACTTCTACAAGATGCAGACCTTGTCTATTTGACCCCCAGATGTTGAGTCTCCCCGAGAATCTCCCTGCTGATGCGGAGAGCCCTAGTTTCCGGATATCCACGATTATGAGGGGCTCTATACTAGATGATGGGACCATTCTTCGTCATCCTCTCATGAAACGCTGGCCATATGTAGGATTCTGACGGTGGGCATTTCTCGTTTCCTTTTGTCCATCGTTTGAAACTTGGCACATATAGAGTCTTTATGCTATCCTGAGCAAACATATCAATTCGCAGCCTTCCATCTTCCTTTCCGACAGTTCCAGGATCTTACTCAAGCTGACAATGCCTGATCTCAACGTGGGAATATGCGGTGCCGGCATGGGTGGCCTTGCAGCCGCCATCGCCATATCCAAAGCCGGTGCTAAAGTGACTGTTCTCGAAGCCGCCCCTGAACTAGGCGAGATCGGTGCAGGCATTCAAATGACTCCCAACGTTGCCCGGCTCTTGATAAAATGGGGAGTCGACAGAGTCATCGGAGACAACCTGGTTGAATTTGAGGAGTTGAATATGAGGAGGAGGGATGGAACACCCATCGGATATACGAAGACTGTTCCCCATGTGCGGAAGTCAGTGATTTCCCCAAGCGAATATCGCTCAATGCTGATGAGATGGTGGCCAGAAATCTAGGAGTACCGTGGTGGCTCGGTCAGTCACGATATCCCATTCACGCTGACAGGGACCAGTACATCGAATGCATCTACACTCTGGCCTCGCAGAGGTCGCGCGAAGTGAGGGTGCCGAGCTCATCATCGATGCTCGAGTCGACAAGGTTGACTGGACCAGTTCCAAGAAAGTCAGCGTCACCACGATCAAGGGCGGCAAATGGACATTCGACCTCTTGATCGGCGCCGACGGCGTGCGCTCGGCTGTCCGCAGAAATGTTATGCCCGACGTCAAGCCCGCTCCGCCTACTGGAAACTGCGCGTACCGCGCCATCGTACCTTACGACCAGGTCCGCAATGACCCCATCGCCAAAGAACTCGTCGAGAAGTTGACGATGGAAGTCTGGATGTCCGATAAGGCGTATATCATCTCATACCCCATCTCGAATGGCACGCAGTTCAACATGGTTTTAAGCCATCATGTGTCAAAGCTGGTGGATGACGTAGAGGATATCGATATGGAGAAGGACTTCAGGCAGACGTACAAGGATTTTGATCCAAGGATAAAACGCATCGTGGATATGGTTCCCACGGCGTGACGATGGCCATTGCTGGTAACTGGCCCGCTCAAGACGTGGTCGACACCGGAGAAGAATGTCGTGCTCATAGGGTAAGGAGAGTCCAATTGTTTCTCTTCAGATTCCCTGACCATTAACCAGCGACGCCGCCCACTCGATGGTCAACCACATGGCCCAAGGCGCCGCGACCTCTATGGAAGATGGCGCATTCCTGGCCCGCGCCCTTGCGAGAGTCGTGCAAGGCAAACTCACCCTTGCGCAGGCGATCGAAGTGTACGAAAAGGGCCGCATGCCGAAGGCGTTTCATATCAGAGTTCCTCCTTTTCATTCACTGACACCTGATGGACAGTGTCTATGGCTACGACGCCGAACAGGACGCCGAACTGACCATCCAAGCTTACCTCGATAAGCAGGAACCACACGATCCAAAGACAGGGGTGACGGATCGCGAGCTTGAGAGGTTCATTGGCTGGTGGTGGCCGAAGGACAAGGTCGAGTTGAGGGCGTCGAAGTTATGAGTCACCCCTCCACGTGAAGGAATGTTTGAAACGAAAAGGGTAGAGGAAGATCTAACAAATCGAAGACCAGAGGAATAAAATCATGGTCAGCTATCTTCTGTCCATATTTTATCCCCAATCTCAAACCTAGGCAATAGATTTTCCTCGAGATTGAAGATTACCTCGCCATAGAAGATTTTCCAAAACCCGCAATCCTCAAAATTGTACGAGTCCGAGTATGGATCAGGATGAGAGCAGAGGTAGAATCGGACGGCGCGCAGATACTCTTGCATCATGGCCATATCGTCGGCGTGATCTTCCAGCAATCCCGTGCAACGCCTCGATAATCAGAGCTACCGTCTGCTATGACACCCTCCTCAACGGAGCGGTTGAGATACAACTCGAGGAGAATTACACCAAGAGCGCGAACATGAGTGTTTCGCCGACTTCTCTGTCCTCTGACGGGATCTTTCTCATTGTATTGAGATTCCATGACCGATTTCAACACGGACCGTGTGAAGCCCGAAGCCGATATCGGTCCCGCGTTGGCCCCAACGGTTGCGGCTATCGTCGACGAAAGAAATGCTTTTGGTTGTCCAGTTCATCCGCAACCAAGGACTGTTATGGAATTGAAGCAGTGATATCGGCCAGGTTTGCCTTTTCTCGGTGCAACTAGCGCTTTTGGTCATATGATTTCAGCCTTGACATCACCTCTTGCAAGCTAAGTAAGGCAGCTGTGTTGAATTGTTGTTCTTTGTCGTGAGAAGTTGGCAGGACCCAAGCCTGCTCTCTTCGGTCGACATAGATGTGTAAATCGAGGTTCGCATCCTGGACTTTTCGAATTTCATTGCAGATGTCGTCCCAGAAGATCACACCTTCGGTTGCGTGGGCGCTATCGTCATTCCCAGACACTCGAAATTGGATGTTTTTCGTGCAGGACTTCTCTAGCTTTAGAATTCGGGCATACACCTGACATGGAACATCCGAATCCTGGAACAGCATCAGGCGGAATCTTGACTCGAAGTCGTCCTCGAAGGCCCACTTCATGAGGCTGCGCAATGTTGCATTTACACGTCTTGCGGAGAATCTGAAATAGTCTTGGTGCTGTATCTCGGAACGAATAAGCGGTGTGAGCTCGTCGGTTCTTTTGTTTCCATTGGAAAGGTTTGGTACGGTCTGTGGCAGTACTGAGCTTTTCCAAGAGATCATTGCATCGTTTGAATTCATTGAGCATCTCATTTCTCCCAGGGCTGTACCAGCTGAATTCGACGCGATCAATTATGCCAAACTTCGTTTTGTCACCAAATATCAACATTTGCTTAGACTCAGTATAGATCTGGCCCCAGTAAGCAGCCTGTGGTGGCGAAAGGTTAGTTGGCGCATGAGTCAAAGGAGGGTTTGGAGCGCTGCTGCTTTAACAAAAGCAGAGGAAACGCGGTTTAGGATCTCTATGAAAGGGTCGTACGATTCTGTAAGCTGTCTGGAGACCTTCCTAATGGTCTCTGGAGAGGACCACGCATCGCCCGTAGGATCTTCGACGAACTGGGATTGCAGGCTCGCTGATAGATCGGTGCGGCCAATGATGCCCTTGATATACAGCGACAACAGCGTCCGTCACTGTTTACGCTCATCCCGGTACTGGAAGAGAATCAGGTTCTTCTTGATGGCGCTGAACAAATCCCAAGCCTTGTTGATAATGTTCAGCCGCAGTGATGAAGATAGGTAAACACGGCCAGCACGAGACCGGCAGCTTCGAGACCTGACAGGATTACTCATGGTTTCTTAGTAAGGGGAACCATCGAGGTCATTGCGACGGATGTCATTTGATTGTCGGAGATGATCCTGGGGGAAGCAGGTGCCGATATAGGTTGAGGGTGGGGGGCCAAAACGGGCGAAGCCGACAAGGAGGGCTTGCGGCCCGAACCACTCGATTATTGCTTGATTCAAGTTTGAGGGATCCCAGGAATTCTTGACCAAACCTTGAAAAGGATTACCCAACCTCTTGATATTTTGCACCGTCGATTGATGAATGCTGTCGAGGCCGCTGGGGTCCTGAGACTAACTACTCTGCCGTTCGTATATTCGAGAGACGTTTAATAGATCGAACTTGCCTTAGACACTATGTTCTCATGGCTAGTAACGATTCACTTCCTGAGCCCTTACGCGGCGATCGGAACGGGATAGACGAATGGAACGACTAGACGGATAATATCGCCATCGCAAAGGTAGCCAGAGCCTACCACTTGGCCTTTCGGGACATTAGGGACTGCTGAGGCTCAATCTGCCACTGTTATCGGCCGCATTCCCTCCTTGTTCAAAGAGTCCTCACTGCCTCGGGCAATGCCACTTTCAGCCTCGCTGATCTGGACGACGAATTCGAACAATTCCGGATATGGGCTCGCAACCCCGGAGCCTTCGCCCCAGATGCCATCTTCGAAACGAGGGAAGATTGGATCGCACACCAGAAATGAGGTGTGAGGGTGACGAAGAAACTCATCCTCCCACTCACTTTACGCCTGAGGATGATTTCGGCGACCATCTTCAAAAGCACCATCCCGAGGATGTTTTAACATTTGGGATGGACCGATTGCTGAGGACGTCGGGTTGCCCGTCCCTCCAGCCCTTCAGCCGCTGCCCTTTCTGTGAGATAGCGCGCACAGATGGTGTTGGTCGAACGAAAGTGGGCCAGGAGTTTCTCCAAACACACATTGCCCGTGAGATTCTTTTGCGGTTCTCGTTGGCACTCCCCGAACGCGAAGACATTGCGGCTGATGGATCCGACACGGACCGGCCACCAAAGAGTCGCAGCACAGTCTGGCATCTTCTATATGTGTCGCTTGTCTTCCCATCTCACGCAGAATTCAACGAGCCAGATCCCTGGAGACTGCCCGTGCCAGAGGCTGAAGAAAGCATCTGGGAGGAATTTCATCTTTGATCAACAGATGAAGCTCTTTCCGGCCAAATTGTGCCGTATATAGCAGTAACCGACGAACACCGACAGTTGGGTGATGATACTCAAGGCAGGATGCGAATACCCCTCCTAGACTCGTACGAAGTCATCGAGCACGATCCGATCATTTTCAGAGTCATGAAAGACGGTAAGGGGGAAATCTGGGCGTAACACATGCTACAGCACACAACGTCCTGGAGAGATGAGCCCGAAATTAAGGGAGAGAGTAGTGCGAAAAACGATTTCGTCACTTCGGCGACACATGCCCCTCGTTGTAACCGAAAACGTCAGTATCAACGTATTTTTTCCAGGATAAGAGACGCCTGAGGGGTCCGAGGCGACGCGGTTAGATTGCCCAGCCTCCGTTAATATAGTTAAAGCAGCGCCTAGACACTCCCCCCACCTTTGGACATTTCGTTGATCCATCCTAACGGCGACCCGCCGGCGCTGGATTGCTCGCGTGTCACCACTCTGGCATTCTTCAGCACATCGTCCCTGCCGGTCTCGCGAAATCAGCACCTCTCCTCAACTTCGACTTCCTCTCCCTATCTAATCTCGACGACACTCCTCTGGCCCTTCTGGGATCAAGAGTTCTCCCTCACCAACCATCCTCCACCTCACACGATGGCCACCAAAGCCGCGACCAAACGATTGACAAAGGAATACCAGCATATTCAACAACATCCTCCCCCATATATCGTTGCCCATCCCTCCGAATCAAACATCCTAGAATGGCATTACATCCTCACCGGTGCCCCCAATACACCATACGAAGGCGGTCAATATTGGGGTTCACTGGTATTTCCGCCTGATTACCCTTTTGCACCACCCGCGATCCGAATGCACACTCCCAGTGGACGATTTCAGCCTTCTACCCGACTATGTTTGAGCATAAGTGACTTCCATCCCAAGTCGTTCAACCCTGCGTGGTCCGTGTCTACAATTTTAATCGGGCTCATGTCATTTATGAACAGCGATGAGATGACGGCGGGAAGTATTGGGGGGACACCAGCGGAGCGGAAATGGTATGCGGCTAGATCAAGATGGTGGAATTCAACAGGCGGCGGATCGGCTTCCAGACCTGTTCCGGGCATTCATGCGACTACGAAAGGAGTGGGAAACATCCGAGCTGGAGATGGCGGAGTCAAGTTCAGAGCCGAATGGCCAGACGAAGACAAGGAGAACTGGGCATGGATTTCTCAACATCGCATTGACCCCATCACCGGGCGAATGCTTCCGGAGGTGGAGGGTGAAAACGTGAACTGCTCGCCAGAGACAAAAGCATTGCGTCGGATACTGGGAGGCAGCACCACCGGAGTTGGAGCGGTAGTTCAAGGTGGCCAGGCTGCTCGAAATGCCGGTCAGGGCTGGATCTGGAGACACAGAATATGGATCGTGGCAGGCTGCTTGGTCTTGTATTTCATGCTTGCGAGAATCTTCGGTGAGGGTGACAGACTTTCATGACCAACCTACACGTAAGAGACGCCACGGGTTTTCCGTAGGATCCAGATACTCTCAAGCAAAGAGTACGGAGTACGGAATTGTGTCTTCGGGTCAGAGTTTGCGTGAAGTCGGACCATGTGTCAACCACCACCAGTGGAAGTGCCGTTTTCTACACGGAATGGACTGTGACTTTCCAACAAAAATGGCTGTCTGAGAGGGTGGTCCTCCAGTAGGCATCATGTTTAGTCCGCAGGGGAACAGGGGTCGAATGCATTCCGGAGGCGACAAACGGAGTAATTAATTAAAGCAGGCCCCCCTTCTTTTTTCGCTTAAGATCGGCAAATTTACCGCCATGACTGAGTGAAAAAAATTTAGATGGAGACTCTAGAAACGCCACCGCACCAAATGCAGACAACGTTTACCATGTCAGATGTGCTGGGACGCAGATATGACTAGACCTCGGAGGAACAAGGCTCTGGAACACACTTTTCTCGAGGGCCAGTTTGCCCACTGCTCGTTCACCATCGAAGTCTCGCCCAGTGCCGACGAGTCACCGGCCCCTTGGATTTCAGCGACCAAGGCCAAAATTGCAAAAATCTACACCCCCATCTTCCTGCGCCAGTGCGCCGAGTTACTAGTGTCCTTCCTCGCCTATTCCTCGTTTGGTCGGAACCGCACTGAGAATAGCCGCGGTTTCGTCGCTCTTGCCCCGACTTTACGGTGGGCTGGAACATGTTCACAACTTTATCTGCCCATGGCCGGCATGTGTTTGATACCAAGGTCCCTTGGGGTTCCTCCACGACGATTTTCCTTTAAACGCACCCTCGCCCTCCGAATTCTCGCGGGAGGTCTAGTCACGATGAGATAGTTATACACTCTTCCTCGGAAAAGAATATCAGCCGACGCTCGCCAGCGGGCTGGGAGTTCGTCTTGTCGGACGAACGAGCTGCGCATACTATCTCCTTTAGAGTGATGGACCGTAAAGATGCGCGGTAATGCTTGTGATAAAGGTGACTCTCTCACACGCAACCTCGATCGCTTCGGTCGCGGTGACTGACAAGGAAGTCCCACACAGGAACCCCAAACGAATCCAGCCTCGCTTCCTCGGTTGCGTCTCGGACTGCCCACTTCACATTCGTGAACCAAGCCGAAGATTTAGCTGCTCTGCCGCGTAGGAAAATCAGCAATCAGAAGCAGCGCTTAGCCATTCGATCCCATGTTATGCAACGTGTTCGACATTTGGAACTGGCATCCGGGAAAAAGAGGAAAATTGGACGCGAATCTGTCAAAAGGCCCGAGCCAAACAAATCTCGCGGCGGATCGAGTGATTCTGACTCCTCGCCCAAAAAGGGGTCGACACCGCCGTTCCCCATTGCGATCAAACACAAGCCAAAGTCTGTGGTGCCTTATGTGCACGCGGAGAGCGAAAAACTGCCTGTCGGGGCGAGGGCTTCAGGACACTTCCCTCTGCATATGGCCCCGGCTATCGATGAATTCGACCCCTTTGAGACCCTGCCAAGCAACCGTGTGCCGCATAAATCTGTGGAGAGTTTGTTGAAGTATTGTGAGTTAGGGCCACCGCCCGTGAGCTGAACGAGAATTGACTTCCAGATCAGGTTTTGACGTCCTTTTGCCGCTCACGTTTTCGGTGGAGACTAAACACGCCCGGGAACGGCTTGCTCGGCAGGGAATGGTCCTCCAGAGCAAAATCTCGAGTCCCGCCACCTTTTTGGGATTTATGGCCACGGTCTCTGCTCATAGAGCCATTACTTCCGGCCACCATCAAGATTTGTCCCCCTCCGTTGCAAACCATGATGATCTCATTGTCGATCCGGACTACAAAACGGTCAAGCATGAAGCCATTGTTGCCGTTCGACGGAAGGTTGAAACGTTTCAAAAACTCGATCAGGATATGGTGGAAGCCTGCTTCGGTTTAATCTCCACCGCCACTGTGGTGGGCAATTTCGAGGAAGCGAGAATGCATCTGGGAGGCATAGCCCAAATGATGGAGTTGGTTGGTGTATCCGAGGGTTCCCTGAAATGGGTTCCAATCTCGAATGTCAAGGTTTCCGTGGGACTCTTGTCACGACCCATTTTACCTCTTCCTTGGTCACGCCAGCCGATACCAGAAGTTATAGGGAAGCGAATTTCGCCGGCCCCCGACTCCGATATGGTCCGCCTGGGCTGCTATTTCATCCTCTTGGAGGACTTGAGCGATTCACTACAGGGTCTATTATCAATGGGCCGAGACATTTGCAACTTTTGCGAGCTGAATGCCACAGACCCCCAAGGATTGTCATCGCTGGAGAACAGCGTCCTCCAACGGAAAGCTATCGAGCTAGAATATGACCTTTTAGCTTATCCATACGAGTCAAACGCGTTTCGTCAAGACCGTGACAAGGAGCCACTCCTCCCATCACTTGAGGGAGTGGTACGTCTGGCCGTTCTCGGATTTCTTTCATTCACTCCTCACACCATCATGCCGCCAACAGGCCTAGGTCGAGCATTGACACATCACCAGAAACGAGCCGTTGAGGCGTGGCTGCGTGAGAAAGATGAGAGCTGCGGCGTCTCAGAACTCAAAGTTATATGTTGGGCGCTCTTTATATTCGTACAGAACTCGTCCAAACAGCCGGAGGAGACATTCTTTACCCGACTACTTTCCCGGCTCATTCGCAAACTCTGGTTCCTGTCCTGGCAAGATGTCGAAACCACCATGTTCGGCTTTCTTTACATTCCGAAACTCCAATCGTCCATTTGGAAGGCTATCTGGGCCACCTCACTCGAAGGCATGGCGAACACGGGGCAGAGTAGCCACTCGACTTCCAAAGGACCGTAGCATTGGACAAACTCAAGAGCGCCCTTATTGACCTTGTGGTCTGTTATCCACCGGGACCACATCCGACACAGCGATACGAAAAAGGGAGGCTCTCTTTTTCCTTCGCTTGCATCGCCCAAAAAGACCATTGATTGAATAAAAGACAGGATAACAGACCAATTGAGCATGCGAATGGACAGCGTCATTATACATGTAAATCTACAGGCATTATTTATGGAAAAGAAGAGGAGGGTGAAAAATCCCTAGAGAGCGACATATCCACGCCCAAAAATAAGGAGTAGTCGGTGGGACTGGCCGCCATCATCGAATACCCCATATCAATCCAACTCCGTCATTGCATCCATCAGGCAGGGAGTCATACAACGGGCTAGGCCATTGGAGCGTTGATGCATTCTGTTTTCGTACTATGACAGTGACAATAAATTGGAGTAGGAAAACTCTTTGAAACCTAAGTCTCGTCCGTTTTGTCGTCCAGAGGTTTGTTCATGGCTCATGACTCATTTCTATTCGCATGATTCCCCGCGGCGGCCTGCCGAGCAGCGCCTCCTGTTGCACGATGCCAGAGATCGCCGCCCCATCTCATTGCTCGTTCGGCTGCCGCGGTCGGGCTATCCAGAGCGGGCCGGATGTCCAAGTAGAAGACGGGCTCGCCCGTGGCCTGGACACCGCCGGAGTAATAATCGATAACGTAGCGGACCTGCTTAACGGAGCCGTCGGGCATGGTACGCGCGACATACCAATCGTGGCGATCAAAGGGAGGTTCACTACCGAATTTCTCGGGCATCACATAACCCAGGGCGGAGAGTATGCGGGCTTTGGGTGTCGGTTCATGAGGTCGGCCCTGGAAACGAAGTAATTTAGGGCGAGCGTTCTCCTCGGGATCCGGCAGGCCCATGGCTCGTTGACGGGCACTCATCATTTCATGTTTTGCGCGGTCCATGGCGATTCCTTGTTCTCCTCGACTACATATCTCCCAGCCGTGTACGAGGCCTTTCCCAAATATACGTTCCCATTCCTCGATCTCCTGCCAGGCGCCTTCGTTAAGGAAATTGTGGACGGCGACCATGGATTCGACGGCGTCGGTGGGGGTATCCGTGTAGCCCTTACGCAGCATTGCGTTGTACATCTGTTGGGGGGACGGGTATTCCCAGTTCAAGTTCGAGTCCCCGCGCGGGATGGAGGAGATTTCTCGTTCTAACGGGAGGGAGACATCTTGTGGCGAGTCGGCTGGTCGAGTATTGGATAGCGAGGGCATGTAGTTTAGAGGATTGAATTTGGAGAGCGTCGACGAGGAGGAAGGGGTTGACCGGGTTGATTGAACTTGTTGTTCAGAGGATTGAAGTTGGTTGGGAGCTGTCGGGTTGCGGAGGGGATGATTGGACGATTGGACAGGACATGAGAAGGGCTGTGAGGAGGATTGATCGCGGCGTGGAGGAAATGGTGTTGCTTTCGAGTCGGATTGGTGCATAGGACATGCTGGCTGCGTAAAGTTAAGTCGCTCGAAGCTCTACCAAAACATGAGAAGAAAGACATACGGGAGGAGTAGCAGGTTGATGTGAAGCAACTATTGATGCATTGGGTTTCGGGCTGTCCGCCCAGAACCAGCCCATCGTCGCGGCGAAGTACTGACACTGTTAGGAAATGAAACAGGTGAAAGAATGGGGAGTTCACAAAGGTGACTGAGTAATAAGGATAGAAAAAGATGCCGCAGCCGACCACAGGGACAAGGCTCCGCTCCACTCCGCTGAAAAACCAAACTTTCAAGGTTTTTCGCTTCACCTTCCCAAAACAGTCCAACGTACAGAGTACAGCCACATTACCAATCAAATTGCTCAGAAACTTCTAGATTTACCGCTTCTTTACAATTTATTACGATTTTGCCGGCAAAATATCCCAACCATCATTTTCCCAATGGATTACTCCTCGCACCCCTCGAAACCTCGCGTGATACACGTATCATGATTCAAACTGCACTCTTATTCCAAGTTCCATACGAACAAATCCGTGAGAAGTAGGAAGGCGGTGAAAGGGGCGGAACGTAATAGAAAATACAGCTAAAAATGAAACAACAGGACTATTCAGGGAGGGGACAGTATATATCCGCTTTCACCTATTGCCTCTCTCTACTGAAGGGCTACTTAAGCGTTCATTGTTGGCCAGAATAGGCAATGCTGGCTTGGCATTATCACTCTATAGTGACACCTGAGGCAACTTATACCCTCAACCCTTTCTACCTATTTATGTTGACATTTATCAGAGTGTGCTTTGAGATAAATCAATCAATATTCTCTCCCATACAGTTCATCATTCATAATCTCTTGTACTTCAGTGCTCCCGCTTCTCGCCTCAGTACACGCCTGATTCATCAACAACTTTCCCTGCCTGATTCCTCTATCAGCTTTTTCTGCTCCTTCAACATTGTGCCCTCTGCTCTTCGAACTCCAACATGAATACAATTTGCGGACCCAGCGATGGGACACCTACATGTACACCCATGTCAAGGTCATCCTCAAGGTCATCTACATCAAAAGAGACTACGGCAGTGGAGAGTTCACCACCGAAGTTATCGCCCTTAGAGGGATTGGAAGACGCTCGTATGTATACGTACAGAGGGATCCGAGACCTAAAAGAACGTGTCCACTCGCAGTCTGCCGCTTTGATGGATGGTCGTACGAATCAGCAGTACCTTGTTTTCAGGGGTGTCACAAAAGGTCAACTTGAAAAGATTGACCATCAGCGCGCCAACATAGGGAAGCATACTCGGATGAGCCATTACGCGGATAGCAATCTATTGGTTATCAAGCTGATGCCCTCAGCGGCACATGAAGGCGCGCACCTCTCACTAGCCCGGACAATTGATTACGCACTCTCCAGAATGGGCCTCCCACAAAAGTGCTTATATCTTGTTGGCGGGACAACGTACAAACTCCCTAATTCCTCTAAAGAGGATGATACGGGATTCCGCCCCCTCCCGGCCCGGGAAAGGGAATCTGACATTGTTTTTGAGTCTGGACTCTCTGAAACGCTTCCTCGTCTGAGACATGACGCAGAATGGTGGATTGTCAACTCTGGAGGAGATGTCAAGATTGCCATCATCATCTCAATTAAGCGAGCACAGAAGACGCTAATAGTCGAAAAGTGGTGCCTTTCTTCGCCTCCTGCATATAGACCAGCCACCAGAAGCCACCCAAATCCCAACACTTCAATTCCGACAAAAGTCCAAGAGCTTACTATCACCCAAAATCCCACTCCACAACTAGGTCTTACCACTCAGTCGAATACCATCGGTCAGCCAATTGTCACCGTTCAGCCAGGCCCTGCCTCAGCCTATGACGTTGCTGGAGCGCCTCTGATTCTCGAATTTGACAAAATCAACCTCCGAGCCGCTGTACCGCCAGAAGGCGACGTCGTCTTTAATGACGCGGATCTTGCCGACTGGGCGGATTACTTCTGGAAGGGCGTTAAGTAGAGAGATCACAATGGTTATGGCAGGATCTGGGGAACACATTGTGGGACTAGTAACGGCTAGTGGTGGGTCGGGCTCTCGCTGCCACCTTGACTCCGGATTACCGCACCCCGTTGCCGTTACCGCACTACATAAGCGACAGATCTTTGCAGGAATCTGTTGTCTCAGATGAATCAGACTGCGGTTGGCAAGCGCGAGCGCTGATTGGTCTGCTGAAGCGCTGAAGCGCGACCCAATCAAAAAATTCAAAATCCTTTTTGCCAAACGAGTCTGGGCACCGATACATGAAAGTGGCCTTGCATCGCGTTCGCCGCGTAATATTTAAATTACCACCACCAAAATGAACGTATTGGACTGTGATCATAGATTCTCACGGTCTTCGGTTTCGCAGATCCTCTCCATAAACCACGTCGACTGAGAGGCCGCGCCCCCCCGGAAAATGTTTAATCCGTTAGGAGTTGGGTGGGCGACGGGGGATTTCATCGGATCCAATCCATGACTTATATGGTCCACGGGATGGATCCAACGACGGTGATCCCGGAAAATATTTAATCCGATGACGGTTAACCGGAAAATTGTTAATCCGCCGAGGGTCGGGTGGTCCATTGACTGGATCCGATGGGCCGGTGGAGCACGTGGTCACGGAAAAAGGTTAATCCGTTAAGGGTTGAGTGGTCCATAGACTGGATCCGATGGGCGACGAGGGGGGAATTTCATCGGATCCAATCCGTGGATCATATCGAGTGGGGACTAAATACCAAGTTGCGGTACTGAATCTTGGTTTCCGTAGGGTTTTTTGATTCCCAGGTTGCAAAACAGGGCTCGTTTGCGAAGCATGCTGATTGACTGATGCTAGGCAGGTTGAAGACACAGGCCATAGTCAATCTTTTTAGAGACGAGGCGCTGAAGATTACAGATGGGAAGAAGTGCCGGCTGGTCCACCAGGACGGATTTGCTACAAACATCAGTATAACCATACGCACCGAGGGACAACTTACAGATTTGCGACTATCAGCTTGTTTTTCAAGCCTGACTAGCTGAGAGCCAGTCTCATGATCTCGAGGACTACATCATCACTCCAAGAATCCTCCGATCGAGCCTCTCTCGAACATATAATTGCTGCCTCTTTAATGCTCTGAACATTTATCCAGGAGTCCCGGATCTCGAGGAGCGAATGGCTATGATCCTCCTGCCACTTAACATGATCCAAATTCCGTCGGGCCACAGGATGTCCCTCCAAGTCCTCTCGCAACTCATTGAGTATCTTTACTGCAGCCTTTCTTATTCGGTCAGGAAGCTCCCAATCCTGGTCTGTGAACGTCCTTTTGTCCCCATCGTCCGCTCCTCGCTCGGCAAATTCTCCAGATAAAGTTGGGAAGGGGTCGCGGAAAGTTGTCGAGTCTGCGACTTCGAAGATGGGCTTTTCGTCGTTAGAGACGTCGGCGTCGTGGGTATCGACTGGCTGGTCATCGTCCAGCACAATCGGGTTGTCTAGCACAATACGTCAGTACGCACCGTTCACATATGCTCCGTGCGACATGGGATCTCCATTACTCACCTCGGCTGGCACCGGGATGAATGCAGGTGGGGTTCGTGGCAGCAGGATTGGCACTATGCTCGCTGTTGCCCTCGTGACAACGGTCCTTGCTGGTCCTGTCGACGGAGTCGAGTGATGCGAAAGCCTTGCAGCTGAGGTCGTCATTTCCTCCAAACCCTGTTCCGCTCCGCGCAAAGATATCCTGGAGAGACGAAAGGTCACTGGTTTCGATTTCATAGTTAATGTCGTCGTCATCTTTGTCGTCTTCTTCGCCGTCTTTAATTTTGTCGTTGTCGGTCGCGCCGGTGCTGTGGGCTCTAGCAACTCGAATGCCGCGTTCATCGGGATTATGACCCGTTGGCTCCAAAATTTCTCGCTCTATCAGATTCTCCCGAGCGGCGTCCCGGTGGGAGGGGGTCAAATCCACAAAATCGACGAAATCCGCATTGCTTACAGACGTCGCCTGTTGAGGAGATTCTGAGCTTTGTCTGCTCGACACCCAACTAGGATGGCCGACTGTGGGAGATTTGCTGAAGATCTGTCTTTCGAAGGGACGGTGTATTTTCTCGAGGTTGATACGCGATGAAAGTCGTCATGATGGGAGCGTAGATGTAAAGCAGGAGAATGGATCTGACGGTCGAAAATAACGAATTGGTGCCATTTATACAGACAGTTAGCACTGCCCTCATCGGCTTCTCTGCTTTTCCTCGTCCCACAAGGCACTGTTCAACTTTCAACTGCCGAGTTTCAATCCTGGCCTGCCAAAAAATTCCTCTGCTGGTGTTTCCACCCCCCGCCTTGCCGGGGGGGGAGAAGACCATCACGGCGACGAAGTGGAGCGGGTCATGCCACCGAAACGTTATAAGAGACAAGGGCTTCAGTTATCCTAAGGGTGGCATTGACCGACGGCGATAGTGGGTTCCAGAATGAGGGGATGGCATGAGGGCGCTGATTCGTTTTTCAAGGTTCTGAGGGTTCAAGGACGATGAGAACATCCTCGATGGTTCGAAACAGCTGCCTTCAGTGGTTCTTTGACGATCCTGCAAGCCTTCTTCGAAACTGATGGCTAACCCCACAAGCACATGCCCGCCCGCTATTGGGATCATCATCTGGAATGGAGAATCAACATCTGCGCTCGTCCGAGCGAAATTATGTCTTGCCCATCCCAGAGTCCCACTTCGTACCGCCGTTCTCAAGTCCCGTTGCGGAAACCTCTGCACTGCTTTCAGCTCAAAGGAGACTGCAGCTGAGAATCCACTTGTAATATGCTGACGTGCCCCCTGCCGCCGGATGGCAGCCATTTCCCGCGAGCTGCTGAGGGCCGAAATGAAGGACTCAGCCCCACATCGACGTTGCAAGTTCGAGGCGAAGGGACGGTGCAGCACGGGGAGTTGAGTGTCAACCACGGCGTCTAAGGATATTCGATTTTGCTATTATCGGTGACAACGATCTCCCTGGGCTTTTGCAAGTCCGGAACAAACGCCTGAGGAACCCATTACGCGGATTCACCTTCGCAAGGCGGTACAAGGGGGCTTGCCGACGCCAACACCTTCAGGACCCTGGTCGAAGCGTAGATGATGGACGGGGTTAGCTGAGTCGGCAGGTTGTGCAGCCGGTGAAAGTCAAATGTTCCATGTAGGAATTGGGGGCTTGAGGGGGCAGAAGTGGCGGCCGTAAGGATCGTGGATTGGGAGGGCGATCGGGGTGCACTGGGAGAGGCAAGGCAGATTTTGAAAGAGCCGGGGAGGGATAATCCAGGAGGATTCGGGCGTGTCGGGCGTAAAGCGACGGAGGTGAAGAAAGAAAACAGGTTGGAAGAGAGGGATGAAATGGGAGGCGAGGTTCTTATAGATGTCAAAAGCGGCGGCGCACCCAGCCTGCCACCATACCCGAACGGGCAGGGCCGCCCAAACCGAAGGTGGATTTCCGGGCAACAACTTTACAATATCCAGTGCTCGGGGCACAAAGTGAGGAATCACGATTCACCGTCACGATGTCGATCTATCACCGATAATATTCACACCCATCGACCGCCATTCCCCTGCGACTCTCCTTGCCTCGCGCTTCGCCATTGTTCAGGACACAGTATTGAAGGATAAATACATCAGACTGCGGAAGGGCGCAAGACAAGATGGCTTCCTCAAGCGATGCGAAGGGCTTCAAGCAGGACATGGTCGTTTCAATACGATATCGAAATGACCTCCCTCCTCCACCGATGCCTCCGAAGCTCCTGGACATCGACACCGGCGGCCTGGCGCAATACCTCACCACGGGCTATGCCTCTGCCCTGGCAAAGCGTGAAGAACCGAATATTGAGGTAGATGCCGAGGGTGGAATGCCTATTGACATGATTGGGGTGCCGGGTTACTTTCTGGGAGACGAAAGTGCGATTATGGCGCCTGAAATTCAGCCTGTCCTCGATCCCGCCGACCACGCCCTCATAATGTCCCTCGATCAAATCAGAAGTCAGGGTGCAAAGAACAACGTTTCCTTCCTGCGCAAGACACAGTACATGACATCCTCACAAATGGCTCGAGCAAATGATCCTTTCGTGCGCTCCACGTCCAAAGCTCGAAAGATGTCCGAAAGCAAAGCTCCTCCTACACCGGTCGCTCGAGATGACAAGGAAAATATCAAGAGACATATCCAGAAAGGCTTTGACATCGCGTACCCGGAGAGCATTCCATTCAATCCTCCGGAAGCGAAAGCCAATCCAGCCTCTGCACAAGAACGGGATGCCTGGAGAAATCCGGCCCATCCTGACAATCCGAGACTCAAACCAGTCGCGTTCTATCCCATTCTCCCGGATCTTGACGCCGTCACAGATATGGCAGGTAACTGGCAGGCCTTGAAATTTGAAAAGCCGCCTTTACCACCTTATCATGGCAAGAGAGATGACCGGATCGACGTGGGCTTACTCATGGCCTCGGAGAACGCAGCGCAAATGCCCACATGGCGGGCAAAGAAGAAGGCCTTTACAGAACATCCTCAGCTTTATGAAGATCCAGGACCGGAACCATACATCTGGTCACTTCAAGTCCCCAAACAACCAGACTCTGCATCTCGAATCAAGAAGATCTTGGACGACTCGAATCCCTACAAAGACGACCCCGCGCTATACGCCCCTCTACTCGAAGAATCCGCTGATGGCTCATCACGTTTGCCTTTCGAACGAGTTCGCATCTACCGATCTGCTACCCAAAATCCAGTCGACCCTCGCCGAACCATGGGTCTCTCACTCGTCAACGCCGACAACCTATCCCCACCATCTCGATTCCGTAAGCAAGGCACCGCGGCATACTACTACCCGATCTTGGAACGTGTACGCATGAAAACCGACCGAGGCAATCTAAGCAAATCGCGCAGTCAATCCGCCGAGGACGAGCTGGAGGCTAACATTCCCGACCAACTGATGGTGCTGTTCAAAGAGCCCAGTCCCCAAGAGAAAGCGTCTCGGCATCAGTTCCGTGGCGACTACGACGCTGCCTTTGCCGCAGAGTATGAACAGTTGGTACGTGAGGGAGTGGCGGCGGAAGAAGCGCTGCACACGGAGGAGATTCCGGATGAACAGGACGAATCACCTGAAGGCGCGCAGGATGTATCTATGCACGAAGTGACAGATACAGAAATTGCCATGAACGGTACCTCTCATAAAGTCCGGGAGGATGATTGGAATACGCCTTCCGTTAATGGTAGGAATGCTGATGGCGAAGACGACGACGATGATATGCGCGACGATTGAGTCGTACTACAGATCTGCTTCTAACCAAAGTTAGATCAGGCGTTATTCTAGGCGTGGAGAGCAAGATACCAAATTCTCGGGTTGGACTGGAGTGCGTTGAGTGTCTTAAATCCCCTCCGGTCGACGGGCTGAGCGGGATATTTGGCGCAATGGATGTGAAATGAATCGAAGAATTTTTTTTTTTTCCTCATCTCTGTTTGAAACCTATAGTATTTCTTTCTGTCTCGACTCAAGCCACCACCCTTACGAACTGACATTGCTCGATGCTTATTTCTGCTCTCCTTTTCCGACGTTTTCTTTCCTCTCTCCTTTCCGGATATTTATTTAATCAGACACATTGAGGCCCCCCAGCTGACCCCCCTGGGTTTCGTCACAAAGACCTGGTATTTCTCGAAGAGCCCCGTTACGCTTTAGAAAAAATGCTCTTCAGCAGATGTCAGGCAATTGACCATGTCCATCGAAGCCTGTAGAGTGGCTCCTCCCCAGACAATAATTCCTTGTTGGAGCGAGTCTCATCGCCGGGAGCCAAAATCATTCTTTTTCATGACTTGCTTCGTCTAATAAGATCTAGCCAGATTCCGTAGGTACCAATCGACCAATCTCCGACCCTGCTTCGCCTCACTAATGTGAATCAAGTCGCCCTCAATGGCATAGTCCAACTCGCTACCATTGACCGGCTCGCCTTCCAAAAGACCACCTTCGGACCAGCGAATCTGTCTGCTCCGTTGCTTGTTGACGAGGAGCCAGCTGCGCAATTTCTCAGGCTCGACTTCCAAGAAGCTCGAGAGCTTCTTTAGGTCCATGGTCGTGTAGAGTTTCAGGTACGACTTGACGGTCGGGTTGAAAAGAGTGTTCTTCACTTCATCCATGAAGATGTCCGTATGGTGCTCGACAGGGTCGATGTTGAGAGATGGGTTGTCGAAGTCCGGTGGCGTCGGCGTTATGAATTTGGGGCATGCGGATTGGAAGAGTTCCCTGTACACGGGGAGAGATTCGGTGCCACCACGTTGGAGGCGGGCGAATTTCTCACCGTATTTCTCGCGCAGAGCCGTGTGGATCGTGTCGTCGAGCCGGGTGGGCGCAAAGGAGACACAGATGGCGATCAGGGCGTACATTTGTTCTGTCTTCTTGGCGATGGCGTCGAATTGTTGGTTGCCCTTTTGGAAGTTCTTAGTCCGTGACACATAGACGAGGATGTGGCTGAACATGCGGACGGCGTCGGCATAGCGGCGTAGCATCATGTACGAGAAGCCGACGTAGTAGTATGTGTTGAGGTGGGCCGCCATGACGCGGGCGAACATGGCCTTCTTGTTCATCTCGATATCGTCGAGGGTTTTGAGGGCCAGACTGAAGTCGCCTAGCAGGCAGTGCACGCGCAGCAGGCCGATAATGGAGAAGTAGCCCAGCATGCGGTAGAGCGGTCTGGAGCCATACTCCCCAGCCACAGCGTTAGGATCTTCATTTCGCTTCTGTGCAGCAAGTTGCTCATTGATCTGAGAGCGTTGGATGAGAGAGTAGAGGACGTTCAGCACCGAATAGCAGCCCCATGTGTTGGGGTTCTCCCGCAGGATTTGTGCCTCTTCTTCATTTGGGGCGGTTCGTGCGACCCGATTTCTGTATCGGCAGAACGACTCGAATTGATAGATGAATTCGTCAATGACATCCCACGCCCAGTAGTATGACGGTTGTTCGATATCGACAGGTCCGTCGGAATTGAGGATGTAATGAAAGAGAGTACAGTAATTGTCGTAACTGGCGAATTTTGTTTCAAGAGAGGCTTGATATTCTAGAGGAGCAGCAGCTGCCTCGAGCTGTGCTCTCAGATCTGCTGGGCCTCCACTCAAGGAGTCTCCTCTTTCTAGGTCCGCACCATCGTCTTCATAATTGACTTGTTCCTGATAGTCGGCAACAAGGGCTTCCTCTTCCACGTCATCGTCATTCGCGTAGGACATTGTGATGAAGTCAGTATGGAGGGAATGACACAACGTATTTGCCGAGTCAAGGAGTTGATTCTTCTGAAGTAGGCTTGGTGGTAAGGAACGTCGTCTTTTGAGTTTTGCTTTTGGTTGTCGTCGGCTAAGTTTCCTGATTTGTCAATTTCAACAAGAGATCACGTGTGCGAGAATGTGGGCTTGGCGTTAACTAACCTCCATTGGCAGCCCCGCCCCTTTAGTGGGAATGTCTCTGGGCAGCGACTCTTGACAGCCACATTCGTACAACAGCGACTCGCCATACACCAAGTTGAGCCTGGTTGTGCGACGATGGAAAGGTTTTGGAGGTTACTAGCCCTCAACTTTGACAGCCTCCATCATTCGACAGGAATCTGACGTCAGAAGACAGGAAAGCCGTTGACCAGACTCTGGAGAGGGACATGAAAGTATAGAGAGTACTCCCAGAGGCGGTCGCCAAGAGGTAACGAGGTCACCAACGAGAGAAGCCGATAAAACGTCCGGTTCGGGAGATGTTAAACAAATATCAATCCAAAAGACGTCCGTTTCAGAGGCGTTCCAGCCTGACGACGTCAAATCCCAAAAATGGATTTCCAAGAAGACTCTCCATTCCAAAGACATCCTATTCCAAGGATGTTTTATCCTAAGACGTTCACTCCGAAGACGATTAGTTCAACAATACCTAACCGGACGGCGTCATTATCTAACGATGGCCCTATTCAACCCTGCCCCGACTGCACGATATCCGAATCCAACGATGTCCAATCCAAAGCCATCCGGCCCTAATTGGAAGACGAATCACCATACCAGTTTGGTCATGTGGATACATGGCTCCTGAAAGTTCCATTTGACCTGGACGATTATTTCCCTGGCCAAGCACCTATGCTCGAACCGGGTCGAACAGAGCTACTACAAGGCACGGCAGTTCTAAGTCTGTAGCCGAGGAGGCTCCTTCCTCCCAATGTCCGCACCCCAAGAGAATCGGGCAAGATTTATCGCCGCCAAAATGTATGAAGACCAGCAACTTGTGTTCGATTAACAGGGATGGTCGGCAAGCGGTTTCCGACTATTGACGCATTCCCCCCTAAACAGGGAAAGGCCTCCACAAACCTAGGTGGAAATATCTCTTCGGTCCGCTTGACACAATTAACAATTGTGCGAAATGCGATCTTGACCCCTAAACAGGCGTTGATGAAAAGGTTGCCAGCCGGGCATATCCATATCTTGCAAGCATCGCAAGCATCGCAAGCATTCCAAGCGTTCCAAGATTCTCAGCGTGAAGCAGGATGGTCTACCGAAGTCCAAAATATCTCTGACCATGAATGTTTTACCCCTCGGTTGTGAGGATTGTCGAAGGCTTGCATAGGGTGACACCATTACTATACCACTCCAAGTGCATATCCTTTCTTTTTCAGACCCAGACACGAATACCACGGCATGTACCGAGCGAGGAAGGAATCCGAAGGAATGGTCGAATCGACGAGGCTCGGCCGCGGTTACTCAGCTTTTGGGCAGCAGCCTTGTCTCGGCATCTGAGACTGCGATTCACGTGCGCACACCGGCGCTGATTGGCTCTTCTGGTGAACTTTTGGGGTGGAGATGTCCGTCAACCCTTTTGAACAGACACAGCACCGTGGCAAAGAAGAGTACAGATCATCTCGAGCTCGCTTCTAGTGACATGCGAGGATGGCAACGTCCTACGAGACCTTTCAACAAACCTTCAAGGTCGCCTTAATCCAGCTCCACCCCAAGGTACAAATCTCTTGGCCTCAAATCTCTCCCACTTTCCCCTCGCGTTGCCCTCCATGTGCTAGCCATCACTGCTGACATCCATGATCAGCCTCTCGACCCCGAACACAACTTTGCCACTGCATCTTCGCACATCCGCGACGCCGCAACTCAGGGCGCCTCGCTGGCTGTGCTGCCCGAGTATCACTTGACGAGCTGGGTACCGGAAGATCACCAGTTCGCCACGATCGCGCAGACCGCGTACGGATACGTCTCCAAATACCAAGACCTGGCGAAGGAGCTGAAAATCAATATCGTTCCAGGTACCATCGTCACGGTCGACCCAAACTTTCCGCCTCCGGGTGCAACTAACCGGACGACGTCTTCAACGACAAAGGCACCTGCTCTGCTCAACATTGCGCCATTCATCTCGTACACGGGCGAGCTGCTGGGAAGTTACACGAAAGCGAACCTCTGGCTGCCTGAACGTTCAGTTCTCACCTCCGGACCTGATTCAGCCCGCGCAAATGGTCGCGGCCCTCACCCCCCTGTCGAAAGGGAAGGTCCACCCCCATTTAATCCGCACTCAGTGATTGAAACTCCCCTTGGTCCCGTTGGCATCGTCATCTGCTGGGATCTGGCTTTCCCCGAAGCATTCCGCGCCCTTGTCCGACAGGGTGCGCGCTTGATCATCATCCCGACATTTTGGACGAGGGACGACTTGACTCCAGAAGCACGCCGATACGGCCCAGATGTCGATATTATGTTTTTGAAGTCGGCTGTCATCACACGGTCTTTTGAGAATACTTGTGCCATTATCTTCTGCAACGCGGGCGGACCGTTCGAGGAAGGGTATGCTGGTTTGAGTCAAGTGGTTCTGCCGTTGGTCGGTAAAGTCGACGGAAGTTTCGATGGTAATGAACCCGGTATGAAGATTGTGGAAGTCGATATGAGGACCGTGGATGTGGCTGAAGAGAACTACAAGATCAGAGAGGATATGGCAAGGAAGGATTGGCACTATGGGTACAGTCATGAGAAATAAAGGAATTCCATGAACATACAATTAATCCTGCCGGACACCGACCAAGTCCAGATATTTTCATGAACTTCAAGACTCATACACGCATAGATTCATACACTAATAGATGACTGACAGTACATCCCTAACCATCATTTCTCCATATTCCGGCGAAGCTAACATATACTCACAATGGCACTGATACAAATCCCAAAATAATAGGTCCCTCAATCATGGACGTTCTTTTTCTGCCTTGAACTTCCCAGAAGTCTTGCGACGAGGATAAGCCTGATTTTTTGGTCTGCCAAAAAGAAGTTCTCGATGAAGTCGCCGGCGAACAACGGCGAGAATAGTAATCCTCCAACTCAGATATCTCTTCTGAGTCATCGAGGAGCGGTTGGGGGTGGTTTCGGAACGAGAGATTGTTGCTGCTGAGGCTGCGAGAGGCTCTGAATGATGGCTTTCCGTGATCCGTAGCAGAGGCAGACCACACTCGTTTGGGTAGAACTCGATTTTCCTATTCTCGTCCTTGGCCCGTGATCGCAAGCAACTTCTGGTGGTAAGGGCGAGACGAATGTGGTTCAAGACAATGAAGACATGGCCATTCTCGAAGCATGTATCGACAATCTCGAGCAGATGGATATGCTCAGGGCCAGCCCGAATTCTCTCTGCTGTCAAGTCTGAATCGACGAGGTGAATAACCAGACTGGCCACAAGTGGTATTGTGAGGAGTAGTCCGACTTGCCCGATTGTCCCGTAGGAATGTCTGGCGTTGGTCCCAGGATCCACTTGTCTATGTCACGTTAACAGGCGATTCGATGCATAGAGGGGTTCCTGTGTATATCTCTTCATGTAGCCCAGGTAGATTCCTGGGATCGAGAGTTTACCTTCTTTCCCTCTGACATAGATGTCGCTTCTTTTGGCGTAGAAGAGAAACTCCCCAGCTGCCTTAAGGTCGACCAAAACAACATGTGCGATCCCAACCCTGCGTCGTAGATGCATCGGCAGTAATGCCCCACCACGGAGAACCTTTGTATTCCGGAGTATGGGCCGTGGAAACTGAGTGTGAAAAGTAATCTTACGGTGTCCGGCATCTTGACCCTTTTCGAGGATGCTGGTTGAACGCGACTGGGGGATGAATGCGAGTGCCATTGACTTAGGAATCTACCTGGACGCCATCTCGTTTACGGTCGTCTCACTCTGGGTCGAGCCGATGGTACAAGAAGGACATTGTGTAGGAGGAATTGATGGGACATTGCTGTTGATCAGGATGTCCCACTTCTCTGCATCAGCACCACCTACAAGAAGAGCCCGGCGGAGGGCGATGTATTCATGTCTTGATTGGGTCTCTGCTTTGTCACTACCGCTACCCAGAGTGTTAAATGCAGTATTGACAAGAGGTTTGGAAGCGCACCAGGAATTCGTACTCGAATACTGAGATGATCACCCAGTCTCCATTTTTCGGCTGTCAGGAGCAGAAGTATGGTTAGTCCCGACAACTAATGCTGCAAAGCAAAGCGAAAGGAGGAAGCACTCGTTCGAGGCAGTAGAGGTCAGAGTCAGCTGTCTAGTCCTAGGCGCTGGAAAGCCCATCTTTCTAGCATCACACTCACGAGGTGGTCAGTGCGGGTTCCGAGTGTCAAGTGCATGTTGTGCCGAACTGAGTTGGCAGGTCGCCATGTTTAATTGACAGTCAAGAGGGCGAAAGCCGCAAGTTGAGGGAGAAGAGATATCCGAAGATGCAATTCAAGCAGCAGCGGGAATATGCAGGGCCTGGCCTCAAGTCTTCTCGTCCTCCTGCCAGAATAAGACAAATTCCTGCATCAGTATGTATCTCTCCCTTGAGACCGTGTTTCTTTAGCCTAACAGGCTCCTCATGATCGACGATGGACAAACACCTGATTCTCAAGCAAATAATCCCTTTCCAAGAGTGTTTGCCGATCATGCTGACGAATTTCCGAGAAATGCTATAACTCTGGTCGACTGGGCATGCGCGAGATGCTCCCCAGACCAAACCAACAACAACGGGATCAACTTGTCCAATGGATAGAGATGGTGGATGACAGGGTGTTCTTTTCAGCATCAAGACCTGATTTTGTGACGGTGAGTCTTACAGACGTCTGCCAACCTTCGCCGAGAACTCACGCTGACCTACCTCATTTCTCCGTACCACCAGTACCCGGAGAGAAAGACCACCAGAAGTTGGGCAACATCGGCGTGTAGAAAGGTTGAGAGTTTGAGAAGACCAAGTAATCCACTGTCGTACAAACATGCTGCCCAGCCCAAATGTTCTCTCCGACTCAACTGGGATTTGATCGAAGATCATGTCCATATTCTTTCACGGCCTCATTCACCATATCAATGCTTCCTTTGATCAGCCGTGCTCTTTCTTCGGGATGAAGGTCGAGAAATTCTTGAAATTCCTGAAACCAGGTATCGTCTTTTGCGGGGCCTTTGCCATCATAGCCCACACACATTTCTGCAATGAGAGAGAGTGCCAACCGAATGGCCATGTCACCCACATAGCGTGTGGGGAGCTCGGTTTGGTTGATGGGCCTGAATATCGACTCGGGATTTTCCTTGCCAATTGCTAGGGAAAGGCATTCCATTCGATCTTCGAATCTCCACCATTTGGGCAAGATTTTCGAGCCTTCCATCAAATCGAGGAACCGTTGGAAATCGTTGATCGCTATTGACAGACTCATGATTAGTACAGATGTGACGACACCAGCGGCGATTTGCAAATCCAGGGACCCAAGATATGAATGCTTACCATCACCTTGCGCCCAAACCAGTCCATCAATGGGCTTTCCAGGGTAATATATGCCGTGATCCTCCTCCCGCGACCAATGGTCTGTTTCAACCCTCAGACGATAAGCATCAATAATAACCCGCAACGCATCTTCCCGATCATAAGAGGAGAGATAAGCGTTTTGGGCTCCTTTGCCTTGGACCATATTGCAGAACGGCTTGTGCTTGGACCAATGAGCTTTTTGGCATCTGTAACGGCGTCAGAAGGAGTTGCGAAAGCTCCCAATGGGGCCGGACATGCTCTTTGGAGCAGTAATCAATCAGCATGCAGCCGTTGCATCGTTTCAGGGGTTTCTGGAAACCTAGAGCCAGGCAATTTGCACAGACCGATAGCTTCTTGCTATGCATATATTCGTGTTCAATCTGCCCCACGTACGTCACGCCGCACATGGGAAAAGTCTTGTTGGTCGCCATTCTGATAGAGATGCACTGCTTCCTAAAAGTGTTGTGATCTCGTTAAATAGCAGAAGAGCACGAAGCAGCTGTCTCTGCGAAGTATCAGGAGAGAATGTGAAAGCTTGAAGGCGGTCGAGGAAGCGGGTTCCGGTTTCCACTCGAATATCCGCCTGTGCTTGGCAGCTCAGCCTTGTTCAGCCTTGTTCAGCCTCGTCTCCGACTCTGGCAACCACTACCCACCTTGAAGTTTTCAACAGTACGGACATAAGACCAGAAAGCTCAGCCAGTTATTTTATGATAGGAACGTTACTGCCTCGCTATATCTACGGAAGATTGAAGAGCTCTCGGCTTAGGATATGATCTGTTCATTCTGAGGCAACAGAATGGAGATCTCTATGCCGTCCATGCAAAAAGGCTTATCGAACTGACATCGCCCTTTTTCAGTCATTCGACCCAGTATTCCAGCGGGATAGTGTGGAGAGTTCAGTCCAGCAGTATTTGAAACCCTCATAGCGATCGTGCCAAAATTCTTCGCGTCTGGGAACCTTTCAGGCCTGGCTTCCAACATCAGCTTGAATAATAATGAAGGCTAGGGGCTTTTCTGACAGTATCCATTAGTGCCTCAATACGTCCTAGTGGACCATTCACTCAGAATGCTTGGCCGGTTTGGATGTGTGATAATAGCTGCACAGGTACTGCGGCCATGGGGTACGCCGCAAAGAACTTTGGCGTATCGTTCGGCTGGTGGATCCATGAAGCCGCATTTGCATGAAGATAGGCTAGGACTCGGTGCCCGGCAATTTCAATCCCAAAGGTCTGGTTGATAATCCTGCGTCAATCGCTCATCCTCACCATAACGGGCTTGCCACGAGCCAAATCCGCCATCCAAGACACATACTTCGTGTGTTGGCATCTTTCCTCCGTTTTCTTGTCGTGATCCCTCATCCTTGGCATCAGCCCGTTGTTTTGCTCGGGCATACATCAATGCCGCTCTGGGGCCTCTCTGCTGACTCAACATGCAGTAAAAAATAACCTTCTCCTTCTCTTTCAGCGTCCTCAGGAGTTCCGGTATTCTGACGTCCAACTGATTCGTCGGAATCCACATGCTACCTTTTATGTTGCCGCCAATGTGGTCCGAATCGCGGACATCGACGATAGCAATCTTGTGTTGCTCAGAAGGATCGAGGAGAAGAGGTGCCAGCGCCGTTGGGGGGATATAAGTAAGCGAGGAAAGGGTTATGGGAGATGAATGGGACGCCATTCTGCGACTTTGATGTGTCAGTTTCCTGAAATAGGACGAGAGATAAATCGATTGGCGAGGTCCACGAGTCCAGATTGAAAGTAGAAGATGAGACAACGGGTTTCGAGGCGTCATGCGAGCTTGCCGGCAACGGTGGGAAATAAAGGGCTGAGAATAAATAAAGGCATGAAGATTATCTCGCTACAATAGTGGGACTCCGCCGCAGATTGAAGCACTTAATTGGCCAACGGCCCAGCCGAGCTTTGCACTCAACACGAAACCAGCAGGACAGAATTCTAGAGCTCACAATTCAATCGTATTGCCATATCAACACATCCTTATTGTGCAGCCTCTTTGTGAGAGGCGTTGATTTCCCACATACCTCGCGGCAAGCAATATGAAAACAGCTGCATCTCTGCAGCGCCGCGCCCGTTGTCTATGCTCTCAATCAACAAGCGAAATTCTCACCCCTTCATTCTACCCGGTATCGATATCTCTTCAAGCTGCTCGACCTACACCACGATGTGCAAGCAAAACATCCCAGAGACATTTCTCTTCCTCTTGGACTAAACACGATTCTCCCTCTTCAGAATCCAAGAGCCATTCGCCAACCAAATCCGTGGGTGAACTTCTCAGAGACTTAAGACGAAAGGATTTCCCAAGAAGCGGGGAAAGTGTCAACGATCGCATGAACGCATTGATGGGGACAAGAAGTCAAGAGAGGCCGAACCCACAAGGCGATTTCTCCAATCTGATGGGACCAGATCAAAACAAAATGTTGGACGATTTGGTGCAGGAAGTATATGACGTGCCCTCTATCTCATTGCGCCTAAAGCCCACTTTAGGACGTACTGTCGACGGGGTGGCTGGCGACCCTGGCAGAGCCTTTCGCCTTTTGGAGCGCAAATGTTTCGATAACAAAGTGAAGGCTGATGAGAGAGCTCAGACGAAACATGTCAGAAGAGGACAGATGAGGAAGATCACAAGGATGAATAGATGGAGGAAGCTGTTCAAAGAAGGATTTGTTGCCGAATGTGCTCGGATTCGCAGGATGAGGAAACAAGGCTGGTAAGAGCCATCATTACACCAAATGGCCTCTGTCGGGGAATGCCAGGGAGCAAAACACAGTAGGCGATTAATCGCGTTGATTATGTAGCAGTTGCTCGATATGGTCGATCTAGGATAGGGCCCCCCTGCCTTGATTTGGTCCTTGTGGTCACCGGCTCTTTTCTTCGACACTTTCCCGGAAACTTCATGTTACCATTTATGTGGCAAGCATTTCTGTTCCGACAAGGATTCGTTCGAGAAGCATTTTTAAGCGGCCACCCAGGCGACTTTCCTGAGATGGAACGGACCCACATTAACAATAAGAGGAGTCCTGATCATTCATAGTCAAAGACCAAAGTCGGCCACAGCGCAGGAAAGCAAGAAAGGAGAGGTGTTAAGGATTCCATTTCTGATTTTCTCGGGCAGCTCTATGTATGCATTACAGCCCCCTTAACCACCTTGTTACTTTGCTGACCCCCCCCAAAAAAGCCCCCCGTTCAAGAGCTCGAAACTGAAAACACTGAATGATCAGAGACCCTTTTTGGTTCTGTCTGATGACACTATTCGCGAGGGATTCAACCATTGGAATGATGGTGCCTCCTTGCCCTGTTTGCAATATTTTGAACATTGGAACTTCCCCTGTGTCTCCATTCTCCATATCCAGCTTCGATCCGACACTGGCCTAGCTCTCCTCGCATGAGATATTGAACGCTCGTTGACGTGGAATTTTTTTTTTTAAAAAAAAAGCACCATGTCGCCGGCAGCACCCACTACCTTTCATTTTCTACCTCTACGACCAATGACAACCAAACCTGCGCCGATCTTACGTGATTTTCATTCTCATTCAGTATGGCTTTCTTACCAACTTAGCAGCCTGAAGCAAGTTGCATGGACCATGGACCTCGCCCTTAAGACGAAGTCTCTTGAGCTGATTCTGCATGGCATCGAGCTTGCGCTTGATATCGTCATCTTCAGGGCTCTTCGCTAACGCGGTGCTGAGAACATGCAACTGCGCAGTCCCCGAAGTCACGGCCGCAGACTGTCGATCGTACCAGAGCAAGAACTCGATCACCTCCGCGTCGAGAACGGATGTTTTCCCAGTTACTGTCTCATTGCAGTCTGGCTTGACGCAGAAAGCGCGGAAGCCTCTCACGAGATCACCCTTCTCGGCAGCGGAGGACTCGACTGTCGCGCTTGACTTGGCTGCACTTGCTGCACTGAATGTGTGGGGCGATGATCTTGCCTTGTTGGTGGAGATTCTCGAGTTTCTACATGAAGGAGGTAAAGGCGAGAGAAATCGCCGTTAACATGGTCAAGTGTGTCAGTAAATGTTCGGTCAACTTTAAGTTGTGAAGGCGAAAAACATGGGGCGTTGTGGCTTACCTGGATCTTTATCAAGTTTTGGCTTCTTGACTATCTTTCCATTGCCATTTGCATTGCCGTTTGGTGGAGGAGTGCTGGTGCTGTTCAAGCTCAGATCGGACTCGACTGATGTACGTGCTCGCTTTCTAGCCTGGAGGGTCTGGCCCTGTCTGGTGAGTGCCTGTGGCGATCCCTTGCTGGTGTGCAGGTAATCGAGAATTCCGGGGAAGCTCTTCTCAAGCGTCTTCATTCCAGACTGATATCCTCCTGTTTCTGCACTTGTTCCTGAGCCTGAACCAGTATTCTTGCTTGCGGATGTGTTTGGAGTGGAAATTTCGATGGATCTCTTGATATTGACATTGGATTGATTCGCAGCTGAAATTGGAGTGGAGGTCTCGAGAAGTTCGCCGATATTGGCACGGGATAATGATGCGCTCATCTTGGCCGCTGCGGTATTCGGAATTGGCATGACTCGCAAGAGAGTGGAAGCAATGAGAGAAGGACTGGATTCAGACTTGACGTCGGTAGGCTGGAGTGAAATAGTGGATGGCGCTTGGGTTGCAGGAAGGGTTGGAGCTGAGGAGAGGTGTCATTTTGGTTCAAGTCATCGACAACCTGCCTAACTTTGCTATTGTCGTACTCCAAGACCTGACTAGCAAGTGAACGGAAGATGTCAACGGGCTCTCCGAACAACTCTGTCAACAATGCAAGAGACAACTGAGAAGCATTTTCCGGTGAGGCTTGACCCTTCTCCATTTGCCGGTAGAGATCTCCGATGATGTTGGTATCTTCAAGGATGCTGCGCTGGAATGCGAGTTGTCGCTCAATGCGCTCTTCGCTGAAAAGTGCCTGGTCGAGTCGCTTCATTGTGAGTCGGACCCTGCTCGCGTTCGCGCTGGACTTCCTCCTAATGACGCCCTTTTGGCCTTGAGGATCTGTGCCTGGTCGTTGAGATCATTCAATTTGTTCGGAGTTCGTCGGCTGTGGGCGTCGGTCGTGGTATCAAACGAAGGACGCGAGTTTCGCGCGAGAATGGCCTCGTATTGCAATGCGACGAAGGCATTGTTCCTGCAAGGGTTTTGCTAAGAGGAAGTTAGCAAAATTGCGGATCACGGCCTAATGGCACGTGAATGAAGCAGTCAAGAGGAATAGTGAAGGAATTGAAGAGGCCCTCCGCGGCCCTTTGCTTCATCTCATCCCAATCTACATTTTGGTTTGGATACCCAAGCTTGTCGAACTCCTTCTTCAACTCCGGCACCTCCTTCCAAATATGCTCTCCATCCGGATCATTGCGCTCCACCTGGCCGATGGGGTTGAAGACGGTGTAACTCGGCTCCCGGCCCTGCGTGGCATTGCCGAGGTCCCAACCATTGAAGGTCGCAGCGAAATACCGCTCGCCGCTTCCATAGTCGATGAGCAAGTTGCAGCAGAGGTAGCTGAACATGTTCATGCGGAGGTGATTGTGCATGTAACCTTCAGCCTTGAGTTGGCACTGGACGGTGGGGGCACGGTGTGTCGAGGAGACTCGGATTGAATCTCACTTCTGCAAGCCATGCCTTGTGGTATGGCGTGAAGACTTTCATTGGTTTCGAGGAGAGCTAGTGGGATGCTCAATTCTATTAGCTCCGATTGTATCAGTCGGAGATTCTCGAAAATGAAATCCGTTCAGGCTCGCGAGGTGCCGTGCCATCTGAACTCGGCGGGGCAGTTCAAATATGCGCATATCAAGAGCGCTTTAGATTCTTTGGCCATATTTGATGCGGCGTTCAATGCACCGGTTTATCATGGATGCGGAGGTCTTTGCTTCGAAACCAGTCTAGAACCCTTTTGATTTCTCTGAGGTCTCCCTGAGCTGTAAGGAAAGAGATCAAATCATTGTATGGCGTGTCTGCATCGACTTCCTTTGCACATCTGGTGCTGGGGTTGTTGAGTGTCTAGGTAGATTGGTTTATTTCTTTTTTGACACTGTGATTCGAGTTCTTGATTTAGTGCTTTTGGCACGAAGAGAGGAGAAAGGGGGGAGGATGGGTCGGAAAGTTGGAAGGGGTACAAAGCAGAATTGTCAGGAAGAGGTCCACAGACCCTTGGGGATCGCCCAAAAAGACTAAGAATCCTGTCATTTCATGACAGAAACTTGGACCTCTTAGCTGATATACTTGTCAGAACCCGGCTCGTGATAAGAATGGTGTTTGGAGCGTCGAGTGAGGACTGGTAGCAAATTTCCTTGAACAATAGAGGCACTCAAACTTATCATTCTGTTTTGAGGAAATTTGGAGAATATTGAATCTCGAAGAAGATGGAGACGAATATCAGATCTGGTATCCGAAAGCTCATCCTGTCGGTAGTTTCCCCGGGGAAATGATCCGAAGTCGAGACGCAAGGACGCGAAGAACAGGAAGGCCTCCTTCTCCAGCCAAGGTTCAGTCCGTGGGAGAAAAGGAGACGCAGGAAGAGTGCAGAGTGAAGGATGCAGGATATATTTTATATCACGCAGTAAATCAAAAGAAAATAAGGAGTATGTATCAGTTTCTGCTAGAGTCCGGGGCTGACCGTGCGAGAGCTGCGAACTGCTTTCAAGTCCGTAGTTGTGGTGTCTTTCTCAACCGAATTGCAGAGGTGACGCATTCGACAGCAAGGAGGGTCGGTAACAAACCTGGGTGGCTCTCGTACTCCTAAATTCATTTCATGCCATTGCACTTGAGCCCGTATCGAGGCGTCCATCTGCGTGAGATGTTCGCTCAAACGGAAAAACAACAGTAGCATATGTTGACAGAGAGACTGCTTTATTTCACAGACATCCCCAACTGAACAGTACTCTTGACACCTGGGAGGATATTTCAGCCTTCATTTTTGAACCTGCCTTCCTTTGCATCGGATATTGTATCCGGCGCGTCTTTTGATGTCGGGGCATCAGAGCAAGTCGGGTGGAGCAAGTCAGGTGGAGCAAGCCTAGCCGCGGCCGGCATATGCTCACTTCAAGTCAGGGACAAAAGTGGGCTCGAGGGAAAGTCAGATCCATTGTTTCGAAACTCGACGCACACAATGAGACAAAGTTCTAGAAAGACTGGATCAGCAAGGGGTTTGAATATTGTGGACTCAAGTAGTGGTTGGGAAGTGCTTGACCATCTTTCTTTTGGCCAGGGGCCGTCTTTGGGAGCCTATGAGGTGATGCGATTCCTCATCTGCCACGTATGGCGAAAGAACACCGTAGTATTGGTGAGGGAATCAGGGGCTTCAACTTTTGTATTTGTCTTGAGATTTCTTTCGCGCCGCGCGCCAAGCAGGCCTTTCTCACACGCTGCGAGTGAAACGTCATTTTTCGCAAGTTTCGATGGGAAAACTGTAATCAGACTTTGTGGCGTGAGATTTTTTTGGGTTTCGGAGATTTGACCAGGTCCCCGAGAGAAAAAGGGGGGAAGAAATTCAGAATGCTGACTGTCTTAGCGGTCGGCCTCATTTGCACTGACCGAGTTTGATTGTGGAGGGAGATTGTGAGTATGGTGGACGGGCTTGATTTGCTATCTCATAGGTGCAGTGACGCTGCCAGCGTACCTAGACACATACCCCAGCTTGGCAAACCATGATCTGTAAATTAATTCATGTTAGATAAGGTGCGAATTCAGAAGGCGACGACGCGAACAAAAGCGGAGACAAGAACGGGCCATGGTTCGCACCACTGTCAACATTCAATCCATCGATGATGCTGGTGATGTTGAATGTACACTGTTGTGTAATGCAGTACTGCGGAGGAACTCCTCTGGCTGCTCACCAAGAGAGAGCCGGCTATTCCGTCTTTCCGTGCAAAACTTGAAAGTTATCTCGACTGCCAAACCCCCATTCCTGCAGCCCATGACGTTAAGAAACCGGCACAAATGTACTAACCGCAATAGAACCTTTGCAGCTGTTTCCTTAACCGCTCCTCTATGAATAAAGTGTCGACTTCGTATTCCTCGACGTCATAAGCGGGTCGGTCAAAGCACGAACAACGCCTTGCAGCTTGTGCACCCGCCCACACGTGGATAGCGGAGCTGGCCAGTGGATATCGGTGAATGCCCATTTCTATCACTTCCATTCAAATACATATGCGGCAGCGACACGGTGGAGGGCGAGTATCCTCGATCGTTTTCACAGAGATCCAAAGAGGAACTTGCGACTGGAGACACAGATGAAGAGGGGAAACGGATAAGCAAAGAAACGAGTGATCTGGCCATCTGGGTACGTTTGTTGGCAGGAAGATCGTTTCTTCCTTGTACTTACAGGGGGCAAGGCCGAAAAGCATATCCGCGTTCCAGAAAGAAAATATGCACGTCTCTGTGCACCATCATTGAAATCGCCAATCTTAGCCCTCAAATTGCGATTTTTCACCATCATCGACTTCAAATATCGTGCGGTCTTTGCGACTTTGGGGGTTCTTTAACGACAGCTGACCATCACTTTGAGGTCAACCACCCATCACGGGCAAGACCCGGGTGGCGGTAAATGGACATATTACTAGATTATTCGCTGAATTGTTGTTCTGTGTGGGCGTTGTACGACATTGAACTCTCGTAACAGAGCATGGTCTTTTCAACTTTGGAAATTGTAATCTGGCGTCAGCGTGGCAAATATCTGACCCATCAGAAGGATGAACGGAAAATATGATCCCTATGGTACAGCCGGTTGTAGCGTGCTGATTGTGACTCGAAGTGCCGATTAGTTCCGAGACAAGAGGACTGCAAACGCACAAGTTCATGTACCGGTTCAGGTGTCCCTTATCTACATGACTCGACAACTCGTTCTCAACGAATGAATTTGTTGACCCGGAAAACCTGAGAGGAAGAAGTAGGTTGGTTTAGAGGCACCTCGGTTCGAAATTGGCAAGTTGACGTCGTGAGCGTTGGAACTAAGTTCTGAATGGCGACTGGAAGGTTCAAGCACAGGCAGGCAGGCAGGATGATCTGCTTGATCTGCCTTGGTTTAGGGCAAATGACACGATGAGTGGACGAAATGATGAGAAAAAAAAAACAGAGAAGGGTTAGTTAGTGTCGTCTTGGAATGGTCAGAAATCTCACAACAAAAACCATGGGCTCGATACTCAATCTCATTTGAGGTTGCATCGAGCACTGTTTTTCCATGAAGCGTGCGGCTCGTGATTTAGCCCATTGTTGTGCGGCAGAGCATCGGCCCCCCAAAGTGGGGGGGAGGTGTTTTCAAAGGTGCTGCAAACAAAACGTGGCAAGGCGAGGCGGCGATATTGCTGCTTTGGTCGGTAGATTTATCAAGCAAGTTGTCCGGCAGTTCAGAGTATCTTGGGGTTGAATGATTGGTGGCTTGATCGCAGAACTTGAATTGTATTATCATGGTTGAGCTGGACGATGAAAACACATGGAGTAACCTCTAAAACTCGACCTAGCTGTATGCCTAGTCCCCCTGGAGGCAGCCTAACGCAGGCAGCCTAAAACGTTGGGAGTACGAAGGACCTGTTGATAACTGGACGCAAGCAACGGGCCCCTAGCAAAGGCCGGCGCCCAAAAGGCACCGGACAAGAGCGTTGAGTGGCGCTTGAAGCGAGAAAGCTTCCAACGTCCTCCAAAACCTATTCAGGCAAAGGTGGCGAACGGGGGTGTTGTTGAGGTTTACGTACTTCTTGTCCCTTTTGTGAGGTTTGTTTTCGGTTGCTATCCAGAGTGAAAATGATATTCAAAGGAGTCAGAGCACATCCCGGGACGGCAGGTGTTCCGCATCTGCAAATCTCACCTTCTCCCTCTGCAGGCTCTTCTCAACGTTACTACTGTATTCCATTGTCCTCATTCTTAAACTACGCTCCTGACTCCTATTTCTGTGGTCAGCCTATGGCCAGGCGGCGTCATCGCCCAGCCCGTTGATTGAATATCATGTATCTTTTACGATTTTTTTAGCTTTTTAGCCTTTGGGTGATGTCGCAGCCTGATCCCTGTTTGCTTTGCTTACTTGACTCGTAGTCGCTCTCCCGCTGTGCCACTGAGCATCTCTTTTTACTCGTACAGCCTACCGGCAGCATCAGGAGCATGTCAGGAGTATGGTGTACTATTCCACAGTCCTGTGACAAAAGTTCGCAGCACAGAGGACAATAAGTGTTGCAACCAAACATCGGCTGACTCTTGACTCCTGACTGGATTACCTGTGATAATTTTACCTTTTGGTCGCTGCTTGACTTCGCCCGAGTCGGCGGTGTTCCCGTTGTGCAGTGTTGCGATGGTATCATTCATTATCAAAGATCCGGGCCAACAGAGTTTTCATCGGCCTTGGTCAGTCCGAAACAGTGAACCCGCACTCAGATTCCGACAATAGGTACAGGAAGACCGGTCTTGAACATCAAGGATCAGATCTCGGGTCGCGTCTTCGTCGTCGTCATCGTAATTGTCACATCATCGTCGTCGACATCAAGCCATTCACATAAAATCATCCCCATAGCAGCATCAATATAACTAGCATCCGATCGAGCAAGTAGTACGTGTCCATCCCATCATCCCATCATCCCCCCTGGCGACGCCACCAGCGCCCTCTCCAACCCGATCGACAATCTTTTGGTGGGTCGAGGACCCTTGTCAGTGGGTGAATGGCCGGCGTCAAGCCCAAGTGCAACATCAATTCATTGAATGGAACCTGCCCTTGAAAACCTTGAACCTTGACCTATGACCCACTTGTCGCAGCTTCACAGCTCCCAGCGAGCGAGCCTGCCAGTAAGAGAGCACGCTTGCTGCGCGCAACTTGGTTGGCTTATTTTGTGTAGTTAGGCTCTTCTGGCACTGACACTGGCAAAGCCGGCTGGCGCACTGACTGAATTCATCCTCGGCGCCCTCCCCTGGTCTCTCTGCTTGTCTGCTGTCTTCTTTCTAGTCGCCTTCTCACGCTCTTTTTCCGCCTTCTTTTTTTTTCTCTTCTCCTTCTCTTCTACTAGTACTCGCCCTTACCGGTAACCCGACTGGTCCGCCCACCCAACTTCCGCAATCCGCCATCCACCACCGTCACGGCGCAGCGACCTTCCCCCTGCTAAACTACCTCATTTGCCTAATCCCCCCATCCTCGCGCCTCGCACCTCGCACCTCGCAACCCTCGCTCTCTTTTCCCCGAAACAAATTTTCTCTCTTTTTTATTTTTTTTTGCCTGACCATCATTACAAGGTTTCGTTTTTTTGCTGCGTGGTTCACCCTTCACCCACTGCATCTTCTTTTGCCTCCCAGGCATCCTGCACCTCTCCCGATTCGATACCTCTTGTCTTTTTCGCCTCTCGGCAATCAAATCAGCTCATCCTCTAATCCGTCCATCGTCCGCTTCAAGTTGCGAAGGCCGGTTCCAAGATTTCTCCTCCCCCCCAAAAAAACCGCGACCCGAAATACTCTACCGTACCCGAGACACAAGACAAAACCCGCCCGCTGCCCACTCTCCCACCTCCCACGCACCACGCACCACACCACACCCTGTATCGCCCTGCCTTGTCCGCGCCAGACCCAGCCAAAAAAACCAAAACCTTGCTGCGAGTCACCGACAGGCTAAACGAAGAGGAACGGACCCAGCGTCTCCTCATCTATACTCTTCTCAACTTTCTCAACCGGTACTTCGCGTCTTTGCAGAAAACACAATTTTCTATTCCACATCCACATCCACATCCACCACATCACAACCCACTCTCCCCTCCACTCTAGTATCTACCAGTATACCTATACCCTGCAATACTCCTTCATCTTTCATCAGCCGCAGCCGTCCGGTCGCGTGTCTCGTACACACGGAGCTTCAAACAGCCCTGAATCGCTAAATCATTTTACTGACTGTGGCTTCTCGCGACCCTTGCAGAACGCTCCTCCATCAACCACCCCGTTGAAAATTTTCAACTCGTCCTGTCCTTACTGAACAACACCATCATCATCGACCCGCTCCTCATTCATTCGAGTCTCCATCCATCCTCGTTCTCCTTCTCCTGATACCTCTATCGCACTGCTCGAATCGTCCAATGGTCGATTGAGCCCCCAGTCACTCCACCCGCATCTTCCATTCTGGTAATGGACCCTAGACAACCACTATCGAGGACAACATCGTCCAGCGTGGGAACTTCTCAAAACACATACAATCCAAATAACATGGCCTCAGCCTACGCGATGCCTCCTTATCAGAACAATACGCACCTCCCGCCCATCAACTACTCGCAGCTGCCACCGGCAAACCAGAACTACATGCCCCAACAATACCGCAATGACTTGCCACGATACACTTCTGCCCCGGCCACTGCGCCAGTCCCGTCACCAGCTCCAGACAATAGATACAATTCCCACATGAACCCTCAAGGCTCGATGGGGGGGCTGTCGTCGACTTTACCTCAACCGCATCAGTCACAACCACAACAACAACAACAACAACAGGCCCAGCAACAACCACCATCCCATCCGGGTTATCAGGGGCAACAGCCAACCCGTCAGAATTTCCCTCAGCCTCTTGCTCCGGCTCCTCCACGACCCAGCCTTGATCCTCTGGCTCCTGCTTATGGCCAACCCGACAATCGTCAGCCATCATGGTCCGGCGCCGAATCCATCCCCGGCATGCAAGCTGACGTGGGCCGTGACCCGACAAGAACACATGTTGTAGGGTCTCAAGGAAGAAGAGGAATTCTCCCCAGCGCTCCGGGACGTCCACCAGTCATGCCCAACGGGGTGAATGGCTCTCCTAAGAGCAATGCTGTCCCCCAGAAAGATGCCGATGGAAAATTTCCCTGCCCCAATTGCACCAAGACTTATCTCCATGCGAAGCATTTGAAGCGGCACATGTTGCGACGTATGATTGTTCCCCTCCCTTTGGCGTTCTTTGAAGAAAAAAGCTAACTTCTTTCCCAGACACTGGTGATCGACCATACATGTGCGTCTTGTGCAACGATACGTTCTCCAGAAGTGATATCCTGAAGCGCCATTTCCAGAAATGCTCAGTCCGTCGTGGCAACCCGACGGGAGCGAGTCATTTGTCCAACCCAGCTGCGCACATTAAAAAGAATCAACAGGCGGCGGCAAAAGCGGCCACGGCGTCCCCGGCCAGCGCCACCACACCCTCCAGCGCAGTCATGGCCAATCCTCCGTTCACCACCGCCGCAATGCCCAGTACCTCTGCACCCACCACAAGCGCTCCTGCTCCTGGTATGGCTTATGCCATGCAATCCAACGGCCAAGGAGATATGCAGCGTCAGGGACAGCAGATGCAACCCGGTTCTGGTCCCGGGGGGATGGACCCCAATGCGAGCAACTCGTGGTCCATGCATAACCCCAGAAACAGTCAGATGATGTATCATTCGACTTCCACACCTCCCGATCACTTTGGCATGCAGCCCGGCGGAGGGGACGATAAGCGGAATGTCATGCCCGGTCCTCACCACATGGGGGGAGATGAGTGGAACCACATGTTCCAGCCTGGTGGAAACGAGGGATACATGAATCCGATGTTTGGGGGCTACGACCAGTCGCAGAGTGATGTCAAAAAAGACTTTGAAACTCAAGGTGGATCGAATGGTTACTACATTCCCTCTACGAGCCTTGGAGCTGATGGTACGCTTGGACCCCCTCTCTGGAATCTGCATGCGTCTCAGCAAGATTTGTTCCAAGACAAGGTGAACGCACTATTAACGTTTGTTTTCCCCGGGGGAATACAGGAATCGCTCCAAGAGCAACAAAATAATCTTCACATCCGATCCTGCCTGACCGTCGAAGCGATCCAGCATTTTCTCGATCTTTTCCCGAACTTCCAAGGTCATTTCCCGTGGCTTCATATACCGACTTTCAACCTCCTGACCGCCTATGACGGCCTCGTTCTGGTCATCATTTGCAGTGGAGCGGTTTACTCCGACCGTGTTTCTCAAAATCAAGTCCGAGCTCTAATGCAACTCGTCAAAAATGGCATCGAACGTACTTCATGCATCCTCCAAAACATGGAGGTAGGAACTTCAAGAACACAGTTTTCGCTGTCAGGCAAGGAGTTTGAAGAGCTCCTTGCCCTCCAGATCCTCCAAAGCCTGTTCGTCTGGCATGGTGGCCCGGAAGAAAGAGCTCTTGCACGCGCTGAAAGCCGAAGGGTGTTGTATCTGGTTCGACAATTTGACATGTTGACTCTGGCCGGTCCTATGGACCGTTTTTCCTACAGCTATCTTCACAGTCTTCAACCCGGCGAGGAAGCTGATCCGTCTCAATGGGAGTGGCGGTCTTGGGTGGAGCAAGAAAAAAGATCCCGGCTGATGTTCATGGTATTCTTATGGGACGCCGCCATGTGCATCTACTTCAACGTGCCGCCACAGTTTTCGTCGGCGGAGATCAAACTACCTCTGCCTTGTGATGACGCCGCCTGGGAAGCGCCAGATGCAGAGACTTGTGCTCAAGCTCTGGGCCTTCGAGGACAAGCCGCCCAGTCGAGGATTAATTCCAGCGGATCTCTCCGACTTAAACAATTGGAGATGCACCATGCCATGAGTGCTTTGCACAGTACGACGGTCCTCATGCAACCTCGAACCACCAACGTCTACTCCAAGTTCATTCTTATCCACGCCATTCACGTGGAGATATGGCAAATACAACGTCAACGATCCTACAGTCTAACAACAAGCCCCAACACTCCTGACCAGACAAATAATATGTACAAATCAATCAATACGGCACTGGCTCGATGGAAACAAGCCTGGGATGAAGACTATTTGCTGCAGTATCCACCGAGCGATGGCTACCACTCGGGCCCGAAACGTGTCGGCTTCTGTCGGGATGGAGTTCATTTCTACTGGCTTGCTCGCGCTTTTATGCAGACCAACCGAATTCATGATTGGCAATTACCGGCAGACCAACGATTGCAGCAAACCCTACATGGGTTGAAAAGGGCGCGGGAATGGAGCCGAACTGACGGTGCCAAACGAGGGGAAGAACCCGGTAGCGTGGCCTACATTGACGATAACTACGCGTCCGAAACATTGGAACTGGACATGAGAAAACTGTTTCGACCTTTGCAAACCGTGTCCGAAAGCCCAAGCCCAGCCGTTCAGACATATTTAACTGGCTTCCGGTGAAGTGCATCTTTGTCTTGATCCAAAAACGTTCTAGCAGACCGCCAAGGATTGTCTCACCACTTATGCGACCTTTTGGATACTTCAAAATTGGCGGCGGTTATTTCAGCTCTTTCAACAAAACCGGAAAAGCACTGCATATAGACAAAGGGTATGGCTCTACTTGCGGTTGGTTCCAGTTCCCAATGGAGAACTTAGGTGTACAACGGCAACCAAAGCTTATCCGAACCCAATCATTTTGCATGAGACGGCGTGATTGATTTGCATTTTCAAATGGGCGGGGAGCTGGACCACAAGTGACTTACGACTTCTCTGCTTCTGATTGTCTGATCGACGCGGGCTAGATCGTAGACGATCAGAGCACCAATACTCAGATTCCAAAATGTCGGGAAGCATCAAATTTTATTTGCCATGCTATCCAATCATGACTGAGTGCTTCTTGTAATGGCTTTTCGGGACGGATGGCAACAATATCAGTCAATGAATATTCATGGGGACAAGGAGAAGTTGGGGAAGTGTTGTCAGGGAATTGCCGGTTCGGCTTCGACCGGGAGGCAGACGTTCGTTGGGTTGTTTTCTTGCATGCATGCATAGGTTTGCGTACGGCTTCGACGGGTCGGCGTCTCTGTGCTAGGCTGCGGTTTTATGGCTTTTCTATGCTTTCGATTTTACAGCATTCGCTTTTCGCATTGTGCATTTGATACATGGGGGAAATTCTTCATCGGACAAAATCATTTTCAGCCACAAGGGGACCAGGAGGGGGGGGGGGGCTTTTTCGAGGTTTATGGAATGGATAGGCTGGGGGCGGTTGGCTGGGCTGAACTGGACTGGATTTTGAAAGATCGAAAAACTCAACGTTCAGTCTTGTCTTTTTTTTTTTTTTTATGATCAACGGACAAACGGACAAACGGACAAGTCATGGTGGGGTTTATTGACTCATCGAGTGAGTTCGAAGGTCGGTTTTGACTTGACAGAACATGGATTCTCGCTCAACTCTGAAAACTCAAGACATATTACCACCTGAATGGTTTTGCAGAAATCAATCACCAAAACAAAAAACAAATACAAAACAAGAAAACAACACACATTGAAAGATTGAAGGTGGAAAGGTTGTTTCGACATAGATAGAGAACAAAACAAATACGTTTTCAGAGTAATACGGCTATTCATTTTTATATTTTTGGATTTTCGTGAGATGGCTTTTGACTGATATTTGGAGAGATGTGCCGGCCCACCGATTTTCCTGTCTCTGGGCTATGTTCGCTTGAAGCTGATGTGATCTGGATGGATGGCCGTATTCAAGACGACAGACAGAGCACCCCCTTTCCTGACCTATGGTACGGTGAACGAGCTCTCTCATGCGAGATACGATAAAGTCAGGAATACTGGCACTGTACAATCTTCGGTCCCTCCCTGAACCCTGACGTTGGATTGAGGTTATCCCTGTGAATTCACCTTCTGCGATTCGTTGAAGTGCCAACGGACAAACCGTTACGTGTCACCTCAAAATCTGTGTTTTGATATATTTTACTCTTGCTCATCGCGCGCCCGTACCCTTGCCAGACTGACTCGTGGGATCAGGCAAAAATTACCCATTTCTCGTGGTCGTCGTGTGACAGTCCAGTTGGGAGTTTGATTGGTTGGACCGTGCTAAGGAGATGAAAAGTGTGATGCGATTGCGTGGAATCCCTGAAACACCAATTAGGGGATGTGCTTCTTTTACGCCGCAATCTCGAGGCTGCGGTTGGTCGTCACGGGCAAGGCAATTCGTTTGTGCTGGTAACGTCTCACCTTTTTCAATCTGCCGATTCGAATTGACGTGTGCTCTCCCGACTCCCTTGTCTACGAATCCGCTCACCTAACGGGGCGACCCTTGCGAAACTTCGCGTAAACTTTCTCAGCCTCGCAACTGTTTCGAATTGCCCGGCTCGCTTCGACTCGAATCGATCGTGATCCCAGCTTCATGTTTCATTTTTCGGCATGCCAAAGCAATTCCAACCGAATGCGGGTCTCTTTCACGGAGTGCTGAGATATTATCACCATGTGAAGACTTGGTCTAACACCACGCATCAGACTAGTTGGTATGGGCTCCACACTCTCCATGCCACAATATCTCTCAAGCACCGACGACACGCAGGTTGAGTCCCTTTTCATTTTAAGCGCTCCCGTGGAATAGTTTGAAACATATCCTCCGCTGCGAACCTTCCAGTCGCTTGATTCTGTCGGAGATTTGACGCAAGAAATGCCACGCGGCATCAATCCAGGTACTCTGTTGGCTTCAGATACCTCAGCTGATATCCACACTCCGATGGTCGTTGCATCGAGCGGAATAGTCTGCTCCATTAGAAAAGACACTGAGACTTATGAAGCTCCGAAGCCGAAACACTCAACGATATCGTCGAGAGGGGTCATCAAGCACCCCAAAAAAAAAAAAAAAACGAAGGCTCCCTGGTATCCTCTCTAGATACTATCCGATCTGGTCTGTATAAGACTGAAGTAACCGGTACTGGCAAGATTGACCTGGAACTCCCTAAACCTGCGCGCTTTAGCCTTCTTCCCAAACAAAATGTCCAACTCCATGTACGTCAGCCCCATGGGTTCAGGTAGCCGAAACCACCTGATAAGACAAACAAGAGTGGTGCCAGCAAAAAGAAGGCATGATTGACCTTTCCAATCCCATGCGGATGGGTTCAACATTCGGGGTGTCATTACATTGGTGATGATGCTAACAATGTTGTATGCCACTCGGGCAAGCACGACCGTCTTGACCCGCAATCGACTCGATGGGATCTCAGCTACGAGAACGTAACAGACAGGACCCACGGTGAAGTCGTACACAAAGGTCAGGACAATGATGAGGGAGCCCGATGCCTAGGAGGTGCTATCCGTCTCTTTCAACGTGCCCACACAACCAATTACAATGAGGATAATCAGAGAGAGGAACAAACCTCCCAGGTAAAGAGCTCGTCGACCAATCTTACGCATGCCAACCCAGGCGCAGATTCTGGCACAGATGGCTCCAGCGTACATTCCGACGGCAAGATTAAAGCTGTTGGCGGTGTCGAATCCTGCTTGCTCGTAAAAATATGCAGCATATCTGGTCATGGAACGACCACATAAGGCTTGGGTGCACCAAACCATGCAGCAGATCTCTGTCCGACGAAGGTCGGTCCCTTTGAGGCAATCGAGGTATGAAACGCCGCCGCTGTTCAAGTACTTTTCCACTTCATTGGTATGCTGCATCATGGCAACCGTTTCGTCCGCATTGAAGTCAGGATCTGAACTTTTCGTGGTAAGTCTCAACAATGCTTTCTTAGCCTCATGGATCTTCTCGTGTCGAACAAGCCACCATGGGCTCTCCGGCGCGAATAGGACAATGACTAAAATTGGAACCGCGAAAGTCCACTGAAGCGAAAAAGGTATGTGGTAAGACCACTCTGAGCTGTCATGAACCAGGCCACGGATGACTCCGACGCCGCATAACTGGTCGATGAGCCAGCACATATTGACGTTACTCGTTAGATAAGCCCTCAGCGCTACGGGCATGACTTCAGCGGCGTAAGTCGTACTGAGTTTGGAGGACGCCCCTGTGAGCGGTGTGATGTTAGTGATGGTATTGGACGTTTCCATATTGATGGTGCTTACCAGGGCAAACCACACAGAATTTAGCCAGCAAAAAGCATCCTGATGTTGATAGCGAAGAAGGAGAGAAAGACAAACAGAGACATCCAAATCAGAGTGCCGACCATTGTGTTGTGGTAGCCAAATCGATCTGTCAAGAAGCCGTTGAATATCAGGCCAAGGATTTCGCCGGCGGCGGCTGCATTGGTGAGACCGGATTGCCACGCAGGTGATATTTGCTCACCACAAGACTGCCGAAATACGGGAAAGGCATAGAAACTATTGATCAAGGTTGTATCATAACCTTCCATGACAATGGTCATACGAAGCAGAGCTGACCATGCCATAGCCTCGGGATATGACCGACAACCTCTCCCGAAAGTCATGGCGTGCTCAGCCTTTGTGGCAGCTCGAGCTTCGACTGGGAAGCGACGCAAGCTTGGAACAGCGAAGAACAGCCCATGGAAGAGATCATCGTCGGAACGAGTGATGTTAATTCGACTCTCGCTGACATTTTTAGAGATATCAGCTGTGGTCTGGGTTCTCAGAGGTACCAATCGACCCGAGGTCGGGTTATTTGCAACCGTGACGAATTCGAAAACTCCGAAGGATGGGCTTTGTCATTTGAGGCTCTGGAGGTCTCGGAGGTCTCGGAGGCCCCAGGACTGCGATTGGACCACTTGAATCAGTCATGATCGGGGAGGAGAGAAAGGCCGGGAGGGAGATTCCCGGTTGTACATGTGCGATCGTGCAAACCCAGGAGGAAAGAAGAGTAAAACGGAAACAGCGAACAAGGGAGACAAGGTTTGGCTTAAAAGAAGGAAGAATGGAAAAATCGAGGCGGTGGCATAAGAGCTGGTTTAAACTCCTTTCGAACAGAAGCCAGCGTTGATGAGGATCATGGAGGATCAGAAGTATAGATCACCAGATGCGGTTCCCAGCAGAGAGCAGAGAGCGAGATGGAGATGGGGACCAAACGTGTGGGTTAATTTGTCCTCCACCTCCAGATCAACGCAATTAACCTACATCCACATACACAGGGTGCCGAGTACACTTAGGTAATTCCCTTAGCTGATTCCCCCCCTGGATGCAGTCCTTCGTCAATCGTCTGTTTCCAGAGCAATCCACAAAGTGTAGTTGCCAACCGCCAGCCTTGTTCCAACAGCATTGATCCTCGCATGTGCTCAACTTTCCTCCTGCAAGTCGCACAACCATTGTGATCCAGACTCAATCAACCACCAACTAGCCAATTCGTGTAACCACTTCATCGACTTCATCTCCAACGGCAACACCACATTTTCTTCCTGGCGTCGCCATTGCATTGTTTCACTCACGAACAGTGTCTGGTCCCCCTTTGGTTGTATGCTAATCACCAGTCTTCCATCAATAGGAGGAAGTCCTTCCGGGCGTATCATCGCAAACTCCACCTTGTTCGGCGTCCGAATTTCCACTCGATAAGTTCCGCAGACGATGTCTTCAGGAACAAAGTCCATGGTTTGAATGAAGGAAGGATCAAACGTCCTCTTGGCTTCAGCTGACTTGAACACTAGCCGGAGGAGGAGTGCCTGGGGAAATCTGGTAAAATATGACATGGTCCGCCGTAAATACTTTGTCAACAAGTGATCGGGGTCTGCGTATCTCGGGAGTCTTGCCGAGGGCACGCTTTTAGAAGCCACATCATGAATGATATGAAATCTGGACGGATTCGCCAGTTCAGGAGGCAAGGACTCGATTTTTGTGTCGCTCTCATCCTCGACATTGACAAGGCCGATTCCCGCTCTGTGCTTGATTTTGCTCGATAATGTGCGGTGAAGATAGATGGTGTACATCACAACAGAGCTACCGGCGAGCGCAACGGCGCTGAAGATAAGTCTGCGCGACATTTTCTAATGTACCTCGATCTCAGGACAGAAAATGTCACAAGCTCTGACTGAATACGAGTTACGAACTCCTCGTCCCAGATCGCGTGCCCTAAACCGGTAATTTTGCCGACGCGTCGCGCGTAAAGTGTGTGCAGGACAAACCTTCGACCAACTATGATTGTCACCATTCTCAAGTGGCATTGTCTCTCCACGGTTCCGTGTTCAATAGCTTCACCGTTTGGAATCAGAAATTGATCGTCGTGCATGGCTGATTGACAATGGAAAACTGGGACCCTTCCCCTCGGGCGTCCAAACGAAGGAGGACAGGAACATATGCCACTAGGCGCACGACGCTCAGCACCATCTCTTCACAGCCAGCAAAGAAGTCCAAGAAGGCATCCGAGAATTCTGATGGTGATCAGCAACCGGACCGGGATGTTGGGGATCCTGCAGACGGAGAGGCGGAACGCGGTAGGAGCAAGGATGTCATCGTTGCTGGGAACCCCAAACTACCTGAGGACACACCACGAAGAAGCACCGGCGGAAGAAAGAAGGCAGAAGCGGAGGCAGCCGAGACGATGACGGATCCCACACTCACAGACAACGAGAACAAGGCTCGAATTGGTCAAAATAAGAGAAAATTGACGGCTGAACACACTCCAGAAGAGGTACAAGAGCAGGACGTGGCCGAAGAGCACGAAAACCAAGAGACAAATGTGAGCCTGCCACGCTCTAGCGGACGTGCACGACGACCGACTCGGCGCCACCTCAACGGTACGGAAACACCTTCACGGCAGAAGTCGACGCGAAAGGCCCAATCCAAATCCCATCCCGACGAAGACCAGGGGAACGGTAATATTGATAGCATACAATTGCCCCAGCCAAAAGGTATCCTGACACCCTCTCGGCAAGGGCTGGAGAAGAGAACTGGTCCCGGAAAAGCAGTGGTGTTTGAAGGAGATGAGAGACGGATCCAGGAACAGCTTGGGTTCAAAGACATTAACAGCTCGAGTAAGAAGGAGAAGGACAAAGCCAAGCGATTCTCACCGGGCTCTATGGTTCGACAAGCTGAACAATTACATGCTAGAGACGAGTCAGAGAATGCCACGGCCCATGAAAAGACGCTCATTGAAGACGAGGACGAAAACGAGGACGAAGAATCTTTTCTAGCCCCGGTTCCGGATGTAGACGAGATCCTCTCTCTTTCCAGGCGGTCGAAGACTCCCGTGAACAAGCAAGCCCAACTGTCTACCCCCGAAAGCGATGTTGAGAACGAGCATCTCATAAACATCAAAAGCCAGATTCTCAGTCGCATAACCAGCCATGGCCCATCACCTATCTCACACCTCCAGAGCCAGTACACCACGCTCCGGTCTTTGCTCACGGCAACAATCGCGGCCGGCGAATCCAACTCCTTGTTACTTCTAGGTTCACGAGGCAGCGGCAAATCGGCTCTAATCTCCCACGCATTGGCCGACTTGGCCAAATCCCATGCCGACGACTTTCATGTCGTGCGGTTGAATGGTTTCTTCCAGACGGACGACAAGTTGGCATTGCGTGAGATCTGGCGGCAGCTCGGTCGCGAGATGGCCATACCAGAAGACGAGACTGGGGAGGTCTCCAGCTACGCCGATACCATGGCCAGTCTGCTCAGTCTGCTTTCGCATCCGGAGGAACTCGCAGACCCAGACAGCATGGTGCTTGATCATGACAACGACGTCCTCGACCGACAACAGCGAGAGACCAAGACGTCTAAAAGCGTCATCTTCATCCTTGACGAGTTTGACTTGTTCACCACCCACCCACGGCAGACTCTGCTGTACAATCTCTTCGACATCGCGCAGGCCAAAAAGGCCCCCATCGCCGTCCTCGGCTGCTCCACCCGCATGGACGTCGTTGAGTGCCTGGAGAAACGAGTCAAGAGCCGCTTCAGCCACCGTTGGCTCCACGTACCGGGCACAAAGACGCTGAATGCGTTCGAAGATGTCGTCAGCGATATTCTGTGTATGCCAACGGATGAGAAGGTCGCACTGGGCGGGTCGAAGGACGGGCTTGAGTGGAGGGAGAGATGGAATCGGACCATCAAGGTAGAGTAAACTTTGCAAAGCGCCTTACCGTTTGGACCCTTTATCCCCCTCAGTCAAACAATTGAACTGACAGACCCTGTGGGTACAGACTCGATTCCTTTCTTCGCCGACGACGCAAGCGGTGATTCGGAAAACATTCTACAGCACGAAATCCATCCCCGACGTCCTGGCGGCGTTGTATATTCCGATTGCGACACTTTTCGTACCCCCTGATGATCAAGAAGCCCTGTCTGGTGATCAGGAAATAACAAAGCCTCCTGCCATGATTGCCACGACGTCTTCTCCGCCCTCCCTTCTAACCCTCCTTCCCCACCTCCCGACCCTGCACCTCTCGCTTCTCATCTGCGCCACGCGTCTCGAGATGGTCCATAATGTGATGGCCCTAGACTTTGGGCTCGTTCACTCACACTACATAGAGCTGCTTACTCGCACCAGATTGCAGCGTTCCACACTGTCTTCACTCTCCCTGACTAAGGGTAGCGGCAGCGGCGTCACCGGCACGGGACTCAGGCCGTGGAGCAAGGACACGGCGCGCGGAGCATGGGAGGAGCTGGCACGGTGGGAAGTCATTGTACCGGTGTCAAGGCTCGGTGGCAGCGGCGTGGCAGGGAAATTCGGCGATGAAGCTCTAGGAGGCGATGGTATGGGCACGCGGTTATTCAGGGTCGATGTCACCCTTGATGAGGTCGCGTGGGCGGTGAAAGAGAAACTGGGCGTCGTTGGAGCAGGGGAAGTGCTAGCAAAGTGGTGCAAAGAAGTATAGACCCATAAGAAGAAACGTCAGGCGACCATATTTATATGAGGCTGCCTGAAAATTGCCCCTGAGGTAGTATTATGGCTAGACGGTATCTGGAGCATTTCCGGACTGGAGAGGTACAAGTTCCCAAAAGTCATCCAGCTTGACAAGCCGCAAGCCCAGACTCAAAGCGTGCAGTAAGACATGAAGACCGCGACCATCAGAGAGCTCTCAGCGCCCTGGGGGAATCGAGATGATGAAAAACTTTCGTCACCCCTATTCAAAATTGAGCCTTTTCGTCTGTGACCTTCATGGCCCTTAGTTCGGGACCAGCGAACACGGCTCATCTTCGAGGATCCGGTGCCCAAGCACGGTGCAAGTCTGGATATGGCCCAAGGGGACTGCAAAGGATTTGCAGCAGAATACGGCGCCAATCTTCATCGTTCATCTCACATTGGTCGCTGCCAGGGAGGAAGAGATGTCTTAAGCGGAGACTTGGATTCCCCGTGTCGCCGAAAGCGTTCTGCTGGCTGAGGGACGATGAATTGCCTGAGTTGATTGGGGATGTCAAAATTTCATGGTGACGTGGCAGAAGACGTGTAGGTTTACGGATTTGGTAATTTTGTTGACCCAACAAGCATGCATGCATTAGTCCACTTCTTGCTCAGTCCAGCGTAGACGGGATTGTAGAGCATCGTTGCTAGCCGACGACAGTTGGATCTCGTCCGATCGTCCAGGAAGGTGGATGTATCTCCTGAATGAAGAGCCAAAGTCGAAGAGGTTTTGTTCTTCCAGCGAGATCAATAAAGAGAAGTGTAAATTGGCTTCAGGGATGAATGGGAGGCTTACTACCGGGCTCCCGTATAAATTCTTGCTCCAGAAGTCGATCAACATGGCCATTCCTGTGATTTGTTGCGGGATGTGTGGTTTCATCATGGCGGACTCCGGTTATCATAGCCCAAAATGTCGTTCCTTCACCTCTCTCGATGCTGGGCGTCTACGTCGACTGACGCACACTCGATATGGTTTGCCGGGGAGCCCTGTCTGCCTACCATAGTATTCAGGTATTGTCATCTTGCAGCGACCCTGGGGCATTGAAATATGCCCAACCCAAAAGACGGCACTGGGGAGAGGGGGGAAGAATAAGGCGAGTGGAGTTCGTGTTGGGCAGTCAATTTTCGCCAGACTGGTAATGTGACTGCCACCTGCTGCAAGTCATAGGGGTATTGTGCTGCTTGTTGGTCAACGTCAACGGTGACAAGTTTGGGTTGTTTGGGCTCTCACATATGGGGCAATGAAATGTTACTCTCACCATCCTAGTCAATTCTCTTTGAGTCGGACGAGGTAGCGGAGCGTTGTCACTGGTCGCATAGTATATTGGGCCGCCGTCGGCGTTCCTTGCTCAAGGTACTTCCGCTAGACTAGACAGCGAGCTATGATCGTGCTGAAGCAGGGAGGACGTCTATTCGATCGATGGCAGGGTTGGTCTGAGGAGTCCGGAGAAGGAATACATGGGAGAGGACTGGAAGCCGGAAGAGTGAATGCAATCGGCTGTCGGTGATCAGATTGGGTTACTTGCATGGAGAGACTGCGGCCGCGGGCGATTCTTAAATGGCAACAGAACCCACGCATCGGTACAAGTCAGTGTTGGAGCCAAAAGCGATTGCCAGTACCACTGCTTGTATGGGTGCGAGAAACCATGAGCTTGTTAGACTGCTTGTTAGCTTCTGCGTCCCAAGTTTCTTCCTCCCCTTGGTTCGCTTCCGCCTCTTCCCCGAGCGTCGTCCAACTCTATTTCATCTTCCACACTCTCTCTTCACCTCTTTCCCTTCTCTCGTGTGTTCGTCAAGACCATGTGCCTGCTCTAATTCCTCCTGTTGTCGGCGTGGTAATCGATGCTGACATGATATGCCTTGTCCAAGCAAGGACGACTGCAAGACCCTAGACAACACTCCTAGACAAGGATTCTGAACACGACAGACTTACCGTCGTCTAATTGATATGCATAAGCGCCTCGTGGAAACCAAAGGCTTGATGTCGCTCGAATGTTACCCTCTCGAAGGCGCTGTTCTGCTGGATTGAAAATCACCAGCGAGAAATTTACATTCTTTCACGGCATGCGAGCGCGCTCACTGCTTTTTATCAATCAACGAGTAGTCAAGGCAAGTGTTTTGGCTTTGGACGGATGCGTTTGGCATTCCTGAGTTGAACTATGCTGCTCTCTCGTCGGATGATCAAGACTTCAGATTTTGGAGTCGCCATCGAAGCTTCACCACCATACCCTTCCACACTGGAGGAGGGCGCAGGTTCAGCAAAAGATAGATGCCTATTCAGGCTTTCATGGCCCCCCAGACCCAGTCGACACTGAGGACGGCGTCCCCACCAAGGATGAAAATAAGGACACAATCTCTGCATAGAATATGTGTCAGTGTATCCGAGGATATTTGATCTTGGGTTATGATACCGAGATTGTGGTGCAGTGACCGCGGAACTTCCCCATGTGACGTCTGAATGGCAAAAATCGCATCGGTTCCTTGCCCTCGCTCAATGGCTCTCCGTCACCGGTCCAACACAGAAATTTGACTAGCTTCTCGGTCTTTTTCCATGCACTATCGAAGGATCTTGGACTCTACCCCCGTCCAACCGACGGCTCTATTTTGTGAACTGCCGAGACTGAACGACTTGCTATCGTGCATGGTGGTGCGGACAAATGCTTCCAGCATGTTTGTCAGAGCTACGAAGACTCCAGAACAGGGGTTGTCAGCCAGAGCTGGCGTTCATCCGCGCCCCCCCCCCCTGCGACAAATCAGGAGGAGAGCTGAGGTAGAAGCCAAATTACAAGGTTCAGATGGGGGACCCAAGGTGTTTATGACTCGTCAAAACAGCTATGTCGGTCGACATGGCTCAGGTCCGCCGGTGCAATCGGAGGTGGCATCAACCATGCAGGACTGATGAACGGCTGCGTTCCCGCAGGGGAAAGAAAAGAAGTGCAATGATACTGCGTACGGTGGCCAAAAACGCTAGAGTTAACCCCATTCCAGGGGTTGGCGTACTCCCCTCGGATCATGGCGCCCGCGCCGGAGGTCCAGAATGCCCTTTTAGAGACTGACATCCCCTCCCTGCGGTTTCTCGATCCTCTTTCAGCTTTTGTCTTTCTAGAAGGCTTGACCAAGTTTGACTCCATTGCTCTTATCAAAAAATTCCACTGACCATCAGCTGGCTGAGCAATCGATAGTGAAATCAAGCTAAGGGGGTGGTTTTGATCATGGAAAGCGGATTTCGGCCAATGGCCATAGGTCTGTGCAACCGATATGCACAATGGTTTCGGCCTTGTTGCTCTAGCTGTACCACCCAAGCTTGCTGACCACTACTCACAGCCATTGGGAGCTCAGCTGCGAGCTGGGCCTCACTTGTCGCTCCAAATGGCGACGTCCATTACGTCTTTGACAGTGAGACCATCAGTCCAACCCTGTTTTCCAGACCAACTCATATCTAATCCGGAGACAGGAGTTGATACGGAGCTGTTGAATGGAATATCGGACCAGCGTTGCGGAGGTGAAAAACACAAAGAAGATGAGAAGCCTCCACCGCCGAGGCCACCGCCAAAGCCGGAAGAACCACGACCATTACCTGGAGTTTCTTAAAGGGCTCTGGTGCTCCTAAAAGACTGAGCAGAACTGCACTCTGCGGCGAAACGAACAAGGTGGAAGGTGATGTGTTGTGAATCAATGCTGCAACATACACTCGCTTCATTTTGAAGCAGCAAATCGGTGGGAAGAGCCGGAGCCGATGAATTCATGCCACTCGTTTATGGAGAAACTCAACCAGAGGACGTGGCTCTCATAAATCTGGACTACAAGTATATGAGAATACTTGGGTAGTAATGTCTACGATTACATTGTCATCCTTCTGGATGTTAGCCTCATTGAATAGGATGCCGTGGAATGTCGGGTATTTATGGAGCGCGATCAATAAATCACAGCTCGTTCCCCCTGCGCTCCAAACACCATATAAAACGATCTTCCATTCTCTGCCCTTTTTTCTGATCACCGAAGGTTATTGTTGAGGGAGGTTCAGATCTGCCAAAGACGCACTGGACTCTAGGTCAGATTTGAATCTACCGAGACATCGAGGGCAGTACCGAGATCTAATGTGAAATTAATAGGAGAGACCAGGCTCACTTGGACGAATAATCAGCCAACACATTGCTCCGCCAGACCGAGAGAGGAATCACTAGGTCAAGTAATGCGTTAGGACCGTGCCGATCCATCTGTCGAACTTTGCGAGATGAAGTTTTGAAGGAGGCAGACTAGTGACAAACGGCAACGAACTGGTTCTCGCGCTCAGGCTGACCCAAGACTCATTGGAAAAAGAATCGGGACATTGGAAACAGGTTCAATGCAGGGGCCCACCTAATCAATCCCCAGACCCTAGGTCTACAGCTCTAGCAGTGCCAGGGAAATGGATCCGCTTTCCTCTGACCGCAAAACAATCGTCACCCATTGTCCCTTGTACAAAGATTGTGTGGTTATGGCATTGGGAGGGATGGATCAGTTAACTGGCCTCTGCATTGGAGAAAGGACGGAATCTCTGGCCGGGTTGGCCCCCGAGGTGCTGTTGGTTTGTGGCAGGATGGATCAAGTACCTGAGGCAAGGAGGGCCGGGACGGGGGAGAGCGTGGTCCGTGAAGAGGCAAAGGCATCCGAAGGGATGCGGTGTATGGTAGAAAGCAAAGTTGGGAGCACGCAACTGGACGCCCCAAATGCTGGGCAGCCAAAAGCCAGGGAGAGCCAAAGAAAAAGCTCTCGTTTCGATGGTGGGAAGAGCCGTGAGCTATCGCAAAAAGAGCGTCAATACGCATTAGCGACGTGAAGGAGGATGAATTTGAGTTTTCCGCTCATGGGCAGTTTGGGGCAAAGAGGTACTTAACAGGGATTCTTCTGTCCAATGCGCCATACTAATAGTACCTCTCAAATGCTGCATCCTTGCCTGCTGCCATGCAATGCAGAACGGCACGAATGGAGAGTGGTGATTGGTGGGTCATGCTGCCCGACAGACTTGACAGCGAGACGAGCTGCGCCTGCGCCTTGCATCTGCAAAGTTTGCTGTCCAGTTGCCCAGAACTACCCTCTGCTGCTTGTTTGCCTAGCCTGCGTTCTCCAGTACTGTAAGTCATGGAAATGATCCGAACTCTATCCCCTGTCCCTTCGGCGAGCACTGTGGCTCTCTGCCAATTCTCTCCGGTCCAATCCTGATTCTCTCTCATCGTATTTGTCGCTCAACCTTGCCCGTGTGTTTCTCGCGGGTGCTCGATCTTTGTCTCTTCCGGGTCCCTATCCGGCATCGTTCTCTTTTTCCAAAGTTACACAGCAGGGGTGCTATGTCCACACCCATCTCGGTTCCTCCATTCAGCCTTCTCAGGCTCAAGCCTCGATCCCAGCCACGTCTGCACATAAGGACAGACCTGTACCAAACCCCTCCTCCATCCAAGCCGCCCCCTGGTCCCCATGTCGGTCCCATACCGGTTCCCTGCTACAAAAAATGGCACAGGTCACATTCCATCTGGAGAATCCGAGATCCAACTTCTTGACGATACTTCGACCCCTCGCCCTCTGTGCTCCGCCTCATACCCGCCAACCATCGAGTTCCACGTATGTCCAATTACAGTTCAGATAAGTCCTGCGACGTCTCTAAAACACGCCCGCCCGCCTCGACGAATAGCGAGTCGTGAGTTTGAACCATGTTATAATGCCGCTGCTTCTACTCCAACACATCTGGCTATTGCATTTAGGTAAGACTCAGAGTGCCTGAGCACGTGTCTGGGAGACAAGCATGACACGCGGCGCTGTCCCTGTCACGTAGCACTGTCGACAATAACACACCCGGGCTTTCAATCATGGTTCGAGGACAAACGCGCCCTTCCCGCCGTTCCTCCCTAGTGGCCGGTCCTCGGTCCTCGACCCCTTCCAAGGAGGAATGGGAGACGCGGAAGGCCACCATCCGCCAGCTTTATTTGTCCGAGAACAAAACTTGCAAAGCCATCAAAGGATTTCTCAATGCAGAGGGGTTCAATGTCACATCCCGGCAGATCAAAAACAAGCTCAATGACTGGAAGTTTGAACGCAAAAAGACTCCGGCCGAGCATTATCTCGCCATGTTGACTGTCGCGAATTTTCTTGTCCGCCGAGGCATCGATATTGTCTTCGATGTCCCAAAGAGGGATGAACGACAGGATTACACGGTCCAAAAAGTTAAAAAGGAGTGTGACCGGATCAAGAAGAAGAAGAATGCGTGCGACCGGGTTCTCTTTGTCCTTCCACCCCTGGGTGAGGCTCGGAACATTCTGCGGACCGCCGACATCAGATGGAAACAAAGATATCCTGCTATTCAAATAGGTGCCCGTGCTCACCTTCAGCCTCGTAGGCCCCGATCAAGCCCCCAGCACCGTTATCCTAGTGGTCAAGGTTTTCCCGATGGAGCTGGCTCGTTGGCCGATGATGGTGACCTGTCCTCACCCAACGGAAGCGTTGAGACCATCTTAGGAACCCGGTCGCACCATAGTTCCCCAGTCAATACCATCTTCGTTCCCGTCGCCAGCTCCAACGATCCTCTATTTGTTAAACTTACCCCGCCGGACTCCTCGATGAAATTCTCTTCGGTCCATACGCCGAACTTTCTCGGAAGCTCCTCTGGTCCCTCGCTCATGACCAGTCCAACTCTATCTTCATCTCCCAGTCACGGCTCCGTCTTGACAATTTCCGGGCTCTCTATCTCTTCGTTTGATTACATCACAGACTTTTTAAACAGCGCTGATGCTGCTGGCCAAGAAAATGCTGCGTCCTTGGCCTGGGATAGTGCCGGCACGGATATGTGCACCACTGCGCAGAATCATCCTGTGTGCAACCAATGTTCTTGGCCACGTCGCCATGTGGACTTCGGCTTTGTTGACGAGATACGGTATCTTTCTTCCAGGTCTGCTGCGGACGAGCAGAGAGAGGATCCGTCTTGGAGCTTCTTCTCCCATATTTCTTCTCCGGAGATCACGGACATTGGCGTGCTCAAAATGAGTGCCAGCAGATGGATCGGACCCTATTATTCGCAGTGTTTCGTGACACCGATACACATGGCTGCACTCGAGCGCAGTAAATCTCTGTCCATGGAGGCTCTGAAGTGTTGCTTGTGCCAAGACAATCCGTACATTTTTCCCGGCCTCAGCTTTATGGTATTGATGCTCGGTGACAGTGGCCGAATGGCCGAGTTAGCAGCCTTTCTCGACGCCAGCTGCACCGTCATTGACGGACATCAACAAATGCGCGGAAGCTTTACCTATGCATCTCCATTCCACTACACCCTGGCTTGGGCCATCGGCGACGAATGCGGTATGGATTGCTACGGCGAGAACTTCGATCGCTCACTTGCTCAAATTTCGCAGATCTGGGACAAATTTCACCCTCATTATCTTGTCACTGCCTACTTCTCTGCCTGGCACCATATTCACAAGCATAAATACTCCGAAGCTATTCCACTGCTGAAAGAGTGTTTACCAATATCCGAGCGAGTGATGGGACGTCATGACCTTTTGACAATTAATTGTCTCGTCATTCTAGCCCGTGCTTACGCCGACGAGGGGCATTTGCCGTTGGCAGTAGCTCTCCTCCGGCGCGCCATGGACCCCCTGGATAAGAGTCAAGAGCCAAGAATTGAAAGATTTCGGCTTATGGTTCTGTGCCGACTCGGCCAGTTCGAAGCTGAGATGGGTCAAAATGGGAATGCGGAAGAGAAATTTTGGAAAGTTCTCCAGGGCCGGTCCTTTGCATGTGGCCTTGAGACGGGCGACACATGGTCTGCCGTGTACAGACTTTGTGATATCTTCTCCAGAACCAACCGGGACCAGCAGGCTAAAGACCTAATGAACTACATGGAGAAACGCCTCAACTGGGAGCGCGATCAAGCGTGGTATGCGCAGAACAAACGGACGCCCCCAACTCCGCCTTGGTGGTGGCCGTTTTCTGCCGAAGATAAGACTACAACAGACTCCTTTTTCCGATTCTCCTGATTACATGTCTCTCTCTTTGGCCTATTCGAGTATTTTAGCGAGACTGGATTTGGGAAGAGAATGGCTACATGAAACCGGTTCTTTCTGGCGCCCTGACCTTTTTCAATTTCTACAATCACGCGCAAAGAGCAGGCTGTCTGATAGACTCTCTTTTTGTTTGTTTTTTTATTTTTTGGTGATTGCAATCAGGGCGGAAAGATTCGGGTCTCACGTCAATGTCGACTTGATTGCTGAAAGAGAAAAATCAACAAAAGAAAACCCGGGCGAGGACGATCACAGCATCAGAACAAGAAGATTTGTCTCTTGCTCCCTCATCCGCTCTAGTCGGGCTTGATGATAATCATACCATCGTGTGATAAAAAGGAGGCATGTCTGTCTATCTGTCAGCATTTTCATATGGCCGGAAGTGTCTATTTGGCTTGAACGTTCAGTCGAGCATCCTAATTATCCAGGCGCAAGCTGTATTTCTGGCGGGCTTGACAGCTTTCTTCCAGGTCACTCAATGGCAATGGGCCATGCTTTCTATTGGTTGATATTTCGGTGTGTGAAGACGGGCGTACCGGCATCTTGGACAGTATAAAAGCGAGTACTTATCCTGAATGGTCATCAAACGTGTGAGATTTGAATGTAGCGTGTGACCATATGCATCCATAATTACGCGAGGGCGTGATCAAGAAGACCCTTGGTCCCAAACTTGAAAAGCTTGAAAATAATGCACAGGAATTCTTGTTTGTTTTACTCCTTTTGAAGGCGGCGAAGCAATGAAAAATACGGGTACAGGATCGGATCGGATCAGCCTCAGAGACGTTCGTTTATCAAGCTGTCAAGGGATGCTTTGTAGTGTGACTGAATGAATACCTAATTCCTTTACATGGCCTTTTCTGAAACTTTTAAGAACAGGTAGTAAAACTTCCATGGTATCGAGAAGTAGAAACAACGCACGACAGCATTGAAGTTGACGCCCTCTTCCCCTCTATGGTTTTCCTCTCCTCTCTAAACCTTATCTATAATCTAACCCTCCTTCGAAATACTCGCGGGCTCTCACCGAAGAAGAAGGATCACAGTACTGCCATAATCGCCGAAATGGATGCGATGGCAATGTTGGCATGGTCAATCCTGCGCTGAACACCAAGGAATTGAAGCCGTACCAATTGAGTGCAAGGCCCATTGTCGGCGCGAACATGTCGGGATTTGCCTTGTCCTATGTCTGTATCACGTCGCTTGATTCAACAGTGGGAGGCGATCCAATGACTGCAAGACCAATCACATTGAGGGCGAGGAGACAACAGTAGGAGTATGATGTTTTGGTACGAAATAACCGAAGCCTAGGATGGCTTGCAGGTTTGGTGCCCGCACTTGTCAACCGCCCACCCTGTAATAGGTCCGAGCAGGAGGTACGGGATATCTAGAGCGATGAAGAAAAGATCTGCTTCTAGTGAATCGAAGTCGAATAGAATTTGAGCTTCGGCGGGAATGGTGGCGTCAAAGGAGGCAAGCAAGGCAGTTTGGACAAAGGCCAGCAGTAACGCGACAAGGAGTCATGGATCGGACAGACGGTATACGATAGGTAGCGTTCGAGCGATTCTGTTTTGGCCTTTGGGGATACGAATAGTCATCCTCTTTCTTAGGCAACAGGAGTGCTTCTTCGCTGCCGTGTCTGCATCTGTCTCCTCCCTATTGCTATGTTTTGCGAGGATTCTCTGGTCCTTCAAAAGAGCTGTCGTACTTTCCGGCGACTTTCTTTTCGATTACCATGATTTAGAGAAGAAAATCTACGGCGAGTAAAGCTGAGCCCAGACCGAACACGCCAACATCGCCAGTCTTTCGGTAGAGGACTCCGTCGAGGATAGGAGCTGCCAAATTCACCCACTAAAATAAAGGAGAATACCCTCCCAGATCTATTAGCCGCGACGGCGATAGGTTATCACATCAAACGACTTGCCGATCCAACTACTTTACCAAGATGTTCGGGAGCAGCCGTGTCCAGCATCATGGCCAAGCCCACAGTCCAAACGACAGCGGCACCGATTCCCTGAAGAATTCTTGCGAGACCAGTATAGGCGTATTTTGACCAAAAGCCAACATCAGGGTGGCAGCAAGGAGAGCGGCCAGACCGGAAAGAAAATGGGTTGACAAGCATTCCAACGGGGATTGAGCATATGACACCAGCACCAGCGTACGCCGCCAGAAGGCCAGATACATAGGATTGGAATTTGCCTTCAGGGAGATTGATACACTCCTGGAGCAAGAATGGGAGTACAGGGACGACAAGCCCAGAAAGAAAGAGGTCGAAAGGAGTGGACGCTCGCCATTGGAGGCCTATTGGCTTTTGTTAGAAGACATGCCGTCGTAATATTATAAAACGAATGCGAGATTGCCGGATACTGTGTGGAAGGCGTTGTGCTAGGCCACCGCCCTTGCCCTCCACAACCAACCTCTTGATGAAGACTAGCCTAATCTATGAACAAATCGTGGCCATTTTATATGTGCCATCCTTGGCGTCTTGGCAAGAATCACACATTAAAAGCGAGATGGTTTTTCAACCCAATGGAGTCCACGGTCGAATTTTCACCTGCGATCCTACGCCCTAAGCCTTTTGATGCTCAGATGCGCATCCAAGAACTCCGGGGCTACTATCAACCCGAACAACAGCACATCAATATCAAAGCCGCCATTAAGCTTTATGAGGATGGGGAAATCGACGGTGTGCAGCATGTCTTCATAAAGGATGGAAAGCTTGTGACCAAAAAGGAGATCTTTGCTACAGGAGGTTGGTCCTGAGGGGGAGGAGTATACCATCATTTTGCCCAAAACCATGCCTATGGTCATGAGGCCATTGGCATCGATTTTCACGAGGTGAGCATTGGCCTTTTGGGGAATGCTGAAACTTCACATTTCCCTTGTTTAGATTCGCATGCTACTCAGGCTAACAACCTGCAAATGGAGGCGACGGCTCAGACATGTTGACACTCGATACTACGGATCTGCAGCGACTGGGGAACACTCAAGGACATATCGGCTGGCATGCACCGACCACGATCGTTGAGGCAAGTGGTGTCAGGACCCTCTACCCCAACAATTCTTTGACAAGTTCAGCTAGTGAGGGATGACAATTCCCCATGGGGCAACTGGATTGATGAGTTCGCCATAGTCAAATATCATGGTTATGGTGCGCCAGGGCTATCGGGGCTCGGAATCAGAGAGGCCTTGAGTGATCGATTTGTAGAACACTATTGTCCAGGCATGACATCGAGGATCATTGTGACGGGTGGTCAAGACATGAGCTTATTCCGAAAAGGAATATCCACCTGAACCGAAGATGGATTTCCTAGTCCACGACTTTACAGGAGAAAAGACCAGGATGAGGTGATTGAGTCAAGCCGCACCTTGCATTAATTAGCTTGGGCAGAGTGATGGCCTCGTTAATCCGTTGTGTCACGTGCCACACTTCCGCTGGGGACTCCATCTCAACACGAACGCCGATGTCAGTCCTTCGGATGCCCATGAAGGCTTCCACAAACGAGTAGCAAGACAGGGTAACGTCCCTCGTCTTATATGCCACAGAAATGCTCAAGGCGACGTGAGGCGCTGAAGCCACCCTTGAATTGGGGAATCCTTGAGTCCCGCCGGGGGGAGGGGAACGCAGAAAGATGTTGGACTAGTCCTCTTTCCGAGTCTCAGGAACTCGTGGGTTGACGATAGATAGCATCCGCCATCTTTGTAACCTGAACCATTTCCCTGACATCGTGGATTCGGACAATCTCAGCGCCTCCTTCAATGCTTGCCGTCACCGCGGCGGCGGTGCCGTAGTCTCGTCCAGATGCTTCCTCAACCCCACTAATCTTGCCAATGAATCCTTTTCGACTTGGTCCAATAAGCCACGGGAAGTGATCAAGGTGAAATAAGTTTCGCAGGTCTTCTAGATTTTGGAGGAGTCTGAGATTTTGCTGTTGGGTTTTGGCGAAACCGAGCCCCGGGTCGAGGATTATGCGCCAGGGGAAAATTCCGGCCTCTCGGGCGGCCTTGACGCGCCCATCAAGCTCACGTGCCACTCCCTTGACAACACCATCCGGGTAATTCGTCAACTTGGTCATTGTGTGTGGGTCGCCTCTCATATGCATAAGAATGATGGTCTTGCCAAGCTCAGCAACGGTTGGGAGCATTCGAGGGTCCATGACCCCGGCCGACACATCGTTGATGATGTCTGCTCCTGCAAGAATGGTTTCTCGAGCCACATCGGCATGAAAGGTGTCGATGCTGAGGGCAACGTCGTCAGCTTCTTCCATCTCTCGGATCGCACGGACGACTGGGAGAATTCGCTCCAGCTCCTCCCGGGGGCCAAGATATTCGGCTCGAGGTCGTGTGCTTTGTCCTCCAATGTCAATGATGTCGGCACCGGCAGCTATGAATTGGCCCACGGTTGATTTCATCATGTCCAGGTCATTAGCCTTATGGACACCGCCATCCGAGAAGGAGTCAGGTGTCAGATTCAGAATAGCCATGACATGAGTCTTGCGAGTGAAATCATGAGTACGAATGAGGGGTAGACGAGAGTTTAGAATGGTGACAGGGGACATTGAGCGATCTTTCTCCGGGAGATTTTTCAGATGCTGGTCGATCGGAATGGTTGAGGAAAACGTAGGCGGAAGGCGTTCATGAGGGAGAATGCTGAATTGGTGAGCACAGGAAAAAGCAGAAATGGTTGGCGGCGGTGGCTTACGCTGCGAGAGGTCTCAATACGAACTCTCGTTCTAGCATGAGTTTATGTGGAACCTGAAGACGGGGGTGTTTGATATGGTCATGATTGTAGAGGATGATATCGAGATCGATAGTCCGTGGCCCCTTGTCGATGATGCGTTTTCGACCGAGGTCATTCTCAATGCTTTGCAAAACGTCCAGCAGTGGAAGAGGCTCAAGATGAGTCTCCACTTGGCAGACGCCGTTCAAGAATGGCTCCTGGTCATCGTAATACATGGGCTTGGTCTCATATAGAGGACTCAATTTGACGATATTGAGGTTTTCATTCTTCATCTTGGTCAGTGCGGCTTCGATGTGTGCAATCCTGTCGCCCATGTTACTGCCGAAAGCCACCACGGCTTTATTGGGCCTTTCCCGGGATTTCATTTTTAAGTTGGGTTGTTGGAAGAGCAAATTTCTGATCGAAGAAAAGAATCTTGTCCGAGTGGACTTCGGGTTGAGAATGATAGCTCGTGGCCCCTTTCCGTGGACGCCAGATGGCGTTAACATCCGAAGGCTGCGATCATGGTGAAATTGAATCCCAAGCCGCTGGGTTGGATAAGTCTCAAGGATGGCTCTGGTATTTGTGCCCAATGTATGGCATGCATTATTTGTCAGGTTGTATATGCCTCTGAATTGGCGAAGAGTCATGAAAGTTCTTTCTTCGGACAAACTTCAAGTTCTGGCTTGTCGACTGTCCCACTTGCTGCAAAAAGACTCCCCCCCAGCTCACTTGGAAAACGTACGTAGCACACTAAAGACCACGGTGATACAAGAGGCAGTATATACGCGACGACAGCGTTCCACAGGTGGGAATAAAACCAAAAAGGGACCGTCTTATCAAGGCCTGCTAAGGAGGTTCCCGAGATTGGAATCTTAGCCGACATGGGGTTCTGTGGTATCAATCTGCGTATTCCTCTGTACGCGTGTCATACTTCTCTCCTCCTGTAGGCTGGATATCACTGCTCACACGATCATGCGCCTAGAAATTGTTCAAGTTCGCACACACTTCACGTGTTCCCCCAGACTGTGGGATCTTTGGCCTTCTTGATTTATCCGGTTTCTGGTGCCGACCGGGCTATTGGTACTGTACCAAATTTCCCCGTACAGGAGAAATGCCTCGGTAGTTTGCCCGTCAATCTGGTTGTACCAAACACATACTACCTGCATTCAGGTCTCGCACTGCCGCAACCCTTCCTCCAACCTTTTAATATTTTGATTACTTGCCTCCTCGGCCTGCTCTTCTGCGTTCGATCTTCTTAATCCCCCCAGCAGTATATTTTGACCACTTTTCGCTGACTCTCCCTTTCACAAATCGACATATTTCCTCCACATTGCCCATCCCAGAACCCTCTCCTCCCTCCGGATTTCTCCAGTTAAACAATCATGTCGTCTCCTCAGCAGCTCAAGACAACGGCCACCGACCTCCTCAAAATCAAGCACCCCGTTCTGCTCGCTGGTATGAACGTGGCTGCTGGTCCCAAACTGGCGGCTGCCGTTACCAATGCTGGAGGTCTCGGTGTCATTGGCGGTGTGAGGATTTCACCGAAGTAGTGCCTTCTGCCGAATATATTCTGACGTGGTAAAAGGTTGGATATACTCCAGACATGCTTCGAGAACAGATCGCCGAGCTCAAGAGCTTCCTGAACGACAAGAGCGCACCCTTTGGTGTAGATCTCCTCCTTCCTCAAGTCGGTGGCAGCGCAAGAAAAACGAAGTGAGAAGGCAGGTTTCCAAGAATTGAAGCGGCTGCTGATATTCACTAGCTATGACTACACCAAGGGAAAATTAAACGAGCTGATCGATATTATCGTTGACTCTGGCGCGAAGCTTTTTGGTGAGAAATCGTTCCCGGCTGAACGCCGATGCTTGACATGTAGGACTGACGGCTTCATTCAGTTTCTGCTGTCGGTGTACCTCCTCGTGAAGTCGTTGATAAGCTCCATGAGAATGGAATTCTTTACATGGTGAGTCGCGGTTTTGAAAGGCACCAGCATAGTCGCAATCTGGACCAATTTAACCGACATGTCGACAAATAGAACATGATCGGCCATGTCAAGCATGTGAAGAAGTGCCTCGATCTCGGAGCCGATTTGATCTGCGCCCAGGGCGGTGAAGGTGGCGGCCACACGGTAAGATTCGATAGCTCAACTCGAACGTCTTGCTTCCCCCAGCTAATTGCTGACATAGGGCGATATCCCCACGAGCGTGCTCATCCCAACCGTCGCCAAGATGTGCGCTGAAGCACCACCCTCCAAATTCACCGGCAAGCCCGTTCAGCTTATCGCGGCCGGTGGCATGTTCAACGGTCAATCTCTTGCCAGTGCCTTGATGCTAGGCGCCTCCGCTGTCTGGGTCGGCACGCGTTTCGTCCTGTCCGAGGAAGCCGGTGCTCCTAAGGCGCACCAAGAGGCCGTCCGAACGGCCGGCTTCGATGACAACGTCCGCACCATCATCTTCACTGGCCGACCTCTCCGCGTTCGTAACAACGAGTATATTCGCAACTGGGAAGAAAATCGGCAGGCGGAGATCAAGGCCCTGACAGATAAGGGAGTGATCCCGGTATGTGTGGACTCCTTGCGTCCCTCAGCCCATTCATCTGTCAATCACCCGTGTTTCCGCAAGTGCAATACTAATATGGGCGTGATAGGTGGAGCACGATTTCGAAACAAAAGGCGACGACATGTCCGACGAGGATATGGACAATGCCCGGCCGTTCCTAATGGGCAAGGCTGCCGCCGTCGTCAACGAGAAGAAATCCGCCCGTGAAATCGTCGATGAATTTGTCAATGATGCGGTCAAGTGCTTGCAGATGGGTAATGCCCTCATCGTCTCCAAGAGCAAGCTGTAGTGATGGTCTGAGTGGTTGAGTGGCTCAGGTTGATATAGGTTCATGTTTGTATATGAATGGAGACGAGTCTACATCAAGTGGCCTACATCTCGGTCTCGGAATTCAATTTTTCTTAATGTGTTCGGACGTGGCATTGTAGAGCTCTTTCGCTAGACGTCATCGCTTCTTCCCCTGTGTATATTGTCCTCTACTATTTAAGCATCGGCATCGATCGGGTCCTCGACATTATGCTGGGCTAGCTGCTCTCCCGACCAGATCGGAAACAAACTCGGAAGACTGGTTTGACTGAATAGCTTTCGTCCTCTGCTTATTGCTTGATGCCTGCCTGGGAGACCATCAACTCCCTTGGAGGATTGAACCCAACGCATCTTTGCAATGTAGCGTCCTCAATGCACGCCTAACACTCAAACTACTACAATGTGCCAAAGAATGTATCAAGATATAGAAGATAGGGTCAAGAAACTACGTCGAAGTCGACAGGACCCACATCGTGATGGAACATGTTTTATCAACAGGATGGATCTTTGGTGTGCACACTCTTTGCATCGGACGATCTTGATACGATTGAGAGCAACCGGTCGACTGACAAGGTGACGCTGGCATCCATCATACCCAAATTTCTGCATGGTCATGATCTGTGGAAAGAGAAACCAAATCCCAGATCAAGCAAGCCCCACGAATTGGCAATTGAATGCTCTAGTGGATGCGATAGCCAATTTGAAGTCAGCAAAGGTAAGTCGAGTGAGGCTGGGTCAAGACTCTGGTAGACGCTATTTAATTAGATGATGAAACTTGCCAGCCATGGAAGGCAGACATACACCGGGCCCCGAGGCAAATTGATACAATCAAGGAGAAAGAAAAGGCATGCACCGGTAGAATCTCCTTGGCCATAGTCTAGCTACCTCTGCTCAGATTGGCTCGCAGCAACTATGCGTAATTAGCTATATTGAGCTTGCAAAAGACGGAAAAGAGCCGGGCAATGTCAATAGCTTGAGAAGCAGCAATGATAGATGGACTCCTGTCCGAGGCTGAGGCAAAGGCCTTGGCAAGAAAATAGACCTAACCGCTTCGGGTCACAAAATGTAGTGTGCGATGAAAGTGCCTTTACATCTTCACCGAAGAACCTGACCTTCATTTTCATATAGCCATCTCCAAAACAACTATACAATGTCTAAAATCGCAAGGCTAGTCACCGATATATCCCTCTCCCCATCACCTTTGCTAAATACTGCGTGTCGAAATTCCCGACTTATGTTGCTAACTAGAATTTCGACAGTCGCCCCGACTGGGCAGACGATGTGTCCGATTCAGAGCAAATCAGTGACCCTTCTGCGATTCCGGCGCCTGTGACAACCGTGAACAAAGACGGCACCAAAACCACCGTTTCATATCGAATCGATGACCAAGGTCGCAAAGTCAAAGTGACCCGCAAAACTCGCACGACGGTGCACAAAGAAAGAGTGAATCCCGTGGTGGCGGAGCGCAGAAACTGGACCAAATTCGGGCTTGAGAAGGGCAAACCCAAAGGACCGCAGCCAGACACGACGTCGGTGGGCGAGAACATCCTTTTCCGACCAAGCAGGGACTGGAAGAACGTGCAGGCCGAAGAAGCGAAGGCGGGCGGGGGGAAGGCGGAAGAGAAGAGTCTGAAGGAACAGCTTAGAGACAAGAAGGTCAAATGCCGTATCTGCCAGGGCGAGCATTTCACCGCAAGGTGTCCATTCAAAGATACCATGGCACCGGCGGACGATGGAGCTGCCCCCGTCGTGGACCCCTTGGCCGAAGACGACGACGTTAAACCCTCTGGCGGCCTTGGTGGCGGAGGGAGCAGCTATGTGCCGCCGCATCTTAGAAAGGGCGCGCAAGGCGCCGGCGAGAGAATGGGTGGTAAGTACGAGAGAGATGATCTGGCTACGCTGCGTGTCACGAATGTGAGTGTCTTCATTTCCCTCCCCTTGACCGTGCATCATACTAATCATGGCATTGGTCAGGTCTCCGAAATGGCTGAGGAGCAAGAACTCCGTGATCTCTTCGAGCGTTTTGGCCGCGTCACGCGTGTCTTCCTTGCCAAAGATAGAGATACCGGTCGCGCCAAGGGCTTTGCATTCATTTCTTTTGTCGACCGATCGGATGCTGCAAGGGCATGCGAGAAGATGGACGGCTTTGGCTATAGGCATTTGATCTTGAGAGTTGAGTTCGCGAAGAGGACGACGTAGGATGTCGCGGGTTTAGAGATTCGGCGCATGAATCTGGCCGCCGCTGTTGCAACGGCGAATGAGTAGCAGAAGGGGAAAAATCCATGAGCTGTCCACGTCCTGTATGAATTCGAAAACGAATGCTACGAAACAGGGAGGGTGCATTTGACGGTGTTGAAATCCTGTTTTGTATTACTAGCAGAGATGCCAAATGTATAGAGTCCGAAAGTGACGTCAAAGCATATTCTTGGATCTGGTCTGATTTCATGTTGCGTCAATCAGCATGCTATCATTGTCACCCTTTTGGCAGGGGTGCGGAAAAACTCGAATCTGGGAAAATGATCGCAGGGGAGCTCAAGGCAAGGACAGATCGATCCATTACCCCCCCCCCCCCGAGGTCGAAGAAATAACGCTTGTAGCTCCCGCCTTGATGGTTGCCAATAATAAAACTCAGCATGCTAGATAGCATCGCGGAATGAGGATAAGCGAATATGTGCATTGCTAGGACGATACTCCTATATATGATAGGTTTGAACTGGAAGGACTTTTGAGCATCGCGAACCGTTTTCTAGGGAAAGGCTCACAATATAGAAAATCCAACAATCCGTGAACTACTGAAGAGGACGGTCACCAATTTTTGGTAGTAGAACGGTGGAGGACCAGCGTCGATGACACAGGCAAGAAGTCAGGAGTGTTTCAGCAGGACGAAATCCTGATGGCGTATCCGGGGAAAACATCGAATGGAGGAAGCCGACGACAGGCCGAGCTCAAAAACCATCTGAACCTATTGACAGACAGCCATGCACATTGCTCCGGAGGAAACAAATTTCCACCGATCTCTCAGAAATAGTATAGACCGTCAGCTTTGCACGAAAACAGCTCAGCCCTCCGGGTCCACATTGCCCTTGCAACCCAGCCGGTTAAGCGGTGAGAAACCTCACAGGTCTAGGATCGAGAGGAGCCGAGAAATAAGAGACCTGGCATATGAGAACCAAGGGCATAAACGTCACTTGTTGTCAACACCAGTTGAGATCAAAATGCCCCGATGAGGCAAAGTAATCCAGGACTGCCAGCGCCCGACGGGTCTTTCAAAAGGGCGGTTCTCTCATGATCATGAACCAAACATTTCGCACAGTCCTCGGTCTCTGCTTTGGACCCTGCGTCGGGGAGACACAAGCCGGAGGAAACGGCTTTTGAGGCCAGAAGCGACCGGAACGATTGGACAGACACAGCCTGGAGACACGCTCGGCCTTGCTCAGGATCATTCACCAACGATCACAATGTGAGTCAACCACACCGCGAGGACCAATATCGACATCTAGAACGATTCCAAATCAAGGTGCCCGTGACATCCGGGGGAACAAAGAAAAAGGCGAATCGGGGTCATGAAAGTGGCCTTCGCATCATCATTCGGTCGACTCCATTGGAAGATCCAGGACTGCCGACATTATTGTCACACCAATGCCGAAATCAAAGACGAACTGGTAGTGCAAGCCGCAAAAGGGCAGTCATGGAGCAACCTGTCAAGATCGTAGGATTTGTCAGGCCCACAAAAGCCCACAAAAGCCGAACACTCTCAGGACCAATTTCAGGTTTGGGAGATGAGGCTGAACGAAATCTTTCATCACAAGCTTCTTGAAAAGTAGGCATCCATAGGAAGAAGCTCGAATGGTTGGATTATTTCTGCACCGATTTGCAGTGCGTCCAACACCAGCTATGTCGCGCATGACAGCAACTCCTGTCTATGGGCCGACTGTCGTTGGCAAGGACATGGTATGGCTGAAATATAAGCCCGCCAACGCACGTAAGCCAAGCATTCAGTATTTTGAAAGGAAGGTCCCCTTTTTTAGCTGCGAGAAATGAGTCGTGCAATAAGGAAGATCGAGGCCGAGTGGATTATTCTGGTTGGAGAAGGGTGTCAAGACGTGGAGAGATGTGCAAAGGGCTCGTAAAGGAGCGTCGACAATCGAAGGAACAGAGCAATCCGCAATGGTGGTGGGGAAACTCTGAAATTCGATATTCTTAGGCACGGAAGAGTTTGACACCAGGAGGCGTGACCGCTAGAGTGTCCAAACCAGGGCGGATCGGAGGGAGACAAGGGGAGGGCGTGTGGATGATGCCGTTGAATGCGCCTCCAAGGTAGACAACAATGTGGAGGAGGTGCAGGACCGGTGAGAAGGAGGGCAGTGGCTTTGGTGGTCGTTGCGGTTGTTCGAGCTGGGTGTCGGGTTCCAAATTCTGTACAGGACGAAGGGTGTCGAGTATGTAGACAGAGGTCGGGAGAGGGAAGGGAAGATGTTGGCTGATACTCGACAAGGACAAGTGCACGGACTGAGAACAGTCGCACTCGCGATCATTGACATTGTCATAGCCGTCGTGATTGATGCAGATCAAAAGCTTCATTCCTCCACACAATTTCCTCCCTTCACTTCACCTCTCATCACCTCGTCGACACATTCAGTGTCCATGGTCCACGATCTTTCACCATCGCCTCATTGTCAACATTTGCTCCAGCTACACCTCCCGCTGGTGCTCCTCTCCATTCCTCTCATCGTTTTCCGCCGGAACACCCTCATTCGGCGATTCCTCGACGCCAAATCGGGCCTGTTTTCGGCCGTCCTTGACCACCACTACGACCACGCAGCTCCGTCATGCAACCCCGTTCGATTCAAAACCAGCATGCCGCCTCTTCCGCCGCTGTGCACGACATACTTGCATTGCAGGTGACAGCGTAGGCCACGGCCCGCCGCCCCTTTGAAACGGTCGACCCAGCATCCAATGGCCCATCGTGTCCTGCTCCAAACCAGCTCCATGCCGCTCTTTCTGCTCTTCCAAATCGGGTATCACGTTAGTCGGTCGGGCTTGCCAACAGGGACTGCGTTCGGTTCGCGGAGAATGGTTGGACGCCTTCATGTTCCAGACCGGTCGCGCTGTGGTAGCTATGCTCCCGACAAAAAGCCTATCGAACAACATAGCGTCCGTTTCCACTGCTCTTTGGCAGACTAAACCTGGACAACGCCTTGCTAGTCGGAACATTCCCTTCTCGTCTGAGTATTGCCGCGGACTACAGGAGCTCTTCGACAGACTGAACCAGCATCCCCCTGACCATGCTTTGTAGTCATTGGCCTGTTCGCAAGTTGGCCGACTAGCTGTCCACCGTCAGACGGCTTCCCGCACTCGATTCCATTCGAACTCATCCTCCATGCTTCGTCGTGAATGCCAATGCTGTTCGGGCCCGTTTCCACAACGAATCACTGTCTCTTGAGGCGCTGGACCGGCTTAACTTCGCCTATTCCCGAGCAGTTCCTTTGGAGAGCATATCCAACAGCACCACACGATGCTCATTGAATCTCATTTCAGGATGCGAACAAAGGCTTCCAGGGTAGGTCGTAGAGCAAAGGCGCTCTTTTTGGCCTGATGGTCACAACCCAGCTGGCCTTCCTTTCCAGCCACATGCAGAATGATCTATTTCAGTCATGGTCCATGGTCAACGCCCTCCAGTTGTGGCGGGATTCAGCTGAAACAGCGCTCTGCAAGGCCCCATGCTTGAGTGCATTCTTTGTTCCTGCATCTCAGTCCGAATGGATTCGTTTCTTCCAAATCTTTCTTCTTTTCGCCCGCTAAGGTAATGATACGATGGCCAAGCAGTATGGTGGCAATTTTTAGTCTGAAGCTGGAGCTGCTGAAGAAGGCCGGCTGCAGCACAATTGTGCAGTCTCAAGGCTCGGATATCACGTCCTGGGACACTCATTGGCCTCTGGATATGCGGCCGTCCTTGGAATGGTCATTGCAAACAACATCCGGTTCATCCTCCCATCCTCACCGAAGGCTGGTGGTCAGATGCAAGACCTGATGACCGCCACGATGGCTGAACGAGTCATTTCAATATTCGATCGGGATGTTCTGAATTGCGATCCCGGCCTGCCCAACTTGGGCGAGGAAAGGGTCAAATGCTGGTGTGGAACCCCCTTAACTTGATGTCGACAGCTGGATGCGCGCGCTCATTTGAATACTTTTCAATCCTTTCGATTGTCCAAAGAGCCTCTCTTCCTTTCTGAATGCTTATTTATTTCTTGTCAAAAACGATCTTGTCATTCTGATCATATCTTGTGTCCTTGCTCCTATCACCGCTGTTGTTCACATTGTGGCGATCCCATCCTGTCCAAGAATCAGATTTTACACTCCCTCTCCCTCTGACTTTCGATTTCGGGGGCGTTTACCGGCGCTGTGTGGGAATTATCGACGGCAAGGTGACTGCTCTCCCTCGTTACCTGCTGGATTGTGTACGCGGCGCAGCCTCCACGAATGAGGCTTGATCAAGGCAATCGTTAACAATCGGACACACAGAGAATCGGACTTCGTGTTTCATTGGAAAGCGTCGGATGAAAGCAAATTCAGAATTACAGACTGTGATATTCCTAGAGAAGGTAAATCAGTGCGACGGTCCTTGATCGCCATTTGATGGAAACGGTCACTGACGAATAAGAGCGCGAGCCTCGAGACCGAGCTCCTTTGAGACAAAACAGGCTGTTTCGTTGTTCTTGGTAAGTTTACCACTCACTTCCTCCGTGTTCTCAATGGCTCTCTGGTTGAGAATGCGACCGAAGTCATCAACGGCTCTGCCACATCATGGACCTGCCCTAAGCTGACCTCCAGCAGGCGCATTATCCCTGAGTGATTTTTGTGGAGTAGCAACCACATATCCAGAGGCGTTGCTATTGGTAGGCCTCCCCTGTAGAAGACTTGGTGTATTCGGGCCTAGCAACCCGAGCGCCGCATTTGCTTCAGGCCTGTCAGTCACATCCGAGAAACAAACTTGACTAGCCCACGGGCTACGCAGAGCTCGACCCTAGGACCGCCGAAAGAGACAGGTCCTGATCCGCTCTGGACCGTGCGGCTTGAGGAAAACTCTAAAAGCCCCCCCCCCCCCCCATGCTGATTCAGCCTTGTCAAGGCTCAGCTCCGAGTTTTGGGCGACAGCATGGATCCCAGTACGTACTGTGTCAAGCATGTACATCTGCACGTCTTGCCTCTCTGTTATCTTTTGTGTCCATGTTGAGGTTGACCCCGACACACCGCATCACGGCTCGGCAATCTGGCATCGACATGCTACGTGCTCACGCTCTGCCAATCTCGCGCGGCGCGGCTGCCACCGCTGTTGGCTGACCAGGATGCCCCGCGCGTCCTACATTTCCTGCCAAATCGGTGCTCAATTGGCCATTGTGAACGGAGGGCCCCCTCTTGTCCCAGCCGAAATGCATGGCCTTGTGCCAGGCTTCTTTTCCTTTATCAAATCCTACCCCCTGGGCACTCTTTTCCTATCTACTGGCTACTGACCTTGCGTGCAGCATTGCTTCAGCATTCCTCACCATTCGACTTTCCGATCACATCTGAATCCAAATACCTCGGCCAGGAGCGTTCCTTTTCAAATCCATCCTACTCTGCCCATGAGTTTTCATTCTCGAGCCGAAGGCAGCAGAATACTTTGACGAATGGTGCTTCCGGGCCAGGAGTAGCGCAGCCAGCGAATCCCGGTCTTGAATTCAATGGGAACTCACTATTGAACGATACACAGTGAGTATCCAAAGTTCCTTTCCCTCGTTGGCTGATGTCTCTCCGTCATGTCCAATGAGGTGCTTCTATAACGGGTGCTTTTCCAGCACGAAGGCCTGGAGCTTTGAACATTGGGCATCTGCGCACGGCCTCGTCCAGTCTGCAAAGCCTGTAGACGGCTGGGACAGGCGGCGGATGAGCTTTGTCTTCCCTCTAGATGCGCTGGCTTCTCTCTCTGCATGACCCAACCGTCATATTTACAAGGTTTCGCATATAACCTCGTTGAGAGCTCCTCCACCTCTTTCTCGTCGTACTGACGCATGAGATGGACTTTGCAGGTATCACTCGAACTCGCAGTTGCTGCTGAGCCCGCCCGACTCCACGACTGGATCCGCGAGTGCGAGTGCTCATCCGACGACGTCTTCAATTGTCTATACAACGCTTCCTAAACCGTTCCCCAGCGATGCAGGCGCTGCAGCCCATCTTTCGAGCGCACCCCCGTCGATTCTCTCGTCCAACTGGACTGGATCGTCAATGACTGTCATGGACCGCTCCCGATTGTAAGTCTCGACTTCGCAAATCCCTTTCAATCGACGTCATTGTAATCGTTGCTGAGTTCTGTGGCGCAGCCCTCCACCTCTGTCACCTCCCTTGAGCTACAATTCAGTGAACGGAATTGGGACTGCGTTGCTAAGCAATAGGTCCCTGGTGGATAAATTACCACACTCCTATCAACCCCACGGGCATTCCTCTGTAAGTCCGGGGCTGTTCCATCATCAGCCGCTCAGGTGTACGCCTGGCAGCCATCACCGCAACAGTGTTGCCCATCCTTTTTCCATGTTAGATGCTTCATATTCGGGACATAATATGCCTGCTTCTTTCCAAGACAGCACGAACCCTCCTCGGCCAGATGGGCCGCCATTTGGCGATACTGCAATCACTCAGCCTGTTTTTACGGCACGAAACCAGCAGGTGCTGCCGGAAATTTCGGCCAGCATACAGAAGGGCTTCTTCCAGGTGGACCACAAGTGGACTTGTTACCGACGAAATTACTTTGCAGTTTCCTGCTCCTTTGCGTTCAAGAATCATTTGGGGGATGGACCATACTATCTCAGCAGAAACGGTCAAGACGAACCGATCCATCAATTTGCTGTCTCTATATCTGCAAAGACTGCCATTGGCAGTAACGGTGAGAGCGAAAGCCGCGGCCTTGTCCAGCACACTCCCAAGCGGGACAAGGCAACAGAGACTGTGCCTGGAAGGCAACTTATCTCCCCAACACCTAATCACGCTCTGGGTGCCAGTGGTATGTTTCCGAACGCCACACCTTTGTATGAGGCGTCACAGCCAATTTCCCCCGCGATGATGGGAAGCTTTGGAGGCCATGACAACCATGGCGCTAACTCAATCCCCACAACATACACCTTCGAGAGAATCCAGTTCCAAAAAGCTACAGCTAACAACGGGAAACGTCGGGCACAGCAACAATATTTCTTAGTGGTGGTGGAGCTATCTGTTAACGTCGCCAGGTCACCAGGCGATGAGCGCTGGGTGGTAATCGCAACCAAGGAGTCGGACCAAATGGTGGTGCGCGGCCGGTCTCCAGGTCATTACAAAGACAATGGGAGACGAGACAGCCAAGCCAGCATGGATCCCGATCGAGGGACAGGTGCCGGGGGAGATGCGCACCACGGCAGCCTCCCATCCTGCGGATACGGCCACTCGTCAATTGACTGGATGGGCAGCCGTCAACAAGGTGGTCATTTCGGCGGATCCACCTATCGCCAGACAGCGAAAGCGGGATTTTCGCCGGCCAGTTTGGCTTCTTCCAGCACCTTGACCGGAACACCAACAGAAGTCGATTTATCCGAGCAATCTGTCTTGACACCGCTGTCGGAAGGCGGTGAAGAGGCACTACTCTACGTCGACCGACATAACACGAATCGAAAGAGGTCTTATGAGGACGACGAGGACGAGCAACTGCGCGTGCATCATCCGGCCCCGTTTACGGACAGCATGACGTCTCTCTCCGCCTTTTCAGCAATGCGATATTCGAAGCTGTTGTGCGCATCATGATGATGCAAGTCGGCGCGCGACCACCGGCACCACAGACTGTGGAAGACCGGCCAAAATCATATTTGCACTGGACGTGATGTTTTTCTTAACGATAACGACACTGTCCTATTTCCTTAATTCGACATTTCTAGAAACATATTGCACAAGGGTAAAGGGAGACACACCGGTCGGTCGGGAATGGAAACCAGTGTTCTAGAGATACCCCCCATTTCATTGAGACGGTACACGGCGCAAAGCAAGTTTGAGGGCAGCGGAAATGAGAACGATAGGACTCATTCGTTTGGGTTAATACCACCATTCACAAGCATGCGAGTCACGATGGAGTATTAGGACTTGTGACTCGGGAAAAATAAGGAAACTACGGGTACGACTCCGGGCACGGCTATAGGGCGTTGCGAGGACTTGGTCTAGTTGGACCATCGGCCGGGTAGGATCTCTTCCAGGTCCGATCAGACCACAGGGAAACTTTGAAAGAGCATGGTTGTGGGCATAAGCATGAGCATGAGCATGGCGTGACACGATGATATGACAGACACATAACTTACATTTACATTTCGTTAGCAACGGAGTTTCCTTCCAAGATATGGGTCAATTAATGTCTTGGCTGGTGGCTACTATCCACACTCCCGGCAAGGGCACATAGTGGAGAGTGTGAGAGACAAGACGGGATCTTGTGGGATGTCGATGCAGAGGAGGGAAATGGCTTCCCGACGCTGACTAACTGGGACGTGGTGCTGGTTCGGGCGCTTGCAAGGATAGGGGGGTACGTGACCTAGAACATTGACAGGATGGGCATGGGAGAAGGTCAAAACCTGTTATGAGGACGGATTAGAAATTGGAATTGAGATTTGGACCTGGATCTTGTAAAGGACTCGGACTCGACATAGCCTCGGGCGCAACCTCCTTCTCCAGACTGCTATATTTGCTATTTCTTCTGCGCAGATCAGCCTCAGGTGTGCCCAGCAGGATGCGCAACGTACGTGTGGCAGAAACCATGACCCCATCTTCACTAACTCTGTCTTTAATTCGTCCCTACTACTTTCTATACCCTATTCGATTCTATCCAGCCCGCCTCTGCGTGCTAGCGTCCTCCCTCCGCCAGAAGTTGGTATGAGAAAGAAGGGCGGACAAACGAGTGTCTCGAGTCAACCCCGGCAACAGCCGGACAGAAGTGCTCTCAAGAGGAGCCAGAGCGCTCGACAGCTGTCCACGGCAGACAGGGAATGTAAAGAGCACGTTTCTCCACCACGAAGAACGGCACATTGTCCAGGGGGCCATATCCAGTCTACAGGTTCAGAATGGGCAATGGCGGAATGCAGACACGCTCCAGCAACCGACTACGTCACCAATGTTGGTCTTCATCGAGGGCATAATCCGGGACAGGGGCCAAGCAGCTACTGTATGCATGCGCCAAAAAGAGGGAGCTAAGGTCACATCCAGCTGGGTAGAGGGCATATGTGAACTCACCACCAGCATGTCGCATCAAGACTGGTCGGGCCCTGTGTTGATTTACCTCTGCTGTCTGTATGCCTGTATCGATTCGATTAATCTGCCAACTTTGACATCGACTTCTCCCTAGCTCGATAATTTTCTTGTTTTGTTAGTCAAATTGGCAAACCCTCTGGCTGCCTCTCGAGTCGGCACTTTTCAACAGGAGTTCTCAATACATCCTTCTCCCCAGTAGCGCTTATTTCTGTCACCTCGATAATTATAGAAAATTTGCACAAACCACCGTCACCTCTATGGAGGAATCCTAACAGCCGATCTCTCTCCTAGGCAGAGGTCAACTGCAGGCAGGGACGACAGCCTGACCGGCAAATCTCAAAGAAGGGGGGATGAAAGCACAAAAATGCCGCTACTGCAAGTCGAGCAGCTTGCTTCTGTCTGGGTCATGCACATTTTGTTCAAGTTCCCCTTTCTCATCTCGTGATTTTTCATTGGCGCAGGTATTTCTTGCTTGAAGCAAGAACTAACAGCTGGTATCCATACTCTAGAGACCTAAGCGAACGGCCTACCAATGACCAGCACGGATCACATGCATCTGTGTTCTTTGTCGCAAAGGACATGTCGAATGGCCCGAAAGTCGACCACCACTCGAGAACAACATGGTCCGTGCGTCTGGGGACAACTCGCCCCAGTCTTCGAGCGATTCCTTCCAAATGTGATTGAGGCTGGACTACATTCCTCCGATGTCAAAGGGTAATTGTCCAATCAAGTCATATCGGCACATATGGGCATTTTCTCACTGTCAATCGTGCTGAAGCTTGATCAGGTTGCCGACATGTCGTCAAATTTGGCACTGGAGGCGCACCTAAGACATTTGAGCTACAGTTCGCGTGGGAGGCGACATAGGCGCCATCCGCTCCAGGCGGGAGAGACTTGCCCCATAAGCTAACGTTAGCCTCTCCCACTGGCGCCACCATCTCCCGCCCAGCACTCCCAAGCTAAATAAAACAGCCCGAACTTCGCTGCTAATTCGCGGATCTGAGCTTGGCGGCCTGGCGGCGGCGGATGGGGTCCGGGCCAGAAAGAGACAGATTCATTCTCGAGCGTGTCACTTGTCTCAAAGACCACGCAGCTGTGTATGCACTCACACCTGCGGAGACCACAGTGATCTGGGAACATCGAAGCGAGTTGCAGATTTGAGTCGAGAGCATTAATCCGGCAGTTGCCTAACAAGTCGAATCAAGACGTGACCAGGATGGGGAGGATCGAGATATCACATTAGAAGAAGCTGGGTGATTGGGCACCATCAGATTTCTACACAGTCAAAGATCTCATTGCTAATTGTCCCCCTGTGCGCCAATGCCAGCCTAATCGATTGCAGTGCTCCCTGTGACCTTGCCTGTCAAGCTCAATAGCCCCCTTGACAGGGAAAGGGTGGAGCTTTAGGAAGAGGAAAAAAAAAAAAAAAAAAAAAAAAAAAAAATTCAACGGCATATTTCACAGCCGTCGAAATTGACCAGATTCCATCGACGAGCCGCCAGATGCAACGACTCTTATTCTCCGGTTTCAGTCTTACCCCCGGGTCATGGTCGATAAAATTTGTTCTCCACAAATGGCATCTTTGCCACCTCTGCCTGCCGGATATTCTTCCGAACTTTGATCCCAACTTTGGTTCCCTTTTTATGGAAGCCATTCTTGATGTACCCCATTGCAATGTTCTGTCCGTCCAAACTGGGACTAGGACAACCGGAGGTAATGTGCCCGATGACCTGATTGTCATTTCCTGGGTCGACGATCTCCGCTCCTTCCCGCGCCGCCGGACCTCTTTCAATCGTGAACCCAACCCTCCGCTCGGTCATTGTCTTGGGGGAAGCAAATTGTTTGTTGATGATTTCATGTCCATTGAACGGAGGGCTGAGGTTATCCGATCGGCGTGACTTGCCCACCAACCACCCTAGCGCAGCCATGGGAGGGGTGAGCTGGTCATTGAGGTCGTGGCCATAGAGACACATACCAGCTTCAAGGCGGAGCGAATCTCGCGTCCCCAGGCCGGCCCACCGGACTTTCGAACTGTCAGCCGTCAGAGCTTTTGCGATTGAAGTTGCCAGGTCCGCGGCATCGCCATTTTCCGGGGGAATGGAGATTTCAAACCCGTCTTCCCCAGTGTAGCCTGTCCGACTGATGAGCAGGGAAGGCGTATTCATTCCATTTGGCAGCGCCAATTGCAGCCACCTGCTCGTCCCGAAGTAGAGAGTATCCAGGGACGTGTCCAGGGTCTCGTCCTCGGTGTCGTTAAAGATGAGAGATTGCAGCACAGACGCCGACTCGGGCCCTTGCAATGCCAGCAGGGCATGGTGATCCAGCACGTGCCAAATGATCTTGGCCGAGGACGCACCCTTGCCCTTGAGGAACTCGTCCATCTCGGCTTGAATGAAAGCCAGGTCTTCATCGCGACGTCCCGCGTTGGTCACGAAGTAGAAACTGTCTTTCCCAATCCGTGTGATGACCGTATCGTCGACGATCCCGCCCTGCTTGTTTAACAGACACGACAGCGTCGAGTGGTGTTTCTCGATCTCATTAATCGCCGAGGGTGTGACAGTCATCAGGAATTCCTCTGCCAAATCTCCGGACAGCTTATGCTGTACCATGTGCGACACGTCGAATAATGACGCGTGCGACCGCGTCCACAGGTGCGAGTCTCGATGCGACTGGTCCGGGTATTCGAGGGGCATGGAGAAGTTGGCGAAGGGAACCATTTTGGCACCGAGGGAGGTGTGCAGGTTGTACAATGGCGTGTGTTTGAGGTCGCTTGGTGGTTTTGTTGATGCATAGCGGCGTTGAAGGAGTGTGGACAGTGAGCGTGATTGGCGTGACGGTGATGAACATGTTGATATCAGCTTCTTGTGTCGGAGTGATTGACGACATTGAGCTGTCGAGCGATATGATGAGCTTGATGATGGAGTGTGAATGGCGAAGATGCTCAAGTCCCTTCTGGATGAGAGTGATGCATTCCTGCCGGCCTGAGACGTCACGGCCAGAAAAGGCTTTGGACTTCGAAAAAAAGGCATTGCTTTACAAGTTATCGGTTGGGGAAACCCCCAATTCGTCTTCGGAGAAACGGGATTCACAACGGGTTCGGCAGCCTCATGAAGATCCCAGTTCAGCCCTCACTTCTATCCTTCAACAATTGATTTCCCAAATATTTGGATTCTCTGTGATGAATGGAAGAGCGGAGGAGGCAGAATGGATGTTAAAGGGCTACTTTCCAAAAGAGGACTAGTCTGACTTGGCCCTTGTTATTCTTCCCGAAAGGTTCAACCTTCATCTTTCTTTTCCCTATGCTATGGTCTCCGCGCTCAAAGAATCGCATTCGAAGCTCACGCATAGCAGAGAAACAGGACTTGGAAAAGGTTCAAGTTTTCTTTTTCTTTGCATACCTTTGTTTTCTTCTCAGCGGGAGGAAAACTAAGCTTTGGGAGAAAGTCCCCGGACCACCCTACCTTTTCGAATGAAAAGAACGTTAGGACTTGCCGAGAGGCGCCGCCATAAAAGCATTTTCACTGCGGCTATTTTCTGCCTCCCGCTCTTCTCTGACATCCTGCCATGATTTGATCTCCGACCTCCTCGTCGTTTGTATTCCCGGCCGGCTTTTCCTGATCTGTTCCCTCTGTACGATGCGGATAGGTGTCTGGATGGATGAAGATATGAGTCCGTCCCCAGGGTTTCGACTAGATGTCTTGATGCGGAAGACTGGGGAATATGGCCTGGGAAGAACTGAAGGGAAGAGATGATGAGGGTTCCACACTGGGAGTCGATCAGGGTAGTGTGTCGTCAGAGAGTGCAAGAGTTGGTTTTTGGAGGTTGCGCAATTCGTCACATGCCTACAGTTATGCGATTACTCTTTCGACTGTTTCCTTGCTTCGGCAAGAAAACTGGCGAGCGAGGAACTCGACGGGGCTTATTCTTGAGGCGCGGAGCACCATTACATCCTCTTTTTGGGTCTGTAGCTTATGGCAAAGCGGCAATCTTGAGTAGTCAAGGTCGCAGATGTCCTGTCGAAGGGACCGGACTCGTTTGGAATGCAATGCAATGGCCAAAAGAAAGAGACAAGTGCAATGGAAATGATGGAGAGGAGTACCAACACCGGAAGGCCGAGGACGTGGTTTTCAAATGATGACACTTCAATCAAATAGAGTCAAGCACGTAGACCTCCCTGGTCTCGAAACGAGCATGGTTGGTCCGTGACGAGAAATGATTGAATATCTCTGATGAATGGTCAAAGCCTCATGCCTTGAGTCTCGGCGTCGGTCACCACCACAGCAATTTTCGTTCGACTTTGTACACACGCATTCGTCTGACGGAGAACTCTCATTCACTCTTCCCTGAAGCCGAGATAGGCATCTTGACCTTTTGCTTCGGTCCACCCTGCCTTTGTTGCGAGTATTGTATCGCGTAGACGACCACATCCCCCACGAGTGCAATGACCGTGCCGCACGCGGTGCTCCAGACATTAATGCTGACGCCTCCATATGGACACCTGGGGAACCCGAGTATCCATTCAATATACCACGGAAACCAACCGCGCGGGTATGTGAAGACTGGGGTCTTCGCGTGCCAAAACTGGATCGCGAACCTGAGGCCGCTTGTACATGTCCACCGGATCGCGGTTGCTTTGGTGTCGAAGGATGCTCGAGATGAAGAGACCACGGCCGCTGCATTGGTAGAACCGATCAGCATCTCACTTCTGTAAGATGACATAAAAACCACCATTTCCCTAGGAAGTGCACATCTGGCTTGTAAAGTGGAAGAAGCTCTTTTACCTTTCTTATCATGCTCGTCCAAGGCTTTGTCATGTTGTCGTCTTATTTTTGCCCACTTGGAGAATTCATCCTGGGCACTCACGGCGTTCATTTCTCGTTTTAAGCGGACGACTTCCCGACGAAGGCGGCTTTGTTCTTGAATGTCTCGTGAGGACTGGAGGGAAAGGCGGCAGTATATTTGCCATAGCTGTCAAACGCAGAGGCCAATGTCAGTAATAACGATTGCGGTAAAGAGAACAAACCGTGCATATGGCAAGGAGTTCGGGGAAGACATACCAAGTCATTGATGGGTTTGGAGCCGATGGTCAAAACGAGGTGGCAGACTAGTTGGATCAGGAAGACAGTAACGAGGAGGGAGACCATGGCCGTGCGTATTGGTTGTTCGTCAGCTGTTTATTGTGTTCATGAGGATGCGAAGGTGGTTTAGGGGGTTTTTCGAGGCGGGGGATGATTTATGTTCACTTTCTGGCGCATGCCCCTCTGTTAATTGTGTGCAAAGTCGACACCTTGCGGCACGCGAGTCAGGAATGACGTCGAAAACTTTGTCCTGACTCAAGAATAGTGAACAAGGGCGTCTTCAATGCTGTTGTGATTGCAAACATACCCTACAAGTCAGCCTAGTGATACATGGAGATGAGTGTCGTTTAGGGGGAAAGTGGCGCCTTGTCATCATTCCGCATCAATTCGACTCGAGCTGCATAACGCCTCGAAAATAAACCCCCCAAAAAACCGTGGAGCTGGGTAACCTTTTCTTTGGCATTATAATCGAAAATTTTGTTCTGCAGATCTACACGAAGACAAGCGCTCTTCAGGCATTATCAAGTATTGGTCAAGGCTCTGCGTTTCGTTTGTATCAACACAGCGCACCTAGGCTCCAAGGCCATGCCGCGAGTAACGACGGCTACGCTATTTCATCATGTTATCTTGTTCCATGTTTCTTCGCGCTTTGGCCATCTCATCTCTACCACCACTCCCCATGGGGTCCACTATGTGCTACTACACCGGTGTGGCCCCCATAATCCCCGCACCATGGCAGACGGGACTTCCCAGCGGTCACTATTCTCAGCGGAGTTGATGTCGATCACATCGTCGTCCTTCTTCATCGTCTGGCTGGTTATTTCGATCAGTTCCTGGCGCTTTCACGCGGCCCTGGAGGCGCAAAACGATACTCTCTTCACCGAGATCTTCGCCTGGCGAGCCTGGGCGTGGCCCGTTCCTGCGATATGGTTGTTCTTATGCAGTGTTCTGCTGCTCGTCTGCTGTATATATACATCGGATTATATCCTCTGGTGAGTTTTTCCCCTGGCGAGGGTAACAATGACATTTCGAGGAATAGGGAACCTTTACAGCCTCCGTCGAGAACTTCTTCCAATACATGATCGGCGTCGTGATCGTACTTATCTTCACAGTCGCGCACAAAATCTTCTACTGCACCAAACTCCGTAAGGCCATCGAGGTGGACCTATGAACGAGCAGGCGGACGTTCGGAGAAGGAGAGGTTGAGATGTTGCACAAATACTATTCTCAGTAAAGCTGGCGAAGACTGTTATCTTATTTCCGATTTTGGTAGGCTTGCAGCTTGCAGCGTTGGGAATGGGAAAAGCTGTCCGCTTTCACGCTTCGAGCGTACAAGGCAGCGGTATTACCCATTCACCAGTAGCGAAATGGTTCGGCCGACGCTATGGCACTTGTTCGGATGACTACAAGGACCAAGCTAGACCGAAATTCGACGCAACTCGCTTCAGTGGGCCAAAAAAAAAAAAAAATCCGTTGACATTAGGACAGTCATTTTTGCCAGATATGTATTCCCCACGCCCGCCATTAAACCATCGCTATGCCTTATTCAGAGCAATGTCTACAACAGGAGGTCTCCACTGTGCGTAAAGCTTTGCTGCGGATGAAACACCTGTTGCGGGGCATTCTGGCTCACAACATATGGGTTTTCTCCCGCACCGCCCATTGTTGGAGTAGTGAGAATGTCCCCTGCACTATTATCACTCAGGCTCAAATTCTTGAAGTACTCATCCGCAGCATCAATCGCTGCTTGGTGACCTGGGACAGGTGTCCCTCCAGGGGTCGTGACCGCGGTATTGAGTAGCAGGGGATGTGCGAGATTCACTCCCGGTGATCCAAGCGCTCGGGTCAAATCATCTTTCTTTTTTTGCAATGCAGGTGAATCTTGGAGCCGACGAGACCTTGCAGTGCGGAAAACTTGTTGGACTGGCTTCAGATAGATGGTCGCAAGCGTGCCGATACCCAAGCACAACTCTTCGAGTGTCGTGGGATCCAGTTTCTCGCTCTCAGCGGTGATCGGTGGTTTGGATCCCATAACGACTTTCTTCGCCGTCACTGGGTCGGTGGACAAAAGTCGCCAGTACATATATCCACGATCTCGAAGATCCGGGTCATCGGTTTCTTCCGTGCACCATTTCAGCACTTGGGGGACGATTGAAGATCCTTTCGTCGGGCGATGCAAGAAGAGTTTAACCGTGGCGGTCAACAGCGCCAGTTGGACCTCAGTCGGCTCTTCATGGAAGGTCGACAGGTAATCCTGGAGCAGTGAATCGGCATTATCGATCCGATCGGCGTATTCTCCTATGATCCAGATAATCGCCGCCTTCGCTTCGGGCTCGTCAAGCTCGTCGATCTGGCCAATCACTGTCGAGATGACGGATTCGTATTGATTAGGGTATTTTCGGAAGATGTTTTTGATAACCACCGTTGCTTCTTGGACGATATATGGAATTTTTGCGTTGACAAGGTCGAGGAGAGTGTCGATACATTGTCGTGACGCCGGTTCAATCTTGATCGCGAGCTTTCCGATTGCTCGAACGGCCTTGCGCACGAACTGAACGTCAATCTCTGTGGCGTATTCTCTCAGTTCGTTGAGCACGACGGATATGTTGCTTTTGTTGGCAAGCATGAAAATCAACTCGAGTTTTGTCACTTTGACATAGATGGGATCGTTGTATTTGCAGAAGAAGACGCGAATGTCGTTCTGAAGGACCTCGGGTCTTTGTTGAAGGATCAGAATGGCATTTCTCAGCGCCAGATACTGTATCTCAGGAGGCTTGGAGAGGAGGGTAATCAAGGGCGGCGATAACTTGCGCGAGAGCTCTTCCACCTTCTTCCGGTCTGAGATATAGTTCATCAGGTACATGATTACCCGTATGCAGGTCAGCACAACCGCCGAATTGGAATGGGAAAGCCGAGAGGCAATCCGATCCGCCAATAAAAGTGCTTCTCCCGATTCAGTCGGGACATACGAGATTAGAGCTTCCAGAACATAGGTCTGAGACCATTCATTGCAGTCGGGGAGGATCGAGATGATTTTCGATGCGCTAGCATAGTCAATCGTCAATTTGATGTTCTCGTTCCTCTCCCAAATATCTTGTAGTGCCGACAATGCACTCGCGACCACTGTTGGATTGTCATCCTTCAGCATTCTATTGAGTCGATCGATCAGATCCGATCTTTCAATGAGATGTTTGTCATGATCATAGACTTTGGCTACCGTGATGGCTGCAGTTTTTCGTACATAAGGATCTTGATCTGCCATTAACTTCTTCAATGGGCTAATTGTGCCTTCGACGAATTCCCTCACATGAATGTATGAAACCGTCCTCAAGGCCAATGCGCGGACCAAGGGGTTCGGGTCCTGCATATCCTACTCAAGTCAGACAGCCCCGCAATCGGTATGATGGATAACTTACTTCTTGTAAGACTGGTAGGGCCCTCAAAGCGATGTCTGGTTTCATCCGGGCGTAGTGTTGAAGATACAAGAAACACCTGTTCGAAAATTTAGCCCCGTGTTTTGATTTAAAGCAGCTCACACACGCACATTTTCTTGATTTCAAGGACGGGGATCTCCATACAAGCTACAATATCCGGAAACAAGGCGACCATGTCGTTGTTGCTCATTGTCATATTGGCAACAATCTTCTTGAGAGCATTCTTCTTGGTGGTATGATTCTTTTCTTTTTTTCCCGGATTGGCAAGCTCTTGCCGTAATTCCGCAACCTTTCCCTGTGTCGGGGCTGTGAGCTATCAATTCTGGACAGTCTGCAAGACCTGTTGATGCAAAGATCTTAGGAGTGCTGTAGGCTTCGCCAGATCCGCATCTGCAGCGCGTCTTTCCAAGAAAAAGTTACACCAGGGCCGTCCTCGCCGTCATTCAGTACATACATGAAACTGGCGAACGACCGAGACAAAGACGCAGTCTCCGTTTCTGATCTGGAAGCAGGGACCAAAGCTCAAAAGCGTGGTATTTGAAGCGGAGACTTCCGATAACCATTAAGTGAGGGACTTGAATCCAAAATCTGACTCACCCTTGCAAAGAGCTTTGCGTCTCCATGGCCGGACGACATTCTGAATCTTCGAGTTGTCCTCTGGGCATACCAATACGATCCCGGTAATGTTGCTTCCGGCCTCCACGTTGGCGATTTTGTTCTTGGGCTCAATGGGGATCAGCACCCATTCATGGCACTGGGACAATATTTAATCGAGAAAAAAGTAAACCCGTGAGCAATGTCAACGGCCTCCACGATGCTCAGCTGATAATTGTCCCATCTGGTTTATTCGAAGTCTGCTCACGCCAAGCTTTTTCGGAAGCGGAGTTTTTCCGCTCCGAGGCGGCTGCGGTTGGAGTCCCATGTCAAACGTTGAGTGGATGATCAGCCTCTTCAAGACAACTCCTCGTAATCGACAAGTCAAGTCAAGACAAGATGAGTCCACCGCAGCCCAAATGGGTCGTCGATCTTAACAACGGCTTTCCCTCCAAACCTAAAAATGTCGGTGCCGTCCCAGATCCTCCAGGCTTTGCGGCCTCGAAGTCTGTCAGTGGAAAGCAGGTTAGTGGAAATGCGGCCAGCATCGACATCTATTGACCCCGAAGTAGAAGGCACAAGGCTCTGGAAGAAAGGCTCCGACACCAGAGGAAACAGAAACCCTGAAATTGAAAAAGGCTTGGGAAGTCGCGCTTGCGCCAGCAAAGCAGCTCCCCATGCAAGCCATCATGGGATACATGTCTGGCAACTCATTACAAATATTCTCGATTATGATGGTCTTTATGCTGTGAGCGAAATGTCTGCCAATGTGCACGTTTCTGTGCTAACATGGCAATCTAGTTTCAAAAATCCTATCCAAGCCATTTCGCAGACAAATATGGCATTCTCAAAATTCGAAAGCGCCGGCAATCGCTCTCAAATACTTGGAGTCAAGGCAGTTTACGTTCTGATGCAATGTCTCCTACTCGGACTGGGCATTTACAAAGTGAATAGTATGGGCTTGTTACCTACAACAAGGAGCGACTGGCTGGCATGGGAGTCGGAAAGACAACCTCTGGAGAGAGCATACTTTGCCTTTGGTCGGTGACCTTCAACTACAAGAGGTGGCGTTGATGGTGCCTGTTTTCTTCATGACCCGCAACAGTCTCGCTCTCAATTTTCAAACGGTGATGATCATTCTCCCAGGGTATAAAAGCCATAGTTGGCAATCCTGATCTCTCTCAACCACTCTGGCCTCTACCCGTTTCCACTCACACTCGAACCTCGAGCTCCAATAGAATACAGGATCTTGAAGGCGTTGCCGTTCCAAAGGCCATTACACCATCGCAGGCGGTCTCAAGCTCAATCCGCAATCAAACCTCACGGCTATCCGTGTGTTTTGTCTGGGTTAGCAGTTGCCAGGGCATATTTCTACCTTAGGATCTCGCTCGACCACATTAGGAGATTGGCTCCTGGTGATGTGGATGATATGCTTCTGACATGCAATCATACCGCAGAAAAGCGGATCTTTCGCGGTTGGTGCCCTTCAATTACCCCTTGTTGTTGTTCATTCATACCAGGGGGCTGTGGGAATTGATCGCTCGTCTTCTCCACAACAGAGACGGGACCAGTGTCATTGTTGACTTTGAGTTCTCCACGCTCGAGCGCAAGCGCATGTAATCTTTCGGCCGTCTCTTCATCATCTGCTTTGGAAATGGACAGCATCTGCAATGGGTCAACCAATCAAATCATGACAGCAAACAATAAAGATAGATTCAAGCATTGGACAGAGGAAAGCGAGACGATGCCAAAGACGAAGACCTTACCTTGAAAGAGTCAACGAAATTATTTGTTCCAACTTCATCAAGCAATTTGATGTCGAGTGTCTGTCCTTCTCGAAGCCAAGCTGGTTCCGTTCCAAGTTGAGCTCGAACAAAACTGGTCCTCTCTTGACAAGCGGTGGAGCACCACTTCTCCAGTTCAGCCTTATCAACGAGTTTGAAATCCCGACCTCCTTTCTTGTTCCAGACTTTCTTGCCGTTGTGTACCAATTTTTGATTTGGCCTTGGACAAAGAGCGTAGCCACATCGATTGTCTACATTTCGTTCGTATATCAGATCATCCAGGTCCGATGCTTGGAACAGCCCTAAGCACTGTTTGAAGAAAGCAGCGTCGGAAGGTTGTGGATGTGCTGGGTTAGCGTCTGGTCTCGATGGCAAATCAAAGGCTTCAACTACGAAGTCGGCGATTCGACTCTGTAATTCCTTTCTCTCTTCGATCTCCTTAGCATGGCGAAGGGCTGTTGTACGGATACGATTTTCAGAGTCGGTTTTGGTGGTCTCTCTTGCCATTGCTTTACCACTCGGTATCACCCCAACGTTAGACAGTCTGAGGTCGCGGACAAAAAGAAGTAACAGGCCAGATTCGATCGCAATATGTCGCGCAATATAGTTCTTGACAAGGAATGGCGGCAAATGGCGGGAAATATCTAGCCCGAAGGCTGCCTGACAAGTAACCGGCCTTGATCTCTGCCCCACGTCGAAAACAGGCGACGGGCCACATTCTATACCTATGCCCTCTGCACCACAACCAGTTCTGACCAGCTTGTACCTCTGCCTTTGAATCTACCCCCCAGTAAACACTCTCGTCATATGTTCAGGTGATCAGGCGTCTTACATTTCCCTCACCCTTGGCACAGACCTTGAGCAACTTGAAGGTGGCGCAGTTTGCCTGCGTCACCGTTTTCTGGTCGAGTAAGATTATTGAGACTCCAACCCACAGCACCGCTACCACCTAGATTCTGCAGACCAAGAACCTACCCTTCCCAACAAGATGCCTACAGTACCATTCAAGGTCAAAGCGGTCTTCGAATACAAGTCGGACGAGCCGGATGATTTGAATTTCGAAAATGGACAGATAATCACCGTTACCGATGAGGAGGACGCAGACTGGTACACCGGAGAATACGTGAATGCTTCTGGAGAAAAGCTGGAGGGGATTTTCCCCCGGAATTTTGTCGAGAAATATGAGCCGGCCATTCCTTCACGGCCAGCAAGAGCTCCAAAGCGTGCACCCGTCCCTGATGCCGCAGAATCTGTCCCAGAACCTCCGGCACCACCACCAGTCCCTCACCCAGCCGAGCTTGCTGAGACATTGCAGGAAGAGGAGAGAGAGCTTCCCAGGGAGGCCGCGCAACCGATTAAAGAAGAACCTGTAGTGTCGCCACCAGTGACAATGCCTTCCGCTCCTGATGCACCAGCGTTACTATCGAGGTCTCCTCCCCCACCATCGGCGTCAAAGGCTCCTCCTGTGGCGGAGAAACCAACATCGAGTTCCTTTAAGGACCGGATCGCTGCTTTCAATAAACCTGCTGCGGCACCAGTCGCGCCTTACAAGCCAGGAGGCAATACCAGCTCTGGGTTTATCAAGAAACCATTCGTCGCACCTCCACCTAGCAGGAACGCCTATGTCCCACCGCCTCGCGAGCCCCCTATCCAAAAACCATACAGACGTGAGGAAGATTCCAGTTTCAATGAGCCGGAGCCGAGAGAGGCTCCTGCAACAGATTCTCTTCCACAAGAGACTGAAGCGAATGATCCGCCGAAGCCTCAAAGTCTGAAAGACAGAATAGCATTGCTGCAGAAACAACAATTGGAACAAGCCGCACGTAATGCCGAGAAGAAAGACAAGCCAAAGAAGCCACCGAAGAAACGAATGGAGCTTTCTGAAGATGTTGAGCAAGTCCCCGCGGCAGAGCCAGCTCTGGCCCAAATACACACCAATGAGACGGTAGGTCGTCCATCTGGTGATATGGCCGAGGAGGAAGATGACATTGCTCGTGGGCCTCCACCGCGCCGCTTGTCTGGTCTCGCTATCGTCACGCCGCAGCCTCAACCGTCACGCGAACTGGTGAGCGATACGAACGACGCCGATGATTCTGGTGCCGGAGATGACGAGGACGCTCATGAGACATCTACTGAGGAAGAGAGACCGAAGTCTAAAGGCATTGATCAGCCAAGCCCCGAAGCTCCCAGGAAGAAATCGGCTGAGGATGATCGGCGAGCGGAGGCCGAAGATGAAGACGATGAAGAGGAAGAGGAAGAGGACCCAGAAATTCGTCGGAGAAGAGAACTGCGGGATAGGATGGCCAAGATGAGTGGAGGCATGGGAATGATGGGCATGTTTGGACCACCGGGAGGGATGGGTTTTCCTGGAGCAGCAAGGAAGCACAAACCTGCGGATACCAGTCGCCAGACCTCGGAGGACCATGAACAGGAACAATCTCAAGAAAGAGCGGCACCAGTGCGCGTTATAGCATTGCCCGGCATGTCTATTGCGACTCCGAAGCGACAAGAGGAACCGGAACCCGCTGAAGAGAGTGATGAGGAACAGACAGCACGGCCTACACCTCAAGAATCCGCGGTACAAGCCGAGACTGATGACTACATCTCCCGGCCGCCACAGCGACGCTCCACAGATCGTTCTGTCCCTCCACCTCTGCAGGGTAAGTTCAAGGAACTAGAATGAGGAAAAAGGATTGTACTGACGATATAGCTCGACCACCTCCTCCGGCACCCCCTCGCGAAGACCGAGCCGTTCCACCACCACCTCAGTCTCCTACCTGTACGTAGCTATTCTCTCATGCTTTTGGGCCCCTCACTTAACTCTCACAGCGCGCCCTGTGCCGCCTCCAATTCCGACAATGCCTCCGGCTTCGGAGTTGAAACCGGATCAGGAAGATGATTATGAGGACGAGGGCCCTGAAGACGATGTTCCGGTCAAGTCACCAATTGCAGAACCCGCGACCAGCCCTCTTGGAGTTCCTCCCGCCCCTCCCATCAGAATTGCCGAGCAGCCGAAGTTGGATACATCTGAAAACGCCGTATCTCCCGCTGCTGCTGATAAACGCGCCAGCCGTCCTCCTCCGCCGATCCCTATGAGTCCATCAGCCGCTTCTCCTCAGACAAGAGCTCCCCCCCCTCCTCCGCCAGGCCTTCCGCCCACTCGACGCTCAACGAGCGATTCTCGGGGGTTCGGGACTGTTCAATCTCCCCGGGCTGATGGAAGCGATGACGAAGAAGTGACAGAATACGACGGAGATTACGACACTGACATCGCTTCTAGTGCAAAGCACAAGGATGCTCTGAAATCTCATAATCGAGATTCCAGTTTTGACGAGGGAATGCTCACAGATGATGCGATGAAGCCTCCCAAGAGTCCACCGGCGAGGGCCGTACCTCCATTGCCCCCGGTTGCTGCACCACGAGATATCCCGCCTCCACCACCTCCTCAATCTGCTCCAAAGCCGAGGAAGTCGATGGATGCTCCTCGTGCAGCTCCTCCTCCTATCCCACCCCCTAAAGTGGCTGAAGATGATGAATATGACCCATACCGATATTCTGGCCCCCAACACAGCACATCACTTCATCCTAGCAAGGCGCCATACTCTACCATGTTGCAATCCCCGAAAGAGGAGAGGGAAGAAGATGATATGTATGGTGTAACTCCCCAGCAAACTCATATTCCACCTCTGCCTGCCGAAAGAAGTGCTCCTCCGCCGCCGCCGCCAACTGAGAGGGTGGATTACACGCCACCTCCAACCTTTGCTCCCCCACCACCTACAGTTTCTCCACGCCAATCTCTTGACGTGAAGAGATCCGGCACTGTTTCTCGACGTTCAATGGACCATTCTCGGACGAGTGGCGAACAGGGGTATATTGCTCACGATATCGACCTAGGAAGAGACTCGATGTGGTGGACCCAGGAAAACGTACCGCCTCCGTCATTGTACGGGCGACCTGACGTCCTTTATGAGATGGAGACCTCTTCCTCAACAAAACGAAGAGGAAAGACAATGGTTTCAAGGGACATCTACGTCCTGTACATGGATTATTCTCAGACGACTATCAATGCCAGCTTTGATGCGTCTGATCCGTCTCACGTCACATTAGAGCAGCATCACCAGCGTCCGCCAGCGGCACCTAGACGCGACCAACTCGAAAACGCTTCGGGACAGTTTGGTGCACAGATGGCCAGGACCGCCAGCAGCCTCGCGGGCACCACGGTTGGCGATGGATCGGCTCGAGCACTCGTTCTGGGGCTGCTGAAGCAACATTCCACAGCTTTATTACCGGTTGGGACAAGAGCTTATGGCGCTCTCGTCTATGCCAACCTGGGCAATGCGTCGACCCAACAATTCGACGAAATTCGCCCAGGAGATATTGTCACTTTCCGCAACGCAAAGTTCTCAGGCCACAAGGGGGGCTTGCATGCGAAATACAGTGTGGATGTTGGTAAACCAGAGCACGTGGCAGTCGTGATAGACTGGGATGGGACGAAGAAGAAGATCCATGCATGGGAGCAAGGCCGGGAACTCGAGAAGGGGAAGAAGCCCAAAGTCAAGGAAGAGAGTTTCAAGGTTGGTGATTTAAAGAGTGGAGAGGTCATGGTGTGGAGAGTCATGCCGAGAACTTGGGTGGGCTGGGATACTGGCAAGTCTTGACTGGAGCGCGTGCTGAGAGCTTGATCGTCCAGAGTGAGGGCAGGTCGAATGAGCTGGCTGTTTTGTGAGTGGAATGATTCACGATAGGAAATAAAATCAAGACACGACTCCGGATACTCATTATGAATGGTTTTTGACACGGTAAAGCAGATATAGTCGGTGTAGTTAGTTCATAGGATGCGTGCAAGGTGGCTACAAGGCTGGGTGAGCACGGAGTCTCGGCCGAATTGGCCCCCTTCTTAGGCTCCTTGGCGAATCCCGGTCATCATAGCATCCCTCGGTGCCGCTTTGCCACTGCCACTACCGTTGAGACCAAAGAACATCAACTTGGTCAGCACTCCACCACGTCTTTCTCCTTGTTCCTCAACCTCTACTGCGTTTACATACCCTGAGCCTCCGGTCCTCTGCGCCGACAATACCTGTGTGTTAATCAAAGCTCGAACACGACGGCGATCGCGTCGTTTCGTCTCACGAGATTCTTCTAATCATGTCTTCTTCCGTCGATGAAGAAGCCACCATCTCCATTCCCAGTCTCGCCTTCGTCGCCGTGCTGGGCTACTTCATCTACCGCTACTTTTTCTCCTCTCCAAGATCTAGCGCGACCGCTGGTCAAACATCATCGTCTCGAAACAATGGTCTCCGGTTTACGCCCGCGCAGGTCGATCAGATAGCGCAGATGTTTCCGCAACTCAATCGTCGAGATATCATGTGGGATTTGCATCGGAATAGGGGCAGTGTGCAGGCAACCACCGAAAGAGTGCTGATGGGACGAGGTCTTGATCCTGTGAGCTACTATCCATCTCCGAGATTTGGCTTTGAATGGATGTTGATATGGATATGACAGGCACCACCTTCTTTTCAACCGCCGACTTCATTTCTGACTGCCTCTGCTGAATCAACGATGTCGAGCGCATCTACAACCTCGACAAAGCCCCCGCCTCCGGATTTAATCACACGATACAATCTGCAAGCCCGGATCAATTCGAAAGGGAAAGAGAAGGAGGAAGAATCGCCGCCACCGGGATGGGCCAGCAGCAAAGATGCCCGCCAAAAGATGCTGCAAAGAAGGAGAGACGAGATGATTCTGGCAGCACGGAGGAAACTGCAGGAAATGGAGGCAGAAAATGAAGCTCCTCCACCGTCGTGACTGATTTCGTGTTTCGAGGGGGTCTTTCGAGGCATAAAACACTGGGCCATTGTCGGTGTGGGAGTGGATGAGTTCGCGGTCCTTGCATGGGTTCAATGAACATATATTGTTATGCGTTATGAGAGGCCTTTTCATGTCATTTCGTCGTCTCTGTCATTATCATCATCGCCATCATTGTTGTATCGCCGGTTCTCTCTTTCTTCTTCTTCCCGCTCTCGTCTCCCTTGTTCTCTGCTGGCGTCGATCTTTCTCAGTCCATCCATCACACCAGTCACGAAGCCTCTGGATTCGGATATTTCCATGGCACCAACGCCATCCAAGCGCACGCCTTGCCCATCTCCCGTCAAGGGCTCTACCTCTTTGCGCATCTTGGCCAGCCGAACTTCTCGCAAATCTCTCAACAACTGTCGTACTCTGTCGGGCTCCGGAACATCGTCGCTCGCTGATTCCAATAGCATCTCTGAGATCTCAAACCAGTGGTACGGTAATGCCGTGGGAAAGGCGTTTGCTGTACAAGAGTCTACGAAAGGTGACGAAGTGTAGAATGACATTCCCATATGGTCTGTCTGTCTCGTAGGGGGGATCTGTGGAGGAGGAGAGAACGAATCTTGAAAGTGTTTGGTCTCAAGGTCAAGTATCTCTTCCAGACTTTCGGCATAAAGCCAGGGTGGAGGCATGATATTGGCGCGTCGTTGCCGTTTCAGCAAGATCGCCAGCCACAGCGGCAGAGTCGATCGTTGCGGGGGAATTAGAGGACGTGTGGGACCCTGGTCATGAATATTGTCGCTCGTCAATGTTTATTCTACCCTGATTCTGGAGTCGGGAAATATAAAGATCTGCCTCGCACCTCAAGTGTCGCCGAGGTAGTGGGATAGACTTACGCCCAGTAAGTCGAGACGGTCGAGGCGCTGGCGCGGGATTACGGTCACCTGTTCCATTTCACAGAGGAAGGCCACTTCGGCAGGGAGGAGGCCCCGAGGATGAGGGAACGCCATTGTCTTTACAGCGCAGTGGAACCTGTTCTAAGTGGCATAGGAACCATCAATCGAATTCATTGAACCTCGCCGCGTCGACGCAGTTTGAGGTTTCTATGTTTCGCCCTAGAAGCGCACTTTACCATTTTGGGATTGCCCGTCCACTTCTCGCAACCTCTGGGTTCTGTTTCACTCTGCTCAACATACATACAACATTATATCTGGCCTATTCGCTGTCCTCGCCATGTCATACTTTGTCAGCCCAGAGTTCCTCCGAGTCGTTCTCCTGGGCTTCATCACCAGCTTACACATGACATGGCGACGGCTCGTCAATCGCCTCGTTCCCGTCCCTTACCTCGATGAAGTCTTCCATGTCCCTCAAGCTCAAGCATATTGGTTTGGGAGATGGTCACAATGGGATCCCAAAATCACCACCCCACCCGGTCTCTATGCCTTTTCGTACATTGTCAACTCGGTCCGAGACCTTTTCACTCTAGATTTCAAACCCTCGGTCAATGAGTGGAGATTCACCAATGTCCTGTTACTGTACATGTTACTCGTTGCATTATACATTTTAACGGCCGTAAGCAGGAAGACTGTCAATCACGAAAGTGTTCTTCAGCGGGAGTTCAGCATCATTTCATTTCCATTACTCTTCTTCTTTTCCGGCTTGTATTACACCGACTTGTTCAGCGTCTTTACTGTCGTCCTGGCCCAAATCCTCTGGTCTGCTGGGACGTCCGCCGAGGGAGGCAGAAAGATTTTGTATCAGTTCCTTCATCTTGCGACTGGCTTGATTTCCCTTGTGAGCAGACAGACGAACATCTTCTGGGTAGCAGTGTATATGGGAGGACTACAGATTGTGGACAGTGTCAAACGCGAGGTTGGGGCCCACAAAGTTCATGATCCTCCTATTGCTGAAGCATACTTTGAAGGTTAGAATAATGTGTTTTTGTCTCTCTGGTTCTCCCCCCTCTCTCTGTCTCCCTCAACTCATCGAATCAGTTCTCTAACCTCGATTCAGATTTTCCCATCACAAGCATTTCCCTCGCCCAATCCGGCTTGCCTATGATTCCTCAACTCCTTTTCGACCTCTGGCCACAACTATCCCTACTCATCTCCTTCACCGCTTTCGTCGTCTGGAATCGAGGCATTGTCCTTGGTGATAGAGACAACCACATCGTCACCCTTCATCTGCCGCAAATGCTCTACATCTGGCCGGTGGTGGTCTTCTTCTCCTGGCCTGTCCTCCTCCCTCAATTTTCCCATCTTTCTACCCTCCGCCGACGTCTACCGAGGTTGACGACGACAATTACCTTCCTCATCCTCATGATCATCACCATTCACCTCAACACCATCGTCCACCCCTTCACTCTCGCCGACAACCGTCACTACACATTCTACGTATTCCGCATCCTCAGACAACACTGGCTCGTCAAGTACACCGCCGTGCCCATCTACTTCGTCTGCGCATGTCTAGTCCTTGGAGCGCTTGGCGGAGCAACGGGACCCGACCCGACGTCCAAGTCAATCCGGATTCTAAACGGAGACGACACTGTGTGCGTGAGCTTTGTCCTCGTCTGGCTCATTGCGACTTCGCTGTCACTGGTCACCGCACCACTCGTCGAACCTCGATACTTCATCATTCCCTGGCTAATGTGGCGCTTAGCTGTCCCTGAATATATGCCGAAATCCGAAGCGCAACTCAAGGTCATTGAATTGGATAAGAAAACCTCCGCTTCTCATGACTCTTCGGCATCACAACCGACCTCCACCCTGCAGTCGATATTACGAATAGCGGCTTCGACATCCCCGTACCTCGAATTACTCTGGTACGTTCTCATCAATGTGGTGACATGCTATGTTTTCCTGTACAAAGGCTTCGAGTGGCCTCAGGAGCCGGGCTTGGTTCAAAGATTCATGTGGTAGATTTTTTTTCCCCTTCCTCCTGCTCAGGTACTTTGGCTTCGAAACTTTCTGAGAACGATGTCTCTCCCCTGGGCAAACGACTTACTTAGATAGTTTTAACCTTTACGAATATTCTCACGGAGGCCTTTTTCTTATCTCATATCTGCCACTCTCCAGCTATAATACGCCCTACAATTTTTTATTCCCCGACGAAGAGTTCGTGTTCATTTTCTTCTCCCAGGTTTGTCGATAGTTGCCGCGACCAACGTCCTCAGTTCCGAGCCTTCTCCTTTCTTCCACGGCTTCGCCAACCGCATCTCTGGGCCCTTTCTCACATTAGAGTGAGCACCGTCCACTCATGCTACTTCACCTCTCATCCTTGGATTAGACATTGACTACACTACCCAGCCTCATTACAGCGGCGACTTCATCATCAATCAACGGTCCGTCATACTCCTTCCGACCCCGTATGTAATACCAGACGATGCTGAAGATGATCACTCCGCTTGTCACAACGACAGAGTAATTCATCGTCTCGGCATCCACAGGCGTCACGGGAGGCCAGACACTCCAGAATATCACAAAGATCATATACACGCAGGCGTACGCGTTGTTGATCGTGCCGAGGACACCGGGGATGTGGAAAGGTCCCCATATCAGTGAGGCTTGGGCGACGGAGGCACGGCGGTCCGACGGCGGTATTGGTTCAGGTTTGTCGTTGAAGATGCCATTGTCGGGAGCAGGCGGGTTTGAATCGCCATTGGACGGCGAATCCAGCTTCTTGGCTTGCTCGGAACTACTGTTCCCATTTTCCTCAGCGATGGGGACCCCTGGTGTATCCTGCTCATGTGGCATCATGTGGCCTTTGATCCGATGATACAGCAAAAACGCGGCTGGAAGGAAGTACGAGCAGTAAAAACCGGTGATAGTCAAGGATATGACGTCGTTGAAGGCCGTATAGCTGCCAATATAGATGAGCGTCAAAAGGGCGGCAAACGTGGTTACAACGGCGACGCCAACGACCGGGATCCGACGCCGGCGTGAGACATGGCTGATGACTTTGCTGAACGGTGTGCCTTTGTCACGCGCGAATGACCATGTCATCCTGCTCGCGGTGGTGGTGATGCCGGTCGCACAGGCCCAGGTTAAGGCCAGGACTATGGCTCCCATGACTGTCGCGCCGGAGACGGACTGCACGCTGTCTATTGGGGCTACGTTAGAGGCGTGTGACAAGAGACGACACCTAAACGGGTACGTTCAAACGCACAAAGACTTACTGTAGAAGATTTGAATGAACGGGTATCCAGTGGCCGTTTCCAGGACAGCATCCACGTCACCTAGGCAAAACAGAATGGTTAACATCATGGCGAATCCCACCAACCCGTTAATGATCATGCTGGCACAGATGGCGCGAGGTATATTTAAAGCTGCACTGGCGACTTCTTCAGCCATGTGAACGGAGGCATCCGCGCCCACAAAGGTCGCGACGTTGCCGAGGAAACCCACACAATACGATAGTCCTTGTGTCGGCCACCCGCCTTCGTTTAAGCTTGTGGCGAAGACGAAATGGGCCGAGTTGTGAGGGGCGTACACCCAGAGAACTGCCATGATGGCGATGAAGCCCGCGATGTGGAAGACGATGATGAAGATCTCAAATTTGGGAAGCGCGCCTGGTATAACGACGTTGATGAAGATGGCAACAGCGATGACCAGCCACGCAAGCAGGGTGCCATGCCATTGTTTCGGGTCGTAGTCGGGGTAGTCGAGAATGATCAGGCCCTGGATGATTGTGCCGGCGAAGATAGTCTCGGTCGCAACCGTGGCAATCCATGCGAGCGACGTCAACCATCCAATGATGTAGCTGGAAAACACCTTCCATCGTGGTGGGGCCAGCATGTAGACCCAATAGTATTGGCCTCCTGCAATCGGGGCCATGGACGCAAGTTCTGAGATAACGGTGTACACCGACAGAGTCGACGACCAAGCTATGATGAAGCCATACACCAAGCCTGCTGGACCGCCATTGTCGAAGCCCTGGCTAAAGAGCGCCAATACTGTCTCCCAGGTGATCAATTCGCAGACGGCAAAGCCAAAGAGGGACCAAAACCCGAAACGTCGCTTGAGGACTTGTTTCTTACCCAGGAGGGCTAATGTGTTGCGGTCGGTATCGTCTATGGCTGGCGACATGGCGTTTTGGGGGCGGCCGTTCAGGGAGGTCAGAAAGAAAAAGGCAAGGATAAAATATTTCGAGAAGCTGTCGTGTCCTTCTCGTCTCACAAACTGACTTTACCCAAGACGGGTAGAATTTCCTTTTGATCGGGGTGTACGCTGGGTCCTATGGACAAGCTGACAAAGGAGAGGAAGAAGAATGGACGAAAAGATAGTGTTTAGACAAGAGTGGGCAAAATATGGCCGAGCAGGGGAGGTCACGCGGAGGTGGCAAGATGGGAAAGGAATACCACCAGCTCCCCTCGAGATAGCCATCACAGTTAGCCGCAGCCGGTCGAACATGGGAGGTCAGCACGAGTTGATCGGTACTAGGTGCTGGGACGAAAACTTGAGGGCGTAACCACGTAAAAGCGGGCAATAATCCGAGGTGCGTGCAAGAAGCTTTTGCCGAGGCGAGCCACAGCCCGTCCCATTTCAACCTTAAAAAGCTTGCCAGAGCTTGTCCTGAATGGGACCTTCTTCTCCGCGGTGAACGATGTACATCAGCTTGGTGTCCGAGGCCAATAACCAGATGAGAGGATTTCGCGAGAATCCACGGATAATACGAGGCCACTCGATTCTGCACTCAGCAGAGGAGTTTCGGACCGCTCCACTGGGGCTGACAAAGGGTGTCCTGTGTGCCTTCTGAAGGTGATACGGCAACGAACATCTCCTCTAGGGATATTGGATGCCAACATGTGTAAGTCTTCAGCTTTTCTAGATGATACTCGGGTGCCCCAGTGGGGTGTTGAAGGATAAGTCATTGCGTGGTAGGCGTTTCCTAAAGCCAGCAGGAATATGGCTTTCGAATCTTCTTCCTTTCAACTACCACTCAAGGCTGCAGCATATCAATTCCTGGAGCCTGATGAGCTGCTACCACTGGCTGCCTCTGTTCGTAAATCGTATATTTTCTTGGCAGCAATGTCAATAGTGTGGCTGGTGTAGTGATCAGCCACACAATAACTAACGAGGCGCAGTCAGCTTTCAAAGTGGGGGGAGCTGGCGATGTCCAAGAAACCTTCCTTTTAAGGGTGACGTATTGCCTCACCATCGATCGCCTCTCAGGCCATTGCGTCTCGGTTTCTTTAAAAGACCTTCAAGGCCCCAACTCGTGAAAAATTCCTTTTCTCTCGATACACCCTGCTCCATTCATCGTTTCCCGAAAATAGTCTTTTCACCCTACAACTCCGGAATCACTACAATCAACATGTCGACCACCGTTCATGTCAAGGGCATCTCGCATGAGACGACTGAAAAGGAGGTTAGGGACTTCTTCAGCTTTTGGTAACTACGAACCACTGTCAGCAGTCTCGATACTCCACTGACTCTTTCTAAAGCGGCAAGATCAACTCCATTTCTGTTACTCCAGAGTCGGATGCTGCAGATGCCCCAAGGTCTGCCACTGTAACTTTCGAGAAGGAGACGTAAGTCTACACCGTTTCCGTGGCCCCAAATTTATCGAGTGTGTGAGTCTGACCATGAGCCAGCGCGGCCAAAACTGCCCTCCTTCTCGACAACACTCAGCTGGGAAAGTCCCAAGTCCACGTTTCCACCGCGAGCACCATTGACGATGTCGCATCCAAAGCAGGGGCCGCTGTTGCATCTGCCACCGGGGACGACCATATTGCTCAAGAAGACAAGCCTCGGTCAAGGATTGTCGCCGAATATCTCGCTCACGGTTACACTCTCTCAGACCATGTTATCTCCAAAGCCATCGTATTGGACAACAAGCACGGTTTCAGCACGAGATTTACCAATGCGTTAGCAAGCTTTGATAATAAATACAAGGCCACCGACACAGCCAAATCCATGGACAGTAAATACGGTGTCACAGACAAGGCTATGAGCGCCTGGGGTGGGTTGAATACTTACTTTGAGAAGGCTCTGGGGACACCTACTGGTCAAAGAGTCAGGCGGTTCTATCTCCAAGGCGACAAGCAAGTCAGAGATGTCCACAACGAAGCCAGACGACTCGCAGACCTCAAGGCAGGAAAGAAGCACGAAGCTGAACCGGTCCCTGGAACCGACAAGACCGTTTGCAAGTGTGGTGGCTCCGAAGGCGTTTGCGGTTGTGCCCCAGGCCATTGCAGCTGTGCCAACTGTGCCAAAAGCGATACCGGTGCCAATCAACCAGAACCAGTCCAAGGCACCGACAAGACAGTGTGCAAGTGTGGTGGTTCCGAACCATCATGTCCCTGCCCGCCAGGTCATTGCGCTTGTGCCAATTGTGCAAAGAGCAGCGCCGCAGCAACAACCGAAGCCAAGGAGGCGGCTCAGGCCAGCGGGCAACAATTGCCAGCTGGTAGTGTCTGAGTGGGACGATTTGCATTATTTGGTGGTTGATTCTCATTGAGATGGGACTATCAAAGGAGGAAATGGCGCTTGATTTGGCCTTTCTACCTATTCCGATCATGACGAGGCGGGTGGTTTCGAAAAGCTTGCTAGATTAGCTTTTTCCAATGAACGACTGTTTTGAGCTGTTCACTTTATCAGACGCTCTGCGAAGCCCCTTCCTTCCCTTTCACAAAATGTGCAATCCATTGAATTTTTCCGTACGATCCTCGATGACAGCAAACAACACCAATCCCGCAGCGAGATTTTCTCCTATTGAGGTCAGACTTTCGCTTTTCTGCGACAGAAGGCTCTCGACTTCGGTATTATTGAAGCTAATTACACACGTCTCCTGACCCTGTATTTGGACCCAATCGCCGAAGTGGACACATAGTTTGCAGAAAGATGAATGCCCTGGTATGCCACGAGAAATATCCTATCGGTGCTGAGGTCGAGTGAGAGCAATTACCATGGTAAATGTTTGGGAGACTGGGGAAGAGCAAGCTTCTTCTTCATCATCAGATGGCCCATCTTGTAGGAAGCGAATGCCAATGTGCATGCCAAACGGTTGTTTTCGGTTCGTGACAATTTCACCGCGGGGGCCAGGTACGTTCTGTGCCAATAGTGGAGTGCGACAGGACGCTGTTCCCAGCCGCCAAACTTGGACCGCCAGAACCCACCTCTTACTAATCGGTATATCTGTAGGTACATCCCAGCTGCATCTGCTCTTATTCACTAACTGGTAATGGACAAACTAAATACCAAGGGTAGCAACAGCAATCCTGGCAGAGCTCCTCGGGTCCCTGGGCACCAAAAAACTTCGGCCTTTTTGCCTTTGGCTGCGCCCCCAATGAACACCCGAACCAACCCAATACCACCCAGATTTTTTTCTCCTTCGCCATCTTTGATGACTCTTGTCTTCACCGACAACCCTTATATCGCATCATCGCAGTCTTCCCAGACAATCGCTTTCTTTTCCTTCTGTCGATCTTATCTCATCGCACTTCACCAGAGTATGAACAAGCCCTCAACCATCTCCGCGGACCGCTTCTGTGAGGCCTGCGACGAGCCTGGATAACTGGGCCGATCGTGAGCACCAGGCAAGGTGGAAGCTACACACACACACACACCAAAAAAGAGCGCACTGAATTAAGAAACAATTTATTTTCAAACATCAACCCAAAAAGTACGTGTTTTGCTGTATGCGTGATAGACCTTCTCCACGGCTAAACATATCGCAGCATCCCGAAAAATCCTTCAAGATGTGCTTCGAGCGCCTGATCAGCCTGAAGTGCCGCCACTACGAATCATACCAGTTGGACAAGGAAGGCTGCAAATTTCAGGCTGGCCGCAGGTGCCCAAATTATGTTCAATTAAAGATCCGCGAAGACAAGAACCGAAGCTGTCCCAACTGCAAGGCACAAGGATTGGCCACGTTCGGTGTTGCCAGTCCCAGTCTTAGATGGAGATAACGGCACACCACCAGTCGCAAAGATAATTGGTACAAATCTAGGGGTGGATAGTGGAGGAAAGATGATAGATGGGTACCCATGTGGTTCTTCTTCGGTTTGAATCTGTGTAGCTTGGAACCTTTGGGGCGGGAATAGACATCTGTATGGCCACACAACAAGACGGTGGAGATTTCACGCGCTTGTCAATTGGAGACAACCTGCACATCAAAGAAATTGCATTCATTTTTTTTTTTTTTTTCTTCTTCCGCAAGTATCGTCAAGCCGATCTCATGTCAACTGCGACATGGATTTCGACATCTCTTGCCAAGGAAGGATCTCAGGGCCCGTGATATGGTTCGATGGATTCCCATTCTTTCGTAACAACCAGACGTCATAAGCATGTAAGTGAAGGTGGGATGTCTGACTATGAGGTCAGGGTTGCATCTTTCTCGTCTCATATTATCTTTGAACAATCTTTGAACATCCTCTATTTCCATTGCTCGCCTTGTTTTCTTTCTGTCTCTCCCGAACGACTCGAACGACCCGACTTGATGTGAGTCCTACCTGGCCGATATGGACTAATATTTGTTTCTCACACTACCTCCAGACCCTCTGAGACCCGAACTCTGCTCTGCCATGTCCGCACCAAACCAAGGTCGTCAATCACCAGATCCCGAACGCCAAACGGGTGCTCAGCAGCAAGCTCATCCTTCCCAACCAGGCACCGGAAAGGTACGAAAACTTACTCGTGATGCTCAGGCTACAGCGATTGTGTCCAAATTCGGCCAAAATACTTCGCCGAGACATATCTCTCCGGTACTGAAGTGCTCCCACTGACGTCTTGATCAGATGGACAACTCCCAGGCAAAGAATAAAGGCAAAGAAGACCAGACTGCCAACCTCGAGAGTAACCCGGTACACATTCTTGCCGCCTCTGCCGAAGAGAAAACGAGTAAATCTCGGAAAGATGTTTGATTATACCAATTGCATAATGACGGAGGGGATAGAGAGAGATGGTATCAATGCACTACTGTGGGTTGTTGTTGTGAGAAGATGAATGGAGTCAAATCAGACATCACCTTCACGAGCGGAGGCTCATTGTTGAACCTATAACCTATTTCTGAGACTCCCCGGAACTCTTTTTCCCGAGTTCCCAACCTCCTTACTTCTCATAACAAGTTTCAAAAGATGTTCTCCGCTACGAGCTCTCAACTTGTTGGGAGCCTAAGAATCAGAATTCCTTCCAACGCAATTTCTGTGCTTCCCACCGAAAAAGTGCCTGGCACGCTACCAAAACTCCCTCGTAGAGGTCATCTATCCGCGAATCATCGACTTATTCGGGATTGGACAGATACCCCCGAATTTAGTGCCTCATTCCGATTCAACTCGACATGCAGCATGCGTGGATCTGAGAGGGTTCTCGTACCTCCCACTTCGGAGGCACTCCGGACCTAAGAATACTCTCTGTGACAACAAGGAAAACAGTCCTATCATCGCCTTATCGAGACGTCCACCGGCCGTATCCAACTAAGACTGATTCACAAGATATATTGGTCGGAAGAAGATCCCGTCAATATTTGAGAGGGCCTCCTGCGCAGGTGTCTTGCGACACCAATGATGTAATGGAAATCGAATCATGCGGGGGCGGGTCGGGCCGTGTTTTAGACCCGGTCACTAACTCAGCAACTCAGCAATGGCCACAGACTGCGCCCAAAGAACTATCGCACACCAGATCTCACTCGCCTTGCCCAGGAGTAGCAGTGTCCACGGCTGACTCAGTCATGTTTAGTCTCTTGTCTCTGTCTCTGAACGCATTATTTGTGTTCTATTTATCTCTCTCCGCATCAGTCAACGCCGCTGGTGAAAGTCCTTTGGTTGACGGTGCCTCCAAAAGAAGAGGCTACTTCAAGGGAGAGCTGATGCCCGTTAGCTGTTTGAATAGAACCATGTAAGTAGCAATATCACCATTTCACGTACGGTCACTTACGGCCGCAGCGATACCGGTGAGCATGTATGTTGATGTCCTCCTACAATCAGCTCCTAAGCCCCAATGCCACATTGCAATACCAGCGTCTCTATCCTGCTTTTGCGTACTTATACCAAACCGTCCAGATAACCGATGAGCATGGAAACCTACAATATATCCCTTTTCCCACCTGCAATGAGACGAATCAACCTCTGTCGTTCGCGTACAATACACCTCGAACCCAAACATGTACCATCGATCCGTTATCCGACGAACTGTACCATTTATTCGAATTCTTCGTCCACAGTGACGTACCTTTGACATGTCGCATTCCATCATATCCCTTATCCCAAGAAGATCCGGGAATAATCTCATCACTATCCGAGGTGGGAAGAGCGGGAGTTGATAAAGATCTTTGGACACCATTCACAATTGCTCTTCAAGGGACATTACAGTTGTCCCATCTCCACCTCTATACAAACATAAATGTCCTCTTTCACATGTCTCCCGACCCGAGTCCGTCCAAGACCTCCGCGCAATCACATCTGATTGCATCGACCGCATACTCTCTCCCCAATACCTCGTCCTCAGCGCCGGTAGAGGGTGCCAAGATTGTTCGTAATGAACCGATGGTGCTCACGTTCAATGTTGGATGGATAGATGGTGCCGTCTTACCGGGAATGGTTGGCCGCCCCGTACTTACCGTGAAAGATCACAGCCTGGGATTTTCGCTGTTGAGTTTCTTCGCCCTGGCTGCGAGCGCTGGTGTCGGAGCGATGGCAATGCTCGTGTATGAGAGACGAAAGAGCGGGAGAAGTGGCATTTACAGCAATGGAATATTGGGCGGGAATGTCGGGAATGGAATGGCAAGGAGTTCGGGTTACGGAGGATATGGCGGGTATAGCAGTAGTCTGGGTAAAAGAGATTGATTGGGGGTAGGAAGGTTTGGGATTCGACGAAATTTTGGACAGTCTCGAATATCCTTGACCATATTTTATGGTTCACCGTCTATCCCAGCAGGAGACCATCCTCTGACCCGGTCGCGACTCCGCCCACCTTCCACGCGCCGATAGCGATATCTGAGGACCTTATCAACCTGGGCACTTCGCGCGCCTCCCAGTCACCGCAAGGCTTGACAATATCCACATATCTGTCGCGTGGAATATCAAGCCCCACTGTATCCCTTGTGTCAGGAGGTGCTGAAGTGATGCATCCCCGGCGCCGGCCGACCTGATAATTTTCCATCGTTCCGTACGTGGTGCTGCAAGAGATGCGTCCATTCATTCCCCAAGAGAATTAATGCGGCAGAAGGAATGTCCCAAGCGAATCCATCTGATTTCTCAGTGTGATGGGTTGGAAAACCCAACAGATCCGCGCGGCTTCATCTCATCACCAACGAAGACCATGGGGCCAATTTTCATCACTTGCTTCATTCCTGTAAGGGACTAATTGGTATTCGCGACCATTCGGCGGCCTGTTTGGTCTCAACCGGTAGAGAAAGCAAAGAGTTCAAATTATTCTCACAAACTGGACATATCTATCTTCCCTCACAATAAGCAGGATTGAGACGAAAGAGGTCATGGTCCTCTTTTGCCTATAGGTTCTCACCTCGCTGCCACAGCCAGAATGTGTGACACAATGTTTGACTGGTCAGGCTGAAGAATATCGCCAGCAAGCCCCACCGACCTGCGCGAAATTCGAGAAACCCGAGACCAAAAATAGGCGGGCGACAATCAAGTGGGCCAACTAAAGTGGCTCCCTCCACTGTGATAAGCCACGTTTTTCTCTACCGGAGCCAAATCCGCCCCTCGAAGTATACAGTATATGACTCTACACCGCCTCCCATCAGTCTCTGCTGTCACACGACTTTGTTAATCCCTCGCCTGACAAGCGATCAAGTTCGCAAGCAATGCTGATCGACCATGAACACCTATCACCGGTCCAAGCTCGAGGCTTATCTTGTTGCCAAACTTATGAGAGCCGTATGTCTACGGCTGAGCCTCGTCTCGCGGTTAATTGCTAACACGAACTTGGTCTCAGCCTCGCCTCAATAGTACTTTTTGCTACAGCTTCTCCACTTTCAGGTTTCTCTTCGCTACCGACTTCTTGTAAGCGACCATCACTTCCTGCAGGCGCAGGTCCGGTGGCGCCATTATTTCTCCGCCCCAATTCTGTTCGTCCTTCGGCCGAGCCTTGCTCACTAGCGACAGTTTCAATATGCAAGAACAAAACGGGTGACGGGGTGGCTAGACAGCTGAGTCTGAATAGGTATATATAACTTGCGTGAGAGTCCAACCCAAGGCAACTCCAGCATCCGTCGCCCAACACCAACAGTCTTAGCAAAACACTTCAAAATCAAACAAAGCCCTTCACATCACTTCCTCGATATTCCACATCAATCAGCCAAAATGGTCACTTTCATCAGTACCATTTTTTCTCTCCTTCCTCTTATCTCCACCCTTGTCAGCGCCACACCCATCAACGCCCGTCAAACTCCCGCAGTCTCAGTAACCTTGATTGGTGCTGCCAACGCTCAATACACAATGGAAATCCCGGTCAACAGTGCCTTCACACACACCAACAACGACTTGAGCATCAGTCATATCAGTACCAGCGGTGGCGGACCTTGTGTCTTCTTCGGCGTCGATGGCGCCATCTACGTCTCCCCACCACAGGGTGGCTATGGCGATGTTGGCCCACCACAAACCATCGCCGGAGGTATCTGCGGGCCATTCCCTGGTCATGATTATGGCATGTGGTAAAAAAAAAAGGGGGGGGGGAGGGCAAGACTGTTTTGTTGAGTATGTGGGAAAATTCAATGGAGTTTCCGGACTTTGTGTTTTCAAGTACTTTTTGAACCCCTTCTGTCCTTGAATAGAACGACGACAAGACGTGATGGAGAACAATGTTTAGCATTTCGAGGAGTTTGGCTAAGCGAGTATGCATGTCACGACACTTGATGCGTTTATGGTTGAGATTTGATCCTTTTTGTTTCTCATTTGAGCATGACGCTGGATTTGAGAGTCCAAGCTTGTTATTTGGTCTTGCATATCTGGAAGAAACACGCTATCAAGACCACAATCAGAGCAGGGACAAAACTAAAACAGATATAGGAACACGTAAACGAAGAGAATTTATGATACTTCAAGCTCATCTTCTTCTCGTGTCTCTCTTGTCGTCAGTCAGAGTTCCTCTCTTTTCAGACACCTACCCCAAAACCCATAGAAAATCTTACAAATTCACTTCCATTATCGAATGATTCAGCTATCAGACGGGGTGCAACTTGAGATGTATTGAATGCTCTGTCTTCTATCAACGTGTTGCACTCCTGAGGACGTCTTTATAAACGTTGCGAAAGCCTAGTCGTTGCGCAGAACATCCGTCAGGGATGCCGTTGTCCATGGAACACCTCTAGCAGTGTGCTCTGCTCTCAGTTGCGGAGTCCGTTCATGGCAGTTCCCTGTTCGACATCAGCACATAAATGCGCAGAAAAGATCCTCGTAATTTCCAACGGAAGTAAAAACTTGCCCAGGACATTCCCCGTCATGCAAGGACAGCAAAAATTGAAAAAAGTCCCACTCCCCTTCCCAGTATGTAAACAAACCTATAACTCCAGAGTATTCGGAACTCTGTCTTAGCACTTCATATCTACTTTCCCTAGCCCTTTGAGGCTCAACTCCACGCCGAGCAGCATGGCAAGCGGCATTATACTGGACTCGAAGTTTGATCTCTCCCTCTAGAGATCACGAAGCCGGCTGATGATTTTCCTGCCTCTGCCCCAAGCATCTTCTTAGGGTGTGGTGTCATTGTACTCTTGATGTTGATTCTCATCTCTATCAAAAGTCGGAGGTGGGATCAGAACGCAGCTCAATCTCTTTTTGTGCCACAAGCCTTCTGGCTGCCAAATTAGATCGAGGGCGCTCTCTCGTGCTGATTGGTCGTGGTGGCCATGATTTTGAGCGTCTATTTGGCTCCCATTCTGTGATTGCGGCTGTGATCATCGCTCTACGACCTCACTTTCTTCTTCGGTTTGTGGTTCAGGAAGGTTCCCACGATAACTCGGACGGCATAGCATAGGCAATGGCATTCTGCGTGTTTGGGTTTCGTTATCGAATCTCAAACAATTCGCAAACATAGTCGGCATGGGTGGATGTAGATTCAGCGGCGGCAGAATTAGTGATGTTGGACTTGTACTTGGAGTCGATCAAGCACAGAGAGTATCAGCATGACTAGCGACCAACTTCATTGGGGAAAAGTCAAAGTGCACAAACTTTCCAAGATGGGTGGGGCAACAGAAATGTGGGAGGAAAAAAGGAACCATAAACAACGCGTCAAGAAGAGAAAAAAAAAGGTCGTGCGGCTTACCCGAATCGCTGAGCGAAAATGAGTGTAAACCATAGGATCGGTAATGATGAAGCATAGTTCGCGTCCGTCCGACAGCGAGCCATCACGTAGCAGATCATTTGACTACAATCCTCACCTTCAGCCAGCACCGAAGATCAATGTGGGTAGGCTGCACCCCTGAATTCTTGGCAGGGAGTTGCAGCCTTATCTTCCAAACACTTTACTTCAAATAATATTTCGTATTTATTGGGACTTATATACCACGGACTTAGTTGTAGGTTTGCTAGGAGATGGAGGAGGACGGCATTAAGTCTGTCTTCAACTACTTGGAGTACAATTTCCCGTCGGGCAAAAGTCTATCTCGTCACGTATTGTCAATGCACTAAAAGGCCCGCTGTAGACAGGCTTAACATCTTGCTTTGGAGAACCAGGTCTCAATGTCCGCCGTCAGTCATCTTGTAACGCGATATGACTAGCTTGTTTTCTCGCTCTCGTCGCGTGTGTCTTCCTTCGTGGCGCCCTTCCACACTTCTTCATTCTTCCCGCCTTCATCGATGCTAGTGACAGGCGATCGGCAATGACCATCCCTAGTTTCCTGCCCATCGGCGACGCCAGAAGGGCGAGACTTTTCTTTTCGCTTTGTATATTTTCTGATCTGCTGCCCTCCACTGCTATGTCCACCAAGATCATTCACAACTTGAACTATCTAATGTGTATGAATTTCGATTGAGTGCTTTTCCCGAGAGTACCTGGCTCGAAAGAACGAGTGTCGATTGTTGCGCTTGTGGAGGTTGACGGACTCCACCCGTGTAACTTGTTTGCAATATTGTGCAATTCAAATATGGCACTCCCGCTGGCAAAAGACATATTCCAGAAAATCGCTCCATCTTCCTACAGACTGTGTGGTGAGAACTTATCCAAACGGCCAGGTGAGCTGTAAGCTGTCAGTTTGGCCATATCTTCCGTTCACGTTATCGCTGATTTCTGCATCCCGTATTCTTTGCCATGGAGGAGAACAGTACGCATGACCACAAGTGTAGCTTTTGTTCGCCTCGGGGTGTTCCTACAACTTGATCACATACCTCTTCCTATGTAACCAGCCTTTCTTCAAAGACTCCTCCCGAGTGAGTGTGAATTCCCATCAAGTCTTCGCCGAATACTACAGTGTATTGATCTTCGTTTTTGAATTCTTTGGCGACCTGGATGGTATCTGTAGAGGTGCTTTCATGATCACGCTTTCGTCGCAGCTTGTGGAGACTCGATGACAATGACTCTGTTAGAGATGTAAGGCTCGCGAAGTGAGGAGTGTTTTCGGCTCATTGTTCAATCTATGTTTGCGTAGGACTAGAAAGACGAGGGAGAAGGAAGGATTCGTCGTGTAAGATGAAGTGAAAGCGAAGTCCAGAACAAGGTATATGGTTGGCTAGGGGAGCTGCAATTGTGGCATAGACGGATTCAGCAGAAGGAAAGGCCGACTGTTATTTCATTCAATTCATTGCAGAGGGGGGGGGGGAAGCCCTGTGATTCATCCCACATCCTACCCGAGAGCTCGACATGATATGAAGCACCAAAAGGGTGAGAATTGAAGCGGAGCTTTCTCACGGAGCTGATTGCTATCGTACAGTACCGCCATGTTGGCTCAAGCATATCATCATAATCCCCATGCACCGCACAGCAAGTCAAGTTCGTGGATGCGTGCCGTTCGTTGTACCAGTCCCATACCATTGGAATATGCCCTGGACACCTGATTTTTTCTTTCCACACTTATCGCCAATTAATTGTTGCTCTACAGGGCCTTCCATGGCAAAGATTGCATTTGACGACAATTTGAGCGTTGTGTCCTTTGTCAATCATGAGATTCCATCGATGTTTGCAGCCTTTACAACGGCCTGACTAGCTGATAACGGTTCAGAACTTCTGAAAAGCTACGTTCGTGTCCCCAGGTATTTTTCAACCTCTCTTTCATGAGGTCGTCTTTAACTTTCTGATTGGCTTTCTTGGACTACCGCAACACATCATCAAGGGCAGAGATTTTTCTCTAATGCCTCATTTGACAGGTCTTTCTTGGATTGTGTCTCCCTGCTTGGACGTGTTTTGTTTGGTGATTCCAGAGCCAAAGTCCGAACAAAGAACAATTGTGTTTGCAGAGCCTTGCCGAGATATTCCTGGGAGCCTTGAGGCGTGTCGAATTTGTCTCTTCCTGAGCTGGTGTCAAAGATTTGTTCAAGACTTCTAATTGAGCGTCATGATTTTCCTTGGGATTCGGCAATGCACCTTCCTGGTCACTGATTTGAGCTCGATGGATCAGTACTTGATTCTTTTTTCTGTTGCAAATTGTCGTTTTGTTTCCCGCAGTCCGATTTCCACACAGACCAAACACATCCCAGCAATTCCCAGGCATCTGGTCGCAACTTTTCGATCAAAGATGTCAGAGTACGATCCGTCTCGGTTACTGGAAGGTATTGCCAAGCTGGATAAGGAACGGCTTCATATAGACTTGGTCCTTTTGCAAAACGAAGTCGACCAAAGGAGGTCCCGCCTGAAGCTATACCTCGGACCAAGCCGTCACTTTGAGGGTAACCATCTCTTTCGAAGCCCTGATATCTAGCTGCTCGGCAGCAGCGAAGATCTCCATTTCACGGAAAATCTCGACGGGGTCTTTTCATGGGCTAGTAACATTAAGGTTCTTTCATCAAGTGTTGATTTTAGTCCACCTTGCCCACTTCTGCTCGTTGCTGAAGATACCTGGAGTAGAGGTAGAAACGTCCTTGGCTGTCTTAGAGACAGGGTATCTCATCACAGTTTTGAGGAATTCATCGGTTCGTGAGAATCTCTTGGAAGTATCTGGTGCTGAAGACCCGGCTTCTGGCGCAGTCTGCTTTGGGGAGTTCTCTGACATCGAATTTCGCATCATGGGAGATGAGCGAGAGGATCTTGCGAAAGATCGCTGGAGAGACATCGGGAAGGGTGTCCGGTTTGCCATTGGGAAACCAGCTGTTAGGATGAGCGTTGGATTCAAGTCGATCACTACGTTCATGGATATACCTCGGAATGGCGCGCTTTCTTACCCAAGACTTTTCGGTGGACGTCGAAGAACTCTTCTTGACAGATGATGATGAGTCCGCAGCCATCCCCATTGGTAGGAAGCTCCATGAGGGTCATCAAGACGATGCGCGACAACCGTAGTGGCGCGAGAGGGGTGGGTGAGTGGCCGGGAGTGAGCTTGCGCGAAGGAGAAGGCGAGTAAGTTGATAACGCCGCGCGTGCTGAAGGATGCCGTGTGTGAAGGCACCAATTCAATCTGCCGGCACCGGCTTCACCACCTGGCGTCCCTCACATATGAATCAAATGGCAAGGCTCCAGGTAGTTGATTGAACCGGGGGGTGAATTGCTTATCGGTTCCTGTTGGAATGAGGTCACGAAGTCGTGTAAGCCCTGTCGTCAAGCCGCGCTCAAATAATGGCAGCCTTCTCATCTCGCATCTTTCAATCCGTGAATAGGTCCTCCAGAGTCTGTAACATTCTCTTTTGCAACTCTCGCAGTTCTCCCTTGTCAATCCTGCCTTGCGGTGCATCAGGCTTCTCAGGTCCCTCCTCCAACACCACCAGGTCATGCTTGATGGCGTAGAACGGCACGCCCATTGCCCTCAGCTGCCTGTCAAAATCCGCCGCCATCGCTATGAGACCGGCGTGGACTTTCTTGTCATAAGCATCCAATTCAGCGCGAATTTGGTTGGGATCAGAAGGCACGACCGGTACGTCCTTACCACCCAAGGACTTCAACAGAGCCGACACCTGTTGAGAAGTCCCGGACCTTCCTCGCTGTCTCTCCACAATAGCCTCACGGCCTGCCCACCATTGTCGTTCATGTTTTTGCTGCTCCGAGATAAGGTGCTTGATCCTGGTAGCTACTTGCTCATTCGTCACCAGGTAGCGAGTCACATGTCTAAGGGCTGCTGGCCATGTTGTGATAGTCGACGCATCAGGAACAGTTGGGGTGGAGGGCTTGCTGCGAAGATCTCCCGGTCGGGGTGATGGACATCGTTGTTGCTGAGTCAGAGTTTGCTGCCGGGTGATAGGAGGTGACGGGGCCGGCGTTTTGTGATTTTGTGGTGGCAGCAGACCAAGCCCCGGTATAATGGAAGGCCTCGGGATATCGCTCGAGTCGGAAGATTCGTTGACACTGGAAGAAGTCGTTTCTGAGGTATGTTGCGCCTGGGATGAGTAGCTGTTCAAGGCTGCGAGTACACGCTGGAGCTCAGCATTATGTTGACCATCCATTCTCACCCGCATCAATTGGGATAGATTTTCAATTCGGGATAAGAGGTCTCCATAGAAGATAATGTTTTCGTAGCGCCTTTAAGGCTTACCGGGGTATAACCTAAATACTATCTTGGCGGATTCGAAGGGGTAAATCGATGGGCGTGATTCTCCTAAATAGTCTGCAATTCAGTAATTCAGTCTGGAAGGCATTCGCCACTATTCGCAACCTTGATTGTGCTACAACTATGCTGAAGATGCCAACCATCAAAGGAACCCGAAAACGCCTGGCTTCACAATTTGAGCCGCGCAAGCCACGAGACAATGCCGTCTACTCAATTGTTTTAGGCACTGCTGGTGCTGACCATCAGTTGGTGAAGACCATCGACACAGCAGCAGCCCCTAGCCCCTCGGTGGGTACCACGTCCACAACCCCGGGTACGAAAGTTTTGTTGTTGAGGTGGTGTCTCGATGACTTGCTCAACACATTGTCATTGTCATAATTGGTCCTTACTCCTGCGTAGGAAGACTCATTGCCTAAAGACCGCTCTTCTTACCATTCTATGACCTCCAGCAACATCAACATGATCTCCTTGCATGCTAGATGTCTGCAAAGGTCATCCGAATGACCTATGGGCGTTCAATACCACTACATCGCAGTGGACGCAACTTGCATCAGCACCGGTTGGTGGTCGCGGAGACACTAAGTATTGCCTTTTCGAGTGGCAGGCAGTATTGGTGGGCCGGGAGAAGATTGATTGATTGAATCTATCTGAGCGAGGCGCAAGCTACGAAAAGGCCACGAAGGTTGCGGTGCACGTGACTATGCTAGTCCCAATGTGGACTGCCAACATGTATCGGATCAGGGGGTTTCGACAGCAAAGCCGAGCAGGGTGAAGCAGTCGCTGATTACGACGTCAAAGAGGATATGTGGTCCAATGTTGAATACAAACCTGATGGTGTGGTAGGTCCTGAACCAAGAAGCATGACGGTGCTGGTACCCATCAAGACTGGTTCGGGCCGCGAACTGCTAGTGGCCATGGTTTGGCGAAGGATCACAAAGCGAATCTGGGTCATGTCGGAGCTGGTTGAATGTTTTCAGACGTTTTGGGCGTTTGATGTGAGCAATGAGAAATGGTTCCTGACGGAACTGAATGACCAAGAACCTGCTCCAGGTTCACGAGACCGCTTTGATACCGACATTTGGGTCAGTGACGAAGCAAAAGGAGATCGAGTCATCGTACATGGAGAACTCCACAATAGCAATCAACAACTGAATGATGCGTGGATGTTCCAAATCTTCCGGGCCGGATATGTGAACCAGTTGCAATACGTCAACCAGCAACAGTCGGCCTCACTGGCATATTCTCTTAGATGTGTAAATCCAGCATCACTGCTCGGCCGCAATGAGGCTGAGTATTAGAGTGAGTGTCTTGGGGCCACTTAAGCCGAAACCAAAAGAACCAAAAAAGCGTCGGGTCTGAAGACCGAACCCTGAACCTTCTGCTGCTCCAATGCTATGAAGAGACAAGAACCCTATCTTGGAAACTCACTACCGTGGTTTTGAATTTTCTCGTCCGTTCGGTTTGACCGATCGGGTTCATTTTCGTCTGTTGCTCTCCTGTCATCTTTAAGGTAACACGGGGAGGGACGAAGGTCCAACTGGATCGCTCTTCTCGAACGGCGAAGGATCGTTTCCGAGTTTACCGAGTCATAAGAGTGCCCTTCCTGCTGCTCCAGCGCAAGCGGCCTCAAATCGGGTGTTCGCACCCTGACGCCACAATGCAACGTAGTTGTTGACTTGGTCACTAGGGATCGATACGAGGAATGGTTGGGAAAGTGCTGAACATTGTATACGTAAAATGTCAATTTTGGCCATGAGTAATGTTGGCTGAACCAATCAAAGCTCGAGAATCTAGCAGCGAGCGGGCAGTATTTACTGGCGACCAACCTTCATCTGTGGTCCCAATCTCTCATCTACGGCGGCTTTGCCTTTGCAGGCTACCAGCAGCAGTCGCTCAAACGGTGTTGCAGAATGAATCAACCCAGCATCCCATAAGTCACAATATTCGCGATACGACAACAGCCCGGCATCTTTAACGTCAATCTCATCATCCCGAAGTTCCGAATCCCAGAGATCCATATTCCCACCGAAAGGTAAACTCTCGACGAAAAGGGTAAGTTTGAAAAACCCCGTACGGAGAACACGAGTGGCCCCTTCAATTTTGTGAGCGACAATTATGGTTCTTCGGACCGCTTCAGCGAGAACATAGGCTTCATGTGTCGACAGAGTGCTGGGGAGTGAGGTGGGTGCGCTGGCCCAAAGTTTCGTGGTCCAGTCTGCCAAAAGCTGCTGGCGACGGAACCCTCCTTCACGTTCTTCCTTTGTTGACGTCGGGGAGAAGAGTGCCATGATCTGCAGCAAACACAGGCTTTGGACAAATGACAGGATGTCGACGAAACTGACAGCGGACCTTGCAGTTGAGATCAAAGCGTGTGCAGAGGACTGGAAATCTCTTGGCTGGACAACCCGGTCTTGCGGCCCCAGGTCCTCTTGGAGATGGCAAATATCGATTGCGATCTGCAAAGAAGCAGGTCGATACTGACGGTAAGTCGATGGGTGGATAAAATCTGTACCACCTTTCCGGATCAAGTCAAGTGGATACAATGTCAGCTGTCGGACAACATCTGTAACCGACTCAAAGTCCATTGGCAGGAAGATGACGGGATCCGTTATTCGAGCGATCTCAAGTCCATCTCCTCGGACGATACGTCCATTTCGAGCCCCCCAAGACCTTCTATGACTGGATAACTCCTCGACTGGTCCGGCAGTCGCTTCTTGTACAACGCTCGGGTCCGACGGGTTGTTCTTTTCTGGTTTCTCTGATGGAACACAGAGAGGCTCATTCAAATAATGGCATGGGAGTTTCTTGCCGGTACATCTCAAACATTGGGGAACCCTCCGATCGCATTTCTTTTTAGCTCGAATACATGACTGACAGGCTCTCGACAGAGATATGTGCATGTACAAATCTCTTGCGATCCTAAGGCAATGGAGTCTTTTGCCGCTCCCGCTCGACCCAAGATCTTGGTCGACTCTCAAATCTCGGAAAGGTATTGATCAATCGAAACCAATATTTGCAACTTGGTCAACGAGCAGCAAGAGGTCGAGATAGAAAAATGTGTCCTCCCATGAGAACCTTGGCGGGAGGCCTGATGTTGTCGGAGACTAAGCCTTTCTGATATTGGCTCCCGACCATCTTCTGAGAGCCTCAAACGCTGTTCAAGCTGGGCTTGCTGGTGGGATTTTGGCTCACAAAGTCTAGAAAGGAAAGTGACTGGTCTTTTGACAACTCCATTGGCTCACACGTAGCTATGAAAGCGACACATTAGACCTGAATTGAACACCACATCGAAACTCCGGATTCCGGCCGGTGGAGCCGAAATCTTCTTTTCAACAACAATGTCGGAGACTAGTCTTGGGATGGAAGATAATGATTTTAAGGCGAGCGATTGACTCATACACTCCTTTGAACATGACGGCCGTAACGATGAAATCCCCAGGCTTGCCTGGGGACGAAAGTCATCGACACCATGGTATAAAATGCACGTCTCTGCCCTCGAACCCAAGATCACAAACAAGCAAGTCGAAACAAGTCCGGCCGATCACCGAAGACAATCCCCATTAAAACACTCCACTGCAGAATCAATATACCACCATGTCAACCAAAGCAATCAAGAAAGTCGCTGTTGTTGGTGGCTCTGGAGCCACTGGCCCCCCAGTGGTCCAAGCTCTTCTCCAAGCCCAGTTCGAGGTGTCGGTTCTCAGTCGAGAGTCATCCACGGCGACATTCCCAGAAGGCGTGAAGGTTATCAAGACAAACTACTCCCACAACTCCCTTGTTGCAGCATTGAAAGGCCAGGAGGCGGTCGTCTCGACCATCTCCACGTTTTCCCTGGCCCCGCAAATTGCCATTATTGACGCTGCCATCGAAGCCGGCGTCCGCCGATTCCTCCCATCGGAATTTGGAGTCGACACCTCGTCTCGGGCTCTGGGTGAAGGTGGCCTCCCGCCAGCCTTGACGAAGACCGAGACTGTCGCGTACCTCAAATCCAAGGAGAGCACCGGAATGACATGGACTGCCGTGATCGTGGGGGCTTTTTTCGACTGGAGCTTTGCTAAACCCATCACTCTGGGCTGGAACCTCCCAGAGAACACCGCCACGATCTTTGACGGAGGTGACATCGAATTCGAAGCGACCAATCTCGCTCAAATAGGTCGTGCCGTAGCTGCGATCTTATCCGCCCAACACATGGACAAGACAGCAAATCAGTACGTCTACATCAACAGCTTCACCACGACGCAGAATGAGATGTTGAAAATCTTCGAAAAGCTCGGCGGCAAGAAATACCAAGTGAAGCATGTGAAGGCCGATGATTTCAACAAGAGCGCCCTTGAGAAAATGCAGTCTGATCCGGATCAAGGGAAAGTATGGACGCAGGGCGTGCTGGAGGCGATTGTTTTGATCATGATGAACTATCGAGGCTTCTGTCAATACTCCAAGACAAAGGGTCTGTGGAACAAGAGGCTGGGACTGCCAGAGGAGAATCCAGAGGACACGATTAGGGAGGTCCTGGCCACAGCGGCTGGTCAAAATTGATTCGGAGGAGCCTTCAGGATATGTATTTGAGGCTGTTGACAAAAGTGGAGTGATAGCTTGGCATTGGTTGTAAGGGATATACAACTGCGGCTGCGGATAATTTGCTTGACCGGAATTTGAACCTGGCCGTGGCCGAAATTCTTCGTTGCCTCCGAATCAATTCATTTCCCCTTCGCTCATCTCATGTACATGACCATACAATCCTCATTCATGTGTACGCAGTGGTAACAGCTACCCGGCCCCATTACGTCGTCTGTTCAGTTTAGAAAACAAAAAATGAAAGCATTCGCATCCAAAATGCCTCGACGACCCCCATCCGACACTTTCACACGCTTCACTTCGACGACACCACACGCAATGCAACGACCCGCAACAACAGCTACATTCCAATACCAGCCGGCCTCTCGACCAGCAGCTGACCGGCAACCCTCACCTTCCTCATCTTCCTTCCAATCTCCCGGCCACTCCCGCGGTCCTCCCGGCGAAACACCCCTCGAACGAGTCGAGCGTCTGCGTGCCGAAGCCCGCGCTGCTAAAGAAGCGGCCAACTACTCGCCGATCGAACAACTGATCGGCGCGGGCCGCCGCTGGGCCGACCGCGCCCACCGCTTCACCGCATACGGCCTGATCCTTTTCGCGGGTCTTTCGACAGTGGTAGCGGCCTACGGCACCGTATCTCTCGTCGCACATAATCGACGACAAAAACGCGCGTGGATCGAGCGGGAACTCGACCGACTAGACGAAGCGAGAGCGGCGTTTCTACGCGGCGAGGCAAACGCGGAGCAATTGCATTTACTCGAGCAGGAGAGGGCGGGGGAGGAGATCGAAAGGCAACGTATGCGGGAAGTCGAAAGGAAGAGGAGCGAAAGTTATTGGAGCAAATTCAAGGGGATGGTGGGCGCGCAGACGGCAAAAGGAGATATGGGAGTGGAGACGGAGGAGGAGAGACAGCAAAGAGAAGCAAGGAAGATGAGACGACAGAAGATGAAAGAAGAGGGATGGATTGAGGGTGAGGTTCAGGCGGTGGCGGTGGCTCCGAGTGGGATCAAAGGGGTCGGTGTGGATTCCAAGGGACGACCCGTTCCAGCGAATACAGTCGAATATGTGGTGAACAAAGTTGAAGGTGAGAGGAGGACTGGAGAGAAAGAAGTCACGGCACGGAGTGGCATTACGGGTGGTCCGTTGGATGTGATGGCCGACAATGTGAAGGAGGCCGTAACACCCTCGACAGAGAGTCGAGGCTGGCTCAGCTGGATCCGAGGCAGCAAATCCTAGGATGGAGACATGAAGCGGTCGGGGATTGGAGGGTCCCGTATATATATATATATATATATATATATATGCATTTGTATAGCTAAGACGCAGTGGCACCATAGTTGCACGGCAGGGCTCAAAGTCAAGCTTTTCTTGGAGGAAACCCAAACCCCTGCACACTCTCATAAGCCCATAAATGGCGTCGGGAAACAAAAACACGCTCTCTTTCCATTCAATGCACCTTCTAATGCCATAGCCGTCTTATCATGCTCTCATTCATCATAGTGCCATGCCATGTGCCCGCCCATGCCTCTAAGTTATGACCACATGATATGGCTGTAATGCCCCGGAACCTTTTGGGCGCACTTTTCGCAGTCATTGAGAAATCCCATATGAAGTCTCGCGGTTCTTGAACGTCCGGGGCTGGAAGTTCCCTCTGCCCGAGATCCATATGGCCCTGTCGACCGAACATGAGTCGAGTCGTCCCCGTTCACACCTAAACCGCTGATGTCGTCGTTGGTTGGGTCGATCATCATCATGCTGTCCATGTCCTGGTCATCCACGGGACTTGGTAGGCCGTCCCGATTGACCCAGGATTCCTGTTCAAACATGGGACTGAGATTCGTGCGCAGGGGAGGAAACTGATGTCGCGGAACACTGGGGAGATCATTCACCCGGTTGTCAAAGTGACTACTGATCGGGGTGGGAACTCTCTCCCGGGCGAAGTTGTCCATGGCGCTGAGAAAGTTGGAATTGCGATGAGGAGGAACGATATCATTAGATCTTGCTCGTCGAATCCTTGGTTGAGGCGAGTTCGTGCTCATGTCCATGTCCACATCAATAGGATCTTCGCGGCGCGCTCTGAGTGATGACGTGCTCCTACAGTCGCTGCCAGGTTGAGAGTCGTTCATGGAAGACACTTTGTGGGGCCAGTGATCTTCGTCCTTGGGCTGGCCGGGACTCTCATCATCGGAAGTATCCACCGGAGTGGGAGGCTGTTGATAGATGGAAGTGAAGAGTGAATACTGTGGTAGGACCGAGACTTGTGGACGTGAGGGAGACGAACGGATTGGCAAACAGTGCGTCGATCTCCGTTTGGCATCGTGGGCGCAGAATGAATCAGTCAGATCATCAGGTCTTCTCTTCCGTTTATGGGGAGGAGAATTGAACGGGAAAGAAGTATAAACATCAGCCATTTCTGGATCGGTAGCCGCAGACGGATCTCGAGTGGACGAGATCCTCGTAGCGATATTGAACAGGATCGTGGCGTGATTCGAGGAGTCTTTTATCTGTCGAAATGCATGTCATAGCCCCGTGGCAAAGGGGAGACGATCAAACGGTGGGAGTGTCGCGAGTTGACGAGAAGGGTTGATGAAACACGAACAATCTCGAGGTGGGCCAACCAGGCGCGTGGCTGAGAAGACGCGAAGTTCGGAAAGTCAGCGTTCCGTCAAGGGCCTTGACGGGCTCATTGGGGGGCCCAGCTGAAGTGGTGGACAAAGGTGGAAGAGAGCAATGAAAGAGGAAGGGCGATAATTTGTGATGTGAGTACAGAGCTGGGTGTTGAAGGACTCTTGTACATAATCGCCCTCCGGCTCCTCCGCCAAAATTAGCCACAAACCGGGCCTCCGTGTCACGTGGTTTTACGTCATGCCCGAATCCAGTGCGCAGTCTGGAACATTGTTTATCCGGTCCAGAACTCTCACCCCCGGACTAAAAAGAATTTTGGCCACACCCTCGCCTTCCACCCAAATCGCGGCTATTACTCACATTTGCTGGAAGCTCGCTTTTCCCTTTCTCCTAGCTTTCTTTCTTCCCAGTACTTTCTCCTCGAACCTCCCTGCACCTTCCCGCCGACTCAACTTTTCAATCCACTCAGGGAAAAGGAAGGGAAAAAAAGGGAAAAAAATATAAAAATGCCCGCCATTGACACTCCCCTCCCTGTCGAGCTTAGCGAAGATGTTCGAGTCTTAGGCTACGACCCTCTAATTCCTCCGGCACTGCTTCAAAGCGAGATTCCAGCTTCCCAAGCCTCTATGGAGATCGTAGCCAAAGGTCGGAGGGAATGCAAAGAAATTATTCATCAGCGCGACGACAGGCTCCTCGTCATGGTCGGACCATGCTCTATCCACGACCCCGCCACAGCCATTGAATACGCTGGCCGACTAAAGCAGCTCGCTGAGAAGCTGTCATCCGACTTGTGCATCATCATGAGAGCCTACCTCGAGAAACCACGCACTACCGTCGGCTGGAAAGGTCTCATAAACGACCCGGACATCGACGAGTCCTACAAGATCAACAAGGGCCTGCGGGTTTCGAGACAACTCTACGCCGACCTCACAAACATGGGCATGCCAATTGCCAGTGAGATGCTCGACACAATCTCCCCCCAATTTCTTGCCGACCTCATCTCTCTCGGTGCCATTGGCGCCAGAACCACCGAGTCACAACTCCATCGTGAGCTTGCCTCCGGTCTCTCCTTCCCAATGGGCTTCAAAAACGGAACCGACGGCTCGTTGAGTGTGGCCATCGATGCAGTAGGCGCAGCCGCTGCCAAACATTACTTTATGGGTGTGACCAAACAAGGTCTCGCCGCCATCACCAAGACCAGCGGTAACGAGGACGGATTCGTTATACTACGAGGTGGATCCAAGGGTACCAATTACGACGCTGAGAGTGTCCGAGCTGCGAGAGAAGCCTTGAAGAAGAAAGGACAGAGAGAAGTCATGATGATCGACTGCTCACACGGCAACTCGAAAAAGAATCACAAGAACCAACCAGGTGTAGCCCAGACCATTGGCGATCAATTGAGACAAGGTGAAGATGCCATCGTGGCAGTCATGATCGAATCAAATATCCACGAGGGCAACCAAAAGGTACCGCCTGAAGGTGGTCTTGCCAACCTGCAAAAGGGTGTCAGCATCACCGACGCTTGCATCAACTGGGAAACCACAGTGGAAGTGCTCGAGCAGCTTGCCGATGCCGTCAGAGCAAGACGAGAAGTCAAAGCGAAGCAGCAGAATGGCACCAATGGTGTGAACGGACATCACTGATCTCTTCATATACCTTCTACTTTGGCGACTTATTCTCCTTTTATGCACGACACCAAAAAAATCCACGAACGGCGTTTTTCACACTTGTGCGGATTTGATGTGGAGATACGATGCATTTGACGTATAGAACGAGGGAAGGTCAATTAGATTCAAAAAGCGCACTAAATTAAAAGGGAGTGTGTTGCAATCTCATCTCACCTCCTACGGAGAGAAGGAGAACTTTGCGGGAATGAAAAAGTCCTGGAGATAGTTTGAAAGATTCAATTCGAACACCGACATGAACCGACGGGCGAGGTTGCAATGAGAGAGATACCGATCTCCAGGCAAGAAATTTACACAACTTCATAAGCCATTCGTAAAATTGACCCCTCGGGATCTTTCTAATACCTACCCTGCCACGCCACGTTCGCGATACCTGGCTATGCTGTGCTACGTTAACCATGCCATGCCACGCCATACATCCCATAACCTTCCCTCCCTGTTCCTTCCATCGTCCTGCGTAACGTCGCATGGCGTTCCCGTCCGATCCCTCGACCCATTCCCGTGAGAATGTCGAAAGAAGCCGAAGTTTAATGCTCGGCACACAGAAAGGAGACATGACTAGAAAAGAGGATAATTAAGCCCAACTCGGAGCCGTCTCGATGAGGGATCATAGACATGAGCGCCCGGATCGGTGAGAAAAACCACAGTTCTCGACTCGTGTCCAACACTTCCCCGGCCCCTATCATTTTCCAATCATAATGTCCATCCGTCGCCCACTTTGATGGCCCTTCAATCACCAGAATGAGCACCACCCGATATAATGCTGGCAGAGATTCTCGACGTTGGTGGCCTGCAGAATGAGCCGGTCAACTTGCTCTGCGACACCGAGGCCACCGATACCGGCCATGGTCGTCTCTGGCACAGAACCAGCAACAGCGACTTGTTTACCCGTCTCCGTGCCAATGTCATTGGAATGATTCATGCTCCCTCCGTTCACAATCATCAGAGACTCTAGACCAAGGCCACTGAGGTTGGGCCGCAAGCCAGCCACGCTGGTTCCGGGAGCGGTGGGCTTGAAATCACGACCGGTGAGCTTCTCTTTGACTCGGGCCAGGACCTGCAGAGCACGAGCGTTCTGGATTTCTTTGGCCTCTTGAGCCGCGGCATTGTTGTCCACGACCTTGGCAGCGTCCAGGATACTACCGCCGCCCATGGCCGGGTCAAGGATGCTACTACGTCGGTGTCTGCGGCCAGGAGGGGCGCCAACGTGGCTGTGCGCTGTGGCACCCATCATGGCGGCTGGATTGTTTGCTGTTTCCATTGGACTGCGATCGTAGTCTCCAGTTTGCGCACCGGGAGCGTCAATGATACTCTGTCTGCGTTCCGATCGGAAATGTGGTCGAGGTGGAGATTCGCGGGTGTTTAGGCGCCAATTAAGCAGTGGATCGTGAATGAAAGCTTCCAAGACAGCGAGGAGAGACTCTTTGTTCTCGCGAATCACACGCATGACATTTTCGCAGGTGATTCGGAATGAGCCTTCGATGTTGCTGACTTCCATCGCGAAGGTGAGCATTCTCGTAAGCCGGAACGGAACTCTCTCTGGATACTTCTCACGATGCATCGCCACCTCGAAGCAGTCACCAAAATCGATGTGGATAATCTTCCCCGTGATGCGATCAAGCATGAGATTCGACGGGTGGCGGTCACCTAACCCCAGGATGTAGCCGACCATGGACATGACAGCCAATGACCGAGTGTAGTTGGTTCGTCGGTCCAGCCAGGCTTCGGAACTCTTCGATTTGAGCCAAAGGACGCGATACAAATCCTTCCCGGTTGTGTTGTCCATGGCATATCCAAAGACTTCAACTTTCTGCATGAGGGTGAGGTTGTCATAATCGGGCGCCATTTGTAACATGATTCGGTGTTCAATGTTGAGCAAGATGCGGCGAGACTCCCGGTATTCCTTCACCAAGTTATGGAGAGTGTCCGAGTTGGGTACCCAACCGAGCAATCCAGAATTCTGAGATAAGGGAATAGCTGGGAAGCGTTGAATGTTAAGATGACGCTTGAAGGATTCAGTGTCATTGTTCAGAAGAGTATTGACGAGACCAAAGAGTTGCATGACCCGTTCATCTTGCCGGATATCCTCGTGGCCCTTAAGGACAAAGGCATAGGATATACCATCTGAGCCTTTGAGGGTCATCTTTCGGGGGCGTTGTTTGGAGGGAATTACCGTCAGAACATGGTCGAAGCTCACGATCTTGATGATTGGCTTGCCCGATTGGTAAGTACCAGGAACAGCAAGATCCAGGTCGTGGGCATCCTTAAGCCGTGGCGACACATACTTCAGATCAAGGCTCATCAATTGTGGAAGTTGCCGGGCAATCTTGCGGAAGACTGCATAGTACAAATCCCAAGCTTGATTGAGGTCACCAATCTCTTTGGACCGGCGGAAAGTATTACAGAAGGCTCGGGCTTCCGCAAGGTCGTGTCCGAAGGCCTGGGCAAAAGAGACCTCTCTTAAGGTTTCCGCTCCACGATCCAGGAGCTCATGGAGCGGAGCAAGTGTTGCCAACATTCCTTCCACGTCGTGGTCCCCGAAGTACAGTCGAGAGGCTTCTTCAAGACCCTCGTGCCAAAGTTCATGCCAGAGCACGGCGACCCGGATGAGCTCGTGACTGACGAGGTCGGCTTGCTCCACCAGAATGGGGCTGTGACCTCTCATGTTGTCCATGATTTGGCTTGCAGAATTGGCACGACGCGCCACGGAAGACTTCATTGCCACTGTCAAAGGATAGACAAGTGCCTGAGGATGAGCTTTGCCAACTTCCGAGAGAAGCCGCTGGACGGCGTTTCGAACTTTGGAATTGGGTTGATTGATTCTGGCAATCAACTGGGGAATAACCTCCAACCATGTGTCGATACTAACAGAGGCAAAGCCTTCGTTCACCACTTGATTGACCTCGCCATGACCACCATGAGCAAACCAGAGTGTCAAGAGCCGCAGGGTGTCCTGGAGAGAACTTGTTTTCGACAAGGCTATGGATCTGAAGAAGCCTCCGATGGCAGGAACAACGTGGTTGTGGATGACGTGCTCCGGGAGGCTGCGGACTTTGTCCTGATCAGTGTGAGATGCCATCGAGGTGACCACTTCGAAATTCGCGAGCGCGTAAGCATGCCACGCCTTGTACCATGACTCATTGTACTGCGTTGCAGCTTGGTATGAGTTGAGAATGTCACGCACGGCGTCGTGAGCCCGTGGACTCGTCCAATCGCCTCTGAGAAGGTAAGACTGCCATTCTCCTTGCCTCAGGTAACATTTTGCTAGGAGTTTCGCGCATTTGTCGAGATCATCGTGTTTTCTTCTCTGAGCCAGTGCATCGTGCCCGTTTATGTCAAGGCCATTCATGTTGTTCATTCTGTCGTTGTGTATACCATTTGCTAGGGCGGCATTTACTTGTTGGAATTCGTCGGCAAGTCTCACGGTGAACTCGCGAAGGAACGAGAGCGCTTGCTGCTGGTTTCCCGTGGCCCAATTGAACTTCAGTCGAGCATATGCAACAGGGGGGGGTGCTGCACCAGAACTCGCAGCGGCGTCGCTGACACCGCCTAGAGATGCTAGAGACCTCTCAGCCAGTCCAATGCGATCTGACTTTCGACAAAGGTTTGCAAATTTGATCCAGATATCAGGATTGTCGGTCGGTGTCAGAACAAGAGCTCTGACTTTCAGCATTCGCTGCCAAACCTCAACATGTGACTGACAGCCAAGCAGCCTCTTGTTCCACAACACCTTCAACGAATTTTGCTTATCGACTTGACCCTCACTCTGTTTGTACACGATAATCTCCTCGAGTTCTGCGAGCATTTGTGCTCGGACAACCACACTATAAGCACGGTTGTAAGACTCTCCAATTGTAGCTGTAATTTCGGAATTGACACCTTCTCTAGCCCGAACAATGAAGTTGTGGGCCTCGGCAAAATTGTTTCGTTGAATGGCAAGGATTGCACCAAAGAATGCTCGGTCGGGGGAGCTCTCTTTCATGACACTGATGTAGTTGTCCATGAGATCCCATTCGCCGCGACCCCAAGCTGCCGCTGCGGCGAGAGCCGACATGTTCTTGCGGTTTTCTTGGGTCGCACCGTTCCAATGTTCTTGGGCAATTTCAGAGAGCATTTTCCATTCACCGAGGGCGTGGAGACAGCGCATTTTACCCATGACGACGTCGAAATTGTCCGGTTCAAGTTTTTCACGCTTCTGATATGCGGCCAACGCCTCTTCCCACCTCTGTAGTTTCTCAAACCATGCCTCTTTCAATTCGACTTCGCCGAAGACTTGCGCCCTCCGCAGAATGCCAATAGCGGCGTCGGACTGTTGTAGCTGATTGTTGATGCTGATCAACGCCTCGACGCTCTGGCTGTTTTGGTCCTGTTCGAATTCAAGTTCCTTGTAGTGCAAAGCTTTGGCGAAAGCGTGGCACTTGTAAGCAAAGCGACCGAGTGTCCGGATGTCAATCGGCAACGATTTGTCGTCGTGCTCCATAAATTCAGCGAGATTGAGTAATGTCTGCAGGATATCTGGAGGAATATTTGTCGATGTCAGGGCCTTCTCAATGGAGCGTATCAGTTCTTCCTGGTACTGATCATAGAGTTCTGTCCAACAGGAAACGAAGGCGGAATTGAACAGCTCTTTGGCGAGGGGCTGGTAAACGGTAGCCAGACTGGCACACGCCCGCAACGCGTGAGACGGAGACTCTTTCAAAAGTTCGACACTGAACCTTCTCATCCACTCCTGCCAATCTTCCTTTGTTGATTTCTGAGATGTGTCCCATGCATTTTTCAGATGTTGTTGGTTGACCGGAAGTCTCATGGATGTAATATTGGAGTAGGTTGTATCTTCTGCCGTCATACCATATTGCTCTTCGGGGTAGAACCCCACCGGCAAAGCCTTGCCAGTTTTGAAGTTCTCGATCAATTTTTGGAAGCGTTCAGAATTTATCTGGCCCGCCTTTGCGGCCCTCTCAACGAGAGGCAGATAATGTACAAAATCCTGGCCCAGATGGTAGATCAATGCGCAAATGCAGTCTAGAGCAGCAGCCTTTAGGGAGCGTTCAGACGAGTTCGTCACAGCCTTCTCCGGCGACGATAATATCTTCGCCAGTGGATGAATCATGAGAGAGGCAAAATCCGTGACATTAACAGTCCTGGATAGCTTTCCGAGAGTATCGATAGCAGCCCGTCGAGCATTGGGAGGAGCTGCGGGATTCTCAAAGATGCCAACAATCGCCGGTACCATCATATGCATGTATTCTTCACCACTAGAGCCGAACACCAGAAATGTGTGTAGGATCCGAATGGAGGATTCTCTTCTCAAATCCGTATCGTTCTCAATAACGGCAAGCATGAGCGGTAGGAGCCCAGCTAGATATCGTCGGAACTCTCCCTCGAGAGACTTGGATATGGCCTCGATGAGAGAGAGAATCGTCGCTTGCACTTGTCTCGACACATTCCAGAATTCTCGAATCACGTCGATGATTTCGGGCAAGAACGCACGGATATGCTGTCGGACAATCGTGACAAGAACTGCAAGTTGATTGAAATACGACTCCAAACGAGTGGGATGAGAGCTGCGGATGACGCCGAGGAAGCCGGGGACGATCTGGCCTAAAAAGGGCACACACTTCATACCGATGGTCTTGAAAATGGTCACAACTGCATCGATCACGGCACTGTGATATTGAACAAGCGTGTGGTCGGCCAGGATCGTTTGCATGAGAGTATTGATAACCACAGTTGGATAGTACTCCTCATTTGAAGGGGTCAATCCTTGCATGATCAGGGCGACGTCGGAAACGGGTTGTATCTCGGCTTTGCTTTGCTTTTCAGCAATAGACTCGCTCAGCTGCTGGTATTTATAGGGATCCAGCGCTCCCAAAACGCCAACCAATTTGATGGCGTCTGTTCGGAGTTCCTCGTGAGCCTCCGTCTTGATCACATTGATCAATATTCCAAGGAGTTCTGGGTAATCCATGTATGGGTCTATCACATATTGAGAGTTGACCGCAAGTGAGCTCAGTGTCTTCATCGCCGCTTCGCGCTTGTCATGGGATCCCAGGTCTTGCAAGGCATCGATGATGATCGGCATGAGCTCAGGGATATGCTGAACCATTTCTTCACCTCCAACAGACGTCAGATCCCCGAGAGCCTTGGTCGTAGTCGACGCCACACCAGGGTTTGGGTCGGTAGCTTTGGGTAGAAGAGCCGAAACCATTGGCTCAACATATGTCTTGACCAGCGACGTTGCATTTGATACGAATAAGCTGATCAGACGCGCACTCTCTTCTTTTTGCTTGGCGGTGTTGGAGTATCCAAGGCCAGTCAGAAGGTTCACCAGCAGTTTTCGCAACGGCGGGAATACGTAGGCGGGATTGACCGTGGTCAACCTCCCAATTATTTCGATGGCAGCTTCGCGAACAGCGAAAACTTCATCGTTGACGGCCAGGAACAGACATCTAATGTTTTCAGGTCTCGCCAAGTGCTTGTCGAATTTTTTGTCCAAAGCCCGGAGAACTGTCATCCGAATATCAGCATCTGGGTCCCCAACAGCCACCGTCAACAGCTTGTCCACCACCTCGCCAACAACCTGGATAGCATTATTACTGGTCTGGTGGAGAATGGGATCTTGCATGAACAATTGACAGCATGTTAGAGCTGCAGCTCGCCGGATGTCGGGATTCTCATTGGTAGCATAGCGAAGGGTGACATCGCGTACGAATTCGTTGAGAATATGGCCTGAGAAGTCAAATTGTCCAAGCGTCATGAGGGCAAGGGTTATTTCGCTGTCCTTATGCTCGGCAGGAAGACCGCCATAGTCCTTCGCAAACGCGGGGAGGGGCGGTGTCGTATTGGCCGGGCATCCAAGCGGTCTGTAGGGAGAACGGACAAGTATCAGGCTCAAAAGATCAAGCAACTTATCCTGTATGGTTCCTCGAATTGGAGGAATATGGTGTGCCATGTCCTCGAGCGCTTTTTCCATGGGCTCTGTGAGGCCACATGCGAAGATTGGATCTAGCAGCGCTTCCATGTACTTGCTGAGGGTTTGGCCGACCGCTCCGGCAAGCATGCTGATGCACTGGAACATTGGCCCTTCATCGACGGCAGCCCTATTTTTGGTTTTCGCGCTCAGCGACTCTCGAATGTAGAGGATGATTCCATCGAGATACTGTGCGATAGCGCTTCCGACGGCTTTGGCAATTTGGCCAATAGCAACAAATGCTTGATTGCGCTCTTTTTCCCGTTTCAATTGGGCTTGGAGGTAGATCATGAACTTGTGCAAGTAGTTGTTGATGAATTCGAGGGGTGCGTATTCGGCAAGCACAGGAATAATCTGGACGATCTGCGTCCTGATCCGAGGGTCCCGGTGATCCTTAAGGCGCAGGACAATCTCACAGGTGTTTCTGTAGAAGTCATGCATGAACATGTTTCCCTGCTGGAGCAGTTCCATCAGAATCAGGAGAGATCCAAGGGTCTCGTCGACAGTCGTGTTGGGGCGAAACCCTTCCAAGGCCTTGGAGTATATTTTGGCAAACCAGTGGGCTTGAAACTGAGCGTCTCTTGCCACCATGACTCCGAAGCATGCACTGACAGACTGGGCAGCAATTCGTCGAATGAGGTCTTTCGGGTCTCGGAGGGCGTTCCAGATCAACTCAAAAATTTGCGGGATGAAGCCGTAGACGAGCGTGGGAGAATTCTTCGCCATCTCTCGAATAAGAAGTACCGCAGCCAGTTTTCGACTCTCCTGTTTGCTCTCCGGTTGTAGCCATTCAAACGCCGAAGTCATCTCCGCTTCAACGAGTTCCGCAGTATAAGCCCCTCCTGGCCGGGCGAGATGCCCCAGAGCGCGACTGGCAGCATCCAGGACGGTGTAGTCATTGCTCTTTAAGGCCGCACGGAGGTAGTTTGAGTATTTTGACGCCTTTTGGGCAGCATCCACCGCTTCACAATCTATCAGCCGATCTAGAGCGAGGACTCCTCCGACCTTGTCACTGGCATCCGGGGCTTGGACTATCAGATTGCTGATGCGGTTGGTTACTCTGTCGTAGAAGGCGCTGAAGCGTTCGGGAGACCATTCTTCGGGAAAGTTAGCACGGTGACAGTGTGCAAAACGAAAGGTGCTCACCTCTTGAAAGTAATGTGATGAGATCGCGCAGTTCATTGGCAGCCTTGTTCTTGACCTCGTCATTTTTGCTGCGCAACTCGATGAAGAGGCGTTCACTTGGGTCTACCCCTTGACCTTGCAACGCCATGTTGCAAGACCATGGTCCTCATGAAAGTTTCCCAAGGACGACGTAAGATGTGGTGAATTGGAAGATACGTATGGAGTATGTTTGCAGAAGGAGCGGATTTAACGTCCACTGACACTTTTTTTGCACTTTCGAGGGTGGAGACGCACCCTCTGTCTGCCCAGTGCTAAGTTGGGGTGCAACTCAGGACCAATCATTCAACGCAACTATAAAGCTATGGCAAGCCTGGCCTCCATCCTTGCGGAGTACTTCACCTACTCTGCACCCTGCGGGCATAATGCAGATCACGGCCAAATTCGAGACAACACGTCTGATTTTCCTTGACACACCCTCCCAGGTGAACATAAATGCTCGAGGCGATTCAGCTCTGAAAGTATGCGATCACCTCAGCTGCTGACTGGTGCTGTAGATTCTCTCTCCAATGAAGTGCATAAAGCACCGCAGCGATGAGAAAAATGCTGGAAGAACGGACGAGCTCGGAGTCATCGCGCAGCTGTCAGTAGTACGGCCACATTTCAGATACCTTTTGAGCTTGTCCTTCGTCCCGTCCAAAAAGTTGTTAGATGATGGATCATGTCTGAAGCAGGACCCCGAAGGCATGATCTCAAGGGTCAGGAGAAGCTCCAAGAATGTCCTGGAGGTGGCCTCATATCACCTGAGGCTTCCGCAGACGGCTGATAACGCTGCTTACGATGAGTTGCAGGTATGGTCAGTCAAACACCTCACCTTGGGAAGGGGACGAAAAGGCAAGACGGTTAGTAGAAAGTCATAAGGAGTGGAAGGATATGTGTAGCATTCGACTTCTGTTGAAGTAGCGAGACTATCCTCTCTGCTCGAGGTGTCGTTGGAATGGTCGACAAGATATTTCTGCAGATCGTCAGTTCTTCTCAAACATGTATGCGATTTGTTTCACTCTGGCCAATATGGAAATCCATGCAGACTCGGTCTTGTTGAAGTAAGATTCGCATTCCTCGAGACGGCTTCGAGAGCCGTGCGGAATGTGGATATCGAATTCGTCAACATTCCACCATCAACTGGCCGCTTTGGTGCTCACATGCGGTCAAGACCCAGCAGGCTGATGTGATTTTGGGCGGGAGCAAATGTTCAACGATCAATAGGTAGCGTGCAAGAATGATCCACTCGCTGCCTGTTCTTGACACTATCACATCTTCATTTTCTTTTAGCTGCAGCAACCTTTTGCAAGGCAACTTCTCTTATTCGAAGGTCCTTATCCATCACTTCAGCTGAGTCGTAACCCCCTAGTTTCAAGGCATCTGCCAGGCTGATGGAATTTCGAATTGACGGCGCTAATTCAGGCCGTAGCGCCTTGAGACGATGCGCTCTTTTCTCGCCTTTCGTGAGTGGTTTGCTTTCGAGAGACGAGGGATCTCCATTAGGCGCCTAAAAGACGTCAAGAACCATGGTCGATCGGCAGGGTCAGCAATTTTTGACATACGTTCGTCTTGGATCCTTGTTCCATCCCAAAAATAGGCCCACGGTTGGTTGACGGAGTTGGTTGGATTTTCGACGTGGGAGAAAGATCATGCAACATCTTTCTCTGGGTCTCATACGGGGTGTAATTGCCACCGATGAGACATTCTAAAAAACTTGTGGGCGGATCTTGTGATCCTCGCTTCTCGTAAGCGGCAAGTCGCTCTAAAAGGGCACGGTGCGACTTGGAGAAACATTTGATGATGTCATTGATCAAAGCCGTACCTCCAGAGATGTTGTTGTCTGCACGATTTGGATCAATAATGGTCAGGCGTCCGGTTTGATCTCTGGAGCGGGGTGCAAAGAATCCCTGTAGGAGCAAGTTAGTAGGTTCGAAATAAAGAGGGAATCAAGTACCTTGTCCAAGTATGTAGGAGGGTCAAGTCGAATGGCCACAGAGTTCTTGTCAAAGAGATTGCCGTAGTAGTTGAAGAATTCCACCAGGACTTGACCCAAATTCATTGGGTGTTTCGGAGCAGGCAGATGTTGCAGAAAACTGGTGACCAAACATATCGTAGAAAAGCCACCCAGGCCGCCCCTAGAGACATCATTGAGTCCCCGAATCATGAGATATTGTTTCACAATGGAGACAATAATCGGCATGACGGGATAAGCTTTCTTCCACGTTTGAACGGTGTCGATGGTGGCAACACCAGAATCGTTGTCAAAACAAAGGTCGACCTTGAGTCCACTAACTCTATCCACAAACTTGATGATTGGAACTTTTGCTCTGGCGATAGCAACAATTGATCCGGGCTTTGCAATATTTCGTTGTCTCAGAAACTTGGTAAAGATCTGCAAGGGTCTTCGCACGTCCGACTTTGTCGGTAGAACGCCAGGTCGGTAATCGCGAGTGAAGAACACGAGGTCCATGTCGCCCGTCGGCAGATAAAGTCCAACGGCATAAGATCCGAAAGGTTTCAGCTCCCCGGGCATGAGTCGTCGAAGATCACGGCTTAGACGTTCCAAAACATCGGCGCGGACCTTCTGCTCGTAATCCTTCGGCCTCACCCAATCGTAGAAATCGATTATCTCCTTGTGTAGACTAAGCCGGTCAGCATTTGTATCAAGTTCAGTCCATAGATACGCTTACGCGATTCCTGGACTGTCAGTGGAGTTGAGCGTCGTCAACCACGGGGTTGAATGGATGCCTTGAGCCACCGCCCACTCTTTCCGCACCATTTTATCTGCATAGATTTCATTTTTAGACCGCGCCGCCTCAGGTTGTCCATGTGTATCCCCTCTTTTTCTCTTTCCGAGGACCTTGTCTTCCGTCAGTGCCCGCGGAGCCATGACTGGTTCTGAGTGTGTAGAGTCTTCTTCTTTATCACCTTCACCAACATCGAAAGAGATGAAGTCGTCTTCATTCGCGGCCTTTTGGGAGTTGCGAGCGGCGCCAATCCGAGCCTTCCGTATAAGCTTGAGAACGTCGGTTCGCTTGGTGGTCTGATCTGCCGGCGGAGGAAGGGACGTGTACGGATCTGGGTTTGACCATTTTGGCAGGTGGGCAGTAGACGCAGCGCTTGAGTCAGCTCGGAGACGTTTGGCTGTCCTTTCTGATCCCTCAAGGTCGTCTTCAGACTGCGCCATTGCTTCCTCCTCACTGTCCGTAAGTTCATCTAAGTTACGGAACTTGGATTCCACATTGGGACCCATGAGTGCTAGATTTTCATCTTCGTCGTGCTTTAGTTTAAGCAGCGGGCGTTCGGCGATTTTGTTCACCGGGGGGAGTCTGCGGAAGTGATCTCTTCTTGGGGTTTCGTTTCGCGCACTAAAATCTCTAGATTTCGGCCGGTATGAGTTGTCACTTCGATCGTCGTTATTGCGATTGCCTTGGAAATAGTACATTTCACGGTTTGCATCAGCCGGAGGCCATGGTGGTCGTGAATGGTGGTTGTGACGGGTAGGATAATATGAATCGCGGTCGGCGCGAGGATCTGGGCCAGGACCACGACGAGGACGATACGAATCTCCCATCTAGGCCTGTGATCTTGACGGAAAAATGGCGGCAGAGATGATTGTTGACGACAGGGCCTTTTGAAAAATCGTCGCGAATCCAATCTAGACTCGATATGGGAATCCGGCTGATAAGATAAACCACAGCGCTACCTTTCAAAAGTACTCTACTTAATGGCCCAATGCCTCTATCGATTTCCAAAGATTGAAAGGCAGAGTTGAAGATGATCATATCTCGACACATTGGCTGCCTGGAGCCTTTGGTTGCCGATCCTGCCTCACCTTGACCTTCTTTTGCTCGCAAAATGCCAACACTCCCACGAATAAGGTCAGGCCTTTCACGGTAATGCCGGAAAACTGTTGCACCGCATATACCGCAAAATTCTCGGAAACAGTCCTTGGAGTATTCCTGCTGTCTGAGTGCTCCCATCTCATAGTTTAACGGCTTGCCATCGACATGGGAAAGATTGGCTTTTGGAACGAAAGCCCACACCTGAATTGGGGAACTAGAACCCAGCCGACAAGACCGACATGCACAGGTTCCCGCCAGGTATTTGAAGCCGTTTTGCCTGAAGCCACCATTTTATGTCTTTGGGATTCTGCGAGCTCGATGAATGACACGGCACAAGTAAGTCAGACCAAGGTGAGGGTTGGTAAAACGCGTTGACTTTGCTTGTCTCATTCGCCGCCTCAATATTGTCAGCGGGATTGTGGGCAATGTCTTCGGGTCGGCACATCCAAGCAGCATTGAGTGAGAAACGAAAGGACGTTCAAGTCCCCCCATCGGCTCCCTGCAACAAGAGGGAGACCGAGTGGTATCAATGTCAGCCAAGGCAACTGACAAGCCCGCTGTCTTTAGTGTCGCCCACAAACTCATGCCGAATGATCTTCTCCAATCTCAAGTATGATACTTGCTCATGGGGCCCCACACGATCAACCACGCCTGAGCAGATAGTCCAAGAGTCGTCTTTGGCGATGTGAATTAACAATCGCCCTTCTCCGGTCTTGGAGGAGGTAATTTGGGTCTGCTCTGAATTGACCAAGCAACTAGAGACAAATGCAAAAGCAAGTCCAGACTGCTCGAAAGAAATGAACTAAGGGATGTCAGACGCAAAGGGGAGGATGATGAGTGGTTTGGGAAAGACAAAACAGGTATAGGTCAGTTGCAGGCCGCCGCGAGGGGCCCACACCGATTACAAGCCCCGCCGTGGTGGTCAGCTGCGCGCTCTGCCAGTGTGCCCAACCCCCCGAACATAAAGTACACTCGCTTTTCTCTCTCCCCCTCCTTTCCTCATACCAGCAACAAGCAATCTCACTTTGTCTTCCAGCCTCGCAAGAATATTAGTCGACTCTCGAGTCACACAAGCAACACTTGAGTAACCGCAAACTCTCGCTTACCAGTACAAAATGGGTATGACCATGAGGGTTCAAAGGATCCTACGTGTATAAATGACTGACTCGCGCCAGGTCCTTGCAACTGCAGCTGCGGCTCCTCTTGTGAGGTCTTCACCCTATACTTTGACATTCTTGTTGCTAATAGCATCACTAGGCGCCTGCGCTCCCGGCCAATGCGCATGCGTACGCAGTCATCAGTTCTTCTCATTTGACCAGGTCCTGACAGATCTTCCAGAAATAAGTACATTACCTTGCCATTGAAGGCTTCCAGTACCGTTCTCTACCTGCGAAACATGTCTTGATATAGAAGAAACACAGTTTATACCTCTGATTGAAATGAGCTTGATCAAACTCTCCTTAAATTGGGACGGTGGTGGTTGCTAGTGGAGCAGACAAATGCACATAACTTTGGCAGCGTTCAATAACAGAAGCCCGTGAATTCCGTTGGGCAATTGACAAAACTTGAATTTTTCTGTTTCTACTATAAGAACCACAAGGCTACATACTCCCGTTCCCAGAATATTGACTTCGCCAATTCGCGGGCTGTTCCCCGAATGCCTGGCAGTTCCGTCTGGCGGGTTTCATGCGTACAAGCGGGGTTTTCAGCTCGCCCCCCCGGGGACTGGTCAAAAGAATTCCAATGCCAGACAAATGGATCCCACTTTTGACTATCGGTTCACACCACTATTGATCTGGAGGTAAGTAAAGTCATGTCGTATTAAGCAATATCCACATTCACATCGCACCGCGAACCCAGTTGACATATCACTTTCCAATGGGGCTATGGAGAGATCCAGTTTAATCACGCCCGAGTCAATCCCTCTCAGTCTCCGGATTCGAGGCTCCCTCTATGGTCTTGCGGTCTGCGACGCCTTGGGAGGACCGGTTGAGTTCAAAAAGCGTGGTTCCTTCCCACGGGTCACTTCGATGCTTCCCAACGACAACTTCGGTATCGGACCAGGCTATTTCACAGACGACACTTCAATGGCTTTGTGCCTAGCTCACTCTCTCCTGGATAACAACGGCCACTCCAACATCGCTGACCAAGTCAAGAAATACATCGCATGGTGGCAGCAGGGCTATATGTCCTCGACCGGGTCCTGTTTTGACATTGGCGTCTCTACGAGAAGCTCGTTGACAACCTGGTCCAACTATATGGAACAGGAGTACAACCATTTGCGTCCTGATTCAGTGGCAGCCGAGGAGGCTCTACTCTCCATAAAGAAAAAGATTACAGATGTGTTCTCGAAGGAACAGTATTGCGGGAATGGCAGTTTGATGAGGGTTCTCCCAGCCGCACTAACTGCACAAAGCGAGCAAGAGGCCGTGGAAGTGGCACGGGAGAGTTCGATCCCAACACACCCTCATCTCCGCTGCGTACATGCTTGCATGATATACGTCGCCCTGGTCTACCAAGCACTCAACGGCGCATCAAAGACTGAACTTGCTGTCAGCCTGTGCGAGTCGGTGAATGAGCCTCCTAACAACATTTCTGACACAGCAATAGAGTCAGTGCTCAAAGCGCGGTTTCAAGGCTACCGCACAATTACAGACTGGAAGTCGACTTCTTCCAAATCAATCCGAAGTACAGGGTATGTCGTCGACAGTCTCGAGGCATCTCTATGGGCGTTCTTCAAAACGAACAGTTTCGAAGAAGGCGTCCTCCTTGTCGTGAATCTAGGAGACGATGCAGACACTGTTGGGGCGATATATGGAGGAATTGCCGGGGCTTTCTATGGTAGCGAAGCTATCCCTGAAAGATGGCTGGAAGAGATGCAGAGGCTGGATCTTTTGAATGACACAGTGCACAAAATACTCACGTTGAGGGAAAAGACTATATGAAGGCTCAAGGAATTCTTCTCCATCCTCGGTGTGTAACAGGCAGCCACACAAAAGGAAGCCCTTCTTTCGCTTCGACTGGGCATTTAATAATTCATCTCGTGATATGATACTATTCTACATCTCAGACTAGCCTACTTAGCTACTTTGATAGCATCACCCATCAAAGCATCAACCGCACTGCATCTCCTACCCAGGTGAATGGTGGTGGCGTGATGTCATTTGCTTGAACGACCCCCGCATTTTTTATATCACAGCTCGAGCATTGCTGGCGGCATCGACAAACCAATATTGCCACTGGCCGGTGCATCCAGTAGTAGGACCCAGGAACTCAGTTTCACAGGATGACGCGCCTCATGTGACCCATTTCGATTCCATTTCGGATTTCATCCCCGCGATGCATATTTAAACCTCTCTGGACCCCATAACCAGGCACAAATTCACACTACCTGCAAAACCAAAACCAAAACCAAAAAATGTCGAACTCGAACTCATATTCCGAGTTCAGCTACGTTGCCTCCTCATATACCTCATCATCTTTCTCCCAATCCTCCTCCGCTGACCCCGAGGGCACGACAAAACGCTTCACCGAGACGATGACCAGCAACGACCGGGACGGGACTTCAGTCCGCCGCACGCACGAGGAGACCGGCAAACCCACACTGCAGGATGAGATGTATATTCCCCCAGGAGGACGGACGATTGAAGGCACTGGTGCGGCTGAGAAAGGACGTATTGAGGATGTCAGCGACGCCGACGCTGAGAGACACCGAGAGCGGGACAGGGAGTATGAAGAGCGTATGGAGGAGGAGTATGCGAAGAGGGAGGGCGGTGCTTGAAGTTGAAGTGGCAAATTGTACTAAACCGGACCAGGTCAGCTAACGTAGTCGAGAATTGACAATTCATTAGTACGTCGTCCGATAGGTCTGAAGACAATAAAAGGGCTTCATGGATGATTCAGCTTGAGTGAGGTAACTGGACTGGGGTTGGAATTGCATGTTGTATCACTATCGACTTGTACAAGTATTTATCTTTTCTAAGGGATAAAGGGTCAAGAGCTCTCTCTTTCTCTCTTCCGCCCCGTTCGCTCTCTCATATCCACAGTTTTTCTTCTGTGTCTTCTTGCGATGCTGGGGGAATATAATTTCAAATGAACTACCCGAGCCAATACTGTAGGCAAGAGAAAATGGATGCCTCCCTTTCCTTTCCATCCCCAACGACCCCTGTCGTTCACTCACCTTGATGAAGAGATTCTTCGGTCTGCGCTCTCAGAATTTCTCTTTCTCAGACTTTGATCTCCGTAGAGTTCAACAATTCTCATATTTGCAGCTCATCCAACGAACCTGCCGTGCTCATCTTTTTGGAGTTGATCACGGGGCTGGTCGTGATGTCGGTCTTCTTGATACAGATCCAGGTGGAAGCGTACATATTTACGCTTGATGAATCGCGTCAGCCTAAGGCCAAGACCCAAGTGAGAAATGAAAGGAGCCAGGTATCTTACCGGTCGATGCACTTCCCTGAATCCCGTCTTCCTACACATTTGGTTTCAAAGCCATGCTTCTCAAAGATCTGAGTGTACCAAGGCCGAAGAGCGGCGGAGCGGAAGAGGACACGACCACCGAGTTTGAGAACCTTGTTTAGGGCAATGACTTGCTCTAGGGCGGCGTTTTCTAGAGGATTGAACCAATCCATCGAGTCCATGAGCTAGTGGGGGGACGAGTTAGTTCCTTATGTGGACTGGACTGCTTCATATGGACCAGGGGGAGCCTACGATGGCGATAGTCAAGGTGGACGGGCTGATCCGTGCAATGACTTCCATGATTTCATCTGTGTGAATGCGTAGCCCGTCGAAAGTGTCTGGTCTCGAGAGCGTGGCGTGGGCCTTAACCCCCAAATAACGAGGATGACACCTATTTTCATTAGCCCAACTGAAGACCACGCGGCAGGATTAGACGATCTGCATACTTCCTTGAAAATTTCCCTTGCAGGCAGAGATAGTAGAAGTAATTATCTCTACTGATTTGAGTTGTTTCCACCACCGGATCCAAGGTGTCGACAACGTATTGCCAAACGGCTTCGCCAAAGAGCTTCTTCGTCTTCGGGAGATTTGTCCTCCGAGCATAGTCATTGATTATGAGTGCATGTTGAGCGGGAGGAACACCTGCGGCTTTCCATGCCCACCATTCTGTCGAGACAACCGCCTTGTGCAGAGGCCAGCTCAGCAATAAACTCCTAATATAGGGCCAAATCTCCCGTTGCTCATTTAACGTCTCCACTTTGCAAATCGTTCGCACTTTGGTCGTCAATCCAAACAGCTTGAACAGCCATCGAACAAGCTTGATAGCATGTCTTGAACCGCCGCTCTCATAAAGTCCGCCCGGAGACGTAAAGATATAGGCCTTGTTAAGCCAATATTGGAACGCTTGGCTAGACATGTGAGGGCTCAGTTTTTGAAGGAGAAGGTTGCGAAAATCAGGGTGCTGACCCTCTCCGAATAATTGCCAGACATCGCTGTGGGGGAGAGCAGTGAAAGCCGCCACTTTGAGCTCGAGGAGATGGTTCTGGTTGGGATTGAGATCGACGGCGTGAATTCGCTTTGGCTTTTCGAGGAGGTAGTCTAGAATATTATCTCCGGCGCTGGTGATGGCGAGAATGACGTCGTCTTGGGTGATATTCAGAAGCTGACGGTCAACTTTGGGATCCTCCCAATTGAAGGCGTAGATGTATTCATTGCCGAATTGTTGATGCTTCTGCAGAAGGTCGTTATAGTAAATTCTCCAGTGGTGTTGTTGGTAGAATGCTGCCGGCAGTGGAAGGTTAGAGCTCAAGTTCACAATAGCGGATTCATATGATTTCGATCGAGGGATGTTCTGTTGAGCGTCCAAAGCTCTTTGTTCGCGGAATTTCATGGGAGACAAATATGGCGATTCGGTCAGAGCCGCATCGAGCTTCTCCAGGGCTTCGTGGCCATGTTCAGCAAAAGTTTCGGCGTCTCTTCTGCATCCAATGAAGATATAATAGGGAATACTACGTTCAACAGGAGTCAGTACACAAATAAGGGGATGATACGACGCACAAAATATCGTTCCTACCGGTTCGGACCAAGGGATTGCCATTGGTCTTGATCCGTTTGGGAATTCCTATTTGATGCGCACGGTTTCCCACCGAATTGATCCAGGTATGAATGTTCAGGACTTACCCTCCTAGAAGATAGTTGCGTTCGCTCGTGGAGAGAATGGTGCCAAACCGATACTCGACGTAGTCTCTCCGACCGCCGTCAAGATTGACTCGATCAGCATCAAACCATGTTCTCCAGAACATCCGCCCAACCCAATTGACATGACGGTTAAAGGTTCCGCCGATGTAGTTCCTTGAGGAAATGTCCACGATGCTCTGAACGTAGAAATCGCAGATACCAATGACACCGCTGGGAGATAGAAGGCCTGAGATCATGTCGATAACACTGTAAAAATCTGGAATCATAGATAAGCTGTAGCTCATCGTGATCAAATCGGCCGATGAAGGGTTGCAAGCGATCGACCTGGCATCTTGACAGAGCACGGTAACATTCTTCCAGCCATTCTGGCGGACGCGTTCATTTGCAACCTCGCACAACGAAGTGGACAGGTCGACAAGGAAGACATGGTCAAAGAAGCCCTCGATACCCACCATTTTGTCCATGACCTCGATATTGTAGCCGGTGCCGCCCCCAATATCATACCAAACGGGTTTTTGACCTCCCTTTGATGCCATCCGTGCCTGCAGCTTGGCAATCAAAACGGCCAACATGTCTTCTCGGCCCTGCAAGAGGCGCTTCCTGGTAGCATCGTAGACGTGTGCCTGAAACTAATGAGTCAAGGAAAAGGCCACAACTTCTCGGCCTACCTGTGCGGAATAGAAGGATTCGAGAGCGCGTTGTTGTCCGGCATCCGTCTGCTTGTCGTGGGGCTTCAAAAGACAGACATAGACAAATCTGACGTAGGGATGTGCGATGAGTTTCTCGAGGATGAAATGGCCGCCAAGCTTATACAAAAGGCACGCCAGAATGGTCACGAGGACAAAGAAACCCATTCCTATCAGTCCGAGTTCGAGGTGGAAACTCTTGAGGCGCTGCCATTCTGCGTAGCTGAAAGGCTCCATTGTTTTGCGTGTCAAGGACAGGCAACACCGACACTCTGACAAAGAGCGGGAGAAGGTAAAGCAGAAGATGACTTTACTGCGCCGCCCTCTCTCATGGTCTTTTGCAGTTTAAGAATTGTCCGCACGACCATAAGGCTTCTGGAGGCGAATTTACCACGGGCAGGCTAGTCCAGCGAATCAATACCATGATAGCAGACATATGGCGGATTGAGTGGCGAAGACGATAGTCCACTAGAATCTAAAAGGAGAGCGCCAGCAATGGATAACAGTAGACGGCGCATGTGCAGCTTCGAAACAGCGGGTTTGAGTTGGTGAGAAAACGCTGCGTGACGACGCGAGGAGCTGGGAGAGAATTGCCAAAAGGTTGCCCCAGGCGACAAATCACAGCAGCGCATTCGGCGCGTGGGCGAGGGTCCTTTAGCATCAAATCCTATCGCAGCCGAATTCGGGAGACGTCGCCCAACAACCAGATCTCGAGCGAAGCCAACCACCGCACACACGTGCTGCCCAAATTGTCTTTTTGCGGTGCTGAGAGACCCAGGAGCACGAGATCAATCCACCTGACCACGTGCGACCTTTCAATTTTCAGCATGTTCACCAGAAAAAAAAAAAAAATTCGATGGGGCCAGAGGGGTTGAGGGGGGGGGCCTTCTCTGGCGAGATTTGTTTCATGCAGGGTCCCATCTTTTTTCTTCGATTGTCGGTTTACCTTCCACACTCGGCCAGCAAGGGAGGGGGGGATTCGATCACGTGCTGTGGAAGCCTCGTGGAAGCATGCTCGACCACTGATCGAGGCACTGGCGGTAGCAGGCTCAGACGGCGTGGTACTCTTGCTCACTTGGTTTTGGTTTCTGGTTCTGATCGAGATCCATCCAGGGGGGAGGCATTTCGAGCGAGTTCTGCTTGGAGATCTGTGATCCAGAGCTTAACGTTCTCACGAAGTCTGTTCAGTTCAGGCTCGTCCGAGTAGGGCATGCTGGCCGTACAAGCCTCGATTCTGGATGCAATCTCTTTAGCCTGCTCGAGCTCTCTCACCTTGGAACGAGGTTGAGCATATTTCCTGATTACATGGTCAGAAGATGTCGCCGACTCTGCATCGCTGTCAACATCCCCGGCGATCGCACCGTGGGTTGTATTTTCCGCGTGCACCACATAGATCCAAATGTTGAATATGGCCAAGTAGAAATCGATGGCGTTGACAGAGTCTGGCCAGGACTTATGATAAGGATGCCTGATTATAAGCCTCTCATAGAACCGTTTAGCGTTCTCAAATCCCTCTCGAGTAAATGGAAATGCAACTGTCCGGGACTCAGGACCAGCCTCACTTGGGCAGCCTTGCCGTAAAAGGACTTCGGCAGCAATGCCCATAAACCCTCGATTGCGGACAGCAGCACTCTTCATTACCATGTCTTCTCGAAACATGAGGCCCAGGGCTCGCGATGCTCGTGGGAAATCCTCTTTCAGTAAGCTGCGATGAACTATCGCAGTCAGAGCGGCGAGATGTTGAAGATGAAGAGAACCTAGCGCATCAGACGAGTCGTTGGGCGACTGCTTCTTCTTCTCACTGCGCAGCGTATCCCCGCGGCGGCGGTTTGAAGAAGGTATTTGAGCATGCGGGAATGGTACTCCGGGAGGAAGTTGATCCAGCGGTTGGCCGGCAACACGGCGCTGGAGTCTTTCCGGGGGAGAAACGACAGCAGCATACTCTAATTCAGTAATACTCCTCTCTGTGTGGTTGGTGACCTTCAACTCGTCCTGCTCTTGCTCCTCTCTCGTTTGTCCTGTTGTATTCACTCTCTTGCGCTTTTTGCTGGAAGATTGCCGTCGCTCGGTACCCACCGAAGACCGCCGAGTATTCACGACTGGCGAGAAGATCGTAGGCATTGTCGCTCTTCTAGCCATCGAGGCGGGTGTGATCGTGACGAACGAAGTGTTGTCAACTCCAGGCTGGAGAGGATTCGCCGTTGATTGCGTGCATGAGGTCCCTTCGGATAGAGGCTGGAACGGGCAATGGGTCTTGACATAGTAAGTAAAATAGTACTCGTTGCGGGCTCATAGTTGGGGAAGCGATCATTACTGAACTGTGCGTCAACAGTCGACAAAAGGAGTTCTGGATGCAAGCACAGAAGTGAAGGCGACGATGAAGGAATCGACCATTTTGCTATTGGCCGAGGGCTAGTTGTCTCGGAGCATTCGTTTGATCAGACGACAATGTTGCAACTTGTTGGCAGGGTTGCGTCCGTGCTTCGCAGAACACCTTGGTTTGGGGCCGCTTTTGCAAAGTCACAACTCCAGCCTTCCAACGAAAGCACCATCCGACCTTAGTGATAACCACACCCTCCTAACCTGGCTGTTCACCATATTCTTCGGTGAAGCCTCAGTCACCTACATCTCAAAGTGAACCCTACACACCTTTGTTGCTGTTGATTCCGTCCTATCTGCTAAGCGCTTCGATGAATCTCGTCACCTTCTGACAAGTCAGGTTGACCGCACCCTTAGATGCTGTCCTGGCCCATTCCTTGTCTTCCGGCAATTACACTTTTAAATCTCTTCCCCTTGGATCGAGCATAACACCCCCTGTGTCAATATTGAAGCTGCCTCCTAGATATCGGTTGGTCATGACGCCACAGTAGGCTTACCTGTTGACCGGGTGGCAAACTACTGAGCATGGGCAACACCACTTCTGCCCCTCGCGGGCCGACCGATGACGGACAGTTGGAAGAGCTCGGGCACTCGAGAAGTGGCACACAGATACGAATTATTGACGGTAATCCTGATGGCAACAGCTCGCGCCTTGCCGGAAGAAATACCAACTCACTGAGAGTCGCTGGACATAGAGCCAGTACTCTTTACGACACTTTCCGACGCCATCGATCAGCCGAATCAGTGACCTCGCGACCGAATGCAGGACATCCGTCGCCATCCCTGGATGAACACGAGTATGAGCAAGAGAACAGACCTCTGGTGGGAGTTGGAGATATTGATACGGCAGAAGCGACCCCAGAACATATTGTTCCCGGACACGCGTCTCGAAGACGATCCGCAATGTCGAGACTTGGGTCACGACTTCTGCCGGATTCTGTCGTAAGGGGGGTGTTAAACAGTGGTGAAGAAACTTTGGAGGAAGGCCGCGCGCTACGAAATGGAGCGTCAGAACATTCACGAGCCTCAGTCTACAACCGACCGCTAAATTCTGCAGCCAACAATGGGCTATCCGCTACCGGTTCCTTTGGAAGACGTGAATATCGCACATATTCTAGACGACGAGCCATCCGAGGCCCATTCCCGATCTTGCAAAACATTCATCCGCCTCTCGACTCACACAGTCCCCGGCCTGAATCATTTGATGGCGTTCGGGATGTACCAGCGCCCACGATCAGCCCGCTTCGGCATCGCAACAGATTCAGCCGTGTCCGTGATTCGATTTCCATATCCTCTCGAATCTCTAGCCTGTTTGGACATTCCACAGATCAACTTCAGTCCAGCCAAGGAGGGCCGGAGTCCGCGGTTCGACCCGGGGGGGTCACCTTTGCCGACGAATCTGATCATTTACTTCCTTCACTCCAATCTAGTGACCACCGTCTCGATTCTGACGATACTCCTCACGAATTGGACGCAGTTGAGCCCGAAACTCGAACTCTCCTGGCCGCTCCCCGTGTTACTTCGGGCATGAGTACAATTAGACGATTCCAGCCGGGTCTTCGCTCCCGGTCGACCCGACTCATACGAAGAGGAGAACATCCACCCCTATCGCAGGTTCTGCAACTCGCGGCGGCAGCTATTGCAGCTCAGCTGTCCGGCCACGCTGCTGGCGGCGCTTCTGGTGGGCGTCAACTTGGTGGCGACACATTTGATGGGAGTATTCAGAACTTTGTCCAGACACTTCAAGACGCGGCAACAGCACAGGCGGGAGAGAGCATTGACATGAATGCATCGGATGGAGACCTTCCTCCGGTCAACTTTATGCGAGTGTTCCAATTTCCCAATGATGAGAATGGCTCTCCGATCGCGTCGCAAGCACGGTCTCGGGACGTTGATCAAATGGAATTGGACTCTATCGCTGGGCCTGGTGAAAACGACCGATCCGTAACCTTGGTTTTGGTCGGTGTGAGATCGTTGCCTCATGGTCAGGACAGCACTAATGGAGAAAATGGTACTCTCGGGCCCAGTCTGGACACGCTTTTGAGCCTCCCATTCTTACCACCTGCCAATATTCTGCGAAACGGAAGCTCTGGAGCCTTGTTTCGCCGCTCGGACGGAAGAGCACGTTCAAACCCTCGGCGACATTCGATGACCAACTTTCCTGCACAGTACGAAAGTCAGCGGCATCAGCGCACACGGACACAGACGGCCCGGTCGTCGACCAACTCTGATCAGGCTGTGCCATCTACGCCTGAAGCGGGCGAGGCATCGCACCTGGTCTCGGAAACCCCCCCGGGGCCACATCCTCCCCCTTCAACTCCAGCTGCTATTCGGAGTGGCCAAGCATCACCGATTCGTCGCCCATCATCGGCATCAGCGGCACAGAACCCAACCGTTCCCGAACTAGATGAAGACCATCCACGACAAAATCTTGATGATACGGCACCAGAGACCTCGTTCAGCGCAGCACGGCAGAGGAGACGAAGTGATTCGGAATTTGCTCGCCGGCCCGAGCTCGGTTCTGGTGCTGCGAGGCGGAATGGAGTGGTGGAACCTGATCATCCCCCCGTAGGAGCTGGACGAAGTTGGCTGATCTATGTTGTTGGCACGAATGTCTCGCCCGATCACCCTGCTTTCACCATGCCCAGCTTGTTTACCGATAATCCTTCCTATGAGGATATGCAGATGCTGTCAACTCTTCTGGGGCCGGTCAAGCCCCCCGTGGCGACACAGGAAGACGTTAATTCCGCTGGCGGGCTGTTTCGTCTGGCGGTCCAAGAAACCGGTTTCATGGGTGATCCTATTTCAGAGGGCGACAGCTCTTCATTAATTATCAGTCCAGGGGAGCGATGTCTCATCTGTTTGTCTGACTATACAGCGCTAGAGGAAGTGCGGCGTCTCGACAGGTGCCACCATGTGTACCATCGCGAGTGCATTGATGAAGTGAGTATTGTCTTGACGGGATAAAACGCCATAGTATTGACCATTCCCCAGTGGCTCACAACTGGCCGTAACAGTTGTCCAATGTGTCGGGGCCAGGGTGTTCGGGAAAAAAGCAATCCTTCAAACATGAATCCTGCAGCCGCCTCACCGCCTACAATATGAGATGTTGACACTACTGATCATGACAGTCCAAACGGGTCCCGACAGCGATGATGCTCGCCAAAGCTCACGACCGTTTACGAATTCTCTTATTAGCATTGTCCGGGACAACCCATCGGCTTGGCGCTCGTTGGGTATTCGTGATACTGGGAAGGGCACATTTTAATGAGGGTGTTTCTGACCGAGATGGGAACTATGAACTTAGTGGGCTCCAGTGTGGTCCGATCAGGGAAGCGATGGATTGATTTGAGATGGTCCGGTCAAACACGAATTTGTAGGTGCTTTTACATACTCTAGCAAGGTTGTGCCCGGAACCTGAGACACTGAGATAAATTTCTTGCAATCGGCTGGTACATGTGATTCCTCTATGGAGCTTTCGGCAACGAGACATGGTGAGACCTTGAGACAGGTACCGAACACGTGTAGGTGAAGACGGTCAATCGCAACAAATTGCGCGCTTGGACTTCTTTTTCTTTTTTTAAATGTCACTGCTTTCAGAATTTTCGATGTCTACGTGCAAGGAGCAGACTTTGTCTAATCCAGCAGAAGTGGCGGGAATACCGAGCCATGAGCAGTCCTACTGAGTACATGCTGCTACCGCGGCAGCAGATAATGAGCACGGCGGGGCCCAATGATCTGGGCTGCCTGTGCACCGGAGATTGCCAGCCATCCTCAGCAAGCGGATTAATTATTTTTTTTTTTTTTTTTTAAAACGAATGCGCCCTGACCAAAGTTGGAGGGCATCCATCTCGATCGACGGTTAGCCTAGCTAGGGGAGCCACAGATCGTGTCCGAGACTGGAAGCATTTGCCATCGGCGACTCTGATAGACTATTAGGCAGCTTTATTTTTGTCTCTAACTTTACTGATTTGCTTTGTACGTCCATTCGATGGACGTCCCTGCACATGTGAAATCGTTCTGGAGAAACACGATTCGGGCCTGTGGCGATTTCGGAACTGAAAATGATTCGTCGAGGGATGTGGCTCTGTGAGACATGAAGATGGACTTCAACGAGGTCAGGTACAGACTCGTGAGTGAGATCTGTGCTGGGACGGGCCATTCCTTTTATTTGCGGTCTGGAATACGCAATTGCGACATCGCTGCTCATTCCAATTTGCAATCCCTCTCCTTCACCAATTCATCACGCACGGCTGCATTAAAAAGGTCCTCTTCAAGCGTCCCATTGTGTCAAACAGGCCTTTGAGGCCTATATTTAACCTTCAAGCATCGACGCCATCTCTACCACCATTCCCCATTTCTGGCATTGATCATCTGCCTCCCAGAGCCATCCAGAAGTGACCGTTGCCGGCCGCTTATGCTTCCCCTACAGCTAGGACTCCCTGCTCCCTATTCCCTCGTTTTCTACTCCATCTGATGGCGTGGGAATTTCCCACTGGCCGATCTTAGCCATGGAAGTGCCCTTGGGCAGAGGACGAAAGGACAAAGTCATGTCGAGATCACCAATCGAGTCATTTCGTAGTCCTTCCGCCATCTTAAAATCCCATTGGGGTTTCAGCAGGTTGCAGACTATGTTTCGGGAGGACCGGCTGAGTTGGAAAGACGCGGTCATTGTTTCTCACCCGGTAGGTAGTAGCATAGCTCCATCCACAACGCCTAGTTCTACTAAACCCCAATCCCACTACGGTATACACATCTGGAAAGAGGCGTTCAGACATGAAGACTCAAAAAGTGGGTGCGATGGGCACCTGTAGGATCTGCAGCCAGGGTTCATGAAGACTTGAAAGTCAAACGGATCCCTCCAAGAGCACAGACAAGTGGCCCCCTGTCTGCTGCGGCTGCCATTGGGCAGGAAATGCATCGTCACCGAGCATATCGACGCCCATATGCACTAGACACACTCTTTTAACACGATAGTTCACTCCAGCTTTTCATCCAGCTGTTAGCCCCGGACGAATCGCTCGTTCAGGGAGGGGCGGAAGAGAATCCCAAAATGGGCATCTCGCAAGCCGTTGTCGTTGATTCCCCGCCCTCCAAGAAACGGCCATGCAGCCCACTATCACTACCCACTTGGGTCGACAGCTTGCAGCCCACAATACCAAAAGCCTTCCACCCAGTCAGCATTCGCCTTCTTTGGGGGTTGACTTGGTCGCCCCAGGTGCATTTCTGTGACCCAGCGAAATAAGGGTTGAAACAGTTCATGCTATCGGAAGAGTGATTTGCCGGGCAAGATTAGCATTCCGTTAACCAGGAACCACTCGGACCGGCCTAATCTGCATCAAGGCCCTGAGATGCCGCAGTGGTGGGTATGATGCGACGGGATGGTCCTCGAGTCGGGTCTGCAGTCGACCAGTCTCACCCTTTTTTTGAGAGCCTTTTGGGGCCAGAATACCATACCGGGTGTTCGTGTGGCTCATCGACGATATCGCTCTGTTAAGGGAGCATCTCCACGCCACTGATGCAACGTGGTTGTTTCCCACTGCATTGAGCCTATAGCTAAACGATGCGGACCGAAAAACGTGGCTTTAGCTTTGGCTCCTGAGGCTCCTAGGCTGAAGGTCACTCTAGGTTTTACTGTTAGAGAGCTGTTACAGGGTCCAATAGGCTACAGCATCCTCTGAATACTAACTTGACATGCCGAACAAGTTGAGGGCTTTTCCTGCGAAGATGGCTACGCCTGTTCTAGCACAGCGTGCTGGTCTAAGGAGCAGGTCCTTCTCTAGATTCCGCGACAAATCAAGTTTTTGCTTGATGATTGCAGCAACGCCTCGTAAAATAGATCCTGGTGAACACACAAAAAAAAGGACTGTCGAATTGCGTGAGGTCGATCCATCCGAAACCAATGATCGACGGCCAGAAGGGAAAAGGAAAAAGAATAAAAATTTCATCTCTGACAATTGCAGATGTTTCGCACTTTGCATTCGCAGCGGTATCTCCGCCGTGGGAGAACAGCTTTCGGTACAAGCCAATTTCCTTTGCGCCATGATTCGGGTTCCGACCATTTTGGCAGGCCCCCTTGTGCCAGCGGCGACCGTCCCCTCCAAAGCCACCATCTCCTGGACCGTTGACAAACTCATCAAGCAAGCCAGCACGACTGGGTGATAGACTTGTGTCAGATGCTTAGGGTCCATCCGGCGCTGTCAAAAGTGCAGGACCGGTTTCAAGACGTTCAAACTCGAAAAGGTCCAAACTTCTCCGTAGGCTTAGCTCACGCAATGTGTGCTTTGAGGATCGTTCCAGCTCAACATACGGGCATCCCAGGGACGGCTTCTACAATGCGGCTCTTCGTGGACACGCCAGAATAGCATAATGTTCCGGCAGTGCCAGTAAAATCAGCGGCCGGTGAACTGGCGGCGGCGAGAACGGATGAAGGACCTTCTATGCCCGATCGACATTTTGGATCTACGGTACCTCAAGAATCATCCCCGGCCACGCACTGGCCCAAGTCTGACGGGGTGTGAGAGACCCTGGTCCTGTCCAAGGGCCACTATTCACGGTAAAGCGCTATACAGTCCGCTGGTTTTCGGCATGGGGCCTAACAACCTAAGAGACCCCCCCCCTTCAACTTCGACTCTTGACCTTTTTCATGCTCCAGTCCAGAGACCAGAAAAATCTGTGGTACAATCCAAATTTGTGTCCCTATCCAAGAGCAGGTCTTTCATTCACGCTGTGCCGAATACGTCCCCTTCAATTTCAATGACCCCACGTCCACAGATGCCAAGTTACCTCTCCTCAGCGGAAGATATGTTTTGGCGGGTCCGGTCGACTTTTTGATAAGCCTCGAACTGGCATCACCGAATCCAGCATTTTCTCTTTGAGGCCATTCCAACTGCTTAGATTGTGGCCCAAATTTGGATTCTACACTCAGCGGACTAGCTGGTCGTCGAGAATTGATTCAGCCTTGTTTGATTTCTGCTCGGTTCTGAAGGATTTTCGGCAGCTCGGGTTGGTGTCAGGTCATGCCTGCGAAATACCTCCGCATGAGTTGAGTGATAAAAAGGTGGCATCTATCGTCGCTGAAGACTCAATTTCACCTCGGATCCTTGTCTTCCTACCTTGAGGACCTAATATTCGACGGCAATTCCTTCGACTCACAACCGACAGAGGACATCAACCGGTATCCATCCGACTGAGACAAGCATATGGCATTGTACCCTTTGTTACACCGGTTCGACCAGAGTCAGTGTCGCACGTTCTCACCAGTTCTTGCATGAAAACGGGCCCATTTTGCCACGACCGTCTCTTCGTGCGTACGACGAAGTCATCAAAGAAATCGTCTCACCCTCTTCCGTTCACAGGGAAGAACTCCCCCAGAAAGGCCTTCCTGTTTATCGGGGACGAGCACAAGTCTGGCACTTGAACAATCCTCCGGTTCATTTCGACTACTTTCGTTTTGTGTCACGATCAGTCATCCGGCCGGTCTGTTTGACTCATTACCCCCTCGACATGAGCGGACCCTACGACCACGGCATGAATGTGCCAGTGCCTAATATGATGGATCCAGGCTATTCGGTCTATGATGGCCGATTTAACACAGGATACCCCAGAATATCAGGTCCTCAGACACATTTCGACGGTGGGGCATTTTGGTATAATCCCAACAACGCCGAACCCCTCTACGACAGAGAGGCGAGCCTTTACAGCGGGCGTGGTGTGGCTCTTCCGGCGACAGGCATGGAGGCTACGGGTATCAAGCACAGGAGAACTCGTAGCGGCTGCTTCACTTGTCGCAGCAGAAGGGTGAAGGTAACCAGAGAAGCCTGAAGTTCCATAAGTTCTTTGCTAATAGTTTCATAAAGTGCGACGAGACTAAGCCCATTTGTGACAGTACGCTACCACCTGCAAATGTTACGGGACCCCTACTGACGTGAAATTCAGGGTGTAAGAAAGGTAATCGTGACTGCGAGTTCCCACAGCCCACATCCACGTCCAAGCGCGTAAAGCAAGGCGAAAGTCGCAGCCCAAAGGACCAAACATCAAAGCATGAGCTTAAAGAAGAGACCATGTCGGGATTAGCTACAATCAAAGATGAAACCGAGGACGAAGATGAGCCGGCCTCCACAACAGAGCGCCCACCACTTCTTCAGCGTCGAACAGACAGTGCTCAATCAGTGAGCCAAGTCATTAAATCGAAGACCGCGCCAGACACACCTCCAACCGGCAGGGACCAAGCCAGCCCCCAATCCACAGATGTGTCAGAGTCTTGCTCAAGAGATGAAACACCTGCGTCTTCCCTGCGCACGATCGCCAACTCGGCCGAGATGCAAGCTCGGCAAGCGAAAATAAGGTCTCTGAAACCTGATATTCAAAAATATCTCCAGTTTCAGCAGGAATATATGACATATTACCACTATTTTTATAAGTTGGACCCTACCGACTTTGTCCATGGCGAGTTTATCGACCTTGCTTTGAGCTACGAGCCATTACTCTATGCCGTTGTGGGCTTCGCAGCCTACCACTATGAGTTACAACAACCAAACCCCAAATTGTCACACTTCCTAGGTTACCATAGCAAGTCTTTGTCCATGCTCCGGAAATCCTTGGAGAAAAATGCGAAAGTGACCGAAGCCACCCTGCTCACCGTGTTGCAACTAGCGACTTTTGAAGAATATATCGGGGATTGGGTCAACCTTGTGGGACACCATCGCGCAGCTCACAGCATGGTCCGCGAGCTGTTCCAGCATGAAACGATGATGGACACCGATCTCGGAAGACGCATCTTCAGCTGGTGTGCGCGACTAGATGTCATTGTTGGGCTTATGGCAGGAAACGAGACGCGGCTAGATCGGCAGTGGTTTGTCGCAAACATTACCTGGTATCGCGACCAAATCGACCCTGATCCAAAAGGTGACGTGGATATTGAGAACACGCTGGCATATTTCGTGGCTGCAAATCGCCTAATCGGAATGGACATGGCATCACTCTTGGCCAAATTCTCCAAGCAAGAAATCAGCGTCGAAGTGTTCAAGGCAGAAAACGCCGAGATTGCAAAGAGACTTGATGATATGAAACGCCAGATCGAATTATTAAATGATGACTACTACAGGGTGCAAGAATTTCCCGTGGAGAAGACTCGCCCGCTGACGCCAGATGACATTGTGAATCCATACACTCCCGGTGGACTATTCAAGGACGCCCTATGGCCGCTAAATTTCATGTGGCTCGACTGGTATGGCATCGAACAAATGCAGAGGTACCAGACCGCAATTATGCTCCAGCAACCGATACCCCCAGAACTAGAGCAAATAAGTCTGGAACAGTGTCGAATTTACGAAGCAATCGAACGATGGCCAGATGCTCCAAACGGCGCAATCCTCGGGGCGCATGCAAGTTTAGGTCTTGCCACTGTCTTTCTAAAGAAGGATGCCAGACATACCATGTGGGCGAGAAGAAAACTCGCTGCAGTCGAAAGACTGGGCTATGTTTTCCCTCCAACTTTTCGAAGAAAAATGGCCGAAATGTGGGGTCTGACGCGCAGTTTATCTGGAGAAGATGAAGCGGTGGAAGACTGGTGGCTACCGAACAACGAAGGAAATATACCGATGTTGGCAGAGATTCGCAGAGTAGTGAGTGACCGACACGAGAATGACACGATGACGAGCATGGAATCTCTTGCCAGTGTCAGGGACTTGAAGGCCATTTTCGCCAAGCTGGATATTCGAACACAGTCAACCACGATACCGGGATCCACGACCGAGAGCCTGAGTCCTCTGAGTGACGAAAGTGCTGTGAATAGTGACAGAGGGAGCAATGCCAGTTTCAGTCCGACCAGTTTCAGTCCGACCAGCGGTAGCTTTGGAGACAGTCGCAGCGGCAGTATTTCCGGACAAGCGCAAGGAAACGGCCAGAAATGGAGGCCGAAACACGCCCATTCAAAGCCATGAAAGATAGAAGTCGTTACGAGTGACAGACCGGGACAGAATCCTAATCACTAACATATCTACGACGTTACAGGGGAAAGGAATTTACGACATCCATTGGACTGGGCACGACCTTGCACAATCCTGACCATGGATTGTTCTTAATGCATCATGACCCGAAAATCAACTCCCCACAAAATGTTGGGCCGAAATTTGGCACAAGCATTCGAATGTTGAAGGACAGTGTACAGAGCCTCGCTTCGTCTCTGGTTTCTTCACGATACGTTAAACATACCACTTCTTCATTCATCATGTTTGTTCTATTCGATACCATTTTACTTCTTCAGCTTCTCTTCTCTTTACGGCAAACAAATGATATTCAATGATACACAGATGAAAACCAATAGTGAAACCCAGAGCTCAACAGTCTCGGTCAGGAGGCCAGGAAGCCGTCATGGCAATCAACTTGGAAGGGGGAAAATAGGGTCAATTCTGCTCTCAGTACTCATTTTCAGGATCTGAGAACGAGTTTTCAGGGGACCGGAATCTTTTCCTTCCCTCTTCGTCTGACTGCATATTGATATATCTAGCATTCCGATTTATTTTTTGCACCCAATTCAGGATGGAAAAATGGAAATATATCTGTCTATATTACTACCTCTTGTGCTTCTTCTATTGTGCCCGATCTACGTTCCTCCAATAAACTCAACTGACTGATAAAGTTGACAAGATCCTATGGGTACACAGCTCTCCCAGAGCTCGCCTCTTGATGACGTTGTTTCAATAGCAAACGCTCTGCACATATGGTTTTTTCCTCCCTTGTGGCCGCCTACCATCACATCTCCTGGCGAGCACGAGGGACGCGAACGACATCTATAATTTGACCGTCTCCACCTCCCAACTCATACGAGGTGATAAATTAGAAAATGGATTCTTCCATTGCTCTTTCAAGATACATTACAACAGGAAGCCTGCCGCTGTGGTTCAAGTGTTGCCAATGTAGCCTACACTTCCTAGGTCTGATTTCTCCAATTGAGAATAGATTCTGGCGAACATGAGGAGCACTCTCGCAATACCGAGCTCCTTTCAAGCTTTCATGTAGTTTTTTTTTTAGGTTAGGTTGGCTCATCAGTTCAGGAAGACCGTGAATCAATCCCAAAAGGAAAGGGGGAGAGAGAATCCGAAACACCGGCGTCACAACGCCCACGTGGTAGATGAAATTATCTACTTTTGGCTTGACAAGGCTCATCGGAGTATTTGGCCATTGTGAAACATCAAGTACTGATTCCTTGCTCTTTGGTCCCTCGAAACGCTTGGGATTTGTATCTTGACAACAATCTCCAGAGGCCGTGATTCCTCCGTTATATGGTCCACCATTGCCGGAATGCCCGATGGTTTGGGATGTGAGCTGGGTTCAAGGGTGTTGGAAACGAGCGAATTATTTGGGGAAATCAACAGCCGATGGAACTGTGAACGATCTTCGGAAATCTTCTATCCTCGTCTTACGAAGTCGTGCCCGCGGTGGGCGGCGCAGCCTGCATGCATCATTCTCATATTGAGTGAGTTCTATCCATGCTCCAAGGCAGGAATCATCACTATCGCCAAAAATAGATCGAGCTCTCACTGCTGGATTCCGGAAAATCGCAGCGTGAATCCATCTAGGCCTTGGAGAGCCAGGGCTCTAGGCACAGGGCATGGATGTGGGCATACACTCTCAGCTTGGAGGATTTGGGCAAGATTCCACTTGGAACCTTCCGCTTGGAGGTGAGTTCCTGGGCTTGCCCCTTGTCACTAACTGAATCAGCACCCTAGCCCTGGTCAAGAGAATCCTGGTCCACTGTTCATGATAAACAACCAAAGCATGAAAATTCTCTTTCATCACACACCCTAGGACGATACTTGAAGGCGCGCAGAACATCGGGCTGGTGGGGTCGAAGCCCAGAACTCAGATACCCCCAGCTTCGGAAAAGAACCTGCATATGCATGGCGACCTAAAAGGCAAAAGAAATCACACTAACCCAGAGTGCCTCAGTGCTGCTCGTATTTTATCTCCGTATACTTTTGTTTCCAATGGGTTTTGGTTTTGTTTTTCTTGTCCTTTTAGAAGATATCTCCAGTTGCGGCAGACCCGTCACTAGAGGGCGTCGGGGGTTGCTGATGATCGGGCAAGGTTGTGAATAATTTTGTCACTCTCTTTAAAGGCCCTGGTTAAAGACTCAGGTCCGGACGATTCTGTGTTCTCATTAAGGGGCCTTTACTTGGGGTTGCAGACCAGGCCTCTGGGAGGTTTCCAGCCGTCCGGGACTGCCTATCTTCCTTATACTAGCTTAATGCGAGCCTAATGATCCCTGCGATGGGGCGACCTTTACCAATCTTAACGCGGAGAAAGGCCAGGAACTGGGTCCGGTCCCTGAAAAGGCCCCCTCCAAATTATTTTGAGTCAATGTGGAATCTGTTTCAAATGCTCATGATTCAGATTCAGACAACTTCCCGGTATTCCCGAAATCTGCGTGCTCGATGGGACCGGAATGATACGTTGGAACACTGGTCTTCGGGGGGCACCCGCGCCCGACAACCGTCCACATTAGCCTGGCGAGTAATTTGCAGCGTCCACGGTCTGAGGCCGAGCTGGGCCGTCATCGTGGCCGAACAAGTGACCAATACTCTTGCCACGAATTCGGCTCAGTCAACATTCAGAATGACAGGCCAGCAAGTGTGACAAGGTAAGCCAGAACAGGCGGCTTGCTGAAAGAATGCATCAGACTGTTCACGCGGATAACCTCGTGCTTCCGGCATGCGAGGCTAGCGCTCGAAGAGATCGTTCATTCGGCTTCGAGGACACAACAAATCACCCTCCTTGGCATCGCCAACGGCTCCTGCAGCAGCGCCTAGCACCCGTTTACCGGCCGCATGTTGCATTATGCACAGCCTAATGCACAATGATCACCGGACTGCTCGAGGACGCAGACCTGTGCTTGCACAAGCCTCGTTCACTCCGATTCGATAGGAAGGGATTGGTAAGGGAACTGTCCTCCATCTCGAGCCGTTTTCAAGCATGGTGGCAGGTGCAATAAATGCCCCCGTCGGTCGCGTACAAACTTGGCGTAGAGTGCGGCAGCACAGTAAAGTGCAGAGAGGGATACCAGAGCCGGGTATCGGAATTGCTCCGGCCTGGGAAATATGATCGTCGTTGCAAATGCGCAGAGTTCGAAGACGTTTTGTATCGACATCTCCACCGCAGAGAAGGTCCCCCGGTGGGGGGGCAGAACCGATTCTTGGATGATCAACTGGGCGCAAAGATCGAATGACCAGAGCCCTAGTCGTGAGAGAATGACATCAAGAATGAAGATGGGGACAATTGTTTGGGGAGACGTTGAGAAGCCAGTCCAGAGAAGCCCAACGGCGGAACTCGAGCACAAGGCCTGCCACGACAGACACCAGATGCCAGCTCGAATAGGACCAATCTTGGACATGAGCCTCGGGGCAACAAACGTCGAAGATATCTCGGACACTGTGGAAATGGTTCGCAGGATACCCACCGTTGTGGATGTGATTCTCGGTTGAGGTATCGCCAGGAGAAAAGTCGTCATCTGGCCCGAGAATGACAGGACCGTCAGATAGAGGGCAGACAACGCAAGAGAAGGTAGGAAGGCCGCTTGTCGCATATAAGTCCGAAGCGGAGTCAAGATCGACATCACGGATCTCGAAAAGGAGGATGTCTGATATGGGGAGGATCGATGGGAAGTTTCGAGTTCGATCTCGTCTTGATTTGTCCTTTCGGGCTGTGACGAAGGTCCGCGCTCGCCTAACGCTGGAACTTTGCCGAACACCCTGGCCACGAGCAGATATTCAATGGCACTGGATAGTGTGTTGGTGACAAGAGTCGTCCACGCCGCCAGGTTGGCAGACCATCCGTGGAGGAGAGCGATGGCCAGGGGAGCCACCAACTTGCAGAAGAGATCAATCCTTCGCATCTGGGCATTGAGAATCTGGAGCATGGAGTCATCTTCGGCAGCGATGACGACTATCCAATCCCTCTCGATCGCGACTGTGGACATGATCGAACAGAGCTTTTCCACGCATGCGAGCAAAACCAAAAGTCCAAGTAGAAGGACGAACATCCAATTGGGAAGCCCATCTTTCCAATGAAAGAGGAGTGCAAAAATAGCACATGAGGCCGAGACTCCCAGGCGTTGTCCCAGTATCGAAAGTCGGATGACGTACAAGCGGTCCCGAGAGTCAATGAGGTGGCCGATAGAGGGAGAAAATGCTATCGCCGCCACAGAACGGAGCAGGGCGTAGACAGACAATGGAAGCAATGAGCTTGGGAAGATTGTGGCCAGGAAAAGAACTGCGCCAAACTCGAATCCTCGAGAATTCCACATAGACAAAAAATGGGAGACATAGAGAGACGGTGCTAGAGAGCCCGCCTCCATCGTCGAAGTCTGTTCTGAGCGTATTTTGTCTTCTTAATCAGCCATTCTTCCAGTTCTTATGATGTCCGTTCGGAGACGTATCCTGGAGACCTGATAGAGGGCGGCGAAGCGCAAGAGAATACGTTCTTGTTAGTAGGAATACGTGCCCGATGGGATACTCCAATGTCGCAGCGCGAAATAAAAGAAGAAACACGGTGTACCCCGAGACATGCCTTGAGCCTGGCAAGATACGCCGTGAGCCGGATTACATAATGTCTATTAACTCCAAATCGGACGCGTATCCTGAGCCACGGCTACCAAACGACTTCCGCTCTATGTTGTCTCTACACCGTGTTCGGTTCATTCAACCTGCTTTCTGTCCTCGCAACGTATAAGAGTGTGATACAGAAGCGATCCAACCCTATCCTACACCCACCCTTTTCCCTGAGCTCTGTTGATGTCGAACGGACTGCCGCACTAATGGCCAGCGGACTCTCTGGCCAACCTTACGATGACGACCATGCAGTGTTGGATGACGATTTCCTCAACGATGGTACAGACAAACCTCATCTTCCGACTAGATCACACCTAACTGTTAGCAGAGGTCGAACCTGATGAGCCTTCCTCGTACAATCAATCCGACCGCGCTCCGTTGACAGGCAACATTCAATCATCATCCTCAAGCGCGCCTATCAACCAAAGCTATTTAACTTCCCGGATTCCAGGGGAAGACAGACGGGCCCCTCAAAATACCATTGACGAAAGCGTCTGGGAAACGGTGTCTCGAGATCTCTTTGCGGTCTGGGAGAAAATGAAACAAGTGTTATACCCCAAGTATTTACTCGGTGGTATGCTGCAGAGACAAGGCGCCGGCATGGGCGATGTTGAAAGTCAAGGTTTTGGTAGAGATCTGCGAGGTCTACTCGGACGATGGCCTGATGCAGACGGGATTTTGCAAGGAAGTATGAGCGAGGGTTTACGAGATTGGGACCTGTGGTATGTGGAACGGCAACTTAGCGGCATGCGCCTCAGCATCTAACCAGTGTCCCAGGGGCCCTCTCATATTCTGCCTGCTGTTGAGTGTTTTCCTCTCAATGCGTGCCAGCAAGGACCAGACCGACCTAGTCTTCTCGGGAGTATTCTCTCTCGTGTGGATCGGGGAGGCTGTAGTGACTCTTCAGATCAAACTTCTGGGAGGCAACATGTGAGATTTCCTCATTCCTTTCATTACATCCCTTGCTGATTGAATACAGCTCCTTCATGCAATCCATCTCCCTCATCGGCTATACCCTGTTCCCTCTAACCATTGCTGCACTTCTGAGTGCCGTTGGCCTGCCGACGATTGCCCGCATCCCTGTCTACCTTGTCCTCGTTGCATGGTCCCTTGCGGCAGGTGTCAGCATCCTTGGAGGGTCGGGAGTGGTCAAGAATCGGGTGGCACTAAGCGTATACCCTCTGTTTGTCTTTTATGTCGGCCTTGGGTGCCTCTGTTTTATCAGCTAGGTGAGGGAAACGGTACCACATGGCAGCGCTGTCCGGGATGTCACACTAGATGTAGTTCACTACGGAAATTCCAGAGTCTGTAATATAGTCTGCTCAAACCGTTCCCGCCGTTCATTCTGCTTTCTGGCGTGATACAAATATCGTAATGGCCAGCAGTTCTCTCGGACGAGGGCACTCCTCACCCTCGAGTGGGGCGAAAATTGCTGATTCTGATTGTGCGGAGCCTGAGCCGCAGGAATTATCAGCGTCCACTCCGAAAACCCTTTTTGATGTGCTTCCATCTCGCATTGCCTTCACCTTTGTCCCTGTCACCGTCAACAAAGCTAGCACTTGTCGGTCCAACTTGACCATCATAGTTTGTGGACGTCCATGCAAAACTTTGCAACACGAGCAACACGGCAATCTCACTCTGCTTGTCGGTTGACCAGATTGATTCACCGTCTGGACCCCTCTACACGTTGTTCTCGATCGCCCGCTCGTGGAAGCAGGCGGAGACACATTGAAAGACGCCCCCTCGTGAAGGATTGATTGGGCAAGGAAAGAATTTGGAACATCGTCAGCCTGCTTGGTCGAGTTCGTGAGATCGAGAACGCTCTAGGCATACCAATTCTAGTTGCTGCATCGGTTTCGGCGACTGGAACATTGAAGTCCTTACGATCAGAAAATCCCCTACAAATCTATTTCGGTCCCTTAAGCCCTTAAGCGTGCCAGACCTTTACTCGAACTACGGGAAACAAGAGAGCAACAACGGGAAGTGGGCCGGGCGGGCCGGGCTGAGACATCCACCATGTCTTCAGAAAACGGCGTAGACGATTCGATCCACACACGCGACCATGCAGAAGATACAATCGTCCATGACCAAACGCCTGCCGATGGAAGTTCAGATGGTGAAGGAGGAGAACGGACGGCAAGAGAGAAATTGAAGAAGACATCCATCGCTGGACTTGCACAATACTCGAAAGAGAAACCCGGTTCAGTTGGTGACCATCCTTTAAGCGAATCGGCCCATGTCGATTCCATTCCCGAACCACAAAGCGAGAATGGATTGCGGGGGCGACCTTCCAAAAAGCGATCATTCGAAGATCTGCAGAATGAGGACACTGGGGTAGGCGTCGAGAATGGCGGTCCACCCTTACCCAAAAAAGGCCAGCATAAGAGAATGAGATCGAGAGAAATTTCGGGAAATGATCATATACAAGGATTTGAAAAGCTAGAAGACATCGCGAGCCCAGTTCAGGAAGAGAGCGATGCCGAAGCACAACAATCTCCAGGCGGGCCTGGTGTGCTGGTTTCTGCGCCTCCGAAAGAAGAGACAGACAACACCACGACCATTCCGGACGAGAAAGATGCCACTGTCGGTTCCGAGTCCGTCGGGGTTGTTCCCACCTCAAATGAGAAGACCGGAGTGTCGAATACTGCAAACGTGACCGCTTCCCCAACCGAACAAGAATCAAAATCCCAGATTCCACCACCTTCAGGATTTGCTGACACGTCGACCTCGTCTCCATTCAGCGGCTTCAAATCGCCGACCCAAGAATCAGAGTCCATTTCATCCCCCGGTAAATCTACGTCAGCCTCGGCGTTTGCTTCGTCGGGCTTGTCAGCTTTCGCTTCGTCCGAGAAGTCACCATTCGGAACAGGGGGAACAACAGCAAAAGAATCGGGTGGTTTTGGTGGAGGCGGAGGACGAGGCGGTTTTGGATCTTCGTCCGGGTCATTTGGAGGTCCATCACCATTCGCGAGGAAGCCATTGTCTGGATTTGGATCAGGCAGTGGTGGCTTCGGAGGTGGAGCAAAACCTTTTGGCACTGGTATATCGTCATTCGCCGGCCCTGGCGGTGTACCAGGTACATTTGGCAAACCCAAACCATTCACGACATCGAACGAGGACGACGAGGATGAGGATGACAAGGAGGATGATGGTGATGACCACCATCAGCCTGAAGAGGATGTCCAACAAGATCCCAGATTCAAAGAGCAAGAAGGTAAGTTTTGCTGGATTTGTCGTGCTCTGGGAAGCAGAGAACTGAAAGCTAACTTTTGGCCAGTTGAAACGGGCGAAGAAGACGAAGAGACCGTCTTCAGCTGCCGAGCGAAGCTATATCATTTTGAAAAAGAATGGAAAGAACGTGGTGTTGGAGTATTCAAGATCAATATCCGGTACGAAAGCAGAGTAGAAAGCGAGGAAGTTGAAAAGCAGAAGCCAGAAGTCGAAGGGGAGGCCCCAGAAGAAGATGGTGAAGCTGGTGGCCAGATGTTCTCGCCCATGGAACGCAAAGCTCGACTTATCATGAGGACGGATGGAGTTCACCGCGTCGTTCTTAACACCCCGGTTTTCAAAGATATGAACGTGGGAACTCACGATGGAAAAGAACCCACCGGAAAGACCATGCATCTGACTGGATTAGAGGATGGAAAGCCCACTGGCTTCCAGATCAAGGTAAGCTCCCTCCCAGTCTAGGCGTTTCTCCTTTTTCTTGTTCGCGTGGAACAACAGTCTGACCAAATTGGTCTCAATAGGTCGGTAAAGAAGACGCCTTGAAAGAGATTTACCGCAAAATTCGAGAACTTCAGGAAGGCCTATGAATAGGTATGACTCCATGATATCTGGTTTCAATGTTGGCAAAGGCACGACAATCCTGCCATACATGAAGTGGAAGGGTCGGTAAAGGCGCAGTTGGAGCAGGTCCAAAATTGAGTCCCACCACTTTTTTTGAGATTCCCAACATAAAAACATGTCTGGAATGAGATGAAGTGATGATGGCATTCAATTCAATTGTTTTTTGAAGGAAAAGAATGACGGGAAGGCGGAAGAAAGAAATTCGGGCCACATCTCTGCCCCCCCCAAAAAAAAAAAAAAAAAAAAAGAAGCATGGACACGGGGGATAGGCTCGCACCTCCTATGGTTGGAAGCGTTATGTGCTTGGTATACCGCCTCAAAGAATCGAGTTGAATATTGCCTCTGATGAAAGTCATTCTATTGTTGTACTTCACTTAACTGTGGAATTGATATCGTTAACAGTGTCCATGGTGGATTATTACAGAATATACTGTCATTGCACCAAGGGGAAAGGCGCAAGGCTGTGTACAAGGCCAAGAGTACTTGAGCGTTTTCAATCGTTCCAATTCTTTTGCTCGATTCTTCTCTTCCCTCCACCATCAGTGTGTTGCCGCTTGATCCAACTCCAAACTCAGTCCGGAAGACGGTTTTTGCTAGAGTACGAAATGATAACAAGGGATTGACTGAATGTGTTCCACTTTGACTTTTCTGGCACACTGTTCCGACCCAATGACCTAGAAATATATTCAATTTTCTCAGATCTCATAAATCTCGCAGAGATAAATAATGACCTTTTCGGCCGCCGAGCGTCTCGAAGCAGAACTTTCACTGCTCTCAGCAATGTACCCTTCAACATTGACTTTCACGCCACAGTGTCGAGAAGTCAACTATACATCCATCATTTCGTCGAAGAGCACCATGACACTCCGACTACCGGACCAGTATCCGGAACAAGGACTTCCAGAGCTGATTTCAGCGCGAGATGGGCCTACGAAGAGCGACGTGCGCGACGAGACAAGGCGAGCAATTGAGATGTTAGGCTTGGAGAAAGGATTTGAGATTCTCGATCAGATCATTAATGTGTTTGAGGAAGTGGTTTCTTCGAGAGAGGACACGGCGGCGGCTGAAACGCAAGGTGACAAAGTCCCAAACCCGGTTTCTACCCCAGGTCAATCTCATCCCAAGTCGAAGACGGTGATCATATGGCTCCATCACCTTCTTGCAACGTCGAAGCGGAAACTGGCTATTACTCCTACCACCACCAGCACCGCTAGATCTACATCTGGAATCTCATCATCGCGAACCATCTCCGGCATCACGAAACCAGGATACCCTGGTATCCTGCTCTTCTCGGGCCCCAGCGACCTGGTCAACGCGCATGTTCACGAGCTTAAAACCTTGAACTGGCGGGCATTTCAGATCCGATATGACTCGTCTGAAGATACTCCGACTACGAAGGTGCCGTCGACATCTAGGCTCGAGCCAGAAAGGGATGGCGAAAAGGGAAATGGAAATATGGAATGGGAATTCTCGCACGGCAGAGGCAAAATTGTCGAAGTCGAGACCATGGCTGACGTCGTAAAGGGGATCGTGAGCGAAAGGAATCGAGAGATCTTCCTCCGGGCCGCAGGCGTGAAGTGAGACGTTCAGAAGTCAGGAGTCATTCTGTTTCTACACACATTCACCTGGCTTGTGTCTGACAGTGACCATGTACATGGCGATGGCGCCGATTTCTCAAGGAGACCTGAAGTTGTGAATGCCAAAGACGTTCAACACCGTCGGTCAAGGAGCCAAAAAAAAAAAAAAAATGACAAAACTCCCCAGGACGTGGCAGATCAGTTCAAGGCCGAGAAGCTGAAATGTCCGAGGTCCGTCCAATGTCAGGGCTCGCCATCGAGAAAACAGAGATGCCCGCGTCTGCGTTCTGCTAGGCGCTTACCTTCTCCTCCTTTTCTGGTCTCACGACGTGAGAACTCAACCGCCCGTTTACGGGGGAGAATGCTTTTCTCTGAATTTCACGACTACCTCGATCAAGGAAAGCAGAGGCGAGAAAGAGGCGAGAACACCACAAGGAAGATGACGACTGAGACCTGTGAGCATGTGCCCTTCCTTTTTTTGAGATATACATGGCTCATATAGTCTAATTCACAGGTACTAAAATATCCGGGTTTGCGATGAAGTGGTATAATTGATTGCTCATTGGTGATATTTCCAATTCGTGCCTTCGTGTCTCTGGGTCGTGATGCGAGCTCTATCCGGTCACGGTGTCTTTGTCCTCTGGTAGCTCCATAGTTGCCCCGTACGGTCCAAGCTGAATATACACCTCCGGGCTCTGTCTAGGACATGATTCTCCACGCTCAACTCTGCCGCGTAAACCTCGATTCATGACAACCCCTGGTCCAAAATCCCGTAGCCGTGGCCCATTGTAGGGGAATAATAAGCTCAAAGACTATCCTCTCTCCACCTGGACCTAACTCGTTGCCATCCCTCCCTCTCACCCAGGCCGCCTCGTTTCTCTAACCCGAGACCCCTCTCAACCCAATCCTGACTTCCCATCTCGCTCAAGCGACTCAATGCCCTTGCAAACGCGAATCGTTCTTCGTCTCCACTAAACAAACTACTCTGCTTAAGCATGCTCATGCTCATACCCAGATCGTCCATGAGATTGCGCATGACATCGTCAACGTCTGCGCCTTCGCCATCCTGGTCGGCGGCTTTGGCATGCTCTAGTACTTTCTTGTCAAGCGGATCTGCGGATGACTTCTTCTGGGCGACCTTCTTGGAGACGCTTCCGAGGGATTCGTCGAGTTCGGACTTGGATAAGAACAGCTGTGAAAGAGGTACGGCGGTCGTGAGGACCAGTTTCGCGTGCGATTCGTATACGGCGTCGATGAAGGTTATGAAACGGCGTGCCCAGTCGCGTTCCCGGTGCGTCATGCCGGGAACGTCCGTGACGATGAAGGCATCGAAACTGCGCATCATCTCTATGTAATCTGCAGCACCGGTGGCGCGACCGATTAAGTCGTGAAACGTGAATTTAGCTGCCCGGCCGGAAACGAGCGGAATTTCGACCTCACGGCCCCAGACGGTGACGGTTGAAGGATGAGGAGGGTCATTTTCTGGATCACCGAGGAAATGGAACCATTTATTGGCATGGGTAACGGCCGCGCGGTCAAGAGGGTGGTGATACACGCCAGAAGGTGGACGGGGAAGTTTGCGATAATCGGTCTGTGAATCTAGATTAATCACTCGGAGTTTCTTCTTGAGGAGATTGATGCAGGGGATGAACGATTGGCGTTGAATGCCGTTTTTGTAGAGGTCATCGGGATGGCGGTTCGAGGTAGTAACCAGAACAACACCGTGAGACATGAGGGATTCGAGCAGACGGCGGAGAATCATGGCATCGGCGACGTCGGTACATTGGAATTCGTCAAAGCACAAGATTTGGGCCGTGTCGGCGATATCAGCCGCCACAAAAGGCACTGCGTCGAAATCGTTGCCATATTGCATTCGAACCTTGTGGAGGCGTTTGTGGACACCCTGCATGAAATTGTGGAAATGAATACGAGTCTTTGAAGTTATGTTAGGCGGCAAAGTGTCGTAGAACAGATCCATAAGCATGGTTTTCCCCGAACCGACGTCACCATACATGTATAAACCCTTTGGGAGATCGGCGGGGATTTCGTTGATCACTTTCTTCTTCTTTCCCCCGCCAAAGAGAGAGCCCAGCAGGGACTTTTTGGCAGGCTGGAGATCGTTGATGTCGGGATGTATGACTTTGGGAGGGTTGTAGTCCTTCAAACTTTCGTGGAGATCTTGTAAATGTTCGACCAGAGCTGTCATTTACTCGTGTATTAGCTTCTCTGGTACTGACCACGCCGCACAAGTCTGCTCACTTCTCTGATGTTGATCATCTCTCAGTTTTCGTGCATGCACCCGTTCATCGTACTCTTCCAAGGGTCCGTGAGCAGCTATATCGCTCACCGTTGCTAGTTGGCGTCGTTGACTCGGCTTGACGGTCCTCGATCTCGAAGCAGCTTCGTGCAAGCTCTTAGGGACTTGATATTTATTGGAGGTATGTAGCTGTCGACGCTGGCTAAGCTCCGAACTTTTTCTTTGGCGCCGTAAAGTGTTTAAACAATCGTTACATATCGTGCATCTTTGAGGTTGGACTGCGAAATCGGAGATGATTGCTCGAAAGTAGGCTTGAAAGGCGTGATGGATTGGGCGCGCCGCACCTTTCATCCTGCATGTTCTGGTCCAGGAGCAGGAGAAAGGAAGGATGCGAGAGAGCACTCAGGTATGAGAGAGGCGATTTTTTGAGTTATAAGAATTAAAGACATGGATAGGATCTGGTTAGACAGAATAGACTTGAAGGGAGAAGATAAACGCAGGAAAAGGCGAGTTGGGGTTGTCCGAACTGCGGCGCTTTTCGCTTTGGTTTTTCGGGCGCACGTCGGCCACACACGCACATAAAAAGAATTGCCGACAACAGACATTTGACAACACAAATTTGGCTATAAATGTGCAGGTTCGACGGCCTTGCAGGCGGAATTGTCCTAAAAAAATCCCGATTCCCTGCTTGATCGACGTTTGAAATGTCGGTTGCTCATGAATCCCATTCTTTGATCGCCTGGCTCCCCCAAAAATGTCCTCCCAAAAAAACCCTCCCGAGCGAGAATCCATCCATGCGAGACTCCTATCACCATTCGAAACTTTTGCGAGCACGATCGGCAAAAGAAAAATCATCTCCCCAGATCCGAATCCCGAGGCGCCAAACTTAACCGTGTTAACACATCGCTCATCAGGTCGCCCTGTCTTACCCATTATACCATGTGTGCAAGAACCTTGGGCGGGTCTAATACACCCATATTGATCTGTGTGGTGTGGAGTGTGGGATCCCGCATATATCCTCAACCCACTGCGTAGTTGACGTACAATGTGAGTTTCGGGTTCCGTTGCAATGCCACATCCAAGTTGTCATTATTCTCAAGGTCGATCAGACTGTTGGTGGGTTCATCCTTGTACTGAATCACAATATCTTCGTTCACTTTCAGCCGCTCCATAAGCTTTTCCTTCAACGCTGCGAACGCAATATCCTGGGGCACTCGAATCGCGATAATGTCGTCCTGCCAGAATACCTTCACTTTCATCGATCCGCCGGCATTGCCAGCTTTCATGCTGGATGAATTGGACGCTTGCGTCAGATTACTGGCCTGAGAATGCAAGAACGGCGGACCTCCCATCGCCGTTCCCGGTCCGGCGGACATGGGAACCTGTTGTCGTTGCTGTGACGCCCGCGGTCCGGGAGGCGGCATTCCGCCGTACGCTGGTTGCTGGTTTGAAGACACCCGAGAGGCTGGCGGCATCGAATGCTGTGATCCTCCGGACAGACGATAGTCTTCCCCCAGGGCATTTGGATCTATTTCAAAATCTTGGCCCGGCTTGGGTTTGAACAAGTTTCTCACCAACATGCTCTTGGAAATATGATTGGGCATTGCAACAATCTTTTTGATGTATTCATCCAGGTTTTGACGGCGTCCATTCGATATGGCATCGGTGACGTGGGCCACTGGTCCAGGCATGAAAGGCAATGTACGAGGCTTGCCTCTGTTGCCGGCTTCTTCGGGGAACATTTCCAGCAAGGCAATTTGGAAGTCGTAGAAATCCGCATAATACCGCGACAATTCCCACCAACGTCCGTCTTCCATTTGACATTCGATAATGTACCAATACATGTCGTTGTCGAAACAGTATCGGGGAACCGAGGCACTGATGGGTGCAAGGGGAATATTGGATTGCTGCGACATTCTGGGTCCTGTCTGTTGTGCCTCCTTTGGATTTAGTACGTGATCGCCAGAAAGGAGGTCGGCTACTTACATGATTGTTGTTCGAAAGCGACTGTTGCGAGCCAGCATTCTGCAGACTCATCCGAGCCACATCGGCCGACATTTGCGCTTGAGGACTATCAAATTTGCCCAAGCTGATACTGCTGTTCTTGTACTCTGCGGCAAATTTCTTCCACTCTTCCACTCGAGGAACACCGGCTTTGCGGACAGCTTCGAGCGGATCTGGCACTGATTGCATTGTCACCGTGTCTTTGACATCGACAAATGATACGGGGATCAATCCTGGTCCTCCTAACCGTCCTATCGGCTTTGCCACGAACCATTCTGGATTGGATTGCGCCACCACAATAATCGCCTCTCCGGCTTTGGCATCAAGCTCATCTGCTCGTTCGGCGTTGAAATCATACTGCACAACTCCATACACCATGGCGCCGCCAGATCTTCCCGTCATGCTTGATCCTCTCTGATGTGCCATCGGTCTGGTCGTCGCTGTGGACTCTGATCGCGTGTGGCCAGAACCGGTCGATCCTTTCTCGGAAAACCCCGAATCATGGCCGTCCGGCTTTTCTCCTGGGGAAGATAGAGAATTTCCGCTTTGTCGCTGTTGTTTACCCACGACTTCAAAGAATGCGACCGGCACGAGACCTCTAGCGGAAGGGATAAGTGGGTTGCACGCCTCGTACCACTCTGTGTCGTCCTCTCGACTCAGAACATGAAAGAAGTCGCCTTTATGAAAAGCCAGCTCTTGTCCATTCCCATTTTGCGGTTCATAATCGTAAAGCGCCTTAATCACTTTCTTGGGTGGAAGTGCTTGGATCGTCTTGGGCGCGATGGACAAATTTGGTGGCTGTTTCGCGTCCTTATCGCTCTTGAGAGATCGGCGGATGGCCTAGATAACATCTCAGATGGACCGCAAGGCAGACTTGTGTAGGCAGGAGAGAGGTGAACATACCTTCATGGTCGCATCTAGTGAGCCCCGCAGTAGCCTCCAGAAAGATTTCCGGTAAAAGGCGGGTTTTTGGGCTCTAGATCAAGCGCATATGTGGTCGCAGGATGGAACGAGGCTTCTCAGTAGCTTGCGTGGCGTTGGTCAGTTCAGGCCAGGCTTGAGGTGGATGGTGTTTCAAGTTCGACAAGCTGCGAAAAGGCACAAGGTGCGGCAGGGGGGAAGAAAATGAAGGAGGAAACAAAGCAAAGGGGCCGCGAGGGCGCGGAGATTTGGCGAACAAGGCAAAGGCAACAAAGATTCCCAGCAGCAAGAAATTAAGTGTCGGGCTTGGGTTCGTTCAACGGAACAAAGTATTTTAATTGACACCTCGATGACACCTCAATTCACCGTTTGATGATTGCAAGGATCGAGGCTTGAATTGAATTTGAATTTTTCTCTTGGTCCCAGACTCCGGAAGGATGGCCTGCCGTTGATAATAGACGCCGTTGGTGGAGGAAGCTGGCCAAGGTACAAAGGCGAAGTCGCGCGCTCTGTCACCCCCGTGCAAAATTTGAACCAGTCAAAAAAGATTATCTCACTTAGAGGTGCTTGAGCGAACCCACTGATCCTGCTTGCGGGAAGAACCCAAGACAAATTGTCGGGCCTTACCAAGGCCCTCTACGTGGGCGGGCCCCCAATAATGGTAAAAGCCTAGAGGACTCCAGTCGTGCGGCAGGCTTGCGCCCAGGAGGCTTAGCTGCGGATGATCAATGGCTGATCACCGGATACCATCATCATAGCCACAGCTTGACCAGCTCGACCGGTGAAGAAAAGCTACAGATACCAGGCGAGCGCCTGCAAATTTTCGGATCATAAACCTCTCTATTGGTGTTTGAGCCCGTGGTGAGGCCCAGATACATGGAAGTACATGGGAATCCGGCAGTAACCGAGTTGTATGTCACTCCAGATTTCATTTTAGGCATGATTCGGACAGCTAATTGACAAATGCAGATTCCAGCCCGCGTTGTGGCGTGGCGTAAATCAATCGAGCAAACAGCAGAAGGGTTGCGGACAGGACTCGAAAACTCCTTTGATAGACTTGGTTGCTTGAAAATCCAACTGATCTGGGGAAATCATTAGGTTTCTACCATGATGCCATCCATGCAGAAAGTTTGTCCATTCCTCCAGCTCTGTGTATCTGTGGATGTGTCGATAGCTTGAAGTCTCCCGTCATTAATGGTAAGGCCAGCAACGCCCATGCTATGTACAAAGACAGTCAAAATGGAATCTCGCTTCAGCGCCTCCCCATTAAATTTTTTTTCCCCTCTCCCATTAGCAAGACCTTCCTCTTTTTGGCCCCCGCCTCCCCCCTTCTTTCGCCAGTGCTGAAGAAAGGATTTCATGCCTTTCTGGTGGAGACAAACACAAGTGGGAGATGATGTACCATGGCACCCTGAGTACCGTGGCGGATGCAGAAAAAAAGGGTCACAAGGTTGAAACAAACTGAAAAGGTAGCCAGAGAGTATATAGGTTGGGGTAAGTGCATTTACCACCAACGAAGCCCAGAGAAATGGAGGTTTTCTGGCTGGCTAAGAAACGTATTGAACAAGCAAAGGCGAGAGACGTTATATCTGTCCTTTGATATCGACTTGTCCGAATGCTCGTGTCTTTGCAGTTTGGAAGATGGAACCGACCTTGCTGGTCAAGAATCGAACATCCCCATCACGTTCTTCAAGCAAACTTGGCGAGTCTTCCGGCGAATGATCAAGGATGAATTGACAGGCTTCTTCGTCCGACTCGAAACCGAGTTCTTCAGTGACAAAGCGCAAACGTACATCTGGTTTATACCTGTGAAGATGATTAGCTGGTGTGCTCGCAAGGAAATAAAGGGAAGATTTTACGCTTTGCACAGGCAAGTGAGTGCTGCTAATCTCTCGCGTTCTACAAACATATCCATCAAGTACGCTCCCATGTCGGGAACGGTAAGATACAACTTGAAGAATTTGTGATAGTTTCCAAGAGCTAGTGCAGAACGCACTTCGAGTGCATGCTTAATCGCGGGTTCTTTTTGGTCTGTAGGGGTTAGATCAGAGAGCACGTCATTCATGTCAGTTTGGTTGCAAGTATGGATAAAATAGAGGATACGATAGGCCTTAAACTCCACAGGGTGACCGCCGAGGTTCTGCTTGTACAGCGCCCGAAGCTGTGTTTGGCATTGGTTATACTCACCCAGGTCACCCTTCTCTAGTGCGATGCGAGCATGGTATTCGTAAACACTGGTGGTGAATTCGTTTTTGATATGTTGCACGGTTAGGTCTTGTCGGAGTGATTTGAACTGGTCACAAATATAGACGTAGTTGCCCTCGCTGCGCCACTTTTTCTTGAGCAATTCCAGAGTCTTCCGTAGGACCTCCAAAGGCCGTACGTCATCTGGATTAGGCGCCGATGTTAATCTGAAATAGTTCTTCTCCAGCTTTTGGGAGCGTCCGACAATAGGCCCGGCGGCTTTCGGTTCCGGCGTGGCTCCTCGAGATGATTCTTGTGTACGCGGAGAGTTTGACCCGCCATGTGAATCATCAAAGCGTCGTCTGCGAGATTCCAAGCTCGTATTTGATTTACTTACGGATCTGTTCATGTCGAGCTTGGGTCGCTTCTCGGTGGAGGCGGAGATCCGGTCTGCCAGCGGTCCAGAATATTGTACATTGGTTCTCCAAGGTGGCTGGGAAGGGGCTATTTCCGGATCCGTTGAAAGCTCGGTAGACTTGCGTTTACGGGAGGTGCCCGGGTGAGATTGATATGATGTTGTAACAGCATCCACGGAAGACATAACAGGAACATAAGACGGAGGGGATATGGGGGCAAGAAGAGCACGATTTCGTTCATCTTGAATCATTTGTTGGGGCAATGGTAGGTCTTTCCAGTTGATTGTGTCCAGTTTGCGACTTTGTGTAGCCTCTGTTATTATTTCTTTGAGCTTGGATTCGATCTGCTCCTTTGTGATCCCGGGAATAGCAGAAGCCTGGGCGAATGATCGGTTGACATAGTCACGGACTTCTGGAGACCAGTTCATCTTCTTTTTCGCGGGTGGTGGTTGTGGTGGTGGAGGAGTGTTGGAAATGGTGCTCGCAGGTGGAGAGGGCATGTACTGTTGGGGCGCCAGGGGGGGAGGGACGTAGGTCGGCGGAGGAGGACGGGTTTGTTGTGGACCAAGGGAATGGCGAGCAGGAACTGGGATGTAAGCATTCTGGCTGTTCAGCGAAGACTGTGACGGCCACACAGGATGGCCGGAAGTAGAAGAATACATGACAGCAATCGCGAAGGAAGTGAGTGGCTAAAGAGGGCAAAGCTGTCATGAGCAGAGTGAAAGAAGGGGGCGACGAGGGGGGTATAAGCAACCTTTGCCTATAGAACGGGACGTCGCCGTGGTGCAATATAATGGGATCGATGAGAAAGGAGACTGAGACGACAAAAGGGCCGAAGACGGTGCAAAATCGAAAAAGTTTGGCGGAAATCCTTGGCACGTGTCAGTCTAACCCGAAATGGGCAAGGGGAGTGATATCTTGTCTTCTCGAAATTTCAAATCAATCTGCAAACACCAAATCATGCCGAAGGTACAGAAAGATATTTTGTTCTAACCCTGCTCTCTCCCCTCAAAAATGACATCCCGCCTTCATCGCGAACCGGATGTTCCTCAAAAAGCCAGATTTGACTGCTGGCTCTCGCCCAACACTCTCCCAGGACGAGACCCTGCTTTCTGTACAGGATGGAGTAGGCCTTTACGAAGGGTCAGTCTTGTCTCCACGGAGATCATGACATTACACATGCTTACATATATCCAGGAAATACAAGATCGCCACCTGTCAGAAGGGGCACGCATATCTAACGTCTCATCGAGTTTGCTATGTCGATGACTCGAATCCTCGAGCCCATTCATGGGCCATTGATCTGAAAGATGTCGAAAAACATGAATTCCAGGTGCGTGAATTTCGAGTTTTTGTCGGTACGGCGTTCCTAACAACTTTCTAACCCAGGCCGGATTCCTCAAGTCAGCGCCAAAGATCACATTATGGCCCAGGCCCTTAAAGCGTGGTTTTGGGCGGCCAGGCGCCTCGCAGTTGCCGTTATTCCAGAAAGTCACGTCAGCATCCTCTCCAGCTTCTCGCTCTACCAGTCCATTCCGGTCATCGGCGGTTTCGCCCGTGACGCTGCCTTTGGTAGTTGGAACCTGGGTATGTCCAATCTGTTCTTTTTCTAACCCAGTACCATCCAATTTTGACCCAACTATTGCTACGGAATCTTTTCCACTTCCACCATGTCTTGCGTGTGGTATCAAACCACCATTTTCTCTCGTTCTCAAAGCGGCCGTCGTTGCGAACGCGAAGCGCATTCCAGAGATGCGTCCATCTGGAGTGGGACCAGAATCAGCTAGGGCCACCGTGGCGCCTGAGCCGACTCGGTCTTTTGACGATGGTACCCCCTCTGAGGATATTACTTGTCCTCGTTGTACATTTCACAACCATCCTTGGATGCGCATCTGTGAAATGTGTTCGGCGCCTCTTCCGACGCCAAGTACCGTTCAAAATATTGTCCTGGAGGATTCAATGGTCCGATCTGAATCTCCGGGCCCAGAAATTTCGGGCCTTACGCTGGAGGAAGAGCACGAGACCCCAAGCATCAAATTCTCGTTTCGCAACGGTGGTGATCGGATTTTCTACGACCGACTAAAAAATGCCATGATTCAGCGTAAATGGTTGTTACCGAACGCTCCGCCAGTGCCCCGGGCAGACAATGATCGATCACCGACACCATTCAGTAGTGCAAGTCCAACCGTGTCATCTCAATCTCGGGCTGTCTCTGTTGGGATTGCTGGACTTGAGCAGCGAGGCTTGCAAACCCGTAAGAACAACGAGGCAGTCCTCGGCAACGCATTCGAGGATTTGGAAGCTTTAATGGCGTCGGCGAAGGACATTGTTGCCTTAGCTGAACGGTTTGCGATGGAATCAGGGTCAGAGATTGGACTTGCAGGCGCCTCTTCGGACCCTCTTCTGTCTCAGTCGGCGGCGGCGCTGGGAATGACCACGACCCGAGACCTGCTTGGAGACAGCTCGAATACACTCTATATCTCAGAGTTGGCCCGAAACTTGGCCGAATATGCTACAGACGATGGAAGGGGCATTCTGCGACGCCAGGGAGGCACGATGAGTCTGGTTGATCTCTGGGCAATGTTCAACAGAAGCCAAAATGGGGTCGAATTGGTAAGTCCTTCTGACTTCTACAAAGCTGCCGAGGCATGGGATAGGCTTGGATTGCCAGTCAAGCTGCGGCGATTCAAAAGTGGACTTCTGGTCGTGCAACGACGGAACGCAAGTGATGAGAAGACAATCAATCAGATTAAAGAATGGCTAAAATCGCTCCGGGTCCCTGAGGCAGAAGGACCACCGCCGTGGGATTGGGAAGCTTACGGATTCGGAGTCACGGCCCAGCAGGCTGCGACGAAATTTGGTTGGAGCCTTGGTGTTGCCAGCGAAGAACTTGAGATGGCCGAGGAAAGGGGGGTGCTATGTCGGGAGGAGAGTGTTGAAGGACTCAAGTTTTGGTTTAACTACCTGCTCGAAGATGAGGGTGACTAGACATACATGGAATATTGAATTCTGTATACCGTGGCAGACAGTAATGGTGCATTGCCAGAGTCAGCCCCATCCTTTACCCCCTATTGCGCAGCATTTTTTGCTCTTCCATCCACGAGGCTCGCAATCCCCACGGCTCACCTGCCTTTTTTGTTAATTTCCTCCCGGAACATCGCGACGAACATGGGGCAGATATTTCCGCGACTGCGAATGCCATGTAACTGGAGAAACGATTATTTACTTTCTATGAGGCTGCCTCACCCAAGTCACTCCTTCGCTTAACACAAGGCAAACATGGCCAGACTGGGCCGAGGAGGGTTCCTCGCCCTCGCTATTGTCTTTCACCTGGTCTACCTTTTTTCCATCTTCGACATTTATTTTGTCAGCCCCATTGTCCATGGCATGAAACCTTACCAAGTTCAGGAAGAACGAGCCCCATCGAAACGACTTGTTCTCTTCGTCGGTGATGGCTTACGCGCCGACAAAGCCTTTCAATCCTTTCCAGACCCGTCTCCCCCCGATCCTGCCAATGCTGATTTGACTCCCCGGCCTCTGGCCCCCTTCCTGCGATCGCGAGTGCTGAAACATGGCACTTTTGGAGTTTCTCACACGCGAGTGCCCACAGAGTCAAGACCAGGGCATGTCGCTTTAATAGCTGGACTCTATGAAGATGTTTCAGCTGTCACGACCGGGTGGAAGTTGAATCCAGTGGATTTTGACAGTGTCTTCAACCGGAGTCGGCATACTTGGAGCTGGGGCAGTCCAGATATCCTTCCAATGTTCAAGGAAGGGGCAGTACCCGGCCGAGTCGATGCAGATCAGTACGCCGAAGAATTTGAAGATTTTACACAAGACGCAACCATGCTGGACATCTGGGTATTTGATAAAGTCAAAGATCTTTTTCGGTCTGCCAGCACCAATTCGACCCTGGATGCAATGTTGCGACAAGACAAAGTTGTATTGTTTTTACATTTACTTGGGTTAGACACAACGGGTCATTCATATCGTCCTTATTCCAAAGAATATCTTCACAATATCAAAGTCGTGGACCAGGGCGTTGAGGAGATTACCAGTCTGATCGACAACTTTTATGCCGATGGTGAGACTTCCTATGTCTTCACGGCTGATCACGGTATGAGTGACTGGGGAAGTCATGGAGACGGCCATCCCGACAATACAAGAACACCGTTGATTGCTTGGGGAGCTGGAGTTGCTCGACCGCAGCTGTATCCTGACGGAAATGCTCCTGGCCATGAAGATGGCTTTTCCTCTGACTGGGGCTTGAACCATGTGCCACGATATGATGTCGACCAAGCCGATGTCGCCGCTCTTATGGCGTATCTAGCCGGTCTAGAGTTTCCAGTCAACTCAGTTGGCAAGCTGCCCTTGCCCTATCTTGCCGCCACCACACAGAAGAAGGCCAATGCCGCTCTGGTGAATGCCAAGCAGGTTTTGGAAATGTACAATGTCAAGGAGGAGCAAAAAAAGGCGTCATCATTGAACTTTCGACCCTATCCTCCTCTCTCGAAAGTCAATGCGTCCGTGACGGATCGAATTTCTACCATCGAATCTGCGATCAGCCATGGCCAACACGAACATGCCATTGAGTTGTCCTCGGATCTGTTCAACGATGCTCTCCAAGGATTGCGGTATCTACAAACTTACGATTGGCTCTTCCTTCGAGCTTTGATTACGATAGGATATTTGGGTTGGATCACATACGCGGTCACGACTGTCATTGACCTCCATGTCCTTCACGGGGCAGTTCCGGACGAGAGAACGACCGGTACGACCATGGCCTTTTCTTCCATACTGGTCCTGCTCTACTCGTTTTTCATCATTGAGCGGTCTCCTGTTTCGTATTATGGGTACGCTTTCTTTCCCGTCTTTTTCTGGGAAGAGACGTTTGCCAGAAGGAAAGCATTGACTTCAGGATTCAAAGTGCTCTTTGGTCATGTTCAAGGATTCTCCGGGGTTTCATTTCTTGCCGTTCAAGCTCTACTTTATGTGATCGTCATCGAGGCTTTCGTAAGCTTGTGCTCTTTCATTCTCAGCGTCATCTGTGTTTGTCTGACCGATGCAGGTGCAATCATATTTTCACCGTACCATACTCAGCGCGTGTTATATTCTCGGGGCCATTTTCCCGACCATCTATGGAGCGGAATTCCTCCAAAAAAACAAATGGCTTGTGCTCGCATGGGCAGCTGGCTGCCTAATTCTGAGCACATTTACACTTCTACCAGTCATCAAGATTGAGAACGCCAACACCGTCACAGCAGGTGGACTTCTGATGGTGGGTGCTGGCCTGATCTATCTCTATTTTGAACACGACATTTCTTCACAGTCGAGGTCAAAGACGATCGATTCTCAACCTAATACCCCTTCCCGAATCCTCATGGGTCTCCAAATCGGCATCATTCTACTTACCGTGATCGTCACGCGTTCCAGCATCGCATCACTTCAAGCGAAGAAAGGTCTACCACTCGGAAATCAAGTGGTCGGTTGGTTTGTTTTTGTGGCGTCCGTTATCCTACCCTTCGTTCACCGAATCTCACCAAACACGCACTACTTGCATCGTTTGGTCATCATCTTCCTCACATTTTCGCCTTCATTCGTTCTTTTGACAATCTCTTACGAAGGTCTGTTTTACTTCGCGTTCTGTTTCACCCTGCTAGCCTGGGTCCGTTTGGAACATGCCATCCAACTTCACAACACAACCCAATCACCGCCGACTGCTTCGACATCAGCAGCAGCATCCGCCAATGGCGTAACCATAACGTCCACATCATCGCGTCCCACGAATTTACATCCAGAAAAGACCTTTCGCACCCTGGCACTTCCCGATCTACGCCGGGCCCTGTTCTTCCTCTTCTTTCTCCAGTCAGGGTTCTTCTCTACAGGCAACATTGCATCGATCTCGAGCTTCAGTCTCGATGCTGTCTATCGCCTGATACCAATCTTCGATCCTTTCTCTCAGGCAGCACTCCTCCTCTTCAAGATCATGGTTCCATTTGCAATCATTTCTGCGGCTTTGGGGATTCTCAACCGTCGACTTGGTCTTCAGTCCTCGGCATTGTTCATGACCGTCATGTCGGTCAGCGACGTGATGACATTGAATTTCTTCTGGATGGTAAAAGACGAAGGAAGTTGGTTAGATATCGGTACCACGATCAGCCACTTTGTGATAGGCAGTCTTTTGTGCGTGTTTGTAGCTGGGTTGGAAGGTGTCAGTCAGGCGTTGATTAGCGGCGTGGAAGTCGACGCATTTGAAGACAGAGTCAAAGAGGTCGGAGGCGTAGAGACAGTCACGGGCCAAAAGGTGGAAGCAAATGGTGTCGTCAACGGCGCCGTCAACGGGGCTGTGAAAGCGTCGATTCTCGATGAGAGACCGGTTATTGAATAATTTAGTCCTCTAGCTGGAGTGCCCTGCACTTCTATTACATATTCTATCTATTCACGGAATTATTTGCGTCGCTCCCTCGGTGATTCCGCACTGTCCATCGTCAACCTCTTGTCTTGTCCAGCAGCCTTGTCGTCAATATGATCAATCTAAACCCCTCGACCGTGCGTGATGCTGTTCCTTACGATCTACTACACCGATTAGTGCTTTCGCCAAACCTCCATCCTCAAAATGCATACGAAGCAATGATTTTCAGCACATCAAGTTGGAGAATTGGGACAACGTCAAGTCTTGTGATCCATGCCGGCCCCCCGGTCCGGCACGCCCTTTGCCTCTTTGGCTCTTGAATACTCACTCGCATCTGTCTTCGTCTTAACGCCCTCGGCGTCAACCTCCTCCGCGCTCACAGGTAACATGCTCTCCGCCCCGTCCTTACTCACGTTATGTCCCGAGATAGGGCCCTTTGGATGGTCTCCTTCCCGCAGCCGTCTAAATTCAACATTACCCCCATCCTCACGCAATTCACTTCCGCCTCGTGCCCCAGCACCCTCGAGACCTGAGGGAGCCTTCTTTCTCGTATGTTGACCTTCGTGTCGTAATTCTGTCGACGTTTGGCCCTGCCCAGGATGGCCTAGACCAGTGTGAACGTCAGCGGACGTGGCGCTAGGCAACGTGCTTTGCGGGTCCGTGTATACTGATTCTTTCCCATGGGATCGTAGGACATTCTCATTGTTTGCTTGCCCCGGGATCTCGGACTGGGTGTTTGGCGTGTATAGAGCGGACTTTGGGGCAGTGCCGGGCGGGACGGTTTTTGCGTGGAATTCGGGGGCCCGGTCTGCTGAACTAGTCATGAGGCCTGGCTTGTGCTGCGAACAACAAAGGCTAGTTAGATGAAGACGATATCCCCCTGTCAAATGTGATTTCGTGGTTACTTACGCCTGTAGCTTCCATAGGTCGATCCCGAGGTTTATGAGGCATGAATTCGCCTTGGGCGTTGGTCATGGACTCCGGATTCGTTGAAGCCATCGTGCTCCTTTTTCCTAGTGATTCAATCCTTTTTGATTTCTGTTTTTCCGGTATGATTCACTTTAGATGAAGTTGGTGTCTGCTGTGAGATTTGGAAAATGTTTCAGATCTCTGAGCCTGTGGTTACGAGAGAGGTACGACGAGGAAACAAATAAAAAGGGAATCAATGCTCGTGTGCTCTCGAACGAGCCTGAGGACATTTTGCTTTGACGTCATGCTAGACGGGCACCGTGATCTCGTGCTGAGTTTATTGTTCTGGCAATGGGCTCATGTATGACGCTGCGGATGTCGCCATCCAGCCAATGGGAAACCGAAACTTTCGCAAAAAGGGGCAATACGGAGGAGAAGGGTAGGGGTAGGTTTCAAATTTGTATGACATCGACAACTTATTGTAAGTCTCGTCTTCCACTTCTCCTATCGGACTTGACAGTGTTCATACCTGTGTTCTTCTGTCACAGACCAAGTTACGATTACTATGTCCGAGATCAAATCCAAGGGCGGATCTCCAATCGAGGAGGGTGATACAGTTGCTACGCCGGTAAACGAGCACCCGATCTTATCAATGTTTCTTGTGAGGAAAAGCGACTTACAAAGCTCAGTATCGTGGAGGAAAGCACGAAGGCAAAGTAAGCAATTGCATGACTTGTGTTTATTTCATTCAATGACTTGTGTATTCTCACACTTTGGGATAGGTCGAGCAAATCATCACCGACGAGGAGGAGGCCAGAAAACTCGATGCTAAAGGAGCCAGTCATGCCCCGGCGGTCGTCTTCACAGACCAGAATGACAAGAAGGTCGTGCACAAGCCTGAAACTGTGAGGGATGTCGATAAAGAAGGTTGAATGTCGAATCTGTATGCTGCTCAATAGGAGTCTGGTCGATTTCTGTGATGTCGTCGGTCAATCTTGGGACCCGACCTGCAGCTCTCTATTTTGCTTGCTCAAAGATACTGTCGTACATTTCTAAGGAGCTTTTCGTCGTCGAGAGACTCTTCGAAGAGTTCGGCCTCGTTATTGACCCGTTGGCAGTAATCTGCTGTCCGTTCCCCCGCGTGATGGCATTATCCTGTTCGAGATCCGACAAATACCAGTCCAGTCTGTCCATCCTGTCCTCATACTCTTCTCTGCGTTGCGTCCCCACGCCTTGTTCCAACCATTCTGATATTCTTTGTATTCTCCCAGAATTTGGCGTGGGACTCTGATTAATGAGGTAGCAGTCGCCCCGCCAGCGACTCTATTACGTGTTTGCCCACAAGATTTCTCACGATGTTGAACTCGAAACCGCCGATCTGGTCCATTCGATGAGCGTTCAGGAAGACTGGGGGTTGCAGGATGCGGTCTCTGCCGGTCAAAACCTTACAGATTTCCAAACTCGGCAGCTCCGAGGGTCCAGATCGATACATTTTCATCGAATCGCTCAAAAATAGTAGTTCTGGCGTTACCGAACCTCTTCCTGATTCCTCCAGAGCGGATGTCTCCATCGATCGGCTCATTGATTCATGATCTCGACACAGCTTATTGGGCCCAGACCAAAATATCTCTGGGATTCGTACAGAAATTGATAATGCAGGTCTCCAGCAGTGGCGCTGCTTGCCGAAACTTTTCGTAGAGATGCAGAGTGCGATCAAATGCCAATGTCCCTGCTGCTCCAGCAGTTGAGCCCTGGATTGTTTTCCTCGCGCGCAACGGGAACATCTATCCGATCTACTGCGAAGTTCAAGCAGGCCTGAACGGTGAGGAGCTTCGTCTGCGACACCATTGTCTATGGCTATGAGCGATGCAACAACGGCCGCTTCTGATTCAAGGGGCCCGTGGTGTCTGTCGTCGAGCTGCCAATAGTATGTCCCATCCCCTACATTTTAGTATACCCATCTCTAATTTCGGCGCAGCTCACCCGTGGCCCTCGAATCTTCGGTGACAGACCTGCGTGCTTCCTCAGCCGCCTCACGATAGGCCTGCGCAATCCCGAGCGGCTCACTTGTACGGATCCCAACATGCATGCTCTCTGGATACATCTTGAGCAGGAACGACCCTACTAGGCAGCAGATACGTGCCGGTAAAGGCTTGTGTGTTTGTTGGTCAATATCTCGAAGAGGCTGAAGATGGAATCAAGGTTGCTCAATTTCTTTATCGGGACTGTTGGGGCCGCCGTCGGCGTCGCCATGACCGTGCAGCGTATTTAGCGACAGAAGCTGCGTGAGGCAAAGAGGGGTCATTCGATTGTTAATGATAGTTATTGCTGTTTGTGTTTTCAATCGTAGGTTGCGTATCATTTCGAGGGGTTCCCACCTTATCTTCTTTTTCTTCACCATCCAGCTCCCTACAGAAAGCTGTCGATCGAGGCCACGGTAGATCTGAGCAGCAGCCTATCGGGACGAGGTTTGTCATATCGGGGATCGGAATCGTAATGCTAGAAGCCGGGATCGGGTTAGGGGGTCAGGGATCCCCAAAGTGGCGCGAGACCGAAGAGTCTTTTCAGGGCCCGGGGCCCGGATGTTTCGTAGCTTATAGGGCTGATTTTCGGGTCCGGTCCTTGGGCAAGGGGTCTTAGAAGGAGCTCGGGCACATGAGTCTGCTTCCGACAGGGAACTCCATCGGTAGGAACGGCGGGCCGACAGATTTAGTTTTCGGTACCGCAACGAAGGTAGCCGGTAGGAACACTATCGTCGTAGCAGCGACTGTCTTCAACGAATCGTCCCGCCTAGCGGCCACCGCCAGCACAATATCCGCCGCCAGCCTCTGGTCACTTCTTCTCTGCCAACTTCTCCTCCAGCTGCTCGACATGCGACCTGATCTTCCCAAACTGCCATGGCCAATGGACCACGTACAAGAACGGCCGCAGATCATACCTATTATCGTCTGGGTCGTAGGGGGACAGGTGCATACTCGGTGTGATGACAGTTGATTTGTGACGATTGATCGAGTAGGACCTGTAGAACCTGAAGACCTTCTCGGCAATCTGCCGTGGACCGTAGCCCGGGCGATCCTTCCACTCGCTTAACAAGCGAAGGTAAGCCGACCACGGTCCGAGTTTATCTACCTTCCTCATGATCCCAAAGATGGAGAGTTCTTCGTAGGTCATGCCCATTTCGCTCTCGGACTCGTCCTCTTGCACGCCGGCAGAGAGCGGCAGGAGCTCGGCCGTTGGTGTCGCTTGGAGGAATTCGGTCAGAATCGGGAGATCCCATTTCTCTCGGGCCCACCGCTGAAAAGCCTTGGCGTCGTTCTTTGATATGCTGCCTAGTGGTGCTATATCTGCTGAGCTGGCGTCCTGTTAGGTTGTTAGCTAACTATCAACGTGTTGTGACGTCAGAAATCTAAAGGCCTCACATATTTAGTAAAGTAGCCGCGAAGATTCTGCCAATGGTTAGGACTAGTCTGCTTATGGAGGATTATACAGGATAGGGGGAGGATTACCTCGTCGACGTTTCCTGATCCTAACACAAGTAACGCTGATCCTGCTCGGGGGAGATTCCTAGCTGTGGTCGACAGTTGAGCCAGCGAATAAGCAATGACCATTCGGCTGCGAGCCTGAATGTTTTGCCTGGCTAGGTTCTCAGACTGGGAACCTCCTTCAACCGCGTATTTCGGCCTGAAGCTAAGTGCCTTCTCGACCATGGCCTCGTGGGCAGCAACAGTCTCGTCGATGGTAATGTTGGAGTGATAGGCCCCGATTGTTTCTGCGAGCATTTTAGCCCTCCCTTCAGTCTCCTTCGAGGAGTTAACTGTTCCCATATAACACGTGTGAAAGAGGCGAGATACAATATCCTGAGGCTTGGTAGGTGCGAAGTTCTCGTCACCCGTCACCCGTTTCAGGTCCCGGAGGGTCGTCTCCTCGCCGGCACTGATGGACGATAGCACGAGCCGGGCCATTCCATAGACGAACAGCGCCACCGTCGCGCTGTCCAGGCCACCTGACAACGCTAGGAAAAACCCCGCAGAGTTTGTTCTCGTCAAGTACTGCCACAGGTAGACGGCCGTGGATGAGTGGATCTCCTCCATAGGATTCATGATTCTGAGCTCGATCGGGCGAGAAATCTCTGGTTGATTGGATAACCAGATATCCTGGGCCGGATGAGATAAGACGAGATCACATTCGACGCGAGGGAAGTCCGGTTGTCGAGCAGCCTGAACGTTTCGACTGATACTACTGCGGTAGCTCCGAACTTTTTCGATATCGACCGTCGCCACGGTCACCTCGACAGGTGCAAGGGAGAATTGGTTGCCTTGTGCTAAAACCTCGCCATTTTGAATCACCATACTACTTCCGTCATGTAGCATGCGGGCCTCGCCCTCAACACCTGTGGCGTTGGCGTAGATATATATCCCCCCCAGCTTCCTTGTGGAGTTGGAAATAAGTTCGAGTCGAGCTCTTAATTTCTGGAGCTCCGCATGGGAGGCACTGGAGTTGAGCGTGATCTCGGCCTACGACACTCCAAAGTGAGTACGTACGCTTTATGGAAAAGGGACGGAAAGAACTGCTGCCGAGTTCTCGGAGGAGAAGTGGACAACACGGAGAGATGCTTACACCGTTGAGGCCAGTGAAGATGGATGGATTCAGAGGGACGAATAATTCCTCGCAAGACTCGCATGTGACAGCGGTGTCCCGTGTTGAGAGAATCATGTCGCCGATTGGGACTGTCGTTTGACCAGTCACTCGCTGTAAGGCGGTCTCGAGATAGTAGGTTTCGACTTCTCGTGACTTGCACCAGGCAGTAAAGTACCTCGCCTCACGATATAGGCCGTCGTTCGCCAGGGCCATCTTGGGCCTGATGCAGAAGATCTTGCGGTACGTGCAGAGCACCCGCGCATTGAAACGGACGTTACGATGTCGCACTCCAAGCCCAAGATCAATGAGCATGCCTTGGCAAACCTCGTTTGAGATGATATCGGCAAGAACTTCCCAAGAATGCAAGAAGGTATCGCCTATACAATTCCTTAGCGTTGGCAACAGTGCTTGATTTCTTCCAAATTACCGACCCTCGAGGTGATGGTCAAGACATGAGTAGCCCGGGATTTCCAGCTCAGGTCCGGTCCTCAGCGTCGCACCCTTCTCCTTTGCGATCCGAATAGACTCCAAAATTCGATCGCGGTTGCCGAGGAAGTCAAGCGGTACGCTCGGAAGCGTAGCCGCCGCGACAGTTACCAAGGCCATTCGGATGGTCACTGTTTCACCTTTCTGGTAGGTCCTGAGGTCTGGTTCTTGAGTGGGAAAATGGTTCAGGAGTCAGAAATGTAAAGAGAGATGCAGTGCGATGGAAGTGGGTGAAAAATTGGTTGCTCTTTGGCTAAAGCCGGCCAAGGCTCGGCACTCTTTCCTTCCGTGTGAAAGGCTTCAGGTGGAGGAGGGGTAGTTTGTACCGTCCGTGTCGAAGTTTGGCTCGCGGTGCTAGTCCGATGAATCAAACTTCCCCTTTGAAGGCGCCGTCGATTGATGAGCGAGAATGACTCAAGGTCGGGCATTCCAGTTCTGATTGTAGTTCGTAGTTACTCCATTTGGTAGATGATATTACGCATGCGCTTATTGTCTCCCTATGGGAACCTTCTATATCTAAGAGGGTCTCCTACTAGAATTGGAGGAATCGGGAGTTATCGAGACAGAGAGAGGAAGATTGTGAGGGTCTTCTAGCTGTTTCGGACCCAAAGTTCCGTGTTCTCTTCCCATAAGAGTGATGTTCTCTGCGCAGTTGCGTACCACAACCCGTAGAGTAGGGAGAAATTTGCCGACGAATGTCGAAGAGTATTGGAGAAGGAGGATTACCTGGGTGATCGATTCGTCGTCTGCCCATTGTCAGCCGTTGCAGTCTTCACGAGGCTACGCTGTATCGCTGTCGTCCGCTCACAAGGAGTGATCAGACGGGAATCAACATTGTCTACACGGGCATGGCCAGCTACGAGGGTCTGGACGAGGAGTGAATGGCGAACACCGAGATCTCTATCGGCATGCATCTCGGTTGTCATTATTGTCACGCATCCTCTTTCATTCAATGATGATTACCCAGCGCCCGCGCTGGAGAGATATCCATTTGTTTGTCTGTGTGTGTACTAGGGCTATCGTGATGTCCAACCCCATCCTACTTCACCACGGCCATCAGAAACCCATCGTAATTCTTCTCCGATACTGTTTGGACGACCACTGCGTCGACCTTTTCATTCCTTCCCACGGACTCGACAAGTTTCCTGGTGCCTGCCACTCGTTCATCTTCCTGAGCGGCGGCCTCGTCAGCGAGTCTCCCACGTCGGACAACATTGTCCACATAGATGCACGTCCGAGGTTTTGTCATTTGCAGTGCAAGCTCAAAATATGCCAGATTGTTCTGTTTGTCGGCGTCGATGAAAACAAAATCAAATGGATCGCGTTTGCCCGCTTGAACTTCTTTGACCAATTCTGGCAGGACCTCCAATCCTGGACCAAGCAGGACGTTAATTTGATTGCTGAGTCCAGCATGGGCAATGTTTTCCTCAGCTACCTCTTTATGCTTTGGGTCAACCTCGACAGTGGTGATTTGAGCATCATTCCCGGCCCCGGTTGCCATCCAAATGGAAGAATATCCCCCCAGCGTTCCGACTTCCAATATGTTCTTGGCCCCTGAGATTTGAACTTGAACGGACAGGAGCTTCCCTTGTGCGGGGTATGAAGCAATATCTGGAAGTCCTTTGGCAAGGGAGTTTGAATGGGTGAATTCCAAGGCATCGTGGAACTTGTTCCGCGAAGGAAAAAGAAGATGAGCTGAAGTGTAAGCATCGACCGCACTCCATCGTGGGTCTTGTTCATAGGTATTCTGGCCACGGAACTTTGGGGCCATGGTGAGTGGTATTCCAGAGAAATATCTTACAGAACGGATGTCTGGCTTCGAATCGATGACTTCATGAGAAGAATTACGGGCGAGCCTTGATTCGGCCTCGACCTTCCTCAATCCTAGCTCGGCCGAAATATCCGGATGCAGAGGTGTTGCAATGACCGTTGCGACAGTATAATCTCCGTCGTGACTGATACTCAGTTGCGCAGCTTGATCAGTCACTTTGCTGGTGGGTGTGGGATCTGAAGTAAGACAAGTATCGCAAATGATTTGCACGCCGCCTCCGTATTCGGTTTCAACTCTCAGGTCCCTGAAGCTGAGTAAAGTGGCATTCCAGGCCTTTTTGGCGGCCTCCTTAGCTGCCCAACGGCCACCAATCCACGCGGCCAGCTGTCTCCTCTTGCTTTCATCCTCCGAATTCGGATTCTTCCAGAACGGGAATCGGCGATTGAGGTCATCAATTTCTTTCGGATGTAGAAAACGTCGGGTTAATCTGACCAATCGATTGCTGTCAGGCTTGATGGGGGAAAGAATACGGCTTGTGGCGACGATATCAGTGCCGACGCGCAAAGCTAGAGAAAAGGGAGCCCTCATTGAGATGGACTCGTGCGGACGCCTCGAGGTTGCTCAGTCTCGAGGGGCATCTTTCAAACGAAGCTAGGAGATACACGCGCATTCCCAGGAGAACAAAGGACTGGTCAATGATGGAGTGGAAGTTGTTGGAGACAAAATGCAAAAGATATTTGGAGAAGCAGCAACGCTCAACCGGTCATCCCTGGTCGCCTCCACGATAACAACTACGTACCTACGAGATACAGGAGTCCCGCAGTAGCAACGGGATGCATCATTATACGTCTATGACACTTCCATTATCTGTGCTGCTTAGTTAGTTCTATTTGATCAACGTTTCACAATGAATCGCGACCATCACCAACCTCAAATGGTAGGCTTGCCGGCGATCAACCCGATCGATTTCACAAGATAACCCGTCAGAAACAGCTACGCTCAACTCCGCGTTGTGGCACACTGGAGTCTGAGAAACGATTAATAATAAAGCATCCTGTCGACCTGTAACGTATGTACGTGAGACTTTTTTCCCCATCCATTCACGGCGCCAAAACACTCATTGCTGGTATATAAAAAATGAAGCATATCAAATGCTCGGGATCGCCATACGAAGTCAGGTGCCCACATTGTTCCAAAAAGCCGTACTAAAAGCCGTCTAGATCGGCCAACAGCATGGTCAGGCTGCCAAACCGGAGGTTCATGGTAGCATTGCTTTCTATTCGGCGTTTTTTAAGGAGAGAACCAAGCTCTCATGGGCCGAAGTACGAGACGTCGCACGAGGATTCCTGCCCTGGCTCGAAGGCTCATACCCCGAATATATCGAGGAAATGAAGGGCGTGGCGGATGGGGCTGGCTTGGATGTGGAATCGATTGTGGCGCTCAACGTCCGCACCGAAATTGCGTACGGGATGCTGAGTGATGGTTGTACCGCTCTGTCCTGGAAGACGACGGATGCCAGCTTCCTGGCCCAGAATTGGGACTGGAATTTCGAGCAAACACCCAACATAATTTGTCTCTCAATTGATCAATCGCCGAAGCCCAAGATCCACATGATGACCGAGGGTGGTCTCATTGGCAAAATTGGTCTGAACTCGGCCGGAGTTGGCGTCACCTTGAATGCCCTCCAAGCACCCGGTGTCTCGTACAACAAGCTCCCGTGCCATCTGGCACTGAGAACAGTGTTGAACAGCACATCCAGAGAGGCCGCAGCAGACGCCCTGCGAAAATCAGGCGTGGCTTCGGCCTGTCACTTGACGATCGCAGATACAAATACAGGCGGTATTGGATTTGAATGCACTGCGGTAGACATCGTGGAAATACCCATGGAACAAAATGGAACTTGTACTCACTCTAACCACCTCGTCAAGCAGCACAAAGTTGACGAAACATTGTTTCTCAAGGATTCTCCGTTCCGATTGGATCGTATCCAGGAATTGATGAGAGGCATCGACACACCCTCGGTTCGAAACCTAAGCGAGATTCTCCAGGACGAGAAGAACTACCCAACTGCTATTTGCAGAGCTGTAGGTGAAAAAAGCACGAGTCAAACTCTGTTCTCAATCGTCATGGATTTGAAAGAAGGATATGCCAGGGTCAAGATGGGTCGTCCAACAGAGGGCGGGGAGGTGTTCGAGCTGAGACCGTAACGAAAGAGTGACACCTGGATAAGTGTCCGCAACTTGTGGAAGTTGTTATTTTTTTTTTTTTTTTTTGGTCTCCCCTGCGTATAACTAAGTCCGATGTAGCTGCTTCTCATCCATCTAGCATATGTACAAAGGGCGAGGTTTCCCTATCGAATTGCTCTTCCTTTGGTCTAATGTGCTTCCTTGCTCGAGATCTTGTTCGCTTTGTCTTCTTGCTCCACTTGCTGCAGGAACTCTCTGTCGGAGGGTCAGATTCGGCTCGTGGAGGGTTCTGAGTTACGTGATGTTCTTACTGGATGAATTTCTCCTCGTCCTTGCTTCCAGCGTTGATGGGAGGTGTTGTTGATTGTTTCGACCCGCCACCTCTAGTGAAGATATAAGGGAGACCGAAGGTCGCACTGAGGGTAGCGATGGCCAGCTATGAAACGTCAATGGAAGAATTTGAAACCCCTGGGTCCATGTTATGGGAAAGGGACATAGCGGGATTTACTCCTTTGACGACGTACCCAGTGTGAGCCGACCTGACGGCCTGCGATATTGTACATTGCAACCATTTTGGTGGTTCAGAGAATATGTAGCGATCTCGATTCAGGAGGGACGGATAGATGTTTGCAGCTCCAAAGCTTTGCTTTCTTTCAGACCTTGGCGCCGGTGCTATTGCGCTCAACTATACGCTAATCCATTTCTGTACTATAGGAAAACGGCGTGGGTTAGCTTCTCACGTGACGTCCTTCGGCGAACATTCCCGGAAGGTGTACACCGGCTATAACACCCCCACAGAACGCCACGAACACTGCATAAAAGACTCGTATTTTTGCTATTTCGTGTGTAGAAATGCTCATCTAGTAAACAACCGTCTTTTCAGCTTTCAAAATCGCTCATATATGCTTGCAGAGTGGAGGTAAAATAAGTGCTATTCTGGCGTAGTGGTCCACCCTTTTTGAAATTTGTACGTCGTACCATTTGGCGCACGAAACGCAACTTTTCTCCCACCACTCTATTTACAAAGACGTAGAAAAGCTCGAAGTTTTTTGGTTGATCCAATTTTAAAGGCTAATAGCAGCTGTATTGAGAGTTACAGTATTCTCAGAGCACTCGTTGTTGAGATTTTGGCGATTCAATGTTGCGAAAAGAGTGTACAGAATAACAAAATGTGGTGTACAGACTAACACCTCCCAACATTCCCTGGGCGTTGCTTCTGTAGGCGTTATAGAGCACCATGACACGAAGAAAAATTTTTCAATGAGCCTTGGGAAAGGGAACTGCATCCTCTCCAAAACACATCTCATTCACATAACGCAAATCTGGTGAGAACTCACGGACGACAACGGATACGCTGAAAAGGCCATGCTTCTGTGCCTCATGTCTTCTGATGTCTTACAGCTGCAGGACGCTGGTACACAACTTGAAAATATCTCGAATGCTATTGGAATCAATGTAGACGGATGGACGTCCGACAAGCTAATATACTTCACGCTAACCCAATCTCCTCATAATTCGCTTTTGTTCATCGACCCCCCTTGCTGACATAACAATACATAGTACATTGATAGGAGCCTGCCGTCCATTCTGCCCGCAGGGTGTTCATTGAGAATCTGAAACAAAAAGTATATTTGCCCTCGTATTGTATACACCATCCCGTCTCATCTTCATAGCGCATCCACTTCGAAGACATCTCGACCATTGGATGTGTCTCACGGTGTTGCCCCGAATCCGGCCGGCTTTGAGAACGCATTTAAGGGTCTAACGGCTCATCCCTTGAGAAAGATGCATCCTCTTTATGCCACATGTGGGCAGTTGAAGACCTGGATGTGCAAGGTCTCGCGGACAGTCGTCTGGATGTCTGAATCGCGTCTCGTAGGACGTCACCGGCTCTCTCGGCTACCAGCCATCAGGGGTTTGGGAAGGGGTAGTGTGATAGTGTCTGCCGCTCAGAGACTTGTAGCTAGCTGGATGTTGAGCACGTCTCAGGCGCTTATCGAGCGTCAGCTCATTACGAGCCTGCTCATCTGCAGAGGTCTCTGACTCGTCCGTTAGAGATCTCGAAAGAGATGTACGGCTACCCGTAGAAATAGTAGTTGACTTGGAAGATGGCATCTGGCGGGACACTTGTTTGGTTTTGCCGGCAGAGCTATTTCTCTGTGCCCTGGCAGATTTCTGACGCTTGATCGGTGCCACATAATCGAGAGCCAGCTCGTCTGCTGAGGTCTCTGACTCGACC